TAAATCTTTAGTTATAAGAGGGTATATGCTTAACCCGGGCTCATAACCTGTTAAGCTTTGGTATTGGAGGGCGGATGCTTAGTAAGATTTATATAGAAGAAAACTTATATATTGAAGATATATATTTTGTTTTACTTACTTTACAAAACTGAGGTAGGTCATGTTACTTATATAGACCAATTACCCCGCTTTTCATACAACCTCGGTTAGTTAAATACCTCGGTTATTATCTAATACCTGAATGACTAATATTTTCATTCTGTTATTTAAGAAATATATTATAAATCTCATTCTGGATTAACAGACCCTAATATCTAAACCTAATTAAAAGGTTTTATAGGGTAGATGGGTATTTAATAAGAAGATTAAACCTAATAGTTCTATAAAATATAAGGCTTACTGGGTAGTAAAATACTATATATAGGTATATAGTATAAATTATAAAGAAATATTTGCTAGTACTACTAAGCCTAATACTATAAGGATTCTATTATATATAGCTATATATTGTAACTGGTCTATAGAATAATAGGATATAAAATAAGTATTTCTAAATACACCTATAGATGCAGAAGTATATATAGAACAACCTTAAGGATTTATAGACTAAGAAAAACCTAATTAGGTTTGTAAGCTTAATAAAGCTTTATATAGTCTAAAATAATCTGTAAGATAGTGGCAGCTATTTTTAACTAATATATTAGTTAAAAAATTAAAATTCTACTAATCTGTTACAGATACTACTATATATTATAAAGAAGATATAATATTAATAGTATATATAGATGATATATTAGTTTTTACTAAAAATTATTATCTAATAAAAACACTATATCAAAGTTTAACCTTATAAAGATTAGAGATATTTAATCTAGGCAAGATTAAACACTTCCTAGGAATTCAAATAAAAAGGTAAGCTAATAATATATATATTAGTTAAGAAGACTATATATATAATATTATTAGCAAGTTTAAAAAATCTATAGTTAGGCTTAGGAAAATACCACTACCTACTGGTACAAAACTAGTAGAAAATATAAGTAAGGTAAATATAAGAGATATAAAGTAATTTCAGTAAGAAATAGGATCTCTTATATACCTTACTACATGGACCAGACCTAATCTAGTAATAAGTGTTTACTTATTAGCTAGATTTATATCTAATCCCAGTCAAGAATATTTCAAAGCTATAAATCATCTATAGGGGTATTTATTAAATATTAGTAAATACTACCTATCCTATATAATAAATTAATCTAATCTAATAAACCTAACTAGTTATATAGACTTAGATTAGGGGGGTAATTTTATAGTAAGAAAATCAATATCAGGCTATATATTTTTCTTTATATAAGAACCTTATAAAGAAAACCAAATAGTATAATTAGTACTTATAGTATGGTTTTCCAAACTTCAAAAAACCCCTACTATAAGTAGCTATGAAGCTGAATATATGGCCTATAAAAAAGCTATAAAAGAAAATCTATTTATTAATAGTTTTATAAACGAACTTTATATCTTTAATAAGGCTATTAATAATAGTAAGATAATCTATACAGATAGTCAATCTATAATAGTATTATCTAAAAATCCATTATATTATGCTAGAATAAAGTATATAGATATAATATATCACTTTATTAGATATTATATAGTAGAGAATAATATAGACCTTCTATATATTCTTACTAACAAAATAATAGCTAATAGATTTACTAAAATACTTATAGGATCTAAATAGTAAGCATTTTTCAGAACTCTTAACCTAAAATAAATATAAGATGCCTGATTAAAATAAGCTATATATAAGTACCTAAATTGTCCTACTTATAATAGCTTAAGGGGGTGTGTTAATCCAGAATGAGATATATAATATATTTCTTAAATAATAGAATAAAAATATTAGTTATTCAGGTATTAGGTAATAACCGAGGTATTCAACTAACCGAGGTTGTATGAAAAGCGGGGTAATTGGTCTATATAAGCAACAGGACCTACCTCAGTTTTATAATGTAAGTAAAACAAAATATATATCTTAAATATATAAGTTTTCTTCTATATAAATCTTAATAAGCGTCCGCCCTCCAATAGCTTTACAATTAGGTAATAACCGAGGTATTCAACTAACCGAGGTTGTATGAAAAGCGGGGTAATTGGTCTATATAAGCAATAGGACCTACCTTAGTTTTGTAAAGTAAGTAAAACAAAATATATATCTTAAATATATAAGTTTTCTTCTATATAAATCTTACTAAGCTTCCGCCCTCCAATAAGGATAGCTTAACATAAGCACGCTCATAGTCGCTCACGCTCTGCTCATAATTGCAATCTTAGGACCTCAGGCTGCTTATGTTTAATCCCTATTCTCTGTTTGGGGTCCTGCTTCTGGTCTCCTTTACCTTCACAATTAAAAGCAACTTTAGATGATATTACACCTCATGGTATTCCGTAGCTGCCTCCTACTGAAAGGCGAGAGGTTTTGAAGATACCTAGTTTTAGAATCCTCTGAAGGCTGAATAGAACATATAACCTTTTAGGTAATAGTTCCTGTTGGCTAATCAATACTCCATAAAGAGAGTTTTTATAGAGAGAATTTCTCCATGAATAAAATTCTCTAATAAGAGTAATGGTCCGTAGAGAGAGGCTTCAGGGAGAGGGTCTCTCCACGGAGAGAACAGCTCAGGGGGGAGAGGCTTTATGGAGAGACGCTCTCCGTGGAGAGACTCTTTGAGGAGAAAGGAGCTCCGGGGAGAGCCCAGCCAGCACACAGTAAATGTAGAGATATATATGGGCTTGACCTATATCAGTCACACCACAAGTTAGGGACCAGTTGAAATTATGTATTTTTTATTTTCAAATCATCAATGCTTGTAGTAGTAACCTCTCACACAGTATCAACTCTTTTGCAGCCTCCAACAACACCTCCCTCCTCTCCTCCTCTTGTACCGGAATCAGCATCCCTCGTCTCGCCGCCTCCTCCAACAAGAATCTCAAGTCCGCAACATCACCAATCTCTCCGCACCCAACGACCGTCTTAGCTCGGTTCAATATCAAGTCCGCCAGGGACGCAACAAACCCATTGTAACAGGGTTCAGCCACGGCAATCGACTCGACAAAGGCGCCACCGAGTTGGAGCAGCTCCAAACTGACTCGGAACCCTTGGCGGCTGTCGAACTCGATCATTTGGCATGGACTGATGGCGAAACTTGAGCCCTCCCAGGCGATTGCCTGCCGAAAAGCGATGATTGCTTCGGCAGAGGCAGCAACATCCACGTCGTCCGTCCAAAGGGGGGACGAGAAGGCAATGCTGGCCGTTCCCCCAACTAGGAGAAATTGGGGGCGCAACGCGACGGGGACGAGAGCGGTGGCAAATTGAAAGCACTCAAGAAGAGCTGCTTTTTGGGCGGGAGAGATGGTTTTGTTGGGACGAGGCATGTTAAGGAGGCGAGAGGCGAGACGGAGGGTGGCTGATTCTGGCGTTTGAGGAGATATTGGAGAGCTGTGGAGGCTTTGACGCAGTTGATGTTAGGCGAGAGGGTTGATCGAAATCTGTGTTCAAGCAGTCAGCCGAGTATCCTTTAGAAATGGGACAGGATCCAGATACGACATCATAAAAATTCAACGTAACAATGGAAACAATGATGATTTGTCGAAGGAAAAAGAAAGAGAAACGCAAGATGAAAACAAGAGTGGTTATATATTGGGCATTGCTGACACGTCGAAGAAGCCCAGAGAAGTTGCTCCCCTATGCCTTCCTGACAAGGCAAGACCTATATATGTATTTCGGGAAGAACTGATCCTACTATACCAAACCGTTCATCAAGGCAGTCGCAGATCTGCAAGGTGCAGGTTTCGTGATGTAGTCACCACAAGCCTAGAGAGGCATAGGATATTAATCGTTTTTACATGGTTTACTTTTTGAGTTAGCTGTAATACAATTCGTTTTTGGTGTCAAAAATACACAGACATTGAGCCAGGACGAGTCTAGAATTCGCAATATAGTTACACTACACTACGAGGCGTGTCAGCATGCCCAGGAAACAGTTCCGGATATGAGCTTCGGCTGTGGCGCTCTACAAGCACAAGCTCTCCTTCTTTACTCAAGACGTAGAAGGGCTTTCTCTTGTAGTTGTTGAAATAATTCTCAAGAAATCGTTCCGTGCTTCCTTCAACTTCAAATAATATTTGATTCCGCAGGTCCGGCAGCTCAAGATACAAGTATCGTGTTAAATTCCGGATTTGCCATTGTGAGATGAAAGCGAGTGATGTTTTAGTATTGGTATATTGGATTATGTGGTAGACGAGAGCATCGAGATATGTGGGAATGGTTGGGATGAAAAGGTTCGTGTCGTCAGCTTTGCCAAGAGTAAGATGTCCAGTATCCAAATTTGACAGTTTTTCAGGTCCGAAATGCCATTCATCAGCCCGATTCGAAGTCGGATGAAAGTTGTTCTCTGCAAGCAGTGGCCGGCCGTGATATAAAGCGGGTATTTGAATCAACGTAGCGCCATTCACTTGAATGTGAAAAGTGTGTTCCGACCACAGTCTGATGTAATTGAAAGGCCATTCCTGGGTCGTCTCCACGGTCAGCTGCAGGGTCTGATCGGCATCACAACAGTAATTGAGAAAGATGTCGACCTCAAGCTTCTCGTCATCCTCTGGCTGCCGAGAGTCCTTGAGCCCCTCGCAAGGCCGGAGTTGCTCATGATCCTCAACCTTCGAAAGCGACAATGCAGTAATATTGCTCGCTCTCTCGAAACGCGGATTGAATAAACCCCAGTAGCCGGAATTGATAAAGGCTGCAATAATAAGCTCAAACTGGTCGTCTCGCACCAGCAGGTCGATGGCGTCGTCGACACAACCTCCGCAGCCCATCCATCGATGTGCAGCTTGTCCGACAAGTATAAATGGATGGCCGAATTTCTTCAAAACGGTGAAAATCGAGGCAGTAATGTCTGGCGTGATTGTGGCATCCATGTTGTTGACTGCGAAATGAGGTTTCATACTCGCAATGAGCTAAGGGAAAGAAGTATGTACCTTACAGTGTGGGACCCGTCAGCCCCTTGAGGGCTTTGACACCCCACATCCGTACCGTCTTGCTGTGTACGAACTGATTGCGGCCCAATTTCCGACCCTCTTCATGCTGCTCAGGCAAGATGGAGGAAATCAAGCACGATCACGCTGGCTCGTGTCGGCTCATGGCGATCTCAGGCTGCTTACTCATTACTCATGTTACACCCCTGCGTAACTCAAGATCAAATCCGGAAAAGGCTTTATGTGAGAGTAGATTTCACTTGATTGTTATCCGCTATTATATTATTGTTCTGATATCCTGATACTGGGCCTACGCCTTTATTTTGGCAAAGAATCGTCAGAATTGTAAGGGGTGAATATAAGTATGATATTAGGATGGGGAGCAATAAGTATGGATTCGTGTTAAGACTGACGACTAAGGGGGTAAAACTAAGGTGGGTACTATATGTAGCTTAAATACCACTATCCATTAGAGCATGTAATCCGCGGCCTGAGCGCAGCTATGCCGTACGTATGTTCCCACTCCGTTCTTCACATCTGGGGTTGTTGCACATTTGGGGTCTAGACCCTAATTAAAAAAAGGTTTAATCAATCAAAGCAAAGCAAAGCAAAAGCAGGTCTCTCATATTTGTTCTTGTACCCTTATTCCCCTCTCTTATATATCTCCACCATGTCATATGACGCCTAAGGTCCTAGCTCTTGAGTCACATGATATTCCTCAGAAAAGAGCATGAACCGTTTTCCCCAGTACAGTAGTATTATTAATAGAGCCAGATTGAAATCTAAGGTATTTCAATCTGGATCTATTAATAATACTGCCTAAGCTATAATACCTTTCTTATTAATGATCCCTTCCCTTAATAAGCCCTGAGAATACTGCTACCTGGTTACTCCGGGAGGCTCATCCCTTCTGGAGTAGTTTGCATTAGCATAGCTAGTCCGCATAGCTAGTTGATATTGGGAAGATATTCCTAACAAAATCTAGCAACATGGCATCTATATTGTCGAGTTTTTGGGATCGCCTTTCTATGAATGGACCTTACAGAAGTTGGACTATATAGGTTTCTTGGTTAAAATATGTCAATTCGAATACAGAGGCTTGAGTTTGTTTGGCGAGAGCATTTCTGTGACCGTATTATTTGAAGACTACTATCACATCGTCTTGCATTAAGTAGGATAATGAAAAATTTTCAACCTCTAACCTGAGAAGAGCGGAGCCCAGTGGTGCATGAACATTGTCAAGTAGCACCCTAGACCAAACCCCAATGGCATCCAAAGGAATAGGAAGAGAAGCAATATCAAAAGGCCTACCCAACTCTACATCAAGCGTGAGAGGGAAAACAAGCTCGCATCCTTTATTTATCTCCGGTAGACGAGCAAATCAAGAGGGAAGCACCGAGGGACACATTTCCAAACCAGGCTGTATATGATGAGGTGAAACAATCTGGAACATTTGTGTGTAGAATCATCACGAGGCTTTTAGAGTAAAGGTTGGTTCGTACATGCGATTCAACAACTGTCAGCGCATGTTTTCGGAGAACTTGTCCAGCTTGGAAATAACTATGATAGCATTAATTGCAAATCATGTACTTAAGTATTCGAAACAAGATGTACATTCTTCCTTTCGAGCGCCTTCAACGGAGGTGAAGCAGCGATCTAAACATTCTTGCTGGTGAGAACAATGTCGAAAGGTGGGGTCCACGTCTGTTCAGTGCTTGATCAGCCTGGCCAATCTTGCGTCATTGATCAGGGTCCAGACTTTTTTCGTGCTGCTTCTTGCACTCACGCTGACCCAAAGGCCAGACTACCCATCCGTTCTCTGTGAACTCCTTACATCAGCTGCAGAGCGTAAAATATTGATACAAACGCGAGAAGATCCAGCGCTCGAAAATGCGTGCATATTGGTACGATAATCTGCCCGTGAGTCTACACACACCCCAGTATTAGCTTCATTCCTCGAACTACATTAATCGCGCAGAACAGGGCGATCAGCGAGAGCCTCACGACTCTGGTCGAGAGGTGTCTTCCGAAAAGCTTTCGGAGCTGGGGATTTTGCATTTCAACTTCCCAGATGTTGACGATGTGAATAAGCTTGCCCGATCGAGAGAGTACAAGAACCGAGACGAGATTACAATATCGCCCACGACTTTACCTGGCTACGAGGACAAAGTAAAGATGTTCTTTAATGAGCATTTGCACGAGGACGAGGAAATACGCTACATTCTCGACGGCTCTGGATTCTTTGATGTGCGTGCCAAGGACGATGAGTGGATTAGGATCAAGCTGGAGCAGTTTGATTTGATGATTATGCCAGCTGGCATTTATCACAGATTTACGACAGACACGAAGAACTATACAAAGGCAATGAGATTGTTCAAAGATGATCCAAAGTGGACGCCGCTCAATCGGGGCGCGGAGACAGATCAAAACGAATATAGAAAGGCTTACCTGAAGGCGAGAGACGGGATGATAGTACATTGAGGCTATAGTTTATCCATTTATTTGTCGTTTTGATCCAAATGAATCGAATACCCACGACAAAAACACTTCTCAATAATGATATGAGCGTATATGAAAACATTTAAAACAGCGTGTGCTTTTAAAGTTGACGCTGTGGTGTTGATAGCGTACAAGACATTAGCGTTTCTGACGTGAAGAGATCATAAGCATTTTAACTGGCTGCGAAAAAAGCTATTAAATATCGCTGGCTAATTCAAGAATATCAAAGATTTGTTCCTTCTCCTCGAGTAGGTATAAGGGGCACAACGCTCCAGAAAAGGCTAGAGCCACGGACCCTCAAATTGCAATATCATCCCGTCCTGATTTCAAGTCACGGACAACGTAACCAGAGCATGCGTCAAACATGATGGTAATTGGGCGCTTGCGTCCCGACACAAAGTCCAAGCACGGCACAAAATCAGGTCGCCCAAGAACACCGCTATCTGACAGAGTGTCTCCACTGCATTTGAAATCCAGCTCAACGACGGAGTATCCGTCTGCATCATTGTTTGAAGCACTACCCTCTGAGCTTCTGCAGGACATTTTTCTTTTCTCTGCTAATCTGAATTTGCCTTTATGTTCCAAGCAACTCATGGCGGCTTTGACATCTCAGCATCTGAAATTCGAAGTAACGCTTCAGATTCTGGTTCAACAGAGTGATACACTGGATCAAGAGAACAAAAGCCAACTCCTCTCTCGCAAATTCTTCACATGGGAATTTCTTATAAGATACGTTAGTTTTGCGCAAACGAGAATACATCCAGCAGTGGGTGGAGACAAGCCGGAGGATGAGGTTGGCTCCGATGAAGATGAGCGCCGTGCTGCTGTCACAGAATGCTCTGTGAACACTGGCCCGCCACGCGCCAAAAGAACTCAACAACACCCAGCGAAATTGGCAGATTTGGATCGGAAATTGACCTTCCTGACGCAAAAAAGCATCGTTGAGCTGCGACATGCTGAGGACAGGTACTCAATGGAGGTCAGTGATTCCGCAGTCTCTGCACTTGAACAGCTTCATCAGATTCGGAGCCTCAAGGGCCTAAAAGGCTTACATTTACCTGAGAAGCTTATTCATAATAACTGGGATGACGACCGAAGGAGATTGCTACGTCTACTTTTTGCTTTCAATTGCACGGTCAATACTTCTTCACCGGCGGCTATTGTAGCAGAAGAGGGCATCATTGCAGCGATCGAAAGCGGGGATGAGGAATTAGTCTCTTTTTTTCTAAGTCATAACATCGGCGTGGCACCCACAGCTGGAATGCTAAGGCAAGCGATGAAAGGGATGAATATCAGCATTGTGTTCCAGCTTCTTCGGGCTGCGGGTAATGATCTCGAATTTCTAGATCCGCAGCTCTGGATGCTGCTTGACGAGCATACAAATTGGTCAAAAGCTTCAAAAGCTAAAGTAAAACAGTGGTTGCGAGGCAATATTTCATCCTCGCTTAGAGAGGAGGGTGCAGAATTCTTGCCTAAGGTGAAAGATATATCTGTCAATGCCAATCGTTGGTCGTCAAGTTGATGCAAAGAAGGAGTCTATGACAAGAAAGTAGAAGAAAACTTGAAAAGCTTCCATAAAAGACCACGCTCATGCGAAATTTTCCACACGCTCTACTCCAAATGCAGGATCACGACAGTCTTATCAAAAGTGACTTCTACCATATCGTCTAAATGGATGTATTCTAATGTGTGCTTTTCATAAGTGTTAAGCGTTTGCAAGTGATGAATCTACTTACTTTAGCTTTTAAAACATGAGTTACGTATGACAAATTTACCATCGGTGTGATATGCATATTCCTTTCATTCACTTGGCGCTTTAGAGACGAATTTGCAAGAATGGTGACCCATCGCAACCGTAATAAATATGATTTTAACTGTGGCTGACGAAAAGGATTTGAGATTTTGGTAGTTACTAAAGGAATATCTATGAAAATTCTCGCTCGATATGCTGATATTTCTGTTGGGGTGGAAATTCTTGGAGAGAAGTGAGTCTCAAGGACGGTAACAAATGCTAACTTAGCAGTCAGTTGTGACAACAGTGAGCTAATATTTTAGTTAATCTAGGTATGAGAACCAATTGCGAAATTTTAAAGACGACTTCTGCTATAGAATCTAAATTTCCTGTTCGTAGCAAACAAGTAAGATCCAATTATATATGGCTCTCGACTCCTGTTGGGGCATCTAATTTATGTATCTTCACTACAACAGAACAATCCTCTCCTGCAGAGGTCCAGTAAATCGTCATACAGTCTTTCAAACGCTTTGTTTTTCAACTCTTCTTTTACTTTACTTCATCCATTGGGCCCTCGGACTCAAATAATACTTGGTTGAAATCTGAGACGAGCCCTCCGATAAGAGGCAAATTCATAGGAAAAGCTAATTATGGGTTAGATCATTTCTCTATCTGTTAAGATGGCCCACGAATCTTAATCGCGCATAACATTGGTCAGCTATCTTCAGTTTCGGTGTATTCAAGGAGCGAAAAATAGAGATGGAAGCAGTCGTCGGACGATGCTTAGGTGCCAGGATACTGGCGAGAGGAAGTTGATCATATTATCAATCCTGCTTCTACGTAAATGTAGAAAACTCTTTGACTTCATGAGGTTGGTATGATGTAATGGAGGAAATGCAATGGTGAAGCAAATCTATTCTCAATCCCACCGGTCGAGTACTGCTACGACAAGTATATTGATTCAAATCATTCTTAGATTTCCAAGAGCCAAGTTAATAATAAATGCGGAAATAGCGCAAGCAACTGCGCATTCTACATAGCAGTCAAGATGCACGAAATTGCCATGGAACATTAAGTGAGAGTCCCAAAAGTTGCAAATCATCCGCGATTCCTGTGAAGCAAGATGCTCGTTCGATACTCACTATCCCAAATAGGAGGATTCGCTCCAAAGGCATTTCCGCAATATTATCGCCAAAGTTGGCAGCCTTTTCAATGGTAGCAGTACTTCAAGGTCAGATGATGTTATGAAATGTGTCAAAAAGAGTATTCCAACTCATATAACTCAATTAGAGCGTTACTTATACGTATTTAAACAGCCTTGCTTGTAGGTGAAGACATGAGCATGATAATTCCAAGGCAATTAGTTTTTCTGTTATTAATTTAGTGAATTCTTCAGGTGCCTAGGTGGGTCATCTTCGATCCTTTTATTTTCCACTAATTGTAGAGCTGGAGAAGTTTGGCCTCAAGGAGATGTGGTGGACATTCTACGAGGAAGGTAGTGTTCACCAAGACGGTACTAGCACATGCATTGTAGCGATCTACTATCACACCCATGAGATAGTAGCCAGAAGAACCAATCATCATATTCGCACGCAAAGTTTGTTTCTTCTTTGTAATATGCCGGCCACAGACTGGATGAAGACTGTGCTTCCCTGCTCAAACATGGCAAGGTCGTCGTTTGCTTGCCAACCAATGTAGCATGTCAACAAAAGTCATTCCCGAGCTTCCTTTTTGGGCAAATAGCCGAGTCTTTGAGCGTTGTCAACAACATGGCCTCAAGATAGATTAATGATAAGAGTAACCATAAAGGTGCTTTTAATGATATTTCTGTACCTTATGTGGAGACTTACACTCTGGAAACTTTTGGCTTGAGACGAAAATTCAACCGGCGTTGTTCAGCGCATTTACCTCGTCCTTCAGTTTTAGCCTCCTCGGCATCATGATTTCTCTCTTGGCAGTTTCAATGTTCTCGTTTAACTTCGGTGTCCTGGCATGGGGCTCCCTCGGTCATGAGACGGTAGCATACGTCGCTCAAAACTATGTTTCGAACAGAACGAAAGCTTTCTGTCAATCTATCTTGGGCAGCGACAGCGAAAGCTACTTGGCTGACGTAGCGACGTGGGCAGACAGCTATCGTCGAGAGAAAGGTTCATAATGTTTGCAAACGTATAGCTATGTCGCCTAACATGTACGAGCAGGAGGAACATTTAGTGCCGCTTTCCATTTTATTGATGCGCAAGACTCGCCGCCATCTTCTTGCAATGTGGATTACCAAAGGGATTGTGGTGACGAGGGCTGCATTGTATCCGCCATACAGAATTACACCAACCGTGTTCTAGATACGAGCTTGCTAGATGACCAACGTAATGACGCCATGAAGTTCATTATTCACTTTTTGGGCGACATTCATCAGCCACTCCACGTTGAAGCCCTTGATTTTGGAGGCAACACGATCAATGTCACTTTTGATGGCGATGAGACGAATCTGCACTCGATATGGGATACCAATATCCCAGAGAAATTGGTTGGAGGTGGAAAGGAGAGTGACGCTCTATCATGGAGCAAGAACCTGACCAAGGCTATCGATTCTGGCATATATACAAGCGAGAAAGCAGACTGGCTACACGGAATGAGCTTAAATGATTCAATTTCATCGTCAATGGTCTGGGCGCGCGATACAAATGCATTTGTATGTACGAAAGTCGTCCCTGGAGGTGTGCAAACAGTCGAAACAGGAGATCTGGCCACCACGTATTATGACTCTGTTATTGATACGATAGAGCTGCAAATTGCCAAAGGTAATTATGCTGATAATTGCTTGCCATATTCTGACAGAATTTGTAGCTGGCTATCGTTTAGCTGGTTGGCTGAATCTCCTTGCTACAGGGGAGATCGGTTTCGAAGCAGCCCAAAGTGCGACTTTGCATATGCGCAATACATTAACGCAGCATGCCGTCAGAAAAAACCTGTACTCAGCAGCTAAAATGGCTCGTCGAGAATTTGGCAACGACTGCGGTTGCGGAAAACACTTAAGATAGACTTCGGAACGTGGTTTTCTAATTCGACGCTGAGCCTAACCTTGTAACGTCAGCTATTCTCCGATACATTCAATACTGGAGGAATTGGAGACAATTGAAAGGCCCAGTCTGTGGGACTCGCATTAAATTTGGATAATAAGTGCGATGAGATATGATTTCAGAAGAAGAGTTGTTCTGCAAGGCGAGGTATTGCATGAAGTCCAAAGACGCGCTAGGATGAACTCTTTATATTTTTTTTTTCATTCACGTCACCTCATGCTTCCAATGAGAAGTAAGCAATAGACGCTATTTTTGTTGAACGATATTGCTTGCTCTTTCGACACTACTGCGACGAGTACCGTGAATTGTATTCTTGGTGAAGTCTCTTGCCTCATTCTATAATTGCATGTCTTGAGCTCCATTACCGTCGCCACTCGCTGCTCCAAGCGTGTGTGCCATTGGGTGAAAAACAGCTCTTATACCTCTCCGAGTTTTAGGAGAGCGAACAGGGGCAGACGGAGGTGCGGGTTTGCCGTACAGCGTAAAAGCGCATGCCGTCTTCAGGGCGAAAACTATTTTGTAAAGATAACTGCCCTGCAACAGCTTCAGTCGGAAGCAAGAAATGAGTGGTCACCTCAGTCTTCTCCCTTTCTCCCAAAGGTGTCGGAGCCGTTGGTCCGGAAACTCCAGGTGTCTTCTCCTGCCGTTCGTCCTCGCAGCCTTAGCAGCATCCATTCCGGAGTCAAGACATGAGGATCGGGTCCAGCTCCGACACAAACGCCATATGCTTACGACGTTATGCATAGAAAATATCTCGCACATGGTCAGAGCTCAGGCTCTATGGCTAACGCAGGGAAGCTTAAGGACGGCCCATTCGCACAGCAGGCTTCGTTTTTGCTCCTTGATATCAGAGACAGTGTGTTTTGGAGGGATTCCATGTGCGGCACATACCGGTACGGATGAATCAATAGCAGAAGCACGAATCGTTAGTTCGCCGGAGGAGCCTTCCGTGGATGGTTGGCCAAGATGTCGGATCTTCCTATCGGGCCGATTGACTAGTTTTGCCAAGAACTTTCTAATCTTCAGCAAGGCGGAGCCGCTTTGTTGACCCTTGAAGTGCACAATTTCATCGACAATATTGTGCACAAATGGTCTGACGGATGAGACAAAGACTGTCCAAGTCTGAAATTGAACCAGAACATGGCTGGATCATGATTTAGCATCTATACGGTTATTGAACTTGTTTCAGGGCTCAGTAGTGAGCTTCCTAATGCAGCTACGCACTGAGTGCACAGGACTTTGACATTGTAGGCCTTCACGTTGCTGCAGGGTCATGGCCATTACCCCGCGTGCTTGGAACCCCCGTGTCGTGAACGACATTTCGAAACGCCACGCGGCATTTTCTCAGGTTGAATGCGGGCTCTGAATCCCAATGTTCGGTCGTTTTAATCTTTTTCAAATGTAACCTCACTGCTATCATCCGGGCATCTGCTGAGTGACCATGTCGAAGAATGTCGGTGCTAGGAGCTCGTTGTCAAATGCGGTGTACATGCCCATATCGCCAAACATTGTGTCCGAGCCGGAGTCGGCGCCGGACCATTCTTCCTGGCTTGCTGCGCCCATGGCTGAATAGCTGCCCAGATCATGGACTGCTTGTCCTTGTTCGACTCCTGATGGCTCGAATTTTTTTGATTTGGCCAGCATCTTGATGAGGCCATTCGCAACAGGTAAGGAAAGATGTCTTTCGCTCGTGTTGGCTTGACTAAGCAGCTGGGCCATACGTTCGATCAATGTGTTCACGATCGACATATTCACGTTCAGTCGCGCAGGTCGCCACCTAAGCTGAACTCGCAAAAGGAACATGGATGCGTATGTAACTACAGTATGCATGTAAAGTGGTACGCCTTGAATGGAAGACCTGACTGAGCTGTCTTCCAGAATGAAACTTAGCGTGCCTAATGCGTGCGCAATCGCGAGATTCGCGAAGTCCCTTCGTTGGTCTGAGATCAAATGCGCTTGTCGGGGTGATAGGCCGCGTAGAGCGAGTGCATTCACTTGTAACTTGGCAAAGTTCCAATGTACGATGGTTCCCCGTGAGGGATATGTCGATACATACTTATTAGCAGCTAATGAGCTGTTAGCCACGCATCGGATCTAACACTCTGCACACTGCCTACCAAGACGTGGTTCCCATTTTGTTCGCCAGCTGTCAAATTCAGCGTTAAATGCTCGAAGTGCTGTAAAATCTGCTTCTGAGAGGGCTTTATCGGTATCAGCACCGAATTGCCGGTACATTCGACTTAAAATGCGAAAGATGGCAACTTGACTTTGCAGACGCCAATCTGCTTGTGTGATTCCTGGAACCTGGAGAAATGTTTCGTGGCATGTGATAGCCATGTCCTCTTGAATAACGGGGGGGCGCCCGTATGCAATGCTGAAATGGTGGTCGCACACATAAAGCAGGTACCAAAGACGCGCACGCTCGACGTGTTCTGCCTGGCCTCTGATGGCCTTGGAAAAACTTTGATGTAAGTTCAACTCGGTAGCAATTCGGACTGCATGGCCGGACAATTTCCCTGCCAGAAATTTAGATGATAGAGGACAATAAGGGTTTGAGAGACGTACAGCTCACATCTGAGAGCCAAAATGCACCGATACAGAAAGCCCGTATGTCGTCAAGGCTGTGCCTGCGTTCAAACATGGACTCGCTGACTAAGGATAGAAATTCTGTGTACGCGGCGTCGAAGATTTCTTCCTTGCCGCGTATATGCAGTGCAGTGACTGCAATGATGGCCGCAGAAAGCAAGCTGGATGACTTCCGGGTAGAGGTCAAGTCATTGTGAACAAGAGCAATGCCGCCCCATAAATACTGGTTTAACGAGACCGTGAAATGATTAAAGAGCTCTTCTGCATCCTGGAGGCTGATCCTGCCAAGAGAGATGAAGTCATTTGTTAGAGCAGAGTCACTTTGAGCTCCTATCGAGTCACGAACACGTAGACTTTTCAGCTTGGTAACTTCGAAGAGACTGGTCATGGGTGCTGAAAAACTATCGGCCTCAATCTCATCAAAACTAAAAGACTCCGGAGAACTTGCCCTTGCCATGGATATCGTTCGTGGCCTGGCCCGCGGTCGCGGGGACGGACTGTGTTCCGTCACAGCTCGTGATGGACTCGTAGGAGCGATGCTCTGCGACCTTGGCGTAAGAGAGTCAAGCGACGGCATGTTCAACCTCTGCAGGATGTCGGAAATGGCGGATTGCAATTGGCTGGTTTTTTGCTCGATGTCCTTCTTCCACTCACTTTCATCTTCGAGGAGGGTCTGCAGACTCTTGTTGACCACGCATCGCAAGCCGAGCTTTTGGCATCTTGCGCAGGCAGGATCACCGGGCTCAATGCCGCATTTGATCTTGCGACTTTGGCATTCTTGACCTTTGAATCAAGTCAGATCGGAGCGGAGCAGCCGGCCAGGTTAACTATCGTCGGGAAGCAGATGTAAAATCCAAGCATGTGGTGATACGAATTTGGCACCTAATGTGGAGCTTTGGACTTTGCTGGACGGGATTTTGACCGAGAAACGAGTATAAAGATCCAGTGGTATCAGGGCAGTACACACAGGGTCTGACTCGCACAGCCGTGGATTTCCAAAGAGAAGCAGGTGAACACTTACATGCTCGAATCTTCCTTGATATTTTGGGCTGATGGGGCTTCACCGAGCCATTACTTAACTTGAGGCCCCCAGGCTGTTGATCAACAGAACTGTCGCTCATCTCTCCGTGCGGCCGCTTCATAGTTTGTGCGCTTGGGATAATTTTTTTTTGCGACGAAGAATTCAGATAAGCCCCTCATGCCCAAAGGAGCTGTGGAGTAGCACGTTCTTTAAACGGCTCTGTTGCCAAGCCTTCCGACGTGATTTGCCTTCGTTCTAGCTTATTCCCGCCCACCAGAATGGGCGTAGTTCGTCAACCCTCGTCACGGTCGTGAGGACGGTAACGCTCAAGCTCCTGCGTCTGACTTGCAGACTAGGTGCGAACCCCGGTAGGTTGCACTAGCGGGTTGCGAACCGCATCGGCTGCGGCAGCGACTGATTGACGGACGGACTGACGACGTGCTGAGGGCGGGAGGCTCTCAAGCTTGCGCGCACAATGTCTTCTCTGTCTGGCCCAACCCGAAGATTCTCCGGTATTCTAAGATGTACGAGTCCTAGGTTGCTTCAGGCAAAACGACATCACTTGACGTTGTCGACTTTTCCGCCGCCTTCATCTCTCTGCTTCCCTCCGACTCGCGTCGATGGAAGAGGGTAGCACCGAGGTCGCGATTCACTCGCCGTTCACAGTACATGCCTTACTTTCAAGCCACGTCATAAAGAGACTGAGAACCATTGCAACTCGGATCGCCTCAGCCTCGTGACGAAGCTATACTACGTAACGCAAAGGCGGGGGGAAAAGTTTTGCCGGGAGGGGAAATGAGTGTTCAAGCTGAAACTATACGATTATGCTCCTAGCGCTCAACATTTTGCGAGATTCATACCACAAGGAAGCGTCCAAAGCCACCTCAACCATAAAAATCACAATAATTCGCGCTTTCGGCGAAAGACTCCTAGCCTTCGGAAAGGCGAGCACATGCGGCCACATTCGTCAGCTAGGATTTCGGAGCTGAACTGCGATCGCGTGAGTGGCTGGAAGACGCCAGACAGCGGAAAATGCTCCACTCGGACCCAAAACTTTAACCGTCGTCGGAACTCTTCTGGAATGTTCAAAGGATCCTTGTCTGCATGAAGGGAAGCACGCTACTTTTGAGGAGCGTTCAGACTTTTTTAAACGCGAGTCCGGATAAGCGTCAAAGGTTTCATTGCACTCACAATTTGGAGCACCATTGTACGCAGAATGTAGTTCGTAGGATTCAGACCGCCAGATCATTTCCCTGCTTCATCTCCATCAAAATGCGCTCTTGTACTAGCAACGCCAAGGGCCCTTGAGGATTGGATGCGAAATGAATTTATCCGTCCTTGACAACACGTTTGGCAAATCTATGCTTAAACTTTCTGGGTTGCTTTGCAGACGTGCCAAGCCCCTCTCCAAAGCCCGGATTTCCAGTTCAGGAAGATGGATACAGTACGACTAACAGGTGTGCTTTAAGCGTGGAGTACTTGTACTTACACGGCTTAGCTTGTTCCAGGTGCCATAGTTGCACACACACACACACTCCCACTCCTACCTCCGTAGTGCGCTTTGTATGCACGCTAGCCATCGGTCATGGTGTCTCTGCTACTGCATGCTGGGCGGTCGCCCTTCCCATATCATGCGCTCCAATCAGTTCGTATTTGGCAGTTCTATCACGAGGTTGAAAACTACGCCTATCCAATGGCGGTAGCGCTGGCGGAGATAATCAAAATTTGACCAAAGGAAATTCTTTTTATGAAATGTGATTTAGACTGGCCAGATAATGGTTTGCAAAATTTCGAGGATTCTCATGATTATGACGACTTGAAGTTGCTGCCGTTTACAATTGCCCAGTCCAAAGGGGAACAAGCGCTGGTGGATAGGTGGACTATGAAATGTTTGTCTCATGAACTAAATCCTAATACAGTTTCAATGTGAGAAGCTAAGAATTCTATCTGCACCCAATCTTACCTAAGTTCCGGTAGCAAAGTTACTTACAGCTCGGACGGAAAGGCTAGAACGTGGCCAGAAGGTACGAAGAATGTGTGACAAGTCCGATGCGGGTCCATGAACTTCCTGCTAGTCTATATTCGCAAGGATGAGGAATCTAGATAAGTAAATAGTAAACCCGAGCTTATGGTACATCTGGGGAAGGGCCAAGGCCTAAAATTGAGCACACACGTGCTACCTCGAAGAACGCGACGTGTTTAGACAATTTGAACATTACTTGTATGCACCAACAGTACTGGCTGAGCTGAACTCTATCAAGGATACAACGAGACTCTTGATCGAAGCCGTGATGATCACACATATACAAGCACGGTACAGTGCGGGGGTCTTATCAACCCATAACAATGCCTGATAGTCGATTAGCTATGTGTCAAGGGGTACGTTAGCAGCCTAATCTTCTTGACGATGCCTGCACCACTTCTTCAAAGGCTGCCTTGATTCAATCCCAAAACTGCACTTGCTCTGAAATAAGTATACTACTGAAAGTGAAAGTTCCTTCTGCAAAGCTTAAGCGGTTCCCTGCTCTCTCATACCGGGCTTCAATCTTTAATATACAGAATTAGTTCTTTACCTGAAAAGACAAGGGGGCTCTTGACGATAAGAGAAAGAAGCCGCAAAGCATAAGCGGTTTGCAAGCAATCGCACAGCATACGCTCGAATTCATGCTTAAATGTAGGTAGAACTCGCACTTAATGACAAATTTGTTCAATTTTGGCCTTAGCACAATATCCTTGCCATGCATCAGTCCGATGATGCTTTCTGAACGTCAAGCGTTTGAACTGGCCGTAGTTTGTAGTTGTATTCAGGAGAAATAAACGAACACCTTGGAATGATTTCGAAGCTTCTTTTCACAGGCGAACCACTCCTTTGACAGCCCAGAGAACATAACAGCCAATCGTTCAACATTAGTACCCACATGTACTAATAATGTTGGAACAGCGTGACCAACTCGCTGTGAGCCCGCTAGTATTACGCCTGCCACCGGTTATGAGTTGAAAATTCGTGAGTATAGTTTCTCATGTCTGCCAGCCCATAAATCAAGAACCGGCACCGACTGTCCTGCATCTTCTGGCTTCCTATACCAATAGCTTTCAATGAGCGACTCGATATGATTCTGCAAATCCACGGATGCTAGAACAGATTGAGCTTGGTATGGACCAAGCACACTGGCCCTCACTGCTGCACTGATGACTGTACGTGAATGAGAGAATAAAAAAAGGTAAGCTGACGATTTAAGATCGATGCGCAGGAGTAGTGTAACGATGCCCCACAGCGGTGCTAGATGCGCATTTGCAGAAACGAGCTCGCGCGAGTCGCGAAGGCTGGTTGAAAAGCTTCGCAGAATTGATTGAGGCTCCGTGGCTAGGTGACTCTCATCCTCAGTGATGGGCGCGTAATGGCTGTGCAAGCTACGTTCCCATACACTCAACAAAGCTCTTCCTTGCGCGACACTAGCACGTCTGGCCACCGCACATGGTGTACTTGCGTCAAAGTCGTTGTCCAGTTCAAACAAGAGTCCTGGATTTCTGTACGTAGCAAGCACGTAAGGCAATGCCGTCGAAGCTAGGCTCTGCAGTGATAGGCTTAAGAATGCACTGAAGAGTCTCTGCTGCGAGAGCCCAGAGCCATGTTCAAGCTTCTTGTGTGCAAGAAACGACTCAAGGCCGGAGCTAAAGGCGAATGATCCAAGCGGGAGCGCCGAGTCGGCTAGCAACAATAACGTATGCAAGGATGAAGCTTCGTACAGATGTGTTTTGGTAATTATTGCATCGGGAATTGCTGGCTGTTGAGGAATGTCATTCAACTTGCGTTTTGCCGCGTCGAGCTGTTTCTCGAGGGAAATAATCTCATCTTCTATGGCTTGCCGCTCCTCTTTCGACGTGGACATTGTTAATGATGTATGGCGATATACAAGCCTGGGTTGGAATTTTTGTCGGGTGCATTTCGGCCCGCCACCCGAAACGGAAGAGGCAGAAAAACAGAACATGTGCAACTTTAAATTTGCGTAGAATAACAATTTGATTATTCCAGCGTCGAAACTGCTCTACCTACGAAGACGGCTTGAAATATGCTTAGCAGCCCTCTAGAATCAAGTGTCTCACCAGGTATTTGCGTGAGGATGTTCCTGTATACCCCCAATCATACCAAGTTTGCAGTCCAAAAGTGACAAAAAATACAAGTTTCATCGTAATGAGTCGTCTCTTGAAAGACCTATTGATAACCCGAACGCCATTTAAATGCAACCAAAATCTTCTACAGCGACAGCAGTCTGATGTTCTCCTGCCGTGATAGGAACGATTGTTACGAATCATTTGCCTTCTCTCGCTCGGTTAAAGTTGTGCTTGATGATTGCTTCGCTGCTTCCGCATTGCTTGTCGCCTTTGCGAATAGAGCTCGTGGTTTGACACTAAACAGCGTATCAGCACTGTCTCTGCATCCGCTCCATCTAAGAAGCCATACCTTTTGACATGACGATTCTTGAATGCGGCGAGCTTCGCAGTAGCAGGAGACATGATGTTGTCGGAAGGAGAAACATAGCTTTGCTGATTCCTAAAAGAAGAGCGAACTGTATAAGCTTGACGAATTTGAATTGAGTAATTACGGCTACAACTGCTGCCGCCAAAGGAAATTGCACTCGGCTGCGACATTGTTAAGTTGGTGGTGACTGACTTGCTCTCTTTCAAGCGCGACTCGAGAACTTGTCGGTGATACTCGAGGGACTTGGTCTCGCCTTTAGCTTTGCTCTTCTCTGGCGATTGTGGTACATTCGGGTCGAGCTCCGAGAGTGGGCTAAGAGAGGGAGACATTGTGTCGCAGCCGGCACTGTCTTTCGAAGGAAAGATTTCGAACAAAGGTGAGCGAGATCTTATAAGTGCTGAAAATGTACTGACGCTCGTTGTTTTTTTGAATGTAATTGTGTACAAGTAAAATATGCCTGTCAATGTTCGGAAGGTTTACTCTTTGGTTGCCATAGTGACGCACGGGGCATCTATTCACAACCTTGAGAACGTCATCACTTTGGAACCACTCGCAACATGACAACACAGCGAAGAATCTGGTTGCCCCTGCGAAGTTGCATTGAGTTCATGCGCTGTGCGGAATTGTGAGTCATTTTTCCTTTGAAACATTGCCTAAATGGTCTCAAATTCATGCGAAAATTCATCGTCTAAATGGCTACGAACCACTGCTTTTGGATTTCTGTGACTCGCGAGAAGCCTAACGTATTTCGGACAGAATTCCCTGGCAAGTCCATCGTCTTGAATGGCTTTAGCCTGTCATGTATTGAGCTCATTGATTATTCGGCATGCTGTGGAGTTGCAATGGATAAGGTACAGTTGAGAAGAACTTGGCAATCAATTCCTGACACTTGACGGAGGACAAGTTCAGATGATACTGCCGATGGCTCTCATAGAGATATCTTCCGATAAACCTTATGGAATAACTTCGAATCTAAAGCATGAATTCGCTCTATGACATCTAAAGACGTATCAACTTCAAGTTTGCCTGTTGTTACTTTGAATTTAACTGCCTGCCCTTCAGGGGAAACCACAAGACAAAAGGGGTTTAGCATCCATTTTGATTCTCATCAACGAGGTTCACGCTCTGCAATTCGATCTTTACGCATCTATCATTATCAAAATCGCGATTGGTGATGACATCTCACCAGTTCAATTCCTACCCGCCACTGACTGATTACTGGGACACGAGCCAACTGCCAAAGCGATCATTGTTCCAGATTATCAGCTCATTGGGAGCCACTTGGTTGTCGATTGAATTCAATGGACTTCTATTGCAGCACGCCCAACCGATGCGTGCTGTGCCTACTTCCTTACCTAATAGGGTTGTACCGTTGGCATCATGTCGCAATCGCGTACCATGATTGGACCGGATGTCGTCTTAGATTTTGTACAGCATAGTGCAAGCGATAAAGTTGAAATACTGACGTAGTAATTGGCTGCACTTGCACTCTTTGTGGAAAAAATTGGCACAGAAGCCACAGTTACTTTAATGTATCTTAGAAAATGCGTTGGGAACATGTTGAAATTTAAGACGTACGGTCTTTAGGCTACTGAATGGTGAGATTACCGAATCTGGAGTCTCCATAGTATATTTTGCGTTACCAAACGTCCTTGGGGTTTCTAACGCTATGTTTTCCATTTGATTTTGAAATCTCTCGGCCACGAAGTCTCCATTGCTGTAATTTCTGTCTCGTCACTTGCATGGACAAATCGAAAACTGGTCTTGGAGACCTGTGGCATTGAGATTTTACTTGAACTAGCATCGAAACTGAAGATCATGGCTGTGCTGATGGTTGAGATTGGGACTGTAGCTATAGAGTCTATCAGTGTATGTCAAAGGAAATTCGATTGTGTTTCTGTTGACGCGTTGGTTTGAGCTAAATGTGATACTTTGAACAGGATGATCTTACCGTATCTATCTTGCACACTCGAGGCGCTCTGAATATATACACTCTGCATTCTGGCTGGTTCTACAGTCTTAGCAGTAGAAGATCATATATTGCTGCTCCTCTCCTGTAGTAAATGGTCTAAAGAGAAACAAGATCCGAGCTGGGTAGATACTGATCTTTAATAATGTTGTACAATTAATGTATCATTAGATGCTGTTGTGGGCCTACTTTATCTTGGATGACACTTTTGGTTTAGCCGTAAGAAGCACAGAGGTCGTCGCATTTGTGTCTATGGGTACAGTTTATACCGTGAATCTAAAACTAGGAAATGAGGCGCTGGGGCCTCTTTTGTTAGGAGATCTTGATAAATTAGTCGCCACTGATTGTTCATCCCAATCTACCACCACGAACGATCTAGTGACAGTAGCTGAGCTCAATGTAACCTTGTCTTGTCTCAGTGCTACTCCTTCTGACTGACTATCCTCAACGAATTAGGAACAAAAGTTGAATGATTGGGGATGATAATAATCTTCGACAATCTTGACATAGGCATACTCAGCCTTGAAGACTTAGGACTTTGCGGAATGTGGTATCAAACTGTTGTTTCTGAGGAAGCTTTTGTGGGAATGTTTAATAAGAAGCTTGAAGCAGAGCGATATGCGCATGCTTTTTATCTTAATTCGATCCACTGAATAGTAAGGTGGGGTTAGTGGGCAGCCTCCTGAATAAATTTGAGATTGAGCCATCCCCCACAATTTGTGGAAAGAATGATTCTATGGGGTTCTTTATGATTGTAAAGCTAGAGATCATTTCGGATGATGCTTTGTAAATTTTATTGGAGAAAAATGATGTTGTTGTGTTGTGGGCTATGATCGGTTTTCTTTTCTCAAAGCCCTCTTACACGGGTAGGTCGACTCTATCTCCGCACGTTTTTGTCCACAGGGGATTTTCTATGGCCAAAAAGGGCTCAGTGATCATGGTTAACTGCTGAACCTGGTTGTTTGCGGGTAGTTCAGTTGTTAATGCTGATGCCCCTTGAGAATTCAAGGTGACAGAATTGCCCTGCACTCTAAACCTGATGCAAGCTATTGCGATGGGATTCGGATCAGACGTTAAGGACCATGAGACATCCGTAGCATCTACATATTCTGAAAAGTCAGTGCTAGAAGCATAAGCTTAGTATGTGCAATAAAGCAGAATAACGAAATTGGCTTTAGTAAGTAGCATTAGCAAACTTGCTAGACGTGGATTCTCTAGTCTTGAGATGTGCTTTCTTCGTGCGTATGAACAAGTGCTTCTCTAATACGATTGCTGATGGAGAAAGTGATGAATAATCTTTCAATTGCTGCTGTTCCAAATACCATAGCAATTTCAGAAGATCCTTGCGGTTCCAGATCCAGCCGCTACATGCCCTTGTTGTGCTAATGACAATAATGACATAATCTGGCAGGAAATAATCTCATAAGTTCTGCAAATCATCCGAGGAAACGTAGATGAAAGTACTTAGTAATAGTCGAGTGAAGACGCTGCTGGCACCTCAAATAGTTTACAGGAGGCAGGCCACATCTGTTCTTCACTCTTTGCTTTCTGTGGTTGGATAGGCGTGTGAATGACAGCTGATAGATTTTATGGTGGTCACTATCGCTCAAGTCGGGTCTCGTTACAGCAATCAATGTATGAACCCACTAGAAAAGTGGTGAAGATATGCTTTGGAATACTTAGAATTCAATCAACATTGTTGAAAATGTCTTATGTTTCATTGGCTGAGAAGTTTGGATGTGGATGAGTAAATCGGCACAAACACGATTACAACATACGTATTAAGAAGGCAAATTACCAATACTACCGAAGCCTGTGGCCACTGGTGTTCTTATTTCAGCACTAGAGTTTTGTGAGAAAAGCCCTAAGGCACAGAGCGTTGCAGTGGTATCGGAAGTCCGGGCATTATACTTGTAACTCCACCTTTTGCCACTAAATGACTTTACGGTAAAGCGACCTAAGAATTTCACGATACGATAATGGTTAAGGAGAACAGGGCATTAATGTGAATGTCCCTGTCTGCTGTCGGAAGGCCAATATCTCGTCATGATAGCAACGAATAGAGCAAAATTGAAGGAAAGAAAGCAGATGAAAGAGTATCGAGACCGAAGTATGGAGATTTCTTTAGATAGTGCTAAGAAGCTTCAGAAGGAGCCATATGGATCGGAGGGGCTCCAAGGTCTGAAGGTCGACTGCCGGGTGGCTTTTGACTACAATTAAACGATATGAGAAGAGTTTCGCCGAAGGCTCGAATTGCGACTTTCGACATGCTAATTAGGACGAAAACGTAGCTTCACCGCAAATTTGAACTCCAGTGGGTGTGCAGCAATTTAATCGAAGAATGGCTATCAGGAGCCGTAAGCGCATTTCCCCTTGCCAAGTGATTTACGGAATTTAGTATGGTTGAAGACCCGCGGCTACCTGCAAGACTGGAACAGTCAGCTGTGGGGAATCAAAGCAAAGTGGAAAAGTATGAGTATTATCGAATGCAAAAGACGAAGAAAAAATTGTGAAGGCATAGGTCGGAATAAGGTTTTGAGGGTATTAACTGGGTATTACGAATTTAACCACCATCTCCCCGTAGCCTTCCTCTGCAGATGTTTTCGACTTTCTATTCATACGCTCATTCCCCTAAATTGAACTTCGAAATCCTTGATAAGGATCCTGTCACAAAACGTGGAAAAGAACTTCACGTTCGATAATCGCCGTTGATTGTGACATATTCATGGCTGAAGTCACAGGTCCAGTATGTCGCTTCCTCTCCGGATTGGTCACTCAGCTTTACCAAGATTTCAAGGTCTTCAGCTTCTAGAATCTCTGCAGCTCGAGCTTCGTCGACATTTTGAGGTTCACCATTTACAAGTAATTTGAGCTCTGCGCTGCCATCTGTTGGGATGAAGCTGACGCTAGTCTCCGTTGGTACAACTCCCTCCACACCTTCGGCATAGCCAGTTGCGCACAGGATACGACCCCAGTTGGCGTCCTTCCCATAAAGTGCCGTCTTTACCAGAGGTGATCGTGCAATAGTCGAGGCGACCCGTTTTGCATCTTGATATGACCTTGCATTGATAACCCTAATAGCCACAAATTTAGTAGCTCCTTCGCCGTCGCGGACAACCAACTGCGAAAGATCCTTGGCGAACTTCGTCAAGGTCTCTTGCATAACGGTGTAACCAGGGCTATTCTTATCGCCTATGACCGGACCGCCAGCGGCACCATTGGCAAGTATTGCCACTGTGTCGTTTGTGCTCGTATCTCCGTCAATCGAGATGCTATTGAATGACTTTTCAACCGCGGACGTGAGTAAAGTCGACAGCGCTGGATTCGCGATCGGAGCATCCGTGCATATTATGCCCAGTAGTGTTGCCATATTTGGATGGATCATACCTGCACCCTTTGTCATGCCAACTATTCGATAGGTGGCATCTGAGTTTGGAAGGTGGAATGTGCGCGAGAGGAGTTTGGGAAATGTATCCGTCGTGCAAATCGCCCGCGCCGCTTTCAACCAGTGAGCATGGGACGAACCCAAATCCGCGTGAACGGTAGGTATCTTGCTTAGTATCTTTCCTATCGGAAGCCTAATCACTATCAGCTAAGCATTTATCCACTGCAAAGATGCAAGCTAACTGACCTTTGGCCTATGACTCCGGTGCTCATAACCACGGTCCTCGAACCACCATCGTCCTTGCTGTAATTTTCATCAAAACATCTGTCTGTCTCCTCTGCCATTTTGATAGCGTCTTCTAACCCGCCTTTACCGGTGACAGCATTCGCACATCCAGAGTTGACGATAACAGCCCTGATACCGTTACCCCTCCTTCTTTGGAGCATTTCTCTGGACACAGTCACTGGCGCTGCTTGAAACTTGTTTCTTGTAAAGACAGCGGCACCCGCACATGGTGTCTCCGAAGCCACCAAAGCAAGATCGTCAAATTTCGTGTTTGACGCCTTTACCCCTACATGCGCACTGGCAGCAAGGAAACCTTTAGGATACGTACCGCTGGTAGGAACATATTTCTGCTTAGTAGGTGGTATTGTACCCTCACCAGGTGCTGCATAATTTCGTACTTGCTGCCCAGCGTTCAGAAGCAAGCGTGGGAATGTAAGCTTTCGCAGAGCCATTGAAGGCGAATTTTGCGATCAAAATGTTCTAGGAGCAAAGAGTGAGCACAAAACGGCTAATTGACGCCTAAAGTAGGATTTTGGGCATCATGGGATCAGATTCGACGAAGAGTCAGCTCCAATTGCAAGCTCTGCGGTCAAGATGACTCGAATATTTTCACAATCCTGACCTGCGTCACAAGCAAGCTTGGACTTTTTATTCACCTTTTGCTCCGACTTCGGCACCAGACATCAATTCTCTGGACAAACTTCCAGTACGTCGAGCGAACTTGCTATGAACAACAATCGGAAGTCGTATGTTGTGAGGAGAACAATTTTGTGGTTCTTTACAAGTGTGTTTTTATTTAAGCGGAGTACTGAATCGATTCAGTATCTCGTCGAGTGAATTACGAGGCGGTCGTCGCAAGGACAGATGATGTGAAAATACTAGAGCTTAGCATTGCTCCGACCTTCCTTCAAGTTTAGATGTCTCTGAAAGCCACCGTGACCGGTGCCTATAGCCCGCCGTCTAGGATCCATTGCTCATTATCGTCATTGTCATCTTGCACTCTACGCCACATCGTTTTCCTTCGATCCGTAGCTTTCTCCTTCCCTTTCCCATGTACGTCAACTTTTGCAACTGGCCGGATCAGACTTCCTAGAAGCGGATTGTTGCTTAGCTTCGGTTCATGTGCCATAATGTCTTCTATCGGCTCATCGATCTCTTCCTCTGACTCAGGACCCGCGGCCTGCTCTGCAGCTGCTATATGTCTGACTACTTTACCACCAACAAGATCTATACTGGCAACAATTTTTCTCTTTTCCCACTCCGGTCTTGCATTCCACTCCTGTTCTCTCAGGATCTTTTGTTGTTTTTTCAGTTGCATTGCGCGCTCAACTGGTGTTGCCCATATGTTCAATCCTGCCGTCGTGGTCTCGAAATCAGCAGCTTCGTCATGAATTCTCGTCCTACGCGCGTTTTGAGCTTGAAAAGCCAGAAGTTTGTCTCTGTGCTGTGTCGCCGCTGACAATAATTCAGACTCGGAGTCAGATGCGGCGGGACTAGAGGCCGTTGGCGAATTGAATTGTGTTGACTTGCTGAAAGGGCGCAGTGATTTTGACACGTCGGCTTTTCGATAAGCGGCATTGTTAAATTCTTGTTTCTCACGACCTCGCTCTTCGCGTAGAACACGAATCATTGACTGTATTTCTGAATTGGACAGAAGTGGCGTGTTGCAGAACGTGCATGGACCTAATCCCTCCTTGACGCAGATAATCTTGCCGCAATTTAAACAATTTGGTGAAACTTCTAATAGGGGATGTTTTTGAGCCATACATCGACACTTCCTGCGAGAGTTCTGCTCCGATGTAAGTGCAAGGGAAGGATTCGTCATCATTTCCAGCTCTCGAATGGCTGAATCGAGATCTTTCAATATCGCTGACTTCCCGTGCATAGGCGTACCTCCAGTAATTGTAATTTTGGTTTTCTGATTTCGTACTTGAGAAGTTGATCGTGATTGTGGTTTCGAGTCAGAGATCAATCGACCAGCACCTGATGGAAGTAGCTTGGGTGTTGATACTCGCGACGGTGTTATTGAGCTGGACCCCGAGCTGACTAGGCTATCATCGATATCATCTCGTATAGGCTGTAATGCCAAAGCGTTGAAGAGTGGAGAATCTTTTTGTGCTTTCGACAATTTTGAACTAATATAGTCATCTTGACTCTTTTTGATATACCCCCCAGATGTGTTGCCATAGCCATCTGGTCTCCGTATCTCGAGTAGTTTGTTGAAATCATCCTTCTTCTTCTTTGGCCTGTTTTTCGGTTTGGGCACACCTGTGGAAGTATCATGTGTCGACGCTGCATGTGCTGACTGTGAATTTGCTGGTGCTTGTCTTCGTGTGTTGAACGTGCTAATAAACTCTAATGCTGGCGCGGAGTCTCCGAGCAGATTTTTAAGATGCTCTGCGGCGGCATCTTTTGGCAGAGATGCTGAATAAGTGACTACTTGCTTGAGTGACTCTTCATCAAGCGGTATCAATTTTGACAGCTGAGGAATCGCCCATTTTTCGAGTGCCATCGAGAAAGTGCAACTATGTTCCTTGCTCAAGTATCCCGCTACCAGGCTCTTTTTATTTGTAGACTTAAATAATAGGGGATGGTTGAGTTGCTGTTGCCAGATATGACAGTGGTGGGGGCGATGACCGCATTTGGCAAAATGAGGACCTCAAAAAAATTTCCAGCCCGCTGAGCCTCCTTAGAAAGACACGCTTCCTAACTTATTCCAAGCAAACATGACAACCGAAGTTGCACTAGAAACGACACTAGTTGGTTAACTACTTATATTGTTAGGGTTTGCGCTCACACCTTGACAGGGCACCTTCACCGTTGAGCTTTACTTCCAACATGCACCAAAAACATGTAAGAATTTCGCCGAGCTTGCCCGACGAGGCTACTACGATGGTGTCATATTTCACCGTATCATTCCAAATTTTATGATCCAAGGTGGCGATCCCACAGGCACAGGAAGAGGAGGCGCCTCCATATACGGGGAAAATTTTGAGGATGAGATATCTCCGTCACTTAAGCATACAGGTGCTGGCATTCTCAGCATGGCGAATTCAGGTCCAAATACGAATGGCAGTCAGTTTTTCATTACGCTTGCGCCTACGCCATGGCTAGACGGGAAACACACTATCTTTGGACGGGTGAAAAGTGGACTTAAGGTAGTACAGAAGCTGGGTGGCGTGCACACTAATTCCGATGACCGTCCGACTGATCAGGTAGCCATTCGGAAGGCGAGGATCGTGGAAAAGGAGATATGAAACATATATGGTGACCTTAGAAACCATTTCCACTATCTAGCACGATCATGACCTTGTGCACAACGCCGAAATAATCTAGGAGCCATCTTCGGCCAAACATCTCTCGCACCCATTGCATGGTCTCGCGGAGTTTCAGCAGACTATCTGCGTAGGGAAATGTCTAATAAATAGACATGATCGCGAGTATGAGGGTCCCGTTGTCTCCTTGTTTGTCCTGGAACAACGAGTACGTCGGCGTCTACGAGCTAAGTGTACGTATTAGCATGACAACACCGCAGAAAACAGGAGATCTATGAATTTCCCTGCGTCAATACTCATAATTTGTAAGACTTCCAACTTATTAATTCAATTCAATCATTTCTTGTCTTTGTTTTCGAGAATTTTGAAAGATAAGTCGACACAAAGTTTGGCAACGGAAGCAGAATAGACGCTCCTTATACTGCACAAAATTTGAGGATGCCATCGTTATGTGCAAGAATATGGTTACATTTAAGCTGTGCACTCATTAGTGATGATCGAAGTACTGTCCCCAAATTGACCTAATTCACTTTGCACAATTCTTCTGGTGCGTAGATAAACGGCCCTACCGGTCCATCATCTTCGTGTAGAACGGAAGTCCAAGTACCATATACGCACCCAGATCGTACGCCACCTGGTTGCACGCCCTCCAGCTGCCACTGATCCGAACCACCGTAGCTACCATCCATTAGTGTTCTGCTTGATTACCACATCTGAAGGACCTACTGTACAATATATCGCCATCTCACCTCGCGGCCGCCTGGAGCTAAGCAGCACATGCCTCTGATCGCAGTCGCCATCTGCCACTCCTCGCTTCTTGAAAGACCTGAGAAATAGAGAGGGGGAAAATCGAAGCACACTGGGAGCATCGTGTTTAATGTTGGGTCGTCCTTCAAGTCCATGTTCAGCTTTAAGTCCAACTTCATTAGCCCTCCACAAGCCTCGGGCGTATACTCCAAGGAAGATCGAATTGAAGTGCCGCGAGACTCATTAAACTCTACAAGGTCCTCCCAGTGCATGAAGACATATGTGCCAACCCATCTCCTCTGTATACCGGCCCAGTCATCTGGGACGCTTGGGTCAATTGAGACCCGATTTGGTAAGCTATATGCGAATCCTTGGGGTAGAGAAACCCGATCTTTCACAGTCTGGATAAATTGCCTTGTAACTACACTCGCAATTGCTTCGATCCGTCTCCAATCGGTCTTTCCAGATCCGTCGTCCTTCCAAGGACCATATTCGTTACGTTCATTCGTCAGAGTCCAGTCGTAGCATATGCGCCGTGATCGTCCAGCATCTTTCTCGTCTTCTTCTTCGTACGCGGTGATGCCTCGTAGAACATGAAGACGACTTGAATTTTCCGATTTTCGGAATTTTTCTGCTTCCAAAGCCGCTCGTGATCGGGTCATTGGACGTCCGGGAGAGGGATCCCACTGCCAGCTTCCTGCACGATATTGACCAATTGTAGAAGCCATTTGTTGCGAGTCAGATTCATCCTTATCAAATATTGCGATCTTAGGCACCAGGGTGCCTCTGATCAGGGAGTCAGAATACTCGCTAAAAAGCGAATTCGTAGGCAAAAGGCTAATATTCCTAGATCTCCCAGTCCCTTCATTACCGACCGCCGGGGAAGCATCAGCGGTGTCGATGATATCAAGAAGAGTTTCCACGACTGCCTCATATTTATCTCCGTGGCAGCTCCGACGGGCCGTATCAGCGTTTCTAAGACATGACAAGGCAATAATTCTTTTTCGAAACTCGATAAACCAGTCGAAATCGCCATGTCTTGCATAAAACAGCTTCCGGGGTGTCTCAGTCAAGCTTCTGATCCGAACACGTGGATCATCGAATTCGCGTAAGAATACCTCTCGCCAGATGACCTGGTCTTCAGAAAATGTGTATAGAGTTCTACATGTTGCAAGAATGGACAGTAGATCAAAGTACCGAAGGTTGACAAATGTCTGGGCTAATATCTCTGATGGAAGCTCCAGTAGGTTCATTTTTTGAGAGGAAAAATGATTTGCTTAAAAGCGACGAGATTAGAATCAAACCACACGCCGCTTTGATGAGACTGAGGCTGCCTTTATAATCTGTAATGTTCATCGGTTACTGGACATATCTGATTCTTAACTCCGAAGTCCACTCAATCTTGGTGGCATTTCCTTTCGACCCTGCTACTGCAGTATGTAAATTGGACTCAAATCGAGGCAACCGTAGCTAGTAGCTTCATGCTCGCCAGTTTTACGGACTAGTAGACATTCACTGCGATAACTTGAAGAACAAATTTCAAAAGAGTTTGCGATGATGACCGCTTCAGATGCCTAGGATAGAACTAGTACTAGTCTTAAACCGCGCCGTGTTTTACACTGAATTATACCAGCAGTCTCACTCTCTCGTCAGTTCAGTGGCCCATTTGGATGTATCAGTACTTTCGTATATCCATCTATGCGCTTGTCGAATTTTTCATATGCGTCAACAGCATCGTCGATACTGACTTCGTGTGATACGACAAAGGATGGCTTGGCCCTTCCTGAAATCTTTTTTTTGTCAGCAGTTTTTTTGAAGCTCGGAAGGGAGCATTTACGATGAGATCTCTCAGATATCGGTTGTACGCCTTGACATTGCACTGGCCGGTTCCTAGCTTTAACCCTTTCTCAAAAAGCTTCCCAAATGAGATAAGGATCTGACCTTGACTAGATTGCGCATCTGGCGCACCCGGATCCGAGGGTACGTACAGGCCAGGAATGCCCAGCCCACCTGCTCTGCTTATCAGCGTAAACATTCACTGTTGAGGCTATTCGATTCTTTCTTACCACAAGGTCGCGTCACCCTGATCAGATAATCTAGAACTACATTTGGCCTCTCCTTCTGACCTTCCTTATCCACAGCCTGGTAACCAACTGCATCCACAGCTCTGTCAACCATACCTCCATTGTGCTGAATAATCTGTTCCACAGCATCTGCCTTTGTGAAGTCAATTGGGATACATCCAATCTTCTCTGCCACATCAAGACGCTCCTTAACCATGTCCACCGAATAGACCTTACTTGCTCCTCGGAGAATTGCAGAATAAGCAGCCATGAGCCCTACGGGACCTGCGCCGAAAATTGCAATTGTCTCACCTGGCCTAAAGCCTGATAATTCCACGCCGTGCCACCCTGTGGGGAAGATATCTGCGAGCAGTGCAAAGTCTGCTTCATGTTCTGTACCCTGCGGAAGTCTGGCAATGCTGATTAGCATGAGGTAGTTGACGTCGGAACCAATCTAGGACTGACAGCAGAGCGTTGAAATCCGCATACGGAACTCTCAGATACTGAGCCTGACCACCCTGATAGGGGCCCATTGCCACATAACCGTACGCCCCCCCAGCAAATCCTGGGTTGACACCAGTACAAAAGGCCGTGTAGCCTTCTTCACAATTTCTGCATCTGCCGTCGGCCACGTTAAATGGTAAGACAATCCTGTCACCCTTCCTTAAAAGAGTAACTCCTTCGCCAAGCTCTTCCACTATGCCCATATTTTCATGGCCAAAAACAAGGCCTTCTTTTGCAGCTGTTCGTCCTTGATACATATGCAAATCACTCCCGCAGATGCATGTTGTGGTTACCTTGATGATAACATCATCGGGATGCTCGAGCTTAGGTCGAGGAATCTCCTTTACAGAGACCTTGAATGGCCCGTCATAGTGCACAGCTTTCATTGTAATGTTCGCCATTGGTTTTGGACACGTTCAAAGGAACTTGAATCAGTGGTTACCACAGTCAAGATGGCCACGTCGTGATCGTGAGGTAAAACACAAAAAGGCTACGGACTCTTCTAATACTGGTTCACTCAACATCTCCAGCATTCGATTTAGCGGTAAGCCATCCCCGCAGTGCAAACCCCTGGTCTATCTTATGATGCAACAACGGTTTGCGTAGCATTTCTCTCATCAGTATTTGAGGGGTTCGAGCATAGCAAAGGGTAGAGTGCGGGGTGGGCATGGATTACGACAGCGTCAATCTGTATTTTAGCCAGAATCGTGCAGACAAGAAGAGAGAATGTTACATTTCAACGCCTTGCTTGTACGATCAACCATGTCTAGTTCTTGGATTTGTTACATCCGGTTAGCCTGTCGACGGCAATTCACTCATGAGGGTTGAAAACGGAGCAGGGCAATGCACCGTTTTTGGAGTGATTGGATGCTCCTCAGACGCTTGAATAGACATTTTATGCTGCATTCTGAGACGATAGCGCAAACGCAGCGCGTATAGCTCTGGTTGTGTAACTGTGCTACCCTGAGAAGTATTACAATGATGAAATGCTGCCTTACATGGGCACACAAAGATTCCAGATCGCTGGGCAGCCCACGAGGCTTGCGCTGATGGCGTCACGCGTTGGATTCCGAGAAGTTTCCGAAATTAACATTTGGCTTCCTCGGGCGTCTTTTGGCCCCCTTGACAGCGATCAGACTTGCGCGAATCGAAAGGTTGTCCATATCTTAGCCGTGTGGAAAGCAAATTGCGTTGGACTCGCAAAATAGAAAAAAAAAAAGAGCCGCAAAATGTGTGAGCAAACTGACAGCGCGAAGAAGTACGTAGTACGCTAGCACACAGTAGCAAAAAGCCGTTCCATATGGACGTGCTAAAGCGGACGCGACAGATGTGCCTGATTCTTCAAGAATGCGTCGCGTGTGTGCCGTCTTCTCAGATCTCCACTTCACGCCTTCTTCCTCACCCTCGGCGCCCACAAAACGCGATCGGATAGCGAATCACACAGCCAAAGCCAGATGTTAGGTCTCGTCGATAAAATGTGGCAATGTCCGAGTCCAATCATGCGTTCTGATGACTCCCGTGTCGACGCAATTGGCGTAATCCTCGCATAGACAGCCAAAAATGTGGCTTAAATCTCATCTCCCGTCTCATCGCTAGGCCTTACGACCATCACGCGTCTTTGTCCGATTCAAGCCTGGCGCTTGCTTTGTGGCGCTATGCTCTTGACGCCTTTGGGAGTAAAAATCATTCAGCTAGGCTTGTCGTGATAACCTGTGGCGTGGCCTACCTGTACGGCCGCCGCTGGAGTGCCGTTGTCAACTTAGCTGAAAATGTCACAAGAGGAGGAGAGTCTGATCTGACCACTGATCATTCAACGCCTTTCGCTTCCAACATTTTTTTTCGTACAGGTTCTTCATTTCTATGCTTACAACTCTGTATAACCATTCGCTTGAGCTTTGGCCTTATGGTGTTTGAATTTCGTACTATCAAATTTATATACAGCGGTATGCCTTGATTTGCCTTGAGCCACCTTAAAGAACGTTGCGTGGGCTTTCCATTCTATCATCTCGGGGTTGTTATTTTTCTTCAACTATTCAGTCTACCTGCGGCGACCTGGTCGACCTTCGTTCCACCTGCTTGCGCATACCAACCTGATCCTCACGCTGAAATATAAGAATAGATCTTTGTCTTTCATTCTTGCACATACTACCGCGATGCTTGAACAGTAGGATTTTCTAGAAGTCCTACTAATGATTCACCCGGCAATATGAAGCCTAGCCTATATATACCATATCTACTCCTTTCAACTTCGGTGTCTGGCCGTCATATACTATGGCAGAGGCAAGGGACGCCGGCGGCGGTGACACCATTGACCACATTGGTGGCATCAACGTCAAGCGCCGAAGCAAGCGCGACGTTGTCAAAAGTCGGAACAACGGCTGAGGAAGCAGTACCGGCAACATTGGTGGAAGCATCTCCGGCGAATATATTGAGCACGGCTTCAGCAAACTCTTCAGAGCCAACTATTTCGCCCAGTGTCTTCAGTCTTGTTCCCGGCTCCTCACCTACGTTGACAACAACGGCTCAAACACCGAATCAAACCACAGTCGGGGACCCATTACCGCTACCGATCCCTCCAAAGCTTACACCCGCGGTTGGATTGGCGGGTGCGGTCTTGATGATTACAGGTCTGGCTTATGGCATCGTTGGAATCAGGAACAAATGGATGTACACCTTTTTCGGAGTGGCATATTTGGTGGCGCTGGCCGTTTTTGTCCTAATCCTCTATTGCATGAATCCCCCAGCTAGCAACGGGTTACAGGGTGCGTACTTCGTCGCCATTTTTGTGACGGGCTGCCTGTGCGGCGGAATCGCCTTAGTCTTTCAGGACCTAGCGGATGGATTTGGTTGTTTGCTAGGCGGGTTCACTATTTCCATGTGGTTTCTGACGTTGAAACCTGGGGGGATTATCACCTCTACTGTCGGCAGAGCGGTTTTCATTGGGACGTTGACAATCTCAGTGGGTCTAACTGGACTTAGCCATCGTACTCGACGATATGGACTCATTGCTTGTATACCATTCTCTGGAGCAACCGCGACAATTCTTGGGATTGATTGCTTTAGCCGAGCGGGAATGAAAGAGTTTTGGATTTATCTTTGGAGTGAGTGAAATAAAGGTCTTGGCAGCACAATTGTTAACAATGATTAGACCTGAACAGCGATGAATTTCCATTGAATACCACTACATATCCACTCACACGAGGAATGAAGGTTGAGATCGCCGGGCTTATTGTCTTATTCCTTCTCGGAATTCTGTCGCAAGTTAAACTCTCCAAGGTTCTGAAGGAACGCAAAAAGCTATTATCAGAGAAGAGGTCGAGGAAAGCGAATTCCGGGGCGCAAAGTTCAATCTCCGCAGGAGGTCGCGTTACGAGCATGCTACATACTGGCCAAGGGCGCTGTAGGTCCATATACGGAGATAAGAGTGCGTCCACATTGACGGTGGTGCAGTCTTCTGAAACAATTGACAATAAGAGCTTCACGGTTCTAGAAAGACAAATCTCAGGTGCCCTGGATGTTGAGATGGCTGACATTAGGCTCACAAATCAACAAGTGACTATAGTTGAGACCGAGAGCCAAAGAGGGCGATCGCCGTACCAGGAAGGTCAGGACAAGAGAGAAAGTGGAATGAATCGCTCGATACATTCAAGAACCAGCCTTGCGCCAAGCGAGCGAGTGGACCTAGATGCAACACTCAGCCGACATTCACAACTTGATATTATTAGCAAGAGGCTTTCACCTCCAGCTCCTGAGGTTATACCTCTACCATTCAAGGTCCCGAGTCTTGAGATTAACGGTACAAAATCCCAAGGCTCCCTGTCTGCAATCGAAGAGGACTTTCTCGACCAGCGAAGGAGTATTTACAGAACATCGGGCAATTCGTGGAGGCGGTCTTCGAATCGTACAAGCGTCGTGGATCCTACCGGTTCTCGAGAAGAATTGATGATACCTGAGAATGACGACAACGCATCGTCTGTGGCTGCAACATTCGATGAACTAGACGGTGATCAAATGTCGCTAACTGCCACATTGCCTCGATCACCAATCGATGGAAATTTCTCCGCGCCCCTACAGTCGAACCGTGCGTCCATAGCGGCATCACTCGGAGATGATCAGTTGCTGCCTCATTCGGCCGCTTCCTTGGTCGAAGAACGCTATGAATATCCAAAGTCCGGGCTGGTTACAGAGGAGAAGCGGGATTCAGGAGTTCCAGAAGCTTCCGTGCCTTTACCAAGGAGTGAGTCTTCAGAGGTCGACCCCAGCCCTCTGTTGTCACCTACAAAGAGGTCTCGAGGTGAATGTGGCCTAGTTGTAGACGAGAATTCAAATGCGCTAGCCCCTCTTGGCTCTGCTACAAGCAAGCGATCATCTGCGCAAAGCGATGTACCGAAATCTTTCACATCCGATTTCAATGGAGAAAAGTTGGCGAGGCTCAAGATTACTGTCCCTCGAGGGCCAACTCAGCCGCTTACACACGAGATTTTGTCCGAGCAGGCGACTGATGGGATGTCCAAGATTGCACTGCAATACAGGACGAATGAGTGGGCAAAACACTTGGAGAATGCCCAAGAACCTGAAGAAGACACCTTAACATTGCCTCCTTCGCCTGGAGTCCAAGTTAACACAGTCCTTCGGGATGTTCTCGAGCATACGCCTTTGTCGCCAGTAGTTGATCCCTTACATATCACCGTGCCAAAGCCAGTAGCGAAGCGATCCAGCACCGATCCTCTTGCACATCAACGCAAGAAGTCAAGAAGCGAAGCTCTTGCCAAGTTGACATCGGCTGCACCGCAAGATGCATCAGCAGCGAAGAGACAGAGCAGTACAAGGAATGCTTCCAGCCCTCTACCGCCAAGCAGACCGGACTCAACAACAATAGCCTGGCCGGGGCCTGGCCAAAGTATTTCCCGAACCACATCGTCGCGCATGATAGAAAAACCGCTCGCTGAACCCTCAATTGACGAACGCATGGTTGACCCAAGGAAAGGAATGCAAAAGCGTACTAGCTCATCCAAGAAGCCAACTGCTGACAACACGCTCCTGGCCCAGCGTGAGACTAGATTGGAATCAAAGCCAAAATCACAATCATTTGCGCAATCAGCACCGAATCTAGCAATCACACCCGCTACACCAGCCCCTTCGATTCACAGCAAAGCAAGCCCTCTGGAAACGATTGCTGAGCCAAACCCCAGGCAGCGCGATTCCCAATTGCAAAAATCCCCATCCAATCGGCAAGGTCCCTACACGCCTCGACCCGTCATCTCTCACGAACTCCAGAAATTCGATTCACATCAGCCAAATCGACGCGACAGTGCCGTTTTGGCAGCGCACCAGCAAAGACGCGAAAACATGTTGACGAACTGGAGGGAATCACTGCGTGCGGATCAAAATCCTCAGAAGCAACCCACGAAGCATAAGCCAAACGCCGACGATACTCTGCGTTTGCGACTGCTAAACGAGCAGCGGCTGCATCAAGCTGCCCGGGAGCAAGAAAGACTTGCGAAAGTAAAGAAGGAGGAGCAGATCAGCAGTAAAATGATGAATGGTGGCGGTAACATGCTAGATGCTCATCGCAGGGCAATGCTAAAGATGCAGAACAGCGTCAGGCATTAGCGCTAGCCCCAAGTTCCGCGCCCTCGTCCCTAAGCTGTAACTCACGCTTGGATGGACTACGCATTTTATTTTCCCTATGCCGACTCTCTGGCTATTGTCTTGCTATACCCTGTACCTGCGTCGCTTCGGGAGTAAAACCTGGGTTAACCGATCATGTGGCTGTTGACTTTCTTTTTCTTGTCTTTAAATGAACACGGGACGTTCAATCTTAGAAACAATACCATGAACGACATGGAGGGAGGGAGGACAAAGGACGACATAAATCTCGGATACTTCTCAGGCTCTTTCCAGCTCTCATATTATATATCTGTATATGTACAATTTAAACGCGTCATGCATAAGTGTTTATCAACTGTGTCAGTCTCGAATCCATGCGCTCCTTTTATCTGCACTTGCACGGAGCTAAAAGCATTGGCACCTGTCATTCTTCACGTCCTTTGAACAGGCACCATCGCGTTCGTTTCTACATTGCGTCAGGTGAATAAAAAAAAAGGAAGAAAATGACTGTGATATCTGATACAGGAGCTGGACAGAAGAGACACTTGTGCTTGACACAACACTGGGGTGGTGATCGTGTCTTAATGCCTGTGATCGATCGTCATGTTGACGTCTGACCTACATTAATCAACCTCGAAGATGCAAAAGGATAGTCCATGGTGGGATACAGTTTCAAAGACATTGGCTGTCGAATTTTGGCCTAAAAAGTTATCGACCCAATCGAGGCCATTGGACCGTACCGAGGTTTGCTGCAAGGCTGAGGAGCTGTGTGCTCGAATGGATGTTCTCACAGTACTTCTTACCGTCCTAAACGGCGGACAATAGACGCTACCCAGGACATTGTAAGTTTTGAAGCATGCGGGCGAGATATGAATTTCAACTCCGTCTTTGTAACCTCCTACTTTGACGCAGCGTTCACAAACGAGTTTTAGATGCAGTGCGCTCATCTCGTTCCGGCGCACGGAAAGGTGCCTTTATTCATGCGCCCCTTCATGCTCGATGCGCTTTGTGGTACGGGCCTCGAGAATCTTTTGGCGCAAGGCCTGGCGCCGTTTCGAGACGAATGGGTAACGAAGCGTTTATATTTCTCTTGCAAGGTCTAGCTTGACAGAGCAAATGATTCATGGCCAGCATCGAAGCGTGCGAGCCCATGTCTGTCACAGACACCGGGCCTCTGCTTCGTTCGCTTCAAGCCGCTACGGCCGACCACGGGCTGGCAAGCATTTTTGTTCGCTCGGTGACAGTGCTAGCAGTCGCTCCAGTGACGTACGTGTGTGACTCTGATGCCAGAACCAGGGAAAGCACGTCGCCTGTCGTCGCAATCGTCAGCGACAGCGCAAAGGTATCCAATGAGCGCCATACTCGACGATGCTGAGCACCCAGCGGGACACCATGAGGCAACCCAAGAGGTGCACGCACAGCACCCCTGCAGCAAAGCCCAGGAGCGCACACTGAGCTCGACGGACGCGCGATTTCTCTCGATGCTCGTGCAGACACGGGGCATGCGGCTGCGGATGTGCGCCATGGATGTGCTGAAGGCAGGCAACCGGGATGACAGCCAAAGCAGACGGTGGCGTCAACGGCGTTTGAATCGTGCCTTGCAACCAGGGCCGGCTGCGGGTAGGGGGTGCTGAGAGACGAATAAATGATTCGATCCCACTGCTGTGCACAAAGGCGTTCATAAAGTTTTTTCTTTCTCCCCCCGAGCATTCTCTGTCGCGGTCCAACGCCGGGGCGACAGGCGGCCGACGTTGCTTCCCGCCGTGCGGTCACACGAGTCCTGCGACGTATGCAGCACATTGGCATTCCTTGACAGAGCATTCTGCAGAGGCGATCACAGTACGGACGGGCGGCTGGGATCCCCCCAACCTAATCCACTCACACTCACCCACACGGGCGACTGAGGTTGCGGCCAGCAAGCAATTTCTCCTATCCTAATGCGCATTTCGGCCGGCCAAACGCAGCCTCGAACGTCCGCGCGCCGGTGCTGCCCCTCTTGCTTCGGGCCTCAGACGCGTGCCCACACTCCCCGGTACGGCGCTCTCGATCAACACAGTTGCTGTTGCCATCGGCGCCCTCGTCAGCCTGTTCCTCTTCGTCTTCTTCCGCTTCCTCGCTCTCGTCCGGACCGCGGTCAGCTCGGCCGCTCTGCGCTCGTCGGACGAGGACGGGCAGCCGCAGAGGTCTGCCGCTCCTTCCCAACTAGGGGCCCGTCCAATTTCCCCAAAAAACAACGGCTACCAGATCCGCGCCGCAGGCACGTGACACATCACAGGCGCCTCTGCAGCCCGCGTCCGCGGCAGCCCTCGTCTCCTTCAACCCTACACAGCCCGCCGCACGCCCGCCTCCAGCTCGCCGTCGTCCGACCAACACGTCCCAGTTGCAATCGCAGTCGCAAACGCGTACGAGACCCACCCACATCTCCAGGGGCGCTCATCCCACCGGAAATCCCCACCAGCCACTTCCCACTCCGCGCTGGTCCCTGACACAGCGCATCTTTCACTTCACCAACTGGACACCCGCTCTGAGCGTCGGCGCGTCAGCGACCGCCAGGGGAAGCGGACGACCCGCCACGCCTAGGGCGCACGCCGCGCGCCTCTGGAACCCGCAGAATTTCTCTCCACGCGCGCCTGCGATACCCAACGTTCCAGTAGTTCATCCTGACATTGCACGCACTGCTGATAGGCCCGGCAAGTCAAAGGACGCCGAAGGCGATTACCCTCTGCTCTCTGTGCCCGAACAGCGCACAAGTCGGCAGAGTCCGCAAGGAACCTCGCTTGCCGGGAACCGCACAAGCGCCGACTACAGTGCCCGACAAAGCGTTAAGCTACCGGCCGAGGTTAGAAAAAGCCCGCTCAGTGATCGCTTCCCCTTTGGGATCAGTGAGGACACGCCTCGTGGAGGAGAACGCGTAGGCGAGGAAGGTGGTGGTCCAGGCCCAACAACAGAAGCTGCCAGGAAAGCAGCCCAACAAAGAGCTATTCGCCAGGAACGCATGGACAAGAAAGAGATGGCCACCGGAGATCTTGGCAGTTCGCCGACTCGAGACGTTGAAAATGGACGTCTACAAGTTCTGAAGAGATCTCCAAGCAGAGCTTCGATTCCGCAGTCCAGAGATGGCGATCAGGGTGCTCAGACGGATGACGGCGACGAATACGAATGGGGACCATCGCACCCATGCTTTCCGCATCTGAATCCGCATGTGCCGGTCAACTCGCCCCTCTATCAGTCGACGCGCATCATTCGTATTAAGCGCGATTGGATGCAGGTCGGTGATCTGGCCCCCACGTTCAGCAATCTCTATCCGGAGGTATTAGACCCAAACATCTCGGAAGATCAGTTCAGACGGATCATTGAGTATATCAACAAAGAGCTCATTGAGGCCTTCAATCCGTACAGTGCCCGAAACTTCGTCGACACTATTTTGAGCGTGGCTACATTCTGGCTATGGGAAGACATGGGTTTCGTCGCCATCAAGCACCGCCTGGAGAAGCTGGAGAAGTGGATTGCCGACTGGAACCGAGACGTGGGAATGAAGGAGGGTGTGAGCATCATTCCATTGAGACGCACAGGATATCTCACCGTAAGTTCGACCCATTTCACATGTTCTTATAACCACACACGACTATCGCTCTAATGCCACTCAGCTTGACATCCAGATACCAGATCCACAAATTGGAATCGACCTCAGCCTCGTCTCAAGGCCACACACCAGCATATCAGATCGACCGCGTGAGTTAGGCGACGTTGGCGCTTACCCAATCAACTTGTCGCCCACTATGTCTCAGCATCACTCCGCTGGAATTGCTGTCTAACTTAAAACATTTTCTTTTGATTCCTCATTACGCCGTGCATTTATAGACTGAAACATGGTGCAAAAGCATACGAGGCAAGCATCGCATTAGTGGAGTTTTGTTCGGTCTTCTACCAGCTTGGAGATCGGAGAGTTCTTTTTACTTCTTTGACCGCTGATCGTATGCGTCATGGCAGTTGCATTCTATTCTATTCCTTTTGGCTTTTTTTCTTTTAATGGCTCTCCACTTATGTGGAACGGATTGATAGTGCTTTGCTCTAACGATACCCTAGTATAAACTTTACCCGTAATCACTATAACAATTGAATTCAATAATCAAGTGCACGCTCTTCTATGTACCCTTTTTGTGTCACTGCCGAGCGGGCAGCGACTTCGGTTCTTCGGAAGGGGTGTTAGCCGATGGTTGCAGTCCCGGCTCCGCAGCCTGCTAAATGTCAGATTTGAAACTCGTGAAGATTGAGTCACGTCTTTGAGAGACAACACTCAAACTCGCACTTCTGGTAATTGTCACACCACCGTGTACGTAGATGTCATCAAAAAACACCGAATTGTACCGTTTATCATGGGGTGTTTGGGGCGCTTGAGTTGGAAATCTCCAAACTGGGACTAGCGCCCTCTAGAGACAGCCAAATGTCAACACAGCCTCGGTACTACGTCTCCGTCTTGCGGGGAGCTTTCTGGGCTCCGGCTACAGCTTGGGTTACCGCAACGCGCAGTTGTGGTCTGACAGATTTTGCCTAGGCTCTCTACGCAAATCATTGAAAAAGATCTGAAATCGGCCAATTTGTCTCGACCAGCAAAATTCAGTGTTTTGTGAGTAGAAGAGAAGAAACGAAAAGGAAAAGAAAAGATAGGCCCAACCTTACCCGAGCTTCTCGTCCACTCCCTCCAGTACACACATTTCAGATTCACACGATGGCGAACAAGCTGAATTTGCCTGCTAGCCAGCGGATACCGCCAATAGCCGCACCTTTCGTCTCGGACAGGGCGAAGAAGACTCTCGACCTTGTGAGTTGACTCCATAACAACTGATCTGAGCACCGACTAACGAGACGCTCCACAAAAATAGGTCGAGAAGTTCGTCGAGGAAGAATGCATGCCCGCCGAGGCCGTGTTTGCGCAGGTACGGCATACCGGACGTAAATGACCTATGGCACGGGTGAAATTGACGCACAGAACAGCAAGTCGGCAAGACGACCGAAGAGCGCTTCAACGCACACCCACAGATCATGGAGGAGCTGAAGGCCAAGGCGAAGAAGCTCGGTCTATGGAACATGTTCCTTCCAAAGAACCACTTCAAGGAGGGCGCTGGCTTCTCTAACTTGGAGTACGGTCTCATGGCCGAGATCCTGGGCAAGAGCCCCATCGCCAGCGAGGCCACGAACTGCGCTGCCCCGGACACTGGCAATATGGAGGTTCTCGCCAAGTACGGCACGGAGGAGCAGAAGAAGAAGTGGTTGGTTCCGCTTCTAGAGGGCAAGATCAGATCGGCCTTCTTGATGACGGAGCCTGAAGTCGCGTCTTCCGATGCGACCAACATCGAGTTGAAGATCCATAGAGAGGGCAACTCCTGGGTCCTCAACGGTCAGGTACGGATCTATATTGCATTCCGCCAAATACTTCTACTGATTCGACACATTTAGAAATGGTGGTCATCTGGCGCGGGCGACCCGCGCTGCGAGATCTACATCGTCATGGGCAAGAATGACCCCAACAACCCTGACCCGTACAAGCAGCAGTCCGTCATCCTCGTCCCGCACAACACGCCCGGAATCACCATCCACCGCATGCTCAGTGTGTTTGGCTACGATGACGCCCCGCACGGACACGGCCATATCACCTTCAAGAACGTCCGTGTGCCACTTGAGAACATTGTGCTCGGCCCTGGCCGCGGCTTTGAGATCATTCAGGGCCGTCTCGGCCCGGGACGTATCCACCACGCGATGCGCTCCATCGGCGCTGCTGAGCTCGCATTGGACTACTTCCTCGCCCGTATCAATGATGAGCGCAAGAAACCATTCAAGAAGCTTCTCTCCGAGCATGGCATCATGCTCGAGCGCGTGGCACAATCCAGAATCGACATCGACTCTGCACGTCTCGTCGTTTTGAACGCCGCCATTGCTATCGACAATGCGAACGCCAAGGCTGCGCTTAAGGAGATTGCCATCTCCAAGATCCTCGTTCCAAAGACTCTGCTCGAGACCATCGACAAGGCTATCCAGGCCTACGGCGGTGCTGGCGTGTGCCAAGATACCCCCCTTCCTAGAATGTATGCTAGTGGCCGTACTATGAGGATTGTGGACGGTCCAGACGAAGTCCATATGTTGCAGCTTGGCAGAAATGAGAACAAGAGAGGCAAAATTGTTGCGGAGAAGCTTGCGAGGCAAAAGGCGGCCTCCGAGAAACTGCTGGAGAAATACGGCCTCAGCAAGAAGGATCCCCTGTACCTTGGCCGTTCCACGGGTGAATCTTCCAAACTGTAGACATAGAAATGAATTCAAAATGAGAAGATGCTGTGTGTTCATAGGCGACAAAGTTCTATACAATATAAAATATCTGTTTCCGGCAAAGTCGACCTACCTGTTTGCAAGGAACAATAGTTGATATTGAAACATGGAAGTGCAGGTGGAAATGACAACCAATCACTCATAACAAACTCTTACCGGGTGGTGAGAGGGGCTATCAAATCCGAAGTTTGTGTAGCGCAACCCTAGCTGGCCTATCTGGACGTAGAGATAAAAGTACATAATTTTTTTGCGCTCACGACTAACTTCCTCTCTTTATAATTCTCTGGCTTGAAAACATAGCTTGGGCAACTTAAACCCTCTACGGAACCTGGTAAATGACGCATCCACGAATTTAACAAAGGATGCAGTCGGTCCCGGTTATCACTCACTCTGCCAAACTATCCACGACGTCCGGCACATGAACATAGTGAAAACGCAATAGGAGTATCCAAAGACCTCTGTTTAAACACATAGAGGCTGGAATTCGGTGGCAATACAAATTTGTACATACCTTCAAGCTAAGCAGCAACCTGAACATTGTTGCTCCCGGCTAGGATATTCATGCATCTGAACTTGAATGAGTTAAGGAAGAGATCATCAATGCACTGTCCGGGACTTGGCTCCAGAATACCATTTTCGCACAGGCCTTGGTGAGTAAGCAACGAATTTGGAGCCAGATTTGCAAAATCGCCGGTCACGGAGAACTTCATATTGAAAAATCGTGTATGGAATTGCCTATTGAGACTCCTTGGACATAGTGGCGTGGGATGTATCGCCATGTACTCCAAAAGCTCCGTGGTATTGTATTTGGGCCAATTATTGGATAGTTTGAATTTGTGCTCACGAGATCATCTACTTATATTATGGAAAGAATTGAAAACTTTGACCAATATGCGGTGCGAAAGATTTGAAAATTTGTCCCGGATTGTCCGGCTGCAAGAGATACTCTGTCTCAAGGCTGGAATGGTTCTCATGCAGTGAATGGTGTCGTGGAACGATTGTTGCACGATTTCGGCCGTTTTGTAACGTAAGAACATTGTAAAAGAAGTCTCGGCCAAGGATATAAGGTGAATGAGTAGGTGTGTAGTGATTGTAATCTAACATGTTTAGCAAGTAAATTGACGAGCCGAGCAAAAAGAAAAAGAAGCATTTCTACGACACTCACATGGACTTGGGACTGAGCTTCCGGGAAAAAGTTTTTCAAACAAGTGTTTCTAGGCCTGCTCGGCGGATTTTCCCCGGTAGTCTTGTTCGAGAGCCACGACCTGAAATTCTTCAAGAGCTTCGGGTAGCTTACGAGATCTGACTTCACTCTCCTTTGGACACTCGGGCATGTGATTTGCACATTCTTCTACATAGCTTTGTTGATCTTCCCACTTTTGACTGCAATAAGAACAACCAGATTGAATAGAATGGTATTTTTTTCATATGTTCGCTAATTAACATAAGAAAGAGAGCGCGGAACATGCTTCCTTGTTTACATCACTTCCACTTACTTGACTCGCCTGAAGCCATTCATACCGGGTGGAAGAGTGTATGGATTAAATACACACCTATAGCGTTCAGGATCATGTTGAGCCATAGGACAAGCAAAATGAAGTCGTTCATCTTCCATTTGCAAGCCTTTTGATTTTGATGTAGAATTGAATCGGAAGATTGGACTGCCTTTATCTCTAAGGCCCGGATGCATTGAAGAGTGTGCCGGCCCAGGAAACACGGTATTCCCGAACGTTACGTTTGACGATGATTGGGGCGAGGGAATGGTCTCGTGACCTGCTGGACGTTCAAACACGTAATGAGTGTTATTCTGCTGTTCGAGAAGAAGCCGCAGCTCTTCAAGAGATAAAGGATAACAACATATCGTGGCTTTGCAATTTCCGTGCCCGGATCGATGATGTCGGACTGATGCATGATTGGTATCGTTGGCGGATTTCCTCATGTTACTATTTCCGGAGTAATTCTTCCTGGCGCAGAAGTCCGTTGACGAGCCACCAAAATCAGAGGCCTCTACACGCTGCGGTCCACTACTATGACTTCTAGAAGAGGTATCTAAGTCTTCCGCCGCCTTATATTTAAAATCTGTGATTAGAGGAGGGGGTCGGACTGGAAGTCTGAAATTCATACATCTTCTTGTATTCTCAGGCTAGATTCCATTTCCGCATGCTCCAAAACGTCCGATATGTCCGTATGAACATGATCGGTCGGAAATTTGAACGTGAGTTCTTTGCTGAATAGCTTACTCTCTGCAACTCCAAGGACATAGTAAGAGTTGTCCAGAATGGACACATCCCTACGAGAAAGGTCTTGGCCGTGTAGCATGCTGTGTTGTGGTGCTCTAGGAACCGTTGCATTCTCATGTGATTGTGGGCTTAGGGAGAGCGAGGTGCATCTGTCAGCAGTCAGCCAAATTAAGATGAAGTATACGGCCTAAGTTATCACACACATGGCTTCTTCTGGTCGGTAATAAAGGTTCGAAAGTAATGTCCTGTCGGTATAAGCCATTCGAGATGCTGTAACTTCCCATCCTCGGAAATGCGGCATGCAAAAAGTGTGGCCACGGAAGCATGTGTGACAGAGCCATTTCCACAAGACTTGTACTTTAAATACCACATGTACACGTTTGAGCGTTTGGGATATCACCAGACGGGGCTAAAAATGATGAAAACTACGTTAGACGAAAACTGGGACCACGAAATGCTCAGCTTATGCTGGCTTCTGGTTCGCACCAGCATCGGCTGGCAAGTAACAAGGCGAAGAGAAGGAAACACGACCGACGTCCTACGTAGAGTTATGACGGCAGCACAACGACGATTGGGCTGCCCCAGCGTCGCAAATTTGACCTCCAATATTCCGTGAGTGGTTCATTCATATTGTGCATCAGCCTGAGCAATACGAACTTATCACGTCCAAGACCTGGTGTGGATCTGCCCCGGCAGCCTCGTCTTCATTCCGACGCGAGTTCTGACGTAACAGATAAAGAGGCAAAGCCAATATCTCGGCCATGGGAATCTTAAAATTGTGCAGGAGAGCTGACAACATGAGAGCACGTATGTGAAACTTCCGCTGAGACAATGAGCACTCGAAGAGAAAGCTTCCGTTTCACTAACCCGCATAGCAATTTCGACGCAATCGACGAAGTCTCTGTGAGCGAAGATGTCCCGCCGTACAATGGATCAGATAAGTAGAGCTTGCTCCTGCGCGTGCACGGATGACGCTGACTAAGATTTTTCATGACCCTGAACTTACACAAACGTAGCGTCGCTCTTGTGTGAAACAAAACCTCCGACCCAATATTCCCACCAGCTACAAGGCGTCGGCTGTTCGCTCAATTAGGTACGTGCTTTAGGTAGATTAAACGGACTTCCAGCACCTTTTCGTGATGAGGCTCTTTATTGGAGCTGTCCTACCCTTGCCTGCGGAATGAGGACAAAACCTTACCGTATACGCTATTCATTCTGAACTCTCTCTCTCTGCTTGCACGCACAATGATTCTCCTCCGCTCTGAACACGAGAGACTAACTCTTGGAACTCAGACATTCCATTTTTTGCAATTTACATGTGTTTTGCTGTTGTGGCGATAATCGAATTCATCGCTGTCTTCCAAGGCTCCCGGCATCTCACGCAAGACGTGGTTAAAAAGTTTCGAGTACCGTGACGACTCGTCTAAAGCCACGTGCTGTAGGTGAAAACAAAGTCACACAAAGAGTGTTTTTTCTCTATCCAGTAGCCATGGCAACCTCGCTTGATCCGAGAAGGCGGCCGCCTCCCGGAAGTAACAATCAACAGCTATCCACTCAACATCCTGTTCCACCTCCTCCTCCTCCACCACCTCCTCCTGCTCCGGAAACGATGAAGGGGGTAGCTTCCGAGGAGGCCGTTGAGAGTACAGCTGCGCCATCTGCCAAAACGTCTGAAGGTGACAGTGGTTTCAAATTAAGATTCTGCACCGTGTGTGCGAGTAACAACAACAGGTTTGCAGCCCCATCACTAGTCAAAATTGACTTCTCTGTGGCGTCCAAATCCTCACTGACAGAATCGCCGAAGATCTATGGAGTCTCACCTGCAGCTAGCAACAGCTAACTATCCTGTCATATCGTTCGGTACGGGCTCCCTGGTTCGTCTACCAGGACCGTCGATATCGCAGCCAAACATCTTTAATTTCAACAAGACCTCGTACGACCAGATGTATAACGAGCTCTTCAACAAGGACCCGCGCCTTTATCGTGCCAACGGGCTCTTGCCCATGCTGGACCGCAACCGAAACGTCAAGTGGGGACCGGAACGTTGGCAGGATTGGAAGATCGGCGTACCAAGAGTAAGCGAGCAGCAGCGTAACAACCGCGGCTCGCAAGGCACCGAGGGAGGAGTAGTTGACGTTGTCATTACGTGCGAAGAGCGATGTTGGGATGCCGTAGTAGACGACTTGCTTAGCAGAGGAAGCCCTTTGAACAGACCTGTCCATGTTTTCAATGTCGACATCAAGGATAACCACGAGGAAGCACTGGTGGGCGGGAAGGCTATTTTGGATCTAGCTGGGAAGCTGAACGAAGCCGCGATAGAAGAACGCGAGAAAAGCGGCAGCGCTGGTTGGGATCAAGGCAACGGGCCGGCGAGGAAAGGATTCGACGAGCGAGTGCCATACATTCTGGCCGACTGGCAAGAGCGTTGGCCTCATTTACCCGCCCTTTGGACTCTCGCGTGGTTCTGATATCGAATCGGAAGATGAGCGAAGCTGCAGATAGCCTATGTTCTAGCACATTTCACGCATGATACCCCAAGAAAACTGAATTCTTTCGTCTCGAAGTTCTTCTTTGATCTATGTTTTTTACATCACCTTGTCACTATTCCAATACAAAAAGAAAAAAAAAAACACTCCTTCAGAAGAATGATGTGCACGACAAATGGACAGTCTTCCAGCCAAGAATGTCATGTCTCAGGGCGAGAAATGAAGAACTGGTCGTAATTGCTAGTTGGTTAAGGATGTTATTATGCATATGCTCTTGTTCTCCTGATCTGCGTCTATAATAATACATATACCGTCATTAAAGTATGAGAGTAGACATTTCCAATCAGAGCCCATAGTCATTAAACTATCTTCAAAAAATTGTCGAAGAGAACAACGCACTACACACGGTTAATACCATTGCGTGATGCTCGAAAACGGGTTGGCGATCGGGAAGGGCTGTCCATTATTGTTTTGGTTTTCACTGACATCCATGCCATATTGCGCCACGAGGTTATCCCAAGAAGTCCAATTGACGCTTCCGTCGGGCAGGAGCGGACTCTCGGTGGACCCTTCGAAATTGCTCAGGTCTGTGTCAAAATTGATGCTGTTTCCCGACGTCTGATTCCCATTCATGTACCACTCTATGGACATTGAGGGAAAAGCGATAGGGTTGCCAGCAGAGGACATGGCTGCGCCACTACTGGCCATAGGAGTCGGCATGGTTGTGACGAGATTGGCGACCGTAGGATCATAGTTTTGCGCGGGGGAGACAGAAGAGGAGGGTGAGATTAGGCCTGTGGATGGTAGCTGAGCGGCACTGCTCCTCGTCGTAGTGTTCGCGAAATCAAAACCTTCGTCATTTGTCGCTTGCAACTCTGGGAACAAGCGATCCACGCTCAAATCCATGTTCATAATACTACTCGTACGCTCGAGGTCTGCCAATGACTCTTCGGCAGGGAGGGACTTTTGGTTCTGCTTCTGCAAAGCCTCCTCGTGCGCTTTTCTCGCCCTTTCCATTAGCTTCTTAAGCGGTTTCCACAGATGGCTCTTTAACTTGTTCGAATGCGAATCGACTTGGTCATCCGCCCACCGTCTTTTCACCATGTAGTCAATGACCTTCCATGCACGGTCTACCTCAGGCCCAAGCGTCCGAACGGTCAACTCCGAAAGCATGAATGCGATAGCATGCCACTGCGTATATGTTCGGAACAGCCAGCCCCAGCGCTTAGTCTTTTCCTCTGTCTCGAGCAAGATGGAATACTCGCAATTTTCGAGCGAAGTTGAGAACAATTTGTCCCTCACTTCTTGGGGGAGGCTTGAGCCTCCGTCTAGTCGCTGAAAAGGATGGTATATGATCAGCCAGAGCTTCGACATGATCAGTCTAGATATAGTTGCAACAACCCAGTACAGTGGCACACTCATGTCCGTATCTTTCAAGTATTGATTCTCGAGCCGCTCGTGTAGCTCTCGAACCCATTGCTCCTTCTTTTCAACGCTTAATTCGGAGAAAAACTTGTTGCACCGTCTTGGCCCTGGAGGCACGTACTGCAGTCTTCGAAGCGTATTTGAAATTTCGAACCGAATCAACCCAAACGTCATCTGCGTACAACCAGTCTTGGATTCGGGAAGAGACGCCATGTTTGGATCAAGATCCTCGTCATTCACATTGATCGGCATTTGCGTATCGAACAATTGATCGATGATGGTAGGGTCGGCGCCATGGTCTTCGCTCGCTCGGGAATCGAGAATGCATATCTGCCACCACAGTCTACGCCGCCTGTAATTCAATTAGCGTTCGGAACATACTAAGAAGAGATTAAGAAGAGGAAGTGCACCAAAGCTCACATTTCAATCTGAAAAGGTGGCAGACCATAATGAGTACCATCACGATGTAAACCCAATGTTTGCGCCATGCGGACGACAAGACCTGTCAAGGTCCAGATAACGCGGGCGTCATCGTTACGACGCAAACAGATGAGAAACAGGACAAAAGCTTGAAGGACTATCATTTCATCTGTCTGAAGAAAGTCCGCTCGAGCAAGTGCTTGCTCGACGCCGAACCGATATCTGGTAAGGAGCACAGATTTATCCTCGGAGAAGAAGGCCTTGCACTCTTCTTCCCACATCGAAGTCACGGCCCCGTAGTATATTGCGAACATGAGGCATTCTAGACCACGATGGATTTTATCTAGGCCGTCTTTCGCTTGAAGAATTGTCGGTTCCATGGACGGCGCATGAATAATCTTCACGAGCGGGTCGACGTTCTCCCTGAATATCCTCCAGTAAATGGGTATGTGTTCGGGAGGAGGATGGAGCTCCTTCATGTCGACGCTTTGTGAGCTAAAGCCAAACACAAAGCCCTGGTGGCTAGAGGACGAATGAGTCGTTTCTGGGGAAGGGTAGTCCCTGTCGTCTTCTTCCTCGCTGTCGTTCAGCATCTCTTTAATGTTCTCCACCTCGTCGCTGAGGCTTGCCCAGAAGCTGGGGTTGATATATCGACTTCTGCCCTCGTCCACGACAAGCCGGCCGAACCTCTTCTCGAGGCCCGTCTGCGGCGGCGGCTTCTTGTCCTTGTCCTGCTCCCACTTTTGCCTCCTGAGTTCTTTTAGTTCCTTGCACGCCTTTGCGATCTTCTCGTCCTGAGACAGCTGCTCGGCAGCCTTCTCGCCTTCCGCACTTTCCTTTAACGTGGTTCGCTTGTCCTCGTCCGGCACCTGAGAGCCCAGCATTTGCACGACGCCCTCGAGCTTTTTCAACCGTTCCATGAGCTCCGAATCTGGGGTCTTGCGAGGCTTGCGCGGAGCCCGCCCTGGTGCAGGGTAGACGCACTCTATATTAGCCTTGACGCAGTTTGTACATCTTGGCTTCTTGTCGCACTTGACTTTGCGCTTGCGGCAGGTCACGCACGATCGCGGATTGAGGCCATTGGCACCACTTGGTGAGCCAGCCGACACTGACGATTTGTGTACCTTGTTCTGGTCGTTGTGCATGGACGGGGAGCGGAGGATGGAGTAGTTTTCGTCGTGCGTCATTGCGGCCGCTCCCGCAATGCGGTCGAGATATATCTCGTCGAAGGGGTCGTCTGCCATGACTTCCCTCAAGCAGAAGGGACGTGTAGATTCGAATCACCGGTCAGGCGAAAAAAAAAAAAGAGAAAAGAAACGTGCGCTCGCGCACACATTAAATGACTATTACTCCACAGATGGAAGGACTTGCCCGTGTCGGAATTTGCTAGTCTAGGCAGAACCAGATGGAGCGCTTTCGGAACAGCTCCGTGCTCGGTTTGGGCGCGATTGGTAGAGGGAGTTGCGGAAGCCGCAAGGACTGGGGAAGCTTGAAAGGGGGGAAATGAATGCGACAGCGAGAAAGGAGGGAGAAGGCAGAAGGCGGTGGTGGACAAAGGACTGGAGAATTGTGTAGGAGCGAGAACGGGCGAAGCGACGGCGGCCAGAGCATGAAAGCAAAGAGCACCACAGTGACGCACAACATCGCAGGCGAGAGCAGCGGAGGGAAGTTTCTTGACGGGCACGCACTAACAGCCCTAGATCGGCTCTGGCTGCTGGTGGCTTTTTGGTCCCTGAGCGCTTACAAAGACTCGCCGGGGTTGGTTTTATCAGCAGATCCCGCGTCTGGCCAATCAGCGGCCGTGCAGTCCTGATCGCCGCGCGTTCGGCGCCGAAGCGGAACTTTGCATTCTCCCGCGCTGGTGGCCAGCATGCGCACGCGGAAACAGCACGGTGCAGACCCGTGTAATACAGCACAGCTCCGTATAACACAGCACAGCGCAGCACAGCACGCTGCAAGAGCGGCACGATACAGTGCTGACTTACCAGGCCCGTCAACGACGTGCCGCCAGCACTGGCATTAGTGATGGACGCCGGAGAAGCAAGTGAATTCTTTCTATGCACACCGAACAGCAATGAAGCCTCCCAACGCCGCATCATGAGCGCCAGACAGAACGGACGCTTATAGCACGTTCTCAAAGACCATCTACATTGATGCCCTCTTCATGCCTAGACAAGCAAAAATGCAACAACAAAACGACCTCGGCCGTATCCCGGCGCCGTGTGTCCCATCACACTTCATAAAGTTCCGTAATCCTGTCTGTGGACTTCGTCGTTGCCAAAGCCATTCCCAGCTCCGGGCATGAGCCTCTCCTCCGCCCCCTCAGCTTCGGCGCGCAGATCCGCCTTTGCAGAGCTAACGCTCTTCTTGTACACAAAACCCACAAGTCCAGAGCCTACGCCCACTGCGATGAGGAGCAGCATGAAATTGACGGGTCTTGGGTCGTTCGCAAATACGCCGTGCGTCAGCGCATCCAAAGCAGACTGAGAGAAGTTGAACAGCCCAGCAAGGCAAATGATAAGACCGTAAACCTTTCCGAACGTGGCAAAGCCGAACACTTTTGCCGAGTAGTCACTAAACGTCGCGTCAGATTCTGCACAAAAAAAAAAGGAAAATAATCGCCGAGGCAACGTACGAGACTGTGGTGTAGTAGAAAGGTCGATACACGACGAACAAGCAGATGTTGACATAAGCCGCCCACTCGTATGGCAACATACCAAAGATGCCGATGATGGTGGCCACGGTGACGAGCATACCCAAGACAAAGGCCGTGCTGAAGTTGTCCAAGATCAAACCAATGAAAGGCACAGCAAGAACACCGCCCAGAGGTAGAGCGATGTCGAAGAAATTGTTCACTACGACCGCCTTCTCATAGCTGTGCAACAAGAACTCGTACTGCGGCCTAATGGTTGCCACGAAATAGTTAATTCTTGTCATCTGTATGACCGTGAAGAGCGTGATGAGAATGAACCAGGCCGAGCGGATTTGTTCGCCAGCGCTCTTGCCATGGAGCGCGCCCCACACACCACTGATGTTCTTCTTCTGCTCTTCCTTCTTGATTTGCTTCTGCCCCTTCTTGGAACCCAGCAGTTCCGTGATCTCCGACATGACACTTTCTCGGCGCTCTCGTCGGGCAGCCTGTAGTCGCGTCCGCACGTCTACATCTTCAATCTCGTCGTCCGATGGATGATCTTCACCCTCCTCTTCAGCCTGCACGACCAGTTCGCCGACCGTCTTGTAGGACGTCTTGGGCATTAAGAATATCTGTGCCGTCAAGATCAAGGCGGGCACGAGAAGGTAGGTTAGGAAAAACTTCTTTGGCCAGAACGTGCCGTTCGTGGCTTGGTAGATCAGCCGGTAGAAAAGGAAGATGGCGCTGGACGTATCAAAAGCCCCAGTGAGCAGGGCCAGGATCAGACCAGAGTACTTTGGGAACGTGTTGCTCAATTGGAACGAGGAAATGAAGACAAACGGTCCGCCCAGCGCTAGAAAGAAGTACCCCGGGATGTATCCATCAAACCCATAGTCTCTCAAATTCCATGCGAATGCGAAGAGGAGGCAGCCAACGGCGATGCAGACGGCCCCAATGATACCACACACACGCGGCCCATATCTGTCCAGAATCGTTCCGACGGGGAGGGCGACTACGTTTGTAGAAACGGCAGCAACGGTGAACATGAAGTTCAAGCTAGAAACAAGGTCAGCCATAAAGAGTGCCGATATGCCAAATGGAAGCAAACATACTGGATCTCTTGAAGGTAACAGACTCGCACATTATCCTCCAGCTCCTTTTCTGTACAACGATCTCGGTACACGCCCTCACGTATGAGGACAGGTTTGATCGCAGCGTAACCGAAGATTATACCGGCGGCAAATAAACAGTATAAGACGGCAGCAGCCACCTGGCCTGTTGAGATCCAGATGGTTAGCAGTGTAGACGTCACAGGGGAAGCTTGGAGCAACGGCGTACCTATACGCTTCACCTTTGGTACCTCGAAGGCCCCAATAGGTTCGTCAAGTAGAGTTGGCGGCGTCCACCCATCAATCGGGTTGAAGCTCATTTTCCGCCTCTGGCTGCCGGCCGGCGACCTGTCTCGCAGCAACGACTCATACTCCTCCATCACACTAACTCTCTCCGCAAGCGACATGGTGGCGGAGGCAAAAAGCCGGTCGTCGACAGGAACGCCCTTGACCTCAAAGGCGAGAGATCAAGCTCCCGAAAAGAAATTGGAAGTTTCGGTCATGCAATTCGACCGAGAATGGTTGAAAAGACCCAGTCTCAGCCTTCTGCAAAGCTCCCGTGACACAGACACTTCGCGGGGAGCTTTGCTGCAACGATCCTGGTCCTTGCTCAGCGACCCACAATCACTTGATGTGCTCAGCTTTTCAAGCACGATTCCGAGGTTGAGTGCTCCAGCAAATGGATCAGTAAGCCTTTCTCGGAAAACGATAATCGCGGGACTGTAGCAAAGAGCGTCAAGCAGAGTATCTATTAAGTGGGCAACGTGAAGAGGAGAGACCGCAGGCGAGGCGCTTAGAGATTGATATCATGCCGCCCCACTTGCTGGATCAAAGAGATAACGAATTGCGGCTTGCCGAAAAGCTTTGACGTCGTGTCATTGGGGCTCAAAGCGGCGAGTTGCGAAAACTTCGCCAGCCTCGTTGAAAAGCTGTGCCGATTGCCGCCAATGGCGTGGTTCTCGGCGCTCAATCCCCAGCCTTGAGACCACAGCGCAGCCAAAGGAACAAACAATTCGATTTCGCGTTCTTCTCATCGCTGCGATCGACACGCTGTACAGCCATAAAGTTTCAGAAACAATCCCAGTTGGCATTTTTCAACCCATCTACCTGGAAAGGCGCGCTGTGGGTAAAAGCAGATGCTAGAAGAAGGGGTTTGTCATGCTTGCGTACGGTAAATGGCGACACAGAGACGCATCGGAGCGACCCGAAATGCCAAAAAAAAAGGTATTTGTCGCTAGCAAGGACCCGAAAAATTCACATAGGGCCTAGGAGAAACACTTGTGGATTCGAATTTTTCGACTTGCCATCTCTCATCCGGACGCTTTCACCACAGCAAGTACCAGAGCACTTCAAGCCGGTGAAGCTGTCGTGTCTAGCACCAGTACGTCGGCTCGCAGCTCGGAAACGCTGGATGCCGGATTTGAAACCATTGACTTTGAGTTTTTCTGCCTCTCAAACCGCACCAGCAGCTCTCTGAGCATGAGTCTTGGCCACACCAAGTTTCTGAGCTTCTTCTTCCACGAGCCGTGGAAGAAGGCTCTCGATGCTCTCACCAACTGGCTTCCAGTCAAATAGCTTTCTCGCCCGAATAGCCTTACATCGAGAGTTGTAACCCCATTTCTTACCACCATTCGGCGTCACTTCATCTCCCTGCTCTATGGTAAATGTTTGGAGGTCATCACTTTCGATGTAACCCTGTTTCTTTGCTTCTTGGGCAATTCGCTTGCACATGTCACCCCAGACATACTCCCCATCTTCAGCGAAATAGTACCCCTCGTCATTCCATGTAGCTCTAGCACCCTTTGTTGCTTTGCACAGGTTAACAACTGTTGTTAGAATGGAAGCGCAGGAAGAGCTTGTACAAACTTACCAGCTTCCTCGGTTAGAGTCAAGTAGAGATTTGATAAGTCGTGCACGTGAACTTTGGTCCAGATGTTCTTGCCTTCGCCAATGGTGAAGGCGTGGCCACGTTGTATGAATGCTTTACACATCAGATACCTGCAAACGTTAGCGGGTGACAGGCAGTAGCGTGAAGAACAAGGGTTCAAGAATTGCTTATAGAATATCAAAGATGCTACAGTTCCAAATTATTTCTGAACAATTCGAGCGTTGAAAACCCGCGACACTCTCTGAGACGGAACGGTGCGTTTGAATTTGCGATTGATACTCTGCGAATCAGATCAGCAAGAGCATTCGATAGGTTATGTGAAGTACATACCACCATTGATCGCTGAATGTGTTGCCTGGTCCTCTTCCTGGTCCATATATAGTCGGTGGACATACAATGGCAGTCTTGATATTGGGATGCGCCTTGGAGGCGGCCAGTATAATTTTGTCTACATTACGATGCCACGCACTATCAGGGAGAGAGATGACCTCGCCAATTCCATCCCAATCGTCGTAGATCTTAGGGTCTTCCTTACCGTATCGATTGGCCAGCACGTCCTGTACGGTCAAGATGCCCGTACCGCTCGTGTGGATGATGTATCCCGGCTCTGAGCGTGAGGAAAGTCCCTTGACAATGGCCTTAGCAGCGCCTTCGTGATCACAGTTCGCGAAATTCAGGACAATGTCGGCCTTTGCAGACTCTTGGGCGATAACGTCGAAGCTGTCCAGGTCACCGTAAACAAGCTTGACTTTTGGGTACACTTTGGCAACCTGCGCCCCCTTTGTGCTGTTGCGTACGAGAGCGGTGATCTCGTACTCTGGATGCGCTGTCGCAACGGCATACAAGCCGTCGCCTCCAATGTAGCCTGTAGCCCCCGTTCTGATGGGAAGTCAGCTTCACCCTACATGCCATTGTGACCAGAGTGTTCGCTTCGCCTACATGAAGAGCTTCACCATGATGCTCGATTTCCCTCGATCGGTAAAGAGAATACGACGTTCGAAGAGCTGGTTCAGCCAGTGCAGGTCTTCGCTAGTGAAGGGGTGAAAGAGACCAACATGTTTTTTTAAAAACTAGGCGAAAGGCGCTGTACCAAATGGGCAACCTCCCCACCTTGAAAGCTCCATTCCCTGTCCAACAGTGATGGCCGTGAAGCTTTCAAATGAGTTCGTTCCCCAGTCGCTGACAAATTGCCAACGCTTGAGTAAGGCTGACGTCATGGAAGACTTGCACAAGGCTTTGGATAGTTCTACTGGAGCATAGTCTGCCACAGAAGCGATAGTACAAGACCTCGACAGCAAGATGCGACCGGCTGTTGTAGACTTTGCAAACTGCAAAAGGTTGACGGACTACGACAGGCTTCACATGGATGCTGATCATGTGATCCGATCGACCTGTCAACAGGAACCACTGCTCGATCGTATGGCTCGCTTTTGAATCTCGTCGAGTTCGGTGGCAGTATCCCCCAAACGAGGCTTTGTTATAAACCAGCGTAAATGGTGAAATCATTTGTGCTAGCAGGATAATGGACCTGATTGGCTTATATACATGTGCGTGGACACACTGCAAAACGGACAATCTAAGTACCATGAATGACTGCATTGTGACCTGGTTGTTTCTTCCTTTTGGAGATGCGACTGAGCTACGATACTAACGCCGTTGCGTTTGAAAATCTACCCGCCGATCGATCAAGACGCTATCAGCAATGGATCAATCTCTAGAGTTTGCTAGGTAATCATTCAAGATCGTTTTGAAAATGAACTGCGATAGTCCCTTTTGAGTTTAAACTGACCGAAAATCAATTGAGAACCGTGTGGAAAGTCGGAATCTGAGGCTAGAATGATCTCATGCTCAGTCATAGCCTAAACTCGGTGAGAAGCTCTTCAGGACTCGCAAGGAACTAAACGATTGTCTGGACCAAGACAGATGCGCAATCTGTCCTGCCAATTAAGAATACCTGTGTTGTTGGAGCAGATTCTCCAACTGTTGTTATACTCGCCTCGCGTGGCAGAGTGAAGATGTTAGATGACTTTGTAATTCACGTTGGATTTTCACTCTCTTTCCAACCCGTTGACGCTTTGTAATGACCGTTCATGAAGAAGTTTTGTCATCCAGCTAGCAGACGAGTGTGCGGATTACGGTTTCGCTTGAATATTCTCCTTTCTGGGACAGGCAACATGCGACATCGTCCTTCAAAGCTGACATACACATGTGAACAGTGATGATTTTATTCTCGTTCTGAGATAAGGTTGCATAGCCGCTGAGGAACAAACCTTGAATGTCTCTGAATTTTGTTTTCGTGCGAGAGAGGTGCCTTTCCCAAATCCTGGTATCGAGCACCACGATGTAGTTTTCAATGCGTGTCGAATAGATTGGCCTCGACATGACTGACGACATATAGAATATGGCCCGTGCTTCCTTCTAGAGCTTCCATGAGGTCTTTTCGAGGCAAGATTTAGATCCTCGCCATGTTCTACTTACACAGCCCTCGCTGCAAAGCATGAGAGGGTCAAAGCACCCACCAGGAGATATTTGTATCCGGCGCCAATTTGGAATTCTCACGGACGTAGAATGTTAGTTCTACGTCTTCACCCTTTTGCCAACCATTCAGCCTCTCAAACACAATGTGTTTTGACACAGACCCGAGAAACTTATTGGGAATACGAGCATCCTTGTACTAGCAGTGCTAAATGATGCTTTTTAACACAATGGGGCTATATCAATACTGGTGTAGCTTGTCTCATCAAGAGGTTCAATGCTCCAGACAAGCAAATCAGTCGATACGAATGTGAAACGTCCTCTGTGCGGAACACGACTTTCGTTTTGGTACCAGACGCGTCGGATCTGGAAAGTGGGCACTGAAACTGGATTTCTGGTATCAAAACGCTATAGAAAAAATACTCATATAGGGCCATAGCACAGTATAAGCGTCCATAAGGGCCACTACAATAATGCGGCTAGTGTGCGTTCGGATTTCAATTCCAGCTTCCAAGGCTATGTGAAGTAGTCACTTTACAGAGTTTGCCTTCCAACGTCGTCCAGTTCACCGATGAGTGAAGCAAGATTTGCGGTTCCTTGATCACATCTTAGGTCTCTACATCCGAGAACAAGACATCAAAGTCCACAGAAAATGGCTCCCCAATTTCCGTTTCCATTGGGCGTGGTATCGACAAGCTCTAGCGTTGTGACAACAGCGATGACGACGACGACGACAACGGCGATGGTTACCTCAATTGTACCAAACGCAATGGTTACTGCAATGCCTACTTTTGAAAGTCAAGCAGCCGAGGCCGCGGCCGGAGGAGCGACAGCCGCCGCTGCTTCAATAGATATGACGAAAATCAAGTACGTCTCATACTGTCTTGGAGTCGCTTAACTCACAAATCCCACAGCCCTTACGTGTATATGCCCTCTTTCTCTATGGCAGTGATTGGTTCAATGGCATTCTTTCTGATAGCGCTTGTTCAAACAATCCAGCTGATCAAAACAAGAGCTTGGTATTTTGCCATCATGCAACACGTACGTTGTTATTGAGAAGCAACGGGACAGGGCCGCGAGGCTAACCACTGCACAGGCACCTTTGGTTGTAACGGCGTCACTATTAGCCAGGACTTACTCTGTGTTGACACTTCAAACTTCCGGAGCGACTGGGCCCTTTGTCGTCTTTGCGCTTCTAGATATGGCGGTGGGCACAATAACAAGTCTTGGAATAATTTTTACCTACACGCGGGTGATGTGGTGGGTAACTCCAGATGACTTGAGAAACTACCATATACTGTGGACTCCCCCATACTGGACATCTTTCCTTTGGGGTTTTCTCATCTTCATTGGGGATGTGACAAAATCGGTGGCTCAAAATGCACTGAAGCAAACTGATCCCTTGTCCACAAAGATCCAAATTATTGCCCTAGGGTACCAATTCTTTGTTCTCTCTGCGTTTACCTTTACCACGTTTAGGTTCATGATGATGAGCAAAACCTGGGCCATCAATTTCGAATGTGATAATAAGAACTGGCGTCAACTAGGTTGGACAGTGGTGATCTGTGCTGCTCTGATAACTGTGAGTCTCTTGTCAAGACTTTCTTATTCAACCGTATAACTGACACTCAACAGACTCGCCAGGTCTTTTTAATCGTGCAAGTAGATGCCCGTACAGATCCCATGGGTTTCTACTCACAGCACGAGTGGGTCTACTGGGTCACTGAGTCACTCCCGTTATTCTTGATCTTTGCGCTGTTTAGTTTAACATACCCGGGATTCTTCTTGCCACGAGAGTACATTGGTTTTAGAATCAAATTGAAGGAAATTGCAGAGAGCAAGCGCGATGCTTCGTGGCCATTGAACATCTCAGCCCCATTGCCTGTTCAAAAATCGCTGATTGTCGAAACCAAAGATCCAGAAGCGACTGTACAAGAGATGAAGGTGGGAATGAGATATTAGTCTTGGGATCGGGAAGCTCATATTCTCATGTCAAGGAGTTTGGTGTATATCCTAGATTTGAATCATCACGTGTTACGATAGATTAATAACATATTTCAATAGTTGTTCAGGCCTGCAATTCAAGGTTCCCGTTCGAAACGCCTGCAATTAGCAGGTGGGCACTCATAACGTGGTTTCATCAGATTTGCGCGAAATTGTACCAAGGTCATTACAATACACTCTATTGTGAGTCGGTGGAAAACAAGACCCATGCCCACCGACATCCATTGACTCGAGCAGTGAATGAATGTACGATCGGCCTGACCTGTCTTGGAAAGGACATGGATCCTGATAGTTCTCATCGGCCTGCTGTTTTTGAAAGCTCAACCAGGCCCACATGAAACGTATCAGAAAAGCCGCCATAGGAAACTTTGAATCGTCAACGGAATGCCAATAGCGACAAATTTTAAAACGGAATACAAAATATCGTAGGGTCGTGACCAAATTAGTCTATGGGTTTGACGACGCGGTGGAGAGAGCAGATGTGTAAAGATTACACTCGCCCAGACCAAGGAGGTTTTGATCCATGCCCAAATCCGTGAGACTCTGCGGCGTCTGTGGCGTGAGCGGCGTATTTGGGTCGGAAGAATCGTAGAATAGCCTATCGTGGATTGGGCCCCAATGAGTTTCTGCGCTTCGCGTCGGAGATATGGTGTTTGTGTCTTTCGAGGCGAGATATGTATCATGCTGGTCAGCTTGAGGGGACTGCGGACCAGAGTCTAAGAGTTGAGCAGGATTGGTCCAATCATAGATTTGGTCGAGCCCTTGATATGGAGTTGATGGCCCGGGCGTGGTGTTGTTCTGATCAGCATAAGGGAGGAAAGCGGATTGGATACTTGGAGAGATGGGCGTGTTGATACCAGCTGTGTAACCAATGACAGCTCCATCGCATGGAATGATACCTCTGGACTTTAAGTTACGATATGTTTGGCGTAGGTCGCGTCTAGTCTCACGAAGTCTCTCCGAGCGGCGGGCTTCTGCCGCTATACGTGCCATACGCCCTCCTTTGGCACCAGAAGCTTGACGATGTGGTGCTGGATTATGAGATTTGATTGCGCGCTTGTTCGGCTGCTTGTTGCGGAATCGAGTGGTTGATTGAACACGACCGTCTTGAAGAGCTTGTTCACTTAATCTCCACTGATAGCCTCTCCTTGTCGGCTCGTCTGGGGAATTCACTTCAATCTTCTCGAAAGCCTAGCCAAGACGTTTGAGACATCGGTATAACAGAAGAGATAATGGAAGACGTTACCTTATTCATGGAAAGATTGTGTCTGATGCTGTTTTGCCAGCCCTTTTCATGAGGATCCTTTCCTCTTGCCGTGTTAGTCTTAAACCACTCGTAGATATCTCGTAATATCATCGTGTGACCGGGAGCGTCTCTCAAACAACGAAAGAGCGACTTCGCATAAGGCTCATGTTTTCCTCCTTCAGTCGCCTCATCCTCGTCAGTGGAAACATCTTCGTCTAGAGGTGTGGAGCGGTAGCTTGGACTGGTTTCGTGATGACCGTAGTAGTCAAATTGGATATTGGGAACCCGTGCATATTTTTCGATCGAGAGTGGGATGCTAGGATTCGTGTAGAACTCCTGTTCGTCACTATACGAACAAAAGTCTGGATATGTGTCTGAGTGTGATGGGCCAGCCGGACATAGGTCGTGTGGTGCTATAGTCGAACCGCAACCTGTCAAGACTGGAGCGACGTTCATGGTAGGAAATGTTCTTGGTCGACCAACATCTGGAAGGGAATCAAAGTGTGCTTGGTGCAAAGGATTCATTGGAGTACAGGCTGATCCCGACCAATTTGAGCCAGATGCATATGCCTCATTGTTGATGTGCTCACGAACAGTGTCAAGTTGATAATTGCTCGTATGAAGCGACATAGTCTTGGAATTAGGGCTTGAATCCCACTTTAGACTATGGTCGTTGCTTGGAAGAGCATCGGCATGGTTCTCGTAGTATATTGGGAAGCCAGAAAATGTGGACCACGAAGTATCGATCCTGCCTTTAGCCATGTGCTGATCTTGTGCTTCAGTGTCACCCTGAATGAAAGCAGGCTGCTCACGTTTGACAGGCAGCCCACGAAGCTTGGATTCGACACATGCTGCGGCGGGAGTTTTCATACTTGAGTAAATAAGTAAGAATAGGAGGTCAAAGAGTGAGTGTACAGCCAGCTAACAATGAAGTTGCAAGAAGTCGCAGACGGATCATGCAACCAGGATATTCAACATTGATCTGCAGTGCATGCGAAAAGTAATAAGGGAAAGCTTGAAAGGATGAAAAAATCTCTTAAAAGATTGTGTAGATTGGTTAATTGAGCGTAGAACGCAAGGCTGCATTGCCCGACGGCTACGCACCTGTCCAACTTAAATCACGCTTTACCTGGGTGGAGGCAGCAAACAGGGAAGACTTTACATGCTGAATGCTACCAGGAGTGGTGTACTAACAACATTTGGCCCAGCGAGGCCGCTGCCATGTGGAGCAAATACACTTGTTCCTGGACGCCCACCGCACAGCCAAGAACAATGACTGATTGATACACTGTGAAGCATGACAGTTTGGTGCAACGAGAACAGCCTATCATTTGTGCTCAGACAGTAGTAGCTGTCAACGAAATGAGAACACAGAGGCGCTGCAGATCCTACCAGGCTGGTAGGCTCATCGCGCACCGCGTGCAGCTTTAGGCCCTCTCAGGCCTAGACTCATTCTACGCAAAGATGCGCGATGATTGTTGGTTTGGCTTGCAACACCCAAAAACTAATGCCCACGTGGCAGATACATGTCAGTATAACTATGAGATGTTTCCGGATTCACTTTTATCTCCTCGATGATACATTCAATTTTGGCGATGTGCCACATCGGCAGATGCGGAAGCTACCTCTGCACTAAATACCTACCGTTTGAAGACGAAACGTTGGGAGTGTTAGCTACAACTAGGGTAACGACATCGTCACTACGTGGGAATAAAGGTTGCACAGCTCGCGGCAAGCTGCAGAGGGTCGAGCAGCGTGAAGAATTGTGTATCGAACCACGCCACCATGGACAAGGCTTGTCAAGTCCTGGGGCTTATTAGGACGCGGCGGGAAATTAATGTGAAGCTGTGAGCGATCTTGCAGCATCTGTATATTGAGTCAGAAGAAGATCTAAAGCTAGTGGTTTCGGAGCACTACCCATGCTCGTAGAATGGCAGGCCATGCGGACGGCAGCAGACGGAACAGCCAGGTCTCGCCGGCAGACAGCTTATTTGCGGTAGTACACTTTCTTGAATTGGAAATGAAGAGAAAGCACTCCCTATCTAGCATGTTAGCAAAGTAATTCTAGGGAGAGGAAACGAGAAAGTACATTTTCGAAGGTGCTTTTGAAGCCCCGATCTCTCTTCGCAGAGTAGTCCCATTCTTTGTCTACTATCCGGAATGCGATATCTTGATATGGAGGGCTGGCTATAAAGCGGATGATGCACGTGTCATCCTCGCCTGCGGGAGCAACAGTTTGGCCACGCTTGCGACCACCCTCGCGCTCAATTCTGTATGTCGGCGCCTTCGTCTTGTCAATCAAATTAGGGTAAAAAATATTGAATCTATAACCTTGAACAACTTTGGGAGGTGGATTGTCATGGTCATAATGTGTTTGGTTGTATTTGTTCCACTCATAGCCCAGTTGAACGCGATTGAAAAATTTGGGTTTCCGTAGTTGCATTTGAGCTGGAATCGAGGAATTTACCGCAATATTTTCTTCGTTTGTGAAAACTTCTTCATTCTCCTGAACACCGCGAGCCACTTCGCGTTGAAATTGAGCGTTGGCCATTTCAGACGACTCGTCATCCACATTCGACGTGAGTGCGGAGATGGCCGTTGTGGAACGGCTTTCCGAAGACGGCGTGGGTAGATTAGCTGTTGGTCGTTCGCGAATGATCTTATTGGCTGGCACATAGCCCAACTTGTGAATACGTTGCCGCTCCTGCGTGACCTTTTGAAGAAAAGTGCGTTCGTCGACAGAGTCCAGAGTTTTGTCTTCTGGAGATAGCTTGAGTAACGGCTCAGGATCTAGGAATGCATGGGTGCCTTTCTCAGACACGGTAGGATGGCGAATACTCTCGACGAACCCCCGAAGTTTCATGCGAGCGCGGCTCGCCTCATTCTCTTGTTCCTTTCTAAGAGCTTTTAGACGACTATCTACGATAGCCTGGGATACTTTGCGCAGCCGCGCCCTAGCCTTAAATGTTTTTAAGGATTTCAACAGGTGTTCCCAGTAGTCCACATCGATTGGCTCGTCAGAGTCCAGCTTCTTCCTTATTTGTTTCTCGAGCGCTTCGAGCTCCTCGTAGGTCTTAGGTCCAAGGAGTTTCTCCACATCAGCAGAGACGCTGCCGATTCCACGTGCAGAGCGGCCTCCAGAACTGAATCCGGCCAAGCGTTCTTTACATATCAGCTTCATTGTCTGGTATACAGTCAGTAGCCGTGTTTCAGAAGAAAGGCAAAGAACGAAGACCCCAAAAAAAATGAAGACATACTTGCCAGTATTCTCTATTCGATGGGTGCTGTTCCAAGTGCAGATAAGTGTCGATGTCTTTTTCAAGCTCCTGGAGACTCTGCTGGTCGAGACTCTCCAGGAGCCCTTCCGGATCGGTGACTTCAAGATCTGCGTCATCCTCGTCCTCGTCCAGAGCATTTTTGGTAGGATCGATAAAGGACAGCGTTACTGCAAGCCAGTCAATAGGCTTTGGGCGTTTTCCTTTCACGCGAAGAGCAGCTTTCTTCTTCGCTTGCCGAAGTACAAACTGGTCTTCTTCAGCTACCCATGCCTCTTCTTGCGCATCCGAGGGCGCCGGTCGTTTTCGAGGGTTATTTGGTCGTTCGCTGCTGTTTGTGCTATTGCGCCATGTAGGTATACTTCCAGAGCTCATGATGAAGTCTGCGGATTTGGAGAGGGTGATTATCAGTTGGTAAGTCTGAACTGCTTGCGCACTGATTCGAACTGTTGCGGACGAGTTTGACGCTTTCATGTTGGTGCCTAACGGAGATAAGGCAGAAACTATGATGTCGTCAGCCGTCGCCGCCGTCTTAGTTCGAGGCCGCTGGCTTTGCAAAAGTAAAACGCCGCCAGTTCAACATTTGATCTTCATTACGTTTCCTGCTTTCCATCTCCTGGTTTGCAGAAGAAGCACACGATAGAACCAAAATAGCAGAAGTTTTCTCCGTCGAACCCATGCGACTTTTGGCAGCCCACGTTATTGTTCGCGATCATTTTTCTCCCCCTCCCCCCTTCTCTCGCCACCGATTGGAGCCTTCCGCACAGACAACATGAACGAAGCATGATCGTACATTTCTTTAACCTATTGAGGTTGCTGGCTCTGTCAGCCTAGAAGCTATTCTTACTCTTTCCTCATTACGGTCGGACTGATGCCCAGAACGAGCATTATCCGCCAAGTGTAATTACTCCAAAGCCAATTTCCCTGAAACCCTAGTTCTCAAGGGCGAATTAGATCATCAATTGCAACCCCTCGTATTCCACAGATCAATTAGCTATCTAGGCATTCATCACTGGTGACTAAATGCAGAGCAGGGAAAATCAGCACTGACGGTATCGAATTTTCAAAAAGCTTGTGACAAGGGAACTATTTAAGAGTACTTGGGATGTTAGTATTGTATTGAAGTACCCATAGATCAGTCTCTCCTTTTTCCTGCAGGATCAAATTCACAATGGCCACATCTATCCGTTCCACTATCGTTTTGCTCGCGTGCTGCCTACTTTCTTTTGTCACCGCGTCGCACAACATAACAGCAGTTCCGATCGACGGATGCTCCGCCTACCCGGGCTACGATGCTACCAGCGGCGGGAGTGGCAACTTCTACCTTCAAGCATACCAGACAGATAATTCCTCGGTAGACGGGATTGGTTCAAGCCTGCAGTATTCGAGAGGAGCCACTCAGATTCGATGGGGCATGATCACGCTCGGAGTCCGCGTGGACGAAGCCAAGGTTGTTCTCCGCTGCTACGACCAAGTTCTACATGGTTTCGTCGCCACCGGTGTCTCTGGTTACACATGGGAAACGCTTCAATTTGCCCCGTACCCTTACGACCAGGAACTGATGTATCTTGTTGACGGTGGACCAGCTGCACAGGCCCATACTCTGTCCGTAGATGGTGTTGAGCAAGAGGGTGTCTTCCTTGGTGCGGATGGAGTAGCATTGTGGGGATTTCGATACATTGACGCTTCACAAGGATGCTGTGGCGTTCCTTACTATCAATTGCGCCTTTTAGGTCCAAACAGTGCAGATCCAAACACCGGAGCACCTTTGCAGGATGGAGAATTCACGGGTTTCTTGAAAATTGCAGCCTTCTAGGACCATCTTATAGTCTACTCGCCCAGACTCAATTCCGCAAATCAGATTGTCAATTTTCATTCAGCCCTATTATTGGAACCAAGTCTTCATGATGAGTAAGGACAAGCTATGTTCAAACTTTGCTGAGACACCTACCCATCGACATGATGAAAGGCCAAGCTCTCCATTTATCGCGAACTACAGCCTCGTCAATGTCAGATTTTGTCTTTCAGCTTCATCACTTCTGCTTCCTTCCATTCGGCCCCGAAGTGCAGAGTCATTCAGCTGTGGCAATCCCATGAAAGAGGTACTTTTAGAGAATGTATGAGATCACAGTTGCAGCAACTTTCCCCTTTTTCACGATGCCTTTACTTTGCCAGTGCTTTCCTATAACTTTACTATAACTTTGCTATTATTTGACTAGCCATTACTGCATATAGTTTAGACGGCATTCCGCATAATGCACTAGAATAATGTGCCCCTAAATACCTGATCATCTAACAAAGGAATACTTATTTATCCAACACGCTGGAATCATAGCTCCTTCGATTAGATACCAGAGTCGATTGGTTCGTAACCTGATTCTGAATCCCAACTATTCCAGTCCTTGCAAATCTGAGTAATGGAGTCGGGGATGGTCAGCCGCTCCACGTCTGCAGGTCTAATTAAAAGATTTGAAAATAAGCCAGCGCTGTTATGCCAAGACATGTGGCAGTGGAAGGGCCAAGTTCCTGGATTGTCTGTGAAAAACTGAATCACAGTATACGCAGGTGTGGCTGGCCCATTGGGGTTGAATATAGCCTTGTCTAGAACTACGACGTCACGTCGTGTAGGATTGTCAGGATTTGTTATAGTTCCATCCCACGTACCGAAGCCTTCAGCGAGAACTTGGAAATTGAATCCGTGCAGATGCTGCCCATACATTTTCAGCTCTATGACACTTTGAATATCTAGGAAAGAAACACATACCATTGGATGATGAGTGAATGGGAACAAATTGTACAACACGAGACGTACGGTGCCGTTGCTACCAAAGTTGTATAAACTTCTGCATAAATTAGTAGTGTTCAGGGCCCTGATCGACTTGACTAACAATGTGTCTGAAGCGCTGTTTGCATTACCAGATTTGACATCGGAAAGAAGAGCCCTTGAGAAGTCCGCATGATAGGAAGCACCGTTGATGGTCCAAGAATTAATAGAGGGGTTATCAAGATGTGTAAAGTTGATATACATTTCGACCGTGGTCAGCTCTCCCTGGATATCTGATGATACCGCTTTAACAGGCACGGTCTGATTAAGTGCATCGTTTGAGCAAGGTAACAGTCTCGCAGGGTCAATCGAGGACGTGGTGGTAGGTAGAGAATTTGTGTCCGCGCCATCGTAATAGACTGCGGCAACAGCAGTTCGGATGGCTACATTTGTCAGCCCATATACATGCGTTGCGTGTAGGTGGTCAACTCACGTGAGGTTACTGCATCAATGCATGCTCTTTGATTAGTACCGTCACCAAGGTCAGATCGCATCCAGTAAGATGATCCGGGTGCCCCGATTGCCTCGACGATTACATCAGCACGCTGACCATTGGCTAAGGAGATCAAATCTGTTTTGTACGGCTGAAGAGGGGTGAAGTCGTGAGCTATCACGGTAAACGTATGCCCATCGATAGAGAACTTCGCATTCGTGGCCGCACTTGAATTGATCAACCGCAGGCGGTATTTCTTTCCCGGCGTAAAGAAGAATTTGCTCAATGGCGCATTGGGAGTGCATGGGAGTGTGGTTTTAGAGCAGTTGAAAGGCATCTTCCCGTTTATCAGAAGATTATCGACAGGTGGAGGTTGGGAATTGCCACTATGAATCGTTGTGTTCAGATCTTGATTCAGAGTCTCGTGATACCTGCTATGTTCAATAAAGCGCAGCGTATATGGATTTACGAAGAACTCACCAGTCTGATAAAAATATAGGACCAATATCCTCATCATACTCGCTGTTTTCGTTACCGTTGATGATCAATGCGCCGTAAGCACCGGTCGTGAATTGTCCTGAGTAGTGAGAATGCCACCAGGTAGTCCCTACTTGATCGGCTCGAAAGCGATACGTGAATGTCTTACCCGGAGCAAGAGGACACTGCTGTACGGAAGGCACGCCATCCATCCATTGCGATTCCTTTTGCAGCATGCCATGCCAATGAATGGTAGTGCCTTCATCCGGCAACGAATTTGTAACCTCAACTTCAATCCAATCACCATAGTTGGCCACAATTGTTGGTCCTGGAAATTGTCCATTAATCAAAATCGACTGTCTGGAAACGCCATCAGGCGCGATCTAAAATGAAATCAGCTCAGTTCGCGTACAAAGTATATAGTGCGTACGGTAGCATAGTTCACATCGAAGCTATATTTGCGTGTAACCCCAGTGTCAGGATATTCACTGGATGTGTTGGTGGAGTAGCCACCACCAAAAACTTGTGAGGTTGATGAGCCATCCGACCTTCTAGCTTTTCGAGGGGATGTCAGGTCAATTGATTGTGAGCGAATGGCATTGTTATTGCGTTCATAAGAACTGGGGACTGATCGATCAATAATAGCTGCCATGACCTGAAATCCATTGTATCCAAAAATTAGTATGATCAGAAAGAGCTGTCTGCACAGCAGCGAGTAACAGGCCCAGCACATTTTGTGGGCTGTTAGCTGAGAGAAGAACGCAGTGAGATTGCGGTTGAATTAGCAAGCTCGTGCCTAATGAGAGCCGATTAGCTCTCAGATTTTTTTTGTGTTGATGAATATTCGATATAGAAGTAGCATTACTCGATGACAATTATGGTGAAACGAGAAGCATGAAAGGGGACTGCTATTGTATATATCTCTTCAAAAAATAGAGCTAGAGTTCAAGTAATCGGTTGGTACATGAACTAATCACAAGGCTGAACATCGGAGCAGTTTGCGATGAGTTCTAGGTGTATCCTGGTTTTGTCCCGTTGTCCTAGCAATAGAAGAGATGATGGGCGCAGCAGAAAAAAAGCTTAAAGTAGCCTCGGATCATCCCAATGGGAATCTCGTCTTAATGTGATAAATGTGCAAATTGTTAAATCGTGCATTCTATAATGTCGCTCAATACGACAGGCAAGGCCACCGTTATGCAACGTACACTTAAGACGCAATTAAGGTCTGGCCGCCATGACATGGTGGACTTGAGGAACACAGAGAAGCCCGGAAGGCACACTTGGGAGCATGCAATGCCCTTCGCCGAAGGAATTTCACTGGTTCCTCATATTGTGGAGTGACGCATGGTTTAATCCGTCGGAAAGCTGCATATATCCTGGCTGTGATCGTTGCATGTACAAATAATTCATATCTGAGCCTGCAGGACGGCAGAAAAGCCAGCAGTCAACAAATAAGAACTTTGTACCAGTAAAAGCATGCGTGAGCGCAGATCAGCCTCACGGATCTTAATTTAGAAGATATTAGCGGTGGGTATAGAGAAAACGTCGGACAATAGTCCGTAAGCACCCAGACAAGTATGCTCCCGGTTGCCTCACGACGGAATAGCTGGAGCGAGAGTGGAGCTGAAAAGAGTCGTCTCGTTCACGTCCAATCCCACTGAGTTCCGGCGGGAATGATGTCCGTTTAACATTTTTAGTATATGATGATGACAATCTCAGAGCGAGCTTGCAACAAACAGCCAAGCATAAATAAAGATGTACTACGTCAGTCGGCCATATTCAGCTCTAGACAATTTCAGGTGACAAGATCGTGCAATACGGTGGCAGAAATGCACGAGACAAAGTGGGAGAAGTGGCGGACTTGTGTTTTGGTTGTGAACGCCGCTGTATCTCGGTGGGCCTGTGACTATTAAAACGTCTGCTACAGAATATATCAGGCATCGTCCATGCGTGGAATGCTCTCGTCGACATCCCTTTTATCCTTGCGTTGTAACTGAGAAGTCGGATGTTCTTTTTTTAAGAAAAAAAAACATAGGTGTATATAGGCTAACGGCACTGAACGATAAATCAAATAACGGTGCATGATGCAGCTGTGGCTGCTCAACGTGTGATGCGATCAACCCAGACATTGAGGTTGTTCAAGAACGCTTGGTTGGTTTTGTGCACCGGCTGTTGTGACATCGCTTTAATAATCTCAACGCATCAAACGAGTTCATATCAGCGACGAACGATGTGGGAGTGGAACAGTCAACATCGAACGCTTGGTCCTCGGTCTAGTCCGGATTCGGCAAGAAAAACTGCTTGGCACAGAAATAACCTTCGCAAAGACGACGATAAACTCTTCGCTAGGACGAGTGCCGGCTCCGACTCTCTTGTTTGAACAAAGATGATTGCCCTTGGTCTAGAGGGCTCGGCCAATAAGCTGGGAATCGGAATCATATCCCACCCGTCGCCCCAGAAACCGCCTATCATTCTCGCGAATCTTCGACACACGTACCACGCCCCGCCTGGTGCTGGCTTCCTTCCAAAGGAGACTGCAAAACACCATCGACAATGGGTTGTGCGGCTAGTAAAGCAAGCGCTGCGCCAGGCTGGCGTTAGTCCTGCCCAAATCGATTGCATATGCTATACAAAAGGCCCGGGCATGGGTGCCCCGCTGCAAAGTGTGGCGGTCGCGGCGAGAACAATTGCTTTGCTCTGGGGACTGGAAGACAGGATGATTGGCGTCAACCACTGCGTCGGCCACATCGAGATGGGCAGAGCGATCACGCGAAGTGCCAACCCCGTCGTCTTGTACGTGAGTGGTGGTAACACCCAAGTAATTGCGTATTCGCACCATCGATACAGAATCTTCGGCGAGGCCCTGGACATCGCAGTCGGAAATTGCCTGGATCGATTTGCAAGAGCGTTAGCCATACCCAACGATCCAGCCCCAGGTTACAATATCGAGCAGATGGCGAAGAAGGGGAAGCTGCTCGTCGATTTACCGTATGCTGTTAAGGGAATGGACTGCAGTTTCAGTGGCATCCTTGCTACCGTGGAGGGCCTTGCTGACCGGCTAGCCACCGGAGCAGATGACACAAGAATAGATCGCCTCCGCACCGACGAAGGCCACCTTATTACACCAGAGGACCTATGCTTCTCGTTACAGGAAACAGTATTTGCCATGCTAGTAGAGATCACCGAACGTGCCATGGCTCATGTAGGGGCGACGCAAGTGCTCATTGTTGGAGGTGTTGGCTGCAATGAGCGGCTTCAAGAAATGATGGGCCTAATGGCACAAGAAAGAGGCGGCAGCGTTTACGCGACCGACGAGCGTTTCTGTATCGATAATGGCATTATGATAGCTCACGCAGGATTGCTTGCCTACAGTACCGGTGTCAGAGGTAGAATTGAAGACAGCGAAACGACGCAACGTTTCCGCACAGACGAAGTATATATTGGATGGCGCCCGCGGGACGGATGATGTCGTCTAGGAAAAGTTCTCGCTTCGCGACAGTCAAGGAAATGCGGTTCGTGCTTGTGTGATTTAACGTATGAACCTGAGCAGATCGTATCACAGCTGCCATGGATCTTTATATTTAGCTCGCACTCATGGCGCCAGAACCATAGGCAAACAAAACACGTAGGCATGAGAGTTGTGACTGAGCATTTTGTCGCACATAAGAGAAGCCGTCTAAAGTTGGTGACAATAATTTCAACATCAATAAATCAAAAGACACAGAAAATACTTTGTACATTGAAGCTGTATAAACCACAGTTCCCGAAACGTCAGGGGCAAAGCCGGACCAATGCCTGCGGCTGCCCTACAGCGACACATTTGGACGAGGACGAGATCGTTCGTAAGTGGAGGAAAGGAAGCCCGTTGTCTACAGCGAAATGTGCTGGAGCCAGAGCGGTTTCAAAGGAAGAATGAGACGGTTTACTCTACAGCTTTTCCGCTGGAGTTGGTGAAGACGGCTACGGCGAAGGAACAAGTTAGTAGAATGCAAGATGAGAGAGCGGGAAAGAAAAAAGTATCGTCAAAACGTTCTGCAACGTCAGTTTGTCTTCCTGTGAATTTTGCTCTCGCTTTTCAAAGAATTCGGTAGAGTGCATTTGTCTTCCGGTACATTTGTCGCACCTGCCGATTACGTACACCGTACCGATCATACACGTTCATTCTCGAACTTTTCGCACTGTACATGGATCATCCAGACCTGAAAAGAAAATGTACACATGACTGCAAAGGAAAACAGCCGACTACAGCTTGGATGCCGGCTGGCTCGTGCTCACATTGGTGATTTCGTTATACAACAGCCTGAACCTCTCGTTAATTTTTGAAGCAGGACAGGAGGAGGAAGAACTTACGACGTCAAGAATTCAGCATAATCCTCGCCAGTGACCTGTCCTTCGAAGTACTTGGCTGCAAGCGCATACTTATTGCCCTTTGGTGCCTTGGACGCGAGTTCTGCTGCCTGCTCATGCAGCAGCTTGAGCGCATATTCCTTCGTCACTTTCTTACCCTCGCTGGTGCTAACGCCGTGCCTGCACCACTGCCACAACTGTGACCGCGAGACCTCGGCTGTGGCAGCATCCTCCATCAAGTAGTTGATGGGAATGCAGCCAACGCCGCGAAGCCAGCCCTCCATATAGCCGAGACCGATGTTCAAGTTCTTACGGATACCGTCTTCCGTGATCTTGCCAGGCACGTTCATGTTTAGCAGGTCGTTGCGAGTGACGTGAACGTCCTCGCGGCGAATATGCATCTGGTTAGGGGTTGGCATATACTTGTTGAACACTTCCGAAGCTATGGAAGCCAGAGCGGGGTGAGCAACCCAGGTGCCATCATGGCCGGCACGAACCTCCCGAAGCTTGTCTGCACGAACGTTGGCCATGGCAGCATCATTGGCTTCCTTGTTGTCTTTGATGGGGATCTGAGCGGCCATGCCGCCCATTGCATGAACCTGGCGCCTGTGGCAAGTCTTGATGAGCAGCTTGACGTATGCGTCCATGAATGGAACGGTCATGGTGACGGCAGACCGGTCTGGTAGTACAAAGTTAGGGTTCTGTCGGAAACGTTTGATAACGCTAAAGATGTAGTCCCAGCGACCGCAGTTAAGACCGGCGCTGTGGTCGCGAAGTTCATAGATAATCTGGTCCTGTTAGTGCCTACACGTCTCATCGTTCGGACTGTGCTTGCCTCGTCCATTTCAAATGCAGCCATGATGGTCTCAATCAGGACAGTAGCACGGATTGTGCCTCTCTTCATGCCGATGTAGTCCTGCGCAAGGTTGAACACGTCGTTCCACAATCTGGCCTCGAGATGGGATTCCATCTTGGGCAGATAAAAGTACGGACCCGTGCCTCTCTTGACGAGCTCTTCAGCGTTGTTGAAGAAGTACAGGCCAAAATCAAACAGCGAGCCTGAGATCGGCTCTCCGTCGACGGTAAAGTGCTTCTCCTCCAGGTGCCAGCCACGAGCACGCGCAATCAGCGTAGGGAGTGTTCTGTCGGTCCGTAGTCTGTACCATTTCTCACCCTGCTTAAAGTCGATTTGTCTGCGAATGGCATCGTAAAGATTCACTTGACCGTTGATCATGTTCTCCCATGTTGGCGCGCTCGAGTCTGGCCAGGCGTCAGCACTGCTAAGAATGACGTCGAGATTGAGAATCACCTACCCTCGAAGTCGGCCATGTACGTCCAGACATCAGCATTCAAGGCATTGACAACCATCTTCCTATCTGTCGGACCGGTGATCTCGACACGGCGGTCGACAAGGCCAGGGGCGGGCGGCGCACCCTTCCATGCGTCGTTGTCGCGGATGTGTTTGGTCTCTGGAAGGAAGTCCGGTAGGTTGCCCTTGTCAAGCTCCTGCTGGCGGAGCACACGTCGCTGGAGCAACTCCTTCCGCCTCGCATTGAACGCTCTGTGCAGCACAGCGAGGAAAACGACGGCGTCCTTATTAAGGATCTTCTTGTGCTCCTCGCTCACCTGACCGAGGATGTTGACATCCTTGACGACGGTAGCAGGGTCTGGGGTGTAGTTTGTCTTTGCCATTCTGTCCGCTTTGTGGGGTTCAAATGCTGCTGCAGTGTAGGCTTAGGAAGACGTTGGAAGCAGCGGCGGAGAAAGGAATATATGCGATCAGTTCGGCAAAGAGGAGCTGTGACGCGGTATAAATTCGGCCATGGTCGTCATAGCCAGCCTCGGCCGACAATCCCTTCAGCAGAGCATGCAAGGCCAGAAGCTGACCCCGGCGAATCTGCCAATGCAAGCTAATTGCCCCACGATACATGCATTCGCCCGGGTGAGGGGGAAAATGGATAGGAAAGGTTACTATCGGCGCGCTTGTGATCGAGGATACAACAAGGTCATGGAACGGCAGCCTCCGCCGACCGAATTTGGCTCCAGAAGTGTGGTGAGGTGCTGGCGGGGCAAACAGGACGACAGGCTGGACCGCATGCATGCCGGATGCCGGGGCTACAATCGTCGATTTTGTCTTCTTTTCCAGACCTTGACCTTCTGGCCATCGACGAGGAATCGCCTTTGCATTGCACGTCAGATTCCAAGTCCAGCAACTCGCCTGTGCAGCTTTTCGTGCTCGACACACCTGAAGGGCGGCCGACAGGGTGTGGAAAGTCTCTTTCCGTTGCGCCGCCCACGAGTCGGAGTCGAACCCAACCGATTCGCCCCGACACGTTCCGCCAATCACGTTTGCTCTCGCCTCGCAAGGTGACCGACATCTGATGCTGTTCTTACTATGTGCCGCTCATCAGGACTGACAGTCCATCACTTCGAACGCACTGCGAGAAGGCGGCCCTTCTTCGAACCTATGAGTCACTTGAGAAGTGGATCGTTGAGCAAGCGACATACGCCTCTTCTTTCCTTTTCCTTTTTTTCTGGTTCTCCTGCGTGCGTGCTTGGCGATAGGCGCTGGACTCACAACACAGAATGGGTAAGTGGATGCAGGTACGGAGTACATGGCCACGCCGCCGAGAGGCCGACACTGGCCTGAAATATGCCTAAAAACAACCTTATACAAGTTGCTATCGAGTAAGTAGAACCCAAGGCTTCAGCTCGTTATGCCGGTTATCGCAGGCCGGCCGCGTGAGCTTGTCCACTGTGCAGTCTGGACCACGCACTCGCACCGTCGGAGTTCCCCGTCATTTCAATCCAAAACTTCTCCAGCTTCTTCTCAACGCGGCCGATCAGGAGCTACTGGCACCTGTCGTCCACCAAAGGTGAAATGGCTTATAATGTCTCTCAGTCTTGTTTCATACTCTTTCATGATGTCCACGAAAGACGGGCTCTGGGCACGATCACGTAGGGCAAGAATGTCAGCCAGCTCGTACTTTCCACCGGTTTTGCCCCGTTTGTGTTGGTTATGCCTTGTTAAGCAGAATCACGATCAGTTGGTCAACAAGATCTCCGGCTGCGAATCTACAGCAGATGGAAGGACAAACTCGGCGTAAATCTGCCGTCGTGCATGCTGTACCTGTGCTTTCCACAAAGACCAGAACAATAAATCCTCGCTGAGAACAAAGCGCGATACTTCTGATGCAAGTCAGGACTCCGTCCACGTCGCAGCACATCTGAGCACATCATAGTTTTTTTTTTTTTTTAATTTTTTTTATTTTAGATGCTGATTAGCCAAACATATTGACGATGGTGAAAGACCCGCCAACTCCGTGAGGCAATGTCGTGAAGTCGTTAGATGACCGACTTAAGCTGAACGTTGCCGTGTGAAGACCAAGACAACTGTTGATATGGCCAAGTCTTTAAATGAAACGGACAAAAAACAGTCCCTGTGGCACGTGAAAATCTCAGACTTGGGCGTAGTTCGATTGTCAAATCTCGCGAATCGCGAAGCTGCATCAACTTGTGCCGAGGTGTCAGGGAAGCTGAAATCGAAGTCTGTTCACTCGATTGATAAGTAACGTCGACTGCACCAGCACCAAAGCTCGTCGGGAATGTCGAGCGCTGGTGACGACGTGCTCAACCGTGCAGGAAAAAGAACCCTACTCGCGCAAAAGATAGCCATTTCTCCGTCTGTGCTGGTCCACCTGTTGTTCTTGCAAAGTCATGGAGCCAGCCTGGAGGAACGACTTGCGCGTAGAAAACGCGCGTCTCCATTGCACGTCGTCGCACAGTCTGATAGGCAGCGACGAATCGCGGAAGGCGCAGTGATTCTGATCTGCAACGGTGTGATAGTAGAAGCCTTGATGCCTGGGATTGGAGGCCTTAAGCACGATGATGGATTGCCTGTGGAGCCATTCCCTGGGGTGTGGTCGTCGACGACAGCGGAAATCCGAGCACAAAGCCGCCGACTTCCACGAACCAACAGTGCTACACTTCCCCGGACGTGTACAGGCTCGCAGAGCGATCGACGCACACAGCACACGGTGATTTTGGGTCCAGTCATTACTCAATTGTCACGCCTCACGAGACCTTTGGAGACACAACCGGGCGGACTTACCTACGTTCCGCATCCATGCCTGAGCCTTCCTCTACATAGCCCAACCGGCCATTCTTGACCCCGTCCCTTTCGCCCCTCGCATTCGTCTTTCCTCGAAGCGCCCGCGATGCCTTCGATATTGTCCGACGAGGACAAACAAACGGTCAAGCGAACTGTGCCGAAGCCGTCCAACAAGATTCATGCCGTAGCTGTAGCGAAGCTGTACATTGCCTACCCAAATCCGTCGAAATGGACTTACACGGGCTTACAAGGCGCCGCTGTGCTGGCAAACGATCTAGTCGGAAACACATACTGGATAAAACTTGTCGACATATCGGTATGTTTGTACAAATAGCCTTAATGATTCCGTTGTGACTAACAGGCGAGGCCAGCCTGCAAATCGAGGTGTGATATGGGACCAAGAGATTTATGACACATTTTCGTACAACCAAGACCGCGTTTTCTTCCATACGTTTGAGCTCGAGGACTGCATGGCCGGCCTCTCTTTTGCAGACGAGAAGGAGGCCAAAACATTCATGAAGAAGGTCAATGAGAGAGAAAAGAATGCACACAAGAACACGAGGAACAAGCCATTTGGCGCAGCTGGTGCCAACGGACATACTGCAGTCGGCGAGAAGTCTCATCACAGCTTCCTTGGTGGCCTATTTGGGCATCATAGGCACGAAGCGCCGCCTCCATCGTCACCTCCCCCTGTGCAATCGGTAGCTTCACACACGACGGCTTCGAGCAGAGACTCGCTTATCCAGAGCATAGACCCGGCGCTACGTAAAGAGCTTAAAGCTATGGGCATTGGAGACGACCAGCTGGCAGACAATGCGGAGTTTATACAAGCTTGGTTATCAGCACAGAAAAAGGAAGAGGCGACCCGAAGCCGCGCACCTCCTCCGCCACCGCCTGCTGCGCCGCCATCACGAGCAGCAGACATGAACTCGCACGATACGGGAAGTACAGCAGCTTCACGGCGAGGAGCCCCGCCGGCTCCTCCACCGCCGAGACGAGGTGGAACGCAAAACACAGGCACAAGGCAAGAGACACCGTCCCCGCCTCCACCTCCTCAACCACGGTTCAAGGTCCCACCACCTATTGCAGATGCTGGGAAGCTTGCTGCAGATGTGTCATCCAACAGGCCACGGGCGAATTCGAATCTAGCAAATCCAGGCCCTCCACCGCCACCGAGGCCCCCGAAGACACCGATCGAGGACCACGATTCACCTCCGTCTCGACCTGTTCCACCACCCCTCCCTCCGCAGAACCAAGTGCCATCTCTGCCACCGGCACCACCCTCACGAGGTCCGGTGCCTCCCCCACCTCCACGCGAAGTACCCCCGCCAGTGCGCGAGATTCCTCCACCGCCACCTATACCCGGATTGGCAAGAAAAGATGTCAATGGTGCCTCAAAGCCATCAGCGGCACCACCTCTCCCGCATTCAAGTGCAAGACCTGTTCCTCCCGCTCCAGTGGCGCCAACAAACAATGCTCCTCCTCCTCCACCTCTCCCAAGCTCCCACGTTCCCCCTCCGCCTCCTTTGCCGAATTCAAATGCTCCTCCGCCACCACCCTTGCCGAATTCAAATGCTCCTCCGCCACCACCCTTGCCAAGCTCAAATGCACCTCCACCGCCTCCCCTTCCAAGCTCAGGTGCTCCACCTCCACCGCCATTACCTCCTGGTCACGACACGTCCGGTGGTCCACCTCCACCTCCTGTGCCTACGATGCCGAAAGCACCAGGTCGAGACGGGCTGTTGGCGGACATCAGGGGTGGTACGAAGCTCAGGAAGGTGGCCGATAGCGAGAAACGGGATAGAAGTGCGGCTCTTGTGCCTGGCGCTGAACCTTCTAGTCCAGGGCCGGCTGCAAGCGGGGGGACGAGTGGAGGCGCTGCAGATGGTGGATTGGCTGGCGCTTTGGCATCTGCTCTTGCGGCCCGGAAGGCGAAGGTCAGCCATAGTGGTGAGTCGAATTCCCTGCTTGAGTATATTATCTTCACTGTTATTAATCGAATCATGCAGATGACGAAAAGGACGACGATGATTGGTGATTGGTGTGCTGGTCACGAAGCCTTGATTGTCAATATTCAGTGCTTTGATTGTGTTGATGTGGATTGCGCGAAAGGTTTATCACTGAAGCTCCGAAACAGAGAGACAAGAATAACGGTGAACTAATCTTGGTCTTGGTGGTGGTTCTAGCGCAGAATGGAAGAGCTGCAGCGGGTGGTTGAGCCGTTTTGACGTGTTGCTGCTGCTATTGATGAGTAAGTGGTGTTAGTATCTTCGAGAAACTGATCGTGCGCACCCGGCCGAAATGGCTCAGAGAAGCCGGAAATAAAATCGCGAGATACTATGACAACGTTCATCTGTCGCCTTCTTTTTTGAAGTCCAACATCTCCAGCTTGTCCCATGCCTGCGTAGATTTCACGGCATTCGTCCAGCCCCAAGCACATAGCGGACACAAGGCTGGACATGACTCCCGTGGAAGCATCTTGGTTCGTGAACACTATGGCGTTGGGAGGCCGCGTGAAAGGTTTCGAAGTCGTTGTCCGCTTTGCAGCGACTGCAACAGACAGGTGCTCGTGAGAGCTTCACGACTGGTCTAGATCCCACAAATCGATGAACCAAGCCGTGGGGCCTTGAGCGCTGCCTTTGCCGATCAAATAGTGAAAGGAAAACAACGGAATGCACGGTAGGCGGGCAGCGATAAGCGGCATAACATAAGCCTGTGACATTATATCAAAATCGCGACTGACGAAGAGAACGCAATCTTCGCTCGCTTCGGCCGTTGCTCCGAGCATTTTTCTATCGTACATATAAATTCAAGTTTAAACTTTCAAAAAAGCAAAGAAGAATGTCTCATATCATCATGATGATGCGCGGTGTGAAAAATCTGTACACCTTCCTGAATTTGGAATGCAATCTTTAGCTGGAATGCTAATGATGAGGGGATACAACGAATATGAATTATGCCAAAAAATTACGCCGACAGTTCCTTTCGTGATGCAGATGATCAAACTGAACGATGCGATTACGCCGGAAATCGCCAACGATATGCGTCAAACAGTCGTCCAGTCCACGGGTCCTCAAACCTTGGGAAAGTTGCTAGGACGGACGACGTGAGACAAAGAACCATAATCTTTCCCCAATGTTCATACCGATTTTCGTTCATTGCCAAGTCGGGAATTGAATCTGAGGATTGTTTGGATCGTGCTGTGGGCCTTGTGGGCCAAAACTCCACATGGCATCCGGAACAAATAAGCCTGAAATTGCTCCATCCATACTCATCCCCAGCGAACCGATCCCGTAATCGAATCCATCATAACCATTTGCGTTGCCAGTGTACAGGTATGCGTTCGGGTCCATTGGGAGGTTCATGTGCGCAGCCGCTGCTGGGGCTGCGGTGTGATGATGTGCAAAATCCCAGCTTTGCGTTTGTGGATGTGAAGCCTGGGACTCGAGAATTGTAGTGCCAGTATTGCCATCCGTCTGCGGTTGTGAGACTCTGCTCGCCTGCCGCTGGTCGTTACCGCTCATCGCAACCTCGCTGAGCAAATGCAAGCCTTGCGCCGGCATGCTCGTAGTCGACTTTCTGTCTGTATCTTCTTCTTTCGCTAATTGCATCTTGGATTCCGTCACGCTTTGAGGGGTCTCCCTTCCGTTGCTCCTGCATATTCCTGCGGTGCTCTTGCTGTGCTTGATGTTTTGCCATCTTTCCTGCAAGCGCTCAATTACCCATAAAAATTTTACGTGAGGACTTAATGCGTCCTTGTCCATTACTCTCCTGAATACCTTCTGTAGTTTATCCAAATATGCTTCGACCTGCAGCTCTTCTTTCTTGATTACACTCGCCATTTCCCCGGGTGAGTTAGCTGCAATGTACAGCTTGATGATGACTACAACGGCATAGATAACCCTAACGCCCGCTATTAATCACAATTTAATATTAGCAAGACGTAGCTTTTGATGCATAGAGTTTTCGAAGATACTTACTGAAAATTACAGGGAGAACGTATATTACCTCAAAATCATAAGATAGGAAAGTATCTAGAATGTCCCGGCATGACTGCTGACATGCAGTCAGAGCGCGTATATGCTCTGGACCAAGAACTATGTCTCCTACTGCAGTCTTGAAGGTTTCCTGAATCCACGGGCCCTTGAAATCATCTACGTTGCTCTGAGAATGAAGCGCAATTTCGTGGAGGTAGAGATTTGTGACGTGCTCCGCGAGTCGTAACGCGTAGTCTTGCGTCCCAGCACCGCGGATTTCCGCCAGAGCTTTCTCGTAATGTTTGATACTGAACGTGACATTGCGGTCCGTCACGGTGTAATTGATCGCCGGGTCATCCATTGCAAACTGCGTAGCAATGTCCTCGCAGATATGAGCTATCCGTACATGCTGACAAAGCATTTTGTCGGACGGCAGCGCGTCATCGGACGTTTCCAGAATATCAATACAGTCCTTCATATATTCAGTGAACCGTACTAGAATCGGCCGTCGGAGAATCATCGTGATGCTGATGCAAAGAAAGTAGCAAACAACCCAAGCGCGCTTCGCTTCGATGCTATCATAGAAGTAGGGTATCCTCCTAGGTGGCGGTTCGCCTCCAAACCATTTCTGCTTCCACGGACTCATTCTCTTGCCAATGCCGATATCGATGGCCATGACGGCGGACATATGCACCATCTGATAGAACATGTGCTGTTCAAAGTTCGCTGGTGGCCGATACCACAGGGTTGCAACCTGCAATGCTTGAACAAGTTCCAAGCTCTTCTCGCCATGCTTCCACATGGCTTTTGCAAAGACATCGCGCAACTCCGCTTCCAATTTCTTCTGCGCCTTATCTGAGACTCCAGTACCGAACGAAGTGCTGCTTAGGATGGCTAGGAATAGAACAGGTTTCTCCTTTCGAATTTTGCTTGCTTTCGTGCCTGGAGGGAAAGGTACTGCCGGAAAGCGAGGCACGACAACGTTGACGTAACGGTCGAATAGTCGCTCGGCCGTCTCTGGATCGACAATTTCGTCAATCTTCTGATTGATATCACCATGGTCAAATGTTTCTGGCTTCTGCTGGTTGTAAATGCTTCCCTTTCCCTCAGGGTCTGAGCTCGGCGTCGGCATGAGGTTGTTTGAATCGTCTGCATTGTTCTGTATGCGATTGGTATCCAGTCGTTCTAAGCGCCTTCGTTTGTCGGAGCCCTCGTTGGGCCTTATCTCCTGCCTCTTGAGCTGCGGAGATGCCGCTTCTGTTCCTAGCAACCTGCGGTCGGCAACATATTGAGGAGAACGATGAGCAAATGGTGATTTAGCCTCAGTCGTCAACTGGTCAAGCTGTATGCCTCCTTCAAAGACTGAAGCCTCTCTTGCCGCAAGGGTTGCTGTCAGCGCATCTATCTTGCGCTCAAGCTCTGCAACCCTACCGTCTGCCTTCTTCTGTCGCTTTCGCGTCGGTGGGGTAACTATACACTGGCGCCGCGCCTTCGCGCATCGCTTGCACGGCAGGCCTGATGCCGGGTCTATTATACATTTGACCTTGAGGCCGCGGCAGGAGTCGCATGCGCGGGGCCGCTTCTCAGGAGTTTTGCCCAGTTCACTGCTTGCTCAGGTCAGAGGACTGACTGTCGAAAGAGTTGATGACAGGTTTGAAAATCAGGGCTGCGGAGAGCGTGCAGTCTGCACTTACCTTGCATTCCCATGTCCCGCATCGTCGGGATTGCCATGTTCTGGTGAGTCGTCTCCACCTACCGACTCATCGTCGCGCTCGTGTGGCTCGACGAGGTGCGGGCCCTGCAACGGCTGGTGAACGGTATGTACCTGGGCGAACGGGACCCCACTGCCGCCATGTTGGTGCTGGGCATGCGGGAAGAGGTGGTGCTGCGGATGACGAGCGTCGCTCTCACGGGCGGAGTTCGAGTAGGAATGTGAGTTGTGCCTCGGATCACGATATTGCAGCTGGGGATCGATGATGGCGTTCGCATTGGACTGTGCCATTATTGCCGGCCCATCGAGAGCTGCTGGGGCCCGCCGAAGCGCTCGTCGGTCCAGTCGGCGAGTCGAGCGTGCGATGGGGATGCCGTGTCGGGAGTCGGAACCTCAGACCAGAAGGCAGTTGGCGGACTGAAGGATGGTTGACTAGGTGTCCAACTGTGGGGGAAATCCTGGCTGCCCTACAAGTATTTTTCCGGCCACACAGCAGCAGGCGCGCGGGAAAAAAACAACGCGACCAGTTTCTGACGTCGTCGAGATGGTTGAGAAGTGATGAAACACAAGCGTATGGCCACACATATTTCCGCAGCTCAGGCTGCGACTCCACGAAGCAGACGAGGCGAGGAGCGTGAAGGGGGGTTCGGTCTATCGTGCGACAAATGTACAACTTTTTATGCGATAGGGCACAAGAACGTGAAGGAACAGCAGTTAAGAGGGGGTGGGGAAAGTATGGGCGAGTGTGTTCGGCTTCATCTCACGTCTGGCCCAACATCTGGCGAGGCGGAGGTCGCATCTGGTGGCGCCTACCCGAAGCCCCCAGTGCTCACACTGACGGTGCTGTTCGTTCCTTCCCTCCTGGTGCTCCCGGCACGAACTTGCCTTGTTGCTATTATTACGACAGCATCTGTTCGGAGCGCCGTGTTGCTGGTAAGGCGCGCGATGGCACTTTCCTTCGTTGCTGCAGGTACCGTCCTTCTGCCAGCGGCGCTGCTAACTTAGGCAAGAGCGACAACAACAGAAAGGGAATGCGCGCGGGCGGACGACCCAGCACGAGCACTGGCAGCTTCAGCGTGCCGGGCAGGCAGCTGCGATCGCTCCGCTTCTCCACTCCCAAGGCAAGTAACTACGAGGACGGACTATCGGAAAGTGCCAGGCCCGGCCCTCGCGCCTTCTCTCCTTCCCCTCTCCAGCACTCCTCCCTTTCCTCAGCCACAGCCCTACAGTTGGAACCTTAAGCTAACCGATAAAGGTGCGAACACTCCTTGCTTGCAAGTTAACTTGACTGGTCGCGGACACACTTTTATACGAAAGTCTACTGGCTACTGCGCGGGGCGGGTTCGTTGCTGCGTTAGCTCCCACTGACACAGCCACCTTTGCCTTGGTTTCTGCCGCCCTTGTTGCTTTGTACGTTCCTCATCGCAAACGCGCCTCTGCTCCTCGCGTCCAAAGGCTGGCCTCGATTGCAAACCGGCTTGTCTGACGTATCCCTATGATGCCTCAGTTGCTCATCATATTGGGGAGGTTCACGACAGGCTTGCCGTTCCCGTGCCGCAGGTCTCACGCCGTGCTGTGCTTATACGACTAGGCGAAAATCAAGGCGCGCCGCGACCGAACGTCCAAACTAACCTCCTCCCCCTATAAATAGGTCAAACGAAATGAACGACTGGAACTGGCGTTTCTGTGCTGAGCACCTCACCACCAGACTACCTGTGGCTAGCACCACGTGGGCTTTCGCTCACACTCGTTGATTTTTATCTAATAACTTACATCTGGATATTATCCTTATGATCGCGCCACAACTATTCGATCTCCACGTACTTCGTGCTTGGCAATCTCTGCAGCTGGCTGCAGAGGGGATGCGCTTGGTTCCAAATGGTTTACAGAGTGACCAAGATCCTCCCCTTATCGCAATGCCGTTTTGAAACCCATGCGACCGATCACATTGGCTAAGCTTTCCAAGGCAGGAGGCAAAAGCTTGGGCAGCCTCGAGCAGATTCTCCTGCGGTAAGGGCACAAAGTGTACCCACGCACACCTTCCTCCCCCTCTCATTCGTGATCTCGAGAGACGCAGACAAAGGATGTTCAAAAAGCCTCAAGCTCGGCATTGGCTTCTATGACACCCTTCATCCCACGCAACGGTAAGCTCACATGGTCTAGACTTCGTATCGAACGTTTGGATTTGCTCGATGCTATCATTGTTTTTCCATCAGTACCAAGGCCCAACCTGTGTATTTTGTGCTGCACGGGTAAATGACTGGGGAAGAATTGTGGTCAAGACGAGAATGTTCAAAGTGCTTCCTCTTGTTGGTATTTGGACGAAGGAACGTATGCATCAAAGATACGAATCTTTCGTGCCATCGCCCTCGCTCCTGCTTCGTTTCTTTGGTCTCCTTTGCAGCCATTGAGTTCAGGACGACTCCTAGGCATACTTCCTCCCAGCTTACTAGTCTTATCTGTGCTGGCACGCGCTTACGTTCTCGCTCAACTTAGAGTTCCAGCCGCATACGGCAACACCCGAGATGTTGACGTCTATATTGCCGTCCAAGTACGCGGCGAAAGGAAATGGCTGAATTCCTTAGTAATCTCAGGGGACCGCAGTTCCATTCTAATACTTCTTTGCAAACCTTTTCGGAAGGTTCTATCCTTCCAAGCATGTATATCTCATTCTATCCGGCTCCTCGTTTCTGACTTGGGCTCGGGTCGTGCAATCTAAGATATAAATTTCGGTTGCATAAGCTGCCACTGAGGGCCTCGATTTCTCCTGTCTCGACTTGAGTGGTTCTCATCATTTTTTTTTCATCCTTCATTTCGAATCGCCGTAGTTCTGGGTATTTCTACGTCTTCCCATCCCATGCGTAGCTTCATTTTGTGGGTGAAACAATTGTTGTTTTCTTGAGACAGCCGTACGGTTAGGAGAGCCAAGCTTCACAGTTCTATAAGAATGGATACAAACACGTTCATTATGGAAGACTCAAATGCTGGCCTCGTCATGGCCGTTACCGAAGTTGGTGGGATCACAAAAGCTCCTGTCACCATCTCAAGTTGCGGACATCTGCGGCTAGGACGCCCACACTCGTGCGTCGTGGATCTTGGATCAGATTGCTGGCGCTGTACACTTACTTCATCAGCGCGAAAACTCAAAAGCCATCGTAAGCACGCAATAAAGCTATAGGACCAAACATTTTAAGAAGGAGAAAAAAAATTTGATCATAAAGAACGTGTACTTCAACTCAGAGGCTACGTTGGAGATGCTCCGAGGAGAACGATGGGTACCAGAGCCGCAGGGTTTCCGCTCCAACAAAAAGAAGCACCGCGACTCATCAAGTTCCATTGATTCAAATGTCCACCATGGATGTCACGTTGGAAGAAGACAAGGAATCGTGAAAGTCAGGGTGAGAAATTGTTATATTGTCTATTCCTGCAGTGAAGCAGATGCAAATGTAGATGTGTCTCCACAACAGACTGAGACGATGATTATGGTAAGGTTGAAAAGAACCACGGCAATCAGAAAATCCATTGACCGCTCAATCATGTATAAACGCCTTTGCCGATGTCGTGCTCGTAAACGTCATACCTTTCGTCCGTTCGCTCCAAAAAGAGGGTCATATAACGTTCAACGCTTATTCCTTTCTATTAAAATCAGGAAAAACAACCCTTGCACCGACAAGTGCTATACTCGATGTTGCCTTTCTTAGATGCATGACTTATCTTTCGTAACTGTGAAAAAAATGAAGAGTCCAATCACCATCTGATCCGTCCTAGCTTTTTAACCTTCATTAACTTCATCAATACTTTCCCCTTGCCGGTGTTTCTGAAGTCGACTTCGGGTGCGAGGTGGAGTACGAGGACTAGATGAAGGACTCATGTTCTCTATAGAGCGTGTGATCGCTGTGTTGATAGGAGTCAGCGATGGTTTCGCTGATTCTCGAGATGGACTAATATGCTGTGTTGTTGTCTCGATGGGAGTGCTCTCTCTTAGGCTCCCAGTTCGACTAATAGATGGGGATGCGGGCGAGCTGTGATGATTCGGTGATCCAGTCGAAGATCTGCCCATATCTTCAGCATATTGTGCATTACGCAGCTGAGCACCTGCCGTGACAGGCTTGCTTAGATTGTCGTAACTGATGCGCGTATTTAGCAAGGGATACTGTCGTGAGGCTGGACGAAAGGGATCGTTCTCTCTCCTCGGTGTAGTCGTTCCGTCGACTCCATTGAAACCGTCGGTGAATTCGCTGAAGTCCCGTGTGCTCCACGACCCACGGTGCACTCTTGCTGCGTACGGAAGGCCTGTTGTCGAACGTCGCGATGACGTGCTCATAGCCCTAGACATGCGTGAGCCAGAAGCTGCTGGGTGGTTACGGTAAAATGCTTCTGTGTTTTCGACGGACACTGTCGTATCCACAGGCTCTACGGATAGGCGAGGATCTCTGGCAATTTCAGCCAAAAATTCTGGGTCTTCGTCCTCAATCTTCGGTGCGCGCCTGACGGAGTTGACGGAGAAGTACGGCCCTTTGGGCTCCTCTGGGGGCGGGGTGGGTAGAGCCGGCGGTGGCGTCCGGGGGCGGTCACGTACAGCACGATCGAGATGTTTGAAATATCGTTCGCGGTACGGATTCCATTTCTTCGGCCGTATTTCTTCACGGTAACGCATGACCGAGAAGTAGCTGGTGATAGCGCTAAGCACGATACAGATCATTAGGACGATTGTGACGATGCCCTGAATCACAATGATGACAATGCCAATCGCAGTGGTTGTGATCCTCCCGATGTTGAAGGTTACATCAAATGCGGCGGAGAGGGCAACAGTCGACACTTTACTGAAGCCAAGCAGATAAACCATGAGAACGTTAAGACGCTGGCCCTCGAAAGGTCGAATTCTGATGATGACCATGAACGCGATAAATTCGACGACCAAGAGACCAAACACCTGGACCATGGCGTAGCCAGACGCGCCTGCAAAGAAACAGGCTCGCACAAATTCATACACTGTCCAGGCTGCAAAAAACCACCACTTAGACTTGCGGTGACGCGAGGCTAGCCATCCGAACTTCTTCGTGAAGTCTTCGTCGTCATGAACAGATTTGTGGAATTCGGAATGATGCGTCGTCCACGTGGAATTCGGCGAAGTCGAAATTTTGTCGTCGGAAGCAGCAAGGTTTCCATCGACACCTAGCTTCTTCTCTTCTGTAGGCGCTGTGTCTGCACTGGCCGGCGCATTTCGTGTAGAGAAGTCTCCAGTGCGGTACCACGGAATGAAGCCAAGCACGGTAATGCGTTCGTAACGAGCACGTATCGAATCCCACGTATCGAATCTAAGCTTGTAATAGCAAGCATATCCCACAATGCCGAATATACCAGCAAAGAAGATGACAAAGACGACTGCAGCGATTGCCAAAACAGCCGTCGCACCACCGTAGCTGAATTGAAAGATAGTGTAGAACATCATGGAGAAGAACGCGATGAAGCAGGTTCGTGCGATAGCAACTGCCAAGTAACCCCAATAATGCTTTCTAAAATAATTGAAACGCTCGGTCTTCATAAGTTTGAATTGGTAGAGAACTTCAAGACCGCACTTGAAGATCAACACGCCACCCCCAACGACGAGAATCAAGATCAGGAACCAGACGAAGCCAGTGAGAAAAGCGTTTGAGGCTGGGATCTCCTCCGGATACAGGGTCCCGGGGAAACCGGAGTAGTTGCCCGGAAGTGATAGACCCGCAGGAACCAGATGGCCCATGTATTTAGTAGCGGTCACGTTGTCATTCCCAGAGGACGCACGTTTGGCCAACATGTTCTCGATTGTTCTTGACAAAGTAGGTGCGCTGTAGGAGAGAGCACGTTTGTATATTTGGTGGATATCATAACCCCCTCCAACATCCGAAGCCCAGGTATCGGTGCCGGCGGCTCCAAGCATGGAGGTGTTACCACGATGGTTGCTAGTGAGTTTATTGAACGATTCTTGCATGCTCTTGGTGTTGATGATACCAGCAGCCCAGGCATAGTTACTCCAGAACGCGGGAAGCACGCTTGGCCAGTTCATCGATAGGGCCCCCGTGAAGAAAATGTGCTGGTAAACTGAAAAGACAACCAGAACTGAGAGCGAATGCGCGTAGTGCATACGCATTGTCACAACGTCAGAACCGTATATGGCCGTGACGAAGGATGCGACGACGGCGATGAAGGCAAAAATACCCAAGATGGAGCCTATAGCTTTAGGCTGAGAAAATGTCGCTCCGTTGGTGACAACGGCAGAGTAACAAGCAATTTCGGACTGCGTGGTATTTGAGAAGATGCGGAGAATTGCTTGACCCTCAAAGTCGGGGATGGAGTATGCAATGTTCGGGATCATGGCAATGTCACTTTGCGCCAAAGGAATCTGGCCACTGGCGGTGATGCTGACATTATGTCTGACCGGGCACATGCTATATTTTCAAATTCAGCAAGTAGATCCAAGTAAATTCGAGAGCGTGGGCAAAGTACCTGTAGATATTGGCCTTGCATGGGTCGAAGGGCAGTTCAAATCGAGTCTCGCCATAGGCAAAGACGCCAATGTAAACTTTAGCTCCATTAGTAAATGGTTTAAGAGCTCGTTAAACTTGTCATTCTCACTCATCACAGCATCTCTCGTCAAGTTGGTGCTTCCTTGAATGTCAAATATTATCGTCATGTTGTCGTGATAGTATGAGGCATCAAAGCGAGTGACGTCGATCAAACTCTCGCCCAGACACGACCCGAAGTTTCCGGTGTATAGAGCAGGCTTCCGATTATCTGCCAGATAGATCTTCTGCCCATTGTTGTCCTGGTACGTAATGTACTCGGTGGTTGTCGACAACGCCACAGGCAGCAGGGCCAGGTAGAGGACAAGCGCAACCAGCGGCCGCGCCATGCACGATAATGCCATTGTCTGCAATTGAACAGACTTATGATACAACGTGTGTTGTCTGGTTGTGCCTCCTGCCTTTTGACGTTCAACTCATTTGGCGGGGTCAGCGCTGACCCAGTCGAAGCTCTGGCGCTTAGCGATGTGACGGCGGAAGCGAGGATATCGATCCAGGATATCAGCGGCAGTCACCGGATAAGACGGCGAGAGGACGAAACCCCGTCTGCGAGACGCAACCAATTTGAAACGAGACTGTAGAAAGCGAAGGACTCTGGGCCGGAAACCCGAGGAGATCACAGCGGCCGTGCTGGTCCAGGAAGTGCCGGACACGAGAGTGGTTCAAGGAAAGTCGCGGGTATTCCTATCGGGGGACTTGGTCGACGGTCACGGACACATAAGAGGAGAAACCATGGTGAAAGGGGTTCTGGCAACGACAGGAGGATGGCGAGGAAGAGTAGCACAAAAGGTCAGCCGGAGCAGACGGCGAAAGAAAAACCTGGAAAGCACAAGCTGGTCGGTGCTGGTGAATAAGGTGAAGCGGTAGTGCGGGCATTTCGTCACGATGCCTCAAACAGCGTAGCGCCGCAGCCGTGATGGCTGGACAGCCACTGGACAGCCTGCCATTGGCCTGCGTCGCCGGCGGGCGAAGTGCTTCACGCAGTCTTCTGGTCTGCGCTGGCGCGTCATGATTCTTGCACGCTCACGTCAAGGCCCGCGGGCGTCGACCCGGCTGGTAGTCGCCCGTCCCAGCACCCGGCGCGCTTGCTCGTCACCACATGGACGGGCGCCGTCACCTGAGCCAGGCGTCTGCGCGTCAACGGACGCCTGTGTCAAGCACATGCGGGGCGGATCTGCAAAGGCTTCAGCCACAGCCAGACATCTCCCACGCGCAAACTTCACCTGCGAGCGGGCAGCGACAGGGCGATTCGTTTGCAGGCCTGCGTCCCAGCCTGGCTCATCACGCTGGGCCCCGTCTCCTTGCCCATGCCATCTACTGTTCCTGGTCGTCGATCTGGAAATCTCTCGCCCTTCACTTACTCTGACAAGCGCTTCCGAGAGGTTCCGGGGTCGATTCCACCCTTCCTTCTGCCCTCTTCCGTCCTGCAAGGCCTGCCATCGTCGCTTGGGGGGACAATGGGAATGGCTGGCCTGGTGGCGGGCAGGGGCTCCCATCTCGCGCTCCAGCCTTGTTGCCTCAGCCACCCGTCACAGATGCCTAATGAGATCGATCTATGACGCCGCGTCCCCGATGCTCGTCGCCCGGCGATCGTCGCGTCTTCGTCGCCCGCCTGCGAATCGCGAGAGCAAATCATGGCGTCCGACACACGTCTGTCTCGTGGCCCATCAAGTCTTCCGTGGAGCTTTCAATGCCTCCTTCCCTATCCCAACCCCTGACGACTCTCACACGACTTCGATTCGCTCCGCTGTGGCCAGCCAGACCCTTTGTAGTTCGCCCTCTTCGGCCGTCTACTCTCTCTTTCTTACAGTTCAGTGCCATGGCGCCCAAACGCAAAGCCGCTGCTGTCACTGGCGCTGCGTACACCGACCCTTCAGGAAGCAAGGCGAACGAGCGCTCACGACGTGCCGGCCCCTCAAAGAAGATCAAGGCAACGGGCAACGGCGAGGCAAATTCCACGCTCGGCCGCCCGCGCGTCGAAGAGAAGTATGGAATCGTGCAGAGAGAGTTCTATCCGCCGGAAATGTCTAATGAACGCTGTGCAATGTACAACAACAACGAGATCCCAAAGCCCATGGAAGTTCTCGAATCGGCTATGGAGGAAACCGCCGAGGACCGAGCGAATATAAAAGTTGGCAAGGCAGTGCTGCACTGGTTCAAGAGAGACCTACGGATGCATGATAATCGCGGGCTTTCCATGGCTGCGGAGAAGGCTAGGGAAGCAAAAGTACCGTTGATCACTCTGTTTGTGGTCAGCCCACAAGACCATCAGGCCCATCTCACAAGCCCAGCACGTGTAGACTTCGAACTCCGGACATTGGCTGTCTTGAAGCGAGACCTAGACGAGCTGGACATACCGTTACAAGTGACCATAATCAATAAGCGGAAAGACGTGCCGCAGTACATTCTGCAATTCTGCCATGAACACGGAATCAGGCATGTATTCTGCAACATCGAGTACGAGGTAGACGAGCTTCGACGCGAAGCTAAGCTGACACGCCTGTGCCTTGGGAAGGGAATATCGTTTACTGCGCTGCATGACGATGTTGTGGTACCACCTGGCCGCTTGGCTTCTGGCACCGGTAAGCAGTACGCCGTGTATTCTCCGTGGTTCAGAGCGTGGATAGCCCACCTTCACGCACATCCGGATTTGCTCGAGGCATCCGAACCACCAGGGAAAAACCCAGCTCATGCTCGGAAAGAGTTCAAAGACATCTTCCAGTCGTCCATACCCTCCGCCCCTGAAAACAAGAATCTGGCACCAGAAGAGAAGGAACGATTTGAGAAGCTGTGGCCTGCCGGAGAGCACGAGGCTATGGCCAGGTTGAAGCATTTCCTCAACGAAAAAATTGGCAGATATAAGGATACCCGTAACTTTCCGGGAGCCGCAAGTACGGCCATGGTCTCAGTTCACCATGCCGTGGGAACGTTGGCGGCACGAACGAGCTGCAGGATGGCGAGGGACGCCAATAGCACAAAGAAGCTCGATGGTGGCAATGCAGGCATCGCATGTTGGATCTCTGAGGTGGCCTGGAGGGATTTCTACAAACATGTCTTGGTCAACTGGCCGTACGTTTGCATGCACAAACCGTTCAAATACGAGTATGCAAACATTGAATGGGAATATGACGATGAGCTCTTCGATCGCTGGTGCAAAGGAATGACTGGATTTCCTATCGGTAAGGCTATTTGACGGAACGTTGTGGAATGTCTCAATCTAATGTTTACCTTGGCAGTCGATGCAGCGATGCGTCAACTCAACACCATGGCCTATATGCACAATAGGTGCCGTATGATAGTCGCGTCATTTCTCGCGAAGGACCTGCTGATTGACTGGCGCTTGGGGGAGCGGTACTTCATGGAACACTTAATCGACGGCGACTTCGCGAGCAACAACGGCGGATGGGGTTTTTCAGCGTCGACAGGAGTTGATCCCCAACCGTACTTTCGAATATTCAACCCTCTGCTTCAAAGCGAGAAGTTCGACGAAGACGGCGAGTTCATACGGAAGTGGGTGCCTGAGCTCAAGGACATCAAGGGTAAGGCGATCCACGACCCGTACGGAAGGGGCGAGGGCAAGAGGGCGCAAATGAACGGCTACCCGAAACCAATTGTGGATCACAAGCAGTCTCGCGACCGGGCACTTGCACGGTACAAGGCAGGCATTGGCAGAGAAACTGCTTAATATGAAACGCTTTGCCAACAAAGTGCTGGACCGGTCTTCGGCATCACAATCTTCGCTCTCTGTGGACTCTGCCCACACCCCCCAAACGGCTCATCTGGTAGCTCAGTTTAGTAAACTGCGTCTATACGAGAAGGCTACCCCGCAAAAGCCCAAAGTGTCTTACTGTACTTCTTAGGACACGTTAGCCGCACTCAAGGTTCTTGGACTTCCTTGCTTTCCCTCAGCTTAAGGACACCATTCCGTTGGCGTCCTGTGATCGGTGACGTCGTGCCTGTGCACACCCTGTTGCGACATTGCCCGCCGTATGCAGCTTGCCAGTTTTGCTTCTTACTACAGAATCATAGCCAAACTAAGAACCTTTCTTTCTCCTTCGTCTCTTTTGTTGTCCCCTTGATCTGTGCCGTGGTCCAGCGTTGCTGCAGGTGCCCGTAACCTTAACGGCTGTTAGCACGTTGCGAACCCTAATTTGGACCGTGCAATTTACTTGAACTTCCGACCTGTCAGCTCCGAGAAATTCCCACTCCGTTGCGAGGAAGGGGAAAAAAAAGGGCGTCTGAACCTTTTTTGGGGGGCGTTCATCCAGCTTGTTGAGGTTAAGCAGCCAGCCACGTAATGGTGCATTTACAAAGCTTACCATGAGAATGCTTTTTTTTTTTCGCGTGCATAATTCTCGCTAGCAATGACCCGCCTTGGGGAGGGGGGGTTTTGGAGCGTGAGAGTGGCAACCGCGGAGATTCTTCCTCGCACGCCGAACCTTGATTTTCGTCGATCGACAGGTCTCATTGGCAGACGGTCGGGCCGATGTTTGGTCCCATCTTCTAGGCGCAGGATTAAGCTTCTCGTCTCATGAACGAGACAGGTGCGCCCTCCGTTCTTCTGCTGGCTTGCATTGACGTTGACGTACTGGACGCGGGCTACAGTGCGGTCTTGGTCCATGAGCCCATTGTGCAGGGGGGAGGTTCAGCCTTGTCGTCAAATTCGAACGAGACCTTGGCATCAACTACCTGGTCCATCAGAATGAAGCTCCATCACGAAGAACTAGCGGTTTGATCGCGAACAAGATTCTGTTTTCGACTCTCTGTGCTCATCCGTCATTGAATGGCTCGTGACCTACTCCTACGTCTTTGAAGCTCTCCAATTGACAGCAAATGCGAGCAAACTAAAGCCCCGCTCTTCGTACCCACTAGCATGCGATGAAACGCAGGAAGACATGCTTCTCGGCCGGGCTAGATGTGACTTTTAAATTGCTATAAGGCTCTTCATTGGAAGGCGCGACAAGTGGATTGGGCACCTGAGCACGCTAGCATCGACATCTTCGCGTCATTGGAAAGACGGAGCGGTAGTTCCCCATATGTGGATTCTTCGGTCTCGTGAGGCATATTCCCATTTGACGGGCCCAATGAGAGAGCATCACCAAGAATACAGATGGGCATGGATCGATGGTAGGATCGACCTTGATGGAGCTGTGTCGTCGCTTCAAAATGTATAAATGCGAGACACCTCGTCTCAGGTGAACTGGATCTCGCTCATCGCAGGGGATATCACCATCTGCGGTCTTGCATTCTAGTATCCAGAGATCCAAATCTTGTGCTGGGCAGGAATTGGGCGACTCTTCAACCTAAATGGCCAAATTCATGCTAAAGAAGCCAGAAGGCGCGGCGGGCAGCTCTTGGCCCGCCATAGTAATAGGTTTGTTCGTAGCATTTGGTGGTGTGCTGTTCGGGTGAGAAATTCAAGAAGCGCAATCACCTGATACTTGAAGTTGACAATACCCAGCTATGACACGGGTACCATATCCGGTATTCTTGCGATGCCTTACTGGCTGCACCTGTTCGTTCATTCGACACTGTCTTAAGAGCTAGTTGATGTTAACGCATGCTCAGGTTCGCAGACCCCCAGAACAATTACCAGATCACTTCGGCCCAGGACTCTCTGATTGTTTCCATCCTGAGTGCCGGGACTTTCTTCGGCGCACTCTCCGCTGCGCCAGTTGCCGACTTGATTGGTCGTCGATGGGGTTTGTTCAGCTCAGCCGGATTTGTGTTCAATCTTGGCGTGATACTTCAAATCGCTTCTACCGCGCGACCGATGTTCATAGCTGGCCGTTTCTTCGCGGGACTTGGCGTTGGGCTGGTGAGTGCCATGATTCCAATGTATCAAAGTGAGACGTCTCCAAAATGGATCCGAGGAACCATTGTCGGGGCCTATCAATTGGCCATTACCATAGGTGCGGCACATTTCAAAATGATCGCGGATGCTATAGACTAATTAGAGCGTAGGTTTGTTTCTAGCGGCTATTGTAAACAATTCCACCAAAAACCGACAAGACTCGGGGTCTTACAGAATTCCCATCGGCATACAATTTGCGTGGTCCTTGATACTCTGTACCGGGTTGCTTATCCTACCTGAGACACCACGCTTCTATATCAAGAAAGAGAGACGGGATAAGGTCGGTTGAGCCAATGTGTCTCCGTTCAAATGGCTCAAATTAACATGAATAGGCTGTCCACTCCTTATGTAGGCTCCGAAGGCTTCCTGAAGACCACGAAGCGATCCAGGAAGAAATTGCGGAAATCCAGGCCAATCATCACTGTAAGTTGAGAAACGGGCAGTCAAAGAAATGTGAATACTGAAAATGGAATCAGACGAGTTATCTCTGGGCAAATCCAGTTACGCGGATTGCTTCAAAGGAACAGTCCTCAAGCGTCTCATTACCGGATGCTCACTCCAGGCCTTGCAGCAACTTACCGGAGTCAACTTTATCTTCTATTACGGTACACAGTACTTCACAAACGCCGGGTTTCAGAATCCATTCATCATCCAAGTGATCACAAACTCGGTCAACGTCGCTTCCACTTTCCCTGGTCTATACCTAGTGGAAAAGATGGGTCGTAGAAATTTGCTCCTAATGGGAGCCATTGGGTGAGTCTACTCTTAAGGATTTCTCTCAGAGTTTGCTAATGTTTGCCTTAAGGATGTGTGTCTGCCAGTACATCGTCGCAATCACCGGAACTGCTGCGTCCTTCTCAAACCTTCCTGCGCAGAAGGCTGCTATCGCATTCGTGTAGGACATCCTATTTGCGTTCAATACCAGTGCTGATATCGTAACAGCTGCATTTATATCTTTTTCTTTGCGAGCTCCTGGGGCCCCGTTGCCTGGGTCGTCACCGGCGAACTCTTCCCTCTCAAGGTACGAGCAAAGTGCTTGAGCATGACGACAGCCTCTAATTGGCTTCTCAATTGTAAGTAATAGTCCTCAAGTGCACTGGTCGTGCCTCCTTCCATATGCCTTGAATTCCAGATCTCGCTTTTGCAAACGAATCTGTGGATCATGACATTACGCAAGATTAGTGCTATCCGTCCTTTTACGTTCCAGTTGCACAGAGTTAACATTTTCTTTGTTAGGGGCCATTGCATACTCTACACCATAGTAAGCGTGGGCTCACAAGTGCGACTAGCATGACACTCTGCAAGCTACCCTTTGCTCCGGTAATGAAAGCTTCAAGAAGCGGTGCAAGGCTACTTTGCAGCGTAGAATACAACGCACAAAGATCACCAAGTATGATTACAACTCCGCTAATTTGACGTTATAGTTTGGTGAATAAGGGTCATGCAAACTTGCAATCAAAGGTGTTCTTCATTTGGGCCACCTTCTGCTTCGTCTGTATCGCCTTTGTTTACTTCATGATCTATGAGACCAAGGTAAGTAAAATACGTAGAGGAATTACACCATTCGTCTTCGCAATTAACAGAAACGCTTTAGGGTCTCACTCTTGAAGAAGTTGATGAGCTGTACGGTATCGTTGGCAAGGCCTGGCAGAGCAAGAAATTCCGTCCGGCAGTGCGCTTTGCGGAGGTTGAAAGGGAGGGTCTTGACAGACACAGAGGCGCTAGTCTCGCTGACATTGCGGCTGAGCAGGTGAGAAGACGGTCCAGTGTCGCCGCTCCCGACGGCAAGGACAGTCATGTTCACCATGGTGAAAACGAGAAAATTGTTTAACAGGGAAAGGGCTTGCCCAAAACGTGGGACTACGATGCCAGTGCATGTAGCGTAACGTCTGTGATCAGGGCAAATATGTATTTCTAAATTTGACAATGGCATTTGATGAGAAGCAAAGTGGAGGTGAGTTGGATTTGAGGAGTGCGCCAATTCTTAGTGCGAGTATAGGTGTCGCCGTGTATATATGACTAGCGAATCTTACTTTCGCGTGGGAATCTCGTAACCCTTTCCTCTTTGGATTCGCTTGCGTTAGTTTAGGAGATCCTCTGTATATCATATGCTTTAGCTTTTGGGAAAGCTTTAAATTTTTTTCTTTTTTTTTCATCGTTACCAGCAGCGTAGAAATGTTACGCTCGAATGTTGTTTTGCATATCCCGATATATCTCTGGCCAATCATCGCGCAAGGGTGGTAAGAATTAGGCCCCTGCTTAGCAATATTGCATGTTGCATGTTGCATAACAGGCGCTAGGGATGAGCAGCTTGGAAACGATCGGTATTGGAGTTGGCCGACGACACTCGGTTGACCACTTAGCTCACGGCTGTTTTACTGAAAGTGGAGAACGCTCCCTGATGTCGCACAGCAGAATCTGTGTGTTCATTCGCAGATATATATCTCCGGAGGCGATCGACTGGAACTCCACAAGACAAGACTCGTCAACATCGGCTGCTGCTCGATCTGACGGACCGAGTTGGTAATTCGCTTAAACTTGCCGTATTGGCACAATGTCGGGCTCCAGAAGCGACCCAAGGAGCATGATTGGTGTGTGAAGGAAGAGCTGACAGGAATGCCGAAAGGTTCGCGGAGTCGATGATTGGCCACAGTGTCACAGTGACAGGCAACGTGTAGGTTTTAATTCAGCCTCTTACGAAGTGGAGATTCAGGACGACAGAGATGACCGTTGTAAGCGGCGCAGCTAGCATGATTTAGAACCCAACGCCGTTGTTACTTGCGTCAACCAGCCTCGCAATCAGGCGAGCTCGGTTTCGAAACCGAACGAGCTCAGAACGTTCGCAGTCGTGGTGATAGCGTGAAGATGATTTGGCTGCGACCTTTCATCACTGGCGATCAGTCCACTTCATTGACATGAGACATGGTGGCTGAATCTACGCTGACCGTGGCGGCCAGCGTCCCTAGAGCGATCGGACGCCTTCGATCCGTGCGTCTTGCTGGGGAGTTTCAACATCGCGCTGAGACTGTCAAGACATCCGAACGCTGATCGGGCTGGGATTTCCTGGCCTTGGCCGGATGTTTAAAGAGCGCAGCGGGGAATGGAAGAGACGACAGCACGCCTGGCAGCCCGCTCGAAGAGAGCGGCGGTTGGCGTTCATTGGGCAGGGCGTGGAGGGGAGCGCGATGGTTAGCGGGACGATTCCTAAGGATTAGGCGTCGTGTAGCGCGAGGCCCTAAGCAAAAAGCCGTTAACGATCAGGATCCGAAAAGCAAAAAAGCCTGCATCCAGGGAAAAGGTTGGCGGTCCACCAATCACATGAAAATCCAAGAGGCCATTTCTTTTCGTTACCATGCAGGCGGCCAATTTTGGGCGGCTTGCTCAGACCGGCTCGCTGGAAGAGCCGCGGCCTGTCAGTCGGTGGGCGGAGGCAGCACGGCCTGGCGAGCGACGCACACAACAATCGTCGTCATGAAAGAACATTCCAGGGACGACGGCCCCGGTTGAGGATCGAGGACCGCATGCTTGTCCGGATGTTTCCGTCTCGCGCGTGCATCGCAACGAAGGACGTTGACCACAGCCGTTTTGCTGGAGGCAAGGCCAGGCCCAACCGCAACCCTAACGGAGCCGGGCGCCCGCAACCCACACACGCGCCCGCGGCTCACGCTGTTCTCGCCCTCGGCCTCCGCCCCTGGTGCCGCCCGCCGTCTGCCTGCCCGGCCGCGCTGGCGAGCAGGCCGGCGCCGGTGCGGTACGCAGCACGCAGCAGCGGTCGCCAACTGGCTGTCGCGTGGTGTGTGGAGAAGAGGTTGCGCCAGCACGCCCGCGGTGGAGGGCGCCCAAACGGGTCTAATTTGGGATTGATATTTCAGGGTCAAAGGACCGCTGAACGCCTGCATACGGGTGCGTGCTTCGGCGAGTAGGGAGCAGAGAACCGCGTCTGACCATAGCGCTGCCCATCATTTCCATGACATGAGAGCGCAGGAGGCTAACATCGTCGCTCAGTCCTGCCCACATTTGCTAAGATCCGCAGGCGGCGCTGCTAGCTGAAGAGCCGACAAGGATGGCGGGCAGATGCTCCACGAGGAGATGCCTCAGCGCGAGATGGCGTTGACAGTCGTTTGCCACGATACCCTTTTCGAATGCAACGTTCCTGCGCGCTGATCGCTCCTCAGCAGGCCTTTCTTTTGCCCCAGTGTGGCTGCTGCGTACATTGATGAGGGGCGTAACTGGAACCATGGTGACTTTTACATATGGCCGGAGTAGTCGTCTTGTTTCTCGTCTCCCACCGTACAGCACGCGTGCTCGCTCCCCGTCCCTCTCTGCTGTCAGCCGTCTGTCTTCGTCTCCACGTCCCATCCCGCTAGCCTGCTCTCCCGAGGACCGCTCTCCCTATTGGTATCCATGGCTGGAGCTCAGAGAGCCTAGAATCCAACCTTTACAGATGCGACCTCTTTTCCTTCCTCCTTCTCCATCTTTGCTTCCGTGAACCATCCCCCTTCCCTTCGTTCGCTTCTTTGCTTGCTGCTGTGAGTCTCGAATCCTACCCTTGGCGCTGGCCCTGACCGCAGCCGTTCTCCAGTAATCCTCCGCCGTTCTGACTTTTATCAGTTCTAGACCCACGGCGACCGCGAGTTTGATATGTGCTGGCGGGCTTTGGAGGACTTTTTTTCGCCCACCCTCTAACGTTTCTGATCTCATTTCCTATGGCCGTCGTCACAGAGCAGCGAAACAGACCAGATAGAGTGGCGAAAGATCCATTCTTGAGCGCGCGCTCTCGTGAAGACCATATTCTCAGGAAGAACATGTCGTATCCCATGCCCTCACAGCCGCCTGGTGCGAACGATCAAATCACCATCGCCTCAAATGATGAAGATCGTTTCGTTGTACCACATGGTGCCATTGACCGAGACGGATTGAAGAAACGGAAAGCGTCAAAGTCAAGGCCGAACGACCTTCGTCGCTCAGCATCGACCCCCCACCTTGGCAAAACGAGCCAAAGTGACGCTGGAGTGATGTCGCCTACGAATGAGAAGAAACGAAACAAACTCGGTTACCACCGGAGTAGTATTGCTTGCAGTAAGGCGACCGCTACCTCCAGCAAAAAGCCTTGGAATGGAGGTAATAATCTGGTCGCAGGTCATTGTCGACGGCGAAAAATTCGATGCCAACTCCCCATACCAGAGGATGCGCAGGGAAGGTGCACGAATTGCATTCGTCTGAAGAAAGAGTGCAATTTTTATCCGGTCGATCAAGCTCCTTCGGCTGACAGCAGAGCCGCGCATCCTGTTCGAAAAGACACCGCCTTGTCCGGTGCGCCTTCAGCATCTTCGCAATCCTCGCCGCACCTTTCTGGCGTCTCGCTCCCTGGGTCTGTCGCCGACGAAGCGGCTCATGTGCAGCTTCACTCGCCAAAGGCGGATGCAGAGTCTCAATCACATCAAGAAAGCGCCGGCTACGGGATCCCTGTGGGCACCGAAGGTGTGTACACATGCTTTCTCAGCGATTTTCATGCTCTGACTGACCGCGAAACACAGCCAGCGCCCAGAACGTACCGTTTCAATTCGCAAAGTTTGGGGGAGGAGCGTGGAACGACCCCCAGCAAGGTCTTACTCAGTATCCGCAGCAGCATCGTGCCTCCATTGCGGATCCCCAGTACTGGTCCGTCAACAGCACGCCAACTACAAGTCATTACAGCCACGATTCCGCAATGTCGTTCAATCCTACTACGCCAACAGCGTTCGCTACTCCAAATTTCGCATACACCAACGCTGGCAATGTCCCCTTTGTTCCCGCACGATCCTTGTCGTTTGGTCAGATAGAAGGGATGCCCCAGGCTTTTGGATATCAGAGTGTTCAGTATGGACATCAAGAGACACATCCGGGGTACGCAATTGCGTCGCAACAGCATTTTGCTCAGCCTGGTGCTCCTCAGCAAGCTCAAGGCAATATTCCGCAAGCAAATGGCCCTTCAGAAGCTACACCGAGAGGCTGGACAACTGCACCGTCCGTACAGGCTCCGTTGCCCTCCAATGCTCCCTATCAGCCATCAAATATGACCACGTATTATCCTTCGCAGCAAGCCATGGACGTCTACAACGGTCGTACCAATCCCACTTATCATTCGACGCAGTTCTATCCCGTTGCAACAAATCCTGGATGAAAAATTTGACAGCTTCCCATTCACGATCGACATCCCTTTAGGAAAGAGAAAAGTTTCGTTATTTAGGAGGGCCTTACCAACGTTTACGTCGGAACGAGTGCCATAAAACTTTCCACAGATTTACAAGGGTTGCCGGGCCTCAGAAGCAATGGCCACAACGCGAAGAAACTGCAGCACAGACGGAACTCTTCCTTGTTTTGGACCGTCTCACAATTGCGAATATGATGCATGCAAGGCTGGGCAAATTACAGAACGCTGAAGATGCACAGTCCGTCTGGAATAGGCGTAGCCATGCGATTGAAAGACTCTTACCGGGTCTCGTGTCGTAACAATGCATGGGGGATGTTCGATTTCAGGCCCGTGGCCTGAAGAAACTCTTTTCTCAGATTTTGCCTCCGGTCCTGACGCAGATGCAAGACACTTCAAAATCCAGCATTTTAGCAACTATGGCCAGCTATTTGATCAGTATGACGACGACTGCTGTCACACTAGTCCGACCTGCCTATTTAGCGAAGAAGTTCTGAACTATCTTCATCTTGACAGAGTAGCTATGCAAGCTAAGACACCAACTTTCTGTCTATCCTGTTTCCCTTCTCACGTAGCCCACGGTCGCTAGGGCCACATGTGGTCAGCGCTTCAATTTAGACTTAGCAATTATCTCAAGAAATCTCAAGAAAGCTCATGTTTTGGTCACAAAAGCAACAAAATCGCTCACAATCTCGTCAAAGCATTGCATGGCGCAGGATTCAGGAGACTGAACGCATGGCGTTCTAGCGTTAGAGGCACAGTCTGCCTGCCAGTATGGGCAACGTGGAGCCGAGCAACCATGATCTGGATATTCTGTCGATCCCACGCTTCCTGTGACGGACTAGCAACGGGTGGTCCGTGAGCAAGGCACAGAGAATTTAGAGTGGCGTTGTGTGGGTGTTTCAGCCATCTCAGAAGCCATCGCGCTGCTTAGAAGGACAGTTGAACGCTGTGGCGCGTTCATATAGGGGGTTTCTGTACATAAACTTCTAACAAAACGTATGGTTGTGTGGAACCGCCGGTTGAAGCCGGTGACAAGACCGCAGGCTTTAAAAGCAAAACACACTTGCATCCTCTCATCGAGGGCGCCCAGCAAGATGGGGCAGCTTGTGATCCGGAAGTCTTTGCGAGTTTACCCGTGGCAACACGCAGAATACGAGATGCTTCGGGCTGTCAAATACACGTGGAGGTAACGTGTACCCACGCCATCACGGAGCTAGTTAGCCTAGCTTTGCGCATTCAGCAATGAAATAGACCTTCCTAAAGGATTGCATTTAGTGCGAATAAGGTCCCGCAAAGCAGGTCGAGGAGCTGCGTTTCGATCGGAATCACAGTGCTCCGGAGTTTCGATGTGTGCCACGATTGAGAGTGACAACGTTCCAGATGAGGCGAACATTTGCTTTGCCTCTTGTGAAGATTAGAGCAACGCCAGAGATGAAAAGTGGATGTGAACTGGCTGCGATGTGAAACAAGCCGATTGATCCTTTTCACATTGTAGAGCCTCAACGCCGTGGCTCCGCGTTGACGTGTGCCCGCTGAACAAATTCGGCCGACACACTAGCCAAATATCAGCAATCGCCTCGGTAGGAGGCCGCCATCATGTTTCACAAACGGTCGAGCTTGACTTGTTTAGCTAATTCAATTTCAAGAATCATGCGCCATCAAAGAATCCCATCCCTTTGTCCATTTATGTAAATTTTCTGGAGCGCTGAGATTGTGACGAGGAATTAGCGCTTTGGTGGCTAAGATCAGTGGTACGCGTCTCCACGCCATCCAAGAAAACCTTCACTTTTTTACCACGGAAACTCCGGAAAAAGCCTTTCGAGTGGCGCAGACGTAATTCTCTTCTGCATCTTTAATTATGTGGGACTTGCTGAAAGAGCTCTTGGTCTATTCGGCCCTAGTGCCGCCTGCGCTGCTCGCTTCATTTTCGTACCTCTCGGATCTTTTGACGGGGAGAGGGCGAGTCTTCAGTCCCGACGCTGACATATGCGACCTGTCTGGAAAAATCATTCTCGTCACTGGTGGCAATGGTGGAATAGGCAAGGAGACCGTCCTTCGGCTGGCAAAGCATGATCCGGGGAAAGTCTATCTCGCTTCCCGGGACGCGTCCAAGGCGCGGAAGGCAATATCGGACATAAAAAAATTCGTGCCAACGGCCGAAATAAGCCATCTGCAGCTTGATCTGATGTCGTTTGACTCAATCGTTGAGGCTGCGAGACGGATCGTTCAAGAATGCTCACGTCTCGACATTGTGATCCTCAATGCCGGTACGTTGGGACCTTACTCCGTGAACGACACCCGTATTCACAAAGCTGTTCAGGCATCATGGCGACGCCCTATCACACTACAGAAGAGGGGTTCGAGGCGCAATTCGGAACTAACTATGTTGGGCACGCGCTGTTGACCAAGCTTTTGCTCCCAACAATGATGGAGACCACCAAATTGCCGGGTGCTGATGTCCGAATAATTAGCGTCTCTTCAATGGGCCACCATATGGCTCCAAAGGGGGGGATCGTTTTCGACCCCGAGGTTCACAAGACATTGACCCCTGCTCAATTATATGGACAATCAAAGTTGGCCAACATATTGCATGCCAAAGCTCTGGCTACGCGATACCCAGACATTACGTCTGTTGCAGTACATCCTGGTCTGATCAAAACTGACCTCTACGGGTCAGTCAAAAGATCCTTCTGGTTGGTACGTGTTGTGTTGACCTCGGTTGGATCCTTGGTCTTATCAGGCGTAGAGTTCGGAGCTCTAAATCAGCTCTGGGCTGCTACAGCGCCCAGGGAAATGGTCTTCAACGGGACTTATTATATGCCTGTCGGGAAGAGGATGGGAGCGCACAAGTACGCCAAAGATAACCAACTCGCAAACAAACTCTTCGATTGGACAGAAGCTGAATTTGCGAAACATGGGATCGAGAAGAGAACAAACTTCATATCACGAGGCTAGCAATCCGGTTTTAGTTCCCAATTACCCTGTGAGACAGGACATAGAAGCTGGCGGGCGTCCGCTTGAGTTGTGACTTCTGGATAGGTCACGAGAAAATCCTTTGCGCAATGTAAGACCTCGGCAAGTCAATGCTCTGCAAGGTCCATGTGTCGGGTAACGGTTGGGAGTAATCAATTATGTCTGCTATGAACCCAGCGTATTTCCTCCTCAATATCGTTTCTTGGCTGTGAGACATGTGGGATATTTTTGCTTCACGGTCTTTGATGTGTGGCTTCGAAGATCTATGAGGAGTTTGGCATCATTCCACTGATGTTCCAATTGATAAAATGCATTCGAACCTGTTTTTTTTTTTTTTTTTTTTTTTTTTTTTTTTTTTTTTTCTCAAACAAGGACGAACAACGACGCGCAGGGATTGCTTCTCTCTCCGTGTTCATAGCGCAGGAACTTATATGAGGGAGATCCGGCTTACCAATTTTTTCACTCAGACACTGTGATCAACCCGTACGGCGGAGAATCAGTTGCGGGACTGGCGCACGTTTCAAGAAAGTACTCGACGATTGCAACGGTGGAACAAAACAAGCCAAGCGACAGATCCGTACAGCCTGCTGTCCAGTTATCTGTAGACCAATGCTTCCATCGGTTCCAGTTGCGTTCGCACTGTCGGCTTCTCCAGAGCCGGAACTCTTACAACTTCTCCGCAGCGTTCTTAGACGGGCCTGAGTTGTCTCCTCTCGTAAGATATTTCAAATCTCTATTTGGCAGCAGGCAGCAGCAGGTTGTGCTATTTTCATCGACGGCTATATCTGTAAGAGCCCAGTAGTAAACACGGCGTTCGATCTTCCTCGCTAAGAAGTAGCTCTATGGCTACGATCAAGGAATGATGTCGCTCATCAACACCAATCATGATTACCTACGTACCATGTGCATTAGGTCCAACTCGCCGCTTGTTAGGGTCATCGTCGCCGTGTATTATCTTGGCTGCGCCGTGGGTGTTCTTCTCCAAGCTCGGCGACGAGTTTGGACTTAAGAAATCTATCTTTGGATGCCACGCAACTGCACCCATGGGAAACCTCATCATGGTTACTACTGATCTCGGAGGTTGGCGTAAAGGAGCACTTGAAATTATGCTGGTGGGGTGAATCATCATGGGCATTGGCGTTGGAGGCGTAGATGCTCTGATTCCGATCTACAGCAGCGAGCTTAGCAATGACGGGCAGCGAGGTAAAGCACTTGCCCAAGAATTTCAAATGAATATACTTGGGTTGAATATGGCTTTCGGGATTAACTTAGCCGCTACGCGGGCACTGGGGAAAGGTAGTGAGTGGCATGGAGGATACCCATTGTCGTCATGCAATTATATCCGTTCCTACTTCTTGCCTTTATCGGTCAATTACCGGAGAGCCCGAGATGGCTCTTTCACCAAGGTTAGGAGGTGAAGCCGAGACAGCTACGCTAGATATCCACGGTCAAGAGGAGGGCCCGAAGAAATTTAAGGCGCTGAAGCAGAGCGCGCGAGCAGAAGAAAGCCACAACGTCTCATATCTGGATATGCTGACGCCAGAACATCCGCAATTCCACCCTACGTTCATTTCGATTATGGGGCAGGTAAATCAAGCATTCACTGGTTATGACGCCGTTAGTGTCTATGGACCTCAAATCTTCGAGCTCCCGGTATTCAAAGTTCGACGCCCAGAGGAACTGACTCAGGCCAATTACATATCATACCTGATATTCATAACACTTTCCTGGCTACTCATCGATGCTGTGGGTCGAAGAAGTCTTATGGTTCTTGGATCTGCCGTGTTAACGACTTCATTCCTCCTGCTGGCCCTTTTTGGCGGTCTAGCAATGAACAATGACAGTCTCAATATCCTCACTTTGGCTGCAGCGATTCCAGGCATATTCACCTTATTTGTTGCCACATGGGCGTTCGGTGTGTGTTGGCTGGCGACTGTTTGGCTCATTCCTACGGAGTTGTTCCCAGCCGCTGTACGCGGAAAAGCTGCTGCAGTGTCGGTGGTAGTATGGGGTCTTGCGAATTTCGTAATCACGTTCCTTACTCCGGTTATGTTCAATAATCTCAGTTTCTATATTTTCCTTGTATTTGCCGCCAGGAGCGCCTTCGCGGGATTGTGGACCTGGATTTATCTCCCTGAGAGCGGCAATCGCAGCTCTGATAAGAATATCCAATTCTTTGAAGATGCCGCTAGAGCTGGGTATTGGAGGGTGAGTCAAGTTGATGGTGGCAGATATTTGAAGATGCCATATAGTGGCGAGGAAGATGCTGCAAGAACGCCATTGTTGAGAAGAGTAGAAGATCAACTCAGGACTCCATAGATGTCAAATCAATTGACATCTATACAAGATATGGTGGCATGAAATCCCATGAACCGACTCGCTTGTCCAGTCATTAAAATATCTCCGAGTTGGACGACTGCTTGCATGAACGTAGCTTACAACAATCGCTCCTGTCGGAACATCAACAGAGGTAATGGCGACACACAAGGATTGTATACACTAGAAGCACGTGGTTCAATTATTCACTTCAACATCAAAAACCAGGACAGATCCGTGAATTGCTCGTGGGCCCAATAGCGGCTGAATTATTGACAGAAAAAACACTGTCTATTGATAACTTTCTTCCTTTCTTCATAATAAAATGTCATTTCAATCCACCGAAAATACAATCTCGCCGCCGGCAGTTCAAATGTCGAGCAAGGACTTCGAACTGGATGAGAATTCCCTCACTCTGACATTGTCAGATTCAGATGACGAGAGCTCACTCTCCAGATCGCAAGGGCACAAACTGCAGTCACGTCGTGAACCCGAAAGTGTAGTTGTGGAGGCAAAAGATTTGGGCTCGTTTTCTTCCTTAGGACAGCTGCCACAATCTTACGACACATTCGGGCCATTGACGCACGATTCCTGGTCCCCCGAGTCACGACCGTTGTCGCCGTGGCAGCTACCAACGCCTAGGCTATGTCGACACAGGCACGTTCACCTGGAATACGATGAAGATGACGACCGGTGTCCAATGTGCCAGGTCTGCACCAGCCCCGATCTTCCGCTTTCATTATCCCTGGTTCAGCGCATGGAACAACAGCACAAGTACATCCCCCGCTCGGTAGAAGCTAAGCCAAAGAAGAAGCCAAAACCGTTTCCTTTGGTGGAACTTTCGAGGAGAGCTGAGGCGGGGTCATTGGATGATCTCAAGGATAAAGGGAGCGGTGAACCAGCGAAGCAGGAGCAATGGAGTCGGGCAGCGGTGGCGAGGATGGCAGAAGCTGGACCAGGGACATATGACAGGCGCTCAGTTTGAATTGATGCATTGTGTTGTGTGCGAATCATCAAGTAGGCTGGCAAATATGCAAAATGATTCGTTGGCAGCACGAAGGGGGCGCGTGGTCGAAGAATGGCAGACGTCTCATTATTGATGATGGTGATCGCATTGTAGGGACGACATTGATTTGAAGCTAAAGCTCCACAACCCATCACTAGACAAAAGAATCGATGATTCGCAGCTGATGTTCAAGACGCTTCGTAGTAATTTAGTACAGGTACTCACTAACTTCCAATTCACTTTGTGCGAGACCCCTTTCCGCAGCAACGCTGACCTCGCGCCTGTCGCTAGCAAGCGCTTCACTGTATACAAGTTTCAGCAGCATGCTTATCTGCTCGGCCGTAAATCCGATCGCCTTGCCTTGCTGCTTCGCTCGCTTAACAATTTCGTCCGCGCCGGCGGTGAAGAGCTCATAGTAACTCGCCGATTGAGCCAGTGACGCTGAAGGTTCGACATTCTTGAGATTCTGCTGCAGAACGAGAATGTTAAGCTGGAGGCGGTGCGCTCCAGCCAAGTTCATCGCGTTGATGGTAGGGGTAAGAGAGATGAGATACTTGTCCAGCAGAGAAGAAATTCCCGTGAGGACGAAGCTATCGCGATGGATAAAGTTAGCAAGATCTCGTCGCTGGTTCATACCCATCAGCTCTCACCTTCGCACCGGAGCTTGTAGACAAGTTCCCAAGATATCATCGAATGAGACAATATCAGCGTTCAGAGCAACGACCTCTGGATCTGGTTCCTGCACCTCGGCATCCAGCACAAACGTCTGCTTCATTGCCTTCTCGATGAAATGAAGGACATGGCATCGTATCTCCACATGAAGCATGCGACTCACTGAGACGGCAAGTTGCCTGTATAGACCTACTGCGGCATCAAACTGCTCTGCCGTCTCGTCATTCAGAGGTAGGAAGGCCTTTCCAGAATCTGGAGATCCACGGGCATTGGCAACGAGAGTCCACCTTCTACTCGCGCCTTGTCTGCTTTCTCTTCTTGACGAATCAACTGCCTCGGTGCTGACAAGCCTTAACTGTACTGTTTGCCCAGCGAGCCACTTCATGCTTGTGTGCAGCGTGCACAACAACTGAATGCTTCTCGGATCGAGAATCAGATCACTCTCGTCGATGGTGATGCCGTCGACGCTATCAAGTAACAGCTCTATCTCCTTCTCCAGCCATTTTTTCCTCTCCTCCTCGTCGTTCTCTCCCAACTGGGAAAGCTTCGTGATCGCCTCCTTCAGCTCGCCATCCTCATCCGCCATGCCTTCTGCAAGCGCAACACCAATCTTCACTAACCTCCCGCTAGTTGGATGAGGCTTGCTCCTCGCTACCACAGCTTTGAACCATCCATGGCACTTCTCGTAGTACATCATGATCTGTCCTATGATCAGCTGAGAAAACGCCTGATCATGTGGTAGGCCTGTCAAAAGGGTACAGAAGCTCCTTATTAGCTCCCAAAATTTGCGTGTTCCTCTGAAGATAGGTTTAGTGCTATGGTGAGACCAGTTTGGATCCTGTTGAAAGGCATCGGCCTCTATAAAGGTTTGGGCACAAGCATCAGAGAGGGTTTCCTCGAGTTGTGGAAGGAAAACATTGACAAGAAAGTCATCAAGAAAGGAGGTTAGGTTGCTGAGAACAATGTCAGAGGTCGGAGGAACGATCTCTTTAAGGCGCGAGAGAAACGTGAGAGATGGTGGGAGAAGGATGCCCATATTGAATACGGATGGTTCGACAAGTAATTTGTGGCCAGTTGCACTACCATCAGTGCTTACCCCGTTGGAAGTGCCATTCTGATCCATCTGGTTAGGTCGTTTGGAGTCTGAGACGAGGCCAGGAACCGAGGTCTTCAGAATAGCTTCCAGATCCTCGCGCTCTGAATTGATGTCCGATGACTTGCTGTCCATGTCGTTAAGTTTGAAAATCCGCTTGTTTTTGTCACGCTGGACACGCGAAAAGATGCTGCCAGGCCTGTTGCTGCCCTCACCATTACGGAAGCCCAAATTGCCATCTGCAGCGAGGTAATCGTGTAGGATAGATCTAATTTCGCTTTGGTACAATTTCCACAGTTCGCGGAAACCACCAGTCAGCGCGGAAGACGTTCTCATACCTTCGCGACGGAGAATACCAGAGATAACCTCATGTACGACCCGGTGTCCTTCAGCAATGGCCTCAAAACGAGCAAAAAGAGATCCTAAAAGATCGTTCAAGACGACGCTCCTAGCAGCATTGCTACTATCAAGCACGTCCGAATTCCCCGGTCTTTTCCCACGTAGTGATGTGGGATGCCTTTGGTCTGCCTCATTTATGCTCTTTTCCACTACCTTGAATAATTCGACCGGCATTCTCTGCGTGATCGATTCGACAACCACGTCAAGTCGTCCTAGATTGTTGAGTGACTCGATAATAAGTTGTATGTAGAAGAAACTATCCGCCTCCGGATTCCTTGAAGGATCGTCTTGCATAATTTTCGACGCAGTATCCAAATTTTCCAAAAATCCTACCAACTGTCTCGGACCATGCTGTTGGCCATTTGTCATTGCTATGGTGGCCTTGATATGTTGCGGTGCGTATTGCTTCCACCTATTCTCGCAGTACGGCGATTTCAGGTACAGATGGTTGTGCAGCTCCTCAATCATGATGTCCGTAAGCGAATGCTCTTGGTTGCTCAGATATACCCTCATATCGCTCAATGCACCAATGCTGTCCATCTCTGAATTGCGGACTGTCTTCAACCCATCCTGTAACAACTCCACAGCGCTCAGAAATCGCTTCTCTGAGATCCGCGCCTCTAGCTTTTCTGGTATGCCCTGTAGATGCTCAATCGACGACAGGATCTGCAACATGTCTTCGAATTCCTGGCTCCTCATGGCTAGTCCTTTGAGTTCAGGTTTGGTGGTGCTAAGGCTGCTTTTGGCGGTAACTAGCGAGTCCCTCAAAGCACGCAGTCTCGATTGGCTGCTTTGGATCGATGCCTGAATGCTGTGAAATGTGCCTATGCTACTGTTAAACCCCTGGTGGTGTTCGTTCACGATGGCTCGAAGGGCGTTCTGTAGCTGCTGATGAGTCTCCTTGAACTCTCTTTCTCTACGGGCTAGGCCCAAACTTGAATCATCCATGAGTTTTAGCGCCACTTCAACAGGTATGCAATTCTCATCCGTCATAAAAGCCCAGTCTCTTTGTATTACTCCCAACACGTCCTCAATCTGCTGGCTGCCTGATCCACCGGCGCCATTGATTTTTCGCGTGGGACTGCGGGGACCGGCGCCGCCGCTTCGTCTTTTCGCCTGTGATCGCTCGAGGCTGGTGGGCCTGTTGACCGTGGTTCGGGTTCCGTCTTCTGACGCATCTTCGTTTCTGCCGTCGAAGTTGTTTCCGTATTCCATCGCAGCAGACTGCGGCGAAGTCACCGGGCCGGTGCCGTAGCCGCCCTGTCGACGATTGCGGGGCTGGAAGCCACCTAATTGGCCTGCTCCTTTGAGACTTTGCGTAGGTGCCGCTGAGCTATATGAGCTTGCGCTTCCACCGTAGGGGTTGGAGGACGACGGCTGTTGCAATGATGTCGCTGATGAACCGAAGGAACTGTCTCCATAAGGGTTTGTGGCACCGGAATTCGAACCATATCGATCTGAAGCGCCTGCGCTACCACCGTATGGATTGGAGTTTGCCGTTGGTGCTCCTCCGTAAGGATTTGTCTCGTTGCTCGATGCGCCGTATCCATTCGCGTAGGGATTTGTGCCACCTCCTCCGTATCCGCCCTCGCCGTAGCGAGACATTATTGCGCTTTTTACCCGGTCCTGGCCCTTATTAGATTATTCATATGCCATGTCCTGGGCATCGCGAGTCTCAATGTGCGCCTCAATATTGTTTAGGTCCTGCACGCTACGGAACAACGCTTCGTGCGTTGGAGTTACACGGATGCACGGCCTAAAATGGAATGGTCAGAAGTCCGCCTTGATCTCAGCCTTGTAGTTATAAAAACAACCAGCTTGAGAAGACACAAGCCCGTTCCATCGGAATAAAGATTGATTAAATTGAAGGTAGCCACTTGGAGCCTGAATCTTGCAAATATGGAAGATTGCTGGGTATCCTCAACTATGCTATTTACCTAGAGAAGCAAACCCGGAAGGTCAAGTGTGTTTTAGTTCATCTCAGAGATTGGCGAGCTATCCGCGTGAATGATCTTATGCCTTCGTCTTCGCTGCATTTCTCCCCTTGTCCACACTTTTTGGGTGAATGCCCTTTCTTCTCAAACTAGACCTCCTCGCCCTCTCAATATACTTCTCATCTTCCTCGTCATCAAATCCGCCAAAGTCATCCTCCTTTTCCTCGTCAACAATGGGCGTATGATCCACGTGCTCGACGTCCCTCTCTGTTTTACGGCCAGCAGCATTGGAGCTGTTGACCATGCCTGGCTTTGTGGGACCTATCTTCTTGAATTTGGCGACAAAGAAACCGTCCACGTTGTAAGTGTGAGGGTAGTATCTTCGAGTTTCTTTCATGCTAGGATGAAAGATCTTGCCCATATGTCTTGTGAACCCTTCCTTACCAAAAACTAAGCCCGTGGACACGAGCTTTACGTTCGGGCGTTTGTTGAGCGCATACTGCACGACCTGTTCATTCTCTTCGACGGTGACACTGCACGTCGAGTAGACAATGTATCCACCAGTTTTGCTCGCATGATCAACAGAGTCAATAGCGGCAAGGAGAAGTTGTTTCTGCAAGTGCGGCATCTTCAGGAAGTCCTTCTCCGTCTTGTTTGTCTTGACGCTCTGATCCTTAGCAATAACTCCTGTGCCGGAACAAGGCGCATCAAGTAACACCCGGTCAAATCCACCCATGACTTTGGGGAACTCAAGTGCGGAGTAATTGCACACAATGGTATTTTTGACACCCATGCGGTGAATGTTGCCAATCAGACCTTTAGCACGGACCTTGTTTGCGTCGTTTGCAAAAATGCAACCCGTGTTGCGCATAAGCGCTGCGATATGCGTGGTCTTACCGCCAGGAGCAGCTGCCATGTCGAGAATTCGCTCACCCTCCTGGGGGGCAAGAGCCATGACTGGCAGAAATGATGAGGCAGCTTGCAGGATATAATGGCCAGCAAGATATTCTGGCGTTGCGCCGAGAGGGACTTGCGATTCGAAAATCTGCAAGCCGACTTTGGACCACTTGCCGACCGGTTCAAGAGTGACGCCGCGATTTATTAGTGCTTGTGCAAGCTCTCTCCGATGGGTTCGCAAGGTGTTGGTGCGAATGACCATGGGTCGAGGTGTTTCGTTTGCTTCGAAAAAGGCAAATGCTTCGCGGGGTGGAAACAAATTGTATAGTTTCTCAGCAAGGAATGGCGAATAGCCGTAGTATGCACAGATGTCCTTAAGCAGCTGTGCCGTATATTCGGCACGCGAACGTCCTTCCTCTGCAAGTTCCGCGAAATTGTCTAGAACACGAATGTTCTCCGTAATACGGTTTCGAAGAAGCTGGAGATCTGGCGCAAGATGTGGAGCATGACCAGCTTCGTCTTCGTTCTCGTCGTCAAGGATCTTGGGCTTGTCGCCGGCAATGTTTGTCTGTATTAACTCTTCCTCTGCCTCTCGCGCCTCTTTTGCTTGTTGTGCATCGAGTTGTTTCGACAAGCCCTCAATGTTTGCGGCTGTGAGTCTTTCCTCTGCTTCTTCGTCATCCTCGTCTTCAGACCACATAGCTTTGCGCATGACTTCCTCGTCCGAGTCCATGACATCGGAGCCAGAATCTGGAAATTCGTCTTCACTGTCCAGCTCAATATCGTCACTCAGCAGATCGTCATCGAATCCGTTAGTCGCAACGCCGCCAAACTCATCTTCCATGATGTCCGGATCGTCAACGGCATCGCCGTTCAAGTCTGCAACGTCCAAGCCCTCGCCGTCCGAGTCTAGCTCAGGAGACTTTGCAAGCTTTCGACTCTTGCCATTGACAACCGAGTCCTTGCTCTTCTTGCTCTTCTTTTCATCTCCTGCTTTTAAGGGCTTGACGTCTGGCGCCGAAGATTTCGCCTTCGTTTTGGAAGACCGTTTTCCACCTTCCTCCTCAACCTTTCGCTTTTTACTAGAGCCATTCGCGGAGACCGTAGTCACATTCTTCCTCTTCAATGTGATCTTCGATTCATCCAAAGGCGCTGGTGGCCCTTGCTTCTTGAATCTATTGCCGACTCCCATCTTATGTTTGCGCTCTGTGGGTTGGGTGGTAGGTTACGGGGTATCTCGAATTCACTTACCAGAAATTTTTTTGGCGGCCGAGCCTTGGATCGGCGTTTTCAAAGCCCGACCCCACTCCTGCACAGCGGTGCCAATGATGTCGAACATCAACAGCCACTTTCGATCTCTGGATAACATCATACACGAACACACAGAAATACTCCGTTTCACAAACTGTAGACAATGGCTGGCATGACTGAATTGGCATTTGCACGACAATTCCTCACTGCACTTGACTCGCGGCCCATCAAATTCTCCAGCGACCACGTATTGGATCCCAAGCAGTATCCCGCACAAGGCGCAGCATGTTCTCCCAATCTTATGTCCTTTTGGCAGGCTTATGCTAATTATTTTAACAGTATATAATACCTAAGCTGTCATCGCAACCACTTAAAAGGAAGCGACAGCCGTCGACAGCAGCACCGGGTGCTGAAAAGGCACCCATCAGCATCACAGTCTCACTCAAGAACAGCAAATCGCCAACCGCATCATACACTCTTGAATCCCAGCCTCTGACATGTAGCGTATTCGATCTAAAGTCTGCGTACGCGGTAAAGTCCGGTGCACCGATAGACAAGATCAAACTCTTGTACAACAAGAAACCTACGACGGATTCAAAGACGCTCAAGGATTTACTGGGTGACACAGCAGAGTCGACAAAGGAGGTTGAGTTCACAGTCATGGTGATGGGTGGGATACCTGCAGGTGTAAGCCCGAGAATACAGTCTCCAGAGCTTGCTACTGAGTCTGTGGCACCGGCTGCGCAAGGCGTTAGCGGGGCAGATGTTCTGAAGGAGGAAGAGTTCTGGAGGGATCTTCACGGCTTCTTGCAACAGAGGATACGGGATGAAAGTGAAGCATTAAGATTATCAAGTCTATTTAGAAGTGCTTGGCAAAAAGGTTCAGTATGAACTCGAGTTGCATAGCCTAAATAATATCCAAGTGGCATCCACCTCTTGTTGCATACATGTCGGACACATCTAAATTCTCTTCTAAAAAAGTTCTGGCAAGGTAACGTCACAAACCTCTTTCGCGAGCTATGCACTTGAGGTCTGCGACAATCTACCGCACTGGACTAAACACAGGCTCTTCCATCGCATTTTGTATAGCCATCGTTCGAATTCGTGGACAGACGTATGAAAAGATAAGGTCCCGATCTTGCAATATGACTTGAACGGCACCGCTCTCATTGGATCTCGTCGCTAGAGATCTCCTCTTTAAGATGTCGGCAACCCTCCTTTCCGCAAGATTTGATCAACTTTGCACCCGAAGTGAGCGGGGCATCGGTAGATAGTGTCTGCACAGCCAGTGCGAAGATTTGCGCAGAGTGGAGAATGCCGCAAGAGGACGCATTTCTTTCACGTCTGCATCTCAAGACGGAAGATACAGTCACCAGAGACTAAACAGTTGTCTCTATTGGCCGACTTCAAAAACTTAAATCTGAATATCGACTGCTCGATCATCTTTGATGCAACTGTCCGTCCTTCCGCTGGACTCGAGAATTGGGGCATGTTTACAAACTCGTTGGAAACCGAAATCAAGCCCTGAAGTCGTCGTACGACATGCATGGATTGAGTACGGTTCTGTGCCTTGACCACGCGATCCTACTTTAAGTGCGGCGGTTGCCGAAAGGCTATCTTGAAGTTGCGCAGCTCGATCGAGATGTTTGCGCAATCCCTAGTCTGTGCCTGGGCTGTAAAGATTCATCCTCCCGAAGAAGGGATGTGTGGAAAGACTCAACCACGAAGCCCTTTACTCTAGGTGTCAGTCCTGGGAATGACGCTTGAGGTCATAGTCGGCTACTGGAGCTGACGTGAACAGCCAAGCGGCGGGATGATGCGAGAACATATCGGGGATGCCTGGAGAGAGAGAACGGGCACAAGGCGAGGACGCAGCCCATGTTGCGGCGGCCATGACGCGCTGCTGCCTCGCCGAGCAATGCGGTGCGGCAAAGATCGTGGCAGCGAGAGGTTCAGCGGTGGTTGGCATTGTGCGCAATATCGACGACGGCAAAAGTTCGTCGTTGGCTTGGCCGCGCGTGGGTTGTTGCTGGTGACGAGGGTCGTCCTGCCAAATGTGGCCGTGCTGGCAGCCAGGCCGCAGCAAGAGCACCAGTGAAAACACCCCACTAAAAGGCGGCCCAATTCTTGCACAATCGCTCACAACACCTGCATCAACAAACTCTCCTAGCCCCTTCCAAAGCCTCCCCTCCCAAGCCTCGAGTGTCATACCCTTCCCCGGGATTGAAAAGAAGTGAGTTGTTCGTATCTCGGCACACTGGCCCCCGTTCTCCTGCGCCGACGCCGCGTCCGCTCGCTTGACTACCACCCCGCTGACCTCCGGTTCTGTTGACAGCTTGAGTCGCGCACGCCTAAGCAGCTCGTTCAAGTTCTCTGCATATCCGTCTCCGCACAAACAGCTAGAATGGTACGTTCCAGACTGAAGAGCTGCTACGTAGCGGCTTAGCGCTAACCCAGCGCTGCTTAGGCCGCCTCGGGAGTCAGTGTCCACCCGGACTGCATCAGCGCATTCAACGACCTCAAACTCGGCAAGAACACGAAGTACATTATCTACAAGATCTCGGATGACTGGAAGGAGATTGTTGTCGAGGAAACATCCGAAAACGGTGACTGGGACCAGTTCAGAGAGAAGCTTCTGAATGCGAAGTCCAAGGGTGTGTGAACATGGAGCCCTGGCTGTCCGACACAATGGCATGCTAACAAAGAGACATAGACAAGAAAGGAAAGGAGGGCATCGGCGGCCGCTACGCCGTCTTCGATGTTCAGTACGAGCTCGAAACCGGCGAGGGCACCCGCAACAAGATCAGTAAGGAGATTCTTCTCGCCATTTTCGGGCATTTGCTAACAGTGGGCAGCATTCATCTCCTGGGTTCCAGACGATGCACCACAATACGTAAGTTTTTTTTTGGTGTGTTGAGAGTCATGATTAGTGCTAATAACGAGCCCAGCCGCGCATGATGTACTCGTCTTCCAAGGATGCTCTCAAGCGCTCGCTCAACGGCCTTGCTGCAGACATCCAGGCCAACGACGCTGACGATATCGAGTTTGAGACCATCTTGTCCCGCGTTTCCAAGGGCCGCTAAGCTCTCCCAGTGAGAACGCAGTCTGAGTCTTCGAGGTCGACGTAGCATCGGTTGGCCGTAGCAGTGGTTGATGCGTGCCTGACTTGGCCTCCGATGTGTACACCATAGCTATACTCTGGAGCAACTTTCATTTCTACTTTCAAAAGTCGCCTCCTGTACTCTCTCGTCTTTGAAGAAAACTTCTCACGCAAGATATCTGGAGCGTTGATCGCCGGCTCTCGTGTAGGCGGATGAAAAGCGTTGGGCTCAGCAAGGTGACATGAGACTTGCCATGTAGGGTACGCATAGAACGAATTGCCTTCCTCTTTTGGCCCTGTGTCCGAATCGGCTTTGTTCTGTTCTGTTTTGTTTCTCTCCGTCCGACTCGCACTCGCAAGCATGCAGGCCAGCAGGGCGTCACGCGAGTGCGTCCAGCCTCGTGTGCAGCCTGAGGCGCCAAGGGTTCTCTCTGAAGAACGAGCCTGGGGTCGGCAGAATAAATGACCGTACGGAGTTCGTTATCAGGGGGGACTTACCCGTTTTGGAGCAATTCCATCGACTTCTCCGATTGGCCTCCGAAAGTTTTTTCGAAGCTTCCATCGCTCAAGTGGAAACTTCCTTGCCGTGCATACATTCCTTCTCCTTCATCTTCATCTTTCACCTCTCCCATACGGTCCGGAGTTCTTTGGAGCAAAAGGCTAGGGCATCTTCCATCAAAGTCCACCTCGTTTCCTCATCTTCTTTGCCTCTGCATTGCCAATCACATAGAAATGCAACGCGCATTCTCCAGAACAGGAGCTTCGGCTCTGCGCGCTCGCGCATCCATCAGCCATCAGCAGCTGAGGTTTGCACACAAGGTAAGAGGGGACACGTCGTCGATTCTGTAGATGGACTGCCTGCTGATGACGATGGACAGGAGCTCAAATTCGGTGTCGAGGCGCGACAGCAATTGCTCAATGGTGTGGAAACTCTGGCGAAGGCCGTTTCGACGACCTTGGGCCCCAAGGGCCGCAATGTGTTGATAGAACAGTCGTATGGCTCTCCCAAGATCACTAAAGGTACGTCTTGGTCAATTCTCTGCTCGCGAAGACAGAAATGCTGATGAAGAACACCGTAGATGGTGTCACCGTCGCCAAAGCCATTTCCCTCAAAGACAAATTTGAAAACCTCGGTGCCCGCTTACTGCAGGACGTTGCATCCAAGACCAACGAAGCCGCTGGTGATGGCACGACCACCGCTACTGTCCTTGCCCGTGCTATCTTTTCCGAAACCGTCAAGAATGTCGCTGCTGGCTGTAACCCAATGGACTTGCGAAGGGGTACTCAAGCCGCTGTCGACGCTGTCGTCGAGTACCTAAGGCAGAACAAGCGCGACATTACAACCAGCGAGGAAATCTCACAGGTCGCCACCATCTCAGCCAATGGTGACGAGCACATCGGAAAGCTGCTGTCTAGTGCAATGGAAAAGGTTGGCAAGGAGGGTGTCATCACCGTCAAGGAAGGCAAGACCATTGAAGATGAGCTCGAGGTCACTGAGGGTATGAAGTTCGATCGCGGTTTCATCTCGCCATACTTCATCACCGACACCAAGGCCCAAAAAGTCGAGTTCGAGAAACCACTCCTGCTCCTGTCTGAGAAGAAGATCTCGGCTGTTCAAGATATCATTCCTGCCCTTGAAGCCTCCCAGCAACTCCGCCGCCCTCTTGTCATCATTGCCGAGGATGTCGATGGTGAGGCTCTCGCAGTCTGCATCCTTAACAAGCTGCGTGGACAGCTGCAAGTCGCTGCTGTCAAGGCTCCTGGCTTCGGTGACAACAGGAAGAGTATCCTTGGCGATATTGCCGTTCTGACCAACGGCACCGTGTTCACGGACGAACTGGACATCAAGCTTGAGAAGGCGACGGCGGACATGCTCGGTTCCACCGGTTCCATCACCATCACCAAGGAGGACACTGTCATCCTCAACGGTGAGGGTAGCAAGGACGCAATTGCTCAGCGAGCTGAACAGATCCGTGGCGTCATGGCCGACCCATCTACCTCGGAGTACGAGAAGGAGAAGCTGAGCGAGCGTTTGGCTAAGCTCTCTGGCGGTGTGGCTGTCATCAAGGTCGGTGGTGCCTCTGAGGTCGAGGTCGGAGAAAAGAAGGACCGCATTGTTGATGCTCTGAATGCGACGCGCGCTGCCGTTGAGGAGGGTATCCTTCCAGGTGGTGGCACTGGCCTCCTCAAGGCTTCTGCCAACGCTCTCAAGGATGTGAAGGCAGCCAATTTCGACCAGCAGCTCGGCATCGACATTGTACGCAAAGCCATCACCCGCCCGGCGCGCATGATTGTTGAAAACGCTGGTGATGAGGGCTCCGTCGTTGTTGGTAAGCTGATGGAGGAGCATGCCCAGGATTTCAACCGAGGCTATGACAGCTCAAAGGGTCAGTACGTCGATATGATCCAAGCTGGTATCCTGGATCCATTCAAGGTGGTGAGGACTGCACTTGTGGATGCTAGCGGTGTTGCTTCGTTGCTCGGTACCACTGAGGTTGCCATCGTCGAAGCACCAGAGGAGAAGACTGGGCCAGCAATGGGCGGCATGCCGGGCGGTATGGGAGGCATGGGAGGCATGGGCTTCTAAGCTAGGAGCTCAGCTTGTATGATCCGTGAAAGAAAGAGATGATGCAAAGATCATAATACCCCCTAAGCCTGGATGTACAAAACCTGTTGGCTTTTCTGGTGTTAGCGAGGAGATTGGTTTGGAAGTGGGTTTGGCACACCAAAAAAAGGCTCTCCGCTCTTCACACGTGTTTTCTGAGAATTGCATTTACAGCGACTATGTAACTGTTTGGCGGCGTCTTCATACCTGTACGTATAGCATTTTGTCTTAGTAAGAGGAGGGAGGAAAATCAGTGCAAATGAGATCTGAGGATGGAAGCTGAAGTTGTACATACAACAAAGCATGTAGCAGTAGAGTATCATCAGGCAAGGAAAGACAAACTTTCTTCCGTTTTATGGTATTTATTATGCGTGAGCACATCTTGACGTTTCTTGACTACAACGATATGGCGAGACATTTTTCTGAGAACTACTCGATCGCCGCCCCACCATTCCTAACCTCCATGCCCTCGAAGGCACGGCGTAATTGTCTAGAATACACTCGACTACCCGAGAGGCACAGCGATGGCCGCATTTGCTACGGGATCGTCACCAAAAAAAAGTGAAACTCATAAGAAATGCTGCATGTGTCGCTTTTTTCGTGTCTGTCACGAAAACAGCCGCTCCATACCACGCCCACGGTTTGCGGGCAGAGGGAGCTAGCCAAGACTCAGACGAGTTGTAGCGACGAGTCAAGATTTAGTGCTTGGGTTTCGCGGAAATAAAATGTAGATTAAGATACGATGCGTGGGAGCACGCCCTCGCCTTCCGTGTGATGCTTACCACTAGTCGAAGTGACTTTCCACACCGGCAGCGCAGCGCAAAACTCTGGCGCTCTCCCTCCCTCCCTCGTCTACCCACGCCTCATTAATAAAACGCATTTTCTCAATGCTAGTGGTGAAATGCTGTGCTCGTGATGTCTCCGTCGCAAAGTCCAGAAAGCAGTCCTTCTGCACCCGATTCCCCTTTCGTGCGAGACAGGTGTTCATGAAAGAGGCTCATCGGAAAGATATACGCACACAAACACACACACACACATATATGTATATATATGTGTGTGTGGTGGGTGGGTGTGGGCAGGTAGGTGGGCGTTGAAAAGAAAATTTTGAAAGGATGTTGGGCACAATTTTATCAAGTAATCTCGAGAGTCACTGTTCAAATGTCCCGGTCCTACGGATGATCGTGAAGAGATCAAAATATTTTGCGACTGCTTGATCCATCCGTGGATCGTGCTATTCCCTTCGATAGCTCCATTCCTCGTGATGACGAGCAATTTGCTTCGGTGTCGAGGTGCCAGCTTCGTCTTTGTCTTGATCTTGATCTCCGTCTTCGTCAAGCTGCTCCGTTTCCTCGCAAAGACGGAAGTCATCTTGATCTTCATTGATCAAGGTACTATATTCATTGAAGCTTGGTGAGCTGGTGCGACCGAGTGCGACGGTATCAGTACCCGACGACCCTTCTAGACAGGCGGCCTGAGTAGCAGTGTATAACGTGACTTGCCAACTTCCGCTGCTCGAGAAGTTGCTACTAATATTTTGCACATGTTTGCAATCTTCATGAACATGAAATGAACTGGTCTTGAAAACTTGGTAAGAACGAGGTTCAACAAGCGAATAGTGAGAGAAAGCCTTCAACGGGTTGATACTAACAGTGTTATAATGGCGTCCGAACGACTTGCTTTGGTCCGACGATTCGTCACTTGGGCTTATGAGGTTGAAGCTCATTGGTTGACCAATTTCACTTGCATGAGGAACGTATTTTGTGAAGGTCATGTCACGGCAAAGCTCTTGGCCCTTTTCTTCGAAAGGCTCATTGGGCGGTTGGAGCGGTTCATGAAGGGAAATTTCATCACTATATCTTGTTAGCCATTGGAAGCAATTCAGTTTACAACGGACGTACAGGTGCGGAAATTTGAGATTCGCTTGATCATAGCTTGCAAAGCCATCATACTCTAGTCCATGGATCGAGAGAGCCGATGCGCCGTCGGTGTTGGATTGTGATGTACTATTGATTTGAAGAGAATGGTGTTGATCCGTTGATTGTACAGCATGCTGGTCGTTCAAGTTTTTTTCCAGCTTCCTAGCGGTAAGACCACGAATGGGCTTCTGGTTCTTGTGGAGCTTAGATTTGATGTGCCTGGTGGGTGAGTTTGTAGTGGGAGAAGCGGCACCAGGAACAGGTGGAATCTCATCCTCGGCTTCATCAACATCGACATTTTTATCTTCTTCGTTCCTTGATTCTAGTGCCCTCTTCTTCCTCTTCTTTTGGATGGCTTTCTTTGCACGGGTACGCTTATTCCTTGACTTGCTGGGTGACTCTGTGTATTCAGACTCGGAATCAGATATTCCTTTTTGCAATTCTTGTTTGATATTTTGGCGCGAGATAGTTTTTGTTGAGCGAGGATTTTGCTTCACAGATGAAGTAGGTGTCTCTAGCACTTGTACGTGTTCCCCATCTGTTGGTTCAACTTTAAAGTTGTTGGTATGTTTTTTCTTGAACTTTGAATCAGTAAACTAGATTGTGCAACAAAAGGGAAGGCAACGAAAAAATTGAGTCAGATACAAAGAGCACTTACTGGCGTCTTCCTGACTGACTGAGGGCCGCTGTTGCCTTTACCTTCCTCCTGATCTTGAATGTACCTCGCACGACGTTTGGTGAGCTGTTGAACTAGTGCGTCCCCAGTGACAAATGGAGCAACGGCTTTTGCTGCCTCGTCAAGTGCTTTCTTAATATCAATTCTTTGGCGCTGCGCAGCAAGACGAAACTCCGCAAAGGCGAAGGCGAGCTTTTCATCTGTTACAGGTTAGACGGTCATCTTCAGTCGCACGGTTGAACCATACCACTCCAGCGAATGATCTGCCGGCTAGTTGCACGCTTCGGTGTTTTCTTCGATGGAGTACTTAAAGGGTTGCCCTCGGTATCGCTACCGTCCGAGGCCATGACTGCAATCCTAGCTCCGGTTAGCAACAAAGCCAAGTAGAATGAGACGTTCGACGTGGCTGTTTTTTGTAGATTTCAGAGACTGAGGCTGGCCAATACAAAACTTGAGTCTTCGAAGAAATCCAGATCTCGGTTACCCAAGGCAATGCTCTGGCCCCCATTTGTTTTCCTTGCCAGGTTGTGGGATTGTGAGAACTACTTACCCCGAGCTAAGCTTTGAGAAAGTGTCCAGAAGGTGAGTGAGATACTTTGAGCGTATTGTACGTGAGAATGCAGAACTAGACGAAGAAAATGTCACATGAACTTGGTGTTGTTGTTTTTGTTTTCGATTTGGTTTTTGGGTGATGTGAAGAGTGGGATAGCAACCTACGTCCAGGATACGGCCACTTGGATATCTGTCTCGAGAACCGTCCATATTACGGAATTATCACATGACCTCAATCTACACCAAGTACATAGATAAAAGTCACTTGGCTCTAGGTTTGTTGCGCTATTGCATCCTAAAGAATGTTATGTGATGGATACCACGGTGGTTGTCGTCTGGATCAAGTAGAATCGCAGCCATTGCAAATGAACGCATTGCCGAGAAAAAAATGCCCAAAAAAATCAAATAAATCTGCGTCCGTTGCTTAGCGTGAATCTAACAGCCTAAAAACTTTTTGTTTTCCTTAGAATATCTTTGCCAGTGTGTGAACTTTGAACTGATGTCTTCTTTTCCTCAATTCGTGCGTAGACGCTGACGAAAGTCGAAGTGAGCAGCTCCTACGAGACAACAAAGACGAATAAGTATTTATGCATTAATCGCCTCACAGGATGAAGACAATGGGTGTCTGCGTCCAATTTGGCGCAGGTTGAAGTGGACGGGATGTAACTGATGCCAGCCTGTACTTGATCAAAAATGTGGAGTCGATCCGAAAACTGAAGCATTTGCATTCCGCTAACGTAAGTCGCTTACTTGACTCGAACTTGTGTGCCCACACCACCATCAGTCAAGTCATACTTGCTTTCTATGAGCTGACGCTCTCGTCATTTATTTGTTAATTAAACGAAAGCTAATTCTCTTCTTGGCCTTGATCGAAGCCAGTGTCAAGGACCTGGACCGCAAGCAACATGAACGTTCGCGTCGAATGAGCTGCTATCAGACACAGCCTGGGTCTCCCTTCCTCACTCGGTCATTGCTTCTCAATGACCGGATCTTTTTGATATATATCTCTCTTTATTTGGACGAGGCACAGTTGCATCGCACAGTGGCCCCAAATTACCAAATGACTACTGCTGAAACGGAAGTGACTTTTTCAAACTTGATCATAGTCCTAGGACGGATCGTTTCAACAATTGGATTGATCAACAGTCGAGGGATCGGCTCTTGAGGCAAAGAACGCAATAGAAGTCTGAGTTAGCTGCATCACCACCGATTTTAACTATCGAAATGTATGTATGGGCAGAAAGGTTTTGATGACTGTGTGATGTAAATTTTTGCCTTTGGTGAGATACTCCAGGTAGCCTCGGTGCTCGAACATCGCGATGCCGAACGCTTCAAGCTCCGCGACATCCTCACCTTCACCTTTAAACTTCATCGTCATCGTCTCTCACTCTTTGTGGCTTGCTAGATTCTTCTACTTTGATTTTCTTGACTTTTGTCGCCTTCTTTGGACTCTCTTTCTTTAGCTTGCCAGGAGACTTCTTGTCGACGCCACCGACAGGGGCATTTGATACACTTCTGCACGTCGAGACGCCGTTCGTGTCGTCATGACTTTCCGCCTTCTTCTTCGCGACCCGGAGACGCTCCCTAGCACCTGCAACGGACTTGCTCCCCATCAACCTTGCCGCCTTCTCCCAGTCAATCTTATGCAATGGTCAGTCGACAAATCAAGCGCAAGAACATAACGATGGGGATCGCAAATATGGGAGCTGGAAAACATACGTCAGCGTTGGAAACCTTCGCCGCACAAAACGCGGCGGCCATTGCAAGGGTATCATGTTGGTTTAAACCCGGCAGATTCATTTTTTTTGATGCTGACTACCGAATTCCTGTTACGTTGAGCAGCATCGACAATTGCGTGAAGTAAATGTATGATAATCAATGTTTCTTGCAGTTTTGTGAAGTTGAGGCGGAAGCTCGAGTACACTCTCAATGGTTTATAGTGAGCTTGATGAGTACGGTCTAGCCGCATCTAAGCGGATGCACGACATATCACAAGTTTGACTTATTCTGCATGTGGAACGTGTCTATTCTCGTGACGGCCATTCACTGTTTGGCTCATTTGGAGTAGGCCTCACTCTGTTGCCCGCACATGTACATTGATCAAAGCCATAGAAATTGAACATATTATCAGCTATGTAGGCGCCATTGACCGAAGACAAAGCCCAGGAATTGCCGTCAACCGTCAAATTTATCTCTGTTGCTACATGGTTGATGTTCGGTAATCCAAGAGTACGCATTGAATTTCCATACAACATTCTCCTTCTGAACAGTTTTGCTGTTCGAAAGGCATGCCGTTTTGTCCCAACGCTCAGGCATTCCTGCCGCCATGCTTGAGTTGCTCTAAACAATCGACTCCTATTCCTTTTCACATCTTCATCTGGACTTTGATGCGATTCTCGGCGAATGGCGAGAGTGGGCCTTGATCAACTTTAGATTATTCAAGAGCCGTGAGTTTGCATTTTAGCTATGAGCTTGCATCTTTGTCAGCCTTGCGTCTGTACGGTTACTTCGACGGTTCAGCCTCTAGATTTTTTGATGTGCAGGGATAAGACAGCACGCCGTCCGTGGTCTGATGGCGACGGAGATGCATGCGTGCTGCATGACCATTAGATATATTATTTGCTTCGGCCACAAATGATCAATTGACCTAGTTGGTACCAGACATACTTCGGAGACCGACTCTTCCCAACTTGCCCCCTTCGTTTCTACTTGCCGATAATGGAGTATGGAAACTGCAGAGGTTGTTGATCAATAGTATTGTGGAGAGGACCAAGTGGTTATGGATTGAGATATTCTGCGTTCATAGTGGTCCCTAATTCGATGCATTTTATCGAAGGATGTGTCTCGATCTTAAAGTTTGCTCCGTGAAAAAAAGTGTCAGACAACGGTTAACAGTGTTTTCCAAAGTGCAGGTTGTTACTGGATATAAACATTGCAGCCCGCAATTTGAAACCGTGCGCCTGTTTGTTTTCAAAAATGAAGAAGGCTGATATAAGAGACTGTAGAACTTTAAAGACAATTGGGTCAAATGGGCTGTGAAAGAGAAATCTCGTTTGCGCAGTTGAATCCTGGACATTAGCAAGGCGAAGAGCAAGGCTGGCCAATCGGAAGTTGTTGCTGGAAACCGTCTCACCACTATCAACCACATTCTGCACGACTGCTCGCAAAAGTTGGAACAGCTGCGCCTGTGGAGTCATACTCACATGAACTTTGCGATGTATCTGCGAAAAACGTTTTCCTCTGTTTCTAATTGGTCTCGCCCTGTTCTGATGTCTGCTTTTACGAAGTTTAGAGGATCAAGCCAGACCTCCAACGTGAAATGTGAGAGGGGAACTTCTCGCATGCTTCCGGAAGACGATGAAAACCAATCATGCTGCCGAAAGATAGTGTTACAGTGTTCTGATTAGCTTTTCGATGAGGCGACCGAAGTTGCGTGTCTAAGCGGATCGTCTGTTACCTGTGATTTTGACCGTTGCCTTGTGAACCATACCGAGACCTGCACTTTTCATCACAAACCTTAACCAACGCTCTCACTTCTACGAAAAAGAGTCTGAAATAAAGGCAGAAATCCCTTCCAAACTATAAAGATGCCTGTTGACTGGAAGAGTTCTGAAAACAACGAGCGTCTGCTCGCTTGCTTATTCGCTTCTCTGGAAGAAAGCGGCACAAAGGCACGTACCTCACACAGGTCATTTAGAGTTTATCGACTAATCCTCCGAAGATCAACTACAAGCGCATCGCGCAGTTGTTCGGTCGAGGGACAACAGGGAATGCTATCGACTGCAACTTTCGCAAGATCCGCGCCGCCGCTAAAGAGATTAAGAAAGAATTTGAGTCTGGAGTCACCCAGCCTGCTCCTCCAACGACTCCCCGCAAACCAAAGACCCCCAAGAAAGAGCCTTTATCTAGTGAGTTATTCATATACCAAGTATCAGCGTGAATGGGAACTGATTTTTTCCTCTTCTATTTTATCTAGCTATTAAAAGTGGGCGTGTCGAGAAGCCTTCCACTCCTTCAAAGAAGAATAAGACTGCGGTCGGGAATGAGGAGATGCTTACTCCGCCTGAAGATGGAGGTTTCGGCATGATGGATGAGTTTCCAGAAGTCTATGGTGATACCACTCACGGCCTATCAGCTATTCATTATGAAGACGAAGTGTAAGGTGTTCGTTGTGACCGATGACTTTGACAGTCCAACGTTGTCCAGAAGCATATTCACAACGACCACAGGGTAGCGTGAATTTTTTCTCTCTCTTTTTGGTAGGGCCTCAATCAGGCGCATATGTACGCGCGGCCAGTAGAAATCTCTAAAAAACATTAGCGAGGACTTGCCCAGGTGTTATTGCCCGTGGGAGACGTAGTGAAACGACAAATCATAGGAAGTAGGTCGCCGTAATCAGCCCAACGACCAGATCGACAGGCTTTCTCCTTACTTTTCATTTTTCAAGCAGAATCTTGCAAGCAAAGATGAGTCATTCGTGATGTGAGCGCAACCTATCAAAACGCGTAGCCACGTTCCTGCGTCTTTGCCATGCATGAACAAAACAGTCCGATCAGGCAACTCAGCTCAGTTTGTGATGTATCGCACAAATACCCTGTTCACATTCAAGCTCTCTACCCTACTAGTCCACCCAACAGCGTAATCTGGGGAGTGGAAGTGAAGTAAAGTTGAAAGAAAAGTGAGCGAAGTTGCAGCTTTAGCCAATCGATAGTATTACCCACCAAATTGAGGCGACAAGCTACTTCTTCGTGCTTCTTGGAATTCTCTTCCCTCTTTCTGACGACAAATTCATATCGTAAGCACGAACAGATTGGCAAACCCAAAAAACTATAAAGCCTAGCGACCATGCCAAAAGGTCAGCCTTCAGGAGATCGTATTGTCTGGGATGATGCCAACGAGAAACACCTCCTTCTTTGTATCCTCGCCGAGGCAAACCCAGCAAAGCTTGACTGGACTCGCATCGCTTCGAATTTCGGCAAAAATCTGAGCTCAAGTGCTGCCAGGCAAGATTGCCGACCTTCTCTTTGTCAATATTCTTGAGCTGACAAAGCTGACAGTCAAAAATACGCCAAAATTAAAACTCGTGATCGGCAGCTTTTCGAAGGAGGCGGAGCCACTGGGGCAACGTCCTCTAGTGGCAAGAAAATCACGGCAACGAATACCAAAGCTACGCCGACGGTCACCAATAAACGCAGCAGCAATGGCGGATTCAAGAACCCCGCCGCTTATAGCGAGGAAGCCGATAACGACAAACTCATGAGGAGCCCAAGCAAGAAATTTAAGATAAAGGAAGAAGTTTGTGCGGAGACTTGTAGTGTTTTATATGACGAGTACGTGTCTGCTGCTTCTGAGCTGGCTATTTTTTGTCCTGTGATTAGGCTAAAAATACTCCGAGTCGTCGTCTTTTTTCGTACCGCTTACTCCTTCTTAGGGTTTAGACATTGATATCATGTTCGGAAGAGTGGTCGAATGACGACCAAAATACGTCGCCGGTCAAAGGTTCTTCCGGTGTGCGCTATGCGTCTCTAAATATCTTGACGCATCGGTAAAGTCGGCGGTATCTAGTCTGCTCAAGTCATTTGAGCAGAATTGCTGCCCTTTGACATGATACATTAATCATCCATGAGCTCCCTATTAAAAAATCTCCAGATCTGTCTTCCGGCATCCCTCCCCACCAATTGGTCCAGTTCTCCATCTTCAGCGTTTGCCAGCTCTTGTATGTTTCTAACTTCCAAACTCAGCCTAACAATGTTTTTCTCTGTAACGCCGGGTACAGCTCTCAGCATGTCCATCGGATCCTGATTGAACGTTCTCCCAGTTTCAGGGTCCTCGCCTTCCTCTAGTCCAATCATGACTGCTTTGTACGGATCTGGCTCTTCCTGTTGCTTTTTCAATTCCTCAAAGATCTGTACGGTTTGATATGGTGAGCTCGACCAGATAATACGTAAGCGTGGAAAATGCAGAGTAAGCATAACAATCTTCGACTGTAGATCAGGCGCGGCCATTGCGGCTGCTGCTGCAGAGTTGGTGAGATCAGCAAATGGTTCTAATGTAAAGCTCTTTACGTCGCCGAACTCAATTAGGAGCATTGGGTTCTTATAATGTTCTAGCATTGTTTCGACCTGGTTGTAGAGACGTCCGCTCTTGAATGATCCAATGAGATCGCTGACAGATTTCCGCTCAACGGCAATGGTCGGTGATAATATGTAGTCGCCAACGGTGAGTTGAGCAGGAATGACTTCCATATCTTTGGCGTGCAAAAGCCCAGGTAGCTCTGAACGAAATTCTCTCATGTCTGCAACGATGCGTGGTTGAACGGCAGTTGCTGCTATGCGCCCACCACCGGCGATTCGGGTGTTGATCGTCCTCAAGAATTGCTCCTCCGGATTTTTGGGCGCTTGGTCTAAAGTTAGTGCCATTGTGGCTCTCTCTTTGATAAGACGAGTGAACGCATCCTTTTCCCGGCGAACCGTGCTAAGATATCGCTGCTCCTCGACGGAGCCTCCGTAATACATGAAATAAACACGCACATTCCTATCCGTATGCGAGCTGCGGTAAACTTCAACGTGTCGGATGAAGGCGGCGTCTGGCTCGTACATGATAATGTATCGAGGCCGAACTTCTTCAAGTACATGCTCGTCCATATCACCATCGTACGGATGCACCACAAGCAAGTTGTCTAGATCATAAAGTTCATAATAGTCCTCCATCTCCTCAAGGGGGTCATTTGTAATCTCGTCTTTCTGCTGAGCCTCAACGGCAGTAACTTGCAACTCATTTAAGAGTTGAGCCATATGCGCATCACGGTCTCCAGCAGTTCTAACAGCGAAATCAGTGCGGCCGATCGACGTGGCTGCATTTGACGCCCCGCGAACACGACGCCTCTTGTTCGCTGGCGCTCTGCCCCGAAGCGACTGTGCTTTGGAGTCTGCAGCGTCGTTAGTACTGCTCTCATGTTCCGCTTGAAACGAAGCCGCGATTCTAGAAAAGTTGCGTTTCCAATTGATATAATTTCGTAGCTTTCGTCGCAACATGAATGACGCCGAACCCTTGGCCTCGGATTCGACAGCTTTGTCACTATCATTATCATCTTCTTCCCCTTCTTTTCCTTCGGGTCTGATATGCATGGACTGCATGTATTCTTTGATTTGACCAGCGGTTTGCAAATCTCCACACATGACGAGAATGGCACCGCTTGAATCATCTCGAGGTACTGGATTGTAGTAATAATCTCTCTCAATTTCGTCCAAGATTTCCGCCAACATTTCCCATTTCGGCAGTTCTTCCAACACTGGTTGGACAAGATTTCGTCGAGGGGAGGATCGGCCATTTGTAGTAGGGGTTCGATCTGTTAAGTCACCCTTATACACGCGTTGCTTGGCAGTCTGAAACATGGTGTGTGCAGCGTCGAGCAGAAGCCACGGACTTGGGTTTTCTCGTCGTTTGCCATCCTCAGCTTGAGCATTCGCCAGAACAGTGTCGAGGTACTTGAGAAAGCTAACACAATCATAGGTCAGGACAAAGTGCAGAATATCCCTAAGAGTTCGCAGATCATTGACGATCTGTTTGCTTCTCGGACTGGTTCGATGCCACACAGGATCCAGTTGCCTCATGATGATTTGATAAAAGTTGCGCTGCAATGCGCTATCCAAATTCCAGTCATCCATCTCAAGACCGCTGTTTAGCTTCCTCAGCTCGCTTATACTGGCCTCTATGCATTCCAAGATGGCATTTTGTATGACCCGCATACTTTCGGTCATGCTGACCTCCAGTTCGATGACTTCTGCTCTTTTTTTCCCATCTAACGAGCTCGTCACGTCTGCTTGGAATCGTGGATATAGCGAAGGTTTGCGGAGAAAAAGGTTACGCAAAGTGTTTGCCAAAGGCGAAAAGCCGCTGACAAAGGCCTCTGGGGCGTCCGAAAAGGCTTTGAGGAAGCCATCTCTATTCTTCTGTCGAAACTCACGAATGATGAACGCTTCCACAGATGTTGCCGTGACCTTTTCAGCATGTAGAATGATCATGCCTGTTACCTTGGAGCCATCAAGCAATCCGGAGAGCAAGTCGACGATCAGGATCCGAGACGTTATGCAGAATATTCCCGTATTTTTATACAGACTTTCTCGGCTCGTTGGCGTCACAGTGTCGGTGTTGATGGTCTGAAGACCACGGCATTTTCGCGAACCCGTAACTGTCGCTTTTTCTGCCAGTGCCTCACCTATCCATTCGGATTCGCGCTCGTCTGCGCCGACGACGATTATGAGGTTGTTACCGGCAGCGTCAAAGGCATGAAGGAGATTCGTCACGATTCGCAAGAGCCCTAACCCTCTCGCCAGAATGAGCAGCTCATCTTCTTCTCTGAGCTCGTGGAAAATCTGCTGTTGAAAAGCCTAGTGAGAAGCGTTAGCTAAGTCATGCGAGAGAAAGAGACGGGCTTGTACAAGAGGCAAAGATAGCTTCACGGGTGTATTTTCATCCCCCATTACTTCTAATCATGAAGCAGCAGCCATATCGTATGCTGAAGGTTGCTTCAAACGAGACGCGATCAAGGCGCAATCCTACATGAGTTGTACGTTGGGAAATGATTTTGACACTGGGTCCAAGGTCTACTCTCGACGCCGACTTGATGACGAAAGGTCAGTGCTCCCGACGCGCTCTCACATGACTGAAATGGAATCAAGCACGCTTTTTCAGCCATCGAAGAGACTGGAGACACAGAGAATTGAGCAAATGACATTTGCTAGAGTGCTTTCGTAGTCTTTTTTTTCTATCTCAAGCATAACGCCTCCAACATGAAAGCCAGTAGTAACTGTTCGTCCTTACCGACGACTCAACCGTTAATTGCGTAACCAGAAATTACCAAAACACATCACAAAGAGCCAACCCATATTCTTGCATTTGTACATGGAAAACATTTGCGACCTGCGCCAGATGGCTTTGGCCACCAAACTGGTCATTTAAATCAGCTGTCGTTTGTACATCGCTTGCTCCAAGCAAATGCATACGTTGCCCATCCAATGCTGTGCTAGTCTCAAATATGTTCCCGCCTAAATATCTAGAGCACTGTATAAAGTCGGCCATATATCATACAAATTCGTTAGCTTCACCGATCGCGAAGATCTGCCTTGCCCAAACGGCGATCATTCAGAAGCTCAAACCCCGAGCAATGGCCGTGCACGCGGTGCTCCCATGAGCACTCCTGCTAGTAAGATCCACCTCCATGCTGAAAGGATCCAGATGGACTGTGCCTCCCGTATCAGGTAGATAGACAGATGCTGGATCATCCCAGGCCTAGCAACTCACTGATACAGATGCGACTGTGGGCCTTCCGACGTTGCGGATCCAGGATGCTCGGCTCCAGCACGTTCCTCATTATCGTCTTCCTCTTGAGCTTCCTCTATTCTTTCTTGTTCTTCGAGCTCGGCAGCCTTTTCTTTGCAGGCAGCTGGGGAAAATCCATTGCCGACCTTTGCTGAGATTATCCGCCAACGATCATGTTCGTATTCTCGTATAGCGTTGCGAAGCTTCAGAACCTGGCAGGTGTGCATTAGCGCCGAGACATGAAATCGAAACAAAGACCCTAGCCGCGAAACACCGGGCTTGTATCGTGCCGAAAGTTATAACATGGGACAAGCACGGCATCCGTGCTCGCATAGGAGCCGAAGAGAAAAAAAAACGTGGGCAGTGCTGAACTCACCATCTCATCGGTCCAGACAGTTGCCTTCGCTTTAAGTTTCGTGCAATAGCGGACTTGCAGTGTTCCAGAACTGCGACCGGGGAAGAAGTCCGCGATTTGTTTCCACGTCAGGTTCTTCTTCTCCTTCAGATCTACAAGCAGTCCATCGTCCTCGGGTGTGAACTTGAGCTTGGGTCCCCTTGGTCGCGGGGCAGGAGGGGGCATACCCTCTTGCCCGACCATACTGGGTGGCCCTTGGTGATGAGATGGCGGAGAATTAAAGCGCTGTAACTTATGTGGCGGCGGCTGGTTCGGTAATCTGTGATGGTGATGCTGTGTGGCCAACGAAGAAGGATGTGCTGGAGGGTATTGCCCCGGCAAAGGCTGATTGTGACGTCCATGAGTGAGCTCTACGCCAAGCTCGTCTTCTGTGCTTCCAACACCAGATAGACCCGCGAGACCTTGGATATCAAGCTGTAGATCGTCGTGAGGACGACTGCGCTTTCGGCCATGCTGCACATAGTGCATATGTGAAGGACCTGGACCATAGTTTGGCTGCTGGTGAGAAATATGGGTCTGGTTGCGCAACATGTGGGGCTGTCGAAGGTCGTGATGCTCTTCTACTGTACTGACTTGCAACAAAGATGAAGGGGTTCCAAGACCATGCTGTGGCTGAAGTGATTGTACCGAAGCCTGTTGTTGCAAGAACGGATTCTGCTCTGGGTGTCCCAGCGTGTACTGCTGCAGCAAATGCTGATTGTCCACGGCGGTGGGGTGCGAGGTTGCGGACTCTCCTTCTCCCGAATGTGGTTCTTGTATGCCATAATCGAGGGAGAAATCTCGATATGACCTCGCCAGCGTTGCGATTATGCATGGAGACTGCCAGAGCTTTGGTGGCTCTGGCAGATCGCCGTGTGAGACCGAAGTCAGGTGGAATGCAGCGCAATAAAAGAGAATGACTTTAAGAACAACTCTGGTCGCGTGCGGTTGGTATTGCCTCGTTGGGACTACGATTCTGACAGATGCTGTGATTGGAGCAAGATGGAGCTCGGTGCCATCAACGAAAAAATGAGCAGGTACAAAGTGGTTAGCGAGGTAAGGATAAAAAAAATTATCTCGACCGATATAGACTTCAGAAGGACAAGATCTTGTTCGAGTACGGGCAGGGTGTGTTGCGCGTTATAAACCTCTGACCAGGCCAAACTGTGAAAGCACTAGCTATGCCTGGACCACAAAAACCCATATCAAGATTGCAGATGGCAAAGCCGAGCAGCACCGAGACACAAAAGCGTCCACGCGTAATCAGAGATGTTCTTTGGGCAAAACGATCTTTGTTCCTGAATGGTGGAAGGCATGCTAAGTTTGGTAAGTGGAAGGCACTGATTTAGATAGCAGCATCATGCGGTGATCCATGGCCAGGGTGCGCCCTCGGCTTTGCGATCTGGGGACGCTGTCGTAAGTGCCAAATCTTTGGCAGTACTGGATAGACCCAGCAAACAACTGGCCAGTTGGGCAAATTCGAGCCACAGGAGAATGGAAAAATGTGGTGCTAGGTCCACCCCAAGGTAGCCTCGCGCCAATCCGAGCGATCAGATAGCCTGGTCAATTCTTCCAGAACGCGCACGGAAGATCTTCAAACTGTATCAAACTTTGTGAGGCCGTAGTCTGGCCATAGCAGAAGCCTTGGTTATTGATCATGAATCGCGATTAGCATCGACTCGGCAGACCTTGCGAGCGCCACAACCCTGAATCTGCACGACATCAAGGATGATGGAGGTACGTTATGCCAGCAGTCAGCAACCAAAGCGCCTCGAGTGGAAAGATCGCAGGACCAGGGCTGATGTGCGAAGCGAGCAGTGGCACGAAGACAGAACAAAGACCTAAAGCAAAAATGAACCCTCGCACGAGCCGGGGGACTGAAGAGATTCGTCAGAAGATGCTGTAGGTATCCGCTGAGGCGCTAGGCTAATGAACGTCAGAGCCGTCCTCTGCAGTTGTTTCATATATTAAGGCCCATCCTGGCTATATTTGAGGTGCCAGAGTGCCAACTAGCTTGGAGAGATCCTTCGCAAAGCAAACAATCTCCGAATCAAATGCTTTGGAAGGGCCCCAGGGCTAACATGAAACAAATCACCATCGTGTCGGTGATAGATAGACAATGACGCGAGGCGGCATTCACCATTCTCAAATGCGCGATGGGAAGACGTTCTCCTTTCCGAGCGTTCCTAAAACAGCCGCGGTGGCTGGTGCTCAGCCAAAGTCAGTCGAAGCTACAGTGGCTGAAGAGAATCTTTGTTCGCCCAGAGCTGCGTCTGCCCGAGTGGAAAAAAAAGTCAAAACAACGGCGCGATGACAAAGTTCGAATTTCGTGTGTGGATTGCGCTAACGCCTCGTGTCTATTGCCTCTCTCAGCACGTTGTTTGCTATTTTGGGGCTGTGAATCAAGAATGGCGACGAAATGCGCCGCTATCTCAGCGTTTCGATGCCCGTACCCACTACAAATTTGACTAATTTGGGTCCAATTTGAGGAAGTTGGCCCACGCTACCGTCATGTACGTGCCTAAAAGAAATGTAAGGGTGAGAGCATTTTCTAATTCAGCGTCGCGTATGACCTCATATCTGCCTCGACATCGTCCGTCTGTCGGCTGATATGTAAGACCTCAATGTCTCAAGCACCCATGAACGCTCGAGCCGTCAAAGCGCACACATTTGTGCAACCGTGTCTACCGTTCAGTTTTCTCAGGCGTATTGACTCAAGTCTCTAGCCCTGAAGCACAGCATGATGGCTCGGTTACACTGTGTGCCCTGATGCATCTCAGCACGGGCGAAGCACACGGAACACGCTTGCGCCTGGAAAACGCGGATTACGAAGAGAATGTGAACAGACTTTGTGAGTAGCTGTGGAGTCAGACCTGTTTTCTCGGACTCTTTCGCTGGCGTCATTATATGCCCATGCCCGAGTTTCAGTACTACGGCTTCTCAAATGTCGCCTTAACGATCACCGACATGATTTCCCCGCCGAGCCTATGCCTTTCCTCCATTGCGTGTTTGCGACTGCCGAAATTCATTGAAACAAAATTTCTGAACACTGCATGCTGATGCACAACGCCTTGGTGTAACAAATGGTGGTATCTCGAAGGTTGTGCGCTGAACCCAGAACCGAACGACCTATGGGAAAGATCCTTAAACCTTTCCACTGAAATGCTCCTTCGCATACTGCTCGCAGGCCTAGAGGGATCAGTTCTGCAACCAAAATCTATATTGGCGATGGTCAACGGATGAGTCGCTTACCTTTGCCGGCTTTCCCACTTTTTGGCCAATTACCTTCCACTTATTTTGCTCATATTCCTTGATCGCTGCCAGAAGCGCGGCGCTCTAATGGTATGATAGTTAGCAACGTTAGAGTGGAGCGACCTGGACCGTTTACCTCGTCTTCGGCGAACTCGGCATAATGCATATCCTATTTTCCCATTTAGTCCTTCTCAGTCCAACAGCGCAGAGCTAGAGAAGCAGACCTTATACCAATGCTTCTTGACACTCCCTTCTGTGCGGGTTGGAAAAGACTGCAGATCGTTAGCAGAAGAACCAGGCTGCCATTCGTTTCCTATAACAAACCTTGGCGATTTCGCTCCAGCTTTTCCCCTCGTCACGCATCTTCTTCAGGCGAAGTTCTTCCGCTGGTGTCCATGGGGTATTTGTTCTTCCCTTTTTAGGTGGCGGGGCACTTATCGGTGGCTCCGTAGTTGGCCCTGCGGACTCAGATGCAATCGCAAAGCTGGATGGACCGGGCGGCGGCGCTGGCGCTGGCGCGATAGGACTGGGCGCGATTTGTTGACCGGAGAGTCGCCTCTTGCGCGGGTTAGGTGGGCTTGCCACGGCGCTCGTCGCCTCTGTAGATTGATTCATGGTTTGTGCTGGTGAGATCGATGGCAACAATGTGGGCTGAACGGGTAAGGCTGACGGTGGAGATGGCTTGAGGTTATGTTTCGAGGCTGAAGTGGTCCTGCGATTCGGCACGACTGGGGTCAGTCGAAACATCCAACAACATGCGAAAGCGGTACTTTGACATTCAATGGAAGTATGAGTACGAACAATGTTGCTGAGAGTGGTGCAAGTCTGAATTATGGAGAGCCTCACGACATGCTAAGACTAGCAAACCAGCACGTGGAAGAATGCACTGGGCGCTAAGAGGGATCTAGACGTGGGCGCGGATATGTGCTTGACAAAGTAGAGTATGCCTTGGATGTAGTGGTGTGTTTGAGAGAAGGCTTGTGAATGACATCGGTTTGAGGAGCGAGAAGCTAGGAGGCGCAGGTTAATGGGGAAAGCTGATCATTGCGTGCGGTCAAAGAACGCGCATGCATACGGCAGCACGAGTTGACAAACCACTGTGAAGAAGGAACAGTCAAGGCACGAACGCCTAGGTCAGCAGAGGAGCTTTTGAACTGGGTTCACAGGAGCAGTATGCAGGAAGGGGATGGTGACCAAAGATGGCTCTGGACGCCATGGTTTATGTACAGCTACGAGGGTCAGGTGTAGGAGAGGACGAGGCGTCAAGTAGAGATACTTGGTCTCGTGTTTCCCCTACATTGAATCAGGCGGGGTAAGACAATGCCTGTTGAGCATGAGCTGCATTCCGCCAGAAGAAGTTTAAGGTGGGGATACAGGCAGGATGCAATCCAATTACATCACGCGCCATTGCGGTCTATGCAAGTCGAAGTGGTCGGTCCAGCAGAGCTGGGGAGTCAAAAGACTTGCTGGCTTCGTGACCGACGCGGCCAGGGATCGAAATCCATGGAGGGCGGACCAAACGAGGTAGGTTATGTCGGCTCTACTCGAGATCGTCGTACAGGGAACGAACGGCTGAGGTAGCGGCGCATCGAGCAAAGTAGATGAAGAAGCCCTCGAATGTTGGCTGGAATGCGGGGCTGGGAGGCGAGCACCTTGTCGCTTAAGCTGCTCTATCTGCAAGCCATTTGTGCAGGACTGTGAGCATATCCCGATTGGCGCACTAGCTGACGACCAGCAAGCCATCGGACAGGTTTTGTTTGCGAGTCTTTCTGATTGCGCACTGACAAGAGTCTGGCACGAACCGCTCCGTCCTCTGGCTTCTCCAGATTTTCGGCCGCCCAGGCGGGCATGATTGGCTGCGCAGTGCGGAGGCTGTTCTGCAGAGACCAGGCCGGTGGGAAACGCACGAGCAGCTCGCCAAGCCAGCAGAGAACCGTTGAGCTAGTTGACGCAACAAAACAGGGCAGAGGCGAGAGGCGAATCAATCGTGCTGGCGACGTTCGCTGGCTGGTAGCAAGATCCGATACGCAACTGTTTTGTTTCGAAAAGCTGCCGTTTGTGGATGGGCGTCGACGTGGACGTGTACGTGGACAGCAAAAAAGCTCCGACGCTCGCTCGGCGCCGTTGATCTTCTGTCGTCTGCGCACGCGCACGCAGACTGCGACAGACGCCCCGGATCCGTGACGCAGTTGAAGAGCGCTGCAAACGACACGGCGCGGATTCTGATGGGCCTGGGTGACTGCGCGCGAGGACGGAGTAGAGACTGGAGCAACTGTCGCCGCCGCCAATGGGCCAATGGGCAGCGGCGCTTGTGGCCTGGGCGCCTGAGCACGTGACAGAACCCAGGGTCGTCGGTGGGAACGGCGCCCGCTTAGACCACGACCTGTAACGTCCCCTCGTCACGCTCAGCGCTCTCTACCATCTGCTTTGGCCTTCGAAAGAAAAATTAGAACATTGCGGATCTATAAGTCTCACGACCGCCGAACTCCAGCGCTCGTCAGCGACGTGAGTGACGAATGGCATGCGTGCTGCTCAAGCACCCTCCGCTCTCGCTCTCTTCTGTCCTCCACAAAGTACAGTGATCACCCCTATTCTGTTTCCAGCTATAAGCCAAGCCGCAGTTTCAGAAACGTCTCGATTCCCCTTTCGCTACATGTCCATCTAACAGATGGCTGCTCACTCGCGTTTTGATTCGTCTCCCCATCGGTTTCGCTCCGTTTATTTTTCACGGGCATTGGAACTCCCGCTGCAGACGCCGTCACTTTTTCCGTAGGCTAAGATTACCGCATTCGCACCCTTGTTCTGTGGCCAGTCGCTCGAGCCCGCTCGGGTGTATGTGTGCGAGCAAGATATCCGCTCCAGACCTTCCAGCGCTAAGTTACAGCAACCCAAGAAAAGGATCTCGAGTGCTGAGGCCGTAAACGCTGCCCGTACCTGAGCCTGTGAAACAGCTACTGTTCGGCAGCATCCGTAAGACCGGGTTGACATTCAGGAACACAGGCTTTGGAAACGTCGTCAGCCTTGCTCAACACAGTGTTGAAATTCATGCAACTTGTGCAAAGGCCCACTGAGGCTTTTTTGGGGCTCTGCGTCCATGCACAATGTCCTGGCAACCCGGTGTGTTTGAACTCAACGCTGTACCGTACCCAGGAAGGTTTGAAAACGTAGCTAACATCAAATTGCGCCACCCCAATCAGATCCCCGGTTCTACTTGACCGTCTATCTCCTGTGAACAAACTATATCTCCATCCTGCACCTCCTCTCTACGTACTCCACTCCATTGCAACTTCTAACAATCAACCTTCGCTGTTCGCGGTCCCAAATACTTTCTTTCACATCCCACTGGCTGGGCTGCTTTCATTCCCTACCTTCATTGCTGGTCAATCATTTGAAAAAACATACAGGTTTTGTAATTCCATCTTCACTTTCCCCGTGAGCGCTATCAGCCTATCTATCAAGTCGTACGAGCTGCTGCTAGTTCCTGCCAAATTAGACCCATCCGCAGGCTGCAAGTTTCTAACAGGACTATATCCGAGGGACGTTCTTCATCCGAAGTGATGGCAACAATGGCATTACAGTCCCAGATGGCCCAACCGATGGCGCCTCTTTCCGATCTCACTCGACACGACTCTCTCGCTTCTCGCGGTCGAAAAATGACTCCGAGCGGCGGAAATCGATCCTGGTCTGAAGAAGAGGTGCGCAAGATGTTCCAAATAAGCTCGCAGAGAATAACCGCTAATGATAGCACAGGAAAACTACCTTCTGCAGACAAGAGCTCAGAAAATGCCTTATAAGCATATTGCCGCTCATCTCAAGAAAACAGAACTTGCATGTCGCCTGCATTACCACCAGCTGTCCCATGGCAGCCATAGGAGAAAAAGAACCTCGTCTTTATCCTCTTCCAGCTCGGCCGGTTCCGTCAGACATTCCCCAACCCAATATCACCTCAACGGTGACATTCACGAGGACTTCCGCCATGGAACACTGCACAGCCAGGCGCACTTCTACTCGTCACTAAGCCCACTAGGTTCGTACCCTGTGGGTGGTGCGTTGGGATCTCGAACGCAGCATAAGGTCCTGTTACCGAAACCGCGGCCTTTGACTCCAGAAGAGTCTCCTAACCGCCTTGGTGGGTTGCGAATTAGCACTCACGAGAGCCCAAATGGATCCTCGGTTGACACTGATCGTTTGCGACAAATCTATGACTCGCGTAGAGGCTCTTTCTGGTCGTCGATCGCACAAGAATATGGTACGGATATCTCGCCGAGCCACCTCGAGGAGGTTTGGCGCCACCAGCCCAACGGTCAGCCTCCCACTCCAGACGATAGCCCGAATGGTCGACCCGCCATGCATCCCATGCTCCAATCTTCGCCGTTCCCATCCTTTGCACCAACTCTCCATTCGTCAGTCAAGGACTTCGCACCGATGAGCTTGCCATCCAATGCTCCGTCACACGACAGATACTCGTATGGCATTCATGCGGCAGACGGTGGATACGGAGGAGCATCTACCATGGGATTGGGCCGGGCGAACTCGTGGTCGGGCGGTGTTCACCAGCCTGCAACCGCCATCACCTCATTACTGACCGAGGACAAGTGCCCGAGACATGGATCTGATACAAGATACTGCGTTGGAGGCAGATGTGTTTAAATTTCCCACTTTCTTCTTCTAGCAGGATTCTTTTTTCCTTCGTATCACACCACCTTGTATTATGTGGCATGGCTGGGGTCTTCTTGTCTGTCGTTTCTTGGTCTTGATACCAACGGGGTCAATTTGTCGGATATGGCATCAAATGGGTGTTCTGTGGCGTTTCTCCAAATAGCTTGGGCAGAACCTATGCGGATATGTTCGCCATCGAGAGTGGATATAGAGGTTACGACGTACGACTTGATGTATCGCGTATGTGCTCCACATACTCTACTTGTTGTACAAATTTAGCCACGGTATATTTCTTAACATCGATCTGGTATCCTCGACTTCCATCGCTACTGACAAAAGGGGTCTTAAACCGTTGCACGTGCACCTTCGTCGTTCGCAACCATTCTGACCGTAAACGCAGAGACGTTTTACATCTGTTCACAACACCCAGCAAGCCCAAAACGACAGACGTCGCTACTAGCAACCGGATACTCCATCTCCCGTATGCCAAGTGATACTTGGAGGCGTTCCCCGAGGTTAAGCAAGCACCGATCAACGCAGGGGTGGCCGGCTGACATATGCACGGGGCAGCCAGCTCCGCACAAGACGGTGCTGCTTTGTCTTCATGCCGCAGCACACTGGGGCAATTCCGACATCGTGGTCGCGATGGTTTCGAAATGTAGCGCCTCACCATCTGACGAAAGAAGCAATTTCGCTTCGATTGCCGTCGCTAAGCGTAAACGTCGACACCGGAACGATGATGTGGCGCTGTTTTATCGACATCGGAGGCGGCCCAGTCAATGCATGGTCAAAACAGAACAAGGCGCCATGGTTAACAGATTCGCCGCCTCTGATGGGTCTGGAGTTGAACCTGGACTCAGGACGAAGCACTGTGCCAGCATCTTAAGATTTATGCAGTTTGGCTTTTTATGCGCAACACTGCTAGATGCGTTACGTGTCTATGCTCTAAGTGGTAATGTAGAGAGGCAAAGTGAATAGAAGGTAGAAATTAAAGCCCGTATTAGCATGTGAATCTGCCTCTACGGTGCTCTTTGTAGATTGATAGTTTCGAGGCTCTTCGTTCGAACAGCTATGGAAATTTGGAACTACAAAGGTGTCCACGCCACGATCGCGACCTGATTAGCCAATATATATCATTGTCGTGTTTTCTCTTGATATCTATTCGCAGTTCTCGTTCCAACTACGCTGATGTGAGTGGTCAATATTTTTGCCTCCGCTCAGGTCCAAACGTAGGTTGCTCATTTCCAACAACCGATTTGAGCACATTTCCTATGCCCTGAACGTTGCCATCTCCCCCTGGCTGAACAATTCGAGCATAGTTGTTGGAGATCAGCTGTACCCCGCTCACAAAGCTTTGCCCATCAAAGGCGCAGTGCCCGCCCTGGGGGGTGTTATCTATTGTTTGTAAAGCCCCGATCTGGTCCGGAGTCATGCCCGCGCTGGTCGCGATCTGCTCATAGGCAGTGACCGCCTTTGGGATTGAGCCTTGAAGCAATTGAAGTTCATTCACAGTACCTGGTTAATCGGTCAGTCTCCACACGTGGATACCTGCAGCATCATTGATTGCAGTCGAAACGCAAAAGACATAACGTCCGATTTCAGAGGACTCTACTTACTCTGATAATGTATCCTTGTCGTCTGTATGACATTTTGCGCATCCTGGAATTGAATTTGTGGTGGCATGGCACCACAAGCAAGCAACACAGCAGAGTTAACAAAGTTCTGCATTTGAGTTGGAATGAAATAGCCGCTCAACAAGAGCGAACCTCCAGAGACACCAGTAAAGTAAACCTGTGACTGGTTGAAGGCCACCATGTTGGGTAGAACATTTTTGACAAGATCGTTGACAGCCTTGGAATGAGCAGCCCCATTCACACGGTTAAGTCCGCTACCGCCTCCCCAGAACAAATTGGGATCCGGGGCTAGAACTGCGACGCCCATTACATTTTGTTGAACGGCCTGGTTGGGAAAGTCGAAGAAGGACTGTCCACCATCACCATGGAGAAGGACGTTGATTCCCATCGAACTTTGGTCCCCTGGGGCAGCTTGAGCACCGGTAACATTACTTGCAGCTTTGAACATTGCTGCAGGTGCAGAAATCTTGTAGCGAATATTCAACCCATTGATCTGAGCCGTCGAATCGAGGATTGTGGAGCCATCAATTGCTTGGGACACACCCTAAACATGTCAGCGACGCGTTGTTGGAGTCCACATAAATCAAACCTGCGGAATCTTAGCGGCTTGCTGTTGCGCCGTCTGTCCACGGTTTCTCTGTGGATTCGGAGCGGCGAGAGCGGCGAGAAGCAAGGAGGCAATTATGGACGCCCGCGTCAACATTTTGGGAATGAATCAACGCCTCACAATGCAATGATTCAAGAATAAAGGAAGATTTGCTGGTATACCAAAAGAGGTGGGCGAAAGAAGAGACCAAACCTGTGGTCTGATGGATGCGAGGTAGTTCGCAGACACCGTGGGATTAAAGCTACAACGGCCTTGCCAAAGCAAGAATGGCAACATTGTTCAAGAACCACAGTCAGGTCATACTCTACCTGCCAAGCAAACATACTGTCACCAAAGTCACCTTGCCGTTGAGACCGTGGTGGAGTTGGACTTCTTGGCTCGGACAATTGGTTCGTGCTGTGGCAGAGAACGCGTGCTTCAAAACGTAGACTGCCTCACACAGCTGGCGACGAGCCTAGCAGAGCGAGGACTCAAGATCAAGCATGGGGGGATGACTTAGCTTGAAAATAGAAGAAATGTTATGAACCTCTGCTTTGCAGCCACGATCAAAGCGCGCTCAGGGTCACGCAGTTATATGAACGGGCGTCTGAGGTCTGCGATCTGTCGGTCTGTTGGACTTACCAGTGGTCATTAAGTCACGATCAATCACGTGACAAACAAACTTCAGACTCCCATGAATAGGAACTTCATCTGATCTACTATAGAAGCAGATATTCCATTTCTCCATTCCTAGCGTTCATGCATCTTGCAGCTGTTTGATATGTTATGAACCGTACCAGGAGGCGTGGCAATGCCCATCGACATGTCTCTCCCAAGATGCACGCAAGGGGGTTGAACATCTGAGTCGCACGTCTGCCTCGGCTGCTCATCGACACCTTGTACCAGACCGTGACAGAACCACGTCGTTCCGCGAAAGCCTCAGTTGAACTACGACAAAGTTGGCTGAGCCATCTCGAAAGCTGGCTGCGAGATTCTTAAGGCACACTTCTGCGTGTGTCTCTGTACATTCCGCTCAATCCTGCCACGAGACTCGGGGGCGGGTTTTTTTCACAGGCATCCGTGCTGTGGGGATGGTAATGATCGTATACCAGGTTCAGCCCGAAATAGATGAACCACAGCCGTCCGTCAAAACACATCGTTGCAATGCGGCCCTCTCAATCCAATCAGCGTTCGAAGCTGGCCGGTAGGCAATGACAAGACAAGAGCGCCGTGCAGCTCATGTGCTCGGTAACTCTCTTTGTCCTGGCTTGTGAACGAGCCTGTCTGGCTTCCATGCCCAGATCGTTATGTCGGCAGTATGCAGATCATTTGTCACGGTCGAGCAACCGATTTGTCGTAGAGTGCGAGAGGAATCAACATCTGTCTAGCCTCCTCGTCTTCTTTCACTACATGTCAAGCGCCGTTCAAGACATACTTTGCTATAAGGACTGTGTAGAAACTGAAGCTCTCTGAATCTGTTGTCTCGCGCCCTTGTCAAGCCTGCTTTTTCAACGACTCCAAGGAATTGTAATCACACAATGCGCTTCCTCTTTGTTGCGTTGACCTGTATCGTCAGTCTAGTAGGAGCGCAAGTCGCGTCACCACCAGAATGGTGAGTTAACTGGAAACTGACGCGCAGGATCCCATGCTGACCTAGTAATTCAGCGGCGTCAACACAATCATCAGCGCAATATCGTCGTCCGGTTGCTCGATCACAGACGCGAGCTGTCTATGCAAAAACACGAAGGTCATCGATAACATTAAGAAAGAGCTGCCCAAGAAATGTACAAACCCTTCGGATCAAGAAACATACGCGACGTTTTTCAACCTTCAGTGCTCAGGCTATCCAGGGTTTCCCCTCAACTTCACTCAGGATGCACAATCAAGCGACGCGAAGGCGAACAGGGCGAGATTAGGGTTTTTGGCGGTGGCAGCAGGTGTGGCTTTGTTTTGAAGCTCCTTCCGTTCACCTAGTGAATACACATTGCAGGCGTATTGGTTAGGCGTTTGGGCTGTTTTCTCGAATCACTGCACCTCAAGGATGGCATATCAACTCCTGGTGCATGATGCACGCCAATGAATTAAAAGTGGTCATTCGGAAGACGCTGTCTTCTTAATGCTGAATTGCATTGGGATCATAGGCATATGATCTATAATCTTGCACATCTAAGCGCACCTAGATAAGAAATCTTGAAGCACTATCAAGGCTTCACAAGAGAATTTTCATGGAAATTTGTGCTTGATATGGTCTTTGGTTGCCCAAAGTTGCTTCCCGCTTGCAGCCATATCAGCAACGGATTCGACTCTGCCTCTGTGCTGTCAGATCACGTCTGCTTGTAGCCATCGAATGTGTTGCACAATCGGTATGGCTTCCACTCCTTCTCACATGAAGGATCGACCCTCGACCTTGGTGTTGTGAGTCAGCTACTCTAGTCCTCGGTACCACGGACGCGTAATAGTCACATCTCCAGTGGACAAGGGGTTTGCTGTGCATCTGCAGCTCAGCACTCTTGTTCTGATCTGCTGTCGCATCCTGTCTCCAAATGCTTGATGATCTGTACCCTGAAATCATTCAGCTATACTTTTCATTTGCTTCAGGCCTACCATCGGCTCTGGCAAAGGCATATGTGAACGACTGAGAACCGTGCCTTTGACTTCTCCGTCTGGTAGAGTGATATAATTTTCAGGCGCCTTGATCTTTCTAAACCGCGTTACGATGCCATCAGTCTGCCTCTTACATGCCAATTTATTAACAGCGTCGCCTTTTCCTACAGCCAGACTATTAGCAAATCGACTTCTGCTTCAAATATTATCGCGTTGTCTCAAATCAACCTATCCACGTCTTGCGATCTTGACTTCTGACGGACTACCGGTCCCTCTCTGTTCTCTCCATGTCATTCTCCAGGGCTACTTTCCTCCAGTGGAATTGATCAATATAGCAGACAGCAATGGATGACTTGCGAAGGCCACCATGGACACCATCCGGCTGAAGAGCACAGGCGTGAATCACGCAAGAACATCAAAATTGCAGACAAGCAATGTCCATCCGTGGGAATAACAGCCTTCTAGATGAAGGAAGGAATGTGTCGGGATAAATGTGGCGCTTGCTAATATGAGACCACAACAGTGGGAGTCGGTGCAACGGAAGCTATTAACTTAGACGATCCAATCCATAGGGCTTGCACGATAGCGGTGGCCAAGTCACAGAGGATACTGAAGTCGAAACCCGAACAGCGACAGGCTCAGTATTTAGCTTTGGTGCCATCATCTATAGTAACCTAAGACGTCGGTGACCGCTACAGCCGCAAATCTTTCGAATCGCTTCCGCCGCGTACGACACATGATTCCTGCTCGTCCAGCCATTGAAAATGCCGGACGTGTGCTGAATGACTCGGACGACCATTGTGCTTAAAACCACCTCAGTGATTGGGTTGATAACATATGCAAGCCTAGAACAAATCATGCCTAGGCCAACCACAGACGCAAAGCAAGAGAGCTGCACAGAATCTAAATCCGAAGAAGGCATACGGAGGAAGAAAGAGATAAGGGGGTGATAAGAGTCCAGGATGGAGGCAATGAGGATGCGGAGCAAGTATCAGATCAATAGTCGCAAAATCGGCTATGCATTGCGGTTCAAGGTGGACATCCCCATGATTAAAAAAAATAAAAAGAGATTATCTCATACGTACAAAAAAGCGAATGGGGATTACAAACACCATGCACGCCGGACCTCCCAATGTAGATAAGCCAGATGCCGCCTCCCATGTCCGTCATCATCGTCATCATGCTGCTTCGCTGTGGTCGTGAAGAATCTTCGGCAGCGGAAATGATCAGTGGGAAAATGATTCTTTCCTCACCCGAGCACCCAAACTCCAACGCTTTTTCATGATGTACGTGTATTATGGCATAACCGCGCTCTATACCCGCTGGTTTCTACTGGTTCATGAGGTACCTGCAAGTCAAGGCTCATTGAACAGTCGCGCTGTAATGTCACCCATGTACGCCTCTTCAAGCTCGTAGTCCTCGCCACCGTTCCGATCGATGCCCACATCCTCGAACGCAGCGACGACATCTGGGACATCGAAACCCATGTCGCAAAATCGGTCTACCAAAGCTTTGTTGTAGCCTCGGTACCTAATGATTCCGTATGATTAGTCACAGTGTTCACTGAAATTCATCTCACAAGTTCTGGGTGAGAAACGCTGATATGATAGAAAGGAGGAAACAAAATGAAGGAAATTGCACATACTGAGCCAGCTTGTTCCGCTCCTGGTTTTGCCTCGACTGCACAGCTTTCATCCTGATGGTCTCCGGAGTAGCACCTCCGCTTCCTTCGCCGATTTCTTTCTTCGGCGCGCCCGCGTACTTCACCGCCCATTCCCGTGCAGTGTACCGAAACTGCTCTGGATTCTTGAGAAGCATGCCTGCGACCTCGGCATCCTGCGGGTCCTTTGGCTCAGGCGTGCTCAACAGGCTCTGCAGGCTGATCAGTGCGCTCTTGATGGTCAGCACGGGCGACCATGCTGTGCCTAGCGTATCGAGACAGATAGCACCTGTGACAGAAGAAACGTTTGGGTGCCAGATCTTGGTGTCGAACTTCATTATGGGCGGCCGGAAGGGGTAATCAGAGGGAATCTTTATGTCGATTATGTACTTGCCGCCATCATAGGGGGTGTCTGGCGGCCCGATGAAGGTGCCTTTGAGATGTGTGAGGTCACCTTCATTGACGGGCTGCACAGAGATCCGAGAGTGGGGGTCCTTCTCGATGTCGGCGACCTCTTTGGCGATCCGCCGAGCTCGATTTGAGGCCATGCTTGTGAACGTGTGAGGTGTGGTGCGCCTAGAAGTATGTGGGAAAGAGTTGAGGCTCTACAATGGCCTCTTTTGGTGTGGGTGCAGGAGAAGGCTGAACGCCGCAGGACGGATGTTCGACAGGTTTAACAGGCTGGGAGGTGCAGATGCTGCCTGGCTCGAGAAAAAGGTGATTTGTCGCTTATGCCTGCAGAATGTACGTCAGTCAGTACGTCAGGCCATGATAATACGCAAAACGATTTTGAGGCAGCATGAGGGAGAGTTGATTGCCGGCGAGAGTAGTGACAACGGATTCGATGGCTCGCGCGGACTGCGGTGATCCGGGCCACTCTCCACGGCCACTAGCTGAGAAGGAGTGGAGAGAAGCAAGTAGTTCACATACTTGAACTGGGGAGGTACGGTTTCACAGATACCCCAAGTTGTTATAAAGGCCAGGATCTCAAATGTGCGTAGGGCGGTAGAGAAACGGGTGAGAAGCTTGGATGGTGGATGTGCGGAGTGACTGAGCAGCGAGAACGGCGGGCGATCAGGAACGGTAGCGTGATTCAAGAATGCTGTGGCGAGGGCGAACAGAACAGTAAATAAGATTAAGACTTGAGATGAGAGAGATGCAGTAGAAGAAGCTCAACAACAGGTTTTGACGTGTCAGTTGAGCAGTGGGAAGTGCTGCAGCTATTACAGAGTAGTATGTCAGGCCTCTGGGAGGTGAACTGTTTGGGATCTACATGCATACATACATGTATGACTAGATTTACTGTGGTGTGACTTAAATTACTGTGCAGAAACGTTCAGTTCAGTGGGTTGCCCGCTGGCTCCGGCCTGCTCTGACCCAGACACCCCTCAGGCACGTGGGCCCCCTACGCCAGGCTATGCCCGCCTGTCTCTAGAGCGTCTCTGGGGACTCGCCAGGCGGCTTTGTTAGCGTGTGACGCCCAATCACATCCACACACAGCGGCTGCCACGCCAGGCTTCCGCGCTAAGTCCGCTTACAGCCAGCTGCAGCTTCTGTGCGCGTCTACGTTCCGCCTTGCCAACCTGGAGTTGATTGCTGAACAGCGTGATCTGCTTCATCACCACCATATCTCCACCCAACGTCCCCCATCGCCTTCTCATCGCTGCCTATTCCCTCTTTCTACGATCGTCTCCCTACCTTAAGGCGTCCTCCGTCGCTCCGTCGTCTTGATATCATACGCTGCATCCGCGAGCATTCAGGCTTGAAGCAAGAGCACGGCACCATGGTAGGTTGCTTTTTAATCACGCCGCATATGCGCATACACATGCTGATGACGGCACAGGGTGCAAACCAGTCGAACTTGCCAGGCCAGGGCGGAGCCGGCGACGGCAAGGACAAGAAAGATTCCAAGGTACGTGCCTCGACGCAAGAACACATAGCGTCATGGATCCCCAATGCTGATAGTCTCCGAACCAAACAGAAAGACAAGCCAAAGTATGAACCACCTCCGCAGCCCACGACCCGCATCGGCCGCCGCAAGAAGAAGGCTGCCGGCCCCAACGCCGCCGCCAAACTTCCCGCCGTCTTTCCGTCAGCACGATGCAAGCTACGATATCTTCGCATGCAGCGCATACACGACCACCTGCTGCTCGAGGAGGAGTACGTCGAGAACCAAGAACGCATCAGAAAGGCTAAGGCGGCGAACTCAGCACCAGTCTCCTCGGCAGGCGGTGACTTGGATGCGTTAGACAGAAACGCAGACGAGCGTTCGCGAGTCGATGACATGAGAGGGAGCCCCATGGGCGTAGGCAACCTGGAGGAGCTGATTGATGACGATCACGCTATTGTATCGAGCGCCACAGGTCCGGAGTACTATGTGTCCATCATGTCTTTTGTCGACAAGGACCTTCTCGAACCTGGTGCAAGCATCCTCCTCCACCACAAATCCGTCTCCGTAGTCGGCGTACTCACAGACGACACCGATCCGTCGGTCTCAGTCATGAAGCTTGACAAAGCGCCCACAGAGTCATACGCAGACATTGGCGGTCTTGAATCACAAATCCAGGAAGTGCGTGAGGCAGTAGAGCTGCCGCTGCTCCATCCAGAACTGTATGAAGAGATGGGCATTAAACCGCCAAAGGGCGTCATCTTATATGGCGCTCCAGGCACGGGTAAAACTTTGCTCGCGAAGGCTGTGGCAAACTCCACATCCGCCACTTTCTTGCGCATAGTCGGCTCGGAGCTGATTCAGAAGTACCTTGGTGATGGTCCTAGGCTGGTGCGCCAGTTGTTCCAGGTCGCCGCTGAGCACGCGCCCTCTATTGTGTTCATCGATGAGATTGATGCCATCGGCACCAAGCGATATGAGTCCACATCTGGCGGCGAGCGCGAGATCCAGCGAACCATGCTAGAATTGCTCAACCAGCTCGATGGTTTTGATGACAGGGGCGATGTCAAGGTTATCATGGCCACGAACAAGATCGATACGCTCGACCCAGCACTCATCCGCCCCGGGCGTATCGATCGCAAGATTCTCTTTGAGAATCCTGACCGTAAGTCTCCCTATTACCCTGTCTTCAATCAGTCAACTCTGATCAGAGAACTAATGGAAACAACCTGAACAGAAGCTACAAAGAAGAAGATCTTTAATCTTCACACCTCAAAGATGTCACTCGGCGACGACGTCGATCTCGATGAATTCATCAATCAAAAGGATGACCTTTCCGGAGCGGACATCAAGGCTATATGCTCTGAGGCAGGGTTGATGGCGCTGCGAGAGCGGAGAATGAGAGTGCAGATGGCTGACTTCAGGACGGCGAGGGAAAGGGTGCTCAAGACGAAGAGCGAGGGTGAGCCGGAGGGCTTGTACTTGTAAGCACGTTTGATCAGAAACCAAGGCATCATAAGTATAAAGTGTTCTCTAGTACAGAGTAGAGTGGAGACAAAGGTCATTTTGTACGAGTATATGCTACGATAGACCGCCACCATCTTTTAAATTTTTCTTTGGCGGACGTGCAAGAGCGTACTTGAGAGAATATAATGGATGTTATCCTGGCCTTTCTCATCCTCCCACCCCGAACGCCCTTCTAAGATCGTCCTGGGGATGAATTTATGCTTGAACCACAACATGCACGCTAAACAAAATAATCCGTCCGACCCTTCTTTTCAAAAATTCATTTCTAGGAAAAGGTGAGGGTGTCACCGTCAGCTCACTTCCTCGTGAATGCAGGTGTGATGAGAAGTCTATTCTTCCCTGCACCGTCAAGGCTGTGATTGTATCGCATTTCACGTTGACACCCCGCAGAAACGATCGCGTTGGCTTTTGGTATGTCGCCTGAATCAGAGCAGTAGTCGACTTGGTGCTGTGTCAGGCTCTAATCCCGCGTGTACTTCGTCACTACTACATGAAATACTAAGAAAGACATGGCAATGTAAGCAAGGCAGAGGCACCCTGTAGCTCGATACACTCAATTTCTACGTAGAGGAGGAGAGAGCATAAGTGTGAACTGTCTCCACTTTCTTCTTCTTCATCATCGTGGATAGGAGAAAGAAGTACATTTAAACTCGCAAAGCAATCACGCAGGCACACCATTCACAACAGTGTCAATATGCTCCGTAGCGCCCTTTAGAGTAGTTGTGATATCCTTCTCTGTAGCCGCCGCAGTTCCCGCGCTCAAGACAAAACCTTCCCAGCCTTTGTTTGCGACATCAGTAATAGTTGCAATGTACAGCGGCAGCCCTCCGCTGTAATTCAACGCCTCCTTCTTCTTGCCGGGAATATTTGTGCCCTGCAACAGCTTGTCAGCGGACATTTTTGTCGAACCTTCGAGGTTCTACTAACCATATACCATGACTTCACGTTGTGTCGCAGTGTCATGGCCGAGAATTGTTCGCACATCTCCTTCCACTCCAGCTCCTTCTGCCTCGTCGCGTTAATTCTGGTCCAACCATCCTTTCGCTGAGACTCCATCACTCTCTCAATCCATTCGCACTGTGGCTCAAGACAACTTGGTCCGTTAGAAAAGGCAGTGGGCGCCTGCGCACCATATGTAAAGAAAAAGTTTGGGATGTTATGGCACGTCATCCCCAGGTATGTGTACGTTCCATCTTCCCAATGTTTCTGAATCGTCTCTCCTTCAATGCCGGAGATTTTGATGTCCTTCATTCCCCCGTTCACAGAGTCAAAGCCGGTGGCCAAAGCAATAATGTCCATTTCGTACTTGGAGCCATCTGCGAGGACGATGCCATCTTCTGTAACATCAATAATAGGGTTATCTTTGATTGAAATACAGTGCACATTCGGCTTGTTGAATGAATCATAGTAGTCTTGTTCCAAACTTGGTCGCTTCGCTCCGAACGGGTGTGGCGGCTCTATACTCGAAGTCAGCACAAACCGAAAATTGGAAAGAAAAAGAAAGACTTATACCTAGTGGAGCCAAAATATCTTTTACGCGGTCATCATGAATCCTTGCCCTAACCTTCTTCGCCCAGAAGTCATATACTTGTCGATTACTATCCTCATTCAAAAGAATATCATTGAACGTTGTCAAAATTCTAAATCCCCCCAGCTGCCACATTTCCTCCATCATTCTTTCCCTCTCTTCCATTGAAAAATCTGAGATAGGCTGGTCCACACCATTCCAATGGAAACCTCCTAGAGTAGTCAACCTCATTTTGAGCGTCTCAGGAAGACCCGCACGATTAGCTTCGTTCTGCTCCGGTGTAATCTTCGCCTGTTGCATTGCTAATGCAATATTTGGTGTCCTGACGAAGACAAATAATTCACCATCAGGACCAACATCATGTGCGCACTGCTGTGCAATCTGGACACCTGTCGCGCCCTGACCGATGACTGCCACCCTCTTCCCCCTGACATCAACATGGTCCGGCCAGAAGGAAGAGTGGTAGATTTCTCCTTTGAAAGACTCGATTGACGGCCAGTCTGGAATATGTCGCTTTGCAGCAAACCCAATGCAGGGTATGAAAAAGCGAGCAATGTACGAGGTTTTTGTGCCGGACGTGGTTTCACCTTCGATAAGCCATTTGTCCGTCGAGGCGTTAAAGGACGCCGCAGTAACACGAGTATTCAAATACATGTCCTTCTTGAGATCGAGCTTGGCTTCTACATGAGCAAAGTAACGTTGCAGCTCGTCGACACCCTAGAGTTAGGAGTTAAATACACTACCACAGACGAACAGCATAAGGAATAGAGTTAAAATGACCGCAGAGATCAACCATACCGGATACTGCTCGCTCCATGACCATGTTTCGTATACCTCCGGTATGTCCAGCGCATAGACAGGATACTGGCTGTCTACTCGCGCTCCAGGGTACTTGTTCCAGTGCCTATATAGAACTGTCAGCGTCAAGCTTAACAGAGAATATTCGCACCGACCAGATACCACCCAAGTCCGAACCAGCTTCCACAACCTTGACTTTGAAGCCTTTCTTTCTCAGATCATGGAGGAGCTTGCAGCCTGAAAACCCTGCGCCTACAACCAGAGCATCTAACTCTTCAACCGGGCTACTCAAAGCGCTGTTCTGCACGTATGTGGCATTTTCGCCACCAACGTGAGCGCCCATATCGCGTCGTAGCGGCATCCTTGCGCACGAAATCGAAGGATTTGAGGAAGAAAGGAGGAAATCTGGGTATCAAACCGCGAACAGAGACAAATGCAATGAAGGATAGAAGGAACAGGAGACCCAGAGGGAACGAAGTACTTAAATACGAAGGTAAAGTTCGGAAGAAACGGCTATCCGCTGAATTTTGAGGCGACAAAGATATCCAGGTACCAGCACAACCCGGAATAACGCCATGATCCCCTCAACTGAGGTATTAGGTGGTAGTCAACGTAGCTCAGATCCCTGATCTTCGGTAGCATGCCTTGCATCTTGCATCCCCGCACGCTTTCTCGGCTACGAGGCGAGTCAGCGCTTCCGAGAGACAAAAAACATCCGACGATTGTATGATACTAGGTGAAATACTACTGATTTTGTTGAAATTGTGGTATCATTGTTCTATATCTTTTTTGATGGGCAGTTGTGCTTGTCGGTGTTACGAAGGATGAGACAATGCGGATCTATCTGAGCGTAAAGACTATCCAAATTGGGTATCAGATGCATTGTACTAGTCCGACAAGATCCCTCGTAGATTTTGGGGCGGTCGAACGGAGCACCCCCCCATTAGGTGCGAAACAACAATGCTTTTCTGATCAAGTACACACGCTGCTGTCCATGACTCGGATGTGATACTCAAGGCCAATGACTGCCGCAACAGATGGCCTGCTTTTGGTATCCCTTCTGTATGAAGATCACTTTATGGGCATTGGCGTATCAGAAGCGCCCGGGTTCTCTCGAATTCCCTCGTTGATGAAATTTGAGTTGTAGGCGGGTAACTCAGGAGGCCTCCCTGAACCCAGGTTAGTGCTTACTTCCTGCTCTGGTGTAACATCAGCTCAGCGCCATTTCTTATGACGCCCACCATTCCGCCAGTCTGAACAGTCTCACTACCTCCTCCACTTAGCCTATACTCAATCTCGCTGAGCCCTTCGAGCCAAGTGATCCGCGTCTGAGCAGGCACGTCCAATTCATTTAGTTGATCAGCAAGGTTGGAAAGGATATCCGCCAAGGCAAGGCCTTTGTTGTTTTTGAGCTCGTTGATTGTTTGGAGGCAGCTTGTTACATCACTAGTAGTAAGAAGGGTGTCGCGTATTATTCTTATGTCAGCTGGGTGGGGAGCGGCGATGCAATCGTAGATGGTTGCTTCTGTAATAGTATCCCTTTTGACCGTCTTTGCATCTATCTTTAGTGCGCCCGGAGGCTGCAAAGGCGTGCTGCTCGCATGGCAGGCCTGCAGAACGTTCAAAGCTCGTCGCATATCACCTTTACTGAGTTTGACGAGTGCCTTTATTGCCTCCTCTTCAATTTTTACGTCCTCGGCTTCAATGACATGATCCACAAGTCTCCTGATATCCTGCTCTTTCAAGGGACTAAACCGAAAACGCGTACATCGACTGAGTAGCGCCGGGCTTAACTTATGGGTGTAGTTCGCAATGATACAAAACCTCGTGTTGGCCGTATACTTCTCCATGATTCGCCGCAAAGCCATTTGCGCGGTGCTCGTCATGGCATCCGCTTCGTCAAGCACAATGAGTTTAAACGTCGCTAGTGAATTCGTGGCTTGAGATGTGGGCGCAGTGCTGAAAATCTGTTTGGTAGAGGAGAAGGTCTTGATCTGCTCGCGTACAACGTCGATTCCGCGGTCATCGGAGGCGTTAAGCTCAAGTACCATTTGGCGCATATTCTTGGCGCCATATATGTGGCGGGCGAGCGCGAGGATGGTCGATGTCTTTCCGGTTCCAGGCGGACCGTACAGCAGCAAATGTGGTAATCGCTTAGTTACGCATAATTTAGCATTCTCATCATACAATCGAGCGCAGAAAACAAACATTAGCTTCCACGAACTTGTTGATAGTGGCGAGAATATCTTTGTGTCCTTCCACGTCATCGAGAGTGTTGGGTCTATACTTCTCCACCCTGTACTTAAGTGAGTTTCTAGGAGGGCAGAAGCATGATTGTTATTTACCATGGCAATGTGTCTTCAGCTTCAACCGGCAAATTCGCTGCACTTCGTTTGCCTTTGGCGCCTATGTTGTCCGAGCTAAACAGTGCAGACTTCTCAACAGGCGCGTCGACCTCCATTTCGTCTTCGTAGTCGGACATATTGGCAAAAGCCGCGTCGGCAAAGTCACCAACGACGCGCCAAGAGGAAATAAAATATGCTTAGCACGGTGGTTACAGTTCTAGCGTAGGCTGAGCAAAGGCGAAAGGGCAGTGGGATGAAGATGTAGCGCAAATGAGATTCCTGACGCGCTCAACACGTCCGCTCGTGATCCAATTACGTGTGAAGTCGTTTTAAGAGGCGCTCTATTCCGAACTCACCCCACATTACGCACTCACAAAGCCACTCGAGCTCCAGCTGGGCACACAAGGCACAAGTACGGTTATAAGCCGCCGAGGACTCTGCTCTGCCCGTCAAGTGCATAAGCACACCTTCACAGCCCATACTTAATTACGCTCGCTGCTTGGTGGCGCATAAGTCACAATGCCCGTATGTTCTAAATTGCTCAACATCCAACAGGCGGCCAACTGACAACCAAAGCAGGCCTACCACAGCGTCTTCCTCGATGAGCCGAATCAACACCTTATAGGCAACTTTGCTCTCCTCCCGCTACGGACGCGTACACGGGGACCGGCGCTACAACTGCCACCCCTTCCAGCTGGCACATCAGATCTTGACATCGATGCCTCACATGAGTCTTACGACCCACTGGATGAGGTGCTCAGCTTATTCCGCGCAAACACATTCTTTCGCAACTTTGAGATCAAGGGACCTGCAGACAGAGTACTCATATACGGTATCCTCTTTGTGCAGGAGATATTGGGGAAGGTTAAGAGCAGTATGTCTTTGCCTCTACCGGTCTTTTCCAATGACACGAGAGAACTAACACGTTAGTACTTAGATATGAGTCGTCGGGAAGCCGAAAAAGCAATAATGAACGTTGCTCTGGACACAAACTTTGCTATACCAGGCGACGCCGGCTTTCCTCTGAATCAGCTGTTTGAGGGCCCAAAGGATAGGCATGAGGCTGAGACACTAAGGCAGTACATCATGCAGATGAGGCAGGAGCTTGGGGCCAGGCTGTTGAGCAGAGTCTATGCTGATGGCACGGATAAGCCAAGCAAATGGTGGCTGAGCTTTACAAAGAGGAAGTTCATGGGCAAAAGTTTGTGACGGGCAGATAGAGGAAATCCATAACAAGGCAATCTGATTCCTGGGTGGGAGGAAGTGTGCCCTATGTAGGAAGAATAATGTTATTCCTGCATGAGATACAATAGCTGGCCAAATTTAAAGAGCTAGAAACCAATACCATGCTACATAATTGCCAGGCGCATGCACAAGGCACATCGACTGTTACTATGATTATTGCTTGAGATTTAGCTCAAGCTTTTGCTCAATAACCCAAGCGTGGCGAAGCTACGTTCTAGTTAACATGTCACCATAGATGCCTCTGTCTTTCTCTTCTTGCTGAACTTTCCTTTGGCCTCTACTCTTTGACCTTTGATAGGTACTACTCTCGTGGCCGAGAAAATGTAGCCTTCACTTCCACCTCTACTTGTCATAACTGGATGAGTCCGCATCGGCAGGATTTGCCATTCTCTTGCCCGCGCTGTCTGTAACATAGGATTGAGCAACAGCGTCGGATCGACTGGAAAATCTTCTTCGTCTACTGCAGGCGCTCGGCCTTGATCGTCGGCCTGCTGCAGCATCTTCACATAACCGGCACGTCGGTCACGGGAGTAGAGATCCATGATTTGGGTCAATGGCTCAACAGAAGGATGGTAGACCACGACGTTTCCACCACCCCTAACGAGTGGGACGAGGTGCTTCAAGATCCCAATGGGATCCATTGTTGTGGCTACTATAAGAGCGTCGAATTCGCCGGCACGCGTGGAGTCTACTATATTCTTCACACGCTCCCAGCGTCTGCGTTTCTTCCAATATGCGCTGCGCTTTCCACTCTTCAAAGCAGATAATCGTTTATTAAGAGGTAGATTTGCCTCTTCCGCATCTGCTGGTTCAGGAACCGGTGGTTCTTGATAGAGTGGGTCGAGCGATGGCTCCAGAAGTTGGAGCCAGCTAAGGGTTCGAAGGTGGGTAAACAGAGGGTGCTTTGGATCTGGTTTGTCAGGATCGTAGCCGAAAGTTTCAAGAAGCGACATATTGGGTTGCGTATTAGCGTGTACGACGGTGATAGAGTTTGATTTGGCGGAAGATTGGACAGCCCGCTTCGTAGGCCATGGTCCAGGCGACGGATTTGTCCTTGTAGCATCGTCTTCATCCATTCGGTGTGTGCTATCGTTTCCTTGCGACAGTGAATTAGAATCCAGCCGACGTTTTGCCGATGATAGAGTATCATTCATTTCCGCGTCTTCATCTGCAAGTCCACATTTCGTCGCTATATTGGCTTCCTGTTCTTCGTTCTCCGGGGAAGCATGCAGGATGCCCATTTTCTCCGCCATTGCCGCAACCACAAGCCCACACGTGTCATCGATAACCAAGTACCTTCCCTTCCCGAGATCAACATCACTTCCCCCTTCATCATGATCTTCGGCGTGGTAATGCACATTCCCCCAGCTCATCATTAGTCCTAAAGTCTCCTCTCTCAGCTCCATGATGCGAGACGGGTCCTTCTCAATCCAAATCTTCGTCAAGACATTCACATCAGTAGGTAATACTGTAAACCGTTTCATGTACTTCTTGCTTTTTCGAAGCGTGTACTTGGCCAGCGAAAATTCCGTTTTCTCCCCTAATGCCGAATGTGCCGCCATGATTTTAGCGATGATCTCCTTACCAGACCCTGCGCTGGCTTTCTTGAGAGCCTCAATTTCTTCATGGCTGAGTGCTTGGCGAGATGGATCGTCAATAGTTAGTCTATTGTTGCGAATTAGGACTTCGCCCTCGTCCGTCACGAGATCAAAAGACTCATTTGCTAATGATCCAGTTGCCTTCTCATCTCGTGATTCTGCAGGGGTAAAGGTATCATTGGATAGAGTCTCTGCATGTAATTCTGCGGCAGGAACTGCGCGGAGCAGAGTTATCTTCTTCTTCGAGTCGCCTTCGTCTTGCTTCTCTACAAGTTCATATGTGACGTAGTATGGTCGACCAATAAGCAGGTTTGCCGAGAATGAACCATATTTAGGTATCGATATTGTACTATTCAAGTGTTGTCAGCGTATTTTCAAAGACCATCACCACAGTTGGATGAAGTCTCACGTGTCTGCAGTGACCGGCGCGACCTTGTACTGTCCATTTTGGAGCCGCAAAACGACATTCGTATTTGGCAGAACGTACGACTGCATCCGATATGCTTTCAGAAACCCTGCTCTTTACTCTTCTAGAATTGCACGTATTCACTGGAAAGTCTTGACGGTCGTTATTGGCATGTATTCTGATGCAACCGATGCAAAGTTTATAGAATAATGTTCGTCCAATAGCAGGCCAGCAAAATTCTCCCTATGTGGTTGCTAACGATTTGGAAATCACCTAGCAAATATTTGACCCTGAATCAGTAGCATGACAGAAAGATAAGTTATAGGACGTTAAACGCTGCTCTTGAATACATTCTGCTGTGAAGCAAAAACTTAAGAATCGTTCACTTAAAATGGTTCAGTTCACTATCAAACTGCAGTAGGCTGAAGACATCAACAATTACGGTTTACCATAGGAGAACAGGACTATGACACAATAGCGATGCATAGGGAACGTGGAAAAATTCGTTTTGCAGCTAGTATTCCATTGAAGCTGCTATGTAATGTACTCGAAGCTCAATACCCGTAAGATCACGCCGACGAACCCGTAGGTTCATGATGCTTTAGCTTCTTGACCTTTGCCATTTTGTATTCCATGACACACAGAGACAACGCGCGGCCCTTAGGACTACCATCATGTCACACCGTCATTCGTCATCAACCTATTCATCGCTTCTTCTGCTGGCTCTCCTTGAGCACCTTCTTGACGATCTTCTGCTCCTCAATCAGGAAAGCACGAACGACACGGTCCTTGACGCAGTTGGCGCATCTCGAGCCTGATATAGGTTAGTTGACGCCCGTGGTTGGATAGTCTCATCCTATGGGAACTTACCTCCATAAGCGCGAGAGACAGTCTTCTTTGGCTTGGAGATAGTGGCATATTTACGGGGGCGGAGAGCAGGGATCTAATGACCGTCAGTATTGGTAGCTCATTCGGCATGCAACGGGTCGCCGTAGTGGTCAGAGCATTGCTGTTCTTGTGGAGACCTCTCTGGCTCAAAATCGGCACGGATGAGAGAGGCCAAGCGCAATAACCGTATTGACGCCCGACAAATATAGACAACGCAACGCTTAATCACGTACACCTGGAAGCTTAATTCCACAGTCACCACCTGTTACTCAATGTCAGTCTAAAGCTTGGATGATGGCCCAATGCGTTTCGTCGATTGATCGTACATTTTGGGGCTGTTCCTCGCTTCTTGATGTGAAGAGTGCGTAGTTCACCACCAGGGGTCTTGATGGTGCGGGTTTTGTTCGAACGGGTGTTGTAAGGCATGCGCCTTCGCTGTCGTCTCCATGTCAGCATATCCTCTAGGACTTTCTTTGCTGGTCTTTCCGTCTTGCACGTAGAGCAGGTAGCTCAATACTTGAACGCAAACCACAAATAGGGAGATGAGCTTGTAGGGGAGTATTGAACGTACGTATTTGACTCGGTTGTCTGGCATTTTGGCGGTTGTGCGTATCAAATGATGTTGTCGCGAAAGTGCACTTTTTCCGAGTCGTGAGCAAATTCGAGAGTTCGTGTGCGAAGTGGGCCCACTTTAATTGTCAGGCCGCAAGGCGTTAAAATCTGAACGCCATAAGGCTGCAAATCTGCATGCATCCAGGACTTTTTCCAACGGCGCCACAACTTGATTGAAAGAAAGACATCACAACCTCCAGCAATCTCGCATCGCTGGAAAGGGTGAGCCTGTTCCAGAGTCACCATATATCAGGGCCTGTCAAATATTTGCTAACAAATCAAGCCGCGACTGCCTTGGATCCCTTGGAAATTCTCATCCAACGTCGAGTCGCGCCTGGTGGATTAAAAGTTACGTTACGAGGTCGCGTGTTTTGCGCGCACCTCAGTCTCACCTTAGTGGACTGTTCCAAACTCTTCTCAGCGACTTTGTCAAGAGTTTGGCGATAGAGCATTACTTGGTGAGAAATCGGCTGTAATCAAGACTTGGGCGAAGCGCTTGCGCTCTCGTTTTCAACATGACATCGCGACCACCTCCTCCGCCGCCGCCTGGCGCAAATATACCACCGCCCCCACCTGGTGCACACATACCGCCTCCTCCACCCCCTCCTCCAGGCTTCGATCAACCAGTGGCAAATGCACATGTTGCAAAATTTGCAGCAAAGAAGAACGAATGGCTGAGAATGCAGAGGCAGCGATTTGGGGAAAAGAGGAAGGGGGGATTTGTGGAAACACAGAAGGCAGACATGCCGCCAGAGCATTTGCGAAAGATTGTCAGAGACATCGGCGACGTTTCACAAAAGAAATTCAACAGTGACAAACGAAGTTACCTGGGTGCGCTCAAATTCATGCCGCACGCTGTGCTTAAACTGCTTGAAAATATGCCCATGCCCTGGGAATCGGAGCGGCAGGTGAAGGTTCTTTATCATATCAACGGCTGTCTTACCCTTGTCAACGAAATCCCTCGAGTCATCGAACCAATTTTCTACGCGCAGTGGGCAACAATGTGGGTCTGCATGAGACGAGAGAAAAGTGACAGACGACACTTCAAGCGCATGCGATTTCCGCCTTTCGATGATGAAGAACCACCTCTTTCATACTCGGAGAACATCGAAGGCGTTGAACCAGGTGAGCCGATACAGATGGAGCTCGATGAAGACGAAGATGGTCCTGTGTACGAATGGTTCTACGAGCATCGCCCGTTGATAGACACTCCACACGTCAACGGCCCCAGCTACAAGACGTGGAATCTCACTCTTCCACAGATGGCAACACTTTATCGACTCAGCCATCAACTCCTAAGCGATGTCGTTGACAAAAATTACTTCTACATGTTCGACCGTGAGAGCTTTTTCACTGCCAAAGCGTTGAACGTTGCAATTCCTGGTGGCCCACGGTTTGAGCCATTGTACAAGGACATAGACCCGAACGAAGAGGATTTCGGCGAATTCAACGCTATTGATCGCATCATCTTCCGGCAACCCATTCGAACCGAGTATCGAGTTTCCTTTCCATTCCTGTACAATTCATTGCCGAGAAGCGTACGAGTCTCATGGTACTCCTATCCCCAAATCGTCTATGTGAGAACGGATGATCCAAATCTCCCCGCTTTTTACTTTGATCCTGTTATCAATCCAATAGCTCTCCGGTCTGTCGCTCCGAAGAACATTTCAGTGAGCCACGAAGATGAGATCTTTGGATTCGGTAACAATGAAGACGATGATTTCGAACTAGATGGTATCGAGCCATTTTTGTCCGACAAACCGCTTTATACTGAGGACACGTCATCCGCAATTGCTCTATGGTGGGCACCCCACCCCTTTGACAAACGATCGGGGCGGATGATCAGAGCACAAGACGTGCCACTGGTTAAGCAGTGGTATCTTGAACATGTACCACGCGATCAGCCTGTTAAAGTGAGGGTTTCGTATCAGAAGCTGCTTAAGACATATGTGCTCAATGAGCTGCACAAAAGGCCACAAAAGGCACTCGCCAAGACCGATCTTTTGCGTTCCTTGAAGAACACTAAGTTCTTCCAACAGACAACAATCGACTGGGTCGAAGCGGGTCTCCAAGTCTGCCGACAGGGTTTCAATATGCTCAATTTGTTGATTCACAGGAAAAACCTGACATATCTGCATCTGGATTACAACTTCAATTTGAAGCCTGTCAAAACTTTGACAACAAAAGAGCGAAAGCGATCCCGTTTCGGCAATGCTTTCCATCTCATCCGCGAGATTCTGCGCTTGACGAAGCTCATTGTCGATGCTCAAGTCCAGTATCGATTGGGCAATATTGATGCTTTCCAACTCGCGGATGGCATCTTATACGCCTTCAACCACGTTGGCCAGCTAACTGGCATGTATCGCTACAAGTATAAACTCATGCATCAAATTCGGTCCTGCAAAGACTTGAAGCATTTGATTTATTACAGATTCAACGCCGGGCCAGTAGGCAAGGGTCCAGGCTGTGGCTTCTGGGCTCCAGCTTGGAGAGTATGGCTTTTTTTCCTTCGTGGTATTATTCCACTATTGGAACGATGGCTCGGCAATTTACTTTCTCGTCAATTTGAGGGTCGTCACAGCAAGGGCGTCGCGAAGACCGTGACTAAACAGCGTGTTGAGTCTCACTTCGACCTTGAGCTACGCGCCTCTGTTATGGCCGATCTCATGGACATGATGCCTGAAGGTATAAAGCAAAGCAAGGTCAATGTTGTCCTCCAACACTTGTCTGAGGCATGGCGCTGCTGGAAGAGCAACATTCCGTGGAAGGTGCCTGGCCTGCCTGCTCCGATCGAGAACATCATACTACGTTACGTGAAAAGCAAAGCGGATTGGTGGATTTCGGTTGCACACTACAACCGTGAACGTATCCGACGAGGTGCCACCGTCGATAAGACTGTTGCAAAGAAAAATTTGGGGCGATTGACCCGTTTATGGCTGAAGGCAGAGCAAGAACGACAGCACAACTACATGAAGGATGGGCCATATATCTCATCTGAAGAGGGCGTTGCAATTTATACCACAACGGTTCACTGGCTGGAATCACGGAAGTTTCAACCCATCCCGTTCCCGAGCGTATCTTATAAGCATGACACCAAAATCCTTATCCTTGCGCTGGAGAGACTGCGCGAGGCATACTCCGTGAAGGGTCGCCTCAATCAGAGCCAACGTGAGGAATTAGCGCTTATTGAGCAAGCATACGACTCCCCACAATCTTTCTTAGGCAGGATCAAGCGATATCTTCTCACTCAGCGAGCCTTCAAGGAAGTTGGTATTGACATGAACGATAACTACAGTACAATCAATCCTGTCTATGACATTGAACCCATGGAAAAAATTGTTGATGCATATCTCGATCAATATTTGTGGTATCAGGCCGATACTCGACATTTATTCCCGTCATGGATCAAACCTTCCGATTCAGAAGTGCCACCACTTCTGGTTTATAAGTGGGCTCAAGGTATCAATAACTTGGATAAAGTCTGGGAATACGAGAATGGCGAGTGCAATGTCTTGATTGAGACACAGCTCTCAAAAGTTTATGAGAAGATCGACCTCACTCTACTGAACCGTCTTCTTCGTCTTATCATGGATCACAATTTGGCTGACTACATATCCGCCAAGAACAATGTTCAGCTAAATTATAAGGACATGAACCACACCAACCATTATGGCATGATTCGAGGCCTGCAATTTTCTGGATTCGTATTCCAATATTACGGTTTGGTTATAGATTTGTTGCTTCTTGGTCTGCGCCGTGCGAGCGAGCTTGCTGGTCCTCCAAACAATCCGAATGACTTCTTGCAATTCCGCGACAAGGCTACGGAGACTCGACACCCCATTCGGCTGTATACACGCTACATTGACCGCATCTGGATATTTTTTAGGTTCACGGCTGATGAATCGCGTGATCTCATTCAACGCTTTTTGACTGAACAACCAGATCCTAACTTCGAGAATGTCATTGGGTACAAAAATAAGAAATGCTGGCCGAGGGACTCGCGCATGCGCCTGATGAGGCACGATGTTAATCTTGGACGAGCCGTGTTTTGGGATCTGAAGAACAGACTACCACGTTCAGTCACCACAATTGAATGGGATGATACGTTTGCAAGTGTCTACAGCAGGGACAATCCCAATCTACTCTATTCCATGTGTGGCTTTGAAGTTCGAATCCTGCCAAAGATTCGGAATCTAGGTGATGAATTTCCTACGAAGGACAGTGTCTGGTCTTTGGTAGACAACCAAACAAAAGAACGCACCGCATACGCTTTCCTACAAGTGACTGAAGAGCACATCGCTGCATTCAATAACCGCATCAGACAAATCCTGATGTCTTCAGGCTCAACGACGTTCACCAAAATAGCGAACAAGTGGAATACGACTCTTATTGCGCTTTTCACGTATTATCGTGAGGCTGCCGTGTCAACAGTCAATCTCTTGGACACAATAGTCAAGTGCGAAACGAAAATCCAAACCCGTGTCAAGATTGGCCTGAACTCGAAAATGCCGTCGCGTTTTCCACCGGCAGTTTTTTACACGCCAAAGGAGCTTGGTGGTTTGGGTATGATATCAGGTTCTCATATTCTTATTCCCGCCAGTGACAAGCGTTGGTCAAAACAAACAGAAACTGGAGTCACTCATTTCCGCGCCGGAATGAGTCATGATGAGGAAACGCTAATTCCCAATATTTTCCGCTACATCATCCCTTGGGAAAGCGAATTTGTTGATTCTCAGCGTGTCTGGACGGAGTACTCGCAGAAACGACTGGAAGCCCTGCAGCAGAACAGACGCCTTACCCTTGAAGATCTTGAGGACAGCTGGGACCGCGGATTACCCCGAATTAATACTCTTTTCCAAAAAGACCGCAGTACTCTTAGCTTTGACAAGGGCTTCAGGACTCGCATGGAGTTCAAAGTATACCAATTAATGAAGAGCAATCCATTCTGGTTAGTAACTACTCTAAGCTTTTGACATGGGCGCATTTTAACTTTGCCCTAGGTGGACATCGCAACGTCATGATGGTAAACTGTGGAATTTGAATGCGTATAGAACAGACGTTATTCAGGCCTTGGGTGGTGTGGAAACTATTCTCGAACACACACTGTTCAAAGCGACTGCATTCCCATCGTGGGAAGGTCTTTTCTGGGAGAAAGCTTCAGGTTCGTATACGACCTTTCGACTAAATGACGGATGTGATCAATGTTTCGATCTATTGCAACAGTGTCCTTCCATGTAATTCTCAAAGAATTCCTACTAACATTGATCTAGGTTTTGAGGAGTCTATGAAATTCAAGAAATTGACCAATGCTCAACGAAGCGGTCTGAACCAAATTCCAAACCGCCGATTCACTCTTTGGTGGTCACCGACAATCAACAGGTGTGTATTACCAATTTTTTTATTTCGCACTTGGATGAAGCTAACAAAATGTGCAGAGCGAATGTCTATGTCGGTTTCCAGGTCCAACTTGATCTGACCGGTATATTTTTGCACGGCAAGATTCCCACACTCAAGATTTCCCTCATTCAGATTTTCCGTGCACACTTGTGGCAGAAAATTCATGAGTCCGTTGTTATGGACTTGTGCCAGGTCTTTGATCAGGAATTGGAGGCTCTCGGCATCGAAACTGTGCAGAAAGAGACAATCCATCCTCGAAAGTCATATAAGATGAACAGCTCTTGCGCTGACATCTTACTTTTTTCAAGACATAAATGGAGTGTTTCGCAGCCATCCTTACTTTACGACAACAAGGACGCCATGACCGCGAACACCACGAACAAATTCTGGATCGATGTACAATTGAGATACGGTGATTACGATTCTCATGACATTGAACGATACGTGCGAGCCAAATATCTTGACTACACCACGGACAGCATGAGCATCTATCCATCCGCCACTGGTCTGATGATTGGCATTGACCTTGCCTATAACTTGTATTCGGCCTATGGTCAATATTTCCCAGGCCTGAAACAACTCATCCAACAGGCAATGGCGAAGATTATGAAGGCGAATCCAGCTTTGTATGTCCTGCGTGAGCGCATCCGAAAGGGTCTGCAACTGTATGCTTCAGAGACCAACCAGGAATTCTTGAATTCTCAGAACTACTCCGAGCTGTTCAGCAACCAGATCCAGCTCTTTGTTGACGACACCAACGTCTATCGTGTTACCATTCACAAGACGTTTGAGGGTAATCTGACAACGAAACCAATTAATGGTGCCATCTTCATATTCAACCCTCGCACAGGCCAATTATTCTTAAAGATTATTCACACTAGTGTATGGGCTGGTCAGAAACGTCTTGGTCAGCTCGCAAAGTGGAAGACGGCGGAAGAAGTTGCAGCGCTAATCCGATCCTTACCTGTCGAAGAGCAGCCCAAGCAGCTCATCGTTACCCGTAAAGGTTTGCTCGATCCTCTCGAAGTACATCTATTGGACTTCCCGAACATCTCTATTCGTGCATCCGAACTGCAGCTCCCTTTTCAGGCCGCGATGAAGGTGGAAAAGCTCGGTGACATGATTTTACGAGCAACTGAGCCCAAGATGATCTTGTACAATCTATATGACGAATGGCTAAAGACTATCTCGTCATATACTGCATTCTCACGTCTTATTCTCATATTGCGTGCTCTGCACGTCAATATTGACAAGACGAAGCTGTTGTTACGGCCGTCGAAGGACGTCATCACTCAAGAGCATCACATTTGGCCCACTCTAGACGATCAAGGCTGGATGAAGGTCGAGGCTGAGCTGCGAGATCTCATCCTGAACGACTATGGAAAGAAGAACAACGTTAATACTTCTAGCTTGACCAGCAGCGAAGTTCGCGACATTATTCTGGGTATGGAGATCAGTGCTCCCTCGATGCAGCGCCAGCAGGCTGCAGAGATCGAGAAGCAGCAAGAGCAAGCTCAACTGACAGCTCGGATGACGAAGACGCAAAACAAGGATGGAGAAGAAATAATCGTCACCACAACTTCGCAGTACGAACAGCAAACATTTGCCTCGAAGACCGAATGGAGAACCAGGGCAATCGCATCTTCAAATCTACGCACGAGGGCCAACAACATCTATATTTCCTCTGAAGATGTTCAGGAAGAAGACCATTTCACATATATCATGCCGAAAAACATCCTGAAACGCTTTATCACCATCGCAGATTTGCGTGTCCAGGTGGCTGGTTATCTTTATGGTGCTTCCCCTCCAGACAACGATCAAGTCAAGGAGATCCGTACTATTGTCATGGTACCACAAGTGGGAAGTACGCGGGATGTGCAGTTGCCACATTCTTTGCCAGAGCACGAATACTTGCAAAAGCTCGAGCCGCTTGGCATCATTCACACGGTGTCTGGCAATGAACCGCGCTATATGCCAGCACAGGATGTGACAACTCACGCAAAACTCATGAACAGCCACGATTCTTGGGATAAAAAGACCATTACTTTGACGGTTTCCTTCACACCGGGGTCGGTCTCGCTCTCCGCCTGGGCTCTCACTCCCGAAGGGTATAAATGGGGTGTCGAAAACAAGGATATGTCTTCAGACCAGCCCGCCGGATTCTCTACCTCCTTTGGCGAAAAATGCCAACTTCTACTTAGTGACAAGATTAAGGGTTATTTCTTGGTGCCGGAAGATAACATTTGGAATTATAGCTTCATTGGTGCGGTGTTCGAGAGTGTTGCGAAAAGGAGACTTGACGTCAAGATCGATACACCAGCCCGGTACTATGATGATTTGCACCGTCCAGTGCATTTCCAGAGTTTTGGAGAGCTGGAGGACATCTATGTCGATAGAAGTGATAACTTTGCGTAAAGTGACGGATGTCTGTAAATTGTATTTGAAGTTGAGCACTTGTATCAGTACCGATCACGGATTATTGCTATGGAGAAAAAGTATTGAGGCTAGGCCCTCTCAGACTTGAGAGTATACGTCTTCAATCGGCGCAGGTTGAAATAAGAGAAGTGTGCTTAATGCCTTTTTTTTCCAGAGCTTTTTTTTTATTTTTATTTTATTTTATTTTATTTTTTTTTTTTAGAAAGAAGAAAGTCTCTCCAAAGTGTTCCCCAAGAAATTAGAGCTTCCAGCACGACGACAATCATTGCGTGAAACTGTAAACCAAATTGGGATTAGCGTGTACGGTTGCTTGAGAGCGCGGACTAAAACATCTTCACCTCAGTCCTAGCGCCATCGAGCATACTCGCTGTGTTTCCAACTACGCGCTCATCTTAGCATTGAAATCTAGTATGAGATTGAAAGCTACACCTGTATGGCAGAAAAATACACCTTCGAGGTGTTTCCAGTTGAGCGTTTTGCAACAAAATCGAGCACAGCTATTAAGGCACCAAAGGTAATGGAGATGACTCTTCGCAATGCCCACCAAGCGATTGCGTTAGACGACATTGCGCATCATCACTCTCTCATCTTCGGATGTCCTTGTTATCGCTTAGAACATGCTGACCTTTTTTCTAGGAGATAGCACATTTTTCTTATGATGAGAACCACGAGTTCCGTCAGGATGCTTCATCTCTCCGATATTTCTACACCCCGAGATTAGGGGCGGACTTATCGGAAGGTTACGAGCAGTTCATAAAACATGATGACTCTAAAGACGAACATCTCGATGGTCTGCTCAGGGCGCTTATGCATTATGAAAAGCAGACAGAGACGCCTTTCAAGGCAGACATCATCACCTGGAGAGGAATGATGACCAAGCTCATGACCGCGCCATTCGAACGCTTCGATGGGTTCGAAATGCGCGCGACCGTTTTCCAGGGAACTATATTCATCGAAGAGGATCATGAAGCGAAGATGCGGCACAACTCGCGAAACAACAGCAGGCCGGGCCCAGAAGGTATTCCGAACGATATGTATGCCTACTGGGGTTACAAATTTGAATCGCTCTGTCTCATTCCCGATACATGGGATGCTACATCCCGGGACTATATAGAAGGACGAGAGAGTCACGTTGTCAGCAACAAGGCCCAGTACTGTTCCATTGTGAGAACTGGTATTGGACCAATCAGCATGATTATGGGTGGTGAAGTCGACGCAGGTCCGTACACGTCCATGCAGTTAAATTAGTATGTACAAGTGTATAGTTCTGACCATCTGGGTACAGTATGGGATCAAAAACCTGAGGATCCCTCAGAACCGATCAATTATTTGGAGCTCAAAACCGCCCAAACGCCGGAATCTGAACTCGACGAGGTCAAATTTGAAAGAAAGCTGTGTCGGATGTGGGCCCAGTCATTCTTACTAGGCGTGCCGAAGCTCATCGTAGGTTTTCGCTCAAGGAACGGCATTCTTCAATCCACCGCCGAATTCAAGGTACGGGACATACCTGGTATGGTCAAGAGACGTCGGCAAACATGGGATGGCAACCTAGCAATCAAATTTCTGGAGCACGTTTTACACTGTAAGTCCATCATGCCAATATTCTCCTCAATCAGTGCGATACTAATCGACGCTTCAGTTCTCAAGGAAACGATCAGAGGAGACGGTGTATGGAGCATCCGCCGTGGTGCAAAAGGAGGACGGACGATCGAAGTAATGAAAATCGAGTCAAAAGGAACAGGAGGCATCCTGTCCGAAGAGTTCCTTCGCTGGCGCATGGAACTTCAGGCGAAGGAGGTTGCAAAGATGTTGGGCGGCTGAGAGATCCTTCCAGCTTTTGCTATGTCATCACAAAGCCGATCGTTCGTGATGGACCAGGCATCGTCACGAAGCGCAACATGCTGGCCTGTGCATAATAAACTTGCGGCGTTGCCACTCGTGCGCTTCATCCCCTTGTAATGGTTTGCTTCTTCCGTAGAAGAATTTCCCCAGCGGAAACCATGGTTGAAGATCCAGGCTCGGGGACAGATCTAGCTCGGTGGAGTGACTTGGTGGCTTAGCGTAGGGAGGTTTATGCTTCAACTTGTCCTCGGAGCTTGGACTCTCAATCGATGGCACCGTCGTCGACATGAAACCAGACTAGACCATTCTCCAAGCACTAGGATCATGACGAACGCTTTATCGGATGACGGACAAATAGCTGTGGCTGCAGAAGATCCGAATCAGCTTTGCCCCGCGACTTATTGCTTCCGGGAAGTGTTCGGCCTAGAATTGAAAGACTTGTAGACGAATTCAATGCTCTCTGCGACTTGGGCCAACGAAACTGAATACAAGTCGCCGGGGAAGTGCAGTCGCCACCTGTTCTGCGAAACATGACATGCCTTATCGCTACGGGCTTCCCGCGAGCCGTGAAAGGACAGCTTATTTTGTCACAAGAGAGCTGGACAAGCACTGCGTTCATCCGGCGGCAACAGCATCGGTTGGTTCATGGACGTCTAACGTACGTAAATATTTTTTCCCCCTATTTTGAACAAACAGAAAGAAAGAGTAGAGAAAAATCAATTCTGTTGCATTTTACTATCTGATTCGTAGCTCAGGCTGCCAAATCGCGTTGGTTCGCAGATTGCCGATTTACTTAAAGTTTCTTTTTCTTCAACCTCGCAAACTTGCCTCTCTTGAAGGCAAATGCCTATCGGGTTCTTGTCTTACCCTCTCTAGAACTAGTTGCAAGGTTGTAGTGTGTTTGCGTGACATAGCACGAGGTTCGCTATCAGCGCACTCTATGGCGAGACAGGAAACAAACAAAATGATCCCCGGCCTATGGTTCGGACGATGGGAATGTGCATGTGTGTCGATTGGAGAACTCAATGAGTTTTCTGGCGGACCGGCGTGCGAAGAAGACATCGTGCACGCGAGATCCTTGAATGCAAATCGAAGAGCTCGCGGCTCGCGGACGAGCAAAAAAGCATGATTCAAATGGGTCACATCAACGAAGCAGGTAGACCGTTGAAGCGCTCCACAGTCTCTTTAATTTGTCAGATTCAGAGGAAGTTGGACGTGCTGCTTCTGCGGTTTAGCCAGTGCGCGATGCGAGTCATCGCGTCCAACTTCATCTCGAAAGCTTAGCCATTCGGCACAAGGGCACCCCTCTACCCACTCTCGTTGCCATGGCGCTCTTCAACGCTGGAGCGTTCGGCTCTGTGCGACCCATGATGAACCGACAAATCTTCCGCACCGATCATGACCAAAAAAAGGCTGCGGACGACTCATTGACTTGCAGCTCAGATGGTCTAGGTCCTGATACTTTGGCTGAGTAGACGATTTGCGACGTCAATCGAGACAAGATTTGTCAAATCAACACTCGGCCGGATTGGTCTTCGGTCCCTGGCTTTGCATATTCGTCCTCCAGGAACAGCATACGAAATCTGCACAGCTTGCAGTAGCGACAGCAGCACGTACGGTTGTGGAGAAATTCAGGAACACTGCATTTCCTACTTTGGACACGGTGTGGTGGCTATTTACGTTCAAGTAGAGCTACCGGACGCACAGAGGAAGTGCAGGATGACAGGTGTCGTCAATTTGGAAAAGCCTGACAGCAAGGTCGCCAGGAAAGGCATCACATTTCGCACTGTGAAACGAGATACGAACGATGGAAGATTCTTTTTTTTTTTTAACCTTTGTCCATGGCTGACGCTGCTCCAGATCCTGTCGCTAAACGAAAAATGTTGGAGGACGCCCAGTTTCGGCGAACGACGGTGACTATCTTTCTCCACAGAAGATTTGCACGAACGGCCAACGGCCCGCTTGGCAAGATTCACCTCGTGAGACCCATGTCGGTCAGAGATTCTGAAACTGCGAGGTGGGTGACGATTTTTTCCCCCCCTCTGTTGGGTAACTGAATGGCTGCTCGGATGAATTCCTGGCAGCGGTTCGAGACTTGGGAGCTAGGCTTCCGGTGCCGACGTGCACTTGTAGTGACAGTGATCGAAGACGGGTATGACGGGGACCTTTGTCTGGCCCTGAAGACCCGATTTTGCAAACTCTATCTCTTGGACGGCGATTAGATCTCTCGTCTTAGTCCACCTGATCCCGGCATTCAGCTTTTGGCCGTCCACGAGCCGCGTGTGTATATGTGTGTGTCTGTGTGTGTGCGTGGATTGGCTTGCTTGACGTCCTTTTGATCAAGCGCCTGCACGAGCAGCCACGGTCCAAGTGCTGAGCAGCACGGCGTCTCCAAGACGCAATTCGCTGAATCGCTGGCGCATAGCACCGGCCAGTCTAACTAAACAGAGCACAAGGCGATGTGTCGCCATCAAGCCATCAACACGTTGCCGTGATCAGGCACATGTCTTTTCGTTCGCGCACATTCCTGGCCAGAGGCTTTCACAACTGGGGCTTCCCCGCGCCGTGCGGCATGATTGGCCAGTCGCTTGTTTCACATTCTGTGATGTGTCGATGAAACAAGAGGGGACGTCCTGTGCCGGACGGGTCGTCCAGCCACCGCCGGCATAGCGGCTAGAATGCAACTGTGTGGCTCTAGAAGACTGCTGAGAAGGGCATGAGGAGTCGGGCGGCATTGCGAAGGTCCGCTGCTGTGTCGAGACACGAGCAGCGCCGATGTACGAATGCACACTGTTGGCGCCCGGGCGACCAGATTGACGACCGACTGGGGAAGGCGTCGAACCGGTTGGGCGTGCGTCCGACATGCGGCCTGGCTACTGTTTATTTTTTCCCTTCGCGTGTCGTCGACATGGTCCTCCTAGCTTGCCAGCAGGGCTGGTTCGGTGTGATCACTTTGTCAGAGCACCGCTGGCCCTCGTCAGTTCACACGACCGAGTCCCCGCGCGTGGCTGGGCACTTTTTTCCGCTTTCGCGCAGATCATGACTCTTGCTCGAGATGCAAGCTACTGCAGACGAGGAGATTAAGACGGTGCAAGAACAGCCAACGGTATAGGGCTCGGTCGCCGCATCTGATGGCCGGATGCAGCGTCGGTTCAAGCCACGCCGACGCGACGGAGGAGTTCGTGGGGAGCAACAGCCAGCTCGCTCGCTCTCGCAGCCGTCAGACCATCTGCGGGTCTGTCGGCGCACTGATTCTTGCAGAGATTGCTGAATACATGACTTTACGTGTGGCTAACATCGATCCGCGGGTGCGCAATTGGCCCAAGACAGTGTTCCTTGTCTCTGCGTGGACGAGAAAGCGGCCGGACTGGTCACGATCACGAAAGGAAAACATCCATGCGCGTGCACAGCAACAAGCACGGGTGCGGTGGGTGTATAATGGGAGGCAATAATGCTGAAGATAGGAGGAATAGCGGCGTCGTCCTATGATCGAGCGAAAAACCCGGCCGGCGCAGTTGAGCCGCGCAGAAACACAAAGGCGACGCGGGTCGAAGCCAAGGCCACAGAGAGAAAACGAAAGGAGAAGAAGACGATGCAGAGATCACAGAGCTGCAGCAGCTGCTGCTATTGTTGTCGTCGTCGTCGTCGTTGTTTGCTGCCGCCCCTGTTTGTTTGCCGCACCGCGTGTTCGTGGCCTTTCGTTCGTCCGAGCAGCGGGCGTGACGCTGGCTTTTTGCGGAGCCGCCCAAAAGCACACGAACTTCACAGCGCTCAGTCGAATTGTCTTTGAGATCGCCTTCCCAGCGCCGCTGTTGGTTGCCGACAGCTGTCTCTTATCCCACCGTGACAGCCAACCATTTGTGTTTCGCTGCGGCCGTGCCTTGTTCCTTACCACGACCACGCCCGCTACACGAACCCACACACGCACACCCTCCCGGACGAATCACAGCTGCTGTGCTCACCAGCGCCAGAAGAAAGGAACGGGAACGGAACAAAAAAGAAAAGAAGAAAAAAAAAAAACCACTGTCGCGCCCAGGGGGTTCATGCTGGTGATTTTTGCACGGCGTGCGGCACTGCACATACCCTCCAAGCCAGCAGTCGTTACGTCGCTCTTCTTTTCTTTTTGCTCTTTCTGGCTGTATCTACGATCCGTCGGGCCAGCCTACGCAGGAACATCGCAAGCACGCGGAGACAAAGTCCGAGCGTACCGACTCCTGCCTGTCTGTTCCTGGCTGCCACTCGCACACATCCGTCCTAGTGGTCGGTTGGGGGAGGGGGAACCTCAAGGGAGTCCTGACGGTGTCCAGCCTCCTCCCTACGGCAGTCGGCTTTCTGACGACTGGGTAGATAGCCGGCCAGCTGGTGCTGACTGGGGGGAGGGGAAGAACCCACACGAGCAGAAAGCAGCGGAAGAGAAGGGGAGATAAAAAAGCAAAAGAACGAGAGAGCGAAGTTGAAGAGCAAGCACATTGCCAGGCGGGCGCGGAACGGGTAAACAGCGACGTTGAGCCAGGCTGTGAACTCCTGGACGAGGCCCGTCATCCAGCCAGCCAGCCAGTCAGCCCACCGACAGCACGACGAACAGCAGCGCCGTCCCGTCAGCCGGACCGATTCTTGTTCTTCATTGTTCTCCCAGTTCGTCCCCGGCGCTGCTCCGGCCACGACCGCGTCGTGCACTGCAGCGTGCTGGTGCGGGTGCTGGTGCTGGAACTGCCGCGACCGCAGCGACCAATTCGACCAGCACCGCGGCCACGAACGCCGCCGACGCCGTGCTCCTGCTGGTGCCGCTGCCAGGCCGCTGCTGGTGCCGGTGCTGGTGCTGCTGGTGCTGCTGGTGCTGCTGGTGCTGGTGCTGGTGCTGGTGCTGGTGCTGCTGCTGCTCCGCCCGGCACGCCAGCCAGCGGCAGGCAGCACGCCCAGACGCCCGTGCAGGGATCCACCGCGAGCAAGGACTGCTGCCGACTCATCCTGGCCATTCAGCAGCCGGTCATCCCTCGCCTATTTTAGAACCAGAGCGGGCCACAGTCTGAAACAAGCACCCAAAGACCTGCACTAGGGCCAAAGAAGCGGACGCGGGAAATTCGAAACGTAAAGAGACCCTCCCGCCCGCTCGCAGCTTCTCAAACTTGTTACAGCCTCCTCTTCAACCTCATCGTTCTACGCACACCGAGACTGGATCACGGAAACGTTCGTCGTGGGCAGGTCCCGATTGCATTAGCTCTCTGTCGAGGTTTTTCCTTTCGCCGGAGCCTCGCGTCGATTGTTCTCACGCTCTGAGAGTCCGTCGTCGTTCTGTCGCTCTCAAAACCGCCCCTTTTTTTCTGGCCCGTCGCGCATCGCACTTTTGTCGCAACCCCCATTCCTCTCGCTCTCAGAACGCTCGTGCACGGCTGGTACCTGTGTATCACGTCTGAAGTCCTTTTATTCTCCCGGACCTCGTCGCCTCTGACGCTGGTCCTTCGGTCATTTCGACCAAAGTGCTGCCGCAGCACACAGCATGTATTCAAACGCCCATGCAACAATGGCACCTCCCCAGGCTCGTTCTGTCGCTCCTGAAACTTTTCTGCTCGCAGAGGATGCCCAGCAGTCGCTTCCTCCAGAGGCAATTGTTGCGCTGCAACAAGTCGACAATCGTGAGTAGCCCAGCCGGAAACCCGCTCGCCTGCGCGCCGCTGCTGTCGACCGCGCTTCTTGCCTCGCGCCATAGAAAAGGAAGGCTAACCACCCCGTGCTCCGCAGTCAAATACTTCCTCATCTCTGCGCCCGTAGACTGGAGTCCAGACCAGTACATCAGACGGTTCCTCCTGCCGACAGGCGAATACGTGTCGTGCGTGCTATGGTGAGCAAGACTCTGTTTACAAGCAGCATCAGCAGCAGCCGTCGTCGACCAGAAAGCTGACCTGTCGCAGGAACAACCTGTTCCACATTTCCGGCACCGACATTGTGCGGTGCTTGTCATTCCGCTTCCAGGCCTTTGGACGGCCCGTGAAGAACTCGAAGAAGTTTGAGGAGGGCATCTTCTCTGACCTACGAAATTTGAAGTCGGGCACCGACGCGTCGCTCGAGGAACCCAAGAGCCCTTTTCTGGACTTCCTGTACAAGAACAACTGCATCCGCACCCAAAAGAAGCAAAAGGTGTTCTACTGGTACAGCGTACCTCATGATCGTCTTTTCCTGGACGCCCTCGAGCGCGATCTCAAGCGCGAGAAGATGGGCCAGGAGCCCACCACGGTGGCCGTGAGCGAGCCAGCGCTGTCCTTTGAGTTCGACTCGTCGCAGTCGCTGTTCGAGCAGCTCACAAAGGCGCAACAGACCAACTCCTCGTCTTTCACCAACAACATGCAAAGTTTCGCGTCATCGACGTCACCGCAGATGCGCGCAGACTCCATGCCGGCGCCTCCGGTGATGCCTCAGCAGATGTCAGCTCCCGTCATCGAGGAACAGCTTACTCAAGCGCCTTACATGCAGCAAATGCCTACCTCGATGCCTACGGTAGCTAACACAATGATCGCAAAGACTCGAGAGCGGGATTTCGGCTCCGTGCAATTCGACCGCAACGGCATTCCGTTGACGCAGCTGCATCAGCGCGCCAACTCGATGCCTGCATTCATGGAGTACTCGCCAGCACCGTCGCTGATGTCGCAGTACGACGAGTATGGCACCATCAGCAACCCGCGCATGTCGTTTGAGCCAATGACGCCACCTCAACATTCTATGGGCCTTTCAGCGGAGCCGACGTACATCGCCAACGATGAGACCGGCCTCTACTCGGCCATCCCAGACCTCGGCATGTCCAACAACTTCAATCCACTGATGCAGATGCCGCCGTCGAACGTGGTCAACCCCCAGTTTACAGGTGTCTCTCGAGCTTTCCCACCTGCGAGTGTGTACTCGGTCATCGAAGGCTCTCCGACCTATAAGCAGCGTCGGCGACGGTCTTCAATCTCGCAAGGCTTAGCCGCTGCGGTCACTTCTGCCGGCGGTGCTCCCGCTCTGCAACGGCCAAGCGATTTGCGTCGATCGATGTCCGCTTCGGTGGTCCCACAGACTGTTCAGGAAGTCGAGGAGACGCAGGATGCCACTCAGCAGCAACAGCCGTCTCCTCAGAGCGCTAACGGTGGCTACGCTCATCAGAAAACCGAGCAGTTTCCTGACATGTCCCGACATGGAACGCCGCTCGCGACAGTCGAAGATAGCCCCGTTCAGCAACATACCTCTCTAGGGGCTGAGGAATTCCCCTCCTTCGACAACAGTAACTTTGACGGCGGTATGGCACAGAACCCTCTCATGCGCAGTGCTCCGGGCGTCTTTCGTCGCGCACGCAGCGCCACTATGATGGAGCTTGGGCCGTACCCAACAAAATCGCATTCCTGTCCTATTCCGACGTGTGGCCGTCTTTTCAAGCGGTTAGAGCATCTCAAGAGGTAAGCGCCACTATGAATAGATTTACATTGCGTGTTCCCGCCGCACGGGATGCCGGAACGCACTGTGGAACCTCTTGGCTGACTTTCGGCGCTTAATTTTAGACACGTTCGCACGCACACCCAAGAACGTCCCTATGTATGCAACTTGTGCAACAAGGCGTTCTCCCGATCAGACAACCTTGCTCAGTAAGTTCAACTCGCCTGTTTTGTTCTCCCCCTACCTGACCTTGCCGCTAACCTACCGCCAGACATAAGCGCACACATGAGCAGCAGCAAAATGGCGAGCCAGTTGTCGACAACTTCAGCGAGGAGGACCTCGAAGCCGACGAGAGCCAACTCATCGACCTGGAACACGATTCTCCTGAATCCGACCATGGATATCTCAACTTGAACATTCCGTCCACGATTCCGGAAAACTACCCGCCCAGCTCCATGAGCACGGGTACGACCAACATGAACGGTGCTACCATGAACGGCACCTCCATCACTCCCATGATTTCCGCTCAGAACTATTGAGCGGACACAGGGCTGTCGAACTCCTGTCGACAGTGACGTTGGCTTCGCCTTAGGTCACGGCCGTCACGCTGGAAAGCTTGTCATCATTTTACCTTCTTTGCTTTATTTTGTCACATACGCATTTACAGTTTCTGTCTTGGGAGTAATTATTTTTCCGCCTCCTGAGTACGCCATAGCTGCTGGCTACGAATCGTGGACGAATTTCTCCTATTGGTTTGTCTGTCCATTCCTTTCTGACGCGACCTTTTGCGCGAGTCATAGAGCGCGAGCGGGAAAAATGCTGGAAGTCCTCTTTTCTTGACCTTCAATTTCTTTTCTTAACGCAAGAGGGGGGGAGGGGTGCATCGCATTGCATAGACTTCTCTGCTTTGTGGTGGTTGTTCTTTTTGTGGCCGTGTACTGCGCTTCTGCCTGATCTGCACTTTGATATTCTGCGCAGCGGATGGCGCAAATCTGATCATGGGTGGAGCCATCGTGGATGAAAAACTCCGTGGGGCTTGCTGCCACGATTTGCTGCTCATCACATCATTTTTGCCTTTTTGAGTACAAGAGCCCGCTACTGTATACTAGTGCCAGGATATTGATGATCGCAAGAAAGAATCCAAGTACATATCGACAAGCACAGTCAACGCATCTTCGCTCCCACTTGCATCTTTGGCACTCCTTCTCAACCTTGTTAATTGTCATGGCGGTTCGGAGACACTTCCAGCGGAGCCCTGCGTTCCCTGACGATTTATTCCCGTTGCGGCAAAGAGTCTCCCTCCTTCATGCAGAAAAGGTCGATCAAAGACTTGAAAATCTTTGAGGTATCCCATGCCTCTTCCATCAGGTCACCCGTTTTTCGATTTCTTGCTTCGATATTCTTGAAAGGTTGCCCTTGGGGATTCGAATGCGCTCATTTTTGCAGTTCGCCACGTTTCCACGGCGCCCCCACCCCACTTAACCCTCACCCCTTTGTTCCCCTATCCCTTGTTCCGAACACCGTGCCCGTCGGGTCGGACTTGCGTCGACAAAGGGAAGTTCGCAGTTTCGCCGAGTGCGCGGGCCCGGCTGGGAAAAAGAAAAGAGGTGAGATGAAAAAGCAGTGGATTCCGGACGAGCAAACGAAATGATCATGCAGCCCATTCCAGGATGAACAAAAAGAAATTTCGATCCACCCCTTGGTTTGGACGTACCAACCCCAGCAGCCTCACCCTCCCTTTCTCTCCCTCGTCTCCGTATGTTCATCCCATGCGTGTTGTTGTAAGCGACGAGACGGAGAAGCTGTCCTTTGCCGGCGGACGAAGCATCGATCGGCAGTCGCGGTTCAACCGATTATCGAGCCTTGAGTCTCAATAAGTGCTGGCCGTTCGTCCATCCTCTCTTCCCTGGGACTGGACGGTTATACCAGGCCTGCACGGGGTTCAAGCTCAGCGGATGCCAAAGCCCCAGGACTTTTGAAAGATGGATCCGTCGGATGAGAAGGCACTGTTCGTTCTCTGTCGAAACCCGACACAGATTGTTCGAACACTTCCGGGGCCTCTATCAGATGCTGGAGGATAGGAAATTAAAGAGGTAGGGTTCGGACGAGCTCTACGGATCTTCGCGTGCACAAAGTAACCAAAGTGAGTCAGTCCGACGGGTGGTAGATCACGCGGTTCGATTGTAGCATTCGGACCACTGAGTCTTCAGAGCCTTTGCTCATCCCACGAAAAAAAAGAACCCGTTCGTCTTTGCTCATCCGTGTGGCCTGGACAGGATCCGTTCGTTCTTCTCACATTATTGGAACGAGAATGCGCAAGTAGAAAGTAGTTGCCAACAAGTTTGGGGCTTTCTGTCCAGTGAGCTACGGCAGCCATCTTTTCCAGTCTGGGATTCATCTGGATCGTGTCCATTTCGCACAATAATCAGCCAAACGCTGTCGTCGCGGTAAGGCCGGTGTCAACCGGCTGGTGAATACGTGCGACAGCTAAGCCATCAGCTACTGCCATGTCTTTCTTTTGCTAGCTGCTCATTCCGAAGCTGGACTGCTTCTTTGACTTGTACGACTTTGCGATCAAAAGGTCCTTTTTTTTTCCCCATCCCTTGCTCCTCAAGCGTGACTGAGACTGCCATCCTGACGAGGCCGTACATCACCGCTGGTCTGGTTTCTCTAAGCGAAGCAAGCATCGAAAGTTGTATGTACAGATAAATCTATCGCCTGTTGCCAGATCTCCCGTCGTTTTCCACGGCTATTGTCCAGGTTGCTTAAGTATACACTGGGCGATATGTGCAAATACCAAGCAAGCTTTGCAATGTACATGCCGTGAACTGGACCTTCCCAGCGTAGAACACAGCCTTCTTGTCAGGCCCGTAAGTCAATCAGAACGAGATTCATTTCGATGAGCCGGGCGCGCGCAGTCATGTAGGGAACGTCAGCTTAGAGCTAGCACCATCTGGACCTTGGACATGCCATGTCAATTCCTTTGCTACCATTTCTAGCCATGCCGAACTGATACGGTCGAGTGCAAGGAGGTAGGCCCGCCACCGGCAAAATTTCGTTTCATCAATAGCATCATCAGGTTCAAAAAAAAAAAAAAGTATAGCTTGTTGCATCAGTAAGGATCCGACGCACGTGGACGGCATCAGGCACTTTGTTAATCAACAGCATCTTGAGACTTAGGAAACTGGCCATGCTCAAGGGCATGAAAAGGAGATTTCGTATAGTAGATGGGTATCTTATGTGAACCTTGTTGCCGTTTGAGACTGCAAGTACCGTGCTCTCAAGTCGAGATGCACGGCCGGACGTGGTACGCCGACTCGAAACTGATATTGTGGTCAACGTCAACACGATTTTGAGCTGGCCCAATTCACCCAGTGGCTGATTCTGTCAGACTAACGCAAAGCCATTACCGTTACGATAAAGGTCGGGAAAGACGTGATGTTGGTTGGCATCGACTTGAGGGTCTTTGCCAGCGCCTCCATACTTGGCACACCTCCATCATATGAAAGAGCGGTTTATTATACTGTGTAGGATAGCTCACACCGACTTTGGCGTCGTTAAATCTATATTTCCCATCTGTACTTTGATAAAGAAAAACATTATGCTCACTACTGCCCGCCTACCCATTCGTACCGGTTCAGAGCGAGTAATGAAAGAGTATCCAGAGCAGGCCTGAATAAAGCAAATACCTGGGAACCAAAAAAAAAACATACATATTATTCAACAAGTGTGACACAAGTTGAATGGGAGCACAACCATACCAAAGTGCAAAAATGCAAGTGCCGAGACTCGAACTCGGACCCTCAGTAGTTCCTCGCAATTGCAAGATCGAAATCTTGAAATCATGGGAAACTGAGATTCTACCCTTGAACTACACTTGCAGTTCATCGAAAAAATCTTGACCAAAATATTTATAATACATAAATTTACAAACGTATATAGGAATCGGATCAATTCCTGAAATGATCCAGATCTAGACTAGCCATCACTGCTGGTGACGGAATTCACCAGCAGCTCCGCACCCACCAAACGTCACCAACGCATTCTTCAAACAGCCTAGCTAACCGCAAACATGGCCTCCGCAAAAATACAAAAGACGATTGCGCGGCAAGAAGAAAAGTACGCATCTGTTCTCTCTTAGGAATATGTGCGAAATACTGAACGACTTTACAGAATCAAGGAAGGCCAGTACTACGAAGCCCACCAACAGCTACGGGTTATTGGGTCGCGCTACGTCAAATCCTCGCAATGGGACGCCGCAATTGACATACTTTCCTCGGGCGCAGCGCTGCTCCTGAAAGCTGGCCAGGGAGGTTCTGGCGGCGATCTAGCTGTATTTCTGCTTGAAGTCTATAACAAAGCTGAAATCAAGCCGGATGCTGCTAGCAAAGCAAGGATATTCAGCTTGCTTAGGCTGTTCGCCCCTGGTGAGCCCACTAGAAAGAAAGTGATAGCGGAGAGTATAGGTTGGAGCGCCAGGTGTGGCGAGTATCCAGCTGGTGATCCGGAGTTGCATCATGTAATTGGATCGATTTACGCTGAAGGTATGGCCGTTAGCGCTTGCGGTGGCGAGAGTCGGACTCACGGTTTCTTATAGAAGACGAGCCTATCGAAGCTGAACGGCATCTCATACTCGGCACGAAAGATTCACCCTCCGTCTTGGTCAAAGTAGAATACGCATGGTACTCAGAGGACGAACCCTCAACTGCTCCGATCTACGCAGCGCGCGGTATTCTCCCCTATTTACTTATTGGAAATGTCCGCGCAGCGAACCAATTCCATCTCCTGTTCACCTCGCAGCTCTCAAGCTCGAACGCCGCGTTATCAACCCAAGATGTTTCCTCCAACAGTTCCGACCTACGAGTCTATCCTTCCCTCCCGCTTCTGAACTTTCTCGGTCTCTTGCTTCTTGCTGTGCAAAGAGGGGCGCCGGAGCTTTTCCGCATGCTTAAGAGCCAGTACAAAGGGCATCTAGCAGATATCGGGGGGGTTTGGGATCAAGCGCTGGATCAAATCGGTGAAATGTACTTCGGCGTCAAGATACCCACACAGGGAAACCCACTCTTTGACATGATGGGCAGCTTGTTCATGGGAGGAGGCGGCGGCGGTGCGGGAGGGGCAAAGAAGCAACCGAAACGGGTGGGTGCCTCAACACCTAGCACTCCGGGCTTGGATTAGACGACGGGACACTCGGGACGTTAAAGGTATAAGGTAGAAAGTCAGCTGGCGTAGCATTAACATACCGCATGGCGTCAAGAATACAACACGTCTAAATTCATGATCTCATTGCTATCTCTGGGTATCATCTATCTCCTTTGTTTCTTTCTTCCACCAGACTTGATATTCTTCGGTCCTTCTATAGCCCTCACATCCCGCTTACTCAACGTGAGCATGCCACCTTTATATTTGCCCACAGATGGACCCCCTACTCCCCTCTCTCTCTTGCCCGCATGTGCTTTCTGTTTCTTTTCCTTCTCTAAGATGATGCCATTCTCTTTTGCTTCCTTCCTGCGCTTGTTCTCTGCGGCTGCTCGGTGCGCAAGGATACCCTTTCGCATGTTCATGGGCATCTTTCCACCGTCGAACACGCTCGACTTTGCGCCCAATGTCTGCATTCTAAGATCCAAGGCGCGCAAGCGATTCTTTCCTGTAGCCTCAAACGAAGCTTGTGCCTGTGTCGAGTCCAGAAGATGCGACTCGGAGAGTAGGCGCTGCAATGCCAAGTCGTTCTTGAGATTCATTTGGTCGTCCTCGTCGCCCTCGTCATCCTTTTCGGTGGTTCGCTTCGTCTTGTTCTGCCCTTCCACAGCCTTCGTGGGAACCTTTCCAGAAAGGAACGCCTTCAGTTCTTTCTTGGACACCGTTGCATCGAGACCGCGGTCCACTTTCATTTCATTATACTCCACAACTTGGACAGGTGTGCTCTCCTCCTCGGAAGAAAAGCCTTGCCAGTCATCCTCATTTTCATTCTCTGCGTCTGGGACGACCTCGACTGACTGATTGTGCAGTTTTGATTCGGGCAACGGTTTGAATTGGGCTTCGAAGTGTCGCCTGAAAATTGCTTTTAATCTCGCCTCTTCTTCGGCAGCCGATGAGTCCGATTCTTCCACCTGGGTAGCTTTTCTCGGCTTTGAGGATCCTACCTCTCGTTTCCTCTTACCAATTGTAATAGCCATGTCATAGAGTCCGGAGGGATTATACACTCAAACTGAGTGCAAAGAACAAAGAATATCGTACGGCAAAATCTGTGACCGCTTCCATTTTGGGTCTAGCTCGAATCCTGCTTGTTCATCAAGAGCATGCCCATACTCACCACCCACTCCGTCCAACATGTTTACGGAGTTAGTATTTCAGCACTGAGGCTGGAACAGAACTTGATCATCTACTTTCATTTTTTTTGGGGCTTCTGTCTTCTTAGAGCATGATGCAGCCAGTTTACGAAAGCCGCCGGATGCGTGCGCTTGCAGCGAGAACGGTGTTACCAGATTTTCTGTACATGGGATGGACATTGCTATGATCCTCCGTTTTTGGACACATTGCGCCGTTTTCTCCTTCCAGAAATCTATCCTCGACCCTTTTTTTTTTTATAATTTTTTTTTTTCGCATGAAGCACGACAGATCCCAAGTCTGTGGGATTTTTTGAATCTTCCGGGGGTTTCGAAACACCTTGAGCACGGATTCCGGAGGTTTGAGGGACTTAGTTTTGTATCCCGCATGTCGAACTCAATCCAAGGGATTTGATCCAAGGATATCCTCGACAATCACGCGACGTTCATCCCTTCGTAATACCATCCAGCTATAGATCTTCATGTTCAGCAAGGTTAGCCGCCGGAGCCAACTTGCATCACTTGACCTCAGTATATATGATTTCGGCTGTAACCGAAGCAACCAGCATCTCGTTGACTCAGCCTGTACATATGTGAAGAGCTATGCTCTGTGACTGTCAATCATGATTAGGTACACGTGCAGCACACAGCCTATTCAATTGCGATTGCCTACTTGACTGTCGTCAGACATCATCGCAAGCATTCATTATCTAGACGTCGATACTTTTGCCTATAGGGCAAATGGGCAAGTTTCTTTTGTGCTGCGTATGTGAATGCTACAACGCCACTAATACATCACAAAAGATAGAAGGAATTTTGAAGTTGCGCTCACCCTGCATCGTATGAGTTGAAGCCACTCGTCTTTATGGATCGAGCGTAGTTTTGGACCACGATAATAAATTTTCTTAATTTGCTCTCAATAGCTTCTGATCGCGTCAATACATCAGGGATGCGTACAATTTTTTGAATCAGGTCAAGACAAACGTCCAAGCACAGAAGTTGAAACAATGCTCCTTAACATTCGAGGCTATACAGCTCTAGTCCTAACGCCGAGGCTAGGCTGCAATAAAGTGCGATCAAAATGCTCCGCATTTGCTTTGGCAACCAGTTAGATTTGCTCGCTCGCTATGCAGATGACATGGTTATAAAATGAAGGGTATTCCGCAACAGAAGAATTTCACTTCCGGCGATCAGACATATCGCTAAAATGGTTGAAGCTCGCCGTACGGTAAAGACCACAAAAGAGAGTCGTTACATTTGTTGATGAGAATCGAGGACCGCTCATTCGCCCTTCGCACCGGCGATTCCGTGAGGAGAAGCAGTGATCAAAGGTCTTCCAAGAGCATCCACTGCAGGATAACGAGCCTTAAGCTCAAGATCGTCGAGGGGAATGGTGGAGCGAATATACCTAGCGAAGGTTAGAATGCGTGAGTATGGTAAAAGTAGAGGGGCGAGAAAATATACTTCTTGCGGCCATCATCTTCTGGATTATAGTCCCAAGACTCGAATTTGCCCTGTTTCAGAGCTGCCCAGCACACTCTACGCATGCGTTGAGAGGTTAGAACCTTCTCGTGGATAGCCTGCAGATCCCATTTGCGTGCAGCCTCATTGGCGAACTTTGTCGCCGTAATAGCATACTCTGGAACTTTTGCGAGGTTTTGAAGTTCCTCAGGATCATTTTCAAGGTTGAACAATTGAGGCTCGTCAACGAGTGATGTAATATACTTCCACGGGCCACGTCGAATCATGACAACAGGGCTGATGGTGCCTTCACCCATATATTCGCCGAAGACCTCATCGGCGATTGGCTCGCCCAACAAAGCCGGATACAGACTCTTGCCATCGATGGGTAGGATACTTTCCTTTTTACCGCCAATCATTTCGACGAGGGTAGGCAAAAGATCCATGGTCGAAACGACGCCTGGAACGCGGCGAGGAGCAAAACGCGGCGGGTAGTTGACAATAAGCGGCACTCTCGCGGAGTTTTCAAACCAGGACATTTTGTACCACAACCCGCGCTCACCGAGCATGTCACCGTGATCACCCGAGAAGATGACGATGGTGTTCTTGTCTAGGTGGCAGTTCTTAAGAACCTTCAACAACTTACCGATGTTGCTGTCTACATACGAGCAGGCTCCGAAATACGCACGACGAGCTCTCCTGATGGCTTCCTCTGGCAAATTGCTATCCCAAATATCTGTGCACTTTAGGAGACGTTTTGAATGGCTATCTTGTTCTTCCTGCGGGATTTTGACCTTCGGCATAGGGATTTCTACATCTTCGTACATATCCCAGAACTCATCATGGATAGCATACGGATCATGTGGATGAGTCAAAGACACCGTCAAACAAAACGGACGCTTATCACCGCCTTGACGCACATAGTCGTAGAGGTATTGTGTGCTCTGAGACCTTGGTCAGTTTTTGTTACTTGAGCAAAATAAGACATGAGTGTGGGGGCGGCAAAAACCACGCATCATGTGGACGTCGTTCTTCTGCCTTCTTTTTTCCCTTCTCACTCCTTTGAGCGCATTCCTACGACAGGAACGACAGGGCGCACGACTCACCTTGTACATGACCTCTTCGTCATAATCAAGCTGATTTGAACGTACACAACGGCCAGCCTGCAAAACTGAAGAGGCGTTGTGGTACCATTCCAATCGGGTGTCTGGGTCATCCCAATTGACCTGCCAACCAAAGTCACCAGGATAAATGTCAGAAGTCAATCGATGTTCAAAGCCATGAAGTTGATCAGGACCAACGAAGTGCATCTTTCCCGCCAGAGTCGTTTCGTAGCCCTCCCTTCGCAAGTAGTGAGCGTAGGTTGGGATATCGGCATTCAAGTGAGAGCCATTGTCGAACGCGCCAATCTTGTACGGCAACTGCCCGGTGACCATGCAAAAACGTGACGGCGCGCAAAGCGGACTGTTGCAATACGCATTTTCAAACACAACGCCCTCCGCGGCGAGGCGGTCAATGTTCGGGGTCTTGATAGGAGAATTTGGGTCGTGAATTTTCAACAATGGTGCTGCCAATTGATCGGCCATGATGTAGAGAATGTTGGGCTTGACGACGTCGGGGTCTGGGTGACCGCTGCCGCCCGTTGTAGCCGCCTGGCCACTGGGAAGCGCGTTATCAAAGAAGATGGCGGACTCATTCTGCGGACTTTCTGCATGGGGCGCCATGGTGAGAATCCAGAATTGCGAGTATATGCTCTTCTCACCAGACGACTACTTAGTTTTGCGGCCGACAAGGGGAAAGGGTCTGGGTGTAGATAAGATTGTGTGGATTCCCAGAGTCCGGATTGGATATTTATGGCTATCGACTGGAGGAGTGCAAGAGATCAATTGGGAGTTTTTAAGGAGAAAATTTTAGAGCGCAAGGAAAGCGATACGAGAAGAGGAAACAGTTGAGCTGGCGCCTGTAGGCGCATGTGTGCGGCGGAAACTGGCTAACATGGCTCATGGAAGTGCAAAGAAGCAAATATGGCGCAATCTGATGCCACCAAGATCGTCGAGCACGCGAGCACTTGAATTCCGGTCGATGGCTGGCCCAGCACGGCCGAGTGTGCGATACATAAGCACGCAAACCTCTCCGTCGCCCGCGAGTGAGCCTCGTGTCCTGTCCGCTTCTTCTCCTCCACTGGTTCTACTCTTCGACGACAAACCGTCCTGGCATCGTTCAGACCCTCTGCCCCCGTCGGACAGATAGAAAATGGTCGTGAGCGAACAAATCACACGACGAAGCGTCGCTGCACCTGCAGCAAAACCTTGCCGGCTTCCGCAGTCAGGTGGCGTCTCGTTTCCGTTCTGCACCAATTGGAGCCCGTATTTCTTGCTTAAGTAACCTCGACTCGCCTCACCGCCTTCGCATCGTCGTCAAAATTTCACCCAGATCTCGCTCCTCCGCCCCACATGCGCCTCCTCATTTGTCGTCGAAGCAGCCAAAAGCGTCCCAGTCGTGATCTCGAGAGCTAGCTGTTGATCCAGAATGGACTCTTTGCCTCCTTTTGGCAGTCAACGACGACGACGACGTGCTACATACTTTTTAACCCAACGGTATGCTCGCAGCCCCCAACGTCCTCCGACCACGCGACGGCTACCGTAACGTGTCCGATCGATGGTAGGGCCAATCTTTGCTAAACCCACCTTTGCTGGCAGCGAGCTCATCAAGCACAGCCTCGCTGTCCATCTTAAGCCCGCACGAGCGACGCCGTGCGCGTGACTTTGTAGCCGCTCCTGGTATCGGAATCCCTCGATCTTGCTTATCGCATTCTTCCTGGCTCTTGCTTGACCTTATCAGCTCTTGCCCGAACACTCCACGTCCTTGCTTAGCAGCTCCTCCATCAGCATGTGTCATTTCGTCCAAGTCCAAGGGAAAGACTTCTGGTTCGGGACCAGAGTCTTGTGATCTCCCCGCAGCGTGTACCGGTGGGCGTGGAAATAGATAACGCTTTTTGTCTAGTTGGAGGAGCAGATCTACAGCGTCGAGAGTCTGTGGTGTACGCTGGGCATGCGCGCTGACCTGCGCGAAGAAGTATCAGCTTGGCTGGTTCTAGCAAAGTGCAGTAACTGTGATTTATCCATCTTCTCGGGGCAACCTTGCTCATCAAGAGAGTGCATTGAGCAAGCATTCAACACTTTCTGATCTGCATGCAGCCGTATCGGCGTACCTGCAGTCGAACTTACTACGTCAGCTTGTGGAGTACGATTTTCCCTCGCTTTGCCATCAGCAACCGGCTTCGATGTGGGAGTCGGTGCAGAGCTCCGTCTTCGACTCATGTCATCGCTCATCAAGAAGATAGTGTATCAAGACTAAGAAGAAAAGTCAAGTTGCAGAGCTCTCTATGGTGACAAGTCTAGAAGATGACGAAGTGCTTGCTCTGATTCTCACCCATACATTAGGTCTGATCAGTTATACGACTGCAAGCACGATCGATCCGCCTGATTTTCTTTCTCACACAGATGCTCTTTCTGCCGTGTAACAAAGAAATGGAACCCCTGTTGGCTGACCCTTTTGTATCCCGAACCGTGAGGCGAGCATCGACGTCAAGATTCTTAGCCCTGTCTTACTTCTTATGCTTAATGAAGACGCGGCGTCTTTGACAACTAGCGCCACTTCGATACGGACACAACCTCTCAATAGCCTCAAAATCCATGGCGCCTACAGCAGGATAGGTTATACCCTGTAGATCCAATCGTATTTGACACACCATCTCGGTAAGTACGATGGTATCATCCCACGCCACTTGCGAATAGCTGCCAAGACGCGCATCTTCGTCTTCTATGCTTCAATCTATCGCCTTGTAACCTGGCGGTCTGAAGCCGAATCGCAGTCCTAATGATGCTTCACCCTGTCCGCAGAGGCAAGTACGGAGATGTGTCCGTCGAAAGGAGCTCTTCCCGTCCTAGGAATCGTCGAGTTCAGGTAGCACAACATACAAGCCTTGTGCAACTCGGGGGCTTCGGGCCTCGTATCTATGAGCAAGGTCTTTTATCCTTCACTCGTACACTGTCTCTTCACCAAACGTCTCAGGAAGGATGGACGATTTTGTATGTTGCCCTCAATGCTGCACCAGTCCCGTGGCCTGTCGAAAAGAAAAAAAGTGCCGCATCCCAATGCAGGGGTGTTACTTGTCCCACTTGCACAGAACACTTATGCATTGCGGTCCCTCCCTGTTGCGCCACGATTAGGTTATGTTGAATCGAGAACATAGATCTAGTAAGTTCTGGGAATACGTGATGACCTGTAACAACAGAAAATCTCTTGGGATACTGCATTGCGCTCAAGGGGTTGACGAATAGCTTGTCAGTGCATCTGTCCACTCGGTATTAACTGGGCATGCGGTGGAGCCTAGGATTACGATACAATTCTTCAGAAAATGTTGTCCGTCGTTCTCTCGACAGGGACGGCTGGCTCCTCCAGATCCCGCGACAACGTGCCCTGCCAAACGGACCGCTAATTGCTGTCAAATGGCACATTTGCGGGTGCAACTTGACTTGGTCACAATATGTCTTCCTACAAAGGCGGAGAGTGTCATCAATTGACAATACCAAATTGGGCTCTACCGGAAGGATCTGATTCAAACTATGGCGATGTTTATCAATTTGTCCAACGCACTCTAACATGTTATTGGTGCGGCTTGCTGGTTAACGTTGAGCTCGCGGAGTTGGACTTGACTATTCTGGGATATTGACGTCGTAATCTACGCCACCATGCCTGTGCGATAAGTTTACTTCGCTGAGACTCCACGAGTGAAGCACCATAGGCACAAACAAGAGCTGCGTTGGCACGGATCTTCGCTTTTTCGAGCAATTCTTAATTGATAGGGAATCACATAGGAAAGACTGATATTACGGACCATATGTAGGTGATCCCACTCAAATTGTTCTTTCTTACCAAAATTCGACGTGGTGTAGGTCGTTAAATCATTGGGATGTGCCAAGCACGAGAGCCCAAGAGAGGAGTTTTGTAGATACTTGTTAACACAGCTGGGGAAGCAAACTCGGAATCACCCACCACCGGGATCGTGCGCCAGCCCAAGAGCGTAGAGTAGCGTTTCGCCCTCTTACCCTCCTTTTTCAATTATGAGTGAACCCCCCCCACCCCGTTTACGCACTCGCGGCCTGGGGCTCAGGTGCATCTGCAGTGGTTTGAGCAGGCTTTGGGCGACCGAGAACTTCGAGATTTCCTGGTCGAAAATATCAGCAAGGTTATGGAATTGTATAAGTAATCCTCTTGTAGGGACTGCTTACGCTGGATGAGGCTCAGGGATCGTCTGAAGCTCTTGTCCTCCGGATCCTGCATCTCGCCTTCGGAAGAAACCTCGTACTTCTGCATCTCAGCATCGGCCTCGACATGCACAAGCGAGCTGCGATATTTCATTAGCAGTCCAAATGATTCCGTGCTCGCAGATGATTCTACCTACCCCTTAGGCAGATTCAGGAGGTAGTCCTTCTGGGCATCGCTAGTTGGAAAGCTGGTGACGTTCCAGAAGCTCGATCTCTCGCTGTCGCGAGGTCCGTGGCTGGTGGCAATCGAGTACTTGATAAAGGTCCTGCCAGTGCTGGATGCGTGCGCCTCGGGCTCTCTGACGAGACGACCGATGACCGCTAGCTTGGCGTAGTTGTTGCGCGCGGAGGACGAGAAGGTACGGACAGTCGTCGAGGCCGGGCGAAGGAGGTTGCGCATGTACGACATGATGTGGACTGTGATGCGATCGTGACAAGGACTCTGACGGAGCTTGCGACAGCGGTTATCGTCTTTGTTGCGAAAGGTAAACTCGATACGCGCTTTGCGTTGTCGCAAAAGCTGAGCAAAGGGGTGACCACGGCATGGAGCCTGTTTGTGGATGAAGGGCTCCGAGCCAATCAGCGTGCGCGGACATGCCCACCTATCGCGTCTTCCCCACCCCAAGAAACGCGTGAGCATCGCGTCTTCGTAGCTGAATACCAGAACCAACTTCTACTGCTCCAATGACCACGGCTTGTCTTCCTGCTTGAAAGTGCACGATAAGACCTGTCGCACGTGTGTCGAAGTCTCTCGCGGCAGTCAAATCCAGGCGCTTCATTTCAGGGCCTGAATGAGCGAAGATTCATGCCGACCCTGGCTTGGATGCAGCGAAAGTCACCGCCCCTTGTGCTTGATCAAACAGCGGAGTGTCGATTCTTCATCATTTCGCCTTCCTGGACGACCATCTCAGCTTCCGAGCATTCCATCAAGGCGTACACATACCGCTCTAGGGCAGAAATGTACAAATGGTCCAAAGGCTTCGGAATTGTTTTGTCCTACATAGGCGACGTCGAATAGTAAACCCGCCGTGTGACTGCCTGCTCCCGGTGTCCGCATGCACATTTTCCGTACAGTGCGTGCTTAAAGCTTGAGCCCTGAGCACCTGCTCTTTCGCCTTCTGCCGGGTGCTGTGCCGAAGCGTTCAGCGTAGGAACTTGCGACCAAAGGCATTTCCGTCGCCTCGGAAAGCAGAGCAGGATCGTACTCAAAAGGCCTCTAGTGGAAGCCTACAGCGGTCACCGCCCATTTCAAAAAACATCGTCGAGGACGCGCACTCCTTGAAACAGACTGCAAGAAAAAAAAAAAAAAGAAGAAGTCACCCTCTCTCTGACCCTTCGTGTAGACAAAAGAGCTGCATACGATGTCCACAATCCGCGATCCTGCGTTCTGGCGTCGCTTCTCCACAGTCCGTCTGCGTATCTCCGGAGATCGCCTGCTTAGGACGGTGACTGACGGGGTTTGATAGGCCGTGCATCTTGACGAAGAAGCTAGAGCAGCACAATCGCCATCGTCCTCTGACCGTCCCTCGTTGAAGCACGCGTATGCTCACCCTCCTCTTCCACCTGTTCGCTTCGCTTGGATTGACAACCAGTTGTACAGCGACTCCTGGCTCGATCGTCAAAAGGCAAAGCAATCTCACCTCGCTCTGATCTGTTGGGCTTTCTGGCTCTGCCTCATTATCTTCGTAGTTGGCGTCGTCGTGCTCATGCTCTGGCTAAAGGATGCGGGCATATTGATGAATGAGCAAGAACAGTCTTCATGAATTCTCTCCTCTTTTCGGCATCTGGCACAGGCGAGCATTCGTCAAAGCGGACTGATTTGCTTTCTTTTCCTATACGCCATGGAACGAGGAGTCTAAACGTCTCAGCAACCGGGTCTACATCGCTCAAACAGACATGCGATACGTTTTGGAATGTTAAACAGAAAAAAGTAAAAGTACACTGTATCATATTGGTATATACGTTGCGACGACCAAACTCAGCTGTAGTATGTATCGTCGAGCGGACGCATTCCATATACATGGTTTCCTGACGCGTCCCGAGGACACTGCTTGTTACGTATAAGTACATCGGCAGGCTGAATTCAATTCCTTGCATCTGTCCTGCACAGAATAGCCCTCGATTCCGCCTCAAGAACACCGCACGCCATTTTCAAATTCGCCACAATATTGTCTCAGTCTCCCCATATGAAATTAAGATTTATGACATCTGGACTGACTGCTGACCCCTCTATATCATGAGTCACAGCGCTTATTGTGCTAATTGTCATTTGCAGACTCTTAATCAAACATAAGCGCTAGATGCCTGTGATTCTGTCTAGCGGGCAGTGGGGGTAGACGTGTCAGCCATCCTGCCCAAATGATTGGGTGCCCACAAGCTCCGCATCGTCTATATCCTCCATTTTTGTGTTTTCACGGCTGATATTGGTTGCCTCGTTTGGAAAACGTGAGAAGGAATCTTCACTACCCAGTTCCGTCGGGATGGGTCAGGCAGGCGCTCAGGACGAGCCATAACAAGGACGAAGGGGAGTAAGAAATTGCCCATGAAGACGGGACGGGTATCATTCGGTTTGTGAAGATCAAAAACTAGTACCTCTTTCTCGTCGGCTCGGGGCTCGGGCTCCGGCTCACGCTCCTCTCATCCCTACCCCTCATCTTCAGCCACTTCCTCGTGCTCATGTCCAGTTCGCGTTCCAGTTCAGGAGACGGTTGTTTGCGGTGTATAAAGTTGCAGAAGCCTCCACGGACGCATCCCTCACCGCTGTTAAGACGGCAGCACGCCTCGCGGAAGTCGGTAACGGGGGACAGTTCGCAATAGATAGGCCGGCCCGCGTACCAGCGTGAGTTAAGCGCATCGCAGGCTTTCTGGGCATCGTCCTCGTACTTAAATCGCGCATACACGTTTCCAATGAGATCTACATGTCCGTGTTAGTATCGCGCAATTCACAAACTGACGAAGTCGGGCTAGCCTGGTTGTCTACTTACGGTCATTGTTATTGTCACATACGACGACCTCCTCGATCTGCCCATACTTGCACATCTCACACCAAAAATCTTCGTAGAAAGCGTCGAAGTGGTTCTGCAGTTGGGAAGCGTTCATCTTGTTATTTGGCTGATAGGCAGGATTCTGATACAGGTTCGGCAGGAGGATCGTCTGCGAGTACGAGGGCTTGACATGTTTTCTTGAGCAGCGATCGCCGTGTCTGCATGCACCAATCTTGTAGTAGAACGAGCAGTTGACCTGAAAAGCAAAGTTAGCAAAAATGTGCAGAAACGCTGAAGGTCGGGATGCTGGTCTTACCTTGTCTTGCTCTGTACCGAAGATGGAAGCTAGATAGTTGGCCATTTTGGCGAAAAGCCCACAGACGGACAAGGAGTTATTTCAGACGCTGCTGCGACAAAGTTTGTTGATGTATGGTTGCAAGATAATGCTTTGGGCAAAGGATTCACTTTTCGGATGGCGAAACTTAACGTCGAGGAGTTAGAAATGCGTTTCGGCCTCAGGCTTCCATGAACTTCTATCACGTGCGATCGAGCGTCCCCCCCACTAACTAGTCATTACCTGGTCGAAAGATATGGTGGGCGGCAAGAACGAGAGCGTGTTTCGAAAGTACGACGTTCTGATTTGCGCTTCCACGGACATACGGTAGTATACAAGATCAATTGGCACTCACAGAGTGCGTCCATGACACCAAAACAAATGTACCAAAATCGTCCACCATCGGCTGGGTATTTACATACGTTGCCCAAAAAAGTCATACCATGCGTGATCTTTGTCCTCCGTGTACTCCGTGCTCGATGGTAGTATACAAATGAAAAACAGCTGTAGAACTCCGACAAAAGTTGCTTAGATATACGAAACGCCACACTTCTATCGAGGCGGCATGCCAGGATATCTTTGCTCCTCCGGTCTACGGTATTGTTGCTGCTCATGCACACGCCTTACTTCGGCTTCCATGCGAGCCCTTCGCTGTAGCACTTCGGCGTCTGCTGCGGCTTGTTGAATCCTGTTTTGTCTCGAGCGCTCACGTTCGAAATCACGTCGTTGCAGCTCCTGATTGTAATCATACTGTCGCTGAACAGCCTGCGCGTGATGGTCCTGTGGTGGCGGGTATCCGACGTGAGACAGCGGCGTAGCCGTGCTGCGTTCTGGTACCGCCTGAGGGGGAGGGTACCTTGATTGGTTTACTGGCGGGGTATGATGTCCGTACCGTTGCTGATGTGCCATCTGTTCCTGATACTCTCTCTCCCTCAATGCTTGTTCTCGTTCTCGTTGGTCGCGCTCACGCGCAGCAGCGTAGTCAAAGTGCTCACGATCTCGCTCCCGCTCCCTAAGCCTGTCAAAAAGCGCTTCTCGGGGTTGTTCTTGCAGGCGTTGATGAATGCCAAATTCTGGACGAGTGTTTGACGGTGGATGGTGCTGGGGTCCGAGATGAGGAGAATGGCCTGGAGCAAGCGGTTCTCTCTGCCCATAATGGCCTGCATGCAGTGCTGGTGGAGGGACGGCTGGTGCAACTGGAACGGATGAAGTCGGCGTCTGGTGTGCTGGGTGGCTGTACGAAGGTGTTCGGGAATGCTGTCCAAATGGAGTCGAAGCAGGTGGAGGAGAAGGCTGAGCGCGATTGGGTCCATTGAGGGCACCGAACGCAGTTGATCGATAGTCACGATTGGAGAACAATGGTGCGCGTTCTTGGCTGTGTGCGACGTGTTGCGCATGCAGCCCAGGCGAGTTTGTTTGAGGGAAATGGGATGCTTGGCGGCTAGACCAACTGTCGCGATGAGCCATGGGCGGTAACGACTCTCTTCCTCCTGATTCGTTTGTCGGCGTCGACAACGATGAAGCGGAAAGACCTGTCGGTGGGTAAGTCGGGCGCGAATACGGTCGATCAGCCATTGCATCGCGGGCCGTCGCCGCTGTTTGCGCTGTCTCGCTCTGCATGGTTGCACTGATACGATACGGCGCAACTGCAGGTATGACGGGCTCAGCGACGCGAGCCTGGGCTTTAGGTTTCTCGGGCTCAGGCTCCACATTCAACAGCGACATTAGATTCGACCTTCTCGGCGCCTCTTTGGAGGCAGCTGATGGCGGAGTCGGGCTTGGAGCTGCTGGCGGAGGAGCCTGTGGTTGTTGGGCAAGTGGCGGGAGTGCATGATGCCTTGGTGGAGATTGCGGTCGTCGCTCTGATTGCCCTGCCATTGGAGCTGCTTGGGGTCCGGTAAGATCGACGATGACATTGCGAGTAGTATGCACAGCCGCAGCTGGCATCTGAGGGGGGAAAACGTGCTGACGTGAGTCATGCCTACCATGTTCGGGAGCAACAGGAATGCTATGAATGCTGGTTTGCGATGTGTGCCCCGACGGACCAGGATGCTGGTACACACGCTCCTGCTCGCGCCTTTCAGCTGCGATCTGAGCGTTACGGGCACCAATCTCCACCTGCCGTCTCCGTATGTCTTCATATTCACGCTCGATGCGCTCGCGCTCGCGCTCACGCTCGCGTTCTTGCCTGCCTAACAGCTCTCGATCATGCTCCACCGGCCGAAATTCGGTTTTGATCCTCTCCGGTGCTCTCTGTCCTTGAGGCTCCTCAGGTGGCGCGATGAGTGGCCGAATAGTATTGCTTTGCGGCTGAGAAGTACGAACATCGTCTCCAAAGAAACCGAGTATTGGGCCGACTTGGCGAGGTCGATGTCCTGAAGCGTTAGTAGCCTGAGCAGGTGTGTTGCGTTGGACTTGTTGGGGAATATTGGGCCGAGGACCAAACGGCGGCGACATGCCATATGAAACAGTGACAGGTACTGAGGTTGACTGGTCGGATTCTGCAACTTCGTTGCTTGGCGCAAGGTTTCGGGGAAGTGTCGCGCTGGGAACCTCGTAACGTCCATGACGATTGGGTGCTTGTGGAGGCATTGGAGGGGGCCCCATATCTTCGCCTCGACTTCGACGCTGCGTGACTTCGTTCACTATTCGAATCAACTCCCCATGCTTCCCATCATTTACAAACTTTTGATATCGATTCTTGAGCTATGCCCAGATTAGAGAGGAACATAATCCGAATCACATAAGCATCACTCACCATTGTAGAGGTCTTGGTGCCCATGTGACTTGAGATTGCCTGAAAGTCGGTACCATAATGCTTTAGCCAATGAATAAATTCTTGCTCATCGGTCACAGACCAGTAGCTCGATGGGCCTTGTCTTTGCGTGGCGTTGCTATGCGACCGTGGACGTTCTGCAGGTGGCGCAACAGAGCCTACGTCTCCGACCTCTCGGTAGCCTGTCAAATTGGCTTCTGGATACACATGAGGCTGTGGCATTAGAGGCGGTATATGCTCTGTCTGTCCGGTTGCGCCAGTTTCCTTGAACTGCCAAGCATTCTCCAATTCTGGAGTTTGGATCTGCTTGTCTTTGATGTCTCGATCCACCTTTTGTGGAGAGGTCGTCGGACGTGCGGCGAGAGGCTGATTGCGAGCAGTCTTTTTAGGAGCCTTCTCCTTCGCCTTCCTCCGACTAGCCTTTTCAGTTACTGCTTCGCCATCTTTCCCATCCCCTTTGGCGCCTCGTTTACCTGTTGCACTGTTCGCGCCATTTTGATCCTGATCGGAATCTTTCGGCCACGTTGGGGCTGCTGCACGCCGTGGACGTCCGGACTCGGTCATCATAGGAGTGCCATTCGCATCGGTTTCGGCCGCGTCTTCAGCAGGAACCAAAGCACTTCGTGCCTGACGGCCGGCAGGCTTCCTGCCGCCTCGTGCACCACGTCCTCGTTTTCCACCGACTCGTGACTTGTAGCGGCGGTCCCATTTAGACGCGTAGTAGTGATTGATGCATTCCTTGTATGTTCGGCCTACCGCTTTTGCAATCTTGCCCCATTGTTTCGTGTATTCTTTGTAAACTTCCCGCATGATGCGGTCTTCCTCCTCGCTGAAGTCGTCTACTGGAGGAACGAAATCGAAGATGCGAAGAGCGTCTTGTGGACGCCGCGCTTGGCTAACGTCTTTAAAGATCCGTCGTTTTGCCACGCTCGGTGGAAGCAAGTCCGGAATCTCAGCTTCTCGGTCGGCAGTTGCACTGACCTGGGCTTCCTTTAATGCGAGATCCTTCTGCTTCTTCTCTTCTTCTTCTCGTAATGATATTTCCATGACTCGCTGTAACTCGTACTCGCTGGCAAACCTATGTGCTCGTCTACCCCCTTCAGAAGACGTGGTAAGCGATGGCCCCGCCACATCTGAGGTCGATAGTGGCGGATTTGATTCGGGTGAGCATTGCTTAGCTGCACGCTCCGCCTCATCCCTTTCTCTGTCGAGCCGGTTGACACTCTTTCTCCATTCCATGTACAGCTCCCTGAACTCTTGTTCCATTCGAAGTTGATCAAGAGCCTCAGCATCGACGTCCTTTTTGAGAATATTTTTGATAGCCTCTTCGGGAATCTCGCGATTGGTGACACTGAACGGGTCCGCGTCCGACAATGGTGTCGAGAAGCCTTTTTCCAGGTACGGAAGGGACTCAGGATCTGGTGTAGACATGCGGTCCAGCGATGATTCTGTCGAACTGCAGCCATCGGACATGAGTTGATCACCGTCTTCGTCTTGAGGTAGGACAACTTCTTCTGGAGGTGGCTGAGGTAGCGCTTGCTCCACTTCACACGGTACTTCCTTTGTCTTAGTGGCGGTCTCCTTCTTCTCTGCGCCTGTTCGAGACCGGTAGCTGAGATCATTGACCATCGCACGCATGGCGACAAGTCGGGAAAGCTCGGGAAACAGTAATGTAGGTCGCAACTCGTTGGTGGATAAATCAACCCGCTTGGCTTCGATGCGCTTCTTCTCGGCGAAGAATTTGTCCTCGAGAAATTCGGCCATGTCCGTGAGAACTGCTTCATCCTCTTCGTCTTCGCTGATTGGGAAAGAATGGGACTGTTCCTCTACAGTAGGCGATCTCTTGGACTCTTCAGCTGGAACATCGGCCATGTCGACATCTTCTTGTGGCGCACTCTCTTGTGGTGCAGTGGCAGTGGCGGTCTCTTGTTTAACAACTGACTTGTCCACTTCTACTGGCACAGGCACATCTCCATTGCCAACGCTTTGCGCCGAGGGAGTTCCCTGTGGTGGTATTTCACCCAGCCGGTGTTCATTTGTGGTACCACGTTCGCGTTCGAGACCATTGATATCCCGCTTACTCGGCACGACCGAAGCTCTAGGAAATAGTTGCGAGCTCGACTTGAATAGTTTTGGCGCTGGGGGGGCGTTACGAGGAGCAGAAGGAGGCGCACCCCTTTCAGCTCTCGGTCCTGTTGGAATTGCACCAGGTATCATGCGGGGTGAGGCATTGACGGGAGCAGAAGCCTTAGGTCCGGTTGGAATCGCGGCCGTTGCTACAGGAGACGTGGCACGTCCAAAACCGCCAACAACGCCCGCCCGGCCAAACGATGGCTGCGGAGAAGTCATAGCACGAGGCGCGGATGGGGGGTTGAGAAAGCTCGTCGCTGCTGCGGGCGAAAACTTTGCTTGTTGTGTCCCGTCGGGTGCGGCGGCAGAGGCGAGACGAGGCGAGGGTGACGCACCCGCGGACGTAGCCCTCTCTTTCGATTCCTCGACAGCATTAGCTAGTGACTCACGAGAAGGAGTCTTCTCCAAGACCCGGTCCGCTTTGGGTGCAGTGGGAGGTGCGACCGATAATGCTTTGGGCGCGGTGGGAGCCGGCTTTGAAGGTTGCGCAGGCCCGGACGCTGGGGGAGGCTTTTGCAATTCAGGGTTCTTCCACGATAGTGATGTGACGCTTGAGAAAGGTGCTGGGGTTCGAAATCCAAACGCTGGTACAGCAGGGACAGCAGGTGGCGGCGAAGCCGGGCGATTCGCCCGTTGCGAATCTGAACGTCCAGCGCTTGAATCGGGCCTATCGTTTTCACGGCGTGCATCTCTGCTGTTGTCGGACACTGCAGAACCTCGTCTTGAAAGGTCTTGGTCACGTCGGAACTCACCAACAGGTCTATCAGGTGGCGCCTGGTGAGGCCCTTGTGGCCGATCGGTCTGCGGCGCCGACTGAGATGTTTGGCCGCGACTTTCCCCTTGCCCTTTTAAGTCTCTGGGTTCGATCCGACTTGGCAGATCCGAGCGCCTGGGATAGGTGTCTCGGTCGTCCGCACGATCGCGACCGTATCGGGCGTCGTTGGCGCGCTCACGATCTCTGTAGCCCAGATCGCGCGAGTCGTTTGATCGATCTCTCTCGCGTCGCTCTCTGGACCTGCTGCGAGGCCTTCCTCTGTCGCGAAAGTCGCTGCTCCGGCCGCGAGCATATCCACTCCGGAAGGACGATCCAGACGGCCTGAAAGCAGCATCCGATGCGTTCGAACCAGCTGAAGGAGGACCATCGCCACGTTCCTGGCGGGCAGCGCGGTCCGTGTCTAACTGTCTCGGAACGTCGCGAGAGTCTCGCCGATCACGCGTTGGCGACCTGCGCCGTGGATCGTACCTGTCGCCACCTTCGTACAGTCTGTCGTTGCTGAATCCAACGTCGCGCGAATCACGTGGCTCGAAGCGGCTCCCAAAACCGCTGCGTCCCCTGGGCGCATTGGACAACGGCGGTCTGGAAGCATCGCTCACGCCCCGAGGACCGCGCGGAGCGTCATTGTACGGGCCGCCGAAGTCTCTAGGTCGAGAGCTGAAGGTTGAGTAGGACGAGCCACCAGGCCTGTAGCTTCGCGCCGGTGATCGCTCACGAGGAGGCGGCGGTCTCGAGTCTCGATCGCTGTATCGAGACATCGCATGCTCCAGCGCTCATGCGGGCGGCAGAGTCTGTACGTCGTGCTGCACGCCGTCGCGCTGAGGCAAGCGTTGATGAAAGGTTCTGTTGACTTTTTGGGAGTCGAATCTTGATCGAAGCGTCAAAGAAGGTTTAGCTGTTTCAAGGGCGCTCGGTCCTCGCCGGGTCGTGCCAGCCCTGTGGAACAGTCTTGGCGCAAGAGGCGTCAAGGAGAGGAGAGGATAGATGGAGCGTCCGAGACGACGGCGAAGACGAGCCAACAAGCCAACACCAGCGCTGCAGCGCCTGAATCACCAACCGCAAACTGCCTGGGTCACGGCCTTCGGCACTGGGAAAGGTCTCTGGGGTCCTCGAGGCGGCGAATCCGCTGCTACGGGGGGGCTGTTCAACGCTGGGCGGTCCTGGAGAGCCTCAAATCGGGTCGTGGGCGTGGTCGAAGACGACGCTCGACAAGCGGCTTGACGAGTGAGCTTCTGCCGCTTTCTCCGCTTGAGGCGACGATGAGCTTTGAAGGAGGTTCGTCGCGAGGAGTGATGGTTACGGGGCGAGGAAGAGAGCCGCAGAGTCTGATGAGAAGACCAGTGCGTGCGGATTGACATCGACTGCTAAACCGGTGTATTGCTAGCGTGCATCCCGGCTTCGAAACAGCACTGAACAGTTCACGAGGTCCCGTTTTGACGGTGTGGAAATGTACCCACGGTTGGACAGACTTTCGCCTTGAACGTGCCGCTCTTCTTGCTGAGCCTGTACACTGCCGTGCTGGATCACAGCGCCGACCGTTCGGCCGTCGTCCCCGTCGTCGCCAGCACGACCGTCATCTGCGTGCACAACACGGCCTCCTCTCCTTCTCGCACGCCGACACCCACACCCGCGCCGGGCGCTTGACACCACACGCACGACAGGGACACGGATTCAGACGAAAGCCCTGCGCCTCGTTCGCATCCAGGCCGCTCATCACAAGCAGTGCGCCATGAGGTCTCACGCAGCCGCAGCAGGCCCGCTGCCCGTGTATCAGACGTGCACAGTCTGGCAAGAGCTGCTGCTCCCACAGGAAAAAACCCCAAACTTTTCGCCAATTGGTCCCAATTTCGACTCTCCAAATCAACGGGGGGCGCGCCAACAGGGGTTCTGGCCCTTTGGGTTTTTGGCCATCATCGCCGAGGTGCGTGCAGCGGCGGCTAAGCTTGAAGCGATCATGCACGTTCCATCTCGGACAGCGCGGAGTGCTCTGCTCATTCTTCCTCATTTCTTCCGCAGCACAAAGATCTACAAGGAGGGAGAGGCAGCGTCGTCCCCCGTTCCAAGACCGAACAAAGTCCTCATCTGGTACGGGGGGTGTGGCTCTGGGAAGTGGACGGCTAGCCGCAGCTTACGATGTCCCTCGTGTTTGGACTTTGGTCCGTGTGGCGCTGACAACACATCGACCTGCATCCAGCAGCGGGATGACGGAGAATAGGCTTTTGCTGTCATTTCTGATTCGTGCCTCCGGTCCTGAGCCTGGGACTTTGTCCGAGATGGGAGCGTCGAGAAAGAAGCAAAAATGCGCAAGGGGAATCTGGGCGGTCGTGTGGAGCATGCACGTTGAAAGTCGGCATCGGCTATGCATGGCCTGCCTAGTGCGCTTCCGCCCAGATGCCAATCGATAAAACAGAGTGCAAAGATGTTGGCAGCCCGCCGAGTGCGTCGAGCAGCCGGCTCGCTGCGAAGCACTTTTTTTCAACTCGTCGCAGGCCCGCACACGGCACGTCGCCTCGAATTGTCTGCTGGGCGGACGGCCATTCCCCCCATGGCTGCTTTGTGGCTTAGGGGTTCCTTGCTTCCATGCGGGACAGCGATCGGTTCCACACTTCTTCTAGAACGCTGCCGCCAATCAGCGCTCTCAAAAATTCTCCCATCTTTGCTGCCCGGCCTGATCAGACTGCCTGAGCTCAACAAAGGCACTCGGAGGCATACACAGCACACCGCAGACGCTGAGCGGCGACGGCAGACGACGCGTGGCGCAAAATCATGGCGGCCGCATCTGAAAACGGCCTGCCACCGAATGGGGCTCAGGATGCCGTCTTAAAACCGTCAGAATTTTCAACGGAGGGTGCGCGAGAGATAACTGGTGTGGATTTCAACCAGTATGCGGACCGAAACATCACAGTAGCAGAGTTGGTCGACAGCATGACCACTATGGGCTTTCAAGCCACGTCGATCGGGGACGCCGTCAAGCTCGTTAACGAGATGGTAATTATATACGTTCACGACACGCCGCGGGATGTCTTGTGCCTAACGAAGACTGGCAGAGATCATGGCGCGACCGGGAGACGGGAGACAAAGCAACCGTATTCCTGGGCTACACGTCGAACCTGATATCTTCAGGTCTTCGGGACACGCTGCGCTACCTCGTCCAGCATAAGCACGTGTCTGCCGTCGTCACCACGGCCGGGGGCGTCGAAGAAGATCTCATCAAATGTCTCGCGTCGACGTATCTTGGATCTTTCACGAGCAAGGGCGCTGAACTGCGCAAAAAGGGAATCAACAGAATTGGCAACCTTGTTGTACCCAACAACAACTACTGCGCCTTCGAAGACTGGGTGATTCCCATCCTTGACAAGATGTACGAGGAGCAGGAAGCCGCCAAGGGAAGCGAGGGTGAGTTTTCGTGGACACCAAGCAAAATCATCCACCGGCTGGGGAAGGAGATCAACGACGAGAGAAGCGTGGCGTACTGGGCGTGGAAGAATGACATCCCCGTCTTCTGCCCAGCACTGACGGACGGAAGTCTGGGCGACATGATGTACTTCCACACGTTCAAGACATCGCCAGGCCAGCTACGCTTCGACTTGATCGAGGATCTAAGGAAGATCAACACGATGGCCGTCCGGGCCAAGGCCGCAGGCGCCGTGATTCTGGGTGGAGGATTGGTCAAGCACCACATCATGAACGCGTGTCTGATGCGAAACGGAGCGGAATGGGCGGTCTTTGTCAACACGGCGCAGGAGTTTGATGGAAGCGATGCCGGCGCTCGGCCAGACGAAGCAGTCAGCTGGGGGAAGATCCGCATTGACGGAGAGAGTGTGAAAGTGTATGCTGAGGCGACGGTTGCCTTCCCACTCATCGTTGCGGGCACATGGGCCAGAGTGGATGAGAAGAAAGCTAGTTCATGAACCGGGGGACGTAGGTCCACGGGCAGCGCAAAGGTTGTGCACTGGAGATTGCCCACCGGAGGCTGCTCACGTTTCGAAGGTCATGTGTTGGACGACGAGGCGTATGTGGGCAAATACATGTCTATGCATATTTGTATGCGCATATGTAGGTACAAGAGAAGAAGCTTGCGCTGGGATCATGCACGGGGGGGGGGGTTGTGGAATGGCGCCTTGTGGACGCCAAGAGAATCCACGACGTGGTAAGGGGAGCGATGTGCAAGAGTTTATGTGGAGCTGGAACGGAGTAGTCAGATGCAGAAACACGCCAACGAAGTGGCCACGCTTCTCACCTTTGCGGCCGTCATGTGGACCGCGTTTGCGATGCCCCGTTTCGTCTGCGTCTCTTTCACAACCATTGTGCCTTGACATGATTGCACAGGAGCCACGCTTGGGTGGCAAAGCACAAAGCACCGTTCGCGCAACGAGCAGGCCGAGAGAGTGGACGGATGCAGCCAGATCACGAGGAGAAAGGGCAGTCCCGACGACCCGACGACAGGAACGGCTTAGCCCGAACGAGAGCGAGCTCAGTGGGTGACAAAAAAGCAACGGGCGCGCTGTTGAGAACGGCTTGAACGGATGCGTGGCTGGGACGTGTCAAGCGGTGAACGGAGAAAGGGTGAGTCGTGCAAACATGGCGGGCCCGAGAGCGTCAGGGAAGAGGCCGTTCGTGAAAGGCGAGAGATAGCCTGGAGGCTCAAGTCAACAGCAGCAGCAGCAGCAAGGGCCAGGGGCCGCGAATGGGGGTGGAGGAGGTGGTGCAGGCAGCCGTGGGCGGTTGTGACTGGCACTTGGGAGCCGACGACAGGACGGAGGAGTCGCAGGCGGGCGCGCGGATGCGAGTCCAGGTTGGCCTTGTGCCGGGCATCAGGCTCCAGCGACTCCAGCGACTCCAGCGACTCCAGCGACTCCAGCGACTCCAGCGCGCCAGACTGGTGAGGCGGAACGATCGGCGGCACCAGCGCTGGGGGGACCGCGATGGGGCCAGCAGAGGCCCGCTGGAGCCAGCGCTGAGGTGTCCCCGAACGGGCTTAGCGGCCCCGTGCTAGACTCAACGCACGCCCGCCCCCGGCCATCGCCAGGCGGCCTTCGATCAGCGCGGCCAGCTCGTTGACGCCCGTATAGCAAGGCAGTCGCCTCAGGAAAAACATAAATCGATAAAATCAAGCAGTCCGCTCCAGATTCTGGTCGCCTGGCTTCTCCCTTCTCTGACTCCGAACCCTCCTCTTCTTCTTCCCTCCACCCGCTCTCTCGCTGGGCCATCTCCGTTACCCCCCCCCCCGCGTGTCTGTCTCGCCATCGCTTTCGTCCTCACCCAAGACCCTCAGCCTTCTCGTCCGCCTATCCGCACCGCCTGTTGCACGACCACCGAACCAACGCGGTGCGCCATATCTACTCGAGGCCCGCCTGCGCCATCCTCATCCCTTCCGCACGCACACACGCACACACGCACACACACACACTCACACTCACTCACTCACTCACCAAGTCCTCGTGAATCTCACGGTCACTCTTCCATAGCCCCGCTATGAGCGCAACCGCGAGCTTCAGCAACGCAGAGCCTCCTCCGTTACTGTTCGGAAGCCCACCCTTCTCGCCTCGCTCGCCCCTCCACACCCAGACACCAGCCAGCCCACCTCCTCTCGCCATGGAGGAACCAGAAGACACTGATATGACCACATCCATCACGCTGCCTGCACAGAACCACGACCGGCAAGATCATACGATGGAGGATGGCGGGGAGGCCGCCCAGGCGGCGCTTGGAGAGGCTGGTCTCGGAAATTCAAACAGCGATCGAGATGCCGTAGTGGAAGACGCGTTGGACGACGCCATGGACACCACACCGGACTCGTCGCCGCAGCCAGAGGACCAGCCCTCTCAGCCAGGCCTGCAGCAGGCCCGGTCTACACCAGGCCCACACGATAACGATCCCCCCACGGCTTCAGCAGCGCTGGCGGCAAGAGGAGACTCACCGCCGCATTTGGAATCACCGCACACTCCTCGCCACGGCGTCGCCGAAGACGACGCGGTTGCAATCGAACCGTCGCAACCACCCTCCGCTCCGGCATCTGCGAGCCTGCCTCCACCAATGACGGGCAACGAAGAGGACGACGACAGTTCGTCGGTGTCAAGTGAGGAGGATCCACTTCAATGGCATGAGATCATCGAAGATACCTCAGTGCCGGACGAGGACGAGCTGAAAGAGATCGAGGCGATGACTGAGCACAGCGCTTTGGACGGTGCGTCATTTGTCCAGCAAGACCTAGCTGAAGACGCTGACAGGAAGCAGACGAATACTGGAGGAGGCGCACCTTCGCCCCTCTTCACGACCCCGAATACACGCCAGGTCCCAGCGGCAGCATCCGCTGGACCATCGAAAGGCTGAACGGGACGAGGGAGGAGCCGAACTTGGAGCTCCTCCTCGAGTCCGAGAGCGTCCAGATCGGCGACTACAGGTTCCGGCTGAAGCTGTACCCGAACAGCATAAACGAGTCTCGATATCTCAGTGTGTTTCTCTCATGTGACACGATGGCGGAGCTTAAGCCTTCGAAGCCACACGAGTTGCTTCCAAAGCCGAGGAAGAAGAAGAGCAAGGAGAGGAACAAGACGGCAAAGAGCAAAGAAAGCTCGACAACAGACGCTCAGGCCGACGCTTCTTCGTCATCTTCTAGACAGGAGCCCAAGCAGGAATGGCAGCACACGCCGCTCCCTCTGCTGGATCCAAAACGCATCCCGAAACGACCCAGCGTTGCCGCTCAGTTTTCGATCATCATGTACAACCCCGAGGAGCCACGCACGCACTACCACATGACGTTTTCGCATCGGTTCTGCCCAGGCGCGCCGGATCACGGAACTCCCCATTTCGGCTTCTCGAAGGCAGACGCGGCAATCCGACGCCGTCAGCAACGCCAGGCCATCTACAGAAATGACAAGCTTGCGTTCGTGACGCACATTCGCCTGATCAACGACGACACGGGCTGCTTGTGGGAGCGCTCGAATCGCGAAAACCCATACGACAGCCTGATGATCACAGGACTGCAGGGTATCTCGAGCCGCGGGTTCGGCATGTCGGGCGGCAACGTGATCTCTGCCATCTCGACTTGGCTACTCCTGATGCCGTTCAGACAACTTCTCTACGAGGCCAAGGCCCCAAACCCAGTCACAGAGTCGAGAGAGCGCCCGAAACCAATGCTCCTCGCTCTACAGAAGATCCTATACTGCCTTCGAACACGACCGGAGGGCGTTGGCAATGGGCCCTTTGCGCTTGAGGATCTTCTGGACGCCTTTGAATGGTACGCGATGGACAAGACAACCGACAAATATGACACGATAGAGATCTGGGAGATTATACGCTCGAAACTGGAAGAAGAACTGCGAGGCACACCGCACGAGAACCGTTTGGCCCAACTTTTCGGTCCCATGCGCAATCGCATGACGGGGGTCCCGTGCTACAAGGTCCCTGTGAAGGGCTCTGAAACCATGCAAAAGGCCATCGACAAGACAAGCAACCTAGTAGACGTCAACTCTGACCCCCCAGAAGTGTTGACCCTGGAGCTGGAGCGATACGTGTTCGATGAGAAGAAGCGAGCATGGCATAAGCTGTCCGAGAGACTGTCCTTGGATGAAAGCGTGGTTGTATGTGGACAAGAGTACAGACTGTTCGGCTTCATCGTGCACAAGGAGCACGCTCAGTCTGGCTACTACCATTCAGTCATGCGCCCTGACGGGCCCAAAGGCAAGTGGTACATGTATACCGATAACAAGGACGACAACAAGGTCATGTGCCTTACGCGCAAGCTTGCTGTCACTGATCACGAAGGTACAAACCCGAAGCACCCGAACAATGAACAGGCTCACGTGGCGTACGTTGTGACATATGTCCGTGGTGATGTCGCCGAATGGGCCTTCAACGTTGAGAATGAGCCAGAGTGGAATGTTCCGGATTGGCTCGTCGAAGACGTCAAGCACGAACGCGCGTTAGCGCATGACGTGGCTTGCGGCAGTTCCTTCGAGGTACCCGGTGCCATAATTGCGAATTTGGCTGCCGCCGAGAGTACGGACAAAGCCAAGACGAGGGACATACCTAAGGCGGAGGCGAAGGACTACGAGTTCTCTGTGATCAGCTCCAAAGCTTTCGAGGGGTACGAGGGCCCTGGCACGATCGACTTGTATGATTCCAAGTGGAACAACTCTCCGCATGTTTTCAAGGTCGTCCTCAGCGGACAGGCAGACGCTGTCGAGGCGAGGAACCAGATTGCAGCTGCGGTTGAGGGTGTCAAATCTCCCCATCAGTGCAAAGTCTGGATCATAGGCTCGCTGGACGGGACGCTGTGGCGACCCAACTTGATCACCACGGGCAGGAAGGATATTTCCGGTGGAAATACAAATTCAGACATCAACTGGACAGTGGACGAGTTGGTTCTTCGTGCACCGGAACGTCGTCTCTGGCTTCATGTCGTCGACGAGAAGGACCTACCACCTCAGCCTCCGTCCCACAAAACGCTGCAAGCAGGCTCCAGAGATGTCTCATCAGCAGATGGGCCCTCGTCCAATCAAGAAGCACCAAGCATGACCGCGAACTCGACATCCAGCACCATCGTCGCAGACCTTGAATCGGCCCTAAATCGTCCTCCGGTGGTGTCTGCAGCAGCATCGGAAGACACACCCATGGAAGGGACGGTAATGCCGGATCAAAGTGAACATGTGGAAGCGCCCTTGGACAATGCGCTGCCCCTCGCGCCTCCTGGTACCGCAGCAGATCCGTCGCCTTTGCTTCTCAACGTGGACGCAGACATGGGCGATGTCTCCGCGCTGCCTTCGATGCCGTCGGGTGATCTTCCAGACACAATAACAATCGATCGCAGCACCGGCTTGCCCGTCGTCAATCTTCCTCCTCCCATACACGTGGCTGTTCCACCAGTTGCAGATCAAATTTACTTCTTCTTGAAGACCTTTGATCCCAAAACGCAGAAGTTGAAGGCATACGGCAGCTACTTCGTGGAACGTCGCTCGCGCGTAGACAAGACGATCTACAAGATCATGGGGGTGGACAAGAACGAGAAGCGGCTGCAGTTCTACGAAGAGACCGATATCAGCTCAGCCCGCAAATTGCATACCCACCGCGACTTCTCGCAAGAGGATTTGACCAACGGAAGCATCATCGTCGCGCAATTCGAGCTGAAGGATGCGGAGAAAGAGGCGCTAGCATCTCGAGGTCTCTTCACCGATCCTGATGCCTACCTGCGCGCTCTAAATGAAGAACGTACCTTCCGTCACACAGCAAATGGCAGGTTCAAGATGGACTACTTCTCGGCCGAATTCTACGAAGGCGACATGCGGTACCACATACCGCACGGGCAGGGCCGGAAGATCGACCATCATTCCAACTCGTACACGGGCAGCTTCGTCATGGGGAAAAGACACGGGTACGGCTCCATGATCTACGCGAACGGCGACACGTACGAAGGTCAATGGGTCCAAGATCTCCAGGACGGCCAGGGAACCAGCGTCGAGCTCGAGACCGGCAACAAATACGTCGGCGGGTGGAAGGATGGCAAGAAGCACGGTGAGGGCATCACGTACTGGAAGATGGCCCAGGACGAGGGCCGCTGCTGCAGGATCTGCTGGTACAACGAGGCCGACATGGTCTTCGTCGACTGCGGCCACGTAGTCGCGTGCAAGGAATGTTCCAGAGAGGTCAGGGACTGTCCCGTCTGCAGACGAGGTATACATAAGGCCATCAAGCTGTACCTTTCTGCCTGAAATCGAACAGCATCGGACAAGAGATTTCGGCATCTGCGCGGGTGGGGAAAGCGAAAGGGTGAGATACAGCATGGTATTCATTGAATGTGGCACATCTCTTTTTGTACTCTTTGTACTTTTCTTTTTTTTTTTTTTTTCTTTTTGGAAAGGACACCCTTTCCAAGCGTGATCAAGGATAACTTTTTGTCGTTTTTGTACCAGCGCGACCCAACTTTGACTACACGGCAGGAGTTTGGGATTTATGCGGTTACCCGGATTTGTAGGCGGCGACGCGTCAGCCGCTGGCAAGTAAATATGAAAGGAATACCTAGGCAGCGAGAGACGAATACATTCCACACGGAAGAGAGAGAATGAATGGAGCCGTCTTCCTTTTTTTTTTTTTTTTTAAATTATCATCATCATTCTACTTACTTCATTGTTTGTTTCGTTCCTTCGCCCCGCACTTTGCGATCCAGCCTGTGCGATGTGCCACAGCAATACGGGCTACAAGCTGTACGGGTCTACACTCGGTCGCCGTCCACGGGCTGAGTGAGCGACACCAGAAGCGACCTTGCGGCAAGCCTACCGAGCCCCGTGGCAGTGGGGGATTATGCTACAACGAGGGGAAGAACCGGCGGCAAAGGCAACGTGCCGCCGCTCTTTGTTCAGAGATGATGTGTCTCCACGACCACCCACACACACGCAGGTTGTTTCTTCTTCTTCTTCTGCCTCACGTCTTGAATCTTCAGATTGCCGAATCATTGACTCGACTGTGATCCTGAAGGGAATCCCCTGAGGGGAAGAGGGTTAGAATGGATGTGATGTCGCCCCCTTTTGGGGGGGGGGGGGGGGGGAAGAGGAAAGGAAATGTAGAACGTTTGCGTTGCGAAGCACGTTGACGTCAAGTTCGTTCCCACAGGATCGGAAGCATCACGCGGATCTTTCCCTTTTTTTTTTTAAAAAAAAAAAGGAATAAAAAATAAAAAAGGTTTGGACGAAAGCGTTTGCCAACGTGTACACGGAAGGACGGCGCCTGGTGCGACCGCGGGGGTTTTGAGGCAGAGGACGATTCGAGGACGAGGAGAAATCGAGGGCAACGAGCGGGGGATCGTTGCGTTGCGATTGTTCCCCTTTTCGGCGCGGCTTCTCCCTTTATCCACGGCGGCCGTCGAACCTCTGTGTGGCCTGCTAACAGTCGAGCGGATGCAGCGACGGCCAGCGACGAAGATGCCCTTCCCTGGATGAAGATCTCGCCTTTTTTTTTGGACGCGGAGCTCAAAACGTAACGCTCCAGCTGGCGTCGTTCCGACCGTGGTCGTCGCCGGTGGAGCCCGGTCATCGATCAAACCCGTATCACTGCCTTGAGCGGGCACGGTAAGCGTGGTTCGTATTTCTCTTTTTGCAATTTTTCTTTACATTATGTACAGAGACGTACTTCGTACATTGGCCAAAAGCCTCCTGTGGAAGTGCAAAGTCTAGCCTCGGTATGGCTTCTGGCTTTTCCCTTTCCTTGGTCCGGGAATAGAGAGACTTGATCGAGTCCAGTTCCTTCTTTTTTGAAAAAATTTTTTTTGTTCAAATTCATTTCTTTCGACAGACGCAGGTAAGATGAAGCGTTCCTGACGACGGCATGGCGTGTTTGGGCATCTGCATTCGTGCAGACGCACGTGGCTAACTTTCCGTCTCGCCCTTGACGCGCATGAGTCGCCGCAACATTCGGTGCGTCGTTCTAGATTGTTCTCACGAGCCGTTCCTAGCTCTCTATACATGGCTTTCAACTGCATGTGCGTGGCAGAGACAACCTTTCTCAACAGAGAAATACCAACACCCTGCTCCGCACACAGACGACAGGATCTCTCCGCCGAGACGATGTCAACGCAAGCTCCCAGGCCGAGCCCCGTAGCGGCTGGATGTGAAGGAAAGAAGCCGATACAGATGCTCTCCAAGGTCTTGACGATGAGGCTGTAGACGCGGCACGTATCGACCCCATGGGCAAGGTCAGGGAGGAATTCCCGAAGGTGGAAAAGGGCACGCGCCCGCACAAGCGCCTCTGCACCCATGCGGATCCGACGAAAGTCCTTCATTGTATCCTTTTTTCCCTAAAGGTCAGATTGATATAAACTAGCCTCGGCACGCCTTCCAGCTTGGCTCCGAAGGGCCTGGCACGAAGCACCAAACGCACGGCCTTCCACAGAATGCACATGGAGAGGACTTTCTCAAGGACGGGGAGATCTGAGGGCGAAAAGGGGAGAGGGTGTTGGTGATTTGTATGTGTTCCGTTGGTGTGGGGAGGAGGCTCGAGGAGGAATGTTGCAAATGCGAGTGTGGGCAGATTGCCGAACGAACCGGCGCACGGAAAGGATGCAAAAGAGTCGCGGATTGTAAATGAAGAATAATTAGGCAAGTATGAAGCAATGAAAATCAGTGCATGCACCCCATGTAGCGGCATATTATGAGATCCAGGGTGGGGACCTCGGGCATGGGCCCTTTCTACTCATTTATTGCGGTCCAAAAATGAATATCCCGTGACGTGGCGTTCCGTAGCCATTGCTTGTACAGCACAAGCAGCTTAGCACGAGCTTTGCGGCTAGCGCTAGTTTTTACTCCACGATGCGTTTCAGAAAAAAAGATAGAATAGAGAGAAAAGCGAGAGTAGAGGACGGTGCGACGTGGGTCGCTGAAACCGTGAAGACATGCTCTGAGTCCTTCGACAGGACGATCGGACGGCCATGCGTCGTCTTCCTTCGCACACTCGCACACAAAATGCACGCACAGTCTTGTGTCTCTTGCGCCTCGCGTCCCAAAATGGCAATGTTCAAGTTGGGAATGCATGAGCTTGGAACCGTGCAAGCAGGTAACGTACGGCCTGCACGGCCAGAAACGCGCTAGGGCGGGTCCAAGCAGATCAGCTACTGCAGCGCGGAGTAGTTCCTACGCTATGTTGAGTGATGCACGTTCTGGTAATACGCAATCAAGGCACTTGATAACGTTAGATGGATTTTCCGCAGGAAATGCTGTCACGATTCGTCAGAAGTGTAGCAACGGCATTTTTGCACCCGAAGAGCTCTCAACCGGAACTTTGCGAGTACTAGGTGACTTTGCCGAAGCGAGCAACATGACGATCGCTACCGGGATGCGTCTTGGTGGCTCGGCGGGGCCTCGTGGGCTCGCTTTCGCAACTGTTAGTATCAATGTTTCTTTTTTGGTTTATATCGTTATTGCTATCATCACAGTGTTTCGTTCTTCGGGCTTCGTTGCTTTGGGTTCGAAACTGCGTGGCTGGGCGGGCCACTCCGCCGTGCCGCACAGGTCTGGTCCTCGTCTAGCTTGAGGCAGTGGCGACGTGTCTGGATCCGCTGATCTGTGGTTGAAACGTCGAAGACTGACGAGAGTCGTCCACAGCCAGAGCGTTTCTAAGATGGGGGAGGCGTGGCTATCGTAACCCAAAAAAAAAGGTAAAAATCCACAGCCCCACGATCGTTGACTGAGCGACGAAGAACAGGAATGTGCTGCACGCCACCAAAGGCGAAGTACATGCCAGTCCAGGCCCATGCAGTCTGGCTCTTAATCAAGTCGGCAAGCTGCAGTGTTTGCATGGCGAAAGCAGCGCGCTGATTCGTCGGGTTGGCCCATGACGACGGAGGCTTGGCTGGGGCAAGTGATGGGTGCTTTTGCGAAGAGCATGCATACTGTGGTAGGCCGAAGACGCAGACAATACAAGTACAAAACATGGATCGATAGAAGGGCTGAGAGCTAGCGTGTCTGGAAAGACTAAGCTACCACGCAGACTCCACCGCGAGACAAGACCTTGTTTGCGAGCAAGCCAGATAAGAGTGTGCCAGCAGAGAAACGTGACGTTTTGGAATGACGAGTAAGTTCGTGGACCACCGCTGCATGATCACCATCGGTGGAGCCCGGTTTTGGAGGCCTGAACGAAGCAGAATTCATTGAAAATTGTTTGCGTTATGCGTTCGTGCCAAGAAAGCGAGACAACGAATCGACCGTTCCTTATGACCGGGTCTCTCTTCGGTCTACAGTCAGCGCTTTGTGATCTCTGCTGCTCCAGAACATGGCAGAACACTTGGTGACTACGTAAGAACGCGAGGTCGGATGATTGCGTAGGTTCTTTTGAGCTGCACACGACGGGAGATTTGAGAAGCACCCTATGCCCGGAAGAAGAAAAGGTAAAAGAAAATAAGGAGAACGGAGGCGCACGAGCAAGAATGGGCACAGTACTGTACTGTGGTGTACTGTAGTGTACTGGACTGGACTGGACTAGACTGCAGCAAGGGTGGACGAGGAGTTCATGCATGACGAAGCGCAGTGCTGGGGCGTCGACCGCAGACAGGATGCCGAGAAGACGTGAAGATGATGAAAGCGCAAAGAACCGGTGGCGACGCAGGCCTGTACTGGGTTGGTTGTGTGCGTGTGCGCTGGCGAGATTTGCGAGCACATTCCGCGGCGAGGAGGCCACGATACGCGCGTCCGCCAAGGGGTCAGCTCACGGCGCGCAGCCCACGGTTGGTGGGTTTCGGTGGTGGTGGGCAGCGAAGGGACTGCCACTGGCCGGGTGCGTGCGAGCAGAATCCGGTGGAAACGCGCGACGCTGAGAAACTCGCCTTCCCATCTTTCTTCCGTTCGCTCTTCTGTTTTTCGTTTCGTTGGCGACCGTCCACAGCCTTGCGCGTCAGCCGGGCAGTCGGCCAAGTCGCTCAGGTCACTCAGGGCCAGTCAAGCGAAGTGGTCAGTCATCAGCCAGTCCGTTGACAAGCTCAGGCAACCAGCCAGTAGCAGCGGTTTGCGGGCGACGAGAAATGCATTTTTTTCGTCCTTACCATCGCGTGTAGCTCAGTCGAGAAGACGGGCCGAGCTGGGTACGGGCGCTGCAAATTGGGTGCTGGCCATCCACCCGCTCTCCGCCCCATGCTCGGGCAGGCGTGCTGGTGCCGATGGGGGGAGGGCGCAAGAGGGAGGAGGGCGGACGGGGACCAGCTCGACCTCGGTTGCCGCCGGCACTTGCGCCGGTACCATCACTCGCTGGGGAGGCCGGGGGCGTTGTCTGCGCACTCCCGCCCTTTGAACTTGTGTGTGTGCAGAATCCGGCTGGACATGCGGACGTGTGTCCATGTGTGTCTATGGTTCTGTGTGCGTGGTGATGGGCGTGCGGGCGCGGGTGCATGCGCCAGACTACTCGAACGCCGTGCGCCTCCCCCCGTCGTTCCCACTCCCTCCCTCCCCTGGGCGATGGCGACAACAAGAACACATTCCAGCACACTTGAGATCTTAACCGAGTTTGACGGGAGGTCCACCCGTCTAGCGTCGAGTTAAGCACTAGCACTGGCCCGGCTGGCCCACCAGGACGAGCGCAGCCAAGCCCAAGTGCGCGTCGGGCCCGGTCCAATGATCCCACGTTTCTGAGAGCGCACTCCTGTCCTCCGTTAGCCCCATCCTTAGCCGATTTTCTGCTCCCAGCCTGGAAAGCCGATCAAAGAAAAAAACGCCTCCCTCCTTCGTCCTGGCCGTGCCGTCGGTCGATTCCTTCCAATTCTCGCTCTCCTCCACGTCTCCCTCTTCTCTCCCCATCCTGCTGTTCTCCCTCTTCAGTGTGCGACCGTCGACTCACATTCGTTTGACACGATTGCTCGGTGGCTCCTTCCCTTGGGGCTACTCTCCGCTCGCCTGGTGCTCCTTCCCGTAATTTAATCTGCCTCGCCCTTATCTGGCCTCCGACGACGCGCCGCGACCTCACACAACGCACGTCCGTACTCGCTCACACACATTCACACACACCCGCACTCGCCCTCACCGTCCCTCTCGTTCTCTCAGCCGCAGTCGAGCACCTTTCTTTCCCCCTGTCTGCTACCTGTCACCTTCCCACGCCGCCACCAGACTCTTCCACCCCCCCGAGTCGAGAGCCGCTACATGATATCGTGAGACACGTGAATGGATACAATGCGAGGCGCATTGGCTCGGGTTGCGTCGCTGAACCCACTCAAGCTGCTGCCCATCAAGACGAACTTCAAGTACGAGCAGCTTCCCGGCTACGAGAGCAATGCTGGCTCTCCCTACTCCACCTTATCTCTCAAGAAGTACCGATGGCGATCCCCAAGTCCTGGAGGCGAACGCTTCCCTTTCAGCGTGCCGAAAATGTCTCTCTCGCGCCTCCTCGCCCTGATCATGGCCTCGATCCTGTGCGTCGGCTTGCTCGTCGCCGGCGGCTCCAAGTATCACGACAAGGCGAAGCAGAAGCCCAAGCCAGCTCCCAAGCAGGCCTACCCGTGGGAGAAGTTCCCTAGGTGAGTGTATGCGTAGCAAAGCCTCGTTCCTCTTCAACCCCTACCGTTGCTCCAGCTGCCGAGACGCATGAGTTGCGCGCTTACACTGTGGCAGGATGAACGGTTACTACAACGGCATCTCGACCCTCGTGCCAAAGTCCAAGTTGACGGACGAGCAGTCTCTGATGTGGGACAACATCACCGTTGAGGCGCCGCTGCTGGGCAAACCAAACACCCCACCTCCCCTTGACCCCTTTCCGTTCAACCCATATTCTGAGTACGATTCCGACGAGTACCGCAGGACCCACTTTGAGGTCAAGGAATGCTTCCTAGATGAGGCTGGAACTGTCAAGGTCCCCGATGTCTTCGCATACCCTGGTATCCCTCAGAACATGAGCAGGCCTTCATTCGGCTCATATGAACTTCTCGGTCTCAGAGATGACGTCTGCTGGGACCGCTTCGGCCGCTTCGGTCCTTACGGCTACGGCTACGATCCCGAAGAGGGCGGCCTTGGCTTGGCCGAGAAGTCGGAGAAGGCCGGTACCGACAAGGTCTTCAATTCCTTCCAAAAGGTCGACTGGAAACAGGTCGACTGGGGGATGGCGCAGGAAGCCTGCTACAAGAAGAACAAGCGACGTTTCGAGGACGAGAAGGCGCCAAGGGACAGGAACGACCGTGCTAACTGGAGACCAAAGAAGAAAGTTCCTCGTCAAGCTTACATCCTTCGATCCTACACTGGTTACAAGTATGACGATCATCAACTCTTGACCATCCGGGCCATGATCTCTGAACTGAGTCTGAAGACCGGTGGCGAATACGATGTTCACCTGCTCGTCCAGGTTCGTGATGATAGCATTCCCATCTGGACAGATCGTGAGGTGTACCAAAAGACGCTCGAAGAGAATGTTCCTGAAGAATTCTGGAGCATCACGACCTTGTGGTCCGAAAACCTCATGAGACTTTACTACCCAGCTCCGTTCCCAGACAACTTCGAGAATCCGTCCGGTCAGCCAATCCACGGCGTGTACCGGGGCGCTCATCTTCCGCTCTTCTGGTTCGCTCAGCAGCATCCAGAGTACGACTTCTACTGGAATTGGGAAATGGATCTTCGCTTCACCGGTCATTACTATGAGTTCAACAAGAAGATCACCGAATGGGCTAAGGCGCAGCCACGCAAGGGTCTGTGGGAGAGAAGCGCGCGTTACTACATTCCAGACTATCATGGCTCGTGGGCCGACTTCGCCAAGGCCGTCGAAGAAGAAACCTTCTTGGATCCGGATGGTCCAATCTGGGGACCTGTGAACTTCCCCAACTCCGGCATGCTTGATCACCCGAACGGGACCACCCCGCCACACTCGTATCTCGAAGACAACTACGAGTGGGGAGTGGGAGAAGAGGCCGACTATCTTTCCTTCAACCCATTGTTTGACCCCTCGAAGACAAACTGGGTGTTCCGCAATGACGTTGACGGCTTCAGCAAGGCCCATCCCATCCCTCCAAGACGTGTTGCGATCATCACCGTTGCCCGTCTGTCGAAACGACTCCTGGATCTTGCGCATGCAGAGACCTACAAGATGCGTCACACAATGTTCCCAGAGATGTGGCCACCGACCATTGCGCTCCACCATGGCCTGAAAGCTGCTTACATCCCTCACCCTGTTTACTTCGATCGCCTGTGGCCGCTGGACTACATGGACCAAATCTTCAACCGTCCCAAGAGACCAGAGGACAGTGTCTTCGGCTGGGGCGAGCACAACCAGCTTGGAAGCACTTTTTACTACAATTCTGGCTTTTCGGGAGCTCTATGGAGACGCTGGTTCGGCTACAGAGAAAACAAAGAAGGCGGCAGTTGGCACGAACTCACGCAGTCCGGTCGCATGTGCCTACGATCGACACTTTTCCACCCTATCAAGTGGGAACGAGGCCCGACGGAATGAACGGACCGAGCTCACGAACAACCTAATATATTCTTCCGGACTTTTTTTTCCGAACACGCGAGCTCTACACTTCGTACACACCGAAAAGAAATCATCCATTTTCCTTTCTGTATATAAACGGCTATCGATCCGACACGACGTAATGCGGGCGATCGATGTTCTTCAGTCCATCCCTGACATCGCGCATTGAACTGCTGCTTTTCGATTTTTTATTAGAAAGAGACGTGGCAAAGCGAATCGTACACGCTTTCCCCCAGAAGAACAGAGTGCCATCTCTCAAGGTTTCTGTTCACTGACGCGATTTTTTTACATATTTTGGGAGGGGTCCATTGGGCGGCGTTGAAAGTATGGAACGGGGAGTGCTTCGCGTTTTATTTCCGTTCCCACGGTTTGTTTTACGGGAATAAGGAGAAACCGCCGTGAATGGTTTCTTCTCTTTTTGACTATGTTTTCCTTTTATTCGATGGTCCCCCTCCTCACATCTTAATAACAGCGTTCGACACATGTTCCACGCAGGAAAAGCCATTGTAACATTTTTCTTTTTCATGTCGTTCCTTTCCACAGGCTAGCGGGGCAGCATTTTTGCATTGTATCACCCAAACTGCGTCAGATCACGAAGCTCAAGAACATTCGCTCTACCGGGACTACCACGACATCAGCTCTGCGAGTTGTAGAAGGAGGGTCCGTATTTTTGGTTTTATTCTGATGGGTGGATGGTCCGATGGAGAAGTTCGTATGCGAGCCGCCGATTACACTGCACCGTCAATGCCTGTATCAAGACACTTGGCTTGTAGCAGAGAAAGACTCGGGTTGGACGGCATTTGGAAACACCGTGGGAATTCAAATGCTGCGTTTTAGCAAGCAATATACAGGCTTGCGATTAATCACGCGAGATGGATGAGGCGCTGGGGACACTGTCTTTCCCAGAGTAACAAGGGTTTAAAGTCGCTTGAGGCATGTATAGACATATGTAGATACTTTCCCACAACAAAAATCTGAAGCTTACTCCAAAGTAAACGCTCGGAAAACATAGGTACGTCGTGCGTAGTGGCCTGCCGTTCATGCCAACAGTTATCAACATCCAATCGTGAATGCATGTAAACCAATGGCTGATTTTACATCTCCTTGGTCGTCGCACACATGTCGGAGGTCTGTTCCGATGGCCACGGCGAAACCCTGCTGTTCTTGTTCACCGACTGCCTCCGGTAAGGTATCTGGACCCTTTGCCTAACCTGGCTCACCAACCAACTCGCCAGTCCCATAAATTTCTTGACAGACCGCGTTCCAGGGAAAAAAATTCCGCTTCACTTTGCTCCATTCCAACCATCGGTACGACAGCAAGCATTTTATCGACGAAGCAACAAGCATGACAACACTTCCATCGACCAGCAACTCACACGTCGTTTCCTTTGTTCTCGTCTCCGTCCGTTCGAGTAGTAGTAGTAGTCTTGATTGTTAACCTCTGTGGAGCGTGACAGACAAGGAAGAGACCTCAGAACAGAAGGAGCTTGGAGACGTGAAGGAGACGAAAAAAAATAAAAAGGCCAGTCGTTCGGCAAGCCCGCAAGAAGCGGATTCTCATAGGGGTGGTACCGGCACTGTCAGCATAGAGAGTCGTCTTTGTCTTATCTACGTGAAAAAGCTCTTCTTTTAACAGGCCCAACCGCTATACAACTTTTCGCCCGTCCAGCCCCGCCCCATTAGCCTTCCAATCGATCTCCAACTCGTAACTTTGCTCTTACTCCCTTGACCGTGAACAGCGAAACAAAAGGGGAAAAAATACAACAAGGGGGAGAGGAGGACAGTCCGTCCGGTAACCCGTGTGAAACTAGGGTCTCAGCAATTTGCAGTCTCGCTGAGCTCTGGACGCGAGCTCTTCTTCTTCTTTGCTTGCGGGCATGGCCTCGACGACGTTTCCGGCCTCGGACCTGTACGCATTGCAGGAGACACCGTCGTCCGGGCGGGGCGTCTTCGCCACGCAAGCCTTGCGCGCCAACACCGTGCTCTTTAAGACGGACCTGCTGCCAGCGTACGTCGTGTACCGCGAGTACAAGCGCGAGGTGTGCGCGCACTGCTTCGCGTACGACAGCTCGCGCGCACACAAGCTCAAGGTGTCCGAGACGGGCCACTCGTTCTGCAGCAAGGACTGTCTGCGCACATGGAAGGCTGAAGCCGGTTCCGTCGGCTTGCAAGCGTGGGCCGCGCTCGAGACATTTATCAGGGGTGGCAAGACGGGGAGGTCGAGCGGGCCGATGGACGGCAACGTGTACGACACGCTTCCGGACGAGGGGGCGACACGGCCGTCAGCGGACGAGATCAGGATCGCGTGGGAGCAAGCCGAGCGCACTGCGGAGGCGATCCGCAAAGCGAGGGACGGCTCCAAGCAAAAGGTGCACCGAAAGGCCTTGCAGTCAACGCTGTCGCTGCAGATGTACCCCGACACGCTCACCTTCCTACTCAGCGGTGTCCTCACGATATCGAGACAGGCGGAGTCGCAGGACTGGCAATCCATCCTCGACCTCGTCGCCGACGAGACGCCGTACGCATCCCCGCAGGACCTGGCCAAGAACGTGAGATCGTACCTGCACTTGCTGTGCGTCCTGCCCACGGAGCTGCTGCCCCACGTCACGGGCGCCAACTGCCTCACGCTCGTCTCGCGCGACTCCCACAACTCCTTTGGCATCCGCAGCCTAGACGACAACGGGTCGGAGATGTTCGGCTTCGGCGTCTGGCCTACGGCCTCGTACTTCAATCACTCCTGCGAGCCCAGCGTCGCAAAGAGACGCGTGGGCCGAGCCTGGGAGTTCTGGACTGCACACGATGTCGAAGCCGGCGAGGAACTGTGCATCAGCTACATGGGCGGCGACGAACAGGACCTGAATCTGGTTGAGAGGCGGCGACGGAGCGAAGAAATCTGGGGGTTTCTGTGCGCGTGTTCGAAATGCATGTGCGAGGAGGAGGAGCTTGAGGAGGCGACCGTGGGGAGCGACGGAAGTCGATGTTGATTTCAATACCGTTACTCTCTGAAGGAAAGGGAACTTGTGTCGGGGAGGATTTTCTGCCTTCATAAAAAATAGTGAAAAAAAAAAGAAGAGACTTGTGCACACTTCCGCTTCCAGCGTGGCGGATGAAAATTGAGAATGAGAAACTTGCCCCAGACGAAACTAGGCGCGTTTATGAATTGCGTTCATCGCCCGTCTCTCATGTACATGACATTGCCCTGTTTGGTTCTTTGTAGTGTTGAAGTGCTGCGATTTCACCTTCCCCTGCCACTCCTTCCCGTCCTCGGCTTGGGAAACTCCAACGGTAACCTCAACTTTGCGACTCTATGTGCTGCTGCCTCCTTGCTGTTGATCTTCCACATATCTCTCTGAGCCGCCGTCGGGGCGCTGACACGACAGCCAAGCTCCTGGAAGTATTGTTGCATGGTGGAGGGATTCAGGCGTAGATCCTCCTGCAGGTCTATCGTATCGAGCTCGAAGTTGTCGATATGTAGAGCAATGGCGCACGTGTGCAGTATGAACTTGTCGACGTGCCATTTGGTCATCTCCCTAACGAGCGTTTCTCGTCAGCACTCGGGTCTTATTCCCGCCTGCAGAAAATCCTGTGTCGTTGGGAGCGATACGACTTACCTTCCGTCGGAGAATTTCTTGCGCAGCGACTCGAGGATGGCACCGGGGGCGTCCACCTTCTCCTTCAGCTTCTCTCTTTGCGGAATCCTCTTCCCGCTTCGATTCGAGTCCAACGCCATAAACCACACAAGCATGATGTTGAGGTACTTGAGCAACTTAAGGTTGTTCGTGTCTTTGCTTGAGGCCACCTTCTGCAAACGCCTCGCGACATAGCGCATCGGCAGCTTCATGTTCTTGCCCTCCTTGGCGGATGCTTGCCAGTCACGAACTTGAACCAAGGATAAATCGTCTTCGCTGACCAAACTCGTGACAGGGTACGCGTCCTTTGGTTTGGTGGCCTCCATGTTTGGATCCGGTCGCGGCTTTGCCTTGTTGGATTCCACCTCCCTTTCTTCAGCCGTCATCATGCCATCCGTTTTAACGTTCAGCGTGTCAAGCATGGCCAGCTGCGCGGCATCGACTGGTGGTGCCGTTTCTCCAGGCCTACTTTGAGCGATCGCGTTGACCGTCTGGTCAGCAATGACCTTCTTTGCTTTCTTGGTGCCAAACTCTTGTCCCAGAGTTATACGCATAGAAGCGTAGGTCTGCCTCTCACGGTGTTCTGCGTCGTCAAGCTCTTCCTGCGTTTGACGCAGTGTGCTTCGCAGGGTGACCTTGTGACATTCAGTGATGGTGAATTCACCCGCCGAAGGGTCAAAGACTCCAATGTAGTGCCTCATATTACCCTGTGGTCCACCGGACTGCTCTTCTTGCGCTATGAAATCCAGTCGGCCGTGTTGTGAGCTCTGAAGAAGAATCTGTCGCCGCTTCTTCTCCGTCGACTTTGATACTACAGTCCTCCGCCATGGCGTGAACGTAATGCCCTCTGGTGCGGATATACCAGGCGTAGCAGCTGAAAAGTAGCAAGTGTCAATAAATACTGCCGTATATATTACAATCTCCCTCAACTTACCAACAATCGGACCCAAAGCATTCTCCTCCGGTGTGACGTGCTTCACCTTCACACTGGCATAACGCAATTGCGCACCGGTTGCCGCCTTTTTGCTCGAGCCGCCCTGAGCCTCATTCTGCCTCTTTCGCTTTTTGCTCTTTTCCTGTTCAGTCATGTTGTCTTTTGCCATATGATCGGAAATTTTCAGGCTCAGCACGAAATGTTCAAGCCGTGAACTTTTTTTCGGAACAGGTTTAGCGCAAGAATCACACCAACTGTCCGTGCTTTCTACCTCGCCTACATTTCAGTCTTGGCATCGTAACATCATAGCCCAACTAAACTGGTCCTTCTGCGAAGATCAATGTATACTCATGCCTTGGGATTTGTGCAACCTACTGCCGTACAAGATTCCGATGCCATCTGTCCTTGCTAGTATAAAAGAACAGAGTGGCAATCGTCGACGAAATGGTCTGCTATGCATATCTCTCTTAGCATTGAAGCAAGTGCGTGTCTTTAATCATTCAAAGCAGAATCTAGAATTGATTTCATAGTCACCGAATGCAAAAACATACAACTTACACGCTTCATTCTCTTTGGTTGCGACTTCAGGTTTTAGATACGTCTCAGAGTCCAGGTAACATGCATAATATCCATAGTCGATCTTGCGTTTGGATAGCTTTATTTTTACAATTTCTACGATCAAATTCTACCAAATGAGCAGCAAGCATGCGTCCGTTTGCACAGATCGCTCAAATCCTTCTTTGGCGATTGTCGGTGCTTCCCCATATCGTTGTGGGTATTACATCGCAGCATGCACGTCTAAGGCGGAGCACAAAGTGTGCCCAAGGCAAAGCTACTCTAAAGTTCCAGCCTTGCATTTCCAGACAGTGACGCAAGCCTTAAACCGATCTCTCCTGCACCTCGAACGTTCATAGTAACAATTTCTTGTTCGAAAGCTTCGAGCTTGAGATCCAACCATGAGAGATATCATCGAGCACAAGCAACACCTCGTCAGCTTTGGACGTTACCGCACGAGTCGTGGGCCTCGAGCGATGTCTCGTCGCGATTAGCGTTTTGGTAGCACAATAGCTTCTGCTGCGAATGAGCTTGCTAGACGGCTATACAGAGAAGGGATATCGACCTTCGAGCTAGATTTCGTCCAGCAGCTCACAAGAGATTTGACGTACACAAACCAACACGGCCTCAAATTTCGCGACAATCTGCTCAAAGCTCCCGGGAAATTGAAGCTCGGTGAGCTGCTCTTTGTCCGCCCAGGCACGATTGGACCTACCCTGGCCTGTGGCCCCTTTTGCTATCTGGTTACCACTGCATCGTGCTTAATTGTCCGTCATGATATTCACTGTATCTCCCACGTTATCTGCAACACGGCCCTCGATGGTAGCAAGTTGCACACTGAAACAAGTCTTCACTGCCCATATTATATCTGAAAGCCACGGTCACAGCCGGTTGCGCAGAATGTTGTGGCGAGTAGTGCCTTCAAATGTTATCAATTGTGGTATAATGTGCACACCATGCACGCAAAGCTCATGATTTATACGCACATTCACTTCCAAGCACCACCTTTCCAGTTGTTGTAATAGTGATTCAACAATCATGTCATGACAAGTTGGCATTTTTTTTCTTTGATCTGCTCTCACAGCTACTCAATCATTGGCAAGGTATGAAGAATATTTCCAGGTCTTGATAATAGCATCTACATGAGTGAACTTGAGCTGATCATGAGGCTAAAGTCGCATCGCGGCGATACCTGCAGGTTAAATCGTGATCGAGGCTTTATTTGGTGGAGACTTTAAACAAATTTGTCTTTGCGATCGAGAAAAAGTACAAAGCTCGGGAACGGAGCACAGTCAGAGAGATGATAGAACAACGGTCGCTTTCGTTATGGAAAACCTGACCCACACCATTATTATGGACAATTCCATCCCATCTATCATTCATCAAACTGTGGGATTCCCTATTATTCTATACAGGGCCTCGAAAAAACTGCTGCTTGGGAGCTGCATCACCAAGCGGCCTAGAAGGCTGGGAGAGGTGGTTTTTGGACGAGATTCATTATGTAGCCATCTGCCTATACCTCTCATACATCTTTCAACTGTTTAATGGATGTCTCTATAGCTCGAGAAAGGAATTCAGGGGGGCAATACGTTTTGGAGCGCTTGTATCGGGGACGAAGTAATTGACTCTCGAAGTATTAAGTTCTGTCAGATTTTGTTCCTTCGACCCGCCCTTTTACAGATGAATTTGGGAAGTCAAGGGATCCTATTGTGGTAAACAGACTGTCATCAAAATTATGAGGCCCTGCGAATGTTTACATGGAATTGTCTCCTCCTGTGTCAGCGCTCTTTAGTAGAGTAGGAAATTCATGTCGACGTGTCGCATGCCAGAATGGAAAATTTGGCTTTAAAAAGCCATGTTACTACTCAATCAGGTTTGTATCAGGCGCATTCATGATTGTTGTTGCCCATGCTATCGCCGATAGTTTCGGTGTTGAAGATGCATTGGCGTACGGTGATAACCTAAGGTTAGTTCAGGCGATGATCGATCTGATAATGACCTGGTTGTATTATACTGGATCTCGTGGTATTTGTGGTCCAAAGTTGCGCGCTCTGAAGCCCTAGTTTACACACTGCCGGTGGGCATAAGCAATAGCGGCCCGGGTTTAGTCAGAAGTGGTGATATACTAGATGGCGATTCTTCGATAGCGGCTGTACAATTCGGCCCGTAATTCGCAATGAAATGGGTTTACAAAAGTGTCAAAGAGGACAATCTTTGGATGTTTTGGACTTGACATGATAGGGGGCCAATTAGCAGGAATCCCGACAAGCGTACCATCATACACGCAGAGGGGACAATTGATCCTCCAAGCGTAATCATCAGTAAGTCGTCGGAAGAAATTTTTTGAATCTATGCTCGGGAAAATATTGACAGATTCTCTGATGTGCTTGAGGAGGATCTCAAAGTTGAGGTCGTATTGATCGTGCCTGGAGTGTCAAAATATCATCTGCTTACGTTGCTGGTTTTCTATCCATATCTACAAACAGTAGAACCGGCGCAAGTGCTGTGGGAGGTACTCGCGGCGGCTGATTTCCAGTGTTTGCATCCAGACGATGGACAACATCAAGTTGAACCTCTTAACGAGCTTGTATCTGTCTGGATATCAACTGAGCTTCTGGGACACTTGGACGGAAACGCGAATTCGAAAACGCCCGCAGAATCTGCAAACATTTGTGACGTTGTGGAAGTTGTGACCTGCAATCCATCACTAAAGGTCAACATAGCCTTGGCTGTAAGCCCTCGTGGTGTTACCTTGCTGGATCGCATGTCGTGCTGCCTTGGCTCTGCGATTGAACCGAGATATTGATAGGCCTTCTGGGGATGGAAGCAATCGAACATGCCACATCGCATTGAAGACGTACGTAGCGAGCATCTAGCCATAGGCAGAAGGGATACTTAGAAAATTTGGAGAACGCATCCGTCTCCAAGTCTCGAGTCCTCATAGGCACTAAGTCGGTCTGGTCGTTTTCGAATTCTCCAGATGCTCGCCTCCTGACAGGCTTTTCGCTATCGGCTTTTACGAACAGTTCCTCGTCGCTGACCACCACAAAGCGAGTAAGTCAGGTCATCTGTAGAGCCAAAAGTATAATTTCAAAATAATGTGCGGTACAATAGAGCCTTCATAGCTTGAGTCGGATGCATATTGCTAGGGCAACGCAAGCAACGTACAACTGCAGAGTAAAATGTGAAAAAAAATCCCTTCAAGCCCTGTAAGTTCATGACCTTTGCAGAGAGTGACAGTCAGACCTCTGGATTTGCTACCCATGCCACAGAAGAGCCATTGCTTGCGCGGTGAAGGACCCAATTTTGACTATATTGCACCTTGACTTCTGACGCTCCTCACTTCATGGTGGCAGTATTGTCTTGGGTGTGTTCGATAGCTCCTGATCAACAAACGCTGAAATTTCGTCTTTGTCAGCCACACTGGCTGGTGAACTTGGCTGTGCATTATACCGCAAAGAATATGAGAGTATCATGAGGCAGCATGTCGCCCTGACTCCAGTATGCCAGCAAGAAGAACTTGTCGACGAGTAATTGGGGCATGGGCATCTTGCTCGTTACTCAACCACTCCTGCTAGACTTAACCATCGGCAAGCACTGTGAAGGATGGATTAGGGCTTGATTTGCGGTTCTATGGGAGCCTCGATCGACTTCGCTAAAGCAAGCCCGATTCGGCTGCTTGCGTCCAATCAGTCTGCGGCGGCGCAACCCACGTCTATGTTTAGCGTGTGCTAGCCAGCAATTCATTGTGGTCGCAATTTGATTGAGACGTTTCTTACCGAGTACTATACGGCGTTGTGCTGGCTATCTTTGAGACAATCTTCACCCGTGCATACGCCCAAGGCGCCTTCTTTTCGATGAAGTCTTGACATCTTCTTCTCAAGAGCCAGGAATCTCGAAGCAAAGCGCAGGGGAGAGATCGCGGGCTCCCTTGCACAGCCTTCAGGAACAGGTTAAATCTGCAATCTGCAGCTCCATCCAAGCGTCTCGTATAATCTCCCCTCGTGCCTCGAGCCCGCACCGGTCAGTCGGCAGAAGCCTTCAACTTCTCCTCGCCACTCAAGTAACGTCGTCCTCTTCTGAACATCTCCTGGGCAGTTCGCCGTACTTGCCATGTCTTCTCTCGTTAAGAAAGGTTTCCAGCTCGGCAAAGCTGTGTACGCCACCGTCAATGAAGAGTTGAATAAACAGTCTCATAAGCCTCATCAGTCGCATCAAGGCAACTATGCGCCGACTCAAATTCCTGGGACGTACACTGCCCAGGGACAAGGTCCTCCGCTTCCTCCACGACCTGTGTCGAGCACACCAAGCCCGCATAGCTATGGAGCACCTCAGGGCTACGGTCCACCTCCAGGATACGGTCCTCCATCGGGCGCTCTCCAAAGTGCGCATACACCACCAGCAAACTCGCCATATACTCACCCGAGCCACCCTCCCCATGCGCAATCGCCGCATAATCAACCGAGTCATATCCCAACCCAACCTCCAGTACACAATCACAGTGCGTATACCTCGCCATACTCTACTCATCAACCTCCTACGCCGGGAACAGGCCAGCCACACGTGCAGATGGCGCCCCAGACGACCGGCACGATTCTGTCCGGATCGTCTGCGACAGGAACTCCAACCCAATGGACGCCTGCTTCTCCTCCGCCAACAGCCGTGAGCCCTCTCGTGCCACACAATCCATATTCTCCTCCGCCACATTCCAATGCGCCCACACAGCCTGTTGCATCGCCTCACACGGCGCCTCCAGTATCTTCTGCACACGTATATCCTCTCCAGCATGGCCCCCATGCACCGAGCCCTCCCCTCTCACCACCACCACCGGTAGTTTCACCTCCGCTAACCTCGCCATACGGTCCGCAAAATACGGCTCCTCTCTCGCCCGCTATGTCTCCTTCCTCATTACATAATAGCAACTACCCAGCACATCATCCAAATATACATGCGCCAAGTGCTTCGTCCGGATTCCCACCGCAGCCTGGACCTATGAACCAACCTTTGCCTGCCCCTCATGTCCAGACGCCAACATCTCCAGTATCTACCGTACCGTCTCAAATACCCCACCCTCCAGCGTTTGTGTCCGAGCTACCTGCATTTACCGAACCTAGACCTCCCCCATCAACGTACTCAATGCCAGAGGGAGTGGCAGAGTTGCCAGCAGAATTGCCAGCAGAGCCAGACACGACGTCTGCTTCTGCTGCGGCTCCAGCGCAAACTTTAACTCACCCCTCTCCAACTGCAACACCTCCTGCTATTCCTGCTTCTGCCATCACTCAAAGCAACTCAGTAGAGCAGCCGAAACCTGTGCATCCACCAATTCAACATCTTGAGCACTTTCCTCAAAACCAGGCGCACAACCCACAAGATATTTCATCATCGTCAGCCCCAGACTCCCAAACTCCCCCAACGGGCAGTTACCAGCCCTATCACCCGCCCCATGCTGCGCTAAATCCAGAGCATGCTCCAACACCTCCGTACAATTCTCAAGCTGGCTATGTGCCCTACTCGCCAAGTCCTAGCCAATATGGACCTCAGCCTCCAGCTCAGACTTATTTGAACTCGTCAGCACAACATCCAGGGGTGCCGCAGAAGATGGGTTCACTGGCCCAGAAGATACAGCAGATGAACATCAGCAACCCCCAATAGTAGTACTTATATCAATCCACGGTGTCGTTAGATACAAAGACATCTTAGGGTCCTGCAATGGGACAGCAAGTTTTGAATAGCTATGCACCCGCTGGTCCTCAATTGCCCCATGGGCCCCAAAAATATTCTCTCGAGACAATGGTGATAAAGTTCTTGGACGGTACGAGATAGCCTTTTATTGAATGGCGTTATGATACCCGATAAAACATGTAGGGTGAATTTTTGTCAATGGCATTGAGATTTTGAGGTCACGTACATACGACTGGAGACACATTAGTCCGGATGAGCATATCCCACGTCGCCGCTTTCACGCCCCAAAGTCACAAGTCGAGCTCGCATGCTCTCAGCTCGCTGCCTTGTCCTTTCGGACAAGCCGTCGAAATCTACCTTGTCCACCCACTCTCCAACGCCGTGCTGAAGCACATTCCTCGCTCTGTGGCTGGAGCCTTTTACATGCCCAACGCTGCCGTGCAGCGTCATCCTCTCGATCTTGCTGTCGTATACGCCTCGGTGTAGAATGTTATTGTTATAGAATACTACGTCGCCCGCTTTCATGGCCACAACTTGCTGGCCGGGCATGAACTTGGTGAGCGGGTCCGCTTTTCTCTCCGCGTCTGTTCGCGCACGACGGTGCGAGCCGGGCACGACGATGAGACTGCGATCGTCGTACAGAGCTAGGTTCCACTGCGCGTGCCAGCTGGGCTCTCGCAGCCTCTGCATCTCCTCTTCTGCCGTCGCTTCAGCGCTTATGTCGTCTCTGTGCCACCGCAGCGCGAAGTCCTCGTCTGGCCGCACCAGCAGATTGTACAGCTCCATGATCAGGTCCTCGTCTTTGCACCCCAGGATCTCTTTGATAGGTTCCACAATCGCGTCGCCGAAGTAGCTTTCGGCGAACTCATGCGATCCGGGCATGGACGGGTGGAGAAGGTGTTGGACGCCCCATATGCCATGAGAGGGATCCGAAGGCCAGGGCGGAAACTGCTTGGGAAGTGTTCGAATGAATGGCCATTTCCCACTGCGGGCCAGCTCCGTCGAGTGCCGACATGCATTGCGCAAAGACGTCAACTGCGGCGCCTTTATCAACGACGGGATGAGAACGAAGCCGTCGCGCTCGAGCTTCTCGCGCAGGTTCAAAGATGCGACAGATGTACTGCGCGGGGGCGCTTGCCCTTCTTCGGAGTTTACTGCGGCGGGGAACAGAGCTTTGGTCGTGGTAGCTGTGGCCGACATAATGTGTTTTGGTTTGCGACTAATCCGCGACGATGATTGATGTTTGTTCTATCGATACAAGGCACGGAATTTGGCAGGGGGTGTGGTTTAATGCTGGCAATGTTCCAGTTGCATTGGTCTGCCGTATATCATGTGCACGAGACCGCCATCTGCTTCTGCGTGACGTAGCTGTGAGTATGCGAACCGCTCACTTTATCGACCTGCTACGTAACTGTTCCTCAAATCGCGTAAGATGCTTGGGAAATACCCTTAGTCGTCCACCAAGTGGCGAGTTAGCTGTTCTACGTGCTTCCAATGTCATGTAGCATGCGTGGCCTGTCCTTTTCGTTTGAGCTTAACGAACCTAGCACCAGTCCCACCTGTTCAGACGTTTTCGCTGGTTCCTAATGCACAGCTAGATTCAATATAAGAAAAATGACATAGAGGCGAATAAAATGTAACCGGGATTTGCATCATTGCCCTGATTCTACTGCACCACACGCACTTCTGAATCAGAACCCATGTATCTCCACGAACATGTTGGAAAAAGGTTTTGACGGCAAAATCGAGGAACGGGTAGATAACATTCGATCCCATGCCCCTCTGATTCTTTCGTGTTCCGATGCAAATCGAATTCGACTCTGGGTAATCTCAGCCGAGAATTGCGGACGCCAGACATAACATGGCCTTTTGGCTGAGCTTTCACACTGGTTCGAGAACTTGTTCCATATAGAAACACGCGATTATTTAGCCGAGACATGTCTACAAATACGAGACTAAATTGAGCAAGCACGCGGTTGCACCCTTCCAAAAGAAATATTTTCTTTCGGTTGAATTCAGAACCGCATGCGTAGCTATATTATACATATCTCCTTATTCGTCCTTCCATACGTCGTATGAGATCTTGAGATAATATAATTCTTATAATAAATGTTCATATCTTCCAGAAAATTCTAGTTTCTCCGTCGACATGAGCGATTCGCAAATTCCGTACGGGATGGAAGATCCCTCTGTTTCCGCACTCTTAAGACCGGCCTTGCATTCAGAGCCACTGGTAATGACGATGTTCAGACCTAGCGAATGAATGACCACACGTCCTCGTGTCTTGATAATCACGAGGCATCGCTAGCGACTTTGTTGCGCCGCTTTTGTGTCCATCGATTGTGCTTGCTCTCTGCTCGCATTGTTCAGCAAATCTCAATGACGATGGGCGCGAACGGCCCTAGCTGTGTAACACTGATGTGATTTTTAGTTGCTAAAGAAAGAACATGAAGCAGGCCGTGAGCCGCCACGACACGAGAGTTCCTGTGAGGAGGTAGCAGCTCCGCAAACTCAATCTCCATTATACGCGCAGCTGTCGAGTCAGAAGCTTGGACTTTCGAACACTTCTCTTCAACGGCGTTGCCAATAAACTCGAGGAAATTGTTGCTTTCGCGGTCAAGGGTTGCTAGAGGAAATATGCTTCGACTGGCAACTGGAGTGCCAACTTTGGTATGAGCGCGATATAGCTCCGAATTTTTGTCCTCAGCAAAACCACCTATATCATCAAAGCCAGGAGGATCGCTTGGTAGGCTTCCTTCCGCAAAATCGCTGCCAGGAAAACCACGAAATACCATAGGAGAGGCGCCTACCAACCTGCTGCCGCGACGAGTAAGAGAACCAGGAATTGAACCCGGAGCAACAGATGCACCTACTCCAGTACGGTTAACTGAAGAGCCACGGATCGAAGCAGATATATTCCATGGCATAGCAGAGGAGATATCTTCTAGAGGTTGCTGTTCTTCGCGTCCTACCTCCAACTCGTAGTCGCGCATAATTTCATCGTCGCTGCCCTGATTGAGAGGTATATTTTCATGCACCCGCGAGCGAATACGACGCTCTGGTGAACTATTATCGTATTCTCTCGTGCGCTTACGGCCTTTCATAGCCCGCTCCTGACCAGTAAGTACTAAGTATAGGTTGTCACCTGACCAAATATCTGCCAGCGGAGTCTTGATACCTCCCACACCCATTCTATCGCCAACGTTTGCAATACCTCGACCAAGTAGCCAGTATTCAGCGTTCAGTTTGGCCTGTTTTGTGTTCCATAAGTTCGTAAGTCGGTTCCAATCTGCAGTCATTCGATCCATGTAGCCATTGCTCATCGTTAGCAGGTCACGGTTGCGCAATTCGATCGTTTTGTCTGGTGGGATAACTTTTGGTACGCGATTTCGGCGATTGGGGGCAGCCATCATGATTTCATCCATGAAATCATCCGACACATCGTATTTCGGGTGATAGCTACCTGAAGAAAAGGGTGTTTTTGGAGATCGAAGAGTACTATCAACAAGTGGAGAGCTTTGATCGTAATTAATCTTGCCATTGATTGTAAGCACGATAGGCACATTTATGTCCAGGTGAATTTCTTACTTGTGCTGCATCTAGGTTGCGATGAATCGGGCGGCCAATAACATGCCCGCCATTTTGCACATCCGCCTCTCTGGGAAGCAATGGAAAACTAGAACCATGCGTAGGACGTGTATTAGGTTTGTCCAGTTCGATAAAATTGCCGTCCGTATCGATGCCAATATCAATTTCAGGGAGAATTAGGTCATCTTCATCACGCGCAAATAGACTACTGAATCTCGGCCCATGGCCTCCACTTTCTGGTAGTTGAAAGGCTTCCAACCCGGGTGACGAAGAAGATTGTGGAATATTAAGACCAACGACTTGATGGTTCTGGCTCTGTGTGGTCTGTAAAGACGCACTCTCGAAGAAACGCCGTTGGTTTCCTGCACCAATATTATCGAGGTCGAGTAGATCGCAGGGTAGAGCAGCGATATCAAAGCCAGGGACAAATGCTGGGTCATCGGGAAGGTTGATTTGGTCTGAACTGCATCGAAAAGGATGAGTTACTAAGTGATGGCTGCTCTCACGGAGCCACTTACTTCGCTCTAGCTGCTTCGAAGTCTGTTTGCATGCCACTCTGCGGCTTGAGCAGAGAACGAATAGTTGCTTGGGCATTTTGTGCATCTGAAAGGACGTATCCGCACTGTTGTGCGTACACGCGTGATATGCCAAAGCTTACAGAGGATAGTTAAATCACGCTGCTCCTACACACGGTGTGCTATTTGAACTTACAGTAAATTGCTCTGCAAACGCAATGCCATCGGCGCCTCTGGTGCAATTATTGTCTCGCATGCTTTCGGCACGTCGACATCCTGAATAGCTCGACGGCTTATCTTTCGAGCTGTTGATTTCTGGCCCAGCGTAGCAACAAGCCTTAGAATTAATCAGCAGACAATGCTATGTCCTCTCCAAGACGAGAAGCATACCAAATAGTGGCAACGCCGTACTTGCGCGACGTAAGTACTGAAGGGTCATGTCAGCTGGTGCACGCGTTTTAACGCGAGTTTTGAATCTCACCTTCGTGACTGTAGAACATGGCGTCAGGGATGTAGAGGACACTGGCAGACAACAACGATTAAAGGTTGTATAGAAACGTCATTAGATACGAGAAACAGGTTGTATTCAAGCCGCAAAGACTTGTAGCAACTATAGCTCAGAAGTTGAGATAGTTTTCTCGCGTCATGCTTTTTTTGAGAGACGCGGGTTTCCTGATCAAGGAGTGGCGATGTTCGCGCCGCTTTATAGGAACAGTCACCAAAAAATCACGAGCACGAAACTCCCATCTCCAAGCACAGGTGGTGTCAACAGTTGAGATGGAACTCGCTTTTCATGCTCGACTGTTCTTGCAAATAGTCTAGTTCTAAATCAGCCATGAATGCCCCAAGGAAACCCTGTTCTGTGCCATAATCCGTAGTACTCGCTTCTACATGCATTTCATAACTCCGTTGACGCTGTGTGAATGTCACTGACGCCTACTCCTCAATGTCTGGAAGAGGCACCGCTCGGTACAGCAGAATTAACGCTGAGTGTCCCTGGCCTACCGATAGCTTATTAGCAGTACGTCGTGTATGACGGACGGAAAAGCCTACCTCCTCCAGACAAAGTCTCGATGCGGTCTGCATCGACCTCGGAGACTTTGTCGTCATTGAACCACCACCATTTGCCATCTTCCTCTTTTTGCTTGCCCGTAACGGGATCCTTCCTTGCAGCCTTTTTCACAAAGGCCGTGTAGTGGCCACTGTCGGCAGTGATACCTTGGTGTGTGATGACACCTCGTAACTCATATAGACCTGTCTGATTACTTCCAATGTCTTCAGTCAGCTTAGGGTCAACCATGGCAAGCAGCTCCTTCTTCGCGGCCAGTATTGACGCAGCGCGCTCAGCTTCGATTTGAGCATCCGTCTTATATTCGACGTCAGGCATCTCCGTATCTCGTCCAGAAGATGCCTTATTCCCAGACTTCTCTTCCTCTTTCTTCTCCTTTGCTGACTTGCTTTCAGTAGCCGACATCACGTCATTTTCTTGTCCAGCGTTTATACGTTTCTGCCTCTTGCGCGCGCGCTCGTCGTCTTCGATCTCTTTCCTGATTTCTCGGATCTTGTCGCGCACAGGAATTAGCAGACGCTTGAGGTCGTCTGAGCAGAATTCGACGACATCAAGCTCTTGTGGAAATGTTACTTTACGCATTATCTTCGCTTTCTTGTTTGTTGTCTTTCTCCAGTCAAAGCGCATGAAGTGAACTGTCAAGTACTTCGGCAAGCGTGATATGCGTGATGTCTTCGTGTAGACAGCATCTCTGCCCAACACCTCCGACTTTTTTTCGATCTTCTCGCTCAAACCTGCGATAAGACCGTCTCTCAAATGATTTATTTCTCCGGTGATGTGGCAATTCAGTTTGAGAAAAGTATCTTCGCCCTTGACGGGCTCTTCTCCTGCCTCCTTCGCCGCTGGATCGTCGCACTCCATGCTGGTAGCGAACTTTCCTGCCATGTACTTATCAATGAAGCCAACATCCTGAAAATTCTTGGTAGATTCTCCTCCCGCGGTCTCATTTGGCTTGAGCTTTACGCGTAACTGCGATACAATTTGCGACCATGCCTCCTCTGCATCCTGTTGCGCATAGCCGTGTCCTTCTCTCGAGCGCTGCGCAAACTGCGGAAATGCTGTTCGCAGAGCGTTCAAAAATGCAAGCGGAGGAAAGCCCTCCTGAGTTTCGGACATCTGCTTGAAAAGATCTCGTAAGTTGGCTGTGAGGTCAATCACACTGCCTAACCCTGCAGAGCCGGCGAAGCTAAATGGTGATGGACCGTCTGGCGAAGAGCTCGCCTTGTATTTTGCCAACTCATCCTGCAACTCAGGTATGGACCGCAGAGTTTGCAGTGTCGAGTTCATATAGCACGTATTACCAAGATTCTGCAGACCTGCCGGTATTGCGCCTTCAGACTGGGCAGCCTCAGCTTCTGTCATATCCTCCAGGAATTTTATCTTCTCTTTGGGCTTCTCAATCGCACTGCTGTCGCTGGAAGGTGTGCCCATCATCATCAAAACTTGATTTGGTTTGAAGCCTAGTTTAGAAAGATCCGCGTCATCTTTGAGCTGACCACCTTTTACCAGAATCTTTTGTCTTTCAGGCTCTACATTGGTCAAGGAGTAGAGCTGCAGTTTTAAGTCTTCGCCCTTCGTGGTTGGATCTACTTCGACCTCATACTTCTTGCCTTGGTGCTTTACAATGACTGTTGGCGTAGTAAGCTTTTCATGCCCCAGCACTGCTTTTGGTGCATCACATACTTGGTATGGTGGCCATGTTTCCAAATCCTCAGTATACGGAAAGCAAGACTGTGACGATTAATTTTGCGAGAGCAAATTGTACATTCAGGCTGGATCTTCTGTTGATTTCTAAACGCGGCGAATGACGACCTTGAACGTCCGTGCGCGTAAGAGCGAATGCGGGCGAGGCTTGTGGCCTTAGGCTCAAGCTCGCATCAGCCAAGACTTACGTCGCACTTCGGCGGGACATCACTAGGCAGGAGCTTTAACGACGACTTACGGACGGCGTATTTGGGTCGAGGTGAAGAACCACAGAGAATGGTAAGTTTCATAGTAGTTCTGCCTGTGAAACTTCTGTTAAGTTTACAAGTCTCAATCACTTCGACCGTACCTACAATGTGTTCGGTCATCCCTAACGGCAGCTCTGTCTCTGTCCAACTTCGCTTCGCAAGTTTCGGAAAGACATAATGTACCTGAAATCGAAGCTGCGAGCTCGCCAGAGGTTCTTCTAAATCCTCTGACTGTGTCCCGGAATGACAATGAGAAAGTCTTGATCGAGCCAAGTATCAACAGCGTCCGCATTAGTATCAAGATCAAGCAGGCCGATGAGATCGAGCACATTCTTGTGCATAAGTTCACGCGTTTCTTAACTCAGAGAGCGGAAGCTTTTTTCATCTTGAGACGAAAACCGATTAAGGTAAACTTCCTTTTGTGAATTTAAAAAAGTATGTCCCGACTGACCATCTGACGTAGGGCTATGATATTTCATTCCTGATTACGAACTATCACACTGAGGAGATGTTGAAGCACAAACTAGTTGACTTTATCATTCAATTCATGGAGGAAGTTGACAAGGAGATCTCAGAGATGAAACTCTTCGTAAGTTCAGAATTCTGTGCGGTGCCCCGCATTGCTAATTTGAGAACTCCAGTTGAACGCCCGGGCAAGATTCGTTGCGGAATCGTTTTTGACTCCAGTAAGATAAGAGTTTAAATGCTATTTTGGACCGAACTAATGCTCTCAAAGTTTGACTGACAAGCTCCGCCGCACTTCAATGTGTTGGTCCCACTAAGGACGCAAATCTTGCGTCTGACTACTGAGAACTGGGGTTCGTTGCTACTTTCGGCATCAAGATGGACATCAGGTCGCCAAAACACATTACTGACCATGAGATGCTTCATGAAAGAACGAAGTAGACAAGGAAATCTATGATTAATAAACATATACTCCAAACCTTGCGCCTTACTCCACACCCCAAACACCAAGCACGTCCTTTGCGCCAAAACATCTTCTTTTCTCCAATGTTTTTACCCTTTGTACCAGGAGGCCAACAGCAATCGGCCCTATAATTGTACACACAACAATTGCCCATGTCACAACGAGAAAGACCTGATCGTCTCCAGACATGGAGAAAATACCGTTGCTATCAGCTAGTGATGATATCAGAAAGCCGACTTCGCCTCTTGCAACCATTGCGAAACCAAGGATGGTTGCTGGGTACAACGAATAGGGCCTTACTGCAGGAGCTGTATCTCGAGATGCGTTATCTAATTGGGATGCGCTCTTCTGGTGGTCCAGAACTGGTGGATTTGACTGAGACGCCTCTGATATTGGAGTAATTACGTCTGTATCAGTTGCATGACTGGTATGCTGCCCATTTGAGTCCTTTGAAGCATTTTCATGGCCTTGCCGACTTGCGGTTTCCCTGTTTGCATCAGTCTTTGAGATGGGTGCAGCGTCGTCCTTGCCCCAGAGATGTGATACATGTAAAGTCTTAACTTGATGCAGTACCGGAAAACTAGGTAGATTGATCGAAAAGCGAATAAGCCAAGCACCACAGGTCAGCTTAGCAACCACCATGAGAACGGCATAGATGATGCCTCGCCAAACCGTGGGACTGTCAAACATGAGTGTAATCGGAATCGAAAAGCCAATAGAAGCGAAGAAGAAAGGCTTGAGGATTCGCTCGTTTGTTGTTGCGCAGTACTTCTTATAGATGGATAAGCCATCGCAAGGCATTCGTTGTCTAATCATAAGAGAAGTATGGCTACCGTCTTTCTTTTCGATATCTTCGGTAGTTATAGCGACGTGTGGAAGCTCGTTGTGCCACCAGTTGATTATAGCACCTGCAAGGTATGCAGCAAACAGATTCGATGTGCCTGCGTACGTTGCACCAGTTACCAAGGTAATCAAAAAAGCAAAATGAATAAAAATCGCAGCAGCTTCACAAGCCAGCAGACAATTGATGATACCTTCACGGTTCCGTTCCCGCAAAGCGTTAACCCTAAGCGTCACTGGTTTTATGATCATCCAGCAGAGCAGTGGACAAATGACAACGAAGGCAATCGACACCAAGACTGGCCGAACGACGGTTAAGATGCTCAAGTTCGAGTTAGATTCGCCTAGATTGCCTATAACTTGTACCATCGCCAAGCCAACTACATCGTCGAGCATAGCGGCGCAGGTAAGAACAACTCCCAGGCGTGTCTTTACCAGTCCTGTTGTCCCGAGTATGGTGAACGTAGTCCCGAGACTCGTGCTACAAAGCGCAGCTCCAGCAGCAAATGATTGCATGGGCATGGCATTCATGACACCGCTTAGCGAAAAAGAGATACCGATTGGAGCGCAAATACCAGTCATGGCGACAAGCACGGAAAGTACGAAATTGTCCTTCAATGATCGGAATGATGTGGACAATCCTCCTTGTAGTGGTGTCAGCATACGATGCGATAATTCGTCACATATGAAAAGCGCACCTTCATGCACCAGCAAGATCAAACCCAGATAACCCAGCTGCACAATAGCCGTTTCAAGTCCCTCATCAAGCCATCTCGCACCTGGCGTTCCCCACGCAACCCCAATTAGAATCTGCCCTAATAGTCCACAGTATAAAACGCGATCGAGAACATAGTTAACAAGATTCGAAAGGAGCAAGAATGAAGTCAACGTCAGGATCGATACAATATCTGGCTCACGGTACGGCAAAGAACTAGCAGCTTCTGGTGCCATATTTGCACGGTCTTCTATCCTGTTGACGCGAGCGATAGGATTGTGATATAAGGAACACGTGTGAGCCGAACTAGTACTTGATATGTGTTGAAGGCACGCGTCTTCAACACGGCTTTGGCATAACTGTATGACGGGCAGTGTCTTCAAATTTGGTGAGTTCTATTAGACTAATACAATGAATCCCTCAGCCACGTACGGCATGCTCAAGGCTAGATGGAATTGAGGACGAGCTTACGTGGTGGGGTCCGCCGAAATCGGACAGTATCTTGCAGGACGCGCAGAAAACTGAGTGCTAGATGCGTAAGGTGCAAAGCCAATCACAAAGATTGGGGTATATTTAATTGAAGAGTAAGATTGGGAAGCAAGGTTTCCTTGCATAGTGAAAGTAGGAACAAAGTGACAGTCAGCCTTGCTACGCGGAAGACGAGCCCGCAAAGATGCGTAAACAGTCTTGGCGCTATGCCCTGGCACGGGAACAACACACGCAGCACTGCATCCCTAGAGACCAGCCGTCTTCACCTGCGGTTTTGGTCAATTAATCTTGACACCGCCTGAACAACTCCGACCCTATATCCCTCAAATGTCCTCCTTCCAGCCAGCGTCCTACCGACATGGCACACCTATTTGAATCTCAGTGGGTTGTCGTCCAGGAGAAGACGTTCAAGAAATGGTGAATAAACACATCGGCTTTTACGGCACACGGGTGGTGAAAGATAACATGCTGATCTCTTCGCGATGGCAGGCTGAACAGTAAACTGAAGCAAAGAGAAGTTGAAATCAAAGATCTTGTACGAGATCTTTCCGACGGAGTATGTGTCTAAGATCGTCGTTCGTTGCGGCCGAGCCGCGCAAGACATGAGCAACTGACAAGAATATTTGTCAGGTCATTCTCGTCCACCTTCTCGAAGTCCTCAGTGGCGAATCGCTCGGAAGATATGCATCGAAGCCTAAATTACGAGTGCAGAAGTTCGAGAACGTGAATAAATGTCTGGACTTTATCAAGGCAAGAGGCATACAGTTGACCAATATTGGCGCCGAAGATGTAGTCGACGGAAATCGAAAGATCATTCTCGGTCTGATATGGACGCTTATTCTACGCTTCACGATCAGTGATATCAATGAAGAAGGTCTTAGCGCTAAAGAAGGTCTGCTTCTGTGGTGCCAAAGGAAGACTGCTTGCTACGATGAAGTCGAGGTCCGGGACTTCTCGACCAGTTGGAACGATGGACTGGCATTCTGCGCCCTTCTAGATATTCACCGTCCAGATCTGATCGACTATGACAGCTTGGACAAGAACGACCATCGCGGAAACATGGCATTGGCATTCGACATCGCTACAAATGAAATCGGCATCCCAGATCTTCTTGATGTCGAGGACGTGTGTGACGTTGCGAAGCCAGATGAAAGATCACTGATGACGTATATTGCATACTGGTTCCACGCATTTTCACACATGGAGAAAGTTGAAAATGCTGGCCGGCGAGTAGAGAAGTTTGTCACCAATATGCAAGGGGCTTGGGAGATGCAGAATTCCTTCGAGCGGCGGATGAGAGAGCTGCTTCAGCAGATCGCTCAGCAGAGGCAACAATGGGATGAGGCCGAGTTCGACGGTAGCTACACCAACGCGAAACAACACGCGGCTGTGCTCGCTGATTTCAAGCGCAAACAAAAGCGGACATGGGTGGCAGAAAAGACAGACCTGGTTAACTTGCTCGGCAACATTAAGACAAAGCTTAGCACATACCGTCTGTTGCCGTACAGCCCTCCACCAGAGCTTAGTCTTGAGGCTCTGGATCGTGCTTGGGCAGGACTAATGAAGGCCGAAAGAGATCGAAGTCAGCTGATCAACGAGACCATTAGGGATATCAAGGACAAGTTACGCCGGGACTTTGCAGATCGGGCGAACAGCCTTGCACTTACAATGAGCACGATATCCACTTCCATATCTGGGCTAGACGGCGACATCGAGGACCAATTACAGCATGCGAAGAGCCTTAACGAACATCTTCCGCCACTTGACGAGTACTTACAAATGATCAAAGCCATCGATGAGCGTTGTGTCGAGGCGAACATCGAAGAAAACGACTACACTACGTACACGTATGACGAGCTGGAGTACGAGCTCGGACTGGTGCGATCTAGCGTTTCGAAGAAGTTGGCTTTTCTCGAGAATCAGCTTGTGGCACGAAACATGACCAATTTGACGCCCATACAGCTAGAGGAGTTTGAGTCGGTGTTTCGACATTTCGATCGCGACCTCAGTAACTCATTGCAAGAGATTGAGTTTTCCGCAGCGCTTGCCAGTCTTGGCCTTGTGTACGACGAGCAAGAGATGCACGAAAAATTCAAGGAAATCAGCGGCGGACGTTCTTATGTCACGTTCGAGCAGTTCATCAGGTTCATGGTGGACGTGACGGAAGACCAGAACACCGCCGAGCAAGTCTTCGAGAGTTTCAAGGAGGTCGCGGACGGCAAGGTAAGAGCCACCCGTCAGTTGACAACACACGTATACTGATACTGATTTGCGACGGCAGCCGTACGTGACGGAGCTGGACCTCCGACACTCTCTCATCCCGGACGAGCTTGTGGAAGAGCTGGTCAGGACGATGCCACCACACAAGGGCGCTGGCACAGAGGAAGACCGCAATCTACCGAAATACGACTACGTGACGTTTATGGAGCGGTACATGGGCGGGCCTAGTCAAGAACAAGGCCTTCAGTCAACAGGCATAGGTGGAACACGAGCACGCTCAGCATCCCCAACCAAGCTAGCTAACGGGCAGTACCAGTCCATAAACGGGAACAATTATCAAGGCAGCTTGGCGCCAGGGGAGAGGCAGTACATTGACATATTTTGAAGCGGGAGGGGAAAGAAAGAGAGACTGCGACTTGGGCAAACAGGTTTCTATTGCTGACGGGCGGACGACTGTACATGACATGTTTTTCCCCTTGTGGATATGCATAATGGCGAAAGCGTTCGGCGTTACTATGTGCTTAATTGATGGTTGGGGGGAGGGAGGAGGGGGTGGTGTCGCGATGCTGCGAAGCGTCGTAGCATGTGTGCAGTTTGGTTTCTTATGGCGCTATCAAGGAGGAGAGAGCACCGAGCAAAGGCAGTTGGTCAACCTCATTCCGTTTTTGATTAAAGGCAGACGTAGATACCTAATGCAAAAAGAGCATATCTAGTGCCTTTGAGTAACGGCGTGATAACTTGGCAATGGGTCGAAATTGCTAAGCAAGTACAGTGAGAGCACAAGATGGCGTAGCGAGAGACACTCACGTGCAGATGGTCGGAGGCGCCAGCTCAGAGAGGAAACAAGGCGGCTGGTTTCTGGAAGGGCAAGGCGCAAGGTGCAGGAAAGATTGACGAAAGAGGCCAGCTTGTCCGATCACAGCAAGATGGTGGATGCAGCCCTTGTCTCAGGCTGGGAGTGGATCCGGCAAGTTTTGAGGCCGGGCTGGTCTGAAACACGACGGGTGGTAACCTACAGCGGAGCGGAAGCAAATCAGAAGCCGATCTGCATGGGTTCACGGTGGGAATTAGCATGCTTTGCGGCGTGCTCTCGCGCTGAAACAAGATGCCGCAGAGCAGGGTCGCATCATCATCATCAAGCGTGGACAGCCGCAGAGGGAAGCAAAGAATCACAGATGGCAGCAGGGCAGGCGTAGGAAAGACGTGAGGATGGTGGTGGGGCAGGCTGGGGACGTGGCGAGGATCGCAGCTGTGATGACGATGGCAGCGATGATGATAATGACGACGATGATGATAATGATGCCGATGACAATAATGACGATGATTGGGGAGGGCGTGACGCCGAATGGACGACGGAGCCGAAGCCAGAAAAGTCTGGAGCAGGTGGGCGAGAGCTTGGCGCTAACAAAGGAGAACCGCTCCAAACAAAGAACACGCCGGACGGGGGGCACAAGCGAGTTGGGCACGGCAGCGGACGAGAAACTCCCACTCCTGGAGCGGAGGGACGACGAGAACACAACGGCGGGGCATGATTTGACGGTGGCACGCTGACGGATGGGCGTTTGGGTTCGCATGAGCGAAGGTCATTTGCGGGTCTGCCGCCGTCGGCAGCCGGGGCCTCGCCCGAGAACAGTCGGCGAATTAGTGCAGGGCCAGCGATGGGTGGGAGCTGGAACAGAGACAGAGCAGCGCGGTACAGGCAGAGGGGCGAGCAGCTTTTGTGGGCGTGGTCGCGGTGATGGTGGCGGGAGTGGTGCTGAGCAGGTGCATGCAAGGTGGTAGCGAGTGCTTTCTCTTGGGGGGGAGGGAGAAAGAGGGGGGAGGGGGGCCAAAAGCGGGCGGCAGAGGGCGCCGCAGTGAGAGGGACGAGGGAGAGAGCGGGCGAGAGTCAGAGGAGGGGCCCCCCAGGCCATTGGATGCTGCATGGACGGGGCCGCAGCCGTGGCCGGGCCTGGCTCTTGCGCTTCTCCGGGGCCCTGTCGCCCGCCGGTGTCACTGTTCGTGCTGCTGGGCCTGCTGTGGGCGACCAGTAGTAACCAGCACCGACAAATGCACGTCCTCTCCCTCCCAGAGATCCCACGACCACATCCTCTTTTCGACGCCGACAAACCCAGTCGCTCCGCCTAAACGTTGTCTCCACGCCGGTGACAGCCTCCAACCCTCGCGTCGCTTTCTTCTCCCTCCTCTCCTTCGCCCCCTCTCCCCTTCTCTTCGCGACCTTCCATCAGTCGGAAGCGTAGCCTTGACCTTGCGCGCTTCTCTTCGCGCCTCTGTCACGAGCTTTCTCACCCTGCACTGCCTGCCGTGCCCGTCTGAGCCTCGCGAACTCAACGACGGCTTCTTCGCCAAGTCCACGACCACCGCCCAGATCTCCATGCTCGCCATAGTCTTGTGCATATAGGCCGTTTCATCCGTACGCGCTGTGCACCGACCGTGCTCCTCGCCGGCACGTTAGTCAACCACGGCCGAAAGTCCCCCTCTCTCTTCTAACTCTGCCTCTTGCACTGCACCAACACGCCTCGACGACCGAGAGGCACTACGTGAGCCCCAGATCTGAGCTCTCTCGTAGACGACAGACATCATGTCGTCCTCAGGCGGACAGTAAGTTCTGATCACACCTCCCCTTGTGTGCCCAATCCCTCCCAGAACCTGGAAGCGCCAAGAACCTGCACGGGGTTCGCGAGCAACGTGAGAGCAGCGTCGACGCCAGCAGAAATCCCCGCCCGTTGAGGCCCCCAATGGCCTCCGCTCACGCCGTGAGCCCGAGGCCGAGATGCAGAACCAGTTGGCTGCGCCGCGCACCGGACTGTGAAGCTCCCTTCTCAGTTCCCGGCGCCGTATCACGATCAGCCGCATGCTGACACCGCCATAGGCTGTACACGCCTGGCCAGTTCATGAATCCAGGCCCCGCGCCACGTCCTCCAACCGACCGACCACGACTGAATCTCACACCCCAGGTGTCCTCCTTGCCTGCCAGCGTCTCCTCTTTGAGCCTCCAAACGCCTACCTCCGCCAGTGCTTCACAGACAAGCCTGCTCCTTCCGCGAAGCCAAACAGAGCGATTGGGCGGGGGATCCTTCGCGGTTCTCAAGCAAGGATGGGCAAAGGTCAAGGAAGAAGGCGGCATTCTGCGTGGCCTTGTGTGGAACGATCGCTTCCTAATACTGCGCGAATACACGCTGGATTTCATGAAGAACAATGAGAGCGGCAAGGTCACCAGCACCATTTACCTGAAGGATGTCACCAACATCACCCGTTCGGAGGTTCATCCATACTCGTTCGAGATCACACGTACTGCGAACCCGAGCAACGGACAGTCCCCTCCACGAGACGGCCCAACCAAGGTCACCATCTGCAAGGTCACCACCGACGACGAGGTCTACTCGTGGATTGATTCCATCTACACTCGATGCCCAAGCATGGGTGGTGTGAGCAATCCCACCAACTTCACGCACCGCGTTCACGTCGGCTTTGATCCCGTCAGTGGTGCCTTCGTAGGTTTGCCGCCAGAATGGGAGCGCCTGTTGGCTTCGTCCGCCATCTCGAAAGACGACTACCAGCGCAATCCAGAAGCCGTCGTCGAAGTTCTGAACTTCTACACCGAGAAGCTTATGAAACGAGCAGAAGATCCCCAGCAGTATCCCAGCCTCACGCCTACACCGCCCGTGGAATCTCAGATGAACAAGCAGTTAGGCTATAGTGGCGTGGGCAGCTCAATCGCGCCACCCCGTCCTCAGCCACCCAACAACTTCCAGCGGTCAGATTCCTTCCCTCAGCAACGAAGCAACAACTATTCTCCCGCCAATGAAAAATCCAGACGTGACGAGGAAGAGCAGCGAGCTGCGGACGAACAGCGACGGCGCATGGAAGACGAGAAAAGGCGGCGACAAGAGCAAGAGAGAAGGGAGGCCGAGCGTCGTGAGCGCGAAGAGCAGGCTGCATACAACGCTTCTTTGCCCAAGTCTCGGCCGCCTTTGGCGCAGCAGGAGATTGGCGGCTATGGGGGAGACGAGAGAAAGCCATCAGTGTCGCAGCCAGATCGCTACAATCCATCTCGTCCAGCCCCGAGCACACCTACCAGCGCTTCCCGAGATCCCCGCCAACAGGGCCCCTCGATGCGCCAGCCGCAGCAACCACTCCAAGCGTCGCGCCCGGCGCCGCCCAAGCCGAACGGTACTTCGTCCTATTCTTCACAGTCTAAACAACAGGCTGCCTCCAATGGTACAGGGCAACAGTCCCCAACTAGCAAACAATCTTTAGACACTAACGATGACCCTCTAGCTCGCGCTCAACCAAGTGCCTCATCGCAGACCCGAATCCCTGCAGCCGCAGCCCCGAAACCACTCAATGTGCCCACAAAGAACCAAGAAGTTAAGAAAGCAGAGGCTGCGCTTACTCGCAAGGAAGAGGGAGGCGGTCGCAAGGAGGTACGCATGTCGAGCATGAGCGAGGCGGAGGTTATGGCCAAGTTACGAGAGGTCGTTTCCAAAGAGCGACCGCTCGACTCGTATAACAAGCAGAAAAAGATTGGCCAGGGAGCGTCTGGATCTGTCTACGTTGCTCGTATCCGCGAAAATGCTACTTCGCCCATGGCTCGTAAGATTCTGCGTGAACAAGGGCCCAAGGCTCAGGTCGCTATCAAGCAGATGGACTTGAGAAACCAGCCACGCAAGGAGCTGATCGTCAACGAGATCATCGTTATGAAGGAGAGCAGACACGAGAATATTGTTAACTTCCTAGACGCATTCTTGCAGGAGGAATCATCTGAGCTCTGGGTCGTGATGGAATTCATGGAGGGTGGTGCTCTGACAGACATCATTGACAACAATCCCAACATCACAGAGGACCAAATCGCGACTGTCTGCCTTGAGGTGAGTGTAAGGAAGAATTCAAGTCGACTCCACGATGCTGACAGAAGCCCTTTTAGACTTGCAAGGGTCTCTCGCATCTGCATGCCCAGAACATCATTCACCGCGATATCAAGAGCGATAATGTTCTGCTCGATGCTCGAGGAAACGTTAAGATCAGTGAGCGGTTCCTCAACCTGTCTTTGTCGGTAGACATGCTAACCTTTTCTCTCAGCTGACTTCGGTTTTTGCGCAAAGCTTACTGAACAGCGTAATAAGCGTGCGACCATGGTCGGTACGCCGTATTGGATGGCTCCCGAAGTCGTTAAGCAAAAGGAGTATGGCAGTAAGGTCGATATCTGGTCCCTCGGTATCATGGCGATTGAGATGATTGAATCCGAACCTCCATATCTCAACGAGGAGCCACTCAAGGCGCTCTATCTTATCGCTACCCACGGTACGCCTCGTTTGAAGAAGCCGGAGAAGCTGTCTAGGGAGCTCAAGGCTTTCTTAAGCGTCTGTTTATGCGTAGACGTGAAGTCGCGAGCTACGGCCGACGAGCTCATCTCTCACGACTTCTTAAAGAATGGCTGTTCTCGTGAGAGTCTCGCGCGCTTGCTTGCTTTCCGCAACAAGGGTGGTCACTAAAAGATGGTGGGACGCGACAGACCGTCCTCATCAAATCAACGTGCTTGTCATGCTCGGCAACGACGAATCTTCGGACATTCCACAAAACAGCGCAACAACCCAGTGTATGAACCCACGTTGCGTGTGCTTCCGCAGCTACTACAGCATATCATGAGACACGGGCCCGGGAGGACATGGACTACATAATGTCTGATCTTTCTGCGCTTGAAACACATTTGGAGGGCAAGATAGACCACTACGATTCTCTTCTTCGTTCAACTGCCACATACCCCCTTTGTATTTTTCTCCCCCACCCCCCCAAAAAAAAATATCAGTGGGCAGGCACATATCACATTTGTTGGACTACTTCCATATGCCGTTGCGTATTTGAGATGGAGGTGTAGCGAAATGGACAATCGTTGATACTTCAGGCGTTCGAGCGGGTTAGGTGACAGGCTGATGATAGAAGCCATTGAGCGTGCAATGTGTGTGTGTGTGTGTGTGGTCTAGTTACCAAATGGGACTTCAAAATGACTTGATACGAATCATAAAAAAAACGACCTTTGAAAAATTACGTCTCCTACAGGCCGTAGCAATCCTTTCTCGAAGGGCTTAATCCGCTCAAATTATCTCGCGATAAGATCAGATCGGATGATCATTGATAGTCCATGTGGCTGCTTTGCATGTCTCCTATTTGCCAGGGTGCAAGGGCTACAGGAACTCGAGTGACGTCCCCAAGACATTAGTCCACGTTTCGCGACTTTATACGCGACATCCATCCTTTCCATTACTCGATTCTGCCTATCCTTTCATCCCCACAAAGCCTCTGGCCTTTGCGCGGGGCTTTCGGCGATCCACCATTCTTAATTTTAATCTATTCGCACCAGATCTTGGGCTCAGCGCAAGCAGGTGCCCGCTTCCATCTTGACCTCGTATCACCGCGTAGAACGGCCATGTCTCGCGTCAGCTTTGTGAAGCAGAGTCTGGACTTTCCACCATGGTGCTTGGAGTTCGACCGGAGGGGCTATTGTTACGTTGGCGGGGGTGGCGGCTCGTAAGGATTCCCCTCTCTTGCAATACTGTTTTGAGCGAGCGAGTTTCTTACCACGTTGGATATGTTTGTCCAGAGGCCAGCGCGAACTGAAGAACAAGATCGCCGTGTTCGACACCGCGAACCGATCCGAGCTCAGAAAGGTGGCCGAGGTGGAGCTCGAGGACGACAGCTGCTCCAGCCTGGCCGTTACAGAGACCGGCCCGCTCGAAGCATACCTCTACGGCGCCCTCAATGAACCGAAAGAGCAAAAGGCCAAGGGCAACAATCGCCATCTGCGCAGTTACCACGTGAAGCTCCCATCGAGGGCTCAAACTAAGGAGAAGACGGAGGCGATCGACGGTTCGATCGAAGAGGTGAACAAGGTCCGGCTGTTCTCTGAATCCTACATCAAGTCGGAGGGCTTCCAGCGGAGGACGTGTTTGAGCCGGAAACTGCGACCGCATGCACCCAACTCGGGATCTAGCAAGAGATTGTTGGCGATATGCTCGAGCTTGTCGCCCGAGTCGGAGCTGCTGGTCGTTCAAGGATCTAAGGCGTCGCCCACGGCCAAGGACGTCGTGCAGCGGATCACGCCCACGGGCAATGCGGAGCTCAACGACGTCGATCTGGTGGAGGGCGACGAGCCGGGCAATTACAAGCTAGTGGGCGCTACGCAGCACGAGGTGTTTATATCCGTCTTGCAACTGGATCCGGAGTCCATGAGGCCGAAGGCGCCCTTGTCGCAGGATTACATTTGGACGGCCCCAATCCCCGACACGTTTGAGAACAAAGGTTCGTACGCTTGTTGCTGGAGAATTGTGCTTGCAGCCGTTTGAGTCAAAAGGAAGAAGAAGCCAAGAAGAAAAGAAAGACGCGTAGACTAACCCCCTCTCTTTCAATATAGGCAGAGCGAAATACAAGAGCGTCAAGTTCTTGTCCAACGACACGGTGATTCTGTTGGCGAACATCGCTGGCGGCTCGGAACTTCAGCTTCTGCGTTTGTTCGATGCGGGGCAGGCCGAACTAATTTTAAGGAAGAAGCTGCCCAAGTCCGTCGGCTCGGCCGTGAACATGGACGTCGCCTTTTTGAATGAAGGTCCGGCGGGAGAACGCCAGGCCGTGATTGGTGTTGCTGCTCAAAAATCAAGGTGTGTCCCTTTCGTTCCCACACTCGGCTTGTCGTCGTACGCGCGTGCTGATCAGAGGCTCAGCGTCTTAGTTTTCACAATGGACTTGGCTGGCCCACAGAAAGCGTTCCGCCCGTCTTTCAAGTTTTACCAGGAGTTCACCGTGAGCGACGCGCCTATGCGGGCTGCCCGCTTTGCGCCGTTCTTACCGCCAAAGGTGGAAGCGTCCAAGGAGCCGCCACGTCAATATCTGAGGTAGGCACTCGGAAATGTGCAATCGAACTTGACGGATGTGCCCGTCGGTTCTATCGGTCCAGTGCTGACGTATGACAGGCTTGGATCTATTTCCCTTCTTTCGGACATTACTATTGACTTCTTACCACTCGAAACGGTGGACGGCAAACCGGGTTCGCGGTACATCTTGCAGAAAACAAGCGGAAGCACGATCGGCGGCCTGCCAATCAACTGGGTCGTCATTGGCTTTCTTATCATCATACAGGTGCTCCTCGCCCAGTCGTACTACTCTCAGAAATACAGTGGTGGCTCCAGCCCGCAACTGTTGCCGCAATCGTGGTCCGATGCTATCGCTGCCTACAGAGAGCGAGTGCAGATCATGGGATCGCCTCTTGCGCGGCAAGTCGACAGGGTCACGCACACACATGCTGGCGAGAGGATATTAAGCATGCTTCAAGCGCATCACGAGGAGAGCGGTCATCTTCCGGACGGAGCTAAGAAGGCCATCGTTCTGTCAGCACCCGAAGAGGGCGCGGGACTGAGCACGGAGATACACGAAAGTGAAGCGGACGTGCTGAAAAGCAATGCGGATGCGAAAAAGTGGGAAGAGCTCAGCAAGACGCAACAACAGCGTTGGACGGAGAAGCTGAAAAAGGCTGGCGCCTGGAGCGCGGACTACGGCGAGACCATCTTCAAGGGCGTATTCTTCAGTGAGCTTGCGGGGGCAGTGGGAAGAGCTGCGGCAGACGCAATGGCTGGCTAACAAAAGAGAGAGGAGAATAAACAGGTCCAAAAAAACAAAAAGGTGGCCAAGCACATGAATAGCCGTGTATTATACCTCTTACACCTTGTAAAAACAATATGTGTTAACGACCCCAGCAACTTTCGCGCACGGCGGAATCAAGTGTTTGGATGTGCCGTGCTCAAGTTCCAGTATCCACCACGCTGAGAACGCGAACAGCCCGCGATGTTCGCTTTCACGGTGCGAGTTTAAGCCGGCTCGACGAAGTGAGTGGCCCAAGACATCCGGCCCGCTCGAACGGAGATTCGCAGAGGTTTCCTTGGCAAGAAAGAGCACGGAGCTCGCAAGGACGAAGTCCTCAGCGGGTCAAGTTTTTGTGGGCTGAAAATGCGCCCGCCTGACTCATTGTCGAACTCGCTCCAGAGAAGAATCAAGGGCCTCATCAGGTGTAAGGAATCCAATGTTTCTGCATGCCATTCGTCATTCCCACCGCTATCGTGCGAAGCAAGAAAGATTTGGTCGGGGAAAAGGGTAGGATTTTGTAACACGACTGATGGAAAGATTTAAAACGCCGCTCGCTATGCATCAAAACCGACAGTCCAACAGGTTTCCGCCATTCCGTTTTTTCCCTTTTTCTTAATAATTGAAGCTCTCACAGTGCAGATAGATTCCTTGCGCTCCCGTGCCTTTGTGCACCGCCCGCTCGTCGCTCAACTTGACGGTTGAACTCCTGACCGAGCGGACAAGCCCGGCCGGTCCACAGACAACCACAGCACTCTCGCCACGTGCTTGCTCCAGAGACTTTCGGATGATGTTGCGAGGGTTGGGCCGACCGGCGAGGACGGCGATGGAAGGATGCAGAAACGTTCTTTTGGAGGTCGACGTCGATGACGCGCGGGAGTCCTCGCTTTTGCTTGGGCCGCAGCAGCAACAGACCCTGGGAGACTTGACTGCCTCCCCCTCATCCTCGATGGTGGACGTGCAACAACACACGCCACCTCCACAAGCGCGAGCATTCGAGTCTTGCCGATCAAGCTCGTGAATGGACACGTTGTCCTTCTTTTCGTCTGCGGACGACTCGCTGGCTTGGTCCACCTCCTCCACTCTCCCTCGCGCCACAGGCTTCGCACCAGATCCAGCAGATACGCCGAGCGCAGACAGCAGGGACTTCTGCTCTTCCGTGAAAGATTCGTCGCACGTGCAGTAGATGGATATTTCGACATCGGTGTCAAGGCCCTCGGTACGCAACCTCTCAACGGAGTCGACAACCTGGTCAAGTTGGGTTGCAAACCAGCTGAGTTGTTCGCGAGTTTTCACTACCCATACGAAACGAATATGTCGCGTAACCACGCCTCCAGGCTGAAGTAGAGTCCCTGGCGCATTTCTTTCCTGCCAGCCCAAGACGATATCGCGAAGTAAAGGCATTGTGAATGTGGCGCCGGTGCTTCCAGCAAAAAGAACCACACTGTCAAATTGTCGTAGCGGCCTGATACGTCCGTATGGACCCTCTAAGGCGACCGTCTTGAGCTGACTGGCATTGGCGCCGGGAAGACGTGCAGACTTCTCCGCATGCCGGAAGAGACGCCTTGTGCCTCCCTTTTCGGCTTTAATGATGAACTCGATCTTTCCATCCTGCGGTAGAGAAGCCATTGTGAATGGATGGCTCTGAAGTGGAAGAACGGAGTGGCATGAAACAAAAACATGTTGTCCTGGCTGCCATGAGATGGGCTTGTGCTTCAGGGTGATCTTTGTGTAGTTTCCACTCAGGGCAGTGAATTCGGCCTTGCCTGCCCAGAATTTGTTCATATCTCCAGCGCTTCGCTGCTGGGGATGAAAGTATGAGATGTTTGTGTACAACATAAGAACTGCTCTGGTAAGCCGATCGAAGAAAAAAAGCCCAACAGAGATCCAGAGGTAGACATGCGTCGTTGGGAATGGCTTCAGGTGCTGATATGTAAAACCGATGAAGCAAGAGAACGAAACGAGATGTTGAAGGACAAAAAACTCATAACTTAGTCGTCGGATCGGGGCGAAGGAACTAAAGACGATCCATGCGAGGAAGCACCAAGCAGCGAGGCCCCAATAGACCAGGTTGTTCGTCCGAATCTGTATGGTCACGTAGTCACCGTACGGCCACCAGTCGGTCAACCAGTACCCGAAATGAACGGTGGCGAAGAGGAATAGCGTTCGGGCGCACCACCTATGGAGCCAGTTAAGTCTCTCGTAGCTCATGCCGGTCAGAAAGCCAATGATGTTGTTCTTTCCCGACAGAAGGAACAGCAGTGGAATCTGCGCCAAACACACAAAGCCGATCCGGTACGCAACGTCCTCAAGGTCTGCTCGTGCTAGTGTGTTTGGGAATCCCACGAAGCAGAGTACTGTCAAGACTATGACGTTTGAGACCACGATGAAGGTCCTCCCAACTTGAGGCATAGGGATTGTTGTCTTCCATACTCGAATTGGATCCAGCGTAGCGCATGCAGCCTCTCGCATGATTGCGGTAGCTGTCGCATTTACACGTAATATGATGTTCTTAGGCTTCGCAGGCGTTGGCTTTGCTTGTCTTGCTGCGGCCAGTCTTTGCGACCGTTAGCATATGCCAGGACAACTTGGTGCTTGGAGGGTTTAACGAACCTTTGCCGGCATATCATGATATTGATGACATTCACAACTGTTGCAAGAGCAATTGCAACACCTAAAACCGCCCAGTATATTTTTGGGAAATCTTCCAAGGGAGGAATTCCGGCGCCCGAAGACATTGAGCCCATATCCATATTCATTCCCCCACTACTACTGCTGCCATGAACATGAGCCATCTCGACAAGTTTGCGCCCAGCGCAGCGATTTTGTGATGTGAGATAAGTTTGTGATTCTCAGACTCTTCTGGAGGCGAGAAGGGCCATTACAACCCCCCAGTGTGTTAAGTTGTACGACTGGATTTTTTTCAAGAGTCGGATCTGGTGGTATTCAACAGGCCAAAGACTTGGATTGCCGGCCGTCTCGGAATATACCCGCAAGGTCAAATGCGACTATCTTTCGGCTAGTGTAGCTCCCGCGCGGCGTAAGAGCACCCAGCCGCTAACGGATGATCGCTTTCTTCGAGGTCTTCGACGAGCAAATTAGCGCCAGAATCATACGGTACGGGTCAGCTAGTTGGAGCAAGTTCGCAACTATGTCTCACAAGACGTAAGATTTTGAAGCAATGCGGGCGTCAAGACCGTGCTCGAGCACATTTCATGGTTTTGTTTTATTTTATTTTTGTTGCTCTCACGATTTCTGGCGAGCACATTCATCTGACCATGGAGAGACGTGCATGGATCCAGACGCAGGTTGTGGGGACGAGGCAACCCTTGCTGCAGAAACTTGCTCAAACCCACTCTGCCTAGCAACGCAGCTCGCCAGCCAGCTACCTCAAGCACGCGCACTGATGAAGAAATCAGCAAGGCGCACACAACGGATGACCCAATGCCGAAGAGACTTTCTACCGTTCAGGATGGCGAACCGTTACCCTGTATTTGGATGTGGTCGCGCTTACAGTGATTTCGCGGAGACTCTCTCTACAAATATCATTCAACATAGTACTACCAACCGAGTTTGCCTCACAACAGTCGTATTTCCTGTGCGGAAGCCGGCAGCCAACGTCGATACTCACCGGCTCTAATATTGACGGACCTCAACACGAGTCTTCTCGCTCGAAATTGCGCGACTGCCTCGCCACTGCCGGTAGCCATCACCAATCTGCTCAAAAGTCCGTGGTGGCCCTTCCGGTGCCTTCAGCTCAACTGAGCAAGATTTGGCCACAAAACCGGCCATAACTGTCGCCAAAACATAGCACGAAGCACATCTCGATCTGCTCATCTTCACTCTCAGCGGAATTTCTTTTCTACGGGCGAAGTTTGGAGTCTCCATTCGCTGCAAAGATGGACGCCTCCGAAATGACTATGGCGTTCTTTAACAGCCAGAATACACCTTTGTACTCGGCAGGCTGGACGCCCAAGGGCACAGGAGGCTACGCTGGAACATGCATCTTCCTGATCATACTGGCTATCATCTATCGGTCACTATTCGCGCTCAAGCACATCCTCGAAGCACGATGGGCGGACCAAGCGTGGAACCGCCGATATATCGTTGTAGCCGACAAGCAGCCAGTGTCGGAGCAGATACAACGGGATCCAGACGCGAAGACCGCGATCCTGACCGCGAATGGAGTGGAAGAGACAGTGAAGGTGCTACACAAACCAACACGGGGGGTCCAGCCTTGGCGATTCAGCGTAGATCTGCCAAGAGCGGCGCTGGTCACGGTGATAGGAGGCATTGGCTACCTACTGTAAGTCCTCGCTACCTTGCGCTCATGCAGGAACGCGGTTGCTGACCCGGTGTTGCAGCATGTTGGCCGTTATGACGTTGAACGTAGGCTACTTTCTGTCAATACTCGCTGGGACCTTTGTGGGTGAGATCGCCGTGGGTAGATATAACCAGATCATGGAGGAGCACCACTGATGAAGGATATGACTGTTACGATTCAAATGCGAGAACAAAGTGGACAGCACGGTTGCTCGACATAACAGCCATCGTCGATGTCACCCGCTGTTATTAGCTAGACAGTTGTAGAATGAGACTGGTCCATGTTTAGTTTACTGTGAGCTATAGCTACGTGTGCACGAATCTATTGCACTCGTTCTTTGTTTGTTCAAGTGAAGCTCTGTACAGGTTATGTGAAGGAAAAGTGCCTGGTTAGCTGAGCAACTTGCGATTTCCTGGCTAGAACGGGACCGAAGCGGCCAGTGCATTAAAGAATTCCCCAAAATTGGGGCTTCGCTGAGGCTCTCTGCGCAGCGTAGTTTACCCTGCTCGACGGTCACAAACATTCTCATCGTCACAACGAGGTGCTCACGATCGGCACCCTGATGGAAGAAGGCGTTGAAAAGAGGGCGCTAGACGAACGCTAAGCTTCGCACCCTTGCAGCGTTCGGCGAGAAGAACGCACGCAAACTTGCTCACTTGCATGGCAACTCTCACCACCAGAGCATCAGCTCCGCACGCCACGGCAACAGACCACCGGCGACTAGGTCGCAAGCGTGGCGAATTCAAGCTTTGGCTGCGCCGGGATCTCGAGCAACCGTGTATTTTGGACACCGAAATGCTGCAATGCGACCGTCCGCCAAGGCACGCCGGCGCAGGGTCGAACGTGAGACTGGGTCATCGCGCGGCATATGGCGAGGGACGAGGTAAAAGCCCGAGAGCTTCAAAAGGCTGTAGATGCGCGACTCTTTTTGACCCATCCGTCCGCTTTCTTAAGATCTTTGTCTCAGCACTTGACAAAGGCAAGAAACGCCTCACTCCGTGCCTGTGACTGTGTCAAGCTTCATCCTCTCCTCCAATTCGCACCTTCTACAGTGATATACCCAAGCCTGCCCACGCAGATATTTCCTACCTGCATTTGCCTTGCAAAACACGCTCGAGAGCCATACAGATAGGCTTCGCAATCAATTCACGATGTTCTCACGCGCCCTGCTCCTCTCAATTCTCCCCATTGTCAGCGCACACTTCCACCTGGTATGGCCACCTTCTCGAGGCTTCGATGAAGACACCATTGTCAACTACCCATGCGGTGGATTCGACCAAGTCAACTCCACGCGGCAGGCACTTCCCCTAAATGGAGCCTTTCCCATACAGCTAAACATGGAGCATACTTCGGTGAAGGGCATGGTTGTCCTCGCCGTCGGCAACAACCCAACCGGTGACGACTTTACCACCGTCCTGAAACCGACTTTCGAGGAGGTCGGCCCCCAGAACTTCTGCATTGGCGACGTGATCATTCCCGCTAGTCTGAATCTGACGGAGGGTACGAACGCCACGATTCAGGTCTTGACGAATGGCGACCCCAACGGTGGTCTTTACCAGGTACGCGTGATTGCGATGGATCTCTCCAGCGTTGGCCCCATTCTAACATATGGCAGTGCGCCGACGTCACATTCACGTCAGCAACTTTGAGCCAGACGGACTATAACTCACATTGCTCTAACAGCACTGGCGTCTCCGCCAGCTTCGTGGGCGGAGCTGCGCCAAACGGCACGTCTTCGTCCTCTAGCAGTCAGTCTTCCAGTTCTGCGAGCGGCTCCGCATCAGGCACAGCAGCATCCAAGACCTCGTCAGGCAGCGGTACCAGGCAAACAGCCGGGGCTCTTCTGCTTGGAGCTGCAGGTGTCCTGGCCGTGGGTGCTCTGTGAGCGTTTCGCATGGGGCAAAGAACGTTTCCTTATATCGCGCCAAAAAAAATTACCGGATCGAGGGACCGGTGATTATCTGTGTATTTTAGCTACACATAGCGGAGTTGAAATGTGACTTGGAACAACAAGTTGAATATGTTCATGATCATCTACTCGACCTATCTTTGGAAGGCGAGCGACACAAGAATTTGAGTCTGTGTAAGCTCCACGGCTTGTCGTGCAAAAATGCAAAGGTAAAAATTATCTACAAATCTGAATCAGGCTTGACCTACGGCTTCTTCTTGTTCGTTTTACTTCCCGGTGACTTCTTACTCTTCAGATTACCACCATGGAGACCGTCCTCCTCGAGGCTCTGACGCAAACGCCTACTGAATGCGCTGCTCTTCTTCTTCATTGGCAGCGGCGTCTTCTTCGTTTCTACTCCTATTGCAGACTTGACATTTCTGGTTCTGGCAACAGGTGCTACAGACGTAACAGCAGGCTCTGAGGCTCTGGTGACCACTGCGAGCAGGCAGACCAAAACCGAGACCACATCAATGACGTGGATAGCCCACCAGATGTGCTGCACGCCCAGACTGCACATCTGAACCTCAATCTGCCACTTCCCTTGCTGCTGGTCCCACCATGCAGATACTAACGCAGCATTGCCGCCAAACTCGCCCATCATGCTCCTTACAGTGACTTCTCTCAGCCCTGGGACCGAGCTGTTGGAACGAGCCTTGACAGCTTGTTCGGACTCGTACCTGCTTGCGGTCCAACTCCCTTGCTCGCGATCCACATAGTGATAGACATCGCAGCCTTCATGGTCGTGCCCAGTGAGGATGATGCCGTCTCTTCCAAGCCCTGCCGCAGGTGCGTTGACGTCCGGATGCTTGCCGAAGATGCCTTGCAAGCTAGCGCCAAGACTGCTGTCCTTTGAGAGCATGTTTTGCTCCTGAACACCACCTCCTTGTTCCTGTGGAAAGTACGAAAAGAAGGGCTCGTCCACGCATACTCCAGATTCCTTGTGTAAGGGTATGTGGGTGAGCAAGATTGTCGAGGTGTAGTGAGTGCCAACGGGATCCGAGTGGTCAATGACAGAGTTGATGAACTTGTACGTCTCTTGCTGCAGCGTACCATCGTAAGCAGGTCCGTCGAGATTCATACTGTTCAGAACGACAAGCCTGAGATTTGGCGTGTTCTCGTGCTGTAAATCCAAGGTGCAATTATGAGCAGGCAGTTTGAGGCGAATGTCTCCGTTAACACGGCCAAATTGTCGTTCGAAACGCTCGATTCGTTCGCGGCCAATGTCTCCTGCATAACCAATGTCGTGGTTGCCAGCAACATTGATTATTCTACTCCTCCACCTAACGTCTGAACCCAAAACCTGAATTGCAGCACGGTCTTCTTTCCCTTTGGAGTAATCCTGCCATGTCTGGCGTGGAACCTTCTCAGCACCACGAAATACTCGATGCCAGAAACGTCCCGCGCGACGCTCAAACTCCCCATCATCGATCCACTGGCTGCCTAGCAGGTCTCCCAGGACAGTTACATGCGTAGGCTGCGTCGCCCAGTGTAACGTGCGGTAAATATGCGCTAGATAAAAATCGTTGCCGAGCAGGTCGAGGTGCTTTCTTGCAGACCGTACAATCCTAAGAGACCGCGCGCAGATGTCTTCTGCCAGATATCTCAGACTCTGCAGACTTTGTTCCCAGTTGTTATCCAAAATGTCACGCCGCAGACGCTGAAATCCCAGGAACTTCTTCACTACCTCTGCCGGTAACGAAGTGTCACCCTCAAGTTGTGGATCTCCCAGCGCCAGCAGACGGAATGGCGCGGCTTCCCTCCGGCTGTAATGCTCTCGCAGAGTCTCATCATCGAATGCACAATCGTCGAGCCATGTTTGCACACCTGCAGGCGGAGCCGGAAATGCACACCGATGCACGAAAGGGTATAGGTATAGGTACGCCGTGAGCGCGATGCTCAACGGCAGTAGAACGATCGCGAGGCGCTTGGTGACAGCATGCAAACTGGGCATGAAGACATGAGGCGAAAAAGTCTCGCTGGCAGCGCGTCCAAGATTAAGGAAATCGCGTGAAAAGTTGACAACGTTTCTTTTGGCTCGAGAGTAGGGGCACGGGATGACAGGGGACGCGATGCGCACGTGTTAGGCTGAGCGTGTCTCAGCCTGATCAACCGAACACGATTCTTTAAGCATGAACGTCACATCAAATTAAGCAAGAGCTGTATGTCGTGCCCTGGGATTCACCATACATCTAGTTTTGTTTCTCATCCCTCTCAAGGTTATCCCTCGTTGGGTCCACTTCCCGATCTTGATTTTATGAGTGTAAATGTGCTCCTGTCGCATTGCAAGTACATAATATAAACCTCATCGCCATTGCGCATGCAAAAAGACATCATGCGATGCTCAGCGCAGGAAAATCAATATGGACTTACCAAAATCGGGTGCATTCAATTGCCGGCATCGTAATCTCTCAACAGCTTGATGTGTCTAGCAACGAGAGTCCGCTGAAGAAGGTCGAGTACAGAACACAATTCGTAATGCCCCTGATGCTAAAAGTGCCAGTGTTTTAATATTTAGCATGAAAATACGATAGTAATAGAAATATAGATCGAACAAGTAGAATTTAGAGTATTTTATACTTGTTCCGTTCTTAAACAGTTCGATCTCATCGGTAGCAATGACCTGCTTGGTGCGAAGACGAGCGACCTATTTTCAGAAGTCGACTCAATTGAATTACAGTAGATTGTGGCAATAGGATTACAATATGAAATATGTGGTCGGGATGGGAGCATTTGTTGGACACCAAGCATAAATGCCACCGAGAACATAGAAGACATAGCATATATACGAGGAATTTGTCTTGGAAAGGAGCATGCACGGAAATAAATTCACTGAAAATTAAAGAGAATGGCAATCTCGAATTCTTCTTTCAATTCATCTTAAGCACCTCGCAGTCTCAAGAAGCGCTATACGTGGTATCAGCAGTGGCTCGGGGATTACGTCTACATGATGGGCTTGTATAAGCTGCCGACAGGTCTCTTATTGACCTTTAAATACCGCTTTTCAAGACATCTCTTCACAAGCGCCAAGCTCTCATACTGTCGTGTTATGACCAACATACGATCTACCCTTGCGTCGTCATGCTCCCTGGTCGTATAAACCTGACGAGATTTGTCTCGCTTGTATTCGTCTCACGAGCCTTTAAGTGCCATAATACCTAAAATGACTGCTTCCATGTCACGGACATTATCTATCTCGATGTTGATACCATTCGTCTGAGCGGAATCACTGGCTTCATTATCCGCCGCTTTCTTCGGCTTGTTCTTGCCGGCCTTAGACGGCAATGGCGCATCGAGTTTATACAACTTCCTGATCTGGGGAAGATCTGCTATATCCTTCAAATTCTCGTCGTTGAAGTCCACGTGCGTACCTTCTACAACAGCCTTGAGATGGGTCTCTGGATCAACAGGTTGAACACCTTGAGCTTGCTTTGCTACCACTTTGACAGCCAGTACGTGTTTAGTACTGTCCGTCACGCCAAACCGGCGGAAAGAATCTGCTATCTATATCAAATCAAGTCAGCAATTCTGCCTTGAGCCCTTAATATGAACTAAGAGGCTAAGAATTTCTGCCGCAGAAAAACCCGCACGTCGACATGAACGCAAGTGCAAGCTATGAGTGGGCAAGTGTTTTGCTCTTCGCTTCGCTGAAATTTGGCCGGCCAACGGGAGAGATGACGGTCCATGCGTATGCAAAGCGACATAGGAGTTAGGTAGAGATAGTTCATATCTTACATTATTGTTAGGGTTCAAGGAAAAAACGATTTCCGAGTGTACATTGCGACTCTTCAGACGGTTGTGTATCATGTCATTCACAGCGCGGAACACCGCTGCTAGGGCATGATTTACAGACAAAATCTGACAGCCTGTCAGCTGCGTGAACGAAACTGAAACTTCCAGGATGAGAGGAGGTTCACTTTTGTGGCATCAAGGAAGGCGTACTCAAATTCCGTGTTGCCGGCTACGAGCTGCTGCCGCAAATGCGCCGCATTCTTCACGTCTTTGAAGAGCAAGGCATATATCAGGAAGTCAGGAAGGTGTGGAAGCTGCAGGGCAGTTCCTGGCGACATTGGGAATGATGATGGAAGCCGTTGGAGCCGCAGTCGTGACTCGGAAAAATATTTCAGGTTACGGATTTGTGAGCACATCCTTACTGAATGAGTCCTAGCGCCTGGTACATCGACTGATACCACGAAGAAGGCCAAAATCTTATCAAAAAAAATTTGTTTGCTAAGCCATTATTTTGATACGTGGAAGTCCCTTCCTGAGCAAGTATTAAAGCACTGAGTTGTAGCTGCCGTCTTTCTGATTGATACTGGAATGATTTAGTTCTCGGGTCAGAGAAAGTCCAGCGATGAAGTCGATCACAGCGCATCTAAGTTGACAATCACATTTTGTGGTAATGACCCCAAATGATGTTGTATATAAAACCCCGGGTAAGATCTTTGGTGCTCAATCCTGCCGAGATTTAAAGGAATGGTCTCTACGCATCGGCACATCTCTGCAAGTTTACGCATTTCGAGAATGTTAGGAAATGACAGGGCTTGCACAAGGTATGAAGCGGCGTGAGATGTCCTTTGGTTTGACGTCCTCAGCGCCTGTAAATTGTACTTTCTTGAGCGCATAAAAAAAGGAAAGTATTTAGACTTATTAAGATACGTTTTCTGAGAAGGAGAAAGGGGTATCTACTAGACCCAAGTATTCCAGATCTATTATGAAAACTTTTCCTCACTCCAGGCCACCCAATTTCGCACAATCTCATCCACTTTTCGAACCCCCTGGACCGTAGCGTCGATTTCAAACCATTCCTTATGCTCGGCACCGCATCTACATTGCTTATTTACTCTTTGACCAAGCATCTCAAGGTGCAGGTGAATAAGACGTTCCACCTTGGCCACATTAGGAACCTTTCGATGTTCTCCCTTACCATTCAAACTGTACGGATAGCTTCTAAGTAGTGAAATTTCATACTCGCATTGCCTCTTCCACTGATTCAGTCTCCAGTGAACATTTGCGGCACGTCCAATCTTAAGGAAAACTTTTCGCTTTTCCGCGTTAGACTGCTGTGCATTGACCGAGGTCTGGAAGAACCGTTGCTGAAGAATAGTTTCTTGCCTTTTCAGGCCATGATCAAGCCTTTGTGCTGACATGATGGATGTCACTGCGGATGTCTCGTCGTCGGTTTGCTCGACGTCTGTTTGCCAGAATATGTAGATATAGCCTGGGGAGTCTGTTCGACTTGGCGGTTCACTCATGGTAGTGAGTAACTTCGCGTAGGTCAGACGCATTGCATCTGTTGCATTGGGCGGCAACGGTGGTGGCCAATCTCCATGGAGACGTTGCAACTGTTGTGCATCAGGCGAGGATTTTGATCTAGACTTCAGTGGCCGGTGACCCGGAACACCAAAAAGAGAGTCTGATTTAGGATTCCCGCGATGCTGATACTCCTTTCTCAGAGCTTGCATTGGGTCTGAATCTCTGTAGGCCCTCACTTTTTCTCGAGCTGGTGATTGCACTTTTGAGCGATCAATGTCCTGACGTTCTTCGCGAACTATTCTTCGCATCTCCCCGCCGTCTGTTATCCCTATGGCAGAGTCTTTTTTTAGGTGAGCTTTAACCTCTTTCCTGCGAATATCTACTGGTATTCTCGATTGCTGGACAATCTCACTCCTCGGGCCAATTGTTGCTGGCATCTCAACATTCGAACGCCCACGCCGATCTACCCTCTCGCGATTTATTTTGACAGGTCGTGAACCAGAATGCCGCTCGCGGTTCATTTGAGACGTCTTGTCGCTTGGAATTGAATTGGTAATACCCAGACAGCAAGCAAATAAACTAAGGATGCCAGTCGATGAAGTTTGTCGCGAAGATCCGGATTGTTTTCGTTTCGAACGTGTGATGTCTCCATTAAGAGGGTTCTTACGCTTGTAATGTGCATTCGGGTTTTTTTCCTGGTTGGAACACCTCGATGGCCTGGAAAAAGGTTGGGATTGATCTTTCACAACTGCAGCCGGTTCTGGAATCCGAGTTTTATGGGCAGTAGGCGACGGCTTCTTGATCGATAGAGTCGACTGTTCATTCACATCATCCAGCCCCAAACTCCTGAATGCTTCTTCAAGACTATGTCGGCCTTTTATTGACACCACGCTACCCTCATCGTATTGATGGAAAGCATTCGCTTGATCCTTATGTTGCCAGCAGAAGAATATTGCAGGATCCTCGACGCTCTCGGTGATCACAACTATACCATCAAATCTGGACGAGTTCTTCGGCGAAACTAAAGCTCTACGACATGCCCGACCTTTCTCTGTGATACCATGGCAGGTCGTAAGCGCATTCTTCGAATCTTTTCTTCTCAAGCCAGCGAAGTATGACTCTGGTGTTCGGCGATTGAAAGGCGATGACATAGCGATATACACGCCGCAAGCATTAAGAGAAAGTAGGATGAACAAAAGAGCAAAGAGTCGACTAAAATAATTGCAGTAGCAAGGAGTGTTGAATCTAGTGATCCACTGATACGATCACAGTCAGGGTAGCTGAGCAGGCAGCAATGCACACCATTCGCTATGAAACAGCTATATATGGGCTGTCTACATGTGCTGTGCCTCTTTACATATCCTCTTTTCTTGAGTCTATGCCGTACGGAGGTATCTTTGGCTGCAGTCCTGCGCATTCAAAGATATTCAGCGGCGAAAACGCCATGCGTGGGTGGCTGGGCGAGGCTGAGCGCATTAACTGACAACCCACCTTGATCATATACGACTACTTACCTTATGTGATTTGTTCCACTTGGCGTGTGAGCTTCCCCTGACAGCATGGATTCATGCATTATTAGAGACAAGAGATTGGTAAATTCTAAATTGAGATTCGACAATAAAATGCCTCCCCTTGGGAAGCGAGTCGTGAAATGTGAAACTTTGTCTATGACCTCGTCTCCGCAAGACCTGCTCAAGCAAACAGCTTGATTCAAGCGTTGACGTCTTACTTGCTCCTTAGCAGCGAAGTTTGATGTCGCATGCTCTATCAATTAATACTTAGCTTGTTACTTCAGATTCAGCTACGAACTATGTCGCCGCCATTGTGCGAGACATGCGCAGGCTACGAGCTTGACAAGCTTTTCAGTTCCGGATACAACCAGCATGCACTGAGCTGGGATATCTATCGCCTCCGACAGAGTTGCGGGTTCTGTCGTTTACTCGGCTGGATTCTTTCCAGAACAGATTTTGAAGAGGGAACTTGCGATATCATTGAAGGCGAAACCAGAGCGCTTGAAGGTGGTCAAAGAGCCCTTTTCTTTCGCCTCGAATCCAGTACGTCAAGCACAAAATTTGTGAAGTGTCCCTATATTGTTCTCCCTCTGGCAAGCGGTTTTTCGTCACTAAGTGTTGGCTTCACTCATATGGCACGTACTGTAGACAGCCAAATGTTTGATGCCAGTCTTGCAAAGGATTGGTTAGAGCAATGCGATCATAATCATGGTATTGAATGTGGAATGGGCTCAAGGATACCGCAATCGACGTCTGAAATACGTTTAATCGACATTGAATCCCAGTGTATAGTACGGGCGCCAGCGACCTGTCGATACGTGGCTCTCAGTTATGTGTGGGGAGAAAATGTCGAACAGCCGACGCTCACCCAAAATAACGAGCGATTTCTACACACTTGGGGTAGCTTGGAGACACTACACATACCACAGACCATCAAAGACACAATGAAGGTCTGTAAGCTATTGGGTTTGAGATATCTCTGGGTCGACAGTCTGTGCATTGTGCAAGATTTGGAAGCAGACGTACGAAGACAGATTGCTCACATGGACATCATATTCCGCAGAGCGTACTTAACGATCATCATTGCCACAGGAAGTGACTGCAAAGCAGCAATCCCTTCCGTATCTCAGCCGCGTGCTGCTATTCAGTTTGTGGCTGACATTAATGGTCTTAGAGTGGGCACAGTGCTCCTTCGCGTTCGAGATGAAATCTTGAAATCAAAGTGGAGTACAAGAGCTTGGACTTTGCAAGAGTACTCCTTATCCTTTCGAAGCTTAATTTTCACACCGAAGGGCGTTGTATTCTCATGCTCTGAAGGAGTGAGAAGGGAAGACATGTCTGGATATTGGAGCAAGAGTCTACCAAGGAAAGATAGATACATGTTTCCTATCGTTCTTGATTTCTTTGTGGCAAATCGGGTGGATTTGGATATTTTACGACAAGTGTATGCCCCACTGGTGACAAACTTCACAAGGCGGCATATCACTTACCCGAAAGACAATCTGAATGCTTTCCAAGGTATTCTTGCTGCTCTTACCCCTGCTCTCAAACGTTTTGCTTGGGGGCTTCCGGCTGAAATCCCCGAACATATGCAGTATGCGCTTTGTTGGTCGCGAGCTGATGCGGCAGAGCGAGTAAAAGAATTTCCAAGTTGGTCTTGGGCGGGATGGAAGACGTCTGAGAATGGGAAGATTCTTTTAAATGGAGCACAATTCCTTGATAGCCAACGAGCAGATTCAATCAGGCGAATCGGAGACGTGGCGCGACCGTTCAAAACGGAGGTGGCAAGTATTGTCTACAAAGGCGAAGCTTCGGCCCGGGTGAAGTTCTCTGGCCGTAGTAATAGGATGTTGCACATCAAAACTTGGGTTGCCCGCATCAATATTTCCACCCATGAAGACTTTGAGGAATGGCTGCAAGAGAATGATCCTGATGACGAGTTCCTACCAACCATTTACGAGTATCTTGCGACCCCGAGGGTTCGTGATGCGAAAGACTGGTTTCGACAGGCAGGGTTATTTATCCTGTTGGCAGATGCGAGCGAGTTTCTCATTGCGTTGCCCGTGAGGCAAAGTGAAGATCCAGACGTTTACTTCAGGACTGGAAACCCGACATTCATGCGACCTGTGTTATGGGGAGCATACAAGCCAAAGAGCATGGAGATCCTGCTTTCTTGAACAGCAATATGAAATAATAGGGAGCGCTGGGTGACTGTTAGCAGTCAATGGGCCATTTGAGATTTGTATTTGTATACAAACTGCTAAACGGGCTCTACTCTGGTAATTACTTACAATAAACATATCGATCAGCTACGAAAAGGTTTCGAATGTTTTCCATCTCTTCCATAGTCTCTCAGTTCTTACTTTCAAGATTACTTGATTCTTGGAGATGAAACATGGCACTCTCCCACACTCTCAAGAATGAAAATTGCTCTAGATCGCAGCGTCTTACCGGCAGAACCCCCTAGTTCCGCCACGAATGGTCCATGAAACACAATTACGGCATTTAGTAGTAATTGGAGTCAAAGAGGTCAATGGTTAATCCGATGCCAAACACAGGAACGGCACCAAGCAAATCGTCAATAATTCGAATATGCAATTCCAGTCACAAACAAAGCGGTAGTGTGGGCTGCTCGGAGTACAGCGAACTTTCTGTTTGCAAGGAGCTGAAATTTCAAACCGTACGACAAAAAAGCGAGAAGATGATTGCATTTTGAGGTTTAGGCCGATCACTACAGTCATGGTCGTGTACGGTGCTCTAGTTGGCCTTCTCTTAAACGGTTTACCTCCCCTGGGTATATACTATACCATATCTATCACTCTCTATTAAGATGCCTACGAACTCATCTTTGCTCGCAATACAGTTTAGACTGCGTTGTGTCAAACCCGGCTGATTTCCGCCTAAGTCCTTCGAGTCTTCACAGGAACGGCTGCACAGTTATTGCAAAGCCCGCGTATCCTGCAAATTTCTTGTCATGTGCCACGGTCAGTGTTATCACTGGATCCTTTGATGAAATAGGAAATGCTTAGACAGCCTATTGCGCGATCTAAGATGCATGGAGAAAGCAGCATGATAGACCCCTCAGTAGTATTCATGGCGTTGCAAAGATTTTAGCTAGCCACTTATTTTGGATTTGTAATTTACCGTCATTCGATGCAGAGATATCTAAAATATTCAGATGTTGAAATTTGTTAGTCCGAGATTTCGTGGAGCACGAACGACAGCCGAGGAAATAAGATATTGGCCATTAGGACAAATTCTTCACTTTCATTCCTTCTAACATATTCCACAAACGCCTGCCATGGCATAACCCTTGAATGGAACGTTTGTTATGCCTCAGATATATTACAGACCGCAGATTTCGCACCTCTTATGTTTCTTGAAGTCACCTTGGTAGTGATCTACATGATCTTGGCCGTCTAGACGCTCACCTTGATGTGGTATTTTACCCATCCAACTGATCGTCTCGCCCTGAGCGTTCACCGTGTCAAATAATGTACCCTTCTCCTTCAATTCTTGAGTTATTTCATCCACATTAACATTCAGATAGTCCCGAAGGAATTTGCCAACTTCTGTGTTTTCATGATTGCCACGTAGTGCGGCCGCTACTTTCGGTGAAGATGTGTAGATGTTGACATCGGCAGCTATTGTTTCTTAGCACGGGTCTCTTGAATGAGATTTGTAGATACGTACCAGAATGGCCATGAGTGCTCCAACCAGTTTGTGCTCGTCGACTGACCATGTCGGCGAAAGTGTAGGGTGCTGTTTCTGGATGATCTACAATCAACGCGATCTCTTCATCCGTTGCATCATGAATCCCAAGCTGTTCCGAAACAGCGTTCTTGACCCAGGACGTGACTTCTTTGGGCTCAGTCTGCAGCTTCCGGAAATAATTTTGAGACAATCGCTCTGCTGATGCAGATACATTTGCAAGCACGCCAGGAAACCACAGATACTCTGGATATGTTGAATGAAGCTGGCGAGCCGTTGCTAATCCACCTGTTTCGTGGTCCGAAGTAGATACCATTAACCCCTCTGTAGTATCATGCTCGAGGAAGTCTATGACGCTGGCAAATGCCTTGTCGTAAGCCAGAACTTCATGAACTTGGGCGGCAGGATCGTTGGCATGACCAGCATGGTCGATGCGACTACCTTCAATCATTAGGAAAAAGCCCTTTTCGCTGTCTTTGGTCGCTGCACTGAGGGCTTCCATGGCTGTTCGCGCCATCTCATCAAGAGAAGGATAGATGTCGTGTTCGTTGCGACGATCGATCTCATAGGGAATATCGGTCTCCGCGAACAGGCCAAGCATAGGAAATTTAAGAGCCTTGCCCAATTTCAAGTTGTCGAAGTCCTTCCTGTCTTTGGCGTAGTTAAAACCATTCTTCTTGGCCAGCGCAATTATGTCCTTATCATCTGCTCTGCATGAACCAGCCGTAGTGTTTGGCAGAAAGTGACACCGTCCACCACCTAGCATGAGATCCACGACCCTCCCCAAAGGATAATCACCGACAAGCTGCTCAGCAATTCTATCTTCCTCAGAACGCATGTTGACGTGGGCTGCAAAGCATGCCGGAGTTGCGTCGGTGATTCTTGTAGTCACAACCAACCCAGTCATATAGCCGGCTTTCTTAGCTGCCTCAAGAACAGTTCCACATGGAGAATGATCATCTAGGACACTGATCGCTCCGTTATAGCTCTTGATACCGCACGAAAATGCTGTCGCGCCTGCTGCAGAGTCCGTGACAAGACTGCTTGTACTTCTAGTCCTGCTTTGACCAATCAAGTACTTATCAATGGTAAGCTGCTCGCCCCACGGCAGTGCATACTGGAATTGATTATAACTCCTAGTCAATGACAAGCTTGTAGGACCCATGCCATCTGAAACCATGAATATGAGATTTCTCTTCCCGCTTGGTGTTGGTCTGTTGTCGTCTTCCGTTTGTTGCTTTTGGAGGATCACTGCGACGATAATGAGTGCTGCAGTTGCTAGTGTAGCCCAAGTGAAGAGCCCAATCTCTCGCCAGGTCCGCCATCTGCTAGTAGATGTGCGGTTGATGTGTTGTCCTGTCAATAGGGCATCCTCCTCTTCGGCGCGTAGTGATTCACTGGGGCTTTCGCTACGATGGAGCAGAGGCGGGTCGCTGACAGCCATGTTGTCCTTGCTAAGAGTGAGCTGAGCTGATGAGAACGTATCAGTATTTATAAGTCATGCTGAGGCTCGTCAGGTGGACGAATGTCTTACACACGTCGCCGCAGTAGATGTTAGCGGCGACGATTGCAGGCGTACACACTAAGCGAACACGGATAAGATCGTCGCTCCGATTGGCTGGAACCCCTTGTGGAGGCTGACTTTTAAAGGCTGAAAGTATATTGTACTAGAAGCATCGATAGCGGCTTGTATTGTTCGTGTATATTGTAAAGACATGAATTACAGGGGATAAAGCACGTTTGAATATCACTTTCTCTCAAGTTCTCGATGCGTGCTTAAGGGATAGAAGGAGAAGGCAGGCCGTTCATACGGTAGTCCTGTTTGAGATTATTCTAGTTTCGCCTGGAAATAATTATACGTCGAGGCCAGCGTGAATTAAAAAAATGACAGGACGTATATCTCTTAAATACGAGGGACAAGTTTGGCTGGCTTTATGATGCCTGAAATGCATCTGAACAGCTTGGAGTGTTGGTTGTCTCTCGACCAGGGCTAGAAAGCCGGGAAGCCTAATGACAGATGCGACAGGCTCTTGCTCAGCAAAGTGATTTCTTTGCTTGGCGCATCTTGATCCGCTTTCTCGTTTGCCCAACCTCGTATAGGACCATAGCTGATCTTAGCTCCCTGCCGAGTCCAAAAACCAAGCAAAGCTCTCATCAACGGGCCATTCTTATGAACAGAAGGGTATCCATCAAACACGACTTCGCTGATACCGTTCGGTGTTGCATCTACTAGGTTCTCCATAAGTTGCACGCTGAAGTCGGTGTATGAAGACCATGAAGCCATCCATTCTCTGCATATAGCGCTGTCTTCCGGGTCCAGCTCCACAAACACCTTTAGCAGCCTGAGAGACGTGAAGTCAGCCATGCCGTATTTCGGTGTAAGCTTCCAAGTCGGCTTTCGCCAATCAGGCCCTAGCCGAAGCTCCAGCTTGGTGACTGCTGCGCGATGATGCGGCGGCATGCGGGAAAGCAGTGGCCTTCGCGTTCGCGGCGCATCGGTAGAGAATATTCGAAACGTGTTGATACCGTAGAATACAGGATATGCCTCTCGATGGATTTGCCGACATACTAGGAAGAGCAGAAACAAGCGAGTGAGCTTCGCATTGTAGTCCGAACCTAGGTCTAGCGTCCGATCTTGCTGCAAAAGTATTTCGTAGACTTGCAGTCGGATCTCGAAGGGAAGGTCGAGGAATGGAAACGGAGTGCGCTTCGCCGACGTGCGCGATACCGAAGTGGCTACCATGGCTGGGGATGCGACGCTTAGTAGAGGAAGCGGAGACAAGCCCGGAAGGTAATTTTGTCGGTCTTGACGTCCACAGTACTGGAGCTCGGGATTGCGCTACGGGCTAGCGGAGGCACGAGATGGACTCAAATGGTGCTGCAATCCGTCAGAATAGCGATGGTTGAGTGTGTTGTGTCATATCATACGACAATGAGGAAGAACCGAGCACGCAAAGCGACGCTCGGCAATCTCTGCAAGACACAAGAGAAGTTACGGAATGTACAGTGTTAAAAGAGTGGCATGTGCTACCTCAAGCCCCTCACGGCAAGGAGGCTTGAGGGGTATTTATGCAGCCATTCGTGACGGCTACGGCTAGTCACGATGTCAGGATGGCGGACTGGGAGAGCAAGAGAGGCGGAGAAACCGCAGTACTGAGAGAATGTGTCCGAGTAACGGGAGTCGATGCTCGTCGAGCTCGATGAGATCTCGCACCGCTTCTTGGTCTCGGACCACGTTCGTCTTGCCAGCTAATACAACTTCGAGATACAGAAGTAACGACTCCTCGACGTCAAATTTTGCTGTCGTTCAACTTTCATGAAGAATCGGAAAATCTTTGCGCGCTCGTTGCTCAGAAAGAGGGAAGACCGCTCGGGCGGACTTCGGAGCCGCGACACATTGGGTTAGCTCGTCACACCTGAGGCCTTCACACCTGAGGCTTTGATATCAAACAGTCATGAAATGCCTGTGGTGGGTTTGAACCTTGAAGAGTAAGAGTTGCGCTGTGACACTCTGCCGTCATGCCTGTTGGTGGCACCCGCGGTCCTGTGCCAGTGCCTTCAAAGGTAACTTTATCTCATGTGTACCAAAAGCTCACAATAGAAATGCTGAAATTCTTTAGGCCGGCAGCAGAGACTTGACCAAGGAGATATTAGAGAAACTCGAAAGTAAAACGTCCATCAATACTGCCGAAACTTTCAGCGATGTGCCGCAGATCGAATTGAAAGCTGCACTAGATCGTCTCAACTCACGTTCCATGATAGAGTAGGCTTTCACCATGCGCTTGTAAATGCGATGAACTGACATAGCTGGGCCAGGTATGATCAGAAGGCTTCAGAAAGGGTCGTGTTAGAGCCGGAAGGTGAAGAAATCGTTGAAAACGGCTCCCATGAATATCGTGTGTTCATGGCAATCAAGTCTAATGGCAAAATTGCCATCAAGGACCTGCCGAATTTCGTTGGCCCGGATGTTGCCAAGTTTGGTCAGCAAAACGCCATGAAGCACCGTTGGCTTAAAAAGGACGGAGATAGCCTTTCTTGCGCAGTAGATGATGTTGAAGACGTCACCAAACATGCACTTGAAAAAGCTCGAGCGACCGGTACCATCTCAGACCCAAAGCTTCTAGCGGATTTCAAGAAAAAGAAACTGGTGAAGACGCAGAAGAGCTTTACATACATCATTCGTAAGGGCGAAAAGTACGCAAGGGAAATCCCCGTCGAGCACACAGATTTGACCTCCGAGATGCTGGCGAATGGGTCATGGGAGAATGCCAACTTCAAACCCTACAATTTCAAAGCCCTCGGTGCATCACAAGATCCGGGAGCTTTGCATCCCCTAATGAAGGTCCGTGAAGAGTTCAGAAAGATCTTTTTCAACCAAGGTTTTGTTGAAATGCCGACGGGACGCTTCGTTGAAAGCAATTTCTGGAACTTCGAGACCCTCTTCGTACCTCAGCAGCATCCAGCAAGAGATTCGCAGGACACTTTCTTCATTAAGGATCCCCCCAAGGCCGATCCACCACGAGAGGACCCACAAGCGGAAGCTGCCATGGAGGCTATGGAGGCGAGCAGTCGGAGACTGTACGAGAGCGCCGAGAAGCGCGAGAAGAAGCCTCGGAACTATCAACAGTACTTCAGCGATGTTGAAAAAGTTCATACAGATGGAGCCTTTGGGTCGGTCGGATACCGAGCGCCCTTCGATCGTGACGAGGCACTGGGTCTGGTTCTCCGGACGCACACCACCGCAATCAGTTCGTGGGTGCTGCATCGCCTTTCCGAGGACCCTCGCCCAGCGCGGTATTTCTCAATTGATCGAGTTTTCAGAAATGAGGCCGTGGATAACACCCATTTGGCAGAGTTCCACCAGGTAGAGGGTGTTATCGCTGATTACGGCCTGACGCTCGGTGGCCTCATGAAGTTCATGGAGGATTTCTTTGGCAAGCTTGGTATTTCTGGATTAAAGTTTAAACCTGCGTACAACCCATATACGGAACCGTCCATGGAGATCTTTGGTTTCCATGAAGGCCTTGGCAAGTTGATAGAAATCGGCAACTCGGGCATGTTTAGGCCGGAGGTATGACAGACCAAAGGTAATCTAATTGTATGCGAAATGCTAACATTATACAGATGCTACTGCCAATGGGGCTGCCAAAGGACTTGCGAGTCTATGGCTTCGGCTTATCTTTAGAAAGGCCAACTATGATTCGCTACAAGGTACGTGCTCAACATTTCCTTCGCAGAGAAGCAGCCATGCTGACCACGATTTCTTCTAGGTCTCAAACATTCGCGAGCTGCTTGGTCACAAGGTCGATTTATCTTTCGTTGAGGCACAACCAGCCGTTAGATTAGACAAGAATTAGGAAGATATGATTGAAGATAGGCGTAAGATAAGAGTACTACGACGCTGCTACTCCTGAGGACTCATGATTAAATGAGCATAGCGGGAAGAGCGGAAGCAAAAAAATTGTCCAGATACAGCTCTGATGAGTTCATGCTCATTAGATTAGTCTTCATGTCTTTCATATTCATAGAGAACATCATCACAGGATGGCCTTTCGAGCCAATATCGTACAAAATATCCATGAAAGCATTAGCCGCCCAGACGACGTCCTGGGCCTCGGGTATTGCTCCAGCTACTACCCGAACTTGCTGGGGCTTGTTGTCGGGGCTGAAATGCCGTCCCATAACTTCTTGTCTGCGGCGTTGGACGTCCGCTCCCGATGAACCATCTCTTGACGAAGTCTGGCGTCTTGAGCCAGTTGCTACCTCCTCCAAAGGTAGGCCATATCCTGGTAAGAAAGTCATAGGCGTGTGCCGCAAGCAGGCCACCAAGCTGAAACTTCGCAGCATGAGGACCATCCATGACGAAGGTGAGTGCAATGAGCGCGTACGGGAGATATTTTGCAGGAAAGGTGAGGATGTAGATGGTGACATTTGAGTGCGGGTTATCCTGTGAGAAGGTATATGCGTAGGCAAGAATGAGGGGCTGCAGGAAGAAGACACCACCGAGGAATTTCCCGCATACAACCTATTGTTTCAATGCAAGTCAGCACAAAGGATCATCGAAGCACTTCACGAGGAAGCACAGAACTTAGGTAATAGCGACAAATGTAGGGCGCTCTTTACCCGCAGGGCTAACTGATCAGTCCTTCGGCATTCTCGAACAAACCCATGTCCACACCCGCACAACCCCATTGATTGAGATTTGCGAACGTGAGGCGTGGGGTGTGGAAGGTACTCTCCCTCGACTTCAGGAACCGCTTCAGCTAGGAGAACTGGGCGGGCAGATACGCGAGGGTTACAAGGCCATAAACAAGCAGCAGTAGGAAACAGACAATGGAAAGTGACAAATAAAGGAAGAAACGTACAAGAATGAAGGCCATGACGAAAACGTTGTACACAAAGAAGCTGCCGGGCTCCGAAAAGCGTGGCGAGCCGATCTCAAGGCCGCTTGCGTACGTGTAGAGGAAGTACGGGTCCATGAGAAGACCAAACTTTGGCCCGGTGACAAGAAACGACGAGACAAGGCGCCATATTTGTGGGAATTCTCTGGTCGTGAAGACTAATGGGCTAAAGAAAGCGACGTAGACGGGACTGAGCATCCCTCCATGAACAAGGATGGAAGTGCCCACTGTGGCCGCAACAAGCGTCCTGCGGATGGCGTGTTAGAAGGTGAGCAATGTCATCGGTTTAACGTCGGTTAGGACGTGGGAGAGGTGAATACGGTACCTCGTAACCGGTGGCCAGCTCCAGAAGACGTCCATAGTTCAATGATCCTGTGGAAGATGTTGTTCAGGCGTTGAGAGAAGTGAGCGTTCCCGGAGCCTGGAAAGGCCCAGGTGGAAACAGGTGGAAGGGAGGAATTTGTGGTGTGCTGGAGCTTTCCATCGTCTTTGATCAGCAATCCGCTAGCACGCAAAGGCGCGCGTTCGGGCCATTTCATGCCTCAGGCCACTAGTGTGTTTCTAACCGCCGGCCGACGTCAAGATTTGTTAAGACATTAGTTAGTGATCGGACGGATAAAGTGCAAACCGTTCGTCTGTCGTCCAGATCTTAGACACCATATCTTTTAGCTAGAATGGCTGAGGCAGCAGCGTCCTCAGATGACCAATCCCTTATATCTTCTACAACACAGCCACTCACAGCTCAGAGCGGGCAGGCACATCTTAGTGGCAGCAGTAGTCCGAAGGCCAAGCGGGAACATGACGAAGCAGACGAAGCGACGACAGAGCAACCGAACAAGAGGCAAAAGGTCACCGCCAACGGCTCAGCGCGCGGCGAGATTTCTAACCATGGCAACGGAAAGCCAAAGGGAGGAAGTCACAATGGGCTACCGCAATTGAAGCGGAGCCTCGAGCAGTTCTTGCGCTTTGTCGAGAAGTCGGACGATTTCTCGGAAACTGCAGTAGACTGTGCACGCAAGCTGTACGGGCTGCTATTTGAGCCCCACGAGACCGGATTCAAAGGCTACAAGGCTGAGGCGCCGACTTCATCAGACGCTTCCGCTGCCGCTGCCGCAGCTTCTAAGCAAGAGGCCGAAGACGCACTGAAGAACCCGCACACTGCTGTACCACCGCCTTTTGCGCTGCCCGACAAGACTAAGTTCGCAAAGGGATCCGTACCAGCCTTGGAATCCTTGAACAAAGATGTGCCACCAGCTTCTAGTCTTCCACCTGTGCCTCCGGCGCACAACTATCAATCTACAAATCTTGTGGCCGCACCCTCCTCTACCGTCCTACCTCAACTTCCGCAGATCACCAACGTGGCTCTTTCAAACGCTCCTTTTATGCACACCAGTGCTCTTCCCGCATACGTAGCCCCAACCGGCACCAACTCGTACGAACCACTCGAATTTCTCGGCGATGCCTACCTCGAAATTATAGCCACACGCCTCATTCACTCTCGTTTCCCTCTTCACAGTGTTGGCCAAAAGGCTGGTCTTCGCGAGCTTCTCGTCAAGAATGAAACTCTTGCTGAGTACGCAAACGCCTATGGTTTTGGCGAGCGAGTCCAGTCTGCACAAAAAGACCGTCATGGGTCTGCTTGGACAAAGATTCTTGCCGATGTCTTCGAAGCATACGTGGCATGTGTCATCATTCAGGATGAATCTTCTGACGCAGGTTTTGTCGCCGCTGAGAAATGGCTAACTGAACTATGGGCACCCAAAATTCTGCAGTGGCGTGCCGCAGGAGATGGCGCTCAAGACCTGTCCAAGACGGGCACGCAAACCCTTGATCCAAAAACAGATCTGAATCGCCTGCTTGTAGGAAAAGAGGCGAAGCTAGAATACCGTGAAGAAAAACCGATGCAACTCATAAAGGAGGGAAATCGCACAATTTTCTACATGGGGGTCTATCTCACCGGCTGGGGCTTTCAGAACCAACACTTAGGAAGCGGAGAAGGAAGGAGCAAGCAAATTGCAAGCACAAACGCGGCGGAAGACGCGCTACGATCGAGCCAAGACATTATTCAGCTCGCACATCAGCGGAAAGTGGCATTCGAGAGGCAGTTCAAGAAAGGGGGCGGAGGCAACGGTGGAGGACACAGGAATAAAGTTTATGGAAGGGGACGAGCAGGTTTCCATCAAAACGCTGGCACAAGCTATCAGCAACCAGTGCCAGGATACCAGCAAGCACCAGCGCCAGCGCCAGCACCAGCACCAGCACCAGCACCAGCACCAGCACCAGGAGGCTATCCAGGTTATCCACCTCCGCCGATGAATTATGGCTCCCCACCCAATCAAGGTGGTTGGTACGGATATCGCCAAGGTTGACATAACAAGCGCTCGTGACAGTTTCTCCGAGCTAGATGCTCAAATGACATCTGCAGTTCTCCTGCGCCCAACGCTTTTGTCGCCTCAAGAAGGAACAAAACGAATCATAAAAGCCAAATACTGTAAGGGAAGATGCTTCGTAACGTGATAGACGATACTTCTGCTGTGTCCTGGACCAAAATCCCAACCATCTTGATCTCTTAAACCTGGAATAGAGTGGGGTGTGAGGGAAGGGGTACACACTGGCAGTGTCCCATGTCAGGGCAGCAGAAATATTAAGTCTCGAAAAGAAAAATACCCAAAGTATTTTTAATTTTCAAATTTTAGCTCCCCATCTCCTCGGGCCCTGTTCACATAGTAAGAGACCGCGCTTGTGCTAGGTGTTGCATATCTTGGTTTGCTTGTTTATACAAACCGCACACTGATCGCCTGCCCGATATGCAAGACTTGGCTCATCTCGCCGCACTCCTTGCTCGCTGACATTGAAACTAGGTCACTACATCGATTTGTTCGCCCTCGTACGTTTGCGCTGTGGCTCCTTGCCTTTGTTAAAACACTCTTGTGCAGCTCGTTGTGCGGTGCCTCTCATTTCGTAACTCGCATTTACCTTTCCAAGTCGCGTAGCAGAGATAGTACGTCCTGAGACCCTTGATGTCAACGGCAGACCGTCGAAATGAGTCTCTGAACACGTACAGCCTGTTTGACTGAAGCTTCAGCCAGAATGCTGGAGCTTCGTTAGCGTCGTGACCAGATTGTTCAGAGTAAATCATACATGTAGCATAAGTCGTTTAACCTCCAAAAGACTTAGAATCCAGTCTCATAGATGCTTGCAATTTTTAGCTGTACTTTTCTGACTCTCTTCTCTTCGTCTTCGGCCAACACTACAACCTCCGCCGTGAACGTTTCCGGATCAAAACGTCCCACCTCCAAGCCTTCACTGTCCCCGGCCCAATACTCTCTTGCATCAAAGACCCTCCTCAGCTGTGCGGCAAACTCACAGTCCGTGGCCGTCCTGCTGACGGGCGAGATGCCACAGCCGGTCATGAAGTGGAAACTCTCTAGTTTCCGCAGCTTCTTAACATTTTTCAACAGCCACGCCACCCGACCGTGGATCGTGGTTGCAGGCACAGGCCCAGACATGTAGTTGCTGCACACCGTGACGCGCGTCAAGCGTAATGCAGCAGGCATGTCGTCCAAGAAGTCCTCGTACAGGTACGGGTTGCTCCAGAAGGCGATGTGTCTCACATTCTGTGCCTGGCTTGAATTCAGCCGCTGACACAGCGTGTGCAGCGTGGCGGTGGAGTACGACTTGAACCAGTAGAAACACGACAGCCTGTACGCGCAGTTGAACGCCTCCGCATATATTTGGCGGCACGTGAGCAGGACGCGGAACAGAGAGGAATACGTCGAATAGTCCTTCTTGGGGAAGCCGAGAAGCTGCTGCTCGACGTAGGCGTAGCCATTATGCTTGAACACATGGTGAAATATGAGATCGCGGAGCTCGCGGGGGAGACCCAGAAGCGTGAGATGGAACGGTGGTGGCTTCTTCGGCGCGGTGGAGCGTTCAGTTGACCCCGTCCTTGGACTGGCGTCCCGGCTTTGATCCGCGACGAGGACATCTGTTTCGATCGTCTTGCTGTTCGGGAGCGGTTCCCGGCTTTGCTTCTCATCGTCATTCGGCTTTCGTCGAAAGCAGTCCAGCAGCCTTGTAATCTTCTTCAGCAGGCGCGTCCGCCTCCAACAAGGCTGAAAGCTCTTGGACCCCATTACGTCGTTGCTTGGGAATCACAACCGTAGATTCACACGCTTGGGGTTTTTGCGTCTCTATTTCGACAGTTCTATGCGGTAGGATATGGGAGATTCGGCTTACAGGCCATCAGAAGTCGCTCTTCAGAGCACCGTCCAGATTGATAGCGAATGCACATCTAGTGGGGCTCTTCTCGCAGCCAAGCCTGTCAGTCAATAAGCTTCCTCAGCCTCAGCCTTCTTTCGTGTAATAGAAGTTTTGATTTTCCTTTGGCTCGGAGGAAAGCATGGCCTGCTGAAGTTCGAAATTGGCTTTATCTAGAACGAGTATTGTGCTTTTGAGTTTGATGATCGTATATCTGAGGGTACTGCGTGCTGATTCGAGGGCTGGTCAGGTGAGGGGTATCCCCTTATTCTAGTGGTTCAACTCACCGCTTCTAAGGCACGCTTTTCGCTTCCTCTGATTCGCTTTTTCATTCTTCAAATTTAGGCCTTAAACTTGCTTCTCCTCGACGAATGTTTCCAACTGGAACTGCTGCATAGTCCAAGACCCGTTCACAGCAGAGATGCACATGCGGGGGCTTTAGCTTTGTCCCACCCAAGCGAACCTGGCCAATACCCTTTGGTAGGAAAATAAAACACAGCAAATGATAAGGAATGGAGAGAATATCATTCAGGACAGTGCTAGCACCAAGAGTAGCAAACGCCTGTTGATATTGATTCATCGAAGCTATCGTCTAAGCGTACAGAGCCGACTGCAGAGAAACCTCACTTTGCTTTTTGATCATTGTATTGCCAAACCGTATTGCCCTTCATGTTTCCCGCAACGCCGAAGTCCAATCAGAAGGGCAAGCGGCCTCCCGCTTAATCGCAGCCGGCCATCAAACCCTTGCTCAAGTCACTTTATGCTCTGGTTCCCACGCTTATGCTGCCATGTAAGTGCTTGAATCAATTCCTTCAGCTGGATACTCCGGAACGGCAACTTGGAAGCGCTTCTGAATAGACTTCAGCACCTCATCGTCCTCCTCCGAACTTACAAAAGAGATGGAGAGACCCTTGGTGCCAAAACGGCCGGCACGACCGACACGATGCAAGTAGGCGTCCGCATCCTTAGGCAAGTCGTAGTTGATGGCCAAGTTGATCTTCTCGATGTCGATACCACGACCAAAGACGTCAGTGGCCACACAGATGCGTTTGTTGAAGTCCTTGAACTCCTTGTAGCGCTTGATACTGAGGTGAAGTTAGTTCGTGATGTTCAATTAAGTGAGTGATGGGTGACGAACCGCTCCTCCTGACTGATGCCGGAGTGAACCGCAATGCTAGGGAAGTTGCACTCGCGGAGCAACCTGTCCAGTTCTGTGGCACGGACGGTGTTGCGCACGAAGATAATGACTTGGTTAAACTCTAGATTGTCGAGAAGCTCGTTGAGCTTGCGGTTCTTCTCAGACTCGCTAAGTTTTATGTAGTACTGTTGAAGACCGTGAAGCGTGAGCTTCGTTTGATCGTCAACATAGATCTCGAGAGGGTTCTGCATGAACTTCTTGCAGACGGGTCGAATTTCCTCTGATAGGGTGGCGCTGAACATCATCACCTGTTTCTGCGTCGGGGTAGCGCGGAATATTTCCTGGACGTCGCGACGCATATCTTAGAGAAATGAATTAGTGCTTTGAACATTAGGACCGGAACTCAAGCCGTGTACGTACCAACTTGGTCAAGCATCTTGTCGCACTCATCGAGAATGAACTGGCGAATGTTGCCGAGCTTGAGGTGCTTGTCGCGGACCAAAGCGTTCAGACGGCCTGGTGTGCCAACAATGATATGTGGATGGGTCTCCTTGTTCCTCAGGATTTCGATGTCCTTGTTGATTTGCGTGCCACCATAAAACACGCCCGTCTTGACATTGGGCATGTACTTGCCAAAGCGCTGGTACTCGGCGCGGATCTGGTATGCCAACTCACGGGTATGACACATGACAAGTACAGAGGTCTCACCCTGGACTGGCTCGATCTGTTGAAGGGAAGCAAGCACGAAGACTGCGGTCTTGCCAAGACCGGACTTAGCCTGGCAGATAACGTCGGTGCCCAGAATGGCTTGAGGGATACATTGTCCTTGGACTGCGGAAGAGAGTTTGTTAGATGATCGTCTCAAAAGTGTAGGCGCGAGGGAAGAAGAATTAATTCGAACGAGCGCCGGTCCATCCTCCACAGCATCAGCATTGTAGAAAATCCTTTCGAATGATCTACCCAACTAAGCCCAACATTCATCGCAATTCAACGTGTATCCATCTCTTGTGATTGAATTTCACAAACGTATCCTCCATCCAGCCACAACCCAGCTATCCGCGTGCCTTCTCCATTTGATCAAGTCCGAGGACGTGATGATGAAGCGGTATAATAAATAGTCCAAAGCATCGTACTGTGCCAGTGACTATGTAGCGGTTGCGCCGTTCATGGCGAGGGCTGCGCACTTCCTCGTGCTTCTTTTCAGACTCATTACATGAGGATGAAAATGATGCTATGTGACTTTTTTCCTTCTCTCTTTTTGCTTTTGCAGATGCTCGATGGACTGACGCTCGACCGACGGGCGGGGGTGAAGAACTAGTGATATGCAATGTGACTAACCCTCGGATGGATGTTCGAAACCGCAGTCCGTAATGGCACGGATCAGTTCTGGCTTGAGCAGGAAATCCTCAAAGCTTTGAGCGTGGACACCGGCATAGGATCCTTTAGCAGTGGTCGCGCCGGTGGTTGTCAGGTCGCCTTTCTTCGCGTCGCCATTGGAAGCGGCAGCGGGCTCATTTGGCTGAAGCTCCTCGTCGGAATAGTCGATGAGATCCTCTTCAGCGGACATGTTTACGTGAGGAGGGCGCTGTGGTTATATGTGCAACTTGTTTACTAGAGAGGCGCCAGGAGTGTGCAGAGGGTAGAGGAGTGTCAGCGAGCTCGGGCAAGCCAGGAAACTGAGTCCAAGCGACGATTCCGACTGGGAAAAAAGAACGTCGTAGGTGATATTGACGGTGGGGAGCGAAGAGAGCAGGAAGGAGGAGGGTGAGGCGGGAGAAGGCGTAGGATATGGGGGATTACAGATGCAGAGACCTCATGGATGCCTTAGGGAACTGGGCAAACAGAGCCTCACGCGAAAAAAGGTCATGTGATATCACGCACTATACCGTAAAGGACTTTGTCCTTTCGGCCAGGAACTCGGATCTTGTCTCTGCAGAGCTAGCACAACACAACAACTGATCATTGGACCCGACGGATCTAAGGCGCTACGTTTCAGCCTGGACTCCCGGCGTGGAGCATGGGCAAACAAAAGGCTGACAGGCCGAAGAAGGCCCCCCATCCGCACCTGCAGGCTCGACTGGCGTTTCTGCATAAGGCGGCCCAGCTTCTGGAGACCCAGCAAGTCTCCACGGACGGCCCCGAGCTCGAGAACGATGCCCAGAGAACTGGCAATCCCCAAGTAGTGGCTGCAGGCGAAGGGGAAAGGAGCAGCGACGTGTTTCCGTCTCACAGCAACCCAGTGGCGCGCTACCTCATGTCGCACACCATGGCCATCTCGCGCAAGACGAAGCTGCGCGTACCGCAGGATGAGAAGCGGACCGTGTGCAAGCGGTGCTCGGCGAAGCTGGTCGACGGACGAACGAGCACGAGCCGCATCGAAAACATGAGCCGCGGCGGGCGCAAGCCATGGGCGGACGTTCTCGTGGTGACATGCCTCACCTGCCGTGCGAACAAGCGGTTTCCCATTGGCCAGCAGAGGGGTGTGAAGAAGGAGGCCCGGCGGCTTGTTCTAACTCCAGGGCGTATTCCTGAGCGCTCAGCTGATGGATGAGCTCGGCTGCAGTTCGCCTTTGTTCACATTGCATTGGGCGACGCTGCTGCAACGTGAAAGACTACATGCCTAGAATGCTCTCATCATGGAGACGCATTTGGAGAAGGAATCTGATATGTATGGCAGACTAAATAGTGCATGGCTTCGCCAGAAGCTTTTTACGACCGCCGGGCGATGGTGGCCTTGTCCGCACCAAGCAAATACAGTTGGAGAGCAGAAAGTAGCTGATTCACCACGAGGGTGACACAATAACGACATTAAGCTCACTGCCAGAGGATGCAAAATATCCTTTCAAGATATGAAATTAAACTACTGCTAAAAGGAAGGTGTAACAAATTAGCACGCCCTCAGTCTTCTAGAGCAATCCCTAATTCTCCATTCATGATTCCCGTCATGACCTCCTCTACATCCACATTCCTTTCTCTCAACACCCATTCCAGTGTCTGCCCCCAAGTCTCGCCGTTATTCTCAAACCACTCGCCTAGGCCCTTGATGTAGCTCTCCACCATGCTCTTCAGTGGCGCATTCTCCTTCAGCCACAAAATCTGCTCTGGGTCAAGTTTTAGCATGTCTTCGACCACGTAGTAGTGTCCTATGTCATCGCCCCAGCCCTCTGCGCCAGGTTCATGGTAAGCCGTCGCGTGGTACTTGGATTGGTGATATTTAGCGATGACGGCGGCGCTGTGATGATAGCCTTGCTGCAAGGGGTTGCTATGTGTCGGCGGCGGGTTGTGGAATTCGCTCATCGGATAGGGCGCGCTGAAGGGTGGTGGAGGATAATTAAGGTGGATGTTGAAGAGGAGTTGATGGTCTGTATCCGGATACCTCTTCTTGAACTTACGCGCAATAGTGCCGTTGGAAGGGCAAATGTTGGTGTGAATTACGTCGCGTAGCACACTGTGCACGTCCGCAATCTCAGCCAGCTCCCTCGTAGACCAATTTCGCAGCAGTTCGGCGCGTTGTTGGATCGACTGCAAGTTCATGCGCTGGGTACGTGTGTGCTCATGGTTGTGAAAGGCGCGTGTGTACAGCCATAGACGGTATAATGCTCGACGCAGACGATAGCACTCGTCTGATGTCAAAAGCCTCCGATCCTGATAGTTGACATTCCACTTCTTGAACGGGTAGATGTCGCACCACTTCTCTGCTGTTTGCCCAATGCGCACGAGCTGCTTTAGCAGCGCGAACGAAAAGGGCACAGAGCGGACGATATGTGTTGGTTGGCTGGAATTATGCGTAACAAGCTGGATGGCATCCTCGAGAGGACCATACTGCGACTCAGTAGCACTGCGCAGGATAGTAAGCTTGCGGGACGAGCTGTAAATGCTCCGGAAGCGATGGCAGGTGGCTGAAAGAGCTAGTACGTCGCCGATCGAGCTGCAGGACAGGAAGACGTGCGAGATAATCTCGGTGGGAAAGTGTTCGAAATACATGATTGACAACGGATGGCTCCTTTTATCAGAATTATGTATGGTGGAATGGTAGGTTGAAAACTGGATTGTGATGTAGCAATTTGACCTCTGTTATGGTGGGGTGCTCTCTCCTGTATTTCTCTTCTCGTTGATCTGGAATAAATTCTTCTTCTTCTTCTTCTTCTTCTTCTTCTTCTTCTTCTTCTTCTCTCCCTAAGATGTATGCGAAATAGCTAAGCGGTCCGGCACAGCAGTTCAGCTCCAAAAACACGTTTGATAGTACTGACACTGACCAACACCGCAGATTCTTCCAAGGTTCAAATGATACGGACCCCGCCGTTGGGGCTATATCTGAAAGTGCAGACATCGCTGTCTAGGAGTTCGTTATTGTATTGAGGACTGCTGCCCGAGGGGCGAGTGGGAGTCGTGTTAATCATTGTGGATTTGTTGTTGTCAGAGAGGAAAGGAGAGACAGGTGCGTTGACTGGGGTCGGAATGCTTAATGTATGTCTCTGCCGTGAGCGCGGGCCACTTTCGTCCACCGAACGCACTTTCGAACTTCTGAAACCACCGAGGGGATTAAACATCACCGTCGCTGCTATGTCCATGAAGGAACCTTTGATTTTGCTTAAAAAATTGGATTTTAGGTCTCCACATTCATTGGTGATGTTCACAAGAGCGGTTTCTCCGGTGAAATTGGAGTCGCGTCTTCTGCAGCTCCCGCTAGGTATTCGGCCATGACACCAATACCATCTCAAAAGGAGCGTTGCTAAATCTCCACGCGCACAGAGCTTAGGAGGCATATATATTCGTACATTCTGCCATATACTATCAGGCTGAAAAAGCAGCAGGACCCTGTCTCGCTGCATGCCACCGTATTGTGGCTTCGACGCTCCACAACCATTTTGCGGGTCTGTCGTCAAGTCCACGACGAGTGCGCCGACGTGCTTTACGGTACCAATGTGTTCGTCATAGACATCACATTTTCCGTGGTTAAGTTTCACATGACCTGGCTCACGGCCAAAGGTCTCAAGCCCAAGATCTTGCATGACTTTCCACATATCTTTGCCAGACACAATGTTCAACGAATTCGAAATTATGTCTTGAGAGTCGAGCACATTGATCCGTACCAGGGCTGGATTAAGTACAACTGCCAGGGTCCGATGTTGACAGCAGGTATCAAAGACAAAGTGATGCAGTTTGTACGAGCAATCTCTGTGGCGGATCTAGGTAGTTTGTCTGTACAGCTGATGGACGGTAATCCAATTCTGAAAGACCTCAGAAGAGGAACAACGGCGCAGCGAGTGGAACGAGGCAAAAATGTCGCTTCGATGCAAGAGGTCCTGGAACCTTTGATGCTACTGCACGCAAGTTTTGTTGAGATATCTGGCGCGTTGCTGCCAGAGTATGCTACCCGGTTGAAGAGGGCGATCTTGCAGGAACCGAGGGTGCGGGACGTGGTCATGGCAAGCGTGGCTCCTAACATTGAACCGGCAGTGCTTTGGAGGTGGCAGATGAACTGGAATGCGTAGATGTAGGGGGGCTCAATCATGCAAAGAGCACCGAGTTGTCTAGTGGATCCTTTTGCTTCTTTATGCCGCCGTACGTTGTCAAGCCCATGTCTCCTCGCTTGTTCTTGTTCTGCAACTGTGCTTCCGTCCTGCTGTTGTACCGACCTGCCTTTGCCTTGCGTATCTCGGAGCGAATCTGGTTCGGCGAGACAAACTCTTTGTTTTCATAGATGACCGGGCCGCCGAAACTCGACTCGAGAATGACAATGGGCGTCAGTACGAAGCGAGGACCAATCTCCACTAGGCTGATGCTAGTCTCGCCTTTCTTTGGCGCTTCGTCGGCGGGCGCGTCACCCTCAGGCACCGCTTTCAGCTTTGCCGCGTCTTGCTTTCCGACTTCGGTCTCGGTGATCTGGTAGCACCGGATCCATATCCTACCCTCTGCAACTGTGAATCCCATTACATGATCGATGAACGGCTTTGATTTGGGAGCGCCCTTGGGCACGCCAAACGAATGCAAGAACAGCTCTTTAATGAGTGCCAGGTGCGGCTGTTGGTCAAAGGCGGCGTCGAAGGAGAGAATCGGTCGAGAACCCTTCAAGCAGTTGCCGGTGAAATGAAGCTCGTCCATAGTGTGCAAGTTCTGTACGTGAAACTTGACGGTCGGGCCATTTGGGGGCTTGCTCATCCACGCGTAAAGGTCCTTACCCTTGCGAGCCTCAAAAAAGAGTACATTGTTGCAGTTGTACAGTTCTGCAAGTTCATTGAGCTGGTAGAGCTTGGTCTTGGTGTCCAGCTTGGCCTCTTTGCGGGCATGCGGCATCATGGAGGCGAGGTCGTTCAACAAATGGCGATGCCTTTATCCGTCGGTCAGACAAGGATTGGAGAAGAGGACAAAGGCGGTTATCTTACCGGAAAGTAACTCCTCTCGAGGTGAGCATCAAGACTCTCTGACGGTTCTCGTGGGCTACGGCAGTCGACTTTTCCTTCTTACCGTCTCCCGACAGAGCTTTGTATACAGCTGCCATGGTGAGTACGCGCAGCAGAGCTCACTGTTTTGTTCGCGTGAATCCTTGCTCAACTCCGTACCACTTGCTCCGCTGGTGCAATTGCTTGGTCTTTTTCGTCTCACAGTGCGTTGTGGCCACGGCTGGGACGAGATTTCTGGCTAGGTCTCCAACAGAGAGATTTGATGCTCGCGATCAGAAAAAAAAAGTTCAGTGGTAGGCCGTCGAAAGTCCAGGATCTGAAAGGGGCTAAACCCAGAATGGACTAGCCGCCGCCATCGTCCAGACGTCCATCGTGGAGCCACCAAAGGCACAGAATGGGACAGGAGGAAACCGGAGCCTGGGTCGTTCTTGGGCATGTCTGGTTCATGCAGGCCAGCTCGGTGGGTGCGATCAAATGACAGTGAACGCCGGCGCAGTTCAGAAGAGGATGCGAACCGTTTGCAGGCGACGCACGGCGGGTTTCAGACGCCGCAAACGCTAAGATGACTTCTTGCAACACAGCACCCAAGCACCCAAGCATGCGCGAGAAACAGGTCTTGAGCAAACCCAAGAGGGCATTACTACACGCGGATTTGTCTGGGATTTGGCAGAGCGGCGATCGCTTCGGGTCTTGTTCATGGGGCCAGCTGCCGGCCAACCGATCAGTTCGGCGACGCACAAGATGAAGCCTAACGAAGGATGCCAATGGAAGATGCAGACTGGACTGCTCACGCACTTTGCGTGCACGGTAGTGATTGTGGTGTAGCATTGTGCGAGCATCAGGAAGAACGGATGGGCCAATGTGCAGATCGCTTCTCTCGGGGCCATTTCGTGTTGCTGCTGCTGCTGCTGCTGCTTGCTACGAGTTGTCCTGATTGAAAGGAAGCCGTCCAATGTAGAGGCTAAGTGTACGGCCCACAAGATGAGTTAAACCGTACAGGGAGACCACAGTCAGGCTTCCACACCGCTGGCGGGACGACCATCATCATCACATCACTGCAGCTCCAAGCTGCGCACAATCGTGGCCGAATGGGCAACAGCACGCAGACCAAGCGGGTCGGGGGATAGAATGGAAGGGAGTCGACGGATGCACAAGCGATGCGATGCACAGTAGTTCGTAGATTGTGTCCGGACGCAACAAGGCGTGCTTTGTAGGGGCGAGTGCGTGCGGAAGAGGAGTGGTTGGCCGCCGTGGCTGATGGCTGCTGCTGCTGTCTCCTCTCCGCCCACGCGCGCCCCCCCAAAAGCCAAAGAGCGAGCGAGACAATGGCATTAAGTTAAAGCTGCGCTGCGCGCGTTCGCTCTTGTTCCTCTGCTTGACACTCCACATCGACACGCAATATTACATCCCGGCTTTTGCTGCGCCATCAATCCACCCTTACTTTCCCTTCTTCTCGTCTTTTCCAAGCTGTTCCCATTGCAACCTGCTTCCCACTTTTAGTACCTCGCCGTCGCGCCCGTCCCCGAGACCGCCCTGCTTGGCCTTCTGGCTTCTCTTGCTGTGCGCATTCATGGCCCTGTAGTCGCTTACGGCTCCAGACCGTATTAGCGACTGGCCCGCGGCCATGTACAGTCACCAGCCAGTGTTGCAGCGGGCGAGGCGGTCGTCAGACGACGAGGCCGTGTCAAACACCAAGGGGGACACGTCCTACGCTCGGTCTCCGACACAGGCCTCATTTCACCACTCACCACGAGCTCGTTCGCATTCTAAACCATCAACGCCCCTGCACCCGCCTTCAACCTTCAACGGTATCCTCAACTCGCCATCTTCGCCGCACGCTACCCTTCCGCCCCTCGCGACTACCGTCCAGCCGCGAGATCCTCCTGCCTCGAATTATTATGATCCAACCCAAGACGCGGGCGACAGAGTTATAGGTCGTGGTGGAGCCCCCTACGAGCCCTTCGGACACGATGTAAGTCTGCAAGAAAAAATCATCGCCGCCATCAGAGTCAATGATGCAGATGGGAGGAGGAGGGAAGAGGAAAGCAGAAAGAAAAAAAACGTTCACTCGTCTATCCATCCATCATCTGCTAACATCTGGATTTCAGCGCGGAGAATCTTACGGCAACCACGGCGAGGCCAGAACAGCTGTGCCGGGTGTCTATGAAAAGCCGTACCCGCCTCAGCAATCTCCAGTCATCTCGCACTTCCCCTCGTCTCGCCGTTCGCCATCGCATCCATCGGCGCATTCTTTCACGCCTGCCCGTCAAGACGCCATGGCCGCCCAGTCTCCTATATCGCCACGGCCATATGTGCAAACCAACTTTGCACAATCCCAACCGCCGTATATACAGCATGACCGACGATCTCCTGTAGAGGTACGAAACAGATTGACGAGATCTTCGTGTTGATATAGCCACGCTGCTAACCTATGATCAGAAGACACCAAGCCGACCAGCAGATCCAATGTCCATCTCGAGTTTGATGAGCAATGAGGACACGCCCGTACACCGCAACGTTTCTCATTCTCGAAGGTCGTCACGCGCTTCAAATGGACACACTGTGCTCAAGCAGGAGCGACCCCCATCACCACCCAGCAAGTCTGTCCCTCCAACCCACCACGTCCAAGTGGTCCCACCAGCACCCGCCTCAGTCAATGGCGACGTCCATGAGCCCGTGCAGCCGCTCTCGTACTCGCGCTCGAGAGCCGATGGAAGGGAGGTTGATCTTGAGCTTGCACGTATAGACGCCGAAGGAGATAGCGACCTCGAAGCTGATGCCCGTATACGCTGGAGGCAAGACTACGTCGAGCGTGGCATCAAGCGTACGTTGGCTCTAGCCAAGGGAGAAGAGGAAAAGCGCAAGCGTCGACGCACGTACAACGAGAGACGCGCCCAGCTTGTTCTCGAAAATATCGCCGCAAAAGCGGCCGATGAATTCAGAAGGGCACACGAGAGCGCAGCATGGGCCGAGGTGCAGGCCAAGGAGATCGCGGATGAGAAGGAACGCAAAAAGGACATGCAACGCAAACGAAGACGCGAAAAGACGCGCCAGAACGAGCTTGAGAAACGCCAGGACATTCTCCAACGACTTGAGGACCCAAATCTAGACGAGGAGGAACGACTCAAGCTCGAACGCGAGGCCATCAAACATGAAAAGAAACTTCGCCACACCAATCACCTTCTGGGCAACGCACCTAGCGATGACATTCGCGAAGTCACACCCCTCGGTCACAATTTGGAAGGCGGCACGATGAGCACTTTCCAGATGGATGAGGCATCTAGCTCACGTCGTGGACGTGGTGGTCGTGCAGGTACTCGTCCACGCAAGAGCAAGGAGCAGAAGCAGGCCGAAAAAGAGCAGGCCGCTGCTGCTCAGGCCGCAATCGACCGTGGCGAAGACCTGCCTACAATCGCACCCAAGGAAAGCGCGCGCCTCGATAAACTCACTCACGCCGACCGCGAACAGAGCTTGACGGAAGAGTCTGCAGCTCCCGAGTTTGTGCCGTACACCTCAAAGGCGTACAACCAGCTGTACGAGTCGATATGGAAGGAGATTGCACAGAACGTCAAAAAGGTATATCGCATCAAGAAGGAGTCTCTAGAAGTGCGACAGTCCAACCTCCGCAAGACCGCCCAACTGGCCAGCAAGGAGGCAAGGCGCTGGCAGCTCCGCACGAACAAGAGCACGAAGGATGTCCAGGCCCGTGCAAAGCGTGGCATGCGAGAGATGGCGACGTTCTGGAGAAGAAATGAGAAGGATGAGTCTGCTCGCCAAAAAGATGCCATCAGACAAGAGCTGGAGAACGCCAAACGAGCCGAGGCTGAGCGCGAAGCCAACCGGCAGCGGCGCAAGCTCAACTTCCTCATCTCACAGACGGAATTGTACTCGCATTTCGTGGGCCGAAAAGTCAAAACGGCCGAAGCAGAGAAGTCTGGCGACGTTGAGGCAGACCAATCAACTGTCACTGCGGGCAAACCGGACTTGCCAGAAGGGCTCACCAGCGGACCGGCAGGGCCCAAGGTCACAAACTTTGACGAGCTCGACTTCGATGCGGAGGACGATTCGCAGCTGCGCGCTGCCGCTGCGGCGAACGCTCGTCATGCTGTCGAAGAAGCGCGCCGAACAGCACAGGCCTTCAATGGCGACGGCGAGCAGCAGCAGAACTTGCAGGCCCAGTTTGACGAAGGCGAGATGAACTTCCAGAACCCAACCAGTCTGCAGAGCATGGATGTTGCGCAGCCCAAGATGCTCTCATGCCAGCTAAAGGAATACCAGCTTAAGGGTCTCAACTGGCTCGTCAACCTGTACGAACAAGGAATCAACGGTATCCTTGCCGACGAGATGGGTCTCGGCAAGACTGTGCAGTCCATATCTGTTATGGCGTATCTAGCGGAGACTCATAACGTTTGGGGTCCCTTCTTGGTCATCGCCCCCGCGTCCACGTTGCACAACTGGCAACAAGAGATCACGAAGTTTGTTCCAAGCATGAAGGCTCTTCCGTACTGGGGAACAGCCAAAGACAGGAAGATTTTGCGTAAATTCTGGGATCGCAGAAGTGTTGTTTACCGTGAGGATGCGGACTTTCACGTCCTGATCACCTCGTATCAACTCGTCGTGCAGGATGCGCAGTACTTCCAGAAGATGAAGTGGCAATACATGATTTTGGATGAGGCTCAGGCCATTAAGTCCTCTCAGAGTTCCCGCTGGAAGAGCTTACTGTCTTTCCACTGCCGCAACCGTCTGCTGCTAACGGGTACACCTATTCAAAATAATATGCAGGAACTGTGGGCGTTACTGCATTTCATCATGCCGACATTGTTCGATTCGCACGACGAGTTCAGCGACTGGTTCTCCAAGGACATAGAAAGCCACGCCCAGAGCAACACCAAGCTCAACGAGGACCAGCTCAAGCGTCTTCACATGATCCTCAAGCCCTTCATGCTACGTCGAGTCAAAAAACACGTGCAGAAGGAGCTTGGTGACAAGGTCGAACTAGATGTTTTCTGCGATCTCACATACCGACAACGAGCGTACTATACCAGTCTGCGGAACAAGATCAGCATTATGGATCTCATTGAAAAGGCTGCCATGGGCGATGATCAAGATAGCGCGACGCTGATGAACTTGGTCATGCAGTTTAGAAAGGTTTGCAACCACCCGGATCTCTTTGAACGTGCAGAGGTGTCGTCGCCGTACTCGTTTGGTTACTTTGCAGAGACAGAATCATTTGTCCGTGAAGGCAGCAATGTTCAGGTCGCTTATTCAGTTCGCAACTTGATTGAATATAATCTCCCCCGATTGATGTATAAGGACGGCGGTCGACTGGATATACCTAGCTACAGCAACACAGCAGCCGGGTGGCGTGGACGCTACCTTGATCACCTCATGAACATTTGGTCGTCGAATCATATTCACGAGAGCGCGAAAAACGACGACCACTTCTCATGGTTGCGGTTTGCCGACATGTCTGCCACTGAAGCGGAGTTCGCCGCACGGAATGGAGTTTTTGAGCGTGCCGTGGACATGCGGAGGAAGAGACGAGACGTCTCCACGTTCGAGATACTCTACGATGGTACGGATGGTGATGACTACACTCCAGTCCATGCCCTTTTCCAGATTGCGGACAAGAAAGCCCGCAAGCCTTTGGCAGAGGTGACGAACGAGGGCTACATGAGCAATCTGCTCAACATCTCTCAGAATGTATACGAGAATTCTGTGTTCCCCGTCATGGAGACAGGATACAGACCTGCTGTCACCGCTCCTCCTATTGAAATATACTGTTCTAATCAGGCCCACATTACGGAGAGGCAGAGCACCCTGTTCAACAACCTTGTTCAGTCGGCGCTGTTCGGTATTTCGGAGAAGACGGAAGAGGCTTTGATCGAGGCAAAGGTTGACCCAGCTGACTACCCCGTGTTTGGCATGCTGCCCGCCCCAACGAAGCGAAAGGCACGCTTCACCCACATCGAGGTGCCCAGCATGCGTAAATTCGTCACGGATTGCGGAAAACTTGCCAAGCTGGATCAGCTACTTCGCGAACTCAAGGAGAACGGCCATCGTGTGCTGTTGTACTTCCAGATGACGCGCATGATCGATTTGATGGAGGAGTACTTGACGTACCGGAACTACAAGTACTGCCGTCTTGACGGCTCTACCAAGCTGGAAGATCGTCGCGACACAGTTGCAGATTTCCAGACGCGTCCCGAGATCTTTGTCTTCCTGCTCTCGACCCGCGCCGGTGGTCTGGGTATCAACTTGACATCCGCAGACACGGTCATTTTCTACGACAGCGACTGGAACCCTACTATAGACTCCCAAGCTATGGATCGTGCCCACCGTCTCGGCCAGACCAAGCAAGTCACCGTTTACCGTTTGATCACGCGTGGCACAATCGAGGAACGCATCCGTAAGCGCGCCCTGCAGAAGGAAGAGGTGCAGCGCGTTGTCATAAGCGGCGGTGCCGGTGTCGACTTCAACACCAGGAGCAGAGAGAACAGGACCAAAGACATCGCCATGTGGCTCGCGGATGATGAGCAGGCGGCGGAGATCGAGAAGAAGGAGCAGGAGATTGCAAACGATCCGAGCAAGGCGCAGCAGGCGAAGAAGAGAAAGGCAGGAGCAGGGGGTAGAAAGAAGGAGCTCAGCATGGACGACATGTATCACGAAGGTAAGACCCTTTCCCTCGTTTCTTCTTCATTCCCTTGATCCCTTCGTCGTCGCCCTCCGTGTCCTTTGTGGCCAACGGCTTGGATGTGTGCTGACGGAGGTCAACAGGCGAGGGCAACTTTGACGACAACTCAGCCAAGCCGTCGGGCGCTGCGACGCCCGTGTCGGCGGTGGACGGACCACCAGCCAAACGAAAGAAAGGCATCAGCAAGAAGGCAAAGACGCTAAAGCAGAGGCTTGCGGTTGCTGACGGCAGTGCCGACCCAGACACATTCCAGTAGACGGATGACAGGGTGCAGAAAGAAGGCGACTTGGAGGACGGAGATGTACGTAGACAAAGCTTTCCTGCTTGTATTGATATGGCGGGTTCCAAAAAAGGAAAGTCACGGGATTTGGCGCATGACAAGAGGAGTCAGGCCCGCTCGTCCAACTTCTCGTTGGCAAGGCTCGGCTTGGGGATTTGCGCTGTGGGACAAGAGCCATTTTACGGTGTTTTGCGGATGCCAGCCGGCAGGTAGAATCCTGGCAGTGTGTATCAAATAGTGCTGTGCCTTTCTTCCACGCTTGCTTGCGGTGCCGAACTGTCGACGTGCGGGCGGATGAGCAGGCCATCACGTGACGGCCGCTGGAGCTGACGGCGCTTGGGCCACCGTCTCATTCCTTGCCCGGGACTCTCTCACTCAAACACGTTCACCTCGCTCTAGGCGCAAGTCGAACGTTCACGAGCGGCATCCCCATCGCAACGCCACGCCCCCCAGCAACGCATAACACGTCCAAACTCGACCACTCAGGCGCCGTCTGCGTCGCCGCGTGTCGCCTTCTCGTCGCCGCACGCGCCCACACTCATTTGTCCAATTTTTTGCCCGACCCCGTCTCCGGTGAGGCGACGCCCTGCCCTCCCTCCGCACGCCGCATCGACAGAACGCGGCCGTTCCATCAAGAAGTACCGCCGTGCCATCGAACCCGCAACCACTCGACCCGCCAGCGTCGTCGTCGCGACCGTAGCCAGCCCCCCGTCGCCGTCGCCAACTGTCACTACCGCGCGCCTCGCCACGCAATTGGTCCTCCCTACCACCACAACACCACACTCGCGCAACTTCCGCGCCGGGCTACGGCCTTGGCTCTCCTTGATCACGTACGGCAGTGAACGCCTTCCGGGAGCCGCTCCACCGCACCCAAAATGGCCGCCGTCGGACAAGCCCAGCAGGCGATCAATATGGGCCCGGCCCCTCTGCCTGCTGGCATCACGCGTGAGCAGATCCAGCAGACGTTCGCGGTAAGTCTTCCCACCTATGCGATATGTTTGCCAGTCAAAACCATTCTTGCCTTCTGCTGCGCTACCTATATACCGTCGCCGCGCACGTGTTACCATAGTCGAGCACGACACTAAACCACCAACGCGCTGTTGACCTGGGCTCAACCTCCACCCCCGTCCCCCAGTGAAGGCTATGAGCCTTCATAATCTGTGCACAGATTGTCTTAGCCATGGAATCATTTGCGTCTTTCCGTCTAGGGGATTGGAACTGACAATTGTGACAGAGGTTGAAGCAGATGGAAGCAAGCGGCGTGCCCGCCGACAATCCAGAGTACCAAAAGGCCTACAGACTGATCAGTGCCGTACGACAGCAGACCCTTGCTGCACAGCAGAAGCAGAAGATGATGAACCAGCAACGTCTGGCTGCTCAACAGATGCAGGCAGGCGGCCAACAGGAGAACGGAACGGCGCCGCAAGTCAATCCACCGGCGACAGCGCCCAATGGCGCAAATGGCACTGCTGCTGTTACTGCCGCTACAGCTGGCCATGGCCAGCCATCTCCATCTTTAATCAAGGACAGCCCTGTGACGCCTGAGCAGATGGCGCTTCTTCGTCTTCAGATCCAGGCATTCAAATATCTTGCCAAGAATACGCCTCTGTCAGCCGAGCTGAAGAATCAGCTGTCTCAGGCTCAGATCATGGCGAGGGAGTCAGCCGCCGGGAAGCAACCTCTAGCAGCAAAGCAGCAGGTTCCCTCAACCCAAGCGCCAGAGTCTTCGGCTGCTCCGCCAGGCGCGTCAGCCGACAGTGGCTCATCCACAAGAGGTGACAAGTACGAGACATTTACGAACCCGTATAAAATGTTCAAGCCTCAAATTGGATATTCCGAGCATGGATATCGTTCGCAGCGTCCCCAAATCTCGAGCATAATACCCCTTGGCGTCGATGTAGTGAAGCTCCTGGAAGAACGGGAGATTATCTTGCACAACCGGCTCAAGTCGCGGAAAGCGGAGATCGAGAGCATGAGTGCTAACATAGCGGAGTGGAAGGCTGGCAGCCTCAAGGGTGGTGAGGATGCTGCTATCAAGCGCCGCCTGTTGATTGAATATCACAAGCTTCGTCTGCATGACAGACAGCAGGCGCTGCGCCGTGCTATCAGCCGCGAGATGATGAACGCGGACAACCTCGCCATGACTGCAAATCGTTCTCTATACCGCCGCCGCAAGAAGCAGAGTCTGCCCGAGGCCAGAATCACAGAGAAGCTCGAGCAGCAGCAGCGAGATGCTCGCGAGTCCAAAGAGAAAAAGAAGCAAACCGACTTCCTCAACTCCGTTGTGTCACAGTCGGAGAAGCTGCGCGCCGCAGCCGTCGCTTCTCACGCGCGTTACTCGCGTCTGGGACGTGCGGTCACACTGCAACATCAATACTTGGAGCGCGAAGAGCAAAAGCGCGTGGAGCGAACTGCCAAGCAGCGTCTGCAAGCGCTCAAAGCCAACGACGAAGAGACATATCTCAAACTGCTTGGACAGGCAAAGGACACGCGTATTTCGCACCTACTTCGACAGACCGATGGCTTCCTCAAGCAGCTTGCGGCCTCAGTCAAGGACCAGCAACGCAGCGCAATCAAGCGCTACGGTGGCGAGCACCCCGAGCCAGAAAGCAGCAGCAGCGAAGACGATTCGGACGGCGAGGAAGGCTCCCGACGACCAAAGGTCGACTACTATGAGGTTGCCCACCGCATCAAGGAAACGGTCACGGAACAGGCTTCAAGTCTTGTTGGTGGTACGCTGAAGGAATATCAGCTCAAGGGTCTACAATGGATGATTTCCCTGTACAATAACAACCTCAACGGTATTCTGGCAGACGAGATGGGCCTCGGCAAAACGATTCAGACCATATCGTTGATCACGTATCTGATCGAGAAGAAGAAGGAGCCTGGACCATACCTCGTCATCGTTCCTTTGTCGACGCTCACGAATTGGAACAACGAATTCGAGAAGTGGGCGCCCAGCGTCAAGAAGATTGTCTACAAGGGTCCCCCGAATGCACGAAGGCAGCATCAGCAGCAGATTCGATGGGGCCAGTTCCAGGTCCTTCTCACCACGTATGAGTTTATCATCAAGGACAGACCTATTCTCAGCAAGATAAAGTGGTTGCACATGATTGTTGACGAAGGCCATCGTATGAAGAACTCAAATTCCAAGCTGAGCAGCACAATCACACAGTACTACACCACGCGTTTCCGACTGATCTTGACTGGCACGCCTCTTCAAAACAACCTACCTGAACTGTGGGCCTTGCTGAACTTCGTCCTGCCGAACATCTTCAAGTCTGTCAAGTCTTTCGATGAGTGGTTCAATACTCCTTTTGCCAACACCGGTGGACAGGATAAGATGGAGCTTACGGAAGAAGAACAGTTGCTGATCATCAAACGTCTTCACAAAGTCCTGCGACCTTTCCTGCTTCGTCGGTTGAAGAAAGACGTCGAGGCAGATTTGCCCGAAAAGCAAGAACGAGTCATCAAATGCGGCTTCTCGGCCCTGCAGGCTAAGCTGTACAAACAGCTTGTCACGCACAATCGTATGATGATCAGCGATGGAAAGGGTGGTAAGACGGGCATGCGCGGATTGAGCAACATGCTCATGCAGCTGCGCAAGCTCTGTAACCATCCTTTCGTTTTTGAGGAGGTCGAAGATCAAGTCAATCCTAATCGTGGCACCAACGACTTGCTTTGGCGCTCGGCCGGTAAGTTCGAGCTGCTCGACCGCGTGCTGCCCAAGTTCCAGGCCACCGGTCATCGTGTCCTTATGTTCTTCCAAATGACACAAATTATGAACATCATGGAGGACTTCCTTCGCCTGCGAGGAATGAAGTACTTGCGGCTGGACGGCTCGACGAAAGCCGACGATCGCTCGGATCTACTCAAGCTCTTCAACGCCCCAGACTCTGAATACTTTTGCTTCCTGTTATCGACCCGTGCTGGAGGTCTGGGTCTGAATCTCCAAACGGCTGACACCGTCATCATTTATGATTCTGACTGGAATCCGCATCAGGATTTGCAGGCACAGGATCGCGCCCATCGTATCGGTCAGAAGAACGAGGTGCGAATTCTGCGTCTCATCACCAGCAACTCTGTTGAGGAGAAGATTCTCGAGCGGGCCAACTTTAAACTCGACATGGACGGCAAAGTTATTCAAGCTGGTAAATTCGACAACAAGTCGACCAACGAAGAAAGAGACGCAATGCTTAGAGTCATGTTGGAGTCGGCAGAGAATGCAGACAGCATGGAGAACGAGGAGATGGACGACGACGACTTGAACATGTTGATGATGCGTAAGGAGGAAGAACTTGCCATCTTCCAGAGGATTGATAGAGAGCGGGAGGAGAACTCGCCTTATGGTCCTGGCAAGAAGTTGCCTCGTCTCATGTCTGAGGAAGAGCTTCCAGACATTTACTTGCAAGAGGATAACCCGGTGGAGGATGCCATCGAGGAGTTCACCGGCCGCGGTGCTCGAGAGCGGACTCGCGTCAAGTACGACGACGGTCTGACGGAAGAGCAGTGGCTTGAGGCTGTCGACAATGACGACGATACGATTGAGGCTGCAATTGCTCGCAAGGATGCCAAAATCGCACGACGTCTGGCTAACAAGGAGAAGAAGCTCGCCGCCGCCGCTGCTGCTAACTCACCAATGCCGTCTCGCGATAGTTCCGAGTCACCCATGCCCAAGAAGCGTGGTCGCAAGCCCAAGGCCGAGAAGCGCAAGCTAGACGATATATCCGTCAACGGAGATGATGTCCCTCCACCGAAGAAACGAGGTCGACCAGCGTCGACCAAAGTCAAAGAGACGTTAACTCCTGAGCAACGCGCTACCATTCAGGCGATCATGGATAATGTTCACGACACATTGCTCGATATGAAGGATGAGACGGGCACGTACGAGCTGGCCAATCCATTTATCGAGCTGCCATCCAAGATCGATTACCCAGACTACTACACGCTCATCACACAGCCGATTTGTCTTAACGATATTGGCGATCGTATCAACAAGAAGTATTATCAGAGCTTGAAACAGTTCCGCCAAGATATCTCTCTCATGGTTCAGAATTGTCGAACCTACAACGAGGAAGGCAGTCAACTGACGATTGACGCGGGCAAGATTGAGGTTCGTTTCCTTACCAGGCCGTGCTTATGGTGAGCTGAGCTGACAATCAAATTAGGAGAAAACCCTTGAATTACTCAGGGAAGAAACTGAGGATAAGCCGGAGTTCCAAGACTTTGACGATGACAGCAGCATGCAGGACATTCGATCTGGTGCCGTCTCCAGCGTTGGCACGCCGTTGGCTAGTGGTTTGTCTTGCGGAAGTTACTCTACACACCGATACTAACAAACGTACCAGGTCGTTAACAATGTACCCGACAATGACCCACGACGACAAAATCGCCAAGGGTGATTGGTTTTGACTTTGCGCTTCCCATCTTTTTCTGATAGGGAGTCTCGTATGGGTGGACAGTTGATGTTGGGACTTCTTTCTTTTTCGGAACACTAAGAACAGGGGAGTTTTTTGTGTTGACTACCAAACAACCTTTCTCATGAGAAAAAAAGAAACCGGCGTCAAGATTGGAACCAAAGCGTAATTGGCAAGGGGCCGGCGCAGTCTGAAAGAGAGACTAGACGACTCACTCCATCAAACATACTCCGTCTGGCATTGTTGGCGAATGCGTATGTATGGGGATCTTCGACTAAGGGAGCAATTGGCTGATCGAGAGACATGGGTGGCTTCTACTGTCCAGTCCTACGTGCATGCTTGTGTGTACTATTTATGAATTGAAACTGATCACTATCTGAGAGCTTGCTCGGTTTCCTGTCATACTTTTATCAACTCTTATCGCATCGCCTTCTGTGTGATCATAACCATGACCGTGCACGCTATCCGGCTCTTTTCTTATGGAGCAAGGGTATCGTAAACTGCTGACACTCAAGGCATGTTTGCTTCCCAAAACGCCACCGTATGCTGTGCCCAAGGAAACCGTATGCGCAGACGTGTATCTCATCCGCCGTTCGAAGGAAGGGCAATGCAGTTCGACTACTGTTCGCGGGCAGCCTGTCATTCTTCGTCCTTCTCCTCATCCCCGAACATCCAGCCGTCTTCGTCCAGGCTCTGCACTTTGCTCTCCAAGCTCGCCATCAGCACCGCTTTGATCTCTGCGCAACACACCTTCTCGTTAGCCAGCCGTGTCCGCATGTATATTCTTCGTCTTCCTTCTTTTCGCGGATCGCGGCCCGTCACAACGGCAGGCGACGTCCCTGACCGGGTTCCACTCACGAGGGAGGGAGGGAGGGAGGGGGAAGAAGTGGGATGGCCAAGGACGTTTGCGCGCGAGACAAGCGTCAAAAGGATGGGCGAACTCACCGTTGTGGTCGACCATGCCGTGGTCGCCATGCTTGCGCCAGCTGTCGATCAGCCGCCGTCTGGCCTCCGCCTCCTCCTCTTCGGCCTCCAGCCTCGGCTCCACGGACGAGGGCAGCTGGGGCGCGTCGATGGCGAACGTGCCCGTCCGGGGATCGCGCACGATGATCTCGCTCCCCGCGTTGTAGCCGGACGACGAGGCCGGGTGCAGGCCGGCCGTCGCGCCAGAGGAAGCCGCCGAGGAAGCTGCTGCTGCTGCTGCTGCCGCCGCCGCCGCCACCGCCGCTGCCGACGCCGACGACGCGCTGACGTGTTGAGCCTGGCGACGCGCGGCTTGCGGGAAGAGGTTGCGCCGCACGCTCGCCGTTGCGGTCTGCGAGGGCGCCGGCAGCGCGTTCGACGCGTTCCGGACGACGGCTGCGTTCCGTGACGGCGCTCTCGAGGTCATCTGTTGGGGAATCCCACGCGGCGGATTCCTGCTTTCCAGCGTCGCTTTGAACTGGGGAACGGGCCGTTCGTTGCGGGCAGGAGGGAATGAACTGTCCCTCCTCTCTCTCTCTCTCTCTCTCTCTCTCTTCCTTTGTTTTTTCGTTTCCCCCCTCCCCTAGAGAGTGTGAGGTGTGGCAGCGGGGTGCGCGTGTAGCGTTTTTCGGCGCGTCGAGCAAAGGGGCCGAACACCAAGTTTCAACCGTCGTCGACTGGTTTGTGTTTTGTGTCTCTCTTTTTTTTTTGCTTTCTTTTTTTCTTTTTCTTTTTGGTTCAATTCACCGCCCACGAATCTGACAACCGAACGCGTTGGCCCTTTCTCGGAGTGGGGGGGGGGGGGGGGGGAATTGATTGGTCGCGTGCACATGCGAGGGGAAGGAAGAAAGAGAGACCCAGCGGCGTGACTTTTGCAAACGACGATTTCACGTCTCGAATGGACCAGAATTTCGCACGCTCGTCCAGCATCGTTACCGTCGGTTTTTTTTTTTTTTTTTTTTTTTGTGCCTTTCGCACATGCGGAGGCAAGTGATCGTACTACAACATTACACGACATGGGCGCGCGTTATGATTGTGAATGCGCTCGATCGGTCACGACTCCGCGAACGGACGAGGCTGTTCCTCAGCCTTGCGCATGTTACGGGAAATCAATGTCCGACAGGGGGCAGCAATGGAAATGGCTATCATCATGAAATACGACCGTGTCTCAAAATATTGTTCAGCCAGCTGAAATTGTTTGTTCTACTCAATCGTCGAGACAAATATGTAGCTTGAGAACCACTCCACTTAGCGTGAGACCAATTCGAAACGCATCTTTTTATTAAATGTTGTGCTGCCATACAAAAATGTTTGATACACCCTGTTATACCAGCGAGGTATCTGCGAGCCGTCTTTTGTGCGTGGTGCCTATGTGCAAGAGGCCTATGTACAGAATTGAGCATTAATAAAGTATGCAAAAAAAAGTGAAATAGTCTCGACAGTCGTCTCTGATCTCGCAGAGCTTGTTAATCTGCCTTTGCAAAACTTCCTTCTCTTTCCTCTCATCGCGGTCTATATGTCTGTCACAAGCAGAACGACGTTGTTGCTGTTGTTGCGAAACTGTACCAACTCCAATCCCAAAAAACAGACTGACTACCTACCACTTGCGGCAGTCAATCTCAGACCCTCTCTCATCGCGTACGTAGTTGGCGTGGACGGCGCAGGAGTGGCGGCTCGCGAAGGGGCAGCGCTAGGGACCGCACTTCTGTTGTGTGCCATATGAGCACGGACAAGATGACCAGCGGCCAAGGCTGCATTCAAACTCAGCTCGCCAGCCAGGACGGCAGTAGCGATGATGCGGGCAAGCTGTCGAGCGTTGTCACCAGGATTCGTGGGGTGCGGGCCCCGGACACCGAGGAGGTCGAGCATAGCGGCCTGCGGTTCCAGGATTGTGCCGCCGCCGATGGTGCCCACCTCGATGGACGGCATAGATACGGATATGTGGAGGTTTCCGTTGATGCTGTAGAAATTAGTATCTCGAACTTAACTTCTTGAGCTGGCGGAAAGATTTGAGAGAACTCACTTTTCCATAAGGGTAATGCAGTTGGAACTTTCGACGACTTGCGCTGGGTCTTGACCAGTGGCAATGAAAATCGCAGCAACCAGGTTGGCTGCATGGGCATTGAAGCCTCCAATGCTACCTGCCATGGCAGAGCCGACGAGGTTCTTGCTTACGTTCAGCTCAACGAGAGCCTCGACGGTCGTTTTCAGTACGCTCTTCACGACGTCGCCTGGGATCGTTGCCTCGGCAACAACACTCTTGCCTCGTCCGTCGATCCAGTTGATAGCCGCAGGCTTCTTGTCCGTACAGAAATTACCGGACAGGGAGATAATTTGCATGTCGTCGAAGCCAGCCTCCTCAGACATGACCTTGAGAGCATGCTCGCAGCCCTTGGAGATCATGTTCATACCCATTGCGTCGCCAGTCGTCGTCTTGAATCGAATGAACAGTTTGTTGCCGGCAATGGTGGTCTTCAGCTGTTGCAGTCTTGCAAAACGTGACGTCGAGTTGAACGCGTCCTTCATGACCTTTTGGCCCTCATCAGAGTCCACCCAGACCTTCGCTTCGCCTGCTCTTCGAGCACTCTCGAACTTTACGCAGGGACCACGCGTCATGCCGTCAGCAGTGAGTACAGTCGAGGCTCCGCCGCCTGCATTGATAGCTTTGCAGCCACGCGACGTACTGGCGACAAGCACGCCTTCGGTAGTCGCCATGGGGAGGAAGAAGTTCTGCCCATCGATGTTGACAGGCCCAGCGACACCAAGAGGCAGCGGCATGTAACCGATAACATTCTCGCAGCAGGCGCCAAGAACTCGCTCGTAGTCGAAGTGATGATAAGGAAGTTTTGAATGCTCCAAGAAGCTGGCCGTCTCTCTGGTAGACGGGGTCCTCGAAACCACAGCACGACGGATCTTCACAGCACGGGTCATGTCGCCGAGGGTCTTCTCCAGAGCATAACCTGGGATCTTTCCGCGAGAAGCGAGATCGATGAGCTCTTCGTCGCTCAACAGGTGAGCTTGTTTTGCCTTGACCATCTGCTCGAGTTCCTCTCTTGTTCGCTGATGGCCATCACCCGAGGACTGAACCGGACCATCTACCTCTGCCTCTTGCGGAGGGGTCTGAGGAGGTGCCACAACAACCTCTGGGTTCGCGACCTGCCGAGGAGGAACTTGGTCCATGACTTCGCTTTCCTTTGGTGGCTGTGCTGGTGGTGATGGTTCCTTGATCGTCCATCGAGCAGCATTGAACAAGTAACCATTGAGCACAAGACTCATGACGAGCGCCACGACGATCCATTTACTGAGAACGGGATCCTCGAAGCTTTTGAGCACCCCTTCGACGACCTTGCCGCCCACTCCGGCGTACAGCTGATCGGCATAATCACCCTCAAAGAAGGTCGAGTCATCCTTCCCGGTGGCGTAATGAACCGACGGATACTCAAGTTCATACTTGATCGGGGCGAAGACGGTGACCATTACTGATCGTGATTTGGCCTGTGCTGACTGAAGGATGCTTTCCAGGCCATTACCCGCGACCTTGAAGGGGTCAATGGGCGGGTTTGCTACCACGCTAGACAGCCCTGACACCAGTGGCCCGGTGGTCTTTCGGAACGGAATGCTGCACAAGTTGAGGAGGTTGATAAGAACAAAGCCGCCGACCATCATGACCTTGAAACGAGGAATGCTGCTGTCTCGTGCGTTGCGACCAAAGACAGGGTGTTCGTCAGAGTCGATTGGGTCGCTGGAGTCGCTGCTGGAGCGAGAACGACTCAGCTGCGGCCATTCATTACTCGCTGCAACATTTTCGGCGACTTTGCGGCTCACGCCATCATCTTCCAGGGCCTTACGCAGCGCGACATGTCGTTTGATCCGGTTGATCTCCAATTTGACCGTCAGAATGGACGTGTAGAACGTGAAGAGCAGGATGCAGTCGAAGAAGAGGATCCAGGCAGCCAGGAAACAGAACTGTCGGAGGCCTCCCTGAACTCCAGACGCGGCGCCACAGATCAAGATGCAGATTTCGACCAGGTAGTCACGGACAATGTCCGCGCCGCATTCCTTGACAGCCGTCTGCACGGCGTACTGTATAGTCGGCGGAGCAGCACTCCTGCTCTGGCCGTTCTTCTCCTCCGTCCATCTGCGGTCGAGTGCATGAGCAAGGACAGCTTTGGTGAGGATGATGGGCTTCTCAAAACCGATCGTGACGACCAAGAATGGCAGACCTTCGGAAAGCAGCACCATGTTGAGCGACACGCCGAGCTTGGTCGTGACGATCAAGGCGAAGAGGAACGCAAAGCAGGAGGAGAAGAGAACCGAGATGGCGAGCCATGCATTGGAACCCAGCCTCCGCATCGAAAGAAAGAGCGAGACGAAGGTCAAGTGCATCGAGATGTAGCCGAGAATCATGATGACGATGTCGAGCGTTTCAGCGTTCTGGCTTTGCTATTAGTGGAAGCGAGCTTGCACGGGAGGGAGCGACGACGTACCTTCAGCAGATCCACAAAGTCTACCCACGCATTCCGCATCCAACGCCTTACACCTCCAGAGCCCGGGCTTCGGACGGCCTTCATGATCCATTTCTTCTCCTCCGTCTTGGACCCGTCGTCAGAGTATCTGGCCTGAGAGGCAGCCTTGGACACCGGGATCTCCTGAGAGGCAGCCAGAAAGCTGGGGGCCTCCGAGAAGGGCATAGAGTATGCGAGCGAGGCATCTTGCGACATGGACTGGAGACGGCCGGTGGAGCAGGGGAGGATGCTTGCGGTCGAGTTTGAGGGCGTGGGTACGGATGCCGGGCGAGGGGCGGTTTGCGGCGTGGACGAAATCGAGTTCGGGAAGACGAAGGTGATGAGGGCAATGTTCTGTGCAGATCAGCAAGGCCTGAGAAAAGCACGAGTCGCCGAGCTGGCACGTACATCATCGACCGGCTTGTCAATTTCGCTATCGACCGGTAGCCAGGACCAGTCGTTCTCTGCGCTCGCATACAGCTTCTTGCTGCCAGCAAGAAGACTGTCGAAGTCCACACTGGCACTCGATCCCTGAACAGAGGAGCGTGCCTCGAAGAGACTGCTCTCCAGCAAGCCCAGGTAGGTCGTGCTCGCCAGGACGGCGACGCAGACTATGGTGTATATCGGATGCACAGTCGCACGTCTTGAAACGCCGGTCAGATACGGGTTCAGCTTCCTGCTGAGCCATGTCGGTTTGCGGTGCTGCTGCGGGCTCTGGTCGGCGGGCCGCCACCGCGCTGGTAGAAAAGAGGCTCCTAACATTTTTCCGTCGCTGTGTGTCGTGCTCGAGCTCTATCCGTCACGCTTCCATATATGCGCAGGGTCGTCTCCCGGGTGGTCGGACGTACTTAAGGGCTGGTGCTGCGATTCTCGTGCGGCAGCGCGGCGGACGAATGCGGTGCGAAACGTGACGGCCGCGTACTTCGAAAGCCCTCTTTTTTGCCGAAGTGTGGCTCAGATCCACAGGTATTGGCCGCGAACAGAATTCGTCGAGTCAATTGGCTCGGACGGCACGAGTGAGCGAGCGTGTCTTGCCCGTACGCGGCTCCCAGTGTTGAACTGCGGGTTGACGGGTGCGGGAAACGGCGGACGGGTTATCTCAAACGCTCGAGAGACACAAGGAGTGGCGATGCGACGGACGGGAGAGCACGCGTGCGGCGAAGCTGGTCTTTGAGCTCGTCTTGGCCCGTTCCGAGGGAAGAGGAAGAGGGAGCGGGGGGAGCGAAAGCGAGAGGGCGATTGAGAAAGAGAGCAACGAGTAGGGGCTGAACAAACAGGGTGACGCCGCGGGACGACGTTGGGGGAGAGAGGTGAAGATTGCGATGATTTCGTCTCGCGGTGTCACCAAGTCACTACGAGAAGCTAACTTAGCGAGCTCCACCGGCGTGTGTCCGCTCTCGCCCCTGGGGCGCGCGGATCCTCGCTGATCCTCACCGCCCTCAGGCACGTCGACCTCCCACGACGCTGCGTCGTTGTTCGGCGCCAGGACGGGGCAGCACCGCACAGCGCTGCGCAGAGCAGGGCGGCATCGCACCCGGACGCCCCTGCCGCCGGCGCCGTGTGCGCGCTGCCGCCCGCCGTTGCCCTCGTCGTCCTCGGCGCTGGCCTTGGGCCTCTTCTCCCCGCCCGGCCTGCCTACAACCGCCGCCACTCTGCCACCGCGCAAGACCGAATCTTGCACCCATCCCGACGATCCTCCCCACGCTGCTCAGCAATTCGTCCAGCGAATTGTTCCCGCCGCTCCCCTGCAGAGCAAAGAAAACCATCACCAAAATCGGGACGGGCTCATGGACGTGTGGCGCAGCGTTTTCTGCGTTCCTTTCTTTTTTTTTTTTTTTTTTTCTGCCACTGAACCCCTAGACCGTGGCCTCCCTGTCTGCGCCCAGCCTGCTTCGACATGCAAAGCCGGCCAGGCCACGTACTGGTGCCTACTCTGTGCGCTCTGCTTGACTTGCTACACTGATGTCTCCCGACGTCATTGAACGGACCGAACCCATCGTCTGTTGTAGCGCTTCCAGATCTTCCTGCCATGTCTAGATGGCTGGCATTCTCGCCCCTGATTTTGTCCTCCTTGCTCCCAAGCTCTCCTGCCAACAGGCTCCGGCTGGGTAGACCTGAAAGCCACTTGGGCCGAAGTACGGAGCGCTGAGACCGTGAACGAGGCCATTCAATTATCATCAACACTACCATTCGCGGCCACCAAGAAAACTCTTCACATCATCTGGACATGCCCGTCGCCTACGTGTCTGATGACCAGGCCTTGGGCTCCGTGCAATTCTGCTCCTGGCCGCTCGAGCTCGTCATGATGTTGGAGTCAGCCAGCAAGCGGCTCGTCCGGGAACAATGATGGCGGCACGTCTTGGAATTGTAAGTACGCGCCTGGGGTCTCCATGTCCAACCCTCAAGTGCCAAATACACCGTTCCGTGCGTCGTCTTGTTTCGTTTTTATTTTCCCTTTTATATCTTCGAACAAGTACGGACGGCGTCCGCTTTAAACCCCTACCTGGCCAAGCGATGCAGCCAGGTTTCGTCGGCCAACATGTGTGTTGAACCGGTCTTCAAGCTTGACAAAATCGCGTATGCAGGTCACATCCATTCGTCAGCAGCCGGCCCGTTTGCCCACTGTCTTCAAAGCGCATGGCGCGCTGCCTTTTGTTGCGTACCTGCCTTTCACAACTGTGACTACATGACATGACGAGAGTCTGGCTGCGGAATGTTACTCGGACGAGACAAGCGCCGGGACGGAATTGGTGGGCAAATAAGGACCTCGTCGTTAGATTGCTCATTTTATTCTTATTTTAGTCACGCTCCAAGTCAATACAAGTTCGTCCCTTCGTGTAAACCATTGCGTTTTCCAGTACGAAAACTTCTAAACACGGATGCGCCTTCGTCTTAAGAGTAGAGCTTCTTCTCGTAACTCTCCAAGCCATGAACATTACCCTCTGCCTGAGCACTCACCGTCCTTAGCTCAAATCTGACCTCGCCCTCTCGGACCTTCTGCCTCAATTCGCTGATGCTCGTGATGCCCATGTCTTGCAGAGAGTGCTGCACACCAGCCATCAGATACGGCACAAACTTAGTCACCGAGCCACGATCAAGGACGGAGCCAGAGACGCCTTGCGCAACAAGGAGTTTGTCGCCCTCAGAGAAGTATCGTGCGGTACCAGCATTGGAGGCTTTCGCATCCTTGCCTGTACCTGTGCCTGCGGCCTTGTCTTCCATGGCATCAATCGAGCCCATACCGCGATACGCCTTGACCAGCTGACCGGATCGTGAGACGTAGCTTTCGCCAGGCGACTCCGAGCAGCCAGCTAGAAGACCTCCCATCATGACTGTGCTAGCACCCAATGCCAGACCTTTCACGATGTGGCCAACGTTTTGAATGCCGCCGTCTGCAATGCACGGCACGCCAAAGCGCGCTGCGAACTGCGAAACGTTGTAGACAGACGTTGCTTGCGGTCGTCCGACTGCCATCACCTCCTGCGTGATGCACGCAGAGCCAGAGCCCATGCCGATGCGCAGACCGTCGACACCAGCCGCAATAAGGTTCGCAGCTTGTTCCTTGGTCACGACGTTTCCACCAATGACGTCCAGATTGGGGTACGTCTCCTTGATATATTTGACCATCTCAATCTGGTACATGCTGTTGCCTTGACTCGAATCTAGGATTACAATGTCGAGACCTGCTTCGACGAGCTTCTGCAGCCTGATCTTATCTTCTGGCCTTGTGCCAATGGCCGCTGCGGCGATCAGCTGCTTTGAGGCGGGCAGCTTCGACGCCAGAGGGTAGTTATGGTTTTTCATCAAATCCGAACGCGAGAGGAGCGAGATCAAGTTGCCCTCCTCATCAACAATGGGAAGTTTTCCCTTCTTCGACTTCTTCAGGATGGTGTTCGCCTCTTCCAATGTAATGCCCGTCTTGCCGGTCACCAGGTCGGTAGACATGACCACTGTCACTGGATCATTGTAGTTTGCGTGGAACTGAATGTCACGATTGGCAACTATACCAACGAGACGCGATCGAAGCTTGCCGTTCTCTGCACATACAGGTCAGCTGCCATCGAACCTTCTGTTCGAGAAACAGATAATGCATCATGCTGCTGCTCAGACTCCATAATACTCCACATTGCTGTCACGCTGGCGGATGAACGAAAGTTAAAAAGGAATTGTAGTTTGCACATCACTGAAACACAAATCATGCGTAAAGAGAAATGTGGTACATACCCGTTACTGGGAAGCCACCGAAGCCCCACTTCTCCTTCAAGGCACGGACTTCGCCAACTGTCGTAGTGGGTGATATAACGACGGGATCAAGAATGAACCCGTTTTCGAAGCGCTTCACCTTTCGGACAAATTCTGCCTGATCATCCATGGAACAATTGTGGTGGATTACACCCAGGCCACCGAGAAGTGCCATGTGGATGGCCATGTTATGCTCAGTGACAGTGTCCATGGGCGAGGAAACGAAAGGAGTCTTGAGTGTGATTCTCTTGGTGATGGGAGTATCAAGCGTAACACTTGAAGCGGGGAAGCCTTTGCGATGTTAGCAGCAAAACTGCATGTCGGTTCACTTGCGCCTACCGATGTAGCCAGGCAGGATGAGGAAGTCGTTGTAGGTAAGACCTCCATTTTCTTTCGAATCAATGAGCTGCTGGGCGCTCAAGCCATCCTTCTCCTTGTATTCGTTCTTGAGCACGTCGACAGCGCTAGCATAGTCAAGGATCTCTACGCCCTTGATGATCTCGGATACCGGTCCATCTTTGTGAACGCCGTTCATGTGTGGCATAGTGGAGAAACACGTAGAGGCAAGGCAGATGTGAGTATTTGTGTGCGACTATCTTATTCAGATGCCGGGGTTGAGGTGACCACCTTTTCCAAAGAAGAAAAAGAATTCGAACTGGGCCTCTGTCAAAATTTTGGATGCGGACTGCGGGTCTCATCATTCTAGGCTGCTTGTGGTTTAGCTTCAGGGTCCGCGTCGCTGGTGAAAGAGCGAGGGCGGAGAGGCGAGAAACGTACACAGTAATCAAAGTTAAAATGAAACACCAAACATTCACGGCCAAGCGTGCTCCCAGCTAGACGCTTGTTGCTCTACATGTCTGGTTCAGTGCTAACATCAGGACCTGCAGGCGTAGTTTCGGCTTTTAGCATGCCCATAAACACTTGATCGGAATCTTTTGATTACTTGGACGCGCGCTACTGGTACACCTGTTCGAGAAAACGGTACTCATTGCAAGGCCTTATCAGCCATTTTGTTCCGAAATTTGCCCAGTTTTCCCATAGTCCGGATGGACTTTTCAGGATCATCAAGGCCATTCTCTGTCAGGAAAATACTCAATTGATCTGATACCACATTCACTACCCGCTTCCATCTATGCATGCCTCATACAGACTCGTTACCGCTCGCTGGCTTCTCCGCTGTTGTATATGAATCTACATCGGTGGTTTGCGTTTTACTATCGTCTTTCGCAATGCCGGTCTTGAACTCCGTGTGTTCTCTTGACAGCTTGGCCTTCCGAATCCCTAAGCTCACAAGCAAACCCATTGCAGAGGCCACCGTATATAAGATCCACATCATACTGAAACTCTCTGCTTCAGCTTGCCGTACAGCAGGCGCCCACTCAGTATTATTAGCTGCTCCGACATACTTCTCACCCGCTGCAGATATCGCAGACCCCTTTGTCAGCCGCTCGGCTTCGGACTTAGGCACTCCTTCTGCAATGAGCGATGTAAAATGTCCTTGCATCTGCCCTTGGAAGACTACCTGGCCCAAGACGACACCACATGCGCCTGCAAGCATTCTGATAAAGCCAAAGGTCGCTGTACCAGCACCTACATGTTCGGGTTTCAAGTGAGTTTGAAGCGCGATCAATGGCGCGTGGAAGTTAGGCCCAAAGCCGATGCCGATGATAACCAGAAAACATATGATGCGTGCCCAACTAATGTAGGTAGGGAAGGAAATACATAATCCCAATCCTACCGTCATCAGGAATAGGCCACCACGGAGCAGCTCGAGATATCGCCCAGTCTTTTCCATGATCCATCCAGCGCTCGCGGAGAAGAGGGCTAGAGGAACAGCAAGAGCCAGCATCCAGGTTCCAGCTTGCAAAGCTGTAGCATGAAGAACAGTCTGGAAGTATAGTGGAACGAAATAGGCAACTGAGTTAAAGACAAATGCATCAAAGAAGCAAACTGCGAGCGCTGAAAGATTTGAAATTTGTCCGAAGATGCTGAAGGGCATAATCGGTGACGGAGAAAGCTTGAACTGAGTGGTGAAGAAAATGCCGAGGGTGATAACACCAAAGATGATGAGGCAGATAACAATGGAGGAGGACCACGGATATTCGATCCCGCCGAATTGAAGACCTAGGAGAAACATGATGGTACCGCCGGCAATGGTGATAGTTCCTAGCCAGTCGATCGATCGGAGGCCTTCAACGAGAGGCGTTTTAGGGTTGTGGATATCAAGGAAAAGCAATAGAACGCCCGCTGCAATACCGTCGGTAGGTACTAACCATGTTAGAGATCCTCAATCACGTAAGAAATCACTCGGCCTACAATTAAGCCAGAAACACCACCTCCAACTGACTTTTTCCGTAAATGCGCCGCCGAGTACAGGACCCAGCGCGCTAGCAGTGGCCCAAACAGCGCCAACAATGCCATAGATCAGCCCGCGCTCTCTGATCACCGTAAGCAACGCGCAGCGACGATTGTTCGAGGAATCTTACCGAAGACTGAATAGGTCGCCGACGCAAATATTGACCAGAATCACGATGCCACCGCCACCTAGGCCCTGAACGGCGCGTCCAGCAATCAGCGTGCACAAGCTGTTCGACAGCGCCGAAATCAAGCTACCGGCGATGAAGATGGCATTTGCAAGCATCAGGATGGGTTTTCTGCCAAAAATGTCTGAAATTTTGCCCCAGAACGGCACAGAGGCTGCGTTCGTGAGCAAGTACGCGGAACCAACCCAGGCGTAGCCCGAGTCTGAAATGTTGAAGATTTTTGCAATAGAAGGCAGTGCAGTGGTGATCAAAACAGTGTCAAGCGCGGCGAGAAAAAGAGCTAGACAAAGTGCGAAGACAATGGCGACAGTTTTTCCTCTGCTTCGATCTCTGGTACCTTGATGTTCAAGCGCATCTTGATCCATTGTGACGGCTTTGTCCATACAGACAGCTTCTAAAGTTGTAGTTGATCGTGCCATATTGATTCCGAGTTTTTGTCGGTGATTTGGAAGCAAGACTGGCATCGTTTGGATGTGGTTACAGAACCAAACCGAACGCTGTCTAGCTAGCCGGTGAATGGATTCTACTTTAATCATGTCACATGCTGCGAGGGCGGAAAGATTGACCGTTTATCGTCTTCCAGGCCAGTTACCCGCTTGATTCTTCCGCTTCGGCCTTCTTGCAGGTCAACGACCAAGACATTTTGACCGTCAAACTTGAGCACCAGCCGACGAGCATGATGCGCAGTGAATGGAACAAGGTTTGCTTTGACATAAACATCAATTAAGGGTTGCTCGCAATCGGCGTGTAGCTTCGCCAAGGATCACCTAATAGGAACGCAACTACTTCGTCACCTACACAATGCTAGAATGGTTCGGTGGTCTGAAGGGTCTAGTCCGGGGTAAGTCATCATGCGTGCAAGCGCGCCATAAATTGGAAACTTTAAGTTCCGCACTTCACGTTTCAGGCGTACAGCATGATGATAATTTACCGCTTTGGAAGTCAGGATTTCGAGGCTACTGCTAGCGACGTATACAAACCACGGCAGGCTACTTTCAGTCCGCGACGGGAAAATATGATAGTGCCTGCACAGACACGGAAAGAGTAGCGCAACGGTCTTGTAAAGCGTTTGTTTGCGAACCAAGCGCTACACGTTTGCTAGATTGGGTCACTGGATGAAAATGGATTCACTCTTTCACGGAAAAAGTCGCTGAATGCGTGTGCGAGATGGTAAGCGACTGCGCCTATTTCAGCCTGTCCTCTGCTCGACGTCGAAAAGTCAGATGTTGAAAGCATTGAAATTGAGCCAATGAGCGCGACGTCTGCCTGTCCAGGTTCCTACTTTCAGCATAAGGCCCTTGCTGTTGTTTAATGTACTCCGTAATGACCCTCAAGCAGAGAAGAGGAACAACCGTGCCGAGATGACAAGGCCGGCCCGTGAAATCTTGGGGAAGCACAAACAATGCTAAACCAGGAATCGCATTGACGGCCTGTCATCCTGTCTTCCGTTAGATTTTCTCGAGAGTGTCAGGTTTGACAGATGGTCCTATACCGCATCGTTTTGCATGTTTGGCACAGCCGTGATACAAGAACAAGCTTCCGGGACAGATCTTTAGACCAGATTGCTTATTTCAAATTTCTCCTTGACATTTCTAGCAGCGCAGTCTGGCGTCTGCACTGCGTTGTCTGTCAGTGCTTCGTACCCGCGCAACGTAACACTCTTCGCGCTGTTCTTACTGCCCATGTTCAGAATGCGCGAATGTTTACGATCTCTAGCAGCGGACCCATGCTAAATGGCTCTGCGAGTTTGTACTGAAAACTCACAGAATGACCAGTGTACCGGTGTTCACGCAAGATCGGACACATGCTCAGCAGGTCACAGTTTTTCGGGCTTTGAACCAACACCCCCAACAGCAGAAACAGCCTATCAATACCTGACCTGGGACATTTCCCGCATCGACACCGAAAAGTAAGTTAGCGAGCTGGAAATACCTAGATTAGAAGGACAGAGTGCTGAAGCGTCACGGAAACATCATCTCATTCATCCGAGGAAGATATGCTTCATCTGATTTGGCACATCATGCCAAGACCGTAATCGACTTGGTCGACATCTTTGTGCCTGTTCTCTTCAATCTGCGGCTGGCGATCTGAAGGTCTGCGCTACTTGTAGATCACGCCTAGCTTGTCCTTTCGACCAGACGAGCTGTGGTCTCACGGAGCGGGGTCATATGACCCCCAGACGCTTTGCGAGTCGAAAGAAAGGTAGACCCGAGAGCTTGCGATATTGTCATTGTATCGTCGACCACGTCGCGAGGCGGTCAGTCACGGGCATGGTTACTATCCAGCCCAAACCTTTCAGGTGCTTACACCTCACTTCCGAAGTAGTTGTGCTGCACCAAAGGTAGGCTGCACATGAAATCTTCCGGGTTGTTGCTCCCATACAGAACACCCTACCTTTTACACGGCGAAAATGACATGGCCGTCTTCCAATTTAGGTACTTCCATGTGTTGGAAAAATCTGTTCAGACATAACTCTGCCCTTGCGTTCAGAATTCCAACTTGCTTGAGCACGTCCATTTCTCAAGTCGGCCTCGGCTGTTGGCGATACTGACAGCGTCAGTCATGAAGAACTTCGTATGTTCCGTGCAGTGCATCAGTATCACTACTAGGCAAAAAGTGTACTGTTTCCTTAACAGCAGATTTTTTTCCCATCTCTTTTCGCAACTTTCATGATGCTTTGGCTGTGACATGGGCCTGTTTGTCGCCATATTTCAAGTTGCCGTTTATCAGGTCATATCTAGTGTCAGAGAATTGCGTTTTACGGTGTTCATCTAGTGTATTGAGATCGTTCACTCTTATTAAAGGTCCATGAATGACTTCTGGGATCAGCGATATGGGGATGATTCACTGTATGTAGTTTTCGTCAATGACGATTCTTAAAGTGTTTCATATTTTATATTGAAGCCAGAGCATGGTCCTGAGCAGGAATGTCTATAGCTTCACACTTACAAAGCAGACCGCGGATTAGTTTTACTATCGCAAGATTGTAATTCTACAAGTTCTGTTCCAGGCCATGCTAAAAGTCAAAATATGCTGATTCTTGCCATATTCTCCAAGCATCTCATTTGTACTCAAATTTATCGGTCGGGCATCATTAAACCTCTAGCACACCTCTATAACCCAGCTTCTTTTATATCGCTAGTTAGACTTTATTCTAGCACTTACGACCGAGAAGAGATCTCTCCAGGACAAAAGTATGGCATGAAGGTGGTAAACATTCATGTAGCTGGATGGACACCAGGTAATTACACAAAGACAATTGTAGCCTTCAGGCCACAGTCTCCTTCTATATCATTGACGAGATTTTGCACGGATTCGATGTGTACAGATGGAGATACGATCTTAGCTGTTTCAACGGAGGGAATGACGGCTCAACAAAATCAGCAGGATTCGAAACCAATCCTTCCGGTTAGAGTGTGTAGAAAGCATCCCAGCGCCTATGATGATGCAAATCCAGCCGGAATTCGGGACGATGTTCCCGTGTGCCTGATATGCATCTTCAGCATCACGGCACACCAGCCGTGCCTCCGAAATCAAGCGACGCTTGGCGTTGTGCCAGTCTCTTGCAGTAAGAAAATATGGTAATGAGAATTAAAAAGAACAACAGCCGCGAAAAGCCACTGCTGCTAATTCAGCATCCATGTCAGGGTAAGAACCTGGTCGTTACCATGTCATTCCAAAATCGTGCTGCAAATTGATCTGGGAGGCTTGCATCTGCGCCGATCACACGGGGATTGTAACGTAATCGCACAAGACCCTGGAGAAGCGATCTTCATGCAAAGCGGAAGGCCGGGAAGCTAGCCAACTGCTTTTCACTCGCGATGTGTTTTCTCGGGGAATATGCCACGTACGAAGATCCGGTGTCGGACAGGAGAATTGATATCCACGATGCAAAGTCCACTTCCCGGAAGAAGGTGACAAAATTAGAGGATATCCACTGGCAGCATCGAATTTCGGAAAAGGCAAGCTCTAATAAGTCTGAACAGAATATGGGATTGTCGCTTTGTTCACGAAATGTTAGCGAATCCATCACACTTGCAAAATCATGCCAATCCCTTTCAACGCCTGGAAGCCTCAGGCAACCAGAGCAGGGCTGTAGCAGCAGCATCGACTCCAAGACTTATGGACAGACAAGGATATCTCTGAATTGGACATATAAAGGATAAGCAGCCGTTGTCTGAACTCTTTAAGCGTATTTCATCCTTTTGTGACTCGTTTTGAAGGAGCGAGGACATGATCGAGTTGGGTCCGAATAGAACTGTAATTCCCTAACTAGAACGAGTTCTAGTCAATCGATAAGTAAGCGCAAGCAGGTCAAAGCTTCCATATGCGAAAAAAGTGTAGGCGTCCAACATCCTGCTAAGTCCACAATCAAAACATCATGACTGACGCGATTCAGAAACAGCCAATGTCCTTTCCCGCAGATGTGTTTGCGACACTAACGCCAACTCCATATCTTCTCGCTCATCTAACACCATCAAATTCAAAAGCACCGTCGCTTCGAGCGAATGGGAGGAAGCCTGCAGAATTCCGTTGTCCGCAGGTTAACACCAACTCCCTCACCCACTGTAATGGAAGTGCCGTAGTCCGATTAGGGGACTCTGCGGTAGTATGCGGGGTTAGAGGAGAAATACTCTTGTCCAAAGATGTTCCCAATCCGCCGAAGGTCGAGCTGCTGGAGAACGCAGCAATGGATGGTGCTACTACTGCGGACGTAGACGATTCAGATGAGCTGGCCTCATTGAATGTGCTCGTACCAAATATAGAACTCGCCACAGGATGCTCAGCAGCGCATATACCTGGCAATCTTCCCTCGTCTCTAGCCCAGACATTGTCGCAGCGCATCTTATCGTTGTTGCATTCTACACGTCTCGTCCGTGCTTCGGACCTAAGAATTCTCTATCGGCCACCAAATGAGATCAATGATGACTCGGATGAAGTTCCACCACTTGAAGTTGCAGCGTATTGGACCCTATACATCGACATACTGTTCATATCACTGGATGGCAATCCGTTCGATGCAGCGTGGTGCGCTCTTCTCGCAGCGTTGGAAAGCACGGTTTTGCCCAAAGCATGGTGGGATGCAGACATGAACTCAATATTATGCTCAGAAGAGGCGCATGAAGCAAAGAAACTAGGCTTAAGAGGCTTTCCAGTGCCAACAACATTTGTGTTGTTTGAGCCCAGTCGTGAGAAGGGCGTCAAGGAGACGAGGAACTGGCTTCTAGCTGACCCAGACTCATTTGAGGAGGAGCTGTGTGATGAAAGTGTTACCGTCGTTGTTGACTTGTCAACAGGAGATGCTAGAGTAAAGCGGATAGAAAAAAGTGGGGGTGGAGTGACTGATGTCAATTTGATGAAGGACTGCGTTGAAATTGCAACGAGAAGATGGGCCGAATGGAGTGGAATTTTGCAAAATTAAATGCATAATCTTTTTAACGAACTGGTTTGCATTGACTTCCTTGCATATTCAAAGCATTGGAGGGAATACGAGCGGAATGGGGTCGAATAAAGAGGCTGACGAGTATGTGTTGAGACTAGACGATGCTGACATCCCCAATCTCATAACCATGTTCACAAATCTGCTACTGTCGGGTTCAAGAAATGGAGAGCTTATACGGACCCAGAGTCTCAAGAGCCACATCCAAGGGCAGAAATCAGATGTTAAAAATTTGAGTTTCTCTTAATATTTGAACCTGGAAGCATACTATTAGATGCCATGATACCCTTTAAGTCTTGCCATTCGCTCGACCAAAGCTTGCACGAGGTTCGGAAAAGATACATTGGCAATCGCCATAGCATTGGAAAGAAATGTTGGAGGATATTTACGATCCCATCTGAATGGCCCTAGCGCAGTTTGTCAGGCATCCCGGTCATTATATAGGGAAACTGATCGCAACTTTACCTCTTTACCATCCATTCACCAGCTGTGTATATAGTGTTTTCATCATCTCCAACGGATACTTTGCCTCCAACCTTGACATGAGTTCCCTTGTCAAAATCAGCAACGGGTTTCATCAAGCTGTCGTTGCAAGGTCGAACGAAGTAAACAACGCTATACCGATCGAGGTCTTGCTGAGCGCCGGGACTGTGTTTTTTTAGTGTCTTAGATTCAACGGCCACTTGTTGTGTTGTCGCAGTCACTTACCTGGGAACCACGCGATGCTTGGCTGACTTCAGAGCTCCGTTTGTGAACTTGACCATGGCATCGCCAAGGTTGATTATGGCCTTGCCCGCCTCTGGCTTGACCCACTCCCACTCACCCAGGCGATCAGGATGTCGCGACTGTATCTGCAGGCCACCGAGCCAGTTGAAGAGTACAGTGACTGATCCAAAGTCGGTATGAGATGGTAGTCCTATAGCGTTTTTATCAGACACATGGGGAAACTTGTGGGTTAGTCGGCAGTGGTCTCCAGATGGCTTTTTGAATGTATTCAGTTCGACGAACGTGTCCGGCGGTAAATTCAGAGCAGTGGCCAACGTTCGCAACACAATCATTCCACATTCGTGTGCATCTTTGATAAAATCTTTCAGCAATGTCCTTGCTTCTTCTATCTCTGGTGGATAGCTCCTTGAAGGTGTAATGCCATGCATGTGATCCTTCGAGATGTTCCAGAACTCTGTCGTATCAGGCCGCAAGTCTTTGTCCGTATGCTTCACAGTGCCTGCAGCTTTGTATCCGAACATCGAAACACCTTTCTGCAGATGCCATTGCTTTTGCTCTTCAACGCTTCGCGCACTAAATGACCGCTTCGCAAGCTCAAGACAGCCCTCAGCCTCGTTGATCAGGCGTTGACCTTCCGGAGAATCTCGTAAGTCCAGGTAAAAAAATCCAAAGGTCTGACAGGCCTCAAGCACTTTATTCGCCTCATCTCTATCACCAGCAAGCAGTTTCCTCGATGATATTTGAGCAATCGGTGCTGTGTTCAGATCGCTAGGAAAAGGCGGCAGCGCATCTATAGTTTCCTGTGCCATGATAGCGCACGCACACAGACTGTTCGATAAAACTTTACCCGTGGATTTGATACAGATACAATAAGAATCTCTAGGTGCGGATCTTTACTCCAGGTTGTGCGATGAATGATTTGAATGGTCTTCAGCAGGCATTATATCATGGCTCATGATGCGCCATAGCACGGAACACCTCCGCGCCAGGTTTTCCGGATCTCGTGGTTTTCCGCTCCTCGTGGGGCAAAACCTGGGGTAATGAGGGGAAAGCCCTTGCGCAATGTGAAGAAAAAGGCTGTTCGAATGAGATAATGGCGGACAGTCTCTATCTTGCCATCTCTCCGGCAATCGCAAACAAATTCACGGGGTAAAAGGCAAACCAGAACATAGGTCGATGATTTACAAAGAATCAAGCGGACTGCGCGAACATTACCTGTCGGACTCCACGATCACCACGTGTTTGATTGCAGACGCCACGGGCACGTTCACATTCGTGTCTGCAGAGTCGTCAAGGTTTTGTCGTGGGATGGGAGCGAACTCAAAGAGTCAGCTGTTGAGTGACGCAGCCGCATTTCAGACATTCGAAGCGGACGTGTAGGGACAAACTAGGCACATATAGTCGCCTTGACCTCGTCTGTGAAGACTAGTGACCATAAAAAACCATACAAGCAAAGAATCCGGCTTGGCTTCGCTAATACTTCTAGAGATTTGTCACAAGTGCTCGAAGGGGTCGGCTTCCAAAAGGACGCGCTAGTTTAACAGGCTGGTGCCGTCGGACAACGCCGTGGTGCATCATTTCTGCGCGCCATACCATTCGGTAATAAACCGACAGCTCCCACTACTCGCTATCGTGGAGTTCAAGTTGATAATTGGACGATCAACACATCGCACTAAAGCTGCGAGATCGTGTCAACGCCGCGGATAAAAAATCGTAGCCAAAGGATTGCACAGGTCTAGTGGCTCGGTGGCTTGGGTGCAACGCAGCAGAGCCTTTGAGCCAGGGAATTTATGATTGTTTGCTCAATGAATAGGTTTAGCACCTACAGTGGGAATCGGATGAGGCCCCGGTGTCTTTGGCGAGTGTCTGCTCAGAGTCTGAGGATTTTTGTTTTTGTATTTGCGGCAGTGTCGGCGAAGGAATAATAAATAGTACGTAAGCTCAGATGCCAACCATCCACCCGTTATCAGGGAGACTGTGGCAGGATAGCTTTCGGGCCTAAAGTCGATGAAAAAAAACTAGACAAATTAGCGTGATGCCAGTCCAAATCGCGTCAGGGGCTTCTGGGAGAGCAGCGATGGAGTTTCAGATCAGATGATTGAGGATAAACTTCTCGCTTATTTAGATCCGCTTGCTAGGAGCTCCTCACGCCCGCGCGGGGATCCTCTGTGCCCAGGTTACATCGGCGACAAGCAACACAGCTCATCTGCAAAATTCCTGCCATTATAACAAGGAGGACAATAATTCCCCGCTGTGTGTTCTTTGAAGCACGAGACTTGGGTCTTCCGGAAAAATGACAACGATTCCTTGTTAGAAAAATGGCCGTAGCATCAGTGCACAGTCGCATTTAGCGACGATCGACGGGACGGGCCAGCAATGCATGCGAAACATCGATGGAGTCCATCTCACTATTTTAGGCTGGGAGATTCCACCACACCATGGCTCGTGTGCCCTGGGGAGGCCGTGGTAGCTTGGCGTTCAGCTTTTCATAGCTGATAATTGCACAAGCTTTGAATTTTGATTCGCGGTTTATAGGAATGCAAAGCCTCAGTTGGTGGGTGGTGTGTATGTATGTGTGTGTGTGTGTGTGTGTGTGTGGAGGAGAAAGAAATGTCCTTGTTCAGCAATCCATGGGTTAAGAGGAATCAAACAAGCAAGAGGATAGCGTAGTAAACCCGTACGGGTTGGTCATATTTCAATCAAGAACAACGGATAGAGCGATAATTCACTTTGTCAAGGCTGCAAGGTCCGCAACTGTTGCGACATAATCAAAAAACATAAATTTTTCAATGATACCCCAAAAACATCCCCAAAGATGATAAGAAAACCGTGCCCTTTTGAGTCCAACCCGCCTCTAAATAAGAGATGACATATAAAAAAAAAGTCCTGGATTCAGGAGTGACTCACCCACAACCATAAGGCGCCTAAGCACGACTAGAATTCATCACAATGGAGACCGTCCGCCAAAAATAAGAAAACCCATCCTGAATGAGCACCATGCATGCTTAATACCGCATGAAGATTCTTTTGCCATCGTGATTTTGTTCGTTCGAGAACAAGAAAAGAGCCTCAAACGCCCGCTATGTTGTCGACTAGAAAGGAGAGAAAAATACTCGGTGAGTACGTATGTTGCTGCCGCCGGAGAGCTGAGCCTGTATACGTCGTTGCGTGCGGCAAAGTCTCGTGAGGTTATCCGAAAACGGTATTAACCAAAAGTAGCGCCTTTGAAACATAACGAGATGATACAATTCAGCCTTGAGGCTGAGATCCGTTCGTTCTGCTAGGCGGCCGGTAGTCGTAGAACACTGAGGCGGGAGAAAAATTCGTCGGGCCCGGCCCAAGCGAAAGAGGCGGATGAAGGGTAGGGTGATGATGCATGTTAGGACTCATCATCACGGTCTGCTGCTCGTTCCCATATGGCGAACGAGTATTGGATGCAACATTCGTAGGCGGAGAGTTTTGCAGAAATATCAGCGAGTACGGAGCAGCATTTGGAATTTGTGCCAGAGGTTCACCCGCCGGATCTTGCATTGGAGGTAACACGTCCGGCGAGCGACCGTTGGGCGCGCTTTGCGACCCCAGATGCGAATCTTTCCGATAGTGAAACCGATCTTGAGAGTCTGTTTCCATCATGTCCGCCGACTGCTCTTGTTTGACATAGACTTTGTCATCGCGAGTTGTGATCTCCTCGTACGAAGCCGGGGACACGCGAGCAGATGTCGTAGGACTTGTGGAGCTGCCTACACGGGAGGAAGGGGCAGGTGGTGTGCTGGGAGCATTGGAAGGAGGTAGCGGTCGGATGATAGAGGCGGTCAAATTGAGAGGCGGCTTGTAAGTATCTGGTTGCTGCAGCTTTTCGAGCGACGTCTGGAGCGCGGGGAAGCAGTCGTGGCGAACGTCGTCTCTGAACCAGAGGTTAGCAATGATGCGAACGTTGATCCGTGTGGACTACGGGTAAGAACGCACTCAACGATGCGGTTGGCTTGAGGAACAGAACTTTGAGGGATGCCCAACTTGCACTCGCAATGGAGCATGAGAAGACTTGCTTCCTCTATTATCTCGCGAATCCAGCGCACCTTGTCCTCGTTCCTCGCCGCGAAGTCTCGAAATTTACGACCTTCGGACGTACGACCAACGTGCTCCTCGATCCATAGATTCAAATATTCTTGGCAGTGAATGAGGCTGTTCTTGGCCAGGTGGTTGCCATAGTTGTCGAGGACTAGGCTCGCGTGGCAGGCGGCGTCTAGACGCTGACGGAGCGAGAAGATGCTCTGTAGGGTGCTCGTCGTCACATCACCATCGCGAGTGGTGGACATAGCTAGCACTCGTACACGGAACGGCACACATGAGGATCGGTCGGTTATAAGAGAGATATACCTACGGAAGCCGCATGGGTGGCCTGGGAATGAGAGGACATTGCTCTGCATGCTTTTGGCCTTGGGTGAACCATCGAGTTGGCTTGATACCGAGAGGGCGGTTCCACCGTAGTTAAGCTCGCGAATGAAGCGCTGCCGCGAGATTGCATTATCGTCTCCACGCCAGACACCTCACCTCAGAAATGCAGGCGGCTCATGACAGCCAGTCCTGATTGCTCACGCCAGGCGGCTATCACGCACGCTGGATGGGCACGTCGTGCAGCCTCAAGCGTACCTCGTTGCCGCGATATCGTGCGTGCTCTGATCAGAATCTTAATGCTGCGAGCCCGGTGGATCCAGACAAAGGACTGGAGTGTGATCGACGGCCAATGGGAAGCGAAGCCTTTGTTCCCCAGCGGAAAGCCGCCGACAGCGTGTGGGGTGGGCTTGGGCTCGCCTGTCTAGCGCTGGGAACCCTGCGTGCTGAAACCCGCGCTTGGCGCAGGGCCTCGCTAAAGCCGCTGAGAGACGCACCCCGAGCTTGCTCGCTGCTCGGTCGGGTATTAATCACCACCATCGTCGACGTCGTCGTCGTCATCGTTGCCGTCGTCACTGCCATCGCCGGCATCAGCCTGGGCAGCAGCCCGAGCACCAGCATCGCCATCGCCTGCCCCACCGCCAGCATCGCCGGCAGCCGCCGTTGTCACCACCAGCGCCAGTGCCGTCCCAACGTCCGCTGGCTGGAACGTTTTAGCCTGTTCTTGAGCCCGTGTGGGCGACTGTCGCACTCTCACCGCACGCTGATTCTTTCAAATGCGGCCGCTGGTCACATCCGTTCCCCGTGGGTGATCCTGCACTGTCGTCCCAAACAGGCCCCTGGATCATACAGCCAAAAGAGCACAATCTCGATCGTGCTCAACTGCTGCCTTTCCCCGTTCGGAACAACTTTGCGATTGCATCATATTTTTGCTCTGCTCTCCCGGTTTTTTTTGTTGTTCCCTACCTAGTCCCTATCTGGCCGCCCGACAGAACACGTCCTCGGCCCTGGGAGACTTCAGGTGTACCGGGCGTCTGATCCGGTCTGTCACAGCGTTGCCGGGTCCGAGGTTTGGTCTCATCGTGCTCATACCACGTAGGAATGCATTCGGTTAAGCCACTATCAATGGGACTTCCAAATCGGGCGTCATCAGTCGATGCGTCACGCGGATGAAAACTATTATTATTCCCTCAAAAACTTTCAGCTACGATCCTGACAGCGTGTGTGAAAGTTTCGAAGGATTGCCATCCCGTACTCGCAGCACAGGCTGACGAGGTCACGGATACCACATCGCGTGCTGTATTTCAAAAGGTTTCGTATATGCAGCCACACGCCGACGCGGCTGCCCCAAAGATGAAATCTAGGATCCCGTTGCTGGTAAACGGAGGGGTCTTCCTCTATTCAAAAAGTCACAACCCGAGATGGTTTCCGTAGAATCGATCTCGCCTCGCCGTTGTCTTGCTCTTTCATCCCTCGAGCCGCAACGGTAATATATCGCCACCGTCTTTTCAGCCCTGTGGAGTGTGAGTACCGAAGTCTGTATGCCAACGGCTCCTCGTGGTGGATCCACCCAAACCGTCCTTGCCTAGGTGACACAAAACATCGCCCTTACTTTCAGATACTGCAGGCGAAGATCCGCCTGGAATAAGAAGTGCGCAGCCAAATTCAGAATGTGGAGTTGCCCGCTGCCTTAAAACTTTCCCTGGCTCTGCATGGCGCATGCAGGACACCCCATGATCGCCAAACAATCACGAGCATTGGAACTTGCTCCCGTTGCCGCGAACCACTGAAAACGTTGCACAGGCATTCCATCAATATTCTAGATCAATAATGTCTGTCGCTTCAAATTTGCTTCCTGGTGCTTCGCTTCGCCAAGTTGCTTTCTTGGAGAGCCTGACCTGTCAAACGTGCTGCAGGGAATGGAGGTGTCTCCGATCACTCTCTCGTCTCCTCACCAAACTTTGATACGGAGTCACTCCCTGGAGCCGTTCGTGCTCTAAAGTTTTTGCTGACTGCATTAGGCCTGGTGTAGAGGCACATGCTTTTGAACGTCTCGTATCGTGGCAAGTCCGAAATAGGAAGCGTTTGACAGTGCGTCCCGAATATGGCTTGCACGTCATGGAGATGGACAAAGAGATGTCTGCAGCATCTGTAGCACGCGTTCCGGGAATATATTTTTCCAAGCTGAAGGAGGTTATCGGAAATGATCTGTTTTGCCGCGAGCAACTTAAGAGCTGGAAGACTTGATAGTGAGCGTTAAATTGCCCGGACCAGAACGCAAAGTCAAAGACTAAATCTTTGATGTACATCGAGAAACGAAGGGCTTAGATTCGGATACGCGAGACACGATCCTGCGTCAACCCTCCATCTTGTTTTCTATCTTCGGTTAGGCGTACGAAGTCGTCCATGTCGGGCCGTTGCCTTAATGGCAGCCTTTCTGCAGCCTTTGAGAGGCAACATAACGTTCGGAAATATAGCATCGTTCCTGTCATTGGCTGCGCAGATTTCGGATCTTTCTTCTGACGTCCTCTCCCGTCCGGTTACCTCGTTACTAGACGAACAGGAGAGTTGTATCTTACGGCAAGTCACCCGAGAGCCTGCATTATGCACAACTTCGTACGATATTCATTTCGGTACCAGCTCGGTTGTCTCACCGCCAGCCGAGATCTTCGATGACAGTGCGTTTCAGCAATCCTTTGGCGGACCCTTGTTCACACATCCCGGCTGCCCGTCTGTGAAAGCGGGCAAAATATGGCACGACTGCATCCCGAAGTCAATCCACCACTGAGCTGAAGAAGCGGCACGGCGATGTAGTCCAGCACTGTGGCAGTTAAACACGGGTAAAACTTATGGCCTCCCCGGAGATGCGAGCAGTTGCTCACACCGACTGCGATCCAATAGCAGACGTGGAGCTGAAAGCACCGCCCTGTGTTCAGTCTTGAACCCAAGGTCAGAAGCCTGGTTAACTCCACCAGGAGCTGCTCGGTAATTGCGACGACGTTAAGATCGCACGCAAAATTACGATCGCAAGATTATTCTCGTCTAAAAAATCGGAGCTATCACTTCTCGAAACGACTGGCAGAGTGGAGTGACGAAGCTCTGTAGAGAATAGATTTTCATTTTGCGACAGATTATTCCAATTGATACAGTATGGCTAGAACACCATGCATTCCTTGTCGTCAACAACCATCAAAATCTCGCGCCTCACGCCTTGTCTGCTAAATATCATCCATATTGTATGAAATTATCTTTCCCCCTATTTCTTCCTCTGTTGCATCCCCAGAATCTGAACCAGTCTGACAAAAATGTTGATGAAATCCAATTCTAGGTGAATGCTCTCGTTTACTGCATCCCGTTTGAGCAATCCACGCTCCGCTAGTCTGGCTCGATGCAGAATACGCTGCACATCATAAAGGGTAAACCCGCCAAAGACAGCAAGACCACCATAGAGCCAGAGATTTTCAGTAAATGCAAGGGTTCTGACGGCCGTAACAGGCAAAACGAGGGGGGCGAGGCCGCTCAAAGCAACGATGGCTACGCCACCAAGGAGCGGCGCACCAAGGTAAAGGTACTTCTCTTGCTTCGCAGTAGCCCCAACAAAGGCAATGGAGCCCTGGAACTATGGTTAGCGCTGGTCAAACTCGCGATAGTCCGACGAAACCACTTACCATCATGCCAACCGTGTACAAACCAGCGCGAGCCAGTAGGGCCGGTTGTAGAAACAACAGTGGGGACAACAAGGCCGCTTGAGTGAGATTGAAGGCACCCCACAATGCGTACTTTTGCACGTAGTTGTCCGGATTCGTCGCCATTGTCGCGTACATTGTGCCAATAGATCCTACAAGGCCTACACCAAAGACAAGCCATGGGTTGGCTGCCATCAACCTGTAGCTCCATCCATTGGCATGCAATTGTCTAGCTGCAATGGCAATGATGCCGAGCCCCAAACCGGTGTGCATGAATGTCTCATTAAGGTATTTGCGCTCGAAGGGAGGCATTCCACCATCTTCTCGAGTTTCGCGATTGAAAATCAGGTTGATCGCGAGTAAGGTGCCGCCGAATATTCCTGCGCCGTAGAGCAAGCGCTGTCGGATGTCACCGGTAGCCGTGGGATTTATCGACGCCTGCGGTGTGTAATGTCTTCTAAATGTCGCCTGAAATACATTTCTAGATCTGGACAAAAGCGCAGGTTGTGTGCTGATCGTGCTTTTGAGGAAGTTCGGCTGCTGCTTCAGTGGCGTGCTGTGAAAGAAGCGAATGGAAGTAGATTGTGATGCCTTTGGCACCTGCTTGATAGTCGCTGTGATGGCAAATGGTCGCCGTAACATGAAAGCCATTTTGCCTCAATGCTCAAGTGCAATCTCGTGGCACTGGTGTTGATGGAGAACACGAAGTACAAAAGCAGAGCAACTGTATTAGGTAGCTGCTTCATGAGCGCTATATGACGTTGCTAGCCGAAAGTCACGTGATTCGCTGCTGAGGCAAACCGCCGACAGCACTTTCTAGAAACTGCAAGTTTATCGCCTCCAAGACATGACAACTTCAAGCCCTATCACGCTGCCAGCGCAAGAATTTCGATTAGATATTCACCAGAATTTTTGCATATTTGGCATCATTTGAACGTAAACATAAGCCTAGCTCAGGTTATGTGACACCCATCATTCATAATACTTGCACTGTACATCGCGATTTGAACATAGCACCATCACGAACAGGACCCTCATTCCTTCTTCGTCACTTTGTACTATTGTAGTTTCAAATCTGTACAATGACCTAAAATGCGTTGCTGAGTTTAACACTTCTTCCCCTGAATGTTACGGTATGCTGGTCTCAAGCGAGTGGGTATCTTTTTGATGAATAGAACGTCCTTTTCGGTCCTAGGAACTTAACCACAAGGAGAACTTCGTGAATCGATGGGCTGAGGAAACAGTCCGTTCTTTATCAGATCACTAAGGTCCCAGCCCTGCTGAAATATTAGCTTCTATCCCAGTTTCCAGCGTCAGTAACTACTTGCGGGAGCTCCTTGTTCGGTTTTCCAACACCAGAAAATCCAGCCAGCAGCGCTCTCGTATGCCTGAATTTGAGCATCGATAAAGGTGCGCATGTTAGATTTTTGATCGTCCGGAAGCTGGGCAACGGAGCCGCTGGTAAGGCCTGCGCAACTCCCAATCGCACCAGAGCCGCCGAAGGAACCGTCGTAGCGGGCGCCTTTGCCATATCCGTTAAGATATCGAGCACAATCGGTCATCGCGCCGCACCACTCGCCTGAAATTGTCCACTTCCCAGTAACAGCTGTCATTTGGTTGCCAAATGCGCACACCGAGCCAATATGCTCACTGGGGCTCAGTGCTAGAAACTCGTTGGTGAACACTTCATAGTGGTGAGTGTCGAGAATGATATTGTACTCTCCCTGGCCAAAGCTGTTCCAAGTTGACAGAGGCGATTGATAGGCGTCATGCTCGCCAATGGCGACACCTGAATCTTTTAGGTTCCCCCAGCCGTTGTTATAGAACGATTTAATTGTGTCCAGAGGAACTGCTGGTGGTAATGGCTCATTCAGAAGTTCGATAGATGCAACTGCGGGATGACTAGCATGGTCGTCACGAATCTTGTTCAACACGTTCAGCGTTTGTTGAACTGTGTCGCCTTGACCCCAGCCCACACTTCCGTATCTGCCGGAATTATCGTATCCATTTTGCGAACCAGGAGCGCCATGAAGGTCAATCATTACTTTAAGACCAGCAGCCTCAGCCCAGTCTAAGGCTTGACCAAGAACTTCATATGCACCTTGCACCTAGAATATGTGCCGTCAATGAAGGAGACTTATAGATAAAATGGATTTGAGCAAATGATGACTCACATAAGGATCACCTGGGTTAGGAATAACACTCCAGTACCCGATAGGAATGCGGACATGATTCAATCCTGCCGCTGCAATGTCATTGAAGTCGCTTTGCGTAATCCAGGTTTTCCAGTGGTTTGAGAGTCGATTATATGCTTCTTGAGGTCCCAGAGTCTCGCAGAAAGTCCATTCATCCACCGCTGCTCCATTGAGGGCATCAAAAAGCGAGGGTGTGATCCATGATTCCAGTACAAGCCACTAGTGGCGACTTAGTGTTGAATGAACAAACTTGCAAGTCTAAGGATGCATACTCCTCCGAGATTCACACCTCGCACTTTCTCGCTTCCATATGGAAACTTGAGGCCGCTCTGCCGCGTTCCGAATTGTCTGCGACTTGAGATCAGCAGATATACGCGCATGTACAGATTTAACCAACCTTGAAGGCACCGCAGTTGCAAGACTGAGTGGCGCGGCCAAAGCCGCGACGACAATCGAGAGAAACATACTTGGACAGTCCGGCGAACGACTAAGGTACAGCTGAGTAAGGTCGAGCTTAGTAGTTGATTTGAACGATTCGAGACTAGGCGGGTTTATACGAGGTTTATGAAGTAAATCAAGTTTAGCTCCAAATCATGAAGGGCCCGGAAATGACGACTTGAACTAAACATTACTCAGATATGCTAATTCTGCAGGCGCTCCAAAGAAGCGAGAGTGATTTGTATCCTAGGATCAGCAAGCCACGCCCGCAATTCCTCTGCAAAGACCGAAGGCGTATCATTGCCATAATCAGCATGAAAATGCTAAGACAACTCCGCACCTGAATTGTCCTTGCCGCCTGATGGTAGCTTGGGGACAATGACCTATTAGAAACAGAGACTCTCACGTCATTTGAAGTCAATCTTGCCCGTTAGAAGTCATCGTAACAAGCGTACCTGCAGGGAGAAGGTTCAGGTACACCAAGTTTTGAAGTGATAGGATCCATTGGCTAGATCTACAGAACTTGCTTGCAACCTGCCAAAGAAAAGCCGAGCGAGTCAACAGTTGGTGTGATTGCAGTGGACAGTTCATATGCGAGAAGAAGCGGGCCTCTTCCTCAGACGAGCACGATTGACGCTGAGCCCTTTCGGGAACGTTGATGATTGGCTGGTTTGCAGATCGTTGCTCTAAACCTTGTACCGTACTTGTACCAAAACAGCAATGACCATCCCACCAGATTGATCTTCGACTGGCTCGAAAAAATCCTAAAGGATGCCAACGTCATTTGGACTTTTTAACAAACTTTTACGCTTTCGTTGATGTAGATATTAGCTGCACATGACGAATGCAACACTGGTCTCGGAGATGCGACGCGCTACTGCCGGAGCAGCTAAAGAAATTTCACACAGCCAATACCGTTGCTATTCATGACACGTTGCGCATCCTTCTCTGACCGAGTTCCTTCTAGAACGGCCGAGGGGATTGCTTACATCTAGAACTCTCGTTTGCGCAGCAGCTGCATGAGGGGATCACGCAGTGGAGACCTTTCGCAGGTTGCTTCTTCCGGAGCCTTATGATCAAATCAGTCGACCACCTGACCATTCTAACGATGTAATCGTGCAGTCAATGCGATGAGAGGAGAAAGCTGACCTGCCGGATTTGATGCCGTCCGCAGCTGGGCAACCGGAGCAACCGACAATGAACACCTCAGCCGCAAGTGAAATGGGCCCGAAAATTCGCAAAACAGATAGTCCCGATCAATTTCTCACGAGTGACGCCATGGCGGCTAAGAAACTCTAGTTGCTTCGATTCCAACTCGCACGACGACAGCTTCGAAGTATGCGAGGTGCTTTTATATATGGTCGCTCATGTGGAGTGCATAAGAGAGTTGGGCGGGCGTAGCCTCGTTTGGGGCGGACAATGCCTGGGCAGCTGTAGCTTCTCGCGTCCTACGAACCAGGCGCACACTGTTAATCCTTGCAAAGCCCCCGTTGTGTGACATAATTGGTTTCTACAAGACGATGGACATAACGTGAACTCCCTGCAACAGCTGATAGTTTAGCCTTGCCCCTTTAACACCAGCCAGTCTCTCCAGGCTTCCCTGAACGAAAGAATGCGCGTACGTTCATGCCACTGCTCATATTGTGGACACAATTTATTGCTGAAGATATGCGTATATTACAAGGGTTATGTTGTCGAATGCCAAATAAAGAATATGAAAAAGCGCCCAAGAACAAACAGTCGCAATAGGAGTGGTTTAAGTCTTGAGTGATAGGCTGTCAGGATTAGATATAGCCGTTTTCCAGAAATTATATCCACGTTGTTTCGCCAATAAGTGCCATGTAGTCTAGTGCGTTGAGTCCGTCTAAAACATGGAGAAGGTTTACATCCGTGATGGGCTCGTGGATTTTGCTCGCCACAAGTCGGAGAGGCAGGCGCACTGCAGGTCCGCCATATCGATGGAAATCATTGATTTCGCGTGGTACGTTTGTATCAATATCGCTCCAATGATACTTTTCTTTTGCGTACCGTTCGCATCTGAAAGCCAAGTTAGCTGCTGTTGGTAGACATTGGAATGCAGGTGGTGGAGTTGCCCTCGTATTCGGAGCATTGTCCAAGTGCTTGGATTGGTCGTCCGTCCTTTCGCCGGGTAACATACACATCTCGATGTTCCTCATTCCACCAGTCTGGCATGAATTTGGTCTTAATGTCATCATCTAGAGTTTTGCTCAGAAACTGCTGCAGCCCTTCAAATGAGTAGCCGTCGAGCCAGCGGAAGAAAGCCTGGAGATCGAAGAAAGAGGGGTTGTAGTTTCGTTTTGCCTCGTCCAGCAAGCGGTACGCATCAATGACAAGCTTGTACGTAAGTTCTTCGTTCTGATGCTGAACTAGGATGTTGTGAAATGACGCGACGGGACCACTGGGCATTTCCCACTGATAGTTTGTCATGCGTGCTGGCATCACTTGAACAGGTCTTTGGGTAGAACGGTCGATAGAGATACCACATATCTTCTTGTGTCGCGACCAATCGTTCCGCTGGCATTCCTTGCTGCAGTACAACATGAACGGATTGCTAAATTTGCATCGGGAGCAAACTTTGAACTTCTCCGTGAAACCTGCTTGGGGTCGCCGACAAAATGTGCATCCAATAACAAACTGGGCTTCTGTGGCCTCACTTGGTTCACGATCCTTGTTATGATCAGATCCAAGTGGCAGGCCAAGAGTACCCAGGTTTTTCACCGCGGTTGAGCTTCTCATTGCCGCAGGCTCCTCTAGATGGTTTTCGCCGTCGCCTACAGCTGATGGTTCGCTCGGAACGCGACGTGGACCGTCAATGGAGGACGCCTCCGCTGCATTTGCATGGCTGGTGATGCGAACGAAGCCCTCAGAAGGAGGGGGATCTGGGTCAAATGTGAGGTCTTCTTCAGTCATGGGTCTGCTCATACCGTTTATCAATGCAGATTCAGAACTCTGAAGACTCGGCAAACAACAGATCACGATGCGCTCTGGGCAAGAGAATCTGACAGAGAACACACAAAGGCGAGAAGCACAACAATATGTCGTGAACGACGGCAGGTAAGAACGGCACGGACCTGAGCATCATTTATCTCTTCCCTCTCTCTCCCTCTCTCTACGTCCAAGATTGGGCTCGACACCGTTTTGGTTCTGGGCAGTGCATTTCTGGCGAAATGACGGTCCAGAAACATCTTGGAAGTAGCAGAAACCTCTTGAGGCTTGGAAGATGCATAGAAGAGACGATGACACCACACGCCTCCAGGGGAGCTAAATGAGTACGTCAAAGGCATTGGCATCCCCCCCTTTCCAACGAAAGATCTCTGGTCGACATCCCTTGAGGACTTTAAACAAGTGGCCCACAGCAAGCGGTGCACAGCCTCTGCGCATGTCCGGTTGCTGATTCAGTGAAGCGGGCGTGAAATTGCCGATGCGTAATTGCAGAGACAGCATGGAACGTTTATATCTGTTTCACCCCTGTAATCGAACAGTGGATGCTTGTCATGCCTGACAAGCCAGAGACGTGTTGTTCGGCATTGACGCAGGCATCGATTTGCCGATGCCGGCCCCGAACGTCGATGGGAGCCGCCCGCTCTTTGTCCGGCCTCCCCGCGCGCGCTCAGGTGGGGTCCCCCTTTCGCGACAGCAGGGTGGCGCTGAATTTCGCGGGGCTGGTTGGTTGAGCAGATCTCCCGACCGAGGCACTTTGCACCTTGACGGCCCTGCTAGCTGAGTAGCTGTATCTGACCGTCTCGTTCAGGCGGTACTTGTCTTTCTTGTTTTGCGTGTCTCTCGTTGGCATTCTCTCTCTGCAAATCGGAAACTTGGATAGCGATCATTTGCGATCACTAGGACGATGCCAATCCGTAAGTGCCCCTTCCCACACGCCCGCGCATTCCCTCCTACGCAGCACATCTCAAAGCCAGGAGCGGCAGACTATTGGTCCCTCTCGTTTCTCACTACCGAGGCGGCTTCGCTGCATAACCCACGCCTTGGAACAAAAGTTTGCTTCCAGGTGAAGTGAACCAAAACATGCATACGTACATCGACGTTCGATTGAGCTGAGCGCCCTCTCTCCTTGATGCAATTTGGAAATCCAGCCATGCTGACCCGTCTGCCGCACAGCCATTATACCAACCATTGCTGGCGCAGCAGCCGTTGCCGCGTACCTTGACGGCAAGTATCAAATTCGCCAGGATGTCCGTAGTATCTTAGGCCAGAAGGCCGCTGAGCGGCACCTCATCGACCTGCAAAAGAAGGATCGCATGTGCTTGTGGTATGCCTTCGAAGAAAAAGTCAATCAGATGCCTGCAAACGATGAATGCATTTGGTCACGGGAGGGCTGCTACACCTGGAGAGAGACGTACGACCAAGCCTGCAGATATGGAGCCTTCCTCCAATCACAGGGGGTACAGCCAAGGGAGCTTGTTGCGACTATTCTCACGAACACGCCCGTAATGGCGTTCCATTGGGTTGGATGCTGGAGCATAGGATGCGCTCCTGCGTTGATTAACTACCACCTTACCGGTGATGCTTTGGTGCACTGCATCAAGGTCAGCGGCGCTAAGATCGTCGTCGTAGACTGGGACCCCGAGGTTTGCCAGCGAGTTGAAGAGATGAGATCGATCGTGGAAGGGGAGCTTGGTCTCAAGATCATTATTCTGGACGAAGCAACAAGGGCATCTATAAATGCTCTGCCTGCGCGGCGACCAGACGATAAGCTGCGTCAAGGAATGACAGCAGATTATCCAATGTGCCTGCTCTACACGAGGTAAGGCGTCAAACCCTTTCCCCTCCTTGTTTACATGACTCAAAGAATTCTTGCACAGTGGATCGACAGGGCATCCCAAGGCTGTTGCTTTCGGCATGGGTCGGGGATCATTATTAGGCGGCAACAGAATAAGGGCTATCGGCATAAACCCAGGTCCGAACGGAGACAGATATTATATCTGTATGCCTCTGTATCACGGTACAGGTGGTGTGGCTATGGTTTCATCACTTATGGCGGGCGTGACTGTATGCATGGGCAAAAAGTTCAGCACAAGTAAATTCTGGGACGAGATTCGGGACAGCAATGCAACCGCGTTTGTCTACGTTGGTGAGACAGCGAGGTACCTGCTTGCCGCACCACCAAGTCCACGAGACAAGGACCATAAAGTACGGGTCATGTTTGGCAATGGTATGAGGCCTGAGGTCTGGGTTCGCTTCCGAGAGCGATTCGGTATTGATACCATTGCCGAATTCTTCAACAGCACAGAAGGTGTCTTTTCATTACTGAACATTTCCAGAGGCCCGTTTACAGATGCCTGCGTAGGCCAACACGGAGGTATCCTTAGATTCTTACTTCGGAACTTCTACGTAGCTGCAGAGATCGACCATGAAACCGGTGATCTATGGCGAGACCCAAAGACAGGTTTTGGCAAGCGAAAGTCTCTTGAAGAGGGAGGAGAGATGCTTGTTGGGGTTCCGAACGAGCAGGCCTTCGCTGGTTACTGGAAGAATAAGGACGCAACGGACAAGAAGTTTGCCAAGGATCTGTTCAAGAAGGGAGATCTTTGGTATCGAAGTGGTGATGCGCTAAGAAGAGATAAGGACGGAAGGTGGTATTTTATGGACAGACTTGGTGATACGTAAGTCCTCTAACCTCTGGACCCTCAAACCTGCAACGCTGGTACCCTGCGCAGTCTTAGCCGATGCTAACATACAAAAAAGATACCGATGGAAATCGGAAAATGTCGCGACGGCAGATGTGTCTGAGCGCCTAGGCTATTCTCCGGGCATGGTGGAAGCGATCGTCTACGGCGTTCTTGTTCCCGGACACGACGGCAGGGCCGGCACAGCCGCGATAAGCCTGACGCCGGAGACCAAGCCGGACGCTGCGTATTTCAAGCAGCTGCTCAAGTACTCGCTCGAGCACCTACCGAGATACGCCGTTCCCGTGTTCATTCGGCTCCAACCCGGCGGCTCAACGGCCATGCACAACCAGAAGCAAAACAAGGTTCCTCTAAAGAAGGATGGTATCGACTTGGACGCAATCTATGGAAAAGGCAAGGACTTCAAGGATGCGCTAGCTGAGGGTCGCGACTTAATGTATTGGTGGCCAGCAGGCGTAGGCCACATGCCCAGTTCCGGTGGTGATCCCGACGCGTATGTCCCTTTTGAGAGAAAGGACTGGGAGGCGCTTAAGGCGAAGCACAAGGAGAACGTTGCTAGATTATAGATCGGTGGATTGTATCTCAGTATGTTTAGAAGAGCCAAGCTCTAGTTTTCAGTTATGTGTACTGTACGTAACACGCAGATGGCGGAGCGGTCGACTCAAATAGAGGCCGATTTTCCTTCACAAGGACAGGACACAGCTATTTTTGTGTTCATTTGACAACGTTCTCGACGATTAAAGGACGAATTCTCGCTTTCGAAGGTATAGGGCAGAGTAAACATGGCTGCCGGGCTGAGCGGCTGGAATGTTGGTACGTCCCAGTCGCTACAGGGCGACGGTCTCGAAATCACCACTCTCGCTCTTATCATCTTCAACAGTAGCTCTTTTATTGCCATCGCCCGATGCAGGAGAGGCTTTTCTCTCTGGGCCGCTTGGTCCGGCACCCTCTTCCTCCTCCTCGCTACTTTCACTCCGTTTCGCCCCTTCGCCCATTTCCTTCTGGAGCGCCTGGCTCGTTCGATCTACCATCGTCGTGCTACCACTTGCCTGTCCGTCCGTCTTCGGTGGCGGGGTCGGCGGCTCGTCGCTTGCTCTCGGCCTGCCGTCTTGCGTCTCATCCTTACGATCCTTGGTGGGTCTCTCCGGCGTAGGCGGCGTGACTTGCGTCGTCGGTGGTGGGCTGCGCATAGGATGATCTGCGGGCGTCTGCTGCTGTGCCTGCACAACGCTGGGTCCGACTTGTCGCAGTCTAGGATCCGCGTTCAGGTAATAGCCTCGCACACCCACGAGTCTGCCTTCTCTCTCACAGCCCTTGACCCAGTCCGGCACCACGACGGGGATGTTCATTTCTACGGCTTTTTCCCAAGCCTGTCCCCTTCCCTCCGTACATACAAAGTGAGTGGTGTCGATCCTCACGGTATCGATCAGCTTCGCACCGATCTTCTCGATCGTTTGCGTTAGAGATTCCCTGAGCGCTGCAGGCATAATGCCCGGCGTCACGGTGATGCCATGGAGTTCTGTCATCTTGTGCGTGCGCACAACCAGCTTCTCAGAACTGTATGTACCCGCGCTAGTCTTGAGCACCAGGTGGAACGTGTACTCCGTGTCTATGGCCAATCCGCTGATCTTGGTGCTTGTAATCTCACTAGGTCGAGGTATCGAGCCTGCCTTGGTACCATTACGGTATAGACTCAAGCTGCGCAATTCTGCAGTGGCAAGCTCGATTGGATCCCATTCGAGAACGACAGAGGTCTGTGTTGCATTTCTGCAGCGGAGAACGGGCGGCGAGGGTGAGTGCACGCCGAAGGTCTGAAAGATAGTCGATTGGAGCGAATGGAAGGCTTTCTGTGCGGCGGCCTCTGACGCATGGTTCCGCGCTACGGTGATATCTACTATGGAACCTGAAGATATGTCTGGAGGGAGCAAAATGGAGGGAAACTCGATCTGTAAACGAACACGATGAGGTTAGTGGAGGCTCCAGCCGCGAGAATGCGCCGTGACATATTGCAGGAGCGAGGGAGCCTTACGATTCTCTTGTCCTCCGTCAAGAGGACGGCCATACCGGCGTCGACTTTGCCGACGGTTAGTGAGACTAGCATTTTGCTCGCTGGTGTCTGAGGATGTGATGATATTTGGCGATCTGGACAGTTGTGTGAAGCTCACCAGTCCTGGGTGTTTGGCAGGGGTCGGCCGAAGCGCCTCAGCCTTGCGGACAGGTCCCATGAAATGTTTCCACGGATGCGCTGCGAGCTTTTAACAAAGCTCAAAAAGTATATATGGACAATGTAATTGGGTCATAAATTTTCGCTAATATAGATTGCTCGATATCTATTTGCCCTCTGTACTGTACACAGTGCTACAAATGCGACCGACATGAAAAGGAGACTACACTTGTCTGACACAGCGCTCGAAGAAACCGAATCCTAGCGCAATTGAATGCCTTTCCCACGAAGCTCTAAGAAATTCCTCTGTCTTCTTATAGACCACTCAATCGCGGAATTTTCGATTCTTGTTTTCGCCAAAGAGCGTTGATCTGATGCTGGGTAGGGCCTCCGATTCAAGAAGTCGTAGACGTTCTTCGAACGTGTTATTGACATCAATTTTGCCCCCACCACTGACAACGGACACACCGCCAGCCCTAAGGACGATGTTAGCATAACGTAGGTTACGTCTTTATTGGAAGGAAGACACACGAATCCACTGGCTGCGGATTGGCCTCATCCAGCTCCAACTTGCTCTCCTTGCCAACTTCCTTCTTGTACTCGGCTTCAGCTTCTTTCATAGCCTCCTTCACCAGATCATAGTCCTCCTTCCTCGCCCGAACGAGTAGGTTTGGCTCGTTCAGCGCGTACATTCCCTCCAGGATCAAGCCCTTGAGAATTGTCTTGTACTTCTTCTTATCTTTGGTGGCGTCTTTCAGCTTGACACTGGCCTGCTCAAACAGGTCGTCCAGAACTTCCTGGCGAGCGCCAAGGATGCGTAATCGACTCTTGTTAGCGACCGTGGAACGCGTGATCTGCTGTGACATGGAAGCCTGCTTGAACTTTTTCTCGTACGCAGCATCGATGCTGGCCGTCTCTTGGCGGACGAGCTTGGACTTCTCAATGGCGAATTCCTCGTCGGCCTTCATCTCGATCTCCTTTGCCTTCTCTTGTGCTTCCTGGCGAATGAAAGCCGTCATCTTCTTCAACTCGCCGGCGACCTGTCGAATGCTAGGTTAGCCATCACTCCTGTCTGCTTCGAACTCGCTGTCCCATGATGCTGCCTGTGAAGGTGTAGATAGCTAGGCACGGACCTGGTCGTCGGACATTGCGTGTATTTGCGACATGTTGCAGACTCGTACGGGGCTCTGTCCTGGCTCAGAATTGTCAATCGAGGCGTGCAACAAGCGTGTCTGGCGCAATGCGGAGAGGGTTGTGGTGGTGGGGGATGTGGTTTTGAAGCAGGTCTAGAGTGGGTGCTAGTTCTACGGGCCTCGAAGCTCTGACCGAGATGAGCGATAACTGGGTGACTTGGGCCATGCGCAGCAGCTGGAGCCGTCCCAAGCATGCACGCCAGAAGCAGTTTAGCGCAAGCCCTCCTTGGACCTTGCCCTGATCAGTTGACGTGATTAGGCCTTTGGCCACTGACCGTGGCGGATGCGTGCGTGGTGAGTACGGGGCCGAGTTAGTGGGTGCGGCTTCCTGGCCCTGCTTCTGACGTCCCCCCATCAGCAGCTAACTTAGTGGCTTGCTTCCGTTGTATCTGCCGCCTGGGCTATGCGGTGAAACCTACTTTCCCATCCTCGACCTCCACACGATCTCTCGACTTCGCGCGCGTGTCTGTCCCGGCCATCATACACGCCGGTCTCCGTCTTCTAAGCTTTGGCTTTGTTTACCGCTCCTTTGCGCATGTGCGCTGGCCCCGCGGAAGCGTTGCAAACTGGTTGCAACACCGGCATCCGACACACGTCTCTTGTCTCGAACGCCTCGGCCTTTAAACCACACCAACACCATCACAGCGGTTAGTTTTTGGTCCTGATGGAAGGCATGATTCCGAGCAGGTAGCAAGCAGCCTTTTGCTCTGGACTTCTTGGCAGCACTTCGCGCTCGTCTCGGCTTTGCTTGCCATGGGCATCGAACTGTCCCCCGGCGCCAGCGTAGCAGTATGTTTGTCCAGATGTCCTCCATGCGTCTTCATGTGCATGGCTATGTGAAGCCGCTTGCTGAGTACTGCGTTGTAGCTTGGCATCCTCGTTGGCCTAGTCTCGACCTGCGTGCAGAGCATCGGTTTGACGCAACAACGGAAGTCGCATCTACTCGAAGAGCAGAAACAAGAAGAACATGCTGACCATGTGCTTCGGCCAGCATATAGACGGAGGAGGTGGCAGGTATGGTTGCATCAAGTGCGAACAGATATTTCTGCAACAAGCTAACGAAGTTGAAGTTGGGCATGCTCATGTTCCTGGTGTCTAACATCGTGGGCAGCAGCATTCAGATAACCACCTTACCTCTACCAGTGCTGTCAACGTTGCAAGCAGTATGTCGCAAACGAAATCATCCACCATGTGCATGCTAACCGGTTTCGAAGTCAGGTTTGGTCTTTAATACGATATGCGCAACAGTCGTACTCGGCGAACCCTTCACCCGCTTTTCGTTCGTCGGGACCGTCCTAGTAGCCGCTGGCGCGGCGCTCATAGGAATATTCGGTTCAGTCACCGAGCCGTCGCACAGCCTCAGCCAACTTCTTACGCTTTTGGGGCGTTGGAAGTTCATACTATGGCTCTCCTCCACTTTTCTCATCGTTGTTATTCTGATCATCTGCATGTTCATACTCAAGAGAATACACCCTCGACAAACACACCGAGTACGAATCATTCGCGGCATGGCGTACGGCGGGATCTCAGGAATTCTTTCAGCGCATACCTTACTTCTTGCCAAAAGCGCAGTTGAACTGCTCGTGCGCACAATCGTCGATCACGTCAACCAATTTAACCAGTGGCAGTCTTGGATGATTCTAGTAGGGCTTGTCATGCTTGCCCTCGCGCAGTTGTACTTCCTACACCGGGGCCTTAAGATGTGCTCGACAAGTGTTTTATATCCGTTTGTTTTCTGCGTATACAACGTTATTGCTATCCTAGACGGTCTAATCTACTTCGATCAGAGCTCTAGACTACCGGTCAGGGACGCCGCGCTCATTGCTGTCGGTACCGTGATCCTTCTTGGCGGCGTGTTTGCGCTCAGCTGGAGATTACAAGCCGACGATGATTTGCCAGGCCCATCAGTTGTTGATGTTAAGGCGAAGGCGCGAGTTGTCACACCACGTACGATGCTTCAGCCTGGGTTTGGCCTCCAGAACGAACCAGAGAGCGACGACGAAAATGAATTGCTGATCAGACCAGCTGATGACGAAGAGGCAATTGAACAAGTAAAAGGCCGACGGCCTCATGAGCAGACACCTCTCCTAAGAACAAAGACTGGTCCATCGCGGCCTCGAGCACACACCGAACAAAGAGATTCTACGTTGCGCTCTCCAAAGTTGCGTCGCATATCTACCATACAAGACGACAGCACGATAGATCTATGGGATGAGCTGAACGACCGCCCCGGTTCACGCCGCTTCTCCGTGGAGCAGTCGCCGCACTCAGTACGGTCACCCATTACATTGAGGTCGCACAGACGGAGCATGAGCGGCCCTCATAGATCGAAAACATTGCCCAACAGACGGCGAACTAGCGTCATGGGTATCACACAGTTGCCATGGAGGCTATTCAATCATCAAGGTTCAGACAAAAAGAAGATCACTGGCCAAATTTCTGTCTCATCTCCTCCACCGTCAGATCCAACGGATGGCGAGGACACGGAGGGCGACGAGCTTGAAAATAACGAAATGCGTACAGAGATTTCCCCTGGTAGCGAGACAAGGCCCAATTGGGTTAAGCTGCGGAAGTGGTGGAAGAAGAGGTGGCGGAGTTATGATGGAGGAGATGGAATGTAGCATTTTTGTTCACTCATGCTTATACACTATGTTTTTGAGCAACCTCTGGATATACTTTAATCGCCTGTGCCTCTCTTCATTGCAACCGAGCCTTGAGCAAGCGTTCCATATGCCAGGCAGCGCGAACATCTTGAGCCTTTGAAAGGCTTTGCTGTCAATCGAGTGACAACGCAAGATGTCTATCCCTGAGACCTTTACGACGACCGCACGTCTATTGGACTAATACATGGCGTGTGGCATCGATTACGCTGGTGGCCTATTTTTTCGTTGTTGCATATTCCATGTGTCGGACTCATCCTACAGCACCCTCCTCGATCTCAGCAATCTGCTGCTGTACCCTCTTCGCGGCATTCTCCAATACCACCTCTTCCTTAGCCGTCATCTTCCGCAAGACATAATTTGACACTGTCATCCTATCCCTGCTATCCGGTCGACCAATGCCTACGCCAATCCTGATGAAACGTTCATTTGGCAGGCTGGCCATGACGCTCTTTATGCCATTGTGTCCCCTTGCGCTGGCTTTGGGGTCTGTTCTCACGCTTATGGCACCTAAGTCCTTTTCCAGCTCGTCGTGGACGATGACCAGTCTTGCCACATCGCTCTTGTCAAGACCATTCTGTTGCTTCCATTTGAGCCAAGCCTTCTTAACCGCCGGGCCTGATGCGTTCATCAACGCGCCGCATTTCCACAACGTAGGGAGAAGGGCATCGTCTTGGGCGGCGTAGCCACCTAGGAGCGAAAAATGTACTTGATTTTTATCGGCAATTTGTCCGCCTGCGAAGGAGCGCCATTCGTCGTACTTTTGATCTAACGCGATGTAGGAGAGCACCGTATGCCCAGCTGAGTGTAAGGTATTCAGGTATGGTTTCGGATTGCCGAGCGAGGCCACAAAGACGGGAATTCTTGACGGATTGCCCTTTTTCAGTAGCCCAGTGAGCATGGGAGATAAGGTCGGTGAACTCGATAGGGATTGCTCAGTCGATGAAGTCTTTGAAGATGAGGGTTTCGAAGCTCGTCTTTTTGTTTTGGAAGTTCGAGGCGAGCCGTTTAGGTGCATGTGCGGCCCTTGTTCCGCGACAAGGGGCGCTTCTCGCGACATCGACATTGTCCAGATCTCGTAGATCTGACTTTGCTCTGATAAGTAAAGAATGGTGGAAAAGACGAGGATCGACATCCTGGAGTTGGCTTCTGAATATAAGATACTGAGTCGACGCAATTTTTGCTTTGACTGATTCCAGGACACCGACACGGACGTATGATTCATCAGCAAGGCGCAGCAACCGGGCTTGGGTACAATCTACTTCCATCAACCTTCGATACAAAGCCAGTTCAAGTCTCTACCAGTCGGCGTCACTGGGTATCCACGGGTTGGCGCCAATCCAAAGGGTATATATGGTCTATTAGATGACCGGTCATACATGTCCAGTTTCCACAGGACCTGACGAGCAGTCAAGACCGCCGTTGTCGTCTAGAAAAACGTTGCCGAGGGCTTCCACCCGGAAACAATCTCTTTCCCCCGCAGAGGACGCGGATAGCCTCTCTCTATGCCGTGCCTTTGACCATGTGCCGCGAGCGTCTCGTTGCAGGCTAGGGCTTGCTTTATCTCCTCCATACCCTATCTCTCCAGTTAATCCTTGTGCCAAGGAGACGCTTTGTCGAATTTACTTTACCAGACTTACCCATACTGTAGCTATCTATGATGATTACCATGTCTAATATCTTATTTCCGACGGTAGACAATGGACCATTGACTTTTGTTGCCCAAGGGGCCTGCCCGAGCTGAGACATGTGCTGGCGCGAGAAACATTTACCAAAGCATAGTTTGATCAGCGAACTTGGGGCCAATAGCTTCCTCTGCGTCTGCCATTAGCTGCAGTCGCAGAACTTCTGCTTCTTCCCTTACCCTCTCTTCTTCCTCCAGCTCCGTTTCTTCGTCAGCTTTTTCTTGGGTTTGTTCGTCACCAGAGATATCCATTGGATAGAGTCGTTGACATATTCATTTGCTAAATGACTCGATGGGTCCACATCTTCTGCTCTGAGATGTGTGAGGAGCTCATTGATTGGCGATTCAACACCCGAACCCCAAATCATTGATTTGTTCTGGATCAATACACCGAAACGGGTCTCTCAGCTGATTATGCAGCTGTTTCAATATATTACTCATGTCGTTTAGTGCTCTTTTATATCATCGCGAATGCAACCGAGGTGGATTGGGATGAGCGGCAGTCCTGAGTGTTTTTTTAACATACAGGTTGGCTGTGATGATGTAGATGATGAGATCACGTTTATTTGTGCGATATTTTTTTTCTCTTATCGTCGGCAATGATAATAGTCTGACGTGTTTTCCTACGTAACTAGAATTTTAAAACGACTTCATAACGCAGCCTCCTCTACTGCTAGTATGACAGACTGTCAGGATGATCTAACTAGAATCTTGTTCATCAATATAGCTTCTAGGTGCAGAAGTGTTCATAATTTTTGGTGGAACATGCGATATCTCCATATCAAATAAGAGGGTGTCCTAAGCGAGTACACGGTTTTAGCGGCCTGGCTGTTCGATTTCCACGTTCCTTTATTACGAAATAACTTCTAGTCACTTGGCAGACTGTCCGTCATGCTTGTAACGATAGGCTAAGAAGAAGTAGTGCTCCTCCTGTAACGGTACCTACTTTTCTTATAGCTACTTACTTGGTACCGGGCACAATACGGTGGAAGTGAGCGGTAACTTCATAATATCAAGCTCGGGTTGAGCACATGTTGCGAACAGCTGGGATTTTAGCAGCTCTTCGGGTGTTCCCCTATCATATGATATGTGTTTTGAAGTTTATAATCCAAACTCAAAGCTGGTTAAAATTAACGAGTCACATATGAGACAAGGAGCCACTTATATGCAGTAATACTTGCAAGATGCATTCGAGATTATGGCATTAGAAGGCTCTTATTTTTTTTTCAATTCATCAAGAAGTGTATCTCGTTTAAATTCGTAAAATTGGACTATTTCTTTCAAATTTTTGGCATTCATCACATATCTGCAGTGTGGTTTAAGTGAACGTGTCGTGTGGCGTCTCAACGTCATTCGCATTCAGCTCACAACATCTTCGCCGTGACATCCTAACAGCGTGGGCTGGAACTCGCACATCATCTGAGATTGCTGAAACTTTTTAGCCTGTAAAATATCTCTTCCTGAAGCTTCTCTGGGTGATGTTTGAAAGTCACACTCTGCCCACACACGCGCAGAGGATCGCTCAGCTCGACGAAAAGTACCAACGAGACATTGATAACGGCATATTTAAACCTTACACCTATCCGTTTTGCGCCGTGGGTATCCTCGCAGTTGTTATCTATTTCACGATTCCCCACAGAAACAGGCCACTGTTACGAGCTTTCCGATTCGTGCTTTGGGGCGCCAACCTCACGTTCTCACTCTACGTGATTGTCCGCTTCCGCGCTCGCAGAGCACCCATCGATTATGCTGTGGGACTTATTTCCTGGTGGTTCGTGCTCTGGACAGCAGCGGTCATGGTTGTCTACGATGGGCAGCTTGAGTTTGCGCGAATCGAGCGGGCTGTCGGAGCTACGAGAACATTGCACTCTTCGAGAAAATCGGCCGCCGAAATGGTAGAGCGATGTTCAGAAAAGCCCAAGAAGGAAAATTTGCGAGAAAGCAACGCTATTCTGCCACTTGTGTGGCAAAGTTACCCCATGGGTTCATTTCTGGAGCGTGTGGATTGGGTTGTTGACCTACTTAGCAACTTTAGAGGAATGACTTGGAACTGGAGAATTCCGAGCATTCCTGGCCCGCCAACAGAAGTGCAAAATCTTCTCAAAGAGAACAAAAGCCATGAAGTTAAGCAGATATCACTCCCACGGCTTGCATCGTCGCCAATCTCAAGAGAAGAGCGTCTGCGTGACGCAGCCCGCACCTTCGGCCTTGGTTACCTATGCCTCGACTTCATCCGGACCTTGACGATCCACGATCCATACTTTAGAGGCCTGGGCACGCAATACAAGCCAGAATACATGCCCTTGGTCGTACAAAACTCGACGGTGCTTATTCAGTCGTACCGCCTACTCGTAGCTCTTTTTGCCATTTATTGGGCGCTGTCTACGATCTTTTCTCTCGCGCCCATTGTTTTCTGCGGCGTTCTCGGGGCTGGCACGATCGGTGTACGCGGAGAACCATGGGTTTATCCTGGAGAATGGGGCAGTTTCCGTGCCGTGCTCGATCATGGCCTCGCAGCGTGGTGGTCTGTTTTTTGGCACCAGACCTTTCGGTTTGCCTTTGAAGCGCCGTCCAGGCGTCTTATCGAAATCTTGGAAATCGATCGGAGTTCATTCATTGGTAAGACTCTGCGCCTTTTTGTGGCATTCGCTTTGTCGGGTAGCATTCACGCATCGGGTAGCTACACCTCAATTGGAGATACCAAGCCTTTACGCGGGCCATTCTTGTTCTTTATCCTGCAGCCTTTTGGTATACTTGCCCAAATACTTGCTGCTGAGTGTCTTGGAAAGGCAGGTATTGCAGGGCGAGTGCCTCTCGCGGCTCGCCGGGTGACCAACGTCGTCTTTGCATATACGTGGTTCTATTTCACAGCTCCGATTTTTATCGAGGATCTAGCTAAGGGCGGGACATTCCTATATGAACCTGTTCCTTTCAGCATATTTCGGCTGCTTGGACTCGGTGGCAGGAATGAATCGTACATCTGTTGGACTTCGCCTTGGACATGGTTCACGTGGCAGGCCGGGAATCGTTGGTGGGAAACTGGGCTGTCAACATGAAGGTTTGATGTCAACTTCGAACATCTTCATGTTCAGACGTTAACGCGTCACCGATATGAGCCATAATTCAAAAAAAAAAAAAAGAAGTGCCTTTGTCCTTGATTTTTGTACCGCGCTTCACATTAAGCAAAACGTTGCCAGTGTCCATCAATCATCTCTACCTTAACGGTTCTTTCGACACTCCATGCGTTGCTTTCCTCAGGAATAGCCGCCACTAAACATCAAGTGACGAAGGGTGGCCTGATTCTAAATTCGCAACTAATGATTGATCAACGACACGAAACTAGCTTAAAGTGTTTCATTGTTTGACAGGATTAATACATGGGCTTCAGGTTGAAAGAACGCGTAAGAAAGATCAAGGAACGAGCGGCCTCGAGAACCATATGCTATCTGTTAAGCTCACAGGCTCCATTTGATCGTCTCTAAAGGCAGTGTACGTTAAACGAGATCTCTAAGCGCTAGTGTCTGTTCGTGATTGGTAGTTAACTACGGGGGGAAGGCGAGCATTTTCGGTTTCTCTAACCCTTTGCGAAAGTGCCATGCATGGGCCATCTAATGCTCTTCCAGGCCGACCCACGTCCTCAAACAATCGAGGAAGAGGAAAAAAAGGCCGCGTAATTGGCTTGCTATTCATCTGATAAGTAACAAGCATCTTGTCAAAACATCTACGGAACTTCGATCTTTAGCCTAGCCGCTTGTCATGCCGGCCAGAATCGGTCACCATCACCCGTTCTAGGCGCCGATGCTTGTGGAAATGCCCTTCAAAACCCCGGAAAGGACGTTTAAAAGCAATTTGCGCTCTAGATGTGGAGTGCTCGAAACGGCGACCAGTCACAGAAAGTCTGCCTCCACCGTAGCTTTGGCAACAGAATGATCACGGTTCCCATCTTGGGCTGATTGTTCCCAGGTGTACAGAGTACTGTCGCGGGACACAGGCGGCATCCGTCTCTCTGCTGCTCGTAGCTTGGAACAAAATCCGCCCAACGGTCTCCCAGGGAGGGAGAAAGGGGGCCACGCGGCGCGTAATCTGATTGCATTCGTCAGCTGTGCCGGAAAACGCGCGAAGCTATGCCAAGAGCGACTGTGCGGAGGGAGATAAGCTCATGCCCAGACTCGCTTAAATGCTTAGCACCTGCCGGCATTGGCAGGCTGCGATCAGGGCGTTTGTCGTGTGAGCAGTCCGAAAGCAAGTCTGTGGTCGAGGCTCACACCGAGATTAGGAGCCCTGCGGCCACCTGTTGTCCTCAGATGCAAGATGCACTCTCCTCTGCCAATGGGCAGTATTAGCGTGCATACTCGCCGCAGCGTTTTGCATTAGGTGAGTCTGAGCCACGGTAGCCTTCTCATTCCTGAGATGGGACGCCGAGTCTGCCCGCCCTGACGATGGCTAATTCCAGGAGCCAGCAGTCCTGGTTGATCTATCAGCGAGCAAGCTGCAGTCCTTCAGCGAACGCGAGGAATGATGACACTGTACAGGAGTGTTTCAAGCCCGCGACGCTTGGACGGTAATTGCGGGAAACAAAGCGCGGCCTGCCAGTCAGCATCCCCCCTGCTGGTGGTGTTGGCAGTGGCCGTCCCAGCCGCTAGGTTCAGCCCGCCGCGCGGACTGGCGCTCGACTAGATAAAACTGGATGGCATCGCAGTCTTATCGTCATGCGACCACCTGCCATCTTAATCTCGTCCTTCTCGTCTGGCACACGAAGTTCCATAATTTCCTCTCGTGCCCTCTCGCGATTCTTATCCAGGTTTGAGCACGACAATACCCTGACTCCTGTCCAATTCGGAACTGCACGACAAAGTCTGGGAAGGGTGGTCCCAAAGAGCACTTGTGAACTTTTCCGGTACCGAATGTCGTCTGCCAAAGTCTAACCGGCGTGCCCAGCGACAATGCTTCTTCGCCTTCCCTTCCAACTGCTGCTATGCATCTCTGCTGGGGTGGACGGTCTACCTGTCGTCCAGAAGCGTGATGCGGACTTTATGAGCGTTCGCACGCGGCTGTCCAAGGATCGCAGCGGCAAGGGCGGAGACCCAAAGGACAAGTACTTCCATGAGTCCGTGGTACGATAAGCTCAAAGGGCACCGCAACTTCCGGCTCCTAACTAACACGAGTCTAGTTTCATCCTCACTACGATGGCAGATTTGCGGATAGGGTCCTTACAAACGAAAAACGGTACAGCTACCTCACATCGCTAATGAAGACGTATCTCTCGACGATGAACGACATTGGGGCAGAGACTTGGATAATGCACGGCTCGCTGCTGGGTTGGTGGTGGAATCGCAAAATCATGCCCTGGGATTCAGATGTCGACGTTCAGATATCCGAGGGTTCGATGCATTATCTGGCCAAATACTACAATATGACCATACATCATTTTAAGCTACCGGGTGTCGAGCATGGGCGGGACTACCTGTTGGAGGTGAACCCACACTACCTCAATCCCTCGACCTCAGACAAACTCAATGTTATCGACGCGCGGTGGATAGACACAGAAAGCGGTCTTTTCATCGATATCACCACGCTAAGGGTAGACCGTGACGCCCCACCAGACGGAGATGTGCCGAATATGTATTGCAAAGACAAGCACAGATACAAGTATAAGGATATTTTCCCTCTCCGCGAGAGCCAGTTCGAAGGAGTGCCCGTCAAGGTGCCATACGCGTACACCGAACTTCTCGAGGAAGAGTACGGACCACAATCGCTCACAAGCAAGCATTTTGAAAACTATTACTTCGATGAGGAGGAGCAAATGTGGTTACCTAACGGGTATGTTCTAAAGTACCTTTCGTTAAAACTCTATCTTTTATCCATTTGTTCGTTCATGGAAATTCATGTACCTGGATCTTTGGACTGCGAAAAGTCATCTATCTTAGCCACCATATACTTTTCAACACGTCTCAAGCGTCCACGAAATGAGCTAATATATCTCCAGTTACCATTTGCAAAAATCCAAATCTGGCGGGAAACCTTCCAAAGGCGGGTCCAAGGCCAGCAAGGAGAGCATAAAGTCGTCCACTACTTTTGTGGACTAAAATGAACTTAGTCATCATTCTCACAGTATTTTGAACGTGTGACTATTGGCGCCTCCTGCTTCCATGGAACGGTTCCATCCCATATGGACGAAAAATAATACCCACCGGATGTGATCACGAAGCATTTTGTTTGTTTCTGCGTTGAGAGCATAGCATTGGTGCATTTCGGCCGGCGTTTATTCTCTGCATTGAGCGTTCAGTAATCCGCTCATGGACATCGACATATCTCATTTGTTAAGAAGTAGACCTGTATATAGCACGGAGAGCATGTCTTTGGTTCTCGATGTTAGGTCAGAACCCCTATCACAGGGTGACGTCGAATCCGTCGAATCTGTCGACTAGTGGACTTGCGTCTACACACCGTAAATCTAGCAAAGAGAAAGAAACACTTAATCAAAAACATGCGCACAGAAGCCCTGCGAGTGAATTTGGGTCGTTCACAATCTCGATTTCAGCTGATAGCTTTTGACGTGTTGTATAGTTAACTGACTTCAGGGACGAATGTTCGGGCAACAGTTGAGCTTGATTTGGAACCAGAAAAGATAACATTCAAGAGCACACGCCTACTTAGTGCCGTTCCATTATGAACGTCGGGTCAAATGAACTATGGTCCCACAGCTTGCAGAGGAGATTTTCATCGTGCCAAGATCATGGAAGTCAAATAAGTAAAGCTAGGCCATATACTTGTAACTGCAGGCATGGCAACAGCCGCCTATTAGATCAAACCCACTTCGCAATCTAATAGTGTAGGGTCTTCCTGGGCAAGATCCTGCATCGGATCTTGTATGGACCTGAATCTCGTCTTCGTGACGTGTTCGGCGTCTGGGTGTCATATCAAATGCCCCGTTGCCCAGCAACCGACTCCCACTAAAGCGCAACCCCACAACATACGGGAGCTGAACCCAAGGACGGCCAAAACAGCCCCAACGTACAGCAGAAAGTCCACTTTTTGCTGCATTTATCCGGGCTGCACCTTCTTCTCGTATATCAAACGCCTATCACGCTCGCCATCAGCCTTCTGGGCCTCAGAAACATTTTCTGTAGCCACGATGGCGAGTCCTTCGAAAGAGAACAGCGACTTCATGCTGCCAATTCCGCCGCCACCGCTTCTTACACGGTCGACGAACGAATATGAGCCTTCCACACCTGGTCGATCGCACTTCATAAGCCCACCAGAGACCCCACAGGGCAGTCCGAGCAAATCTCAACATCCGCCAGGAGCGTACGATCTGCCCAATGTCTTTGACAATGCTATGAAGCTCTTTCCCTCCAACAACGACTCACCGGCCAAGAATACCAGATCGCAACTACAACCAAAATCTCCTGCGAAGTCTGGAAATGCATTTTCGCAAGACATCGACTTCTCGGATTACACAGCCCCGGGTTCTGCACCAGGTAGCCCACGTCGAAACGGGAATGAAGAAAATACCCCACCTGGTTCGAGACCAGGTATGAAGTCTCAAAGCAGCTTCGTCACCGCTGCCCAGCAGGGAAGACAAGAGGCGTACAAGACTCGTGAAGAGCCCAGGTACGACCGTGGCCTTACGGCGAAGGAACTTGAGATGATTTCAAAGCCGTCTGTCAAGCGGCTGACTAACGTCACTCAATTGTGTATGTTGTTTCTCATCATGTTGTCATGATGAATTACTAAATAGGTATTCGTAGATTTTCTCGATTACTACTTTGATCTCTTTAGCTACCTACACCAGCGCCAAACACGCACAGCGCAGTTCAAGGCGAGCGTCCCAGAGCCGCCAGAGACGCCAGAGGAGGAATACAACGCTATGATGACCAAATACCTTGGACGAGAGCGAGCAAATCTGCGGAAGAGGAGGACCAGATTACGACATGGTGACTTCCAGATCCTCACCCAGGTTGGCCAGGGTGGTTATGGACAAGTCTACCTTGCGCAGAAGAAAGATACAAGAGAAGTGTGTGCCTTAAAGGTAATGAGCAAGAAGTTGCTCTTTAAGCTTGATGAGATCCGCCATGTTCTTACGGAGCGCGATATCCTTACTACTGCAAATAGTGAGTGGCTTGTTAAGCTGCTGTATGCATTCCAGGACGATAAAAGCATCTACTTGGCAATGGTGAGGAAATACATTAAATTTGATGAGATGATGCTAATCGGTGATAGGAATATGTTCCAGGTGGGGATTTCCGCACTCTGTTGAACAATACTGGTGTCCTCCACAATCGGCACGCCCGGTTTTACATTTCAGAGATGTTTTTATGCGTTGATGCCCTGCATCAACTTGGCTACATTCACCGTGACTTGAAACCAGAAAACTTCCTCATTGACAGTACCGGTCACGTCAAGCTCACAGATTTCGGCCTTGCGGCAGGGTTCCTGGCGCCGCAGAAGATCGAATCGATGCGGGTTAAGCTGGAGTCAGTCGGCAACATGAACGTTCCATTCGGCCGGCCGATGGAGGAGCGTACGGCGGCAGAGCGTCGTGAAGGCTACCGTTCGCTTCGAGAGCGCAATGTCAACTATGCTAAGAGCATTGTCGGAAGCCCAGATTACATGGCTCCTGAAGTTCTCAAGGGCGAAGAATATGACTTCACTGTTGACTACTGGAGTCTTGGTTGCATGCTCTTCGAAGCTCTTGCAGGTTATCCTCCATTCGCTGGCGCCACGGTTGACGAGACCTGGCAGAACTTGAAGCGCTGGAAGTCAGTTCTCAAAAAGCCTGTCTATGAAGACCCCAATTACTATCTCAGCAAGCGGACGTGGGATTTAATCACACGCTTGGTTGCTTCAAAGACCTCTCGATTCAAGGGCATACGAGAGATCAAGAGTCACGAGTATTTTGGTGAGGTAGATTGGGAGAATATCCGTACTCAAAAGGCACCATTTGTGCCGGAGCTTGACAGTGAGACAGATGCGGGCTACTTCGATGACTTCACAAACGAAGCTGATATGGCAAAGTACAAGGAGGTGCATGACAAGCAGATGGCTCTAGAAAACATGGCAGACAGAGAAGAGAAGATGGGCAAAAGTCTGTTCGTTGGCTTCACATTCAGGTAAGCGATCTATAACTGATTCTTTGCCGAGCTCCATGCTAAGAACGCCTTTAGGCATCGTAAACCTGCCGTTGATGAGAACGGCAAGCCGACGAGTCCGAGGAAGCCATTGCCGAAAGACAACGACGGTGCTTTTGGCACGTTTTTCTAAAACTAAATCAAAGGAGGTAGCTATGAGGATGAAGCATGTTCTATTTTAGCGAGAACACTATTTCGAAAAATCGTGCTGGTTTGGCTTTTGATGCATGTTCGCTCCTTTTTAGGTGCAAGACAAAGTAGTGGCGTATTAGTACTGGCAGAGGCTTTTTATCTCTGGGCGTTCTGGGACGCACATGAACTTTCACTTATGGTGTAAGATGAAGGACACGAGTTCGAGAGCTGCGATGCTCAAGTAATGAGATAGAGATTGCTGCAGAGCAGCAAATGAAGGTTCGTATTATGTTGATATTATCAGTGGCAATCATGTTTCTTCCTTATGTAAGCGCGTTACGGCGGGATATTCTTCGCCACGGACCTAGTGGCGCATAAATCGGACTATTAGTAGAGCCTAGTCGTTGCTATGTTCTGTTTCAGCTCTTCCTTCGCTTTGCGAGATTCATGTATTCGCAAGTCTTTTGTTGTGATTTGAGCTCGTAAGACACGCTAGTGCATTATTTTGCTTGTGCATAAAGTCCCGCTTTCCGCTGATTTGATTTGTGGTGGTCTTCCCGAACGCTGCACGCGACTCATCACCCGAGAACAACTCAGAGACTGCCCACCACCGGCGCGCCGGAAGGCTGAAATAGGAGGCGATACTCTTTTCAATAGCGAAACTAATCGATAGTTGTGTCGGCTTAGTAGAAAGATTGCCCTGTTAAATTCGACGAAACGAACATAATCGATCCACCAAACTCCACAGCGATCTCCTACTTCCGGGCGTTGGGTGGGGACGTAACTCGCATCCAAGAGCATGGACAACATCACGAGCCTTGTATGAAGAAGGAGAAAACCATATGAAATTTTGTTAGCGTCTGCACGAAGAAGCGCAACTGCCTCCACATGCAAGCCAGCGAGCAAGAAGTGGGAACGTTGGACAGAAAGATGAGGTTAACGGCATCGACAAGTCCCGAACGGCGACATAGGCCTACGCAGTCGGACTCAAGCTCAAGCTCAAGCACGTCAGCGGAGGCGTCATCTGCCGTGAACATGTCAAGAACAGGCAGTTCGCATAATACGGTCTTGGATACCGCTGGGGATAGCGATCATGCACAGGACCATGCCCTCCCAAGTCCTGCGACTCAACCACCTACACGGCGTGATAGCAGAAATACTGTACCAAGTAATGGGAGAAGGCAAAGCGACATCGTATTGCCAAAGTGGCAGCCAGATGCAGATGTCACACGGTGTCCAGTCTGCAACAATCAGTTCACGTTCTGGTATAGGAAGCATCATTGTCGGAAGTGCGGCAGAGTTGTCTGTGCCAACTGTTCGCCACATCGCATAACGATACCTCGACAGTTCATTGTCCGTCCTCCTGAACCCCCAAGCATAGTGCTAGATCTTACTGGAGAGACATCGCCTACTACTCCAACAACGCCCGTGCAGCTGTGGGGCGGCGAAGAGGTACGAGTATGCAATCCATGCGTACCGGATCCAAATTTCAGTCCTCCGCCGCAGCAACAGCCACCAAGATCTCCTGATCCCATACTGCCTGAACACTGGAGGTTTCCGACGGAGAACTCCTCACCTCCAATTCATCATCCAGCGTCAAGGAGAATGCGTAACTCATCTGGACCTCTCCCTCCAGCCCCACCACTACCGCCACATATAGGGCACCGACCGACATTAAGCGATGCCTCGTCGATGTCGTCTGATCATCATAGAAGATTCCCACAAGGGCCATTCCTGACTCATCGTGGGGCATTCCCGGCACACCTTTCGGTACGCGATATTTTCAGTTCCTCTGAATCAAGCAGCGCCCACTATCCACCCAGGACTTCTAGTGCTGGAGCAACGGGTTCGTCCTCCTCGACACACCCTCCAGCACCGTCACGGCCATACCACAATCCCCCCCTGATCGACATCAACACGTCCCCGCCTCCCGCTGTGCAACGAAGGAGGCAGATTCCTGAGGAAGACGAATGCCCTATCTGCTCCGAAGAACTTCCACCCAAGGGACCAAACGGGGAGACGACGGACAGAGAACGACACGTCGAAGATTGCATTGCAATGCACTCGTACACATCTACACCTCCTTCCAGGGCTGTTTCAGCTCCTCCTGATGGGGGGGAAGGGGCCTCATCGGTTTCTGGCTCAAGGCCGGCTGCAGGGCCACCGGCCTCACTGCCTTCCTCATCCAGTGCACCGTTGCGGCATCGTCGAATGACAGGAGGACGTATGCTGGTCTACAAGGCGACGGAGAAGGACTGCGTGGCGGAAGACGGAACAGAAGCGGAGTGTGTGATCTGCTTTGAGGAATTTGAGCCCGGCGACGAAATGGGACGCCTGGAGTGCCTTTGTCGCTTCCACAGGGTGAGTTGGCCACGAGATGCCATCATTCATCACAAGCAAACATGCTGATCCCTTGCGCAGGCATGCATTCGGCAGTGGTGGGACACCAAGGGAGCAGGCAGCTGTCCCACGCACCAGCTGCATGACTGAGTTTCTCCCGCGAAATTTCTGGCTAGTCCTTTTTCAGGGGTTTAGGGTAAAGGTCCAGCGTTGATAGTTGTTTTTCGTTTTTCGTTCTTTGACTCAAAGCACGTGTTCGAGTTGGGGCATGTTCCATCGCCCGAGCAGAGACTGATCCCATTCATGTTCAAGTTGGAGTTACGGTGCCTTTTCATTGGGATCGCATATTATACCACTCACGACGCTTTAGTTTCGGGAACGCCTACTGCTCGATTGATATAGACTACACGTTTTGCCAATGATGACATGAGACAAGTTCTGATCTTTTCCAATTTGTTCTTCTTTTTTTTTTTTTTTACATCCCCTAACTGAACTTTGTACATTCGCGTGCTCGAGACGCCTTTTCTATATCCCGAAGAAAACTAAGGTTTCCCAGCACCTGCGTAAGGTCAAGGTTACTTCCTTGAACACGATCATGTCCATGAGAAGCACAGCAGCGACACCCTCATATGCACAAGGCCCTGTCGGATGTGGATGTCTTCCCAAAATCTTCTGCATCGAAAGCCAAGCCCATTTTTTCTTGCTGATGTTCGATACATGCAACGCTTAGTTCTTGACGTATAGGTCGACGTACTTGTCGACATCCATTGACTGGAGCTTCTCGAGGTCCTGGGCGAGTTCGACGAGCTCATTAGCGCGGGCGGAGTCGTAGTGAGGAGCTGTTGCGGATGAACGGTTAGTCTCGTCACGTAAAGCTGGGACAACAGATTCGATTCTGAGCATTGAACACTTACCAACGTGGTTCTTGTACTTCTTGAGGATCTCAGGCTTGGCCTCTTCTCTCCTCAGTCTGTGGCCCAGAGGAGCCTCAACGAGCACCTCGTCCAGGACGGTGCCGTCCTTGAGCGTTACGGTCAAGGCATTGGCGATCGTTCGCTTGGCCGGGTCGTGGTAGTCCTTGGTGAGCTGTGGATCCTCAACGCACTTGATTCTCTTTCTCAGGCTCTCGAGGAGCGGCGAAGTGGCAGCCTCAGAGCCGTCGACGTAGTCGGTGGCGACCAGACGATTGAAGACGAACATGTTGGCAACCATGTACTGGACGCAATGGTCACGGTCGGCGAAGTTGTCCATAGGCTTGAACTGCTTGTCGATGATGCGGATGCAGGCCTCGTGCGTGCGGTTGACGACGGAATCAATGTCTTCGGCGGTCTTGCCCATCTCGGCGAGTTTCTTGTTGATGATCTGGGCGGCTTCGATGGCAGTCTGTGAGTGGAACTCGGCTGGGTATGAGACCTTGAACAGGACGTTTTCCATGACATACGAGCCGTATGGTCGCTGGAACTCGAATTTCTTGCCCTTGAAGGCGACATCGTAGAAACCCCAGACAGGAGCGGAGAGGACGGTTGGAATTCCACCCTCGCCACGCATGACCTTGAGAACGTTGTCTACCGCCTTCTGGCAGGCGTCACCGGCTGCCCAGGACTTCCTGGACATGGTGTTCGGCGAGTGGCGGTATGTGCGGAGAGCTTGGCCGTCGACCCAGGCGTGGGAGATGGCGTCACGGGTTTGCGCCTCAGTCAGGCCGAGCATCTTGGAGACCACGGCGGTGGAGGCGACCTTGACGAGGACGACATGGTCCAGACCGACTTTGTTGAACGAGTTCTCGAGAGCGAGAACACCCTGGATCTCGTGCGCCTTGATCATAGCTTCGAGAACGTCCTTGACCTTGAGGACTTTCCCGTTGCCGAGCTTGCCCCCGGCGCGGTTTGTGCGCGAAATCCAGTCTGCAACCGAGAGAATAGCACCCAGGTTGTCAGACGGGTGACCCCATTCGGCGGCCAGCCAGCAATCGTTGAAGTCGAGCCAGCGGATCATAGCACCAATGTTGAAAGCACCGCGGACAGGATCGAGTTGGTACGGAGTACCAGGCACTTTAGCACCGTTCTCTTGCACGGTGCCTTCTACAATGGGGCCGAGCAGCTTGGTGCATTGCTCGAATTTCAGGGCCTCAAGACCGCACCCAAGAGCGTCAACCATGACCCAGCGAGCGGTGTCATACTGGATGATTTCAAAGTTAGTCTCTGACGACTGGGGGGAGAGAATACTTAGCGAACGAACTAACTTACGGCGACGTCAGAGTCAATTTTGTACTGGTGAACATACTTGGCCATGTCCACGATCTCCGGATCGAAGTCGCGGTTGGATGGCGGCGGAGTGTAGCTGCTCATCTTGGGCGACGCCGTCGAGAAGGAGGCAGCAACTCTCGTTCTGAAGGACTGTCTCGCGAAGCTGGAGGCGATGGGTCGAGCAAGGGAAGCCGTCCGTAGCTGGCGGGAAGCTGATCTCGAGGATCTAAGCAGCGTGCGGGCACTGAGGGACGACATTGTCAAAAACCAGCAAACCTCACAAAACACACAAGCACGGCGGGGAGCAAGTGCAGTCAATTGGCAAGAAGAGTAGGTGTTGTCTACGCACCAATTGACTTTTTCAGGTGAAGAGAAAAGGATCTTCACTTTTTGTTTACGAGCCGTAGTCGAGGAAAAGTTATAGCCGCGGGGACAGCTGCCCGTCGTCAAAGCGAGCTTGAGTCTGCGGCTCGCCGCTCCGAATCGGCCTTAGCTGGGCGAAAGCTCCTCGGTCTGCGTAGCCGGCTGGAGAAGGATAGCCAGGGCCCCAGAGCGCTGCTGGGCAGACGATGGCCGAGAATAGAGGCCCCGAAAGGGTTTCTTCTGACTCGCCGACCCAGCGCCTTTGACGTTAGTGTACGAAGGATATATACACGCTATAGCCGAACTCGCATGAAGCTGCACAGCACCAGCAAGCTGACCGTGTGCGCCGTGCTGCAGTGTCACGGAAGGCCTCGTCATTGGACCGGCCGCTCATCGACCGTTGAATTTTCGCTCTTGAGTTTGTGCGCTGTTTGCAACCAGGCCAGCAGGTTGAGGGCGCCTTCTCCGCCTTCTCCGCCTCCGCAATGGCCGAGAGCCCATCACTGTTCTAGCGTGTGCCTGGCAGAACCGCTGGTAATACAACCGTGCCACGCTCCTCAACAGGAGGACAGGTGAACATGCAAATGGTCACGACTTGGAGCCAGCCATATCGGCACTCCTCGAAACCCTGCCGACAGGACCTGGGTGATGATCAAAACGGCCGCGACACGTTGAGAGCCTCAGCAGCGCAACCGACCACGACACATATAGAACTACGGAGTAGAGCACTGTGAGAGCGTAGGGCGCCCCAGTCGTCTGTGGGCACTTAGGCAGAGGAAGCCGCTACCACAGGGGACAGGCCAGCGCGGCGAGGGGGGCAGTTCGCTAGGGCTTGGGGGCTTGCCGCTTGCTTGAGGCAAGTGCAGCGTGAATGCAGCACCACACCTTCCCAGAGGCGTGGATGTGCCTTGCAGTCCTGAGGCACCAGAGAAGAGAGTGCCTACTGGAGCCTTAGGCGTCTCCATATCTCGAATCTCCTCAGCCCAGCACGGAGCGGCCGCCACGCAAGAGCCAATCGCCAAACCTAGATAGTAGTGGCTGTCATTGTCATCACTGCGTTCCCCACAGAGCACTTTGTCCCTCCTACAACAACAATTGCGCAATGAACACAAGCAGCATATCACCTTTGCACGGTATACTCTTTTCTCATTCATTCAGTTCTACCTTGCAAAGGCCGCGACCACCATCTTGACCGTCCGCATCCCAGCCAACGCGCCGCCAGCCTCTCCCGAATCGGCCCATCGCTGAGATCTGCATGCACTACACCATCATCCTACTTCCTACCACACGCTATACTTCTCGAAGATTTCATCCTCCTGAGCTACGGCTTAAATCCCAATCTTTCGCCAACATCATAGCTTCACATGTCTGGGGAAGGCGTGGTGCAACAGGCGCGTCGGACGCCTCGAGCCAGGCATAAACACTCGAGGAGTGTTACCGGTCCTGTGTCTGACAGCGAGGGCTTCATCGCACAGGCGGGCAACAGTCACAAAAAGAGCGGGCGGAGAAACCAGCAGGCGCACCATGTCGCGCAGCCGGTGCCGGCTCCAGCGTGGCAAGACAGCGATCCTTCGCAAATGGGTGGCTTCTTCGATGCACACGGCAATTTCGTTAGTTCCTACCAGCATTCAGCGGGGCAACAGCAGGTACCTGGCATGTTCTACATGAGCGACGGGGTACCTTCGCATGCAACACATCAGAAAAAAAAAGGGCGTCAGAGCAGGAACGGGCGCCACTTGAACGGCACCAACACGCCTCCTCATGCCAGCTCTGACAATGAGCGTATCCTGTCCGCAACCATGTTGCAATCCATGACGCCGGCCAAGGCAGCCGCATATGCAGGCCCAACCTTCCATGCATCGCCCGCAGCAAGCAATCTTCCCATTCCCAAGTTCTTCTCTAAATCCGTACCCAATGATAGCACACAGGTTGGTCTTCGCGCACGTCTTGAGCAAGAACCAGACAAGAGCGATGGCAGTGACAAGGCCGAATCACCTCCCGCCGTGCAACCGGTAACCGCCGCGACACGATCCACGCCAGACCATGCGAATGAATCGCCTCTTGACTTCCTCTTTAAAGCCGATAAGGAGCAGAAGGCCAAAAAGCAGGGCTCGAGCATTGCCACTACGCCCCCGGTCAACAGAACTGAAGGCGCGAGCTCGGGATCCGCCCGAGCCAATCCCTGGCAGTCGATATATGGCACAGGTCCCCGCAACCATCAGAGACAGTCATCCACCGGTTCCGGCAGAGAGATGTTCATGATGGAGCTTGACACTCGAGACGCATCGCCCAGGCCGAAGCACATCAGTCCACCACCTCCTTTGCCCCGCATTCCAAACCGATCTGTGAGTGATTTCGCCGCGTTGCCGCAGCTCTCTCCACCAAACAACGGCCACAAAGGACTACAAATGCCCTCTTTTCCGCCTGTTTCCCAGACGGGGACAATTCCCGCGCCAGCCATACCGGCTTCAGAACAGCGGTCTACAATGGACCACTCTTATTCACCGTTCAATCGTGCGGGTCCTTATCCTACACCCCACAGCAGCGAATCTACACCAACTCACCAGCAGGGACTATATCCACCCCAGAATGGGCTTCATTACGGCAATCGAAACCTATCACCTCTGTTCAAGGCCGCAAAGCAGGATTCCTCACGACCACCTTCAGGTCTAAGGCAGGAAATCCAGCATGCACCCATCCAATCTCTCATGGCAGAGTTGCCCGACAGCAGCCCATCGAGACCAACAAATCCGCACCGACGTGCGTCTACCCAGGCTGAGAAGGCTGCTCTTGCGTATTTACAGACCCATGTTTCGAATGCTCCAACAATGCCTACGCTACCGTTGCCTCGAACGGCCCCTTCCGAGCTTGATGGGGTAGGAGTCGTGGCGTCTCCTGCGCCTACCGGTGTCACCCCACCTGGTGCGAATGCATTCAATACAAAAAGCATCGAAGATGACCTCAAGCGCATGTTGAAGCTCACTGGTGGAATCAAATGAATCAGTCTTCCGCTTCACATTCTCTTTTCTGCATTTCCTTAGTAAGATATGAAGAGATTTGCACAAAGTCCGGTGCAGAGTCTTTGATTATTTCACCTCTGACGGCGGATCCTCAGATGCATCTGTTTCCACGTGGTTTTATGGATGGAACGATCTATCTGCGGGACCATTGCAAAATCTGCTCTGGAGATAATTCGCGATATACTTTTTCTTTTCACTTCTTTGAATGATCTTACTTCATTCTCCTTCTCCGCACCTGAACACAACATGACATAACTACAGCGTTCATTTGTTATAATTGACATGACATATTCGATCGACTGACAGACACATCAAACTCACGACCCAAGGTTACGTGAACGACGTGGCGTTTGGCTCACAGTTTCAAGCTACCGTATCTCTTCTGCTTGTTGCGTTCAACGCATATCGACACGTTATATCACTATAGTAAGGCGTTATACGAGAGGCGGACGGATCATTTACGCCATCACAACGCAACATCTTTGTTGCTCGAGGATGCACATCGTTATGATTTATTAGCAGACCGAACGAGAGGTGCCATCTCGGGAAAGAGTAGAGAGAGCTGCGATTATAGTCACAAATATCCACCAAATTCAGCACCAAATTCATTGTGGACTAAACGGTGCTAAACACAGACACATCCCTTCGAAAAGAAAAAAAAATAACCCCCCAACAAACCAACCCCAAAAAAATTATATTGAGTAGCATAGAACATAGTGTTCTGACATTCTTATGAATGAGAAACTTGGCTTTGCTGCTCAAATTACTCCTGTCTTTGACATTTCTTAATGCGGATTATTTTGATGTCTAACAGCGCAGGTCTGCCTAACGCCACCGCAAATTACGAGACGGATGTTTATACGATTCTTTCTACAATTCAGCCAAGAACTCATCGAGAAGCTGCAGCCCGGCTTTGAGTTTCTCCGTAGGGCATGTGAAATGTATGCGAATTCTTCCCTTGAATTCGTCCTTTAAATCGCCGTGCCCGAAGCAAATCGTGCCCGGCGCCAGCATCAGTTTCTTTTTCTCATGCAACTTCTTACAGAAATCAACCTCGTCGACAAGCTCTCCCGTACCGGGATCCTTGAACTTGACGAAAACGGTCGAGCCAGCAGTCGGTGGTACCCAGTCGCAGACTTCTGGGTGAGCGTCGATGAACGCCTGGAGAAGACCGATGTTTGTCTTCGCCAGCTGCAGGTTCTTGGAAACAATCCGCGGCCGAACACGAGGACCGAGGACTTCTAGCGCGATGGCCTCATCGATGAGCGAAACGGACACCAAGGACATGACGCGGTAGGACAGGAAGGTCTTTCGCAGATCTGCCGACCGTGTTACTATCCATCCGATTCGCACGCCGGAGAGACCGTACACCTTAGACAGCGACTGTGTGACGACGACGTTGTCGTAGTCGAGGGCGGCGTGCTCGATCACGGACGTGGGGACGTCGCCGTCGGCGTGATAGAGCGAGTGGAAGTTCTCATCGCAGTGGACGACAACATTGTACTTCTTACACAGTGCGACGATCTCCCTCTGCTCAGCCGTTGTGAGATGCGTCCCCGTCGGGTTGACCGGGTTGTTCACCACAAGCAGCTTGGTCCTGCCTGGCCGGATCAAGCCTTCCAGCTGCTTCATGTCCAGCGCCCAGCCGTTGTCAGGGTCGAGGCGAAGGTACGAGATGTTGCAGCCGATGTGCTCGGGCTCCTCGATGCAAGGCCCGTAGGCGGGGTACTGACATATAACGTGGTCCCCGGACTTCAAGAGCGACTGGTGAACGATGTGATTCGCCCCCGTGGTCCCGTTGGCCACGATCACGTCGTCGGGCGAAAGCTGCGACAGCTCCTTGTTGTATGTCGCCGCTATCGTCTCGCGAAGCTGGCGGTTACCCTGGGGGCTCCCGACGTCGAACTTGATATGACCAAAGTCCAAGGCCGCCTGGGTGATTTTGGGGTCCGTGGAAAGCTCGACCATGTCGCTGAGTGTGAGGCTAGGTGGTGCGCTGCCACCGATGCTGATGGTGTCTGGCTTGCCTGAGCATAGCCACTAGATGGTTCGGGATCAGTAACCAATACAATTCAAACTCGCTTTCACGTCGTGAACCCTTTTGAGTGACATCCAACCTACATAGTGGAGCTTGTTGAAGCCAAAGTTACCGTCCATTCCGTTCGAGACGAGAGAATATCGCAGAGGTTTGAACAGTCGTGTTCAAGCGCGAAACCTTTCGACTCATATCAGTTCCTTGACTATTAGTCAGAGAGTGCACGTGATCAAATGATTATCATTGCCGAAAGGGCGCGCTTCAAGGCAGCCTTGCGCAGCTAGAACCAATGTCCAGCTTTTAACCAATGTACAGCTTTCTAGCTGCACAAACTAGCCACTAGCCTTGAAGCGAACCATTCTACATGACAAGCCGCCAATCGTTCAGAACAAGCTGTCTCGCAAGAGACTAGCTCGACCAATTTTTTCACGCTCATTGGAGTCTGCTCGACCAATAGTTTCTTGGTCTCATGCGGATCGTCGAGACTACATCTGACTCAAAAGTCGGGCAAAAGAATGTTATGTAACGAGTATGATTGTTCTGCATGAGAATAATTCCTGCGCATTCGACCTTTTAAAAAAAAATCCCCCAGGCCAGCTAGGTTCACGTGTGTAATCCATACATACTTAGCCATTGGCCCGTGCCATTAAAAAGGCTATAAAGAGGTGCGCCATTTTCCCATGCAGTATTCCAACACTATCGCCCACCCAGCAGGCATTCCAATGAAAAACACCGAGACTCCTTCCTCCCCACACGTCCGGCGCTGGGTTTGGATCCATGAACCGATTCTGTCTAGTCCGAGGAAAGAACGTGAAAGGATAAGAATCATTGCTGGACGCTATCATGAATAAACTGAGAGGGGAATCGTAGTGTCGCGTGCGTCAATCATTTCTGACAAAAGAAATTCGTCCTCGAAATACAGGTTCGTAGTCAACACGGGCGAATCCGAATCGGGATCGAGCATATGCGCATGTTGCACAAATTGAGGGCTGTTCCTGGCCAATCTAGATGGTGTCCCGGTTTTGCGCGGTTTCATTTCATGTGTGTGGGACAAGCGTAGCCGACCTGAACTATTCTGTCCGATACGGCGTGCTGGCCGTACGCTGCGCAGGCGTCGACACCGTGAATGTGATAGATGCAGCCACAGACGGCATACTTTTCAATGACCCTCATGCACATGATTGACTTGGTAAAGTTGAGAAATCTGCTGTCGAAGTGTGTTGTGTCCCTGAATGAAACCTTGATGTGCCTTGATGGAGGGAGTAGCGAGGACAAGAATTCAAGGAAGATGCAATAGAAAATCAGGCTGAGCAAGAGTTCCAGATAAATACGGTGCAAAATAAAAACTGGAGTATGACGCGGTAATGGAGAGATCGCGACAGGTGGAAGTAGAAGCACGTAAGAGAAGGATGTGTCCAGGCAACGACAATGTCGTATCGATGGGCTGAATTACGAAGGAGAGGTATGCAATGAAGAGGATGATGTAGTTGGTGTGTGACGATTCGTAAGGCAATGAGACCGGTATCATAGACTTCTTATAGCTAGGACGCATGATGACTGAAAAGCCATGTAGGCTCGCGGTGCGGACCCGTTCGGGGTGCGCGAATGATACTACTAAGAGTGGAAGCAGAGTGGAATGGAGCTGACATGGCCAGGTATTTTGAGATGGCTTGGGGTTGTAACTCAGTTTTCGCCCCCGAACGAGGTCGAAACTCGCATTTGTGGACTAGTATGCCGTCCGAACTCATTTGGCATGATTCCGATTGTTCCGCAAGAGGAGGGTTGGTGATGGTGACGTTGGGCAAATGGTGAATGACAGCAGCAGCTACAGCAGCAGCGAACAGCAACAGCAACAGCAGCAGCAGTAGCAGCGAGGCGCAAGGCGCAGCGGCGACAAGCATGTGGCTCCGGATCGGCACCCGTCGCACACTTACACGACAGGTCGGCTGTTTTTCGAAAGCAATGTGCATATTTTAGGGGCCAGCCCACGCGCAGTAGCACGCGGTCGCCGCGCGGGCCAAAAATGCAGCCAAAAGTAGCGACACAGGTACCAAAAGTACGTGCGAGGTACTTCGCCATGACGGCGCGCCTTCGTTCAGGTCGCCACGGTCCCCTGCAGCGATGGGGCTACCGCAACGTGAGAGAGAGCATAGCCATGCGGTTCGCCGAAGCGCAAGGCCTGCGGGTACCGTATTCTCACAGGCCGCACCAGCATGCATGAACGAGCGGTCGTCCAACGAAAGCCGGTGAGGAAGCGTTCGCACATCGAGCCTAATTGCGCAACACTGCAGCGCTGCGCCTCCGATTGGCTCGCTTCCATCCTCAGCCACGGCGCCAGGCCAGACTCGGCATCGCAGCATACGCATGGCCGCTTCTTTCACCGCACACGCTTCTGCCTCTGCTCGACCAGCCGCCTCATTATTGTCCATTCACTTCTTATTGATCTCTAGCAGTCACCATACTCGTCGCTCCGACTTGTACGTCTCCAGACACGACGTCAGAGAGCCGCCGTCCGGGCCATCCCGTGAATCAGCTTACCAATCTTTTCTCTCTTCACCCACATCGTTCAACGTTCGATACGAGATCGTGTCGCGCATGACCCAAGCATCTTCGCTTTTGCATCGCTCGGTTTTCGCCGTGAAACGCACCGCGCTGCTGCAACCGCTCCGGATCCTTGACTCCTTGATGTTGGCCTCACGGCTGCTCACTCGAGCACGCGTAGACTTCGTTCCGCAACCTGTCGGGCCGATAGACTGCCTGAATTAGCAGCGGACAAATATCGTCGTCATTGATTACGGTGATATCTTCTAAGCATTGAGCTTGGTGGCAGCCTGACGAGCTGGTCTCACGCCGCATTATGACATAGGCTACGACTTATCTACTCTTGTCGAACAAGCGTGAATCACGTCTTGACGCTTTTTGATCGCGAAACACCAAATTTGCCCGGCAGCTGTCCACGTAAGCAACCCATTCCAGCAGCTAACTTATATCTTACTCCGGCAACATGCAGTGATGCAGAATGCAGTAAATAAAACTTCAGGAATAAAATAAAAGTTTCCCCTTCTCGGCACAAGTTTAACCGACAATGAATCACATTAACGTAAAGGTAATAAAGGTGCTTGGAGTCAGCGATGTCGCCAAGCTGCAAACAGGAATGCACTAATTTCGACGGGTAACTCGTACAAAATGATGCTGTAGGATGCAAAAATAGACGTTGCCAAACATAAAAACAGGAGCAAGATTGTAGAATTACCAGGAGATGCTGGCATAAAATCAACACCCCAGACAGCGAGTCTGCCTCGAATCGTCTCAATGTCATAAGCCAGTAGTAGTAGCTTAAGCACGTAAACTCTTAATCAAGTCATCATGTCCCATTTACGAACACAGTCTGGTCGTTGCAATTGGCACACAGGTCTGGGGCGGCACGCCGTACAACGTCCACTGGCGTGCACGCATTCCCGCCATTGGAGAACGAAAGGGGGCAGAATTGCATCTTCAGCGTTTCAGAGTGACCGCATGTGTGCATTCGTATGTGTTGCTGGCACATGCTGTTGAAGGTCGTGACAGCCAGGGCAGGGTAAGGGTCAGATGTGTTGTTGTGTGGAGGAAGTGAGAACTTGTGTGGGTTGTGCGCCAGTGGATGTGAAGATCAGCCTCGTCGTACTTCGTGAAGGTGGGGCCGGCAGTCCCGAGGATGGATTCAGCTCAGGTTTGGGCCACGCAACCGGAGTCGAGAATGTCGTGATATCTTCCCCTCAGCGGAGGTGAGTTGGATTGCGCTTCCCGAAAGACCCCACAAATTAGTTAGAAACCGATGATTTGAAGCACGTACGCTGTGCAGGCGTCAATGCAAGGCCACAAACAAGCCGAAAGACCCAGAAAGGGTTGAGAAAAATAGGCTCAGGACTCCTTGTTTAAAAAAAGAGGCGGATCGCTGACTCGAAATCACTGGCAGGGGCGGATTGGGGCAAGGCAGATCCCGGGAGCATGGGCTGCCTCCGGTGGCCTCAGCAGAGGTAAGATCCCGAATCAGTCAAGCGAATCCTTTCAGCTGGTTGCGTTTGGCCACGTGGGCGAGTGAAGAGTTCGAAGGTCTTTCGCGTCTTCCAAAATGTGTGCGTATTCACTGACCGAGCCGTTCCGTGCCAAGGAGGTTAAACGGAAATAGTGTCGTGTGAGCAGATGGCTCGCAGATCGAAAGTCTACGTGTAGCAATCGACTCGAAATGGATGTTGAGGGATGCAAAGTTACCTGGTCCGTTTCCGGGTGCAAAAGTGAATGAGCGGTAGAGGGACTTCAAAGGAGTCAATGGCGTGAAGGACATGAAGTACGAGCCTTCTCAGCCCTATTCTCCGCCTGGAGACGCCTGACCCTGGAACCACTTCTACTTTTGGCCTGGTGTTGTTGCCTGAGGCCACGAGACATCAATCCGTGCTTGATAACTTCCAACTACAAGACAGTCACAATTGAGCATCGCGGCTTCATGCTCGAGCACCTTGTGCTATCAACTCTTGCTACCCTGGAGAGCCATCATGTGCGTTATGAGTACCGCCAAGACGGTACCTTTACCGGCCGGGCGGCATTTGTCTTACGCCCTCCTGCAAAGACGGGCTTTTGCTTAAGAGCGGTGAAACCACACAGGTATTTCCTTCTCCATAACTAACATCTCCATACTTCTGGCGCACAATGCATGTACAGCGCTCTTAGCATCCAGTACTCGACAGAGGGGCCTGCGTTGGGGAGCTTAGATCTGCTCGCGCTGACTCGGCTTAAGAGCTCTAGGCCGTACTACATCTTTTCAGGACAATATATCAGTTTATGGCTTCACAAAATGGCCATAATTCGCACACGAAGCGAGATAGGCTACTGTGACTCCATATAGAGCCTCCTTGCTGCCTGCGCTGCCATCGCTAGGCAGTTGCGACTTCATTGCAGTCCAGAGTATCGCACGTCATGTGATGGTGCACGGATCAGCGAACGTCTCGGTTGGACATGGACTCGGTTTTCGCGTCGCTGCCCGTTCTTGCGCTTGCAAAACACCAGCCATCCCATATAAAACACCACCACAACCGTCCGCGCCTTTGGAAATCCATCGCTACGGTCGCGAATATTCTCTTGACCCGACACGCAGTCAACTTTTCTTGACTCGAAACCGAAAATGCCCGGTGGTAAAGGTAAGCGCGTCGCTGTTATGGGCCGAATTTCGCCTTTCCAGGCGCAAAACAATACGGATTGCTAACATTTTCACCTTTTTCTCAGGAAAGACAGGTGGCAAGACTGGTGGAAAGAGTGACGGCACGTCCAAGACGCCAAAATCTCACTCCGCAAAAGCTGGTCTTCAGGTATGTTTTGATTTCGCGCTAATTTGACTTTCCTGCCCTATACGCCGCGCACAGTGTAGAAAGACACGTAGTGGTATTTGCCTTGGTTTTGGAATCTTTTTGGCTGCACAAGAGACGCGTCATCCGCGCAAACGTCATAGCAAACTTGACTTTGGCGGGGTTCTAACGTATTATGTCACAGTTTCCCTGCGGTCGCATAAAGCGCCATCTACGGACCATCACTCGCCAGAAAACCCGTATCGGTGCAAAGGCAGCAATCTATCTTACCGCCGTATTGGAGTACCTCACCGCCGAAGTTCTCGAGCTTGCGGGGAACGCTGCGAAAGACCTCAAGGTCAAGCGTATCACGCCACGTCACTTGCAGCTCGCCATCCGTGGCGACGAAGAGCTAGATACCCTTATCCGCGCAACCATCGCTTTCGGTGGTGTGCTTCCACACATCAACCGCGCGCTGTTACTCAAGGTCGAGCAAAAGAAGAGCAAGAAGCTTGAGGCATAGATGATATCTCAGGTCGCAGGATGAGGGAACTTCGCGCGAGTATGTATTAGTTGCTGCATGATTCGTGGGTTTATCTATCTTCAGCAAACGGACGGGGTCCCGGCACAGAAGAAGGTGCGTGAGATATGGACGCGCTAATTCACTTGGGACATTTGCTATGACTAGGCTTTGTTTGGCGGGGTGCTTCGGAACCTTTTTGGAGTAAATGAAACTGGCGTGTGGGGATAACGGTTGTTATGGTCTGGTGTCTTACAATAGTCATTAACAAAGAAAGTCGAAGAATGAACCCAAACAGCGATGTCCATGAATTCCTTCCATCCAAACACACGTGCCTCTCCGATCTACGGACAGCCTTGCACTGCGCTGTCAAATTTGTGCTAATCATGTCGCTTATTCGAGATTGTCACATGTATTACCCGTACAGTCGACAGCCAGGAAGTATTCTGCAGCTCAGACAGGAAGGAGTAACTAGAGCCATATTATACTTGACTTTGGCCGAACCTTACCGATCTCTGCGCAGCTTTCGGCCTAGCAGGCTCGTTTTCCTTAGTGCGTAACAAAAGTTGATGCTCAGGAGTTTCGAATTCTATGAGTCTCGTGCCAGCGTCACAAAGCGCTCTTGCAACGTAGCGTTCCCTTAGGTCGGAGAATCAAATGATCTTGTAAAGTGTGACGTGTGCTGCCTCATTTTTTGGGCTACGACATGAAATGAGGCCAGACTGTTCAGAACATCTCAAAGTTGTCACAAGAAAACTCTCAAAAAGATTTGTTAGACATCCTAACATCAGGGACACCTTTTCTTTTTCGATTCCTGGTTGTACAACGGTAGGTTCATCTCCACATTTCTTGGTGTTGCTATTGAATGCCGATATTGCTTGCGAAGACTTGGAACGACACCGGACTGAATCCTGTTGTTTACTTGAACCTACTGAATTTAAAGTGGTAGCGTCTTTTGCGCCACGTAGAATCTCCTAGACATAGAGTTCAAGAGACAATATCTCGCGCGCTGAGTACAAACCCTGGCTATACTGGTATACGGCTGATCCAGGGGTAGGGATGAAGACTGGAAAGGGGGCTGAGCGTGTGAACGCTTGTTAACCTTGTGATCGACGGTCACATCGAATCGGGTCAATCAGTGAAGCAGAGAAGCCGACGTGTTGAAGAGCAGCGCCGTCTTGTGTATCTTGCCAGCTTATTTCAAGTCGTCAACCAGACACCAAGGATTTCCATCGCTCCGTTCGATAACGGCCTCTGTTTAGGGAATTCCTACGTGGAGATTGACTTTGTGGTGCCCGCCACTGTCAAAGACCAAGACAATAGCAGCATGTGGAGCAACAAGCGCTGACCGTGCCCTCTTCGTTCCTGTTTGATGAGAGATATCAGTAAGATAGAAAACTCCGGGCAGCATTGCAGTATGGTGAACCAATCTCAAGAAGCTGGTGTAGCCGAGTGGGTTGGTTACAGATCAGCTACGAACGGGCTACGTCGCAGGACAGAGTACCGTTGATAGTCAAGGTATTTACTGCAGCTCTTTGATGTAGGTCAAGACACAATGGTTCGAGACTAAGTCGTCTGAACATGCTCAAGAATACTTTTCATGGTCTCTTACTCTAGTCAAACGCTGCGCTCAACTTTGTCTTATTTCACTGAATTAACCGTGGGGCCGTTAATGCTTACTTAAACCCATTATGAGCATCAGATCTATATTTCGGCGTTAGGATCGGGAACACAAGTCGAAGTGCATCAAAATATGCCACTAGAACAGCTTTGTATGCAGCAAGGAACTGTTATATCCCTTACGATGCAGGCATTTCTAAGAAGACACACGAAACGATAGCAGTTCATCTTAGAATATACCGCTGTATCTCCTCTCCTTTGAATATGTTCATGTATGGTGTTTGTTATCACCATATAGATATCGACGCCCTCTTCGAGGAGCTTTGCGACGGATTCCGATGCAGATCGTGAGGACGGCAAGGATGACGATGCGTGGCTGCACGGTCGAACTCTCCCGTATTTTTTGAGTCTTCGTGGAAGATTACATATGCTTTTAGAACAAGCATTTAATTTCAGATTGTTCGAGCCCGGAACTTGGAGTCTGTGAGGTTTTACATTTGGCTAATAGCTTTAGCGGAAGGTGCTGAACGAGACGTCGTAGATGTGGAGAGTGAGGGCACGGACTGGGAACGCCAAGTCAGAAATGTGAGTTAGTCATTCGCAAGACGAACTTGAGACGTTCTGTCGTCAGAACACTACGCTGCCTATTTGCTACTTTACATGAAATTTTGTCATGAAGAAGCATCAATGACAAAAGTACTCTTCGCTCTTCTCCAATCTCCCATCCGCAGATGAGTCAAGATCGGTGAAAAGAAGTTGAGATTCGCGTCAGCCCGCGAAAGTGCAGTACGAGCGACACCGTGCTGCCATCATCGACTAGGACAAGCCTGTAGATGGGGCAACGAGTTCCAAATATTAAATGATGGCTGAAAATCTTGCCTCCTCTGAAGAGGCGTTCTAGCGATCAAACTAGAAAGAACAGATACTACACTTGATCTAAGCCATTCGGCAAAGAGATGCTGGGAGGAAAAGGAACTCATCCTGACCGGGTCAACGTGCCTTTTATACCCAGAGCAGAGTCTAATAAGTTAGGCAGCAAAAACTCGGCCATGGAACGGTGAGTGTTCTACCCAAAGAGGCAAATCTAATCACGTGATCAACCAAGGGCGTTCTTCTCCATGCACCGCCAACTCGTTGCCTGTTACCGCTCGTCGTGCATGAGCATGGCCATATGGAATCACTTGGAAACAGTCATCATTTACGGGCCATGCGAGTTCACGCAGTCTGTTCATCAAGCACTTAACTCAACATATGATGCATGGGCTGTGCGACTTGATCCCGTTGACGCAAGGAGTTGCGGAATCGCGCGACTGGAAATGTTTCCCTTTCTGAGAGTACGACGTGAACTGGAATTAGGAGGCAAGTATTGGTTCGAATCAAATTGAACCTCCACCCATGCGCGTCAAAATACGTGCTTTGATATTTTTGACTATCGTGCTCCGTCATTTTCCGTCACTTATCTTTTGCGTCGTATTCTTGCAATTGTAGGGATTATCGATTCAAAGGATCTAAAAGGGGGAGGGGAGACGGAGCAAGTCGACTGATGCACTCCTGGAGCTGATGTGGCGGCCTTGAGAGTCGCACTCGGTGCTGCCTGACGTCGTTGAGCAAGGTAGCGCTCACAAACTCTAATATGACATTTTCGCACTCAAGAACCGGAGGGGATGTAACCTGATTTATGTGGGCGTACGGTGTTGGGTGTTCATGGCCGCAAACAGCAGGAAACCAGCCATCAAGAACGTTGACATGAAATGAGGGTTTCAAGGAGTATATATGCTTGGCCCATATCTATCTCATGCTGAAATGAACGATAGACATGCCGTAGCAAAAGGAAAGGTCGTGGAAGAACTCCCATAGTTGAACAGGATGGAAATGAAGGAACGTACGGGCGATCCAAGTGCTACTTGATTCAAAAAAACCTATCTCGGTATCATTTCATGGTTCCGTAGAAGGCAAAACCGTGTTGCCTCCTGTCGAAACGATGAGCCCTTACGCCTTAGCTATGGCGAAGGGATTGTCTGTTGTTCGCGCCAAGAACGGTCGATGCTCACCAGGGCAGACGGCCAGTGTCAGTGGTTGCATTGTCATGTCACAGACCTCAGACTTTCCCTCAAAAAGGAGATCTGCTACCTCTCGAGGCTGAATACACTTGCTGGTAGTTGCGAGGCACAAGAAAAGGGAGAGAGGAAGCGCGCAAGGCTCGGGAGAGTTTCGCGGCCCCGAGGTTGCAAGCAGCCGACCAATCAGCGTGATACCGACAGGTCCGCTTTAACTCATGCAGACATGCACGCACCTCCCTCCATTCTTAGAAATCTACACAACCTCTCATCCACACACACCGCACACACAATATCCCTTTTCTCGCTACTTGCTCGCCTGCTTCCCTTCTTTCCGCTCCTTAATACCGTGGAAGCACGTTTGAGAATTCAAGGCACTTCTTTTTTTGTCGTACCTTTCCGTTCAGTTAAAACCGCTTTTTCAATTCTCTCCACTGTGTCATTCCAGCTGGATCTCCAGCACAGTTGCGTCCTTCGCTCTGTCTACTCTATTAGGAGAGCATATCTCGATAAGAGAACAGGAAGGTGGCGCAGCTGTGCACAAAAAGGGTATCTTTCTTGATTTGCTATCTATACGTAGTGTGCACGCTAAGACAACTCACAGACACGTACAGAAGAGACGACCAAAAGCTTGTTTCTCTTCTGCCAGTCCTCGGTCGCCTGCCAATCGCCATGCAGTATACTGTCAAACGGCCAGCCCTTGTCGCCCCTTCGCTTGAAGAGAATGCACAAAAATTTACAAAATAGTACAAGAACGCTATCACAAAGTGCCAGCCCGCCAAATTGGCAAAGTTGCCGATTCCTAAAATACAAATGATGCAACCAACAAGAAGTGAAAGGAAGAGCTTTGCTATTCAGGAAGCAGGCATCATAACACGCGAGTTGCTCGAACTAGCAGCGGCATTTGCTTGTTGTTGGGTTCGCCTCTGTTCCTCCTGAATCATCTTTGCTTGTGCTGCAGTCTGCTGGTCCTGATTTGGCGGCCTATTACTGCTGTACCCAAAGGCAATCCGGTATCGAATGTTCCAGTCGTCGAACGGGTCAGTACGGTAGATGTCTGTCTCTTCATCTGAATCGATGTCATAGGCGGCACGGTCTCGCTCTCGCTCCTCAGCTGCGGAAAGAGGCGGCGACATGAGTGGATGCGTGTAGCCGTCCTCTTCGAGCCTCTGCCTTTTCGATCGAGTGAAGTGCTCTTCATCATCCATGCCTGGTCGTTTTAGGCCGCGGCGATCGATGAACAAACGGCCACCACGACCAAGTCTCCTACGGTAGGAGGGTCTCCGAAGAGTCATGCCGTGTGTGCTTCCTGTCTCCACGGGCGGACTCTCGAAGCGGATCGGAAGTTTTGACTTGGCTTCTTTCTCGCTATACGGATTCGGTGTTCTGCCACCGTCAATCATGTTTACGTCCTCTCCCTCAGAAATGCTCTCAGGAGGCGTTGGCAGAAATTTGGTAACAGCATCACGAAAGGGATTCCGGCCCCCGTTGGCAGTTTCCAAAGGTGGGGTGATAGGCCGCCATGTTTGGTCAACCCAGTCATTATTCCAAGCGCGATGCTTGGACATGCTCTCTTGGATCATATGATCGATCTCAGCTTGCTTACGAGCCTTGTCTTCATGGAGCTGAACCAGATCAGACTCAGGAAAACGACCATCGGAGCGAGCACTAAGCGGAATCTTCGGTATAGCGCCTGGACCAATTGTGCCACGGTTGATGATAGCAGGGTCCAGACGCGGACGCGGCTTCGGTATTGGTTTCTGATTGATGAGATCGTCATCGTCGCCTTTGATGCCTAGCTGTCGCTTAGACATCTTGAGGGCGTGTCGCTTGTCGAAGATGGAACGTTCGAGCGAAATCTGCTCTCTGCGAGCCATCTCGCGCTGCTTGACAGAGTGCAAAAGCTGTCGCCCAAGCTCAAGTTCCATACGGAGCTTCTTGAGCTTCTCAATAATTTGCGCGTCACGGCCACGTGTCTTGCGAGCCTGCCGGACCTCACGGCGACGGAAGCAAACGTAGGGATCGGAGTCGTCTGTGTCGACATTTCGCTCGAACTTCAACGTCGGCATCAGTGGGTGGTTCTGCCTTTCCATCCTCCTTGACTTCCAGTGAGGATAGATGTCCTTCGCGAAGACTCTGGTCGCAGCATCGACTTCATCATCGAAAGATGCGACGAGCTCCTCTAATGAAAGAACCGGCGCGTTGTCTAATGCGGCAAAGGGCTGCTTTAGTGCTGAGATCTCTTCAAAGACGTTCATGACAACCTCGAACTGATCTTCAGTGCAGTGACTAGCAGCCTTCTTCTGCTTACTGTTGAGCTTCTTCAGGAAGACCTCATCCTCAGCCGTCATGCAATAAGGACAGCCACTAGTGTCCTCCACGGTTGACGAGAAGCGGATGTAGGTTTGCGGCTGCTGAAACCGCGGCACATAGTACTGATCATAATCGACGGTACTGACGTTGGTCTCAGGTGTCGGAATGAACAACTGTGTCTCGGTAGCGCCAGCTTGTGCCGCGGATATAACTGCTTGTAAGTGATGTTCCTATATAGTGTCAATGCCTAGGTCAGCAAAAGTCGTGATAATAGTGTGATAGCGTAATTCGTCTTTATAGAAATGTCACGTGACATATTCGAAACTCGCATAATGTGCAAGGTTAGATGGTGTAACTTACAATTTCTTCTGACTTCTCGACACCTGTCTCAACTTTTGGAATGTTTCTTTGAGCCTCCTCGTCGAGGATGTTGGTGTCAATCTCGTGCTCGCGGACTATGCGCAGGTTTTGCTTGACAGACAGCTTGCGCTGCCTAAAGCGCTGCGCCTGCTGTCGGGCCGTCATGATGCGATGACCCAATATAAATGATTATCTATGAAATATTGTGATGACTGCTCCGCACGCGGACGACAGCCAGTATGTCCGTGTGGTGAGCGTGGTGCAGCACGATATGTGGTGGGGCTTGGCGCGCAGTGCGCTGAGGGCAGGTGTGAGAAAAGTTTTGCTGGGGGTGTGGATAGGCGAGGGAAGGGCCAAGTGTCACGGTCGCAGCAGCAAAAGGGAGACGACCAGTCGCAGCTTCGTCGACGTGTTATAACCGCAACGCGCGCCCGAAAACTGATGAAAATTGAGGAGATGACGCAGGCGTGATGGAAGAACCATGGTCTTAAATTTGACGATGGTTCATGATGAGAAAGGTGGGTGTTTTGATGGAAGTTGTTGATGAGAGGCCTTGTCGGTGAGCGGGTGAAGGAGGATGGGGACGGGCGAGGGAGCGAGCAAGAGGAGAGTGAGAGAGACGGGCACAGCCAGAGAGGGAGTGAGGGGGCTCAGGCTCGCCCGCTTTGCGCGCTGGTGTGCTGGACCACTTTGTCTGTTGGCGGGGGGACCAGACGGGGCACCAGCGCTGAGGCAGGCGCAGCAGTCGCCAGCCCGGCATCATTGCCCCAGCATCTTGCGTAGCTTGAGTCTCAACTCCCCGAATCCTTCAGCACGCTACAGTCGCATGCACGCGCCGATCATACAGCTCAATTTCCACACAACACGGGCCTGTTTCCTTGTTGCCTAAGGCCTCCAGTCATGGCACGTGATTTTCTCTGCCCTTTTCCAATAATAAACCTATAAGTCGATGTCGGCGACAACTTGTAAGATATGTTTAAGTCGTTTCTTCCTTGTCTGAGCCGTGCAAATACGGCGCCATGTTCTGGGTTGCAATCTACCCTTTTCTGCCCTTTCCTGTTGCTGCCCACGTATTCATGCTTCGGTTATGCATCTCACGCTTCTCATACCAAATTCCAAGGGGAGTGGCGTTGTCAGGACATGCGCATTTGATGAAAAAATCAGCTTTTAAGAAGCTACTCGGCTATTCGAGAGTAGGCTTGTGCTGATTCCGTTATAAAGGACTTGTTCTGCTTGTTTGTCACCCAAGGCTCAAGTTACGGGGCGAGGAGTCTAACAACCAATTAGCGTGCAAAGAGCCCGTCGCGCTTCCCAATATGGAACGCGTTGTTCTTGTGCTGGACCATTTTAGACGACCTTCATTGCTTGCATCAATCCAGGACTTCGGTTGACCCGAAACCAGAGCAATAAAATGGCAGTCCAAAGGTGATCACACCCCATATCCCATGTCAACCAAACGCAAAAGAGCGCCCACCAGCGCTCACAGCACCCCATCAAAGCGCGCCCGAGCGGAGGAGTTAGATGATATATATACCTTCCCAGACGATGAGATTACGTCCACCACCAGCACTCCCTCGAAACGCAGTGCAAATAACAAAACAACCCTCAAGATCAATGGCGCAAGAACACCCAAGAGAGACTCGCTTGCGCAAACGCCTAAATCTAATCGGAACGTATCCCTTTTCGAGACGCCAAGCAAAGTACGCTTCGAAGATAGGCAAGACGTGCGAACATCCAATTCATCTGTGAACGCTGATCGCTCGGCAAGAAAGAAAGCAGCAGCCAGAGTCATAGAGAGATCAATAACTGGGGGTGTAGGAAGTGAGGAGAATGTCTCGGACGATGATAACCTGGCAAAGGAGATTCTTAGTGAAGATGACGAAGAAGAAAGAAAAGGGCAGCAAGAGGATGTCGAAATGGGTGTGGAACCAGAGACACCAGTCAAGCGAGGTCGAGGTAGACCGAAGGGTAGCAAGAACAAGCGCTCACCCACGCCCGAGCTGGCCAACCTGCCTGCACATGAGGTATATTTTTGGCAGAACAGGCCTGGCGCGGGTAAAACGTCCAACAACACATTGGCGTCGCATTTGCTGCTAAACCATGATGAATACTTCACCTTCCGACAGGCTCATGTGGAGCCGCATCAGGAGGAGATAGATTTTCTACTGAAGCTGCATAAGAGTGCTTTCCCGCAGTGGGTTTTTGAGCTGCAGGAAGGCTTCAACCTGTGCCTATTCGGCTATGGATCGAAACGACATGTCTCCCAGGCGCTGGCAGAATATGTCTCAGAACATGCGGAGAAGCCACCCAAAATTGTGATTGTAAACGGCTACAACCCTGCATTGACTCTAAGGGACATCCTCACAATGGTTGCAAGCACACTATTCCCGAAGAACGTTAAGCTTCCTATGCACACGACCGCGTTGCACCAGCTTATCTTGGAGACCCTGACCTCGAAACCGCCTGACCAGCCCGTGTACTTGATGATCAACTCAATAGATGCTGCACAGTTGCGCAAGCCACTCATCCAAAGCACGCTAGCATCTTTGGCATCGCATCCAAAACTGTGTCTAATTGCCACTGCAGACACCCCGAACTTTCCCTTGCTCTGGGACATTAGTTTACGGCAACAATTTCGATTTCTGTTTCATGACAGCACGACATTCGCACCATTTGACGGCGCGGAAATCGACGTTGTGGAGAGTGTCAACGAGCTTCTTGGCAGGAGTGGACGCAGAATAGGCGGACGTGACGGCGTTGGATATGTACTCAAGTCGCTACCCGAAAACGCGCGGAATTTGTACAGGATTCTGGTTGCGGAGCAATTAGCAGCTTCAATTGATGTAGATGATCCGGCCCTGGGTGATGACGGGGACGACGACATGGACACTGCCACTGGCGGACAGCGCAGGGATTATGAAGATGCTGGTGTAGAGTACAGAGTCCTGTACCATAAGGCTAGGGAAGAATTGGTCTGCAGCACAGAGCACCAGTTTAGAACTTTGCTCAAGGAATTCTACGACCATCAGATGGTCGAGAGCAGACGAGATGCGTTGGGAGCTGAAAGACTTGTCGTACCATTCAGGAAGGATGATCTGGAAGGACTGCTCGAAGAGCTCGTCGAATAGAATGAAGGTTGACATTCTAGCGACGACTATGATCCAAAACTCTCGCAATATGAGTAACACTCACGATGTCATGCAGGACTGTTGAGTTTTAGCTCCTTGTCATGCAATCTCAAAATCTTCAAACGTCACTTCCAACGGCATCCCATTTCGTTCCCCCTTTGGATCTGGCGAACAACAATACACGCCTAACCACGCTTCTGTTTCTCCTCTCTCGTCCAAAAATACCCACTGCGGCTCCCGAATCATGCTTCTATCCTCTCCGCCAGGCCCTTGCACATATACGAACAGCGCGCCCTTGTGCCTCTCAAACTCAATGGTTGCCTTCACGAACCCTTCAGTTGCACCGACATCCGTTGCTTTCTGCACAACGCCAGCCGGTGGTGCAGACAGGCTCCAGTCCGCCCAATTCTCCCTCGCGACGGTGCTTGCCCACGGCTTGCCGTCGTTGATCTCGATACCGGCCTTGACCCATTGCGGGTGCAGCTCCTTGCGGTTCGCGTTGCTAGCGTCCGGGTTAGGATTCTCCTTTGTCGGGAAGGCCAGGATCATGCCGCCTTGGTCGTACACAGTCTTCCACACGAATGACAGCGTCACGCGGGCTCTGGTGAACGACGAAGTATCGATTTTACGAAACAAAATGGGCGCAGTCCATACGTAGCCATGGGCCGGCGCAGCGTATATGTCCGTTTTGGGGGGCGTGGAGAGTTTAAATGTCTTGGGTGCAGGCCAGCCCACTTGGGTGGAGGTGTTGACTGGCGTGAAACTGTCTGTCATTGTCGATGACATTAGCTTTTCCGGAGCTTCAGAGTTGGCTCATAGTCGTCGCGTATGACTAGTGATCTTTCTTTTTCTTTTTTTTCTTATATATACCACGCGGTGGACCCGCACAATGTGCGTCTTGTCCCTATGAAGAGAAACGTTACGGGGTCGGATGGCCTACTGCTTTAGGTATTTCCTAGTAGGGTAAGCGTAGCCTGATGTATGAGGACCTGACGAGTCGACGACGATTTCGAGCGTCGTTTTGTGCGCAACGCAAGTTTCCATGAACCTCGACATGGAGTATCACAGTTAACACACCACTTGCTGCGCATTCATATCATTTAGAATCGTCAGCACAATCCAGAGACAAGGAATTCTTGCGATAAATAATATACACACGCCGCAAAGTCTAGGAATGTTCTACCTGACTAAATCAGACCTAAACGGAACTCCATATAATATTACAGAGCACCGCCGAGCACGGCGACAATCCACATGGCTATCCTCACGTGGAACCCTACTCTCCTTTCAGTCTTTGCAAAATCGTCAACATCTACCTTCTTCGCGTAATCTTGCAACCAGCTCTCTTCCTCTCCAAGCCTTTTCATCAAATCCTTGTCCCGAGTCACGATCAAGGCATTCGCCTCCAGGTCAAGGGAATAGCTTCGTTTTGTGTAATTAGAACTGCCGACAAGGCTTATCGAAGGTGCATTCTCATTTGGAAACGTGATCCACAATCCCTTTGCGTGGTATGTCCATCCGCCAGGCTCGTTAACTGTGCCCCGTCTCCACTCCTTCACGGAAATACGATCATTTAGACCCTTTCGAGCGACTGCATTGAGAAATTGACGTGTGAGATGACTGTATGCGGCTGGAAGCATACCGGAAACACCCTTCGAGCCATAGAACCCGTTGGCCCAGGGAGATGCTGCAATCACGGTGGCGCTGGCTGGTTTGCTATTGAGGAGAAGCTGACGTACCTCAGGCGTCATGTTGAAGTATCCTGCGGTAAAAGTCCATTTTGAATTTTCGAAACCCGGCTTCGCAAGCGAAGACAGAATCGTGCGCATGGCAGGTAGCTCAGTTGACGTATCTGGTTTCAGAAGCTGGGTGAATTGGAGCAACGGATACACGAGTGTCGATGACGCCGGGACTGGTTTTGCCGCCTGCGTACCTTGATGAATGAGAGATTCTAGGCGAACGCTAGCGTGCTTGACGAATGAATTCGGATCGTCAAGTGGTGAGGGGCACAGGTTGTCTTTTCTCCACTCGAGAATGTAGCCTGCGGGTTCTTTTGAAGGTAGAACAGCGAAACTGAGCTTACAAATTGCTTGGTGAACACGCTCAAAGTACTCTGCAATCTGTGCTGAGGAGAAAACATGATACCTATCTTGTCTATCTGTGAAGTAGTCATTGGAAAGGTTCGCACTTTCCAAAATGTAAGTGAATGTACTCCAAAAAGTTTCGCGCTTTACATACCCAGACACAATAAGCTCATCATCGATAGCATACAGTTTCATATGCTGCAAGCCCCAGCCTTCGTTGATCCGTCGAGGCACGATCCGCTTCTTAATGCCTGTCAAGTTGGGCGTGTGATACATTCTTATCTCGACTCGCTCTTCACCGAATTCCTCAACCAGCGGCGCTAATAGTGAAGCACAACATGGATTTGGTGTCTCCCTAGTGCCACGTAGAGCATCTGTCAAGATGGAGATCCGCAATTCCGGGCTCTTCTTTAACGCATGACGGATCGTCTCAATCTTTTTTTTTGGAAGGTCAATACAAGTAAAGATTCGTGTCTGGAGAACATACCAGCTCATGCTCCTTCGTTCCAATATACAGAGTTGACAAGTATATTCTCCGTTTTGCCTTCAATATCTTACCCTGTTCAAAGACTTAGTAAAAAAATCATGCATCACAGCCACACACTGCATGATCGAGAAATATGAACCTTGAGAACAGAGTAGAATTGATCAGGAGATCTCAAAATTTGAATCTGAGAAGATTCGAGCTCAAAACGCGGCGATATTCTGTCCAATTCCGATGTTATGCTTCCCAGGACGGAAAATGGTGATGCCTCAGGGTTAGGAGTCGTGGCTGTCTGACCTGATGTTGAGAATCGCCGCACGCCTCGACAAAAATTCGCCTCCGATCTCATCGGAGATCGCAGAGGTAGTCTCCTGCATCTCGTAAGAGGTCGCAAGATCATTATCACCACATTTGACAATATTCGTCATCGTGAGTAGCCCTTCGGATGTGAACATGAAATTTATCGCCTTTGCGCCTTGGTGCCTCACCACGGATCCAACCCGTGCACCTGAACTCCCGTCACCACCTCAACGCTGCCCTCTCACAGTAGGTCCGCAACCGCACACCATGTCGACGATACTCAGGACGTTGCGGAATCTCCGCAGGATAGGGATAAAGGTACTGATATGAATAAATGCGGTTCACGTGCAAGCTGACCACTTTTTGCAGGAATATGGTCACCAGATGCAGGTACGACACAATGAGCTCCGCAAGACCTCTACCTCACTAACAGCGCATTTTTTCACTCTATTAGTATATTGGTAAGCTTTTTTCAAGCTCGCTTTTTGAGATTGACAAGCCATTGACGCAGCACAGGTGATACCAAAGCAGGTACTCTGATTGGCACGGACAAGTTCGGCAACAAGTATTTTGAGAACCTCGAGGAGGAACTGCCTTGTACGCCGGCTCTGCGATGAACGAATAAGTGACTGCGGTCTGACATTGAATCACAGTGCGCACGCGCTGGGTGGACTACAAGGAGAAGGAGTACGACCCATCTCAGATCGAACCCGGCTGGCACGCGTGGATCTCGTACATGGTCGATAAGCCGCCAAATGCCGATCCGATTAATAGGCAAGGTGTGCGAGCGTGGGAACCGAAGGAGCACAAGCCCGTTCTGTCGCTGAGCAGGTCAGCCTACAAGCCGTACAGCACCACGAAGAATAAGTACAGTGCGTGGCAACCTGTTGCAAAAGCAAGGGCATGAAGACACACATATTGATCGTAGAGGATTGCATCTGAAGAAATAAATATGTATATACAATTTCTTAGGTTCAAGTAGTCACACATCCAAGCATATTGAACTACCACAAAAGCACCCGAAATCTGAACAGAAGCCAAACACTGGATCTTTATTTTTTTGGTGACTAAAGTCTGGGTTAGGGAGGAACTCGAGGCTAGGACGATCCTCTGTTGAAATTGAAACCATAGCGCTGCGCATAGTTATTGAACGCCTCCCTTGTTGTCGACTCTTTCGAATTTGATGCAGTCGCTGACACTCTCTCTGCGAGCTTCTTTCCATTCTCGACCCTGCGAGCGATTGTATTAGCTGTGAGTCATTGGCATTTGGAGTTGAATTCAACTCACTTTTCGATCAAAATCGCACCATGATTTCTATCCACTCTGCCATATTTTTTATTCGCGACACTGATATCAAAAAAATCCATCTGATCTTCGGTCTGCATTAACGCCACCGTCTGCACGAGCTCGTCGATGTTTTCCCGCAGAACGGGGTTGTTCAATTTATCTACAAACTCTGAAAGGAAGCCGACGTCCTTGGCAAAAAGGCTTATCGCAGCAGGAGTGATGCTTTGCACATTCTCATCTAGGGGCAGATCAAGAATTGAGCGCGTAGTGTGGCTGAGCGAATCAAAGTATACAAGTTCTTTGATCTCAGGGGGCAAACCCATCAAGACGGAATTCATACTGACAGATAGGTACTGCGTCAGCTCCTGCATATACAGACTCGGCTCATCCTGGAATTGTCTCGCTGTCCAGTCATACTCTGCAGTTTCGATAAGGTCGTCAATCTTCGAGTTGACAAGCTCGAAGATACGCTTCTCAGCCGTCTTCTTCAGGTCTCGGAATTTGCTAAGCGCGTTGAGAGTGATGGGGCCCGTTGCAGTGGTCGAAGATCGCGCCTCGAACAAAAGTTTCTGAAGCTCGTCACACGCGGTTTCAAAGTGCTCTAGATTGGTCAAAATTTGTACAATCTGGCCAGGGTACTGCGTTCCAAGCTTGTCTTCGAGGAGCCTGCAGACTTTGTTGCACAGAAGTTCATCGAGAGACTGTTTACGTCAGTAATCTGTCCGGATTTGCCCTGCATTGTTACCCCTACCTCAACAAGCGTTTTATCGATCACGCTTGAATAGGGGAAGTTTTCATCTGAAAATTGGTAGATTTGGTTGAGAAAATTCCGTATGTCGATACAGCAAAGGGGGTACATTTGTGAAAACGGGAGAACACAGGGAAATCTAAGGGTGTTAGTTCTACTTAAAAGAGCTTGTACGTGCCAGGACTGACTGGAGTTTAGACCGATCCACATCAGGAGTGTACCAGCTGACGTTGACAACCTTGTCGTACTCGTCCAGATTTTGTATTTGCATCGGCATGTAGTCGTCGGTAGACACAATCTCCTGAAAATCCTCGCTGAAGCGCCGCTTCAACAGCGTCGCATACTGCTCGAAGATAGAAAGAACGAGTGAATTCCATGACGCTACAGAGTAATTCCAGTTATCCATAGTCTGGATGAACAGAGCAATCAGGCTCTTTATCCTAAGCAGTTTCTCGTCGTCGTCTACTTTAGGAAGCGCATTTTCGATTAGCCGAATGGAGCTCTGACACATGGACTCCCACAATTCATCTACATCCACTGCGGCGCGGAAATTGTCAGTTTTGCGCATCGTTGCTCGCTCCACGATTGCGAATCCAGCGATACTCTCTAAAAGCGAACGAAGGTCTGCCTCATCTTCGTCGAGTAGAGTTACAGACGTGGGGATCAGGAGCTCCTTCTGCTTCTTTCTAGTCGCTGCATATTCGTGTTTAAACTCCTCAGTCTGCCCCAGCGTTTCGTGAATGTGCATGCATTCAAAGAGGGGTGAAAAGTCGACCTGCGTCTCTGTCTCTTCGTCATTCAAAATATCAAACTCCTCCATTTCATCAGCAACCAGTTCAATGGCGGAGTTTAGCTTGAAGCGCCCCAGGCGCTCATCTTTCTCAATGCGTTCTTTCATACGTGCTCGACGCTTCTCCGTGTGGTAGAATGCTACCTCCCCAAGATACTGCGAGGCTTCTCGTATTCTATAAAGCCAAGTTTTCAGATCGGCCATAACGGCATCTGCGATGAGTTTTTGGGTTGCAGGCACAGAGCGCTCAATTAGATCCGCAATCTTATACCGACTAACCTCGCGCAGATGCACATTTCGAAGCTCGTCCAAAGCACGGAGCGCAGCATAATGCTGCTTCTTACCGAGTAAATCATGTACTTGGTTCGCCAGTCGTAAGACTTCCAAACATGCGTTCAGAGCGTCCGTCGTCTCGTCGATATTTTGCCGGACACTGCGAGAGTCAACGAGAGCTTTTTTCTGACTCGCAAGCTTCTCGGTGCTAGCTTGGATCGATTGGTTGAGGTCGAGGATCTCAGATGTCAGATTGACCGTCCCCTCGCGAACGCGCAGCAGTTGATTAACCGAGCCGACGAACTCCTGATGGTTGGTGTTACAGATCTTCTCAATTTCGGCCTCGCGCTCTGCAGACACTTGGTTGAGTGCGGCAAGGAGCTGGCCAGACGAGTCTGTGCTCCGCGCATCTTTGATCACGAGAATGAGCTGGTCGATGTAATCACTGTCTGAAGACGACAGGGTGATCTGGGACCGTCAGCATTACCATGACCCAATGCCGAGCGAACTTAGTAAGTAAGTCACCTGTTGGGCTGCCGAAGTCAAGTCGTCGACAGAGTCATACGCGTATGGCATAGTGACAAGCAGGCTCGAAAAGCGGTTACCTATGCACCTGTTGCCAAAGACAAGATGGGGAAGCCGAAAAGGTGTTTCAGGAGATGGGGGAACACTGAACCGTCGAGATTAGCTGGTGAAAGGCGACGGTAACTTCACCAGGCACTGTATCTAACATGTCACGGGCATTTCTCAAGTCATCGCCACGGTCTGTTCCGCGATTCGCATGTCCGACGTGTGCAACTTTAGAGGTGCAGATGTCCACTCACACTTTGGGAAGGCGCTACTCACCCCAAGTGACTTTCACGGCAGCAAAGCCACAACGGATGTGGCTGATCAGTCCGCCAATCACAGCACGATGCCGTGGTTCCTCGTTGCATCTCAGCCTCGACTATTACTTCACTTCAACACGACGTCGAGAGGTTGTCGAGGACGCGATAGGACGTTGCGCGACAACAAAGGTGACGAATTTAGACAGATCTTCTGCATATACGAAAGCTGCGCTTTCTTTTGGCACCGCGCATAAGCCGATCGTCTCGCAGTGGCGCCAGACACTCCAGATCGTGGACTCGTGAAAGACACGACAGTGACTGGGAAGGTGAAATGCTAATGACTTGCAACGCAGGAAAGAGCCTTCCTGCCTCTTCTATACTCGGCCCCCTGGACCTTCCCACGCCAGACTATATAAGAAGAACGTCGCGATCACATCTTCTTTCTTCTTCCACTCAACTGTCTTTCGCGTCGTCCAATTCCCCGTTCACTGACACATTCCCCCCTCCCCAAGCCAACCTCATTCATTCTTCTGCGAGCCCATAGCGTCATTGCCTGGGTAACCACATTGCAACGCTTTGTGCAGTCGTTTATTTTTGTCATCGCTGATCCACGACTTTGTTGCCGTGTATTTCGTGCTACCTGCCAGAGTTGTAGCCCCGTCCTTAAACCCTTGCACCCATCTCTACTGACAGACGGCTTGACAGAATGTCTACACCATTAAAGCATTACGAGTCCAGTGACGGCTTCACGCCGAGCACTAACAATCGCAGCTCCACTCATGACTTCGCGTCCCCATCCACTGCGCTCACGCCTTATTCGCCAGAGTTGGTGCGCAAGGTGGAGTCGGATCTTGACGGTCTCATCAATGGCCTTAGCCTCAAGTCCAAGGCCGCTCGCAACTCTGTTGATGATCCTTTCGTGGGTGACGGCGTGAAGTCCTCCATCTTCAATTTGTCTGCCACGGCCGCAGACTATGCACCACTTACAGCTCCTGCTCCTGCTACCGCTCCACCGTTTGCTCGTAACTCCTCTTCTCAGACTGCTGTTGTCACCCGCCACGTCAAACCAAATTCTAGCCCTGTTGTTAACTTTACTTTGGCAGAGGTCACCCGATATGTGAAGATCAACGGCCCCCCTGATGATGAGGCTGGCATGACACGCATTAAAGACGTGAGTTGATTATATGCCTTTCTAATCTTCGGAAACTAAGCGGCAATCTCTTTGATAGGTCAAGACTATGGAGGCCTCCATTGCTACCAAAAAACTCGATGATGGCTCTTTAATTTTCCGCTTTGATCATGTCAAGGAAGCTCAGATCGCATGCAATACTACACGCAGCCTGTTCAGTATTGGTTCGTTCCCTCCGGGTTGGTCTGCAGAGTTCGTCACTGCAGCTGACTTCCATGGTGACCATTCTCGTGACTACGAAGGCCAACTCAAGGTTGCCATTACGTACCAAGGAAAAGGCAAGTGCACCGAAGCGCTGCTCCGAGACATCGCTGTGGCCACGATTGAGGCAAGCGCTGAAATTCTGTCTTCCTCTGTCAAGAACTTTGAGGCCGATAAAACGCTTCTCCTAATGGACATTTGGCTCGCCTCCGTCCGTGCTGCTGAGTCCATCTCCAACAAATACAACCGCGAGTGGAAAACCTTACCAGAGAATCCAGTATGTTTCTCTTACAACAATTTCATAAACATTACACTAATGAGATGCAGGACTTTGACTTCTTTGTGGAGCACAATTGCTCAAAGTATCCTATGTCTTCTAAGCCTTGGGTCAGCTCACGTTCCGCTCTTCTATTCCGTGGACAAGGACAATTTCTTCCACCATACAACAATTACGGCAGCAACACGTTGTACTGTATCTCCCCTGAAAAGAAAGACTCTAAGGTAGATATCGAGGCAATCGAGAATGGAGGCGACGTCCGCACCACAGTTATGATTCGTAACATTCCTAACAAGATCGATGCCGCATTGTTCAAAACTATTCTTGACGAGCATGTCTTCGGACGCTACGATTTCTCGTACCTGCGCATCGACTTCACCAACAACTGCAATGTTGGATATGCCTTTGTCAACTTCAAGAATCCTCGAGACATCATCACCTTGTACAAGGGACTTGTTGGCAAACCATGGGAGGTTTTCAGCTCCGACAAGATTGCGGATGTTTGTTATGCTACCAACCAAGGTCTTGGTACTTGCATTGAGAAGTTCCGCAACTCCTCTGTAATGCTCGAGTGGTCACCTCATCGCCCTAAGCTGTGGTATACTCTCGAGGACGGCCCAGAACTAGCCGGCAAGGAGAAGCCTTTCCCAGAGCCATCAAACCTGCAAAAACTCCACCGCAGCCGCGCTAATGCAAGCAGCATTGGATTGTTCCCCCCACGTGGTGTTCAGGTCAGTGCTCTTGGATTGTCACCAACACGCGCTACACGTGGTGACTTGCCAAACTTTGGGCCACCAGCCTCATTTGGTCAATTTGCCGTCCGCCACTCTAAAGTCGCCACTCCCTTCGTACCTTTTGGGATGCCAAATCAAAGTCCTACTTATGCAACTGACGGATATAGCAACAACCCTCAGCTTGCTGCGGCTCCCTATGGTACAATGCACTCTTACACACCAAACTCCAGCGCATGCGCTCGCAGCGGCTTTGTCGGAATCAGTGATCCCGTCATGGGAAACTTCGGCATTCCTGGATCTGCTTTCATGCCTACTACACCGTATGTTAGTGGTGGTGCTGGTGTGACTGGCCACTTCTAGGCGAACTGTGGACTGCGAACAGCAGCTCCACTTCATTGCATATTCTCGTATATGGTCGCCATCCGCTAATATTGAAGCAAATTTCGTGATGCGGCCACGATTCTGGAGTGTGACAAATGCTCCTGGGCACACGTTGTATATGCAACGGTCTTGGTCCTGATACCCAGACTGTGCGCATCGATATTGTGACTATGATCAGGACCATTGGCAAAGGCCCCTACCATTGTGATTTGTGCTTTCTTAATGCGGCAGCAGACATGTTCCGCATTTTTAATCTGCGCATCGAATCACGCAGTTGAAATGTCGGAATATGATTTAAGCGACTTAATGACATTTGATTTGCGTAACTGATTTCTTCGAGTGGTATGCGGATTTCAACCTCAGGCGTTAAACTCTGACTCTGCTTAATCTCAAAATCATAAACGTGAACGATGTGTGTTGATTGGTCTCTGTCCCATTATGGTGTTACCGGGTGGGCAACTAGCAGAACGTCACTTAAAAAACAAAAAAAAAAAAAGATAATAGATAGTCCACGTTCGATTAGCTAAACTTGCTAAAGCAGAAATGTCGCAGTCCATTGTCATTGCATTCTGTCTCATAGTCCTTCACTAGTACAAGCAATAGTATTTCGAGTGTCACAAACTGTACGTTTTCGGACTTGGTGTAGTAATACCCAAGGTTGGATATTCAGTGAAATGTTAAGAGGTTAGTGATGGTCTTGTTCTAATAAGGGATGACGACGATTGTGCGCTCGATGAAGCCACTGCACCCTGGTCAGCACATGACTTGAAGCCTCACCCACCAAATCTTTTCTCCGAGGACCGTTTGAAGCTAAATAATAGCCCCGTACACAAAAGAATCGGATCGGCTATCCAAAATGTGATATCGAGAATATATCATGAGTAGATAGACACGCTTTGCCCCTACTTATCGACTTTCTCGCGAACAATATGACATCACGATCGATGTCGACCACAGTTCCTCCGTGGCAGCAATTTAAGCTTCCCGAACATGCAATCCAAGAACTGACAAACCAGTGGTCGATTCTACATCTACTCCATCATAGGTCAAAAAATCAACATCGGCACTCTACATGGTACCGATTCTTTAACATGTTCCGCAAGCAGCTGCGCGGCATTCTTGACGAACTGGATCCATCAGTCAGTAAAACGGCATTGCCCAGTCACAAATCTAGAGTTTTCGAAGAGAACACACGAAGGGCAAACAAGCGGCTTGATTTTTGGGCAGAGACTATGGTTTCAAGATGGCATCAGGCATTCCGACAGTTGATCGGAGATACGCAATTCGCCGTTATTGGACTGACCCTTCTGGCAGTGCTGGGAAGCGTGGTCAATATTCTTGACGTGCTGCCGAGGATGCAGCGACTGCATTCAGTGCTATTCGACAAGTCGCTGCGCGAAGCGAAGAAAAGAAGAATAGACTTGAAACTGAACTTGAGCGATGCCCTTGAGACTATGGAGACAGCTCACGATGATACGGGGCTTGTTGTCGAGCGTGATGCATCGGATGTTGATATGAAAGATATTGGGACTCTGGTGGAGAGAAAAACAGAGTTTGAAACGTCAAAGGATGCTACAAGCGCGCCAACTGAACAAATTGATTCTGCTTCTGAGAGCTCCAGGGCTTTCACCACCAAGTCGACAAAGAGGGCATCGATTAAGAAGGAGAAAGGCTCAACAATGAAACGGAAGAAGGGAGGAGACGAGATTGACGACCTATTCGCTGGCCTCCTGTGATAAGCTTTGCGTACACAAGATTGCTGGAGTAAATTCATTTTGTGCAAAATTGCCAAATACTTCCGCCTAGACCAACGCTGACAATCAGGTGGAATGCCAACGTCCAAGACATGGTGAACAGATATTTCGGGCTAAAAACAGTCCATATGAACAAGTGTGTACGGAGCACGGTGCAAGCGATCATAACCGCCATGAGAGACACGGATGTGAACAGTGTAAGCACTGTTGTGTGAAGGAAGAACACAGATCGTCGCTGCATCGCATCTGCCTCCTCCGGAGCAGCAAATTCGCTTTTGTTTGGAATCAGATTGTCCATCTCCATTTGCACCCAGCGCTTCCTCTTCTCTTCCGCACTCGTGTTCATGTCAATGGGTTCGGGAACTGTTGACTGCACGAGAAGCAAAATTCCGGATACGCTCCACCAGACCGGCCCTGCCCAGTTCCCGAGGAAGACGAGGATGCCGACAGCTATGACGCTGTATCCTGATATCCCGTTGTACGCATTCGAGAGGTCGATGGAAGAAATTGCGTTGCTATTGCCTAGTGCGAAGAAGTACGTTTGGCCCATGACCAGAGCTGTGATCGTTATCTGGAGGGGCGACAATTGCAGGTCCGATAGAAGTTCGAGCTGAATGGTTGACAATAAGAAGAGAGGTATGTTTGTGGTCCGTGATTGTGTGATCAGGAACAATGTCAGAAGCGACACAAGCATCTTTGGTAACTCTACAATCCAAGCCCAATTAGTGCTGCGAAGAAGAGAATTTATTGAATACTCTTACGTCTTTTTGCCGCCTTGGGCATCGTTGAATTTGATGCGGCTGTGAAAGCCCATAGAGTTTCACTGGCTAATGTTAGGAAGATTAGTCTTGCGCTTCCGACCAGAGGTATCTGCTCTAGTAGGCGAACGTTGTCATCGCCCAGCCACGAAAGCAATTCTGGGGCGTCGTTTGCGGTAAAGCCAAGCTTGAAAAGGTATGCCGGTACTACCTGCGCAAGTGAGCACGCTGTGCCCAGAGCGGGGCCCGTCTTGAGGTCGTGAACAATGTGGTTTCCAATGCGATAGAGCAGCATGAGGTAAGTCATAGTCACAAGGAGCCAGAGTATGGCGGCGTTCGGCCGGAGGATATTTTGCGCAATATCTGGCGCGCCTGCAAATTTTTGGCCTGTCTGGTTCCAACGTTGGGCCACTCGATGAAAAGCTAGTATAATGAGCAGTCTCATTCCCGCAGGCCTAGTCGTCGCATTCTGAAGCCTGACATGCTGTTAGCCCCGAGCTTGATAAGGTTTTCTGAAAATAAAGACTGCATACCTTACACAACAGAGGAATGAAATCCACGCGCCAGTGATCCAATACCAGAAGTGCTGTTCCTCTTCGACATAGCTACTCGCGAACATCATGATAGCGTACAGTACGTTCATTAAGGCAAAGAATGCACCGGTTGAGTTCATCAACGGTAAAAGCCGGGATACGAGCGCTGTCATCGCTACGGACATGCACGCCACGATGATTCCAAAGGCTAGGCGACTGAGATCATAATTACTTGCTGCGCTGCTCATTAATTCCTGAGCTTCTTGACAAAACTGCTAGCGTCAGCTTCTTCCCATTCCCTCCATGGACGTGGTCATGTACCTCGTAAAGTGCCTCTACTGCGTCGTAAGCGTCGGAATCCATGCATTCGCCGAAGGGAAGTTTTTTGACCGCATTGGCCCACAACTTGGAAAGCTTCGGTCCTTCGCCGCCGGACTGACTGAGTTGTCGATTTGCAGCTTGTTGCTCATTCTCTGAGACAAAAGCAACGTCTTTGAATGTCGCCTTGACAATGTTCAGTATCTGTTTTGCATTTCGAAGCAATAGTTGCACTTGGTCGATACCTATGGTTCTATCAGCTGCATGAGCTATATTTTGCGAGAATAGACTTACGATTTGACCAAAGCGGCAAGAAGTCTGGAATTATAACTCCAAGATTATTGAGAGGGACGGGAACGCCAAGTAGCCCAGCAATTGTTGGTGCAACGTCGGACTGCTCAATCATTTTGTAATACTCAAAATCGACCCTGGGGTCGGTGGGGCATGGTTTTCCCATGGACAACTGCTTGAGTTTAGGCGAAATGAAAACAAGAGCTGGAGATGTCTCTCCCGGAGATGAGCCGCCATGATTGCCGCCGTCGTTCATACCGTGGTCGCCACACAAGACGAGTAGTGTCGAAGTCAAATGATTCATGGACGTCATTGCCTCGTAAATTTCTTTAACAATCGAGTCCATCTCTTCTTGTTTCGGGACCATATTTGGACTCTTTGGGCCAGACTTATGTCCGATGTGATCGAGGCCAAGATAATGCATGATCATGGCATTCCAGTCATCAACGCGCAATTCATGTGGGACATGGCGAGTAACATTGTTGTCTACTTCTGTGAAGTCCTATATTGCATTGACTCAGTTCTCCTGCTCTATATACAGCGTCAGGGTCAAGAGAACTGACCGAGACGAAGAAGCTCGAAGTGCCATCAGCTCTGCCAAACATGTTTGGGAAGAGCTTCAGCCATGTGTCGTCGCCGTACATTACCAGCTTTCCGTCCTTCTTGTCTTTGATCTGAGCAAGCCAGGTGTCTTGGCTAGCGAGAGTGGACGTCGTGTCGGATTCGGCGAAATTCAAAATGACGTCTAAAAAGGAAGGTATCGAGCCCGTCGTGATTGCCTTGACCCGCGGCATGGTTATTGTCGGTGAGGTTGCGTGAGCAGTAAATGGTAGAGCTTCACCCGAGCGGATGAGACTGAGCGAAGCGTCAGTATACTATCTTGACATCCAAATATTCAAGGAAGCTGGGCTTTGGCTCTCCACTTTCCGGAAACATACCTCTGTGTGAACTTGAAGCCAGAGTCATGACCGTAAACAAAATCGCTTCGTAGAGCGTCAACCACCATGAATATGAGTTTGTCAAACTGAGCAGAAGGCGGTTTGCCATAAGCTATCGGCTCATACTCCGCGAGGCCTGAAATGAATGGTTTGTAGGGGAAGAAGCCAGTCGCAAAAGTCAAGACCGCAATTGGTATGAGCAGATTAGCAACTATGAGGAGGGCATATTGTACAGTCGTAATCCCTGATGGAGCAGGCATGTTGATGTCCAGATATACTCCAGAACAATATTCCGGATAAGGCCTTCTCACACCGCGCGCATAACACTTGCAACTGTCAAGGCTTTAAATGTGTCAGGAGGAAGGGATGTGTCCTTGCACGAGAAAAGAGTCAATTGGAAGACAGAAAATGACATCCGAATGAGAACTCTAGCCATCACGATTCGACTGGCATCTACAGTCAGAGACTCATTTTGCATGTTCAGAGGCGACGATGGTTGAAACACATAAACACTGAGAGATCTCCAGCTGTACACTGCCGAGAGAAGACTAGCGTGCCGTTCAAGCTTTGGCCACTAGCCCAACTTGATAGCACTGCTAACTACAAAGAATCCAAAGCAACGTGAATCCAGAGGCTTTGAGCTGCCTTATTTTGCACGAAGTTCGTAGAGTAGATAAATAGAGCATCCGTAACCATTTGCGGTCTGTTTAAGCTCCGACAACCTCAATTAGGATCAAGCCTCTGTTTTCGCTGAACACGAATTTAGCCTCTTGAAAAACTGGTTCTCATTCGAGATGGATACTGCCGTCTAGCATGCTCACTCTAATATTTCCAGTATCTCTTTAGGATATATCCCACCCATGCTAGCAGTGTATATGAACTTAGTACCTTTATAGCAACCATCTACCATGACACAGCTTTTAAATCGCGATGATTTCAGCATACGTCCGTCAAATACGATTCGTGTCTCATCATGCTTTACTTGCTAAGGAATTTGCTGTTTTTGTTGGTCCAGGCCTTTTTCCGGTGCTTTGTTGCGCCATTACAGCCTGCTTGCGAGTCTGGGCCTGTCGTGGCAATGTAAGTCTGCGGTCATTCTGTGACTGGATATGAACAGACCCGACCGACAATTCCACGGCGCCAGGAGAAGGATGGGCGCCATCTAAAGGGGTTAAATTCACCGTCGATAGATGGACATCTTGACCGCCCTTCCCGTATGTGGTCGACAACATCTTGGATGTCAAATGCGAAGGTCCACATTCAAAGAGTGAAACTATAGACTGCAATCTTGATGGCCATACCGGAGACCCGGCGTAAATTTCCTGGAGTTGGCAATACTGTTCGCAATGGGGCTTTTTTCAAAGTGCTAATTTGGGCAAGCACCAGCTGCTGAGCAGGTATGTGTTGATCTGTAGTATGTCACGTGCGTAGACAATTGAAAAACTAAAGTTTGCATAGATTCAACAACGTCTTGCACCAGTACGAGATCTGTCATCGACAGTTCCCAGATGGCAGGTCAAGCGGACTTCTACCTGACTGGCTGGACATCACGGGCACGAATGCAAAATTCGGTGGTTGGAACACTACTCCTTCCAACGCGTTCTGGTCTTCCGGCGACTTAGATCCGTGGCGGTCGCAAACAGTCTTCTCGGAGCAGCCATCTTCGCCGCAGTACAAGATCACACAGAACATACGAGCCTGCGGCCAGTCGAGCCGAAATGCCAAAGACGAGATATTTGGCCCCCTATGTCGCAGCACGCTTTTGATTTCGTTCCATCGCTTTAGGCCAGTTCACAGGCGCAGGATCTTTGGGCGTGAGCGCTGGAAAAATGGTTGCGATGCTGGAAGCCTTTGGCAAACGGAGAGTAGGAAGAGGAGGGTGAGCCAGAAAGTAGCAATTTACTAAATGGAGAAGCGCAATCCCAGTCGATGCGTAACATGGCGTACGTACATACGTGTAGACTCAATTCGGCAGGGCGTCGTTGTCCAAATGTGCGCTGATCACGGCGAGTGCTTGCAGGAATCGCGAGACGCAGACGGGTGAAGTTACTCAGTACAGAAATTCCTCACTTGGCTTAGCGCCACTGTCAATTACCCCGGCTGCCCCACATTTCCCAGCTTGTCTGGCTCGGGATGCCGATGTTCGGCGCTCTAACTCGAACCCTGACCGTAAGCCCGTCATGTATCTGGAAAGTTTCTGGAGAGCTTGGCTAGCCGTGAGTAACCGCAATTGACTCACGGTCCCTTGGCTTAGCTCGTGAAATCACTGAAATATTCTCTGCAAACTTTCTCTTACCTCGATATTCCATCTTCGTCACCAATTGTTTGCCCTTGTTGGGTCGATTCCTGTTTCAATCCTGTTGTGGAATTATCTGACCATCATGGCAACTGAGCTGCCGACACAAGAGAATGGCACTTCGCACACATTTTCGAACGGTGAAAGCCCCACGAACCAACAGGCTGTCAAGGAGGGTCTTGCGCGAATGTTGAAGGGGGGTGTGATCATGGACGTTGTCAATGCTGAACAGGTGAGGGATGAATTTTTTTTCTCTTTTATCAGCACACATACTGATGATGCTTGTCAGGCCCGCATTGCAGAAGAGGCAGGCGCTTGTGCTGTGATGGCCCTCGAGCGTGTCCCAGCAGATATCCGAGCTCAGGGTGGCGTGGCACGTATGTCAGATCCGACACTTATCAAAGGCATCATGGAGGCAGTTACAATTCCTGTCATGGCAAAAGCCCGTATAGGACATTTTGTGGAGTGCCAGATCCTTGAAGCCCTCGGCGTGGACTACATCGACGAGTCCGAAGTCCTCACACCGGCAGATCATACACACCACGTTGAAAAACATAACTTTAAGGTACCATTTGTATGCGGCTGTCGCAATCTGGGCGAGGCGCTGCGAAGGATTAGTGAAGGTGCAGCCATGATCCGCACCAAGGGTGAGGCTGGAACTGGTGACGTCGTGGAGGCCGTGAAACACATGCGAACTTTGAACGCAGAGATCGCAAGAGCAAGTTCCATGACGCCAGAAGAGCTCCGAGTGTACGCAAAGGAGATCGGGGCTCCCTACGAGCTGCTGAAGAAAACAGCCGAGCTTAAGAGGTTGCCCGTAGTAAACTTTGCGGCGGGAGGCGTGGCAACTCCTGCAGATGCTGCCCTGATGATGCAGCTCGGCTGTGATGGTGTGTTCGTAGGCAGTGGTATTTTCAAGTCTGGAAATGCGGCAAAGAGGGCCAAGGCCATCGTCCAGGCAGTGACCCACTTCAGAGATCCCAAGGTCCTAGCCGAAGTGAGCTGCGATTTGGGCGAGGCAATGGTGGGGATCAACTGCGATAAGATGCCAGAAGGCGAAAGACTTGCTGGCAGGGGATGGTAGCCGAATCTCGATCCCCTGTATAGCATATGCGATTGCGCTTGAGAGTTAGGAGTTTTGGGCAAGGGTTTGTAGTCGGCCATCTTAACAAAAAGGACTTCAACAGGAATATCTTCAGGCCTGGACATGTGGAGTATAACAATCCGCAATAAAGGTTTCGAAACAAAAAAAGCGTGCCGTGCCGTACCGTTCCGTACTTCATCTAGCATGCATCACAACTGTGTTTGTGGACTGCGCAAGAATGACACAAGAGTAGAACAACATCACAGGTGGTATGGCTGGCGCGGAAGGATCAAAGGCGAACAAGCGATAGCCCGTACGTCCGGAGGCCTTTGCCACCCAGCTTAAGGAGACAATTGGAATTTTGCACATCCAGTAGCGGAGTTCACGGCAATTGGTGCTTAATTAGAAGTAGACGTGCCACGACGATGCCAGTCTAACAATTGCGGGAAGACCATCCCTCTAATCGAAGAAAGACAATGCCGCAGTTCTGTAAGAGTCGGCAATTGCTGGCCCCCTTTGCTGCACAATGGGCCTCGTAAATCAAACCTGGGCTAGGGGGCGTGGGTTGAGATTTGGATGCTCAAGGCTTTTTCCGGAATGGTCAATATATTGAAGTGCCAAGACTTCCCCATCTAGGTTAAAGAACGCCGCGCTGGCGTTTTCCCGTGATTTTCTTTCGTTGCCGACATGGAGAAAAGCGCTACGTGCCGTCATCAATGGCGCCACCTGCAGAGACGCGACCTCATTTCCTTTTGCAATGTGTTGGGCTTGGTGCTTGCGAGTAATAAAGAAGAATAATGTGGCAGAACAGATCCCGGCTCTGTCTAAATGTGATCATGGGTGCTTGCCACTCTAACTTTCTGCCTGTGGTTTTTGTCCCTCCATCACGCTCCTTTTGTGTGTTACAGCGAAAGCTCTGTTTCAATTGTTCATTTCGTATTTCTGATTCCGTACTTTGCGCGTTAGACGTACCAGCCGCTCTTTAATCCAACTAATGTCACTCGTTTCCATATGGCAGACGCGACGGTTACTGCCTCACAGTTACCCACGGATACAACAACAGCCATCCCAAACGAGGCTATCCCTACGACACAAAACGCAACACCAGTCAACACCGCAACACTAGTTAACACAGCAACTATAGCGTCGTCTTCTTTTCCCGCAGTTACAGCGTCAGATAATCCAGCATTAATATCACCGAGCTCGACATTCACACTGACAACATCGTACCGACCAGCGACAACGACCAGCAGCAATCCTTTCGACAACTTCCCACCGTTCTTCACGAACACAGATGGACGACCACCCTTTGCGACTGGTTCTGCGCCTCCCTTCTTTTTCCATGACCAGTCAAACGGACTGAGTACAGGTGCGAAGGCAGGTATTGGCGTCGGCGTCGCCGCCCTAGCTTTATCTATAATAGCAGTGGCCCTGCTCATACTTAGGATGCGGAAAAAGGAGCAAATGTGGGCTGCCACTACTGCACCTCCGCCGACTTACGAAGAATCCAACGCCTCGGGCCCTCCTGTCATGGAGATGCGATCAAAGCCCGCCGCAAAGTATGTGCCATCGCAGCTAGCCACCAGTCCCGCAGAGTCATCCAGCAGCTCGCCCGTCATGGCGCCGGTGACGGCGCGAAGTGCTCAACGAAAATCTAAGGCCAGCGCGAGGCCTAGAAGAAATAGCAACTTGGCTCCTGTCTCGGAGGAAGAGCCGGAATCTCGTGGAGCAAATCTCTCTTTGGTCAACGAGGATAAAGATGACGCCTCGACAACTGCACCGCCAACCCCGCGAACCCCACGAACGATGGCTCTGCATGCTTTGACAGGCGAGACTGCCATGCCATCACCAATAGACGCATCTTTCAGCCTCGAGCCTGTACCATCGCTACCTGGTGACAAGGCATCTCCAATCAGATCAGAATTTGGGAAGAACCCGAAAGGTGTGAGATGAGAAAATGCACGTGTTCTCCCCAAAGCCAATTGAGGGACGGTACATGCTAGGAGGGCACGACCATAGACATGCATGTCGTGAATGGCATCTCTGCAGAAACGGCAATACTTAATATTGTCTACGTCGCTGCTTTCACGCTATTTTGCTCAAGGAGTCTTAGCTCTCATGCACACCAAATCAGTCGCTTTTTGAACGCGTGGTGTGCAAAATCTCTGTCTAGTGTAGACTCGGATCACAGCGCTTCATTTTTAGTGATACCCAAGCTTTCAAGAAGCTTGCATGATGTATAGTTAATTTGAACTAAATCACCTGCCGCAAGCATTGCTGACATGATGTAATGGGTGTTTTTTCCTTCCGCTTTCGGCGAACTTGCTAATTTGAGCACCTGGTCCCCTCAGCAAGCAAGCTTGGTTCGTCATCAACTCGCATATTGATCCCCACCCCGCTGCCGCGCCGTCCTCAAGCACAGTTTTGCTATCGCCATGATACAAATGCAATTAACGCCTCGAGTTGTAAGCGCAATTTTCAATTGCCAATATGACGACACCTAGGGTCTTCATTATTCGCCATGGCGAAACCGAATGGTCTCTAAATGGCCGGTATGTTCGCACTGACTCTTTAAGCTCGCCAACAGCTTCCTATACGGAGTAAGAGCGACATCTGATTGATACTAACGTAAGCCACAGACATACAGGTATCACCGAGCTTCCATTGACCGCGAACGGAGAGAAGCGTATGATCGCTACTGGCAAAGCCTTGGTTGGTGATGACCGCCTGATCGTGCCTAGGAATCTTGCACACATGTAAGAAGGAGTCTTGGAATTAGCTGGATATGAGCATTTTCTGAGTCTCTCCCTAGCTATGTTTCGCCGAGGAAGCGAGCACAGAGGACCCTCGAACTGCTGTGTCTCGGAACCAGAGAAAAGTTACCCTGGCAAACGGAGCGTGCATATACAGAAGAACATGTACGGTGCGAAGCCAAAGTTGAAGTCCGCGAAGATATTAGAGAGTGGGATTATGGCGAATATGAAGGTCTGACCAGCAAGACGATTCGCGAGCAAAGAGAGAAACGTGGTGAAGGACCGTGGGACATTTGGCGAGATGGATGCCCTGGTGGAGAGTCCCCGCAGCAAGTCACCGATAGATTGGACAAGTTTATTGATGAGATTAGAGAAAAATGGCATAGTAAGGCAATCGGAAAGCCACGAGGGGAAGCTCCACCTTGTGATGTGTTGATCGTTGCGCATGGACATATATTGCGAGCTCTTGCCGGGCGGTGGATCAAGAAGAACATCGCAGATAATCCTTCTTTGATATTGGAAGCTGGTGGCGTTGGCACCTTGAGGTAAGCATGTTCAGTTCCAAGATTGTATTCATCTGACAACGCTCAGCTACGAACACATGAACATCAACGAGCCCGCGATTCTGCTTGGAGGTTCGTTCATGGTGGACGTTGCCGAGAGTGCTGGGAAACATCAGACGCAGTCATAAAAACATCACATGCCGCAAGTTCAAAGGAAGAAAGATAGGATTTTGCGCTCCTAAGAACTATTGGATTTGAAGTTCGTTTGCTGAAGTGTTTCTAAGAGTGAAATTGACGCTACGTGAACCCGAGTCTGCCAGTAAATTGATCATATCGTAGATTACGAAATGAAACAAAACAAAAAAGAGGGAGAGATAAAATGAGTACAACTACGACTTCAGCACTTTATCGAAGGAAATGGCTTGAGAAATTTAGGTCGAATGACAGGAGCTGTTGCACGTGATTTGAATGGCCCGTGTGACGAGACCCTAGTCTGTCTTGGCGCTTGTTTACTAGAGCTTCAGTTTGGTAAATATACAGCACGAGGCCAAGCTTAAGACTCCCAAGTCATTCATTGCGCATAACCCAAAATTACTCCCAGCAATAAAACCAGATATTGGCTGGTAGAGGCTCGCACGATGGCTACGGACTCATCGTCCATTTCTGTCTGCGTCCGGTATGTTTCTCCGTTGTTTTCATCAGGCTCGGTCAGACTGACAGACGCCTGCTTCAGTGTACGTCCATTCACGATCAGGGAGGCAGCACAGCTTGCGAAGAATGATGACGGACCACTGTTCCTCGGCGATGGCTCGCTGGCGGGCGTCCCGACTCCAAAACTTTCCGTAAAGGGGATACGTTCTGTAATCAAAGTAGTAGACGAGAAGTGCCTGTATGTTGCTCGAACATTTTTGGATTTTTTCAAAATAACGATTGACAATGTGCAGAGTATTCGACCCGCCAGAAGACAACCCCGTACAGAGATTTTCGAAGTCGATCGTGCCTCAGGGCAAGAAGGTCAAGGACCAAACATTCGTGTTTGATAGAGTGTTTGACGAGCACACAACGCAAGAGGATGTTTATGAGGCCACGACCAAGCCACTCCTTGACAGTGTGCTTGATGGCTATAACGCTACTGTCTTCGCGTATGGTGCGACGGGCTGTGGCAAAACACACACCATCACGTAAAGCAACACTTTTATTTTGAGAATTGCGTGGAATCTAACATCTCTCAGGGGTACTGCTCAGCAACCGGGTATCATCTTTCTCACGATGCAAGAACTGTTTGATCGGATAAAAGACCTACAAGAGGAGAAGCACATCGAGACATCGCTTTCTTATCTCGAAATATACAACGAGACAATTCGCGACTTGTTAGTAGAGGGTGGCAGCAAACAAGGTCTCATGCTACGCGAGGACGCCAATCAGGCTGTTTCAGTTGCAGGCTTGTCGAGCCACAGTCCTAAGTCTGTTAACGAAGTCATGGAAATGATTGTTCGAGGTAACGAATACCGAACCATGTCTCCTACAGCAGCCAACGCCACTTCCTCGCGATCACACGCTGTTCTGCAAATCAACGTCTCCATGAAGGACAGAAACGCGGACATCAATGAACCACACACGATGGCCACACTCAGCATCATTGATCTTGCTGGCAGCGAACGTGCAAGTGCGACCAAGAACCGTGGCGAGCGCTTAATCGAAGGTGCGAATATTAATAAGTCTCTTCTTGCGCTTGGCAGCTGTATCAATGCGTTGTGTGATCCGCGGAAACGCAACCACATTCCGTATCGCAATTCAAAACTTACCCGACTTTTGAAATTCTCGTTGGGAGGCAACTGCAAGACCGTCATGATCGTTTGTGTCAGCCCTTCAAGCATGCACTTTGATGAAACTCAGAACACGTTACGATACGCCAATCGTGCTAAAAACATTCAGACAAAGGTCACTCGAAACGTCTACAACGTCAACCGTCATGTGAAGGACTTCTTGAAGAAGATCGATGAGCAAAGAGCGCTCATTGATGAGCTCAAAGCCAAAGAAAAGGACTACGAAAGTGTTGCTTTCGCCAAATTCCGGAAGCAGCTCGATAAGCGCGAGCAGATCTCCAGAGAAGGTATTACGCGCATTCGCAATGCCTACGATCATTCCGCAGCAGAGCGTCAAGAACGCGTGTCGATGATGAAGAAGCTTCGACAGATTGAGCGAAGAATATCTCTCATCTCAGCATGGGTTGCAGGGTTTGACACCACCTGCGAGGCTCGCGATGAGGAAGAGCCGCCCCAAAGCTTAGTTGCGATGCGCAAAACTGCAAAGGGAATCCTCACTGAGCTGGAAAGCAGTAGGCAACACTATCATCAACGACTAGCAAAGTTCAATTGGGAGCGAGCACTTGACACAGCTTTGCAGACGGGTATTCGTCAGCTAAATGAGGCCGAGGGTGTCAACGACGGTAGCGAAGTCTCAATGTTGATCCGAGAAACCGAATTGCTAAAGTCTATGGCTGATCGTGAGGCATACACCGCAATTTTAGACCAGGAGAAAGGCGGCGATGCTCCAATCGTGCAAGTGCAACTCCAGGCTCATTTTGAAACCATTGCTATTCTAGGGCAGATCATGCAGATGTCCGAGCAAGACGCCATACAAGCAGCCAAAGATATGCTTGGGCAGCTGATCAATAGTTGTTCTTCGGCAGCCTCACAAGTTATCAGACCCGATGGAGGTTTACCCGTCACGGAGAAGTTCGAGCCTCGCAGGCAGGGAACACCAAAACAACGCAAGACTGCCTCCTTGCTCGGTCCATCACCGTTGCGAGCTGTCCCACGGCTAGATCTTCAGCCGGAACCTATTTCCTCTACCACCTCTTCGCCCCTGAAGCCGACCCCAAGGAGGGCAGTGGTTTTCGTGAAAAGTAGTCCGAAAAAAGCCGTCCGCATTGGCACGCCAAAGCGGAAAGCTCCCTCGAGGGCGGCAAAGGGCGGTGTACGATGGCGAGACGAAACGGACAATCAGACCTTGGCTGATTATGACGCGACGCCTAAGGCAATCGATACGACCCCAGAAGCCTCGTCAGTAGAGTCTATTCCACCCCCTCCGGTATTTTCTGCACCTGCGAAGCGCAACTCATCCTCACCAATCCCGACACCACCAGAGGTATCGACGGAGATAAGGTCGCGAAATAGCAGGTTTCAGGCCGGTTTCTTGTCGAAGAAAGCCGAGGGTTCTCCTCTTGCAGCGCCTCCAGTCACAGCATCGTCACTCAATTTCTCTTCTGACTCTGACACTTCACCATTGCGAGAGATTGAATTGAACAGAGTCCCGCAGGCCAGTCCTCTAAGCATGGTGCAGAACAACCCATCTGATGTCATTCCATCAGATAGCGCAGGGTCGTCAGGCTCAGAGGATGAGACCTCCAAGTCACAGTGGCCGATAGATGTGGCTGATGCTCAGAAGGTTCGCTCGGTACTAAAACGCTCGTCTTCCAACGCAAGCAGCAGCGCGATTAGGGCTCAGCGGCGACGAAGTCCAACGGCTGCCTCTTCGACGGGCTCACCGCCAAACGAGAATGCCCTATTCAGCGCAAGTCAGGCGAGGCGTATGGGTAACAACAGCGCCGATGCTGGGTGGAAAAATAGCGTTTTGAGTCCACGATCGGCTCCTGTTGTCAAAAATAGTGGCACTAGACGGACAACCGTGTCTGCTGGCGATATTGGAGAGCGCAATGGGAGCTTGAGGGCAGCGCCTGTACGAATGAGCACAAGCACTGTGCCTGCCGGTGGCAGGACCAGCCTGGCGAATACGAAGAGTGCATGGCGTTAAGCTTCTTCTTGAACGACGAGATTTTATTATTCAACTTTGTCATACTACTTCCTTTGGGCCAGGTGCGGCTGCGTTCACTTTTGAGCGGGATGCGTTTTGGAGTTTTCAAGTTTTCGGGGAAAGGAGTGCCGGATTTTCCTTTATCATTGCATAGCATAGCCATCAGGTCGTGCATTTGTACCTTCAAACCTTCATGGACGCTTGAACGAACAATTCAGAAGACCAGTTGTCACTCCATGAATGCACTAGTGTTTCAGCACTTTATTTAAGTCCCAATGGGCGTAAAGCGTGCAATATCGTCATACGCGATAAATGGCCCACATAATCGTTTCCAAGGCGTGAGTTACTGCACGCTGGGTGGAGGCTGTGATGACTTGACCAGTTCTTCATAAACCTTCGTGCTCGTGTACAGGCTTCAGCCTTTGGTTCCATTCATATTTACAATGATGTAATGCTACACATTATCATAATTTCTGCAGAACAATCCCCATGCATGAGTTCTGGACTGACAATAAAGAGTGGAAAGGCAAGCTCGGGGTCTGGATCGGGAGCGTCGGCATCATCTAACCGACGGGGCATGCATGACCCGGATGGCAATGGTATTCTGAAGAATCGATTCGAGATTCCATGACGTTCGAATCTGAACCTCGGAAGTCATACTTCCACCTCCTCTTGGGTTTCGATTGGAAAAGCGGAGCTTGCAATAACAACGAGCCAATGAAATACGGCCATGGGTGACATTTTCCAACGGACCGTCACCAAAGCCCAACAACGTAGAAAGCATTAGCGAGGCCAGGATAAGTCGCTCTACGGCTATGGCGCAATTAAACCTGGTTGATTTAGAAGAGGGACGAAGTGGGGTGAGGCTCTAGCAGGCAATCGATTTCGCAAACCCGTTCGTTGCTTGGAAATCCTAAAGTACTATGCAATCCTACTTGTAATGCTACTTTACCCCATTCCCCCAAGCATTGCTCAAGCTTTCTCTCACAAGCAATCACCTTTAACAAAAACAGCTTACAGGCGGAACAAATCATGCCTTCCACGATGAAGGAGGCCATCATCCTTAAGGGACCAGACGTCAAGATTGTGGACTCGCCCATTCCGAAGGCCGGCAAAGATCAGATCGTGGTGAAAGTTGTCGTGTCTGGTAGCAATCCGAAAGACTGGGTATGATTACTGTACCTGTATCTACGGAGCCGGAAAGTCGTTAACATGCAACGCAATAGAAAGTACCATACATGAACATTGAAGTCAATCAGGGTGATGATCCCGCCGGTTACGTTCACGAGGTTGGTGAGGGTGTCACTGGATTTAAGAAAGGTGATCGTGTGTCTGGTTTCCATGAGATGCTGAAACCCGGGGGCTCGTACGCGGAATATGCGGTACTATGGGAGCACACCACCTTTCATATTCCAGACAGTATCTCTTTCGAGGAGGCCGCTACCGTCCCGCTCGCAGCAGTGACTGCAGCTGTTGGCTTGTATCGTGAACTGAAACTTCCGGAGCCATGGCTACCAAATGAAGACTCAGTTAAGATGCCACTTCTCATTTGGGGAGCCAGCAGCGCAGTTGGTGCTTTCACATTGCAGTTGGCAAAGAAGAGCAATATTCACCCATTGATCACGATTGCTGGCAAAGGTCAGGACTTCGTCAAACAGTACCTTGACCCATCAAAGGGTGATGTCGTGATCGACTACCGGCAAGGCAACGATGCTGTAGTCAAGGCTGTCCGGGAAGCATTGAAGGGGGAGAAGCTGTACTATGCCTACGATGCTGTCAGCGATCACGGGAGCTATGAGACAATCTTCAAGGTTTTAGAAAACCAAGGTGGCAAGATCACCGTGGTGTTACCAGGCAAGAAGTACGAGGGCGTGCCAAATGGTGTCGAGCTTCTGGTCACCAGCTGCGGAAAGGTGTTCGGCGAGCAGAAGGATAAGGATTTCGGATTTGTATACTCCAAGTATTTTGCAAAGGGACTAAAGGAGGGCTGGTTGAAGCCGCATCCTACGGAGGTCATTCCCGGCGGTTTGGGTGGCGTTAAGCAAGGTCTACAGAATCTCAAAGACGGGAAGGCAAGCGCAGTGAAGTATGTTTTTAGGATTGAGGATACCGAAGGTGTGCAGAAGTCCAACCTTTGAGTGGCCTTTGACTGCATTCAACCAACTTCCGTGAAATACAATTCAAGCGCGTATTCGCTGGGTCTAAATGCTGTCTATACGTTTCTTGGGGTTCCTATTTTCTCGTTCTGCGGTGAGAAGTCTACTTTGCTTTCAATCATATACTCCCGTTGGCAGATATTGTATCGGATTCGTTCGACCTCTGTTCAATTGCGCTCTGAGGCATGTCTCCATTGGTTATGGAATGCACAAATGCCATGTCGGGCTCATATAGCATTACGTGAAAGTGCTCGACAGCGTGAATGCTCTTTAAGCTTTTCCAGTTCTTAAACCACACAACCTGGAATCATGTTAGGCCGAAGGCGACAAGTTAGAGAAAGTCTACCGACGTGATCCGGGTTCATCTGTGAACAGAATGTTTCGTTTACATAATCCTGAATCTGCTTCCACGCCGAGGGGGTTAGACGGTCGGTCTCTGGATCGTCCTCAATATCAAATTTGACCCAGACTACAAGATGAACGATTCTTTTGTCGATGCCATATGGCCAATCGTTATAAAGGACTTTGATATCGTCAGGATTCGAAAAAGGTGGACCAGTTGGGTTGACGTCGCTCCACTGTAAGCGATGCTTGATGATAAAGTTCATGACAGAACCGTAATTCTTTTTGAGATGGTAGATGTACTGACGGTAACGGCGGAGTTCGGACGGGCTTCTTTGGAACTTATCGATACGATTGATTGCTTCCTGCGCGTCAATACAGCTTCCACAGACACAACGCACACTAGTGCTATTACCAACGAGATGCTTGACCTCCTCCCAACTCATCGGCTTAAAATCTTCATCCAGACTACCGATGATGCCTCTATCTTTTGCGCTTGCATCGCGAAGGCTTTCAGGACATTCTTCTGTCCACTCTTCTTTTGGAAGATTGTAGTTGAACCATTGAATTTTTTCAGCGGCCATGTCTGATTCAGCGTAAAGCATCACGGAGAAAACATGCTTGTGGTGATAAAGACGAATTAAAAAACAATTCACGGATGGAAAATGTGGGAAGAGTTGACGTAGCAAGTCTTGATGAGGCGTGGATAATGCAATGTGTCACCCTTTCTGACTTGCATCCGATGGTGGGACTAGCAAGCTTCAAGTTGCATTTTAACCACGGTTGGCACGGAGCGCGCGTTCATTGTAGCGCATTGCATCGTGACACAGAGACTTGATGCTCTCAGAGGTGAACTATTGTCTTCCAATACTAATATGGACATGAAGATTCTAAGCCTATGGATCAAGCGTCCTGTCCGACCTGAGAATGCTCCACGCGGCTTTCGAAGAGTGCAACAGCATTACGCTGCATCTTGTCGCTATTACCGCAGCATCAGCATCAGCATCAGCATCAGCGAATCCAGTCATTGTCTTGACTCTTCAATCTTAATGTTTCAATCTTTGCAAAAGCCCTCAGATGTTCCTTAGCTATGAATAACGGATAGCATTTCTTTACTGTACTAGTGGATGGGTTGATCAACAATAGAAAACTGGCCCAATACCGTGCATTCAATATCGCGATACGCCCGAAACAAACGTAAAGGAAGGGTATATTTCAAATATCACGCGCATTCAAGTCCTCAAACAACAAGCTTTGTCTCTGTATCTGCAACTGTGGTGGAGAGAAGGCCGAGCAAATCAACCGGGAAGAATATATCTAGAAGAAGTTACCATTCGGGACAGCACAAAAAATGCCTGTGAGGATGGCGGAGCAAACAAGTGCACCAAGTATAGCCTGCAGGAAGATTGTGTCCTGGATCTGTCGCAAAGCTGGCTCCTCAACCCAAACCTCGCGGTCGAAGATCTTTCTAATGATGTTGCGCTTCTTGTATTTGGCCACCCAGGGCTCGTCTTCATAGCTATGTGTTTGACTAGAGCTGAAAGTCTCAAATGAAACTTTCTTGAGCTCTTCTTCAGAGTATCGAGGATAGTCATCGTTCTCAAACATCTCCCAGGGTCGCATGTGTCGATGGTGCAAGCCGTGTAAGACAACACACATGCCTTTCCATGCAGCAATCAGCGTAGAAATACCAAACATGAAAGGAATCATGGCCATGACACGCCAGGCACGACTCGCCGTACTGAGAGTGATTAAGAGCCCAGTGAGGATACCGCCGGCGATTCCAGCGACACCCAAGAAACGTGCGAAAAAGACACGGGGTCTGTTGCCATTACAAATGGACCAGCGAATGAAATTGGGATGTGCCTGCCGACGAAGAGTCCATTCCACCGTTTTGAGGACATTGCGAAATGCCGAAGGATGCGTGGTGACCTCGAGTGCGTGCAATAGAGCAGTCCGTTCGCGTGAAGATAAATTGAGTTGACGCGGAGCGTTTTCGGCAATATAGATCGTGATAATACGCGACATTTCCTCACGATATGGTTGGATCGTGAAAGGCTGGTACCTCGCTCCGGCGTCCTCGAATGCTTGCTTGGCGGTCTCGGAGTATTGACTTCGAGATGACTGAATTGCACTGGTAAGTCCTTTGGTGGACCCACTTTCAATTGATGATTTGTCGCCGTCGCTGTCGAAGACGGGGCTTGACTTCTCATTTCCTGCCTCAGAGCCAACAAGTTTCTGCTTCTTCATGATATCCTGAGCTTCAGCAGCTAAGGACTTATCCTTGAGCTGGGCACGATAGGTCGCTGCTTCTGCTTCCGCCTGTTCTTGTGTCCACTCTGGGGACAGAACACGTTCGCTATCTGGAAGGCTACTGAAGCGCTTCTCATAGTCTTTGAACCAAAGGAAGAATTGAAGATTCTCGGCAGAGCGTTCAATGTACTTCAAGAAATCCATGAAGTCCCGAATAGTGACAGGCTGATCCATGTTTAGTTCATGACTAGCATGATTTTGCTCATCGCAATTACTCACAGGACACGTGCCTCCAGAGATGATGCGGTCAAAGGATAACGCATCTGGAATACCACGGCTAGAGTGAGAGGTGCCAGAGTGGATAGAGTCTTTGAGAGAACCAGGCTTCTCAGGCGACACTAGTGAATCTCTTGAAGGAGGTGGTACATATGGTGGCCGAGTATAAGTCAAGGAGTAAACCATGGTGGTGAAAGTATATGTATCAGCGCAGAGGTACGCAAAATTAAAGTCGAGTCTAAAGGATATCGGCTTCGGATTTCTAACGAAGAAGAAGACTGACAATCAGTAGCAAGCACAGTGCCCAAGGAGTGAACTGCAAGCGGTAGCCTTGTTGGCTTCAAGAGCGCAACGCAGATCACAAAGTTCGGTGGGTAGAGAGCGCCACTGGTGCGAGCTCAGTACAACGACAGGCTGAGTTACGACCTGCCGCTATTTAGTTGGGTATGTTTTGATCACTGCAGTGAAGAACGACTGATGGATTAGGAGTCGATTTAAACAAGAAAGCTGGGTCAGCCGTCAGACTCAAGTCGCAATCTAAATAAAGTTCTCTCATCTTCACACGATTTTGCCCTCTCGCCTGCTGCAGCATTCCCTTGCTCCGGTGGAGCCGTAGCACGAATGCTTTGGCAAATCACAATTCGTGCAGAGAACGATCTGGCTGTTGATCAAATGAGCCGGGAGGAGGGGTGCATGGTGTTCCGGGTCTCAAGTCCGTGCATACTCCATGCATGTGTTGAAGATGGCGGGATGGCCAAACCCATGGCGAACTGCTTCAGCAACCACCTGCGCCTTCATCCACTGAAAAATCGGGCGTTTCCTGCAACTTATCACAGAGACTACTCTGTACCAAAAGCAGTTTCGTGCATATCCGTTGGATTTTACGCGTTGTCAAGACTACTCCAGCGTCTCAGGGCTGAGTGCTAGCAGACGTCATTTGGAACATCCCGTCTTCTTGTATCTGCAACCCAACCAATGAGCTGACGTTAACGACACCCTAGTCGAACGGAATCTTGTTCCTCAAAAGTGATCGATCTCATTGCAACCATGTTCGGATTGGGCTGAGGCCATCCTTGGGCCGATAGCCATTCTTGGGCTTGCTAGCCCGTCCGTCGTAGACTTGCACCCCGGTGCCTTAAAAGCCACCGAGCACGGCTGGAGCTGAGTTCGAAGAGGGCTCTGAATTGTGGCTCTCTAACAGAACAATACCTTGATCTGCTCTGCAAACCGGATATGGATACCAAGCATGCGAAGCGAGACTAATGCTCATCGCGACATTCATCTCAAGCCCCAAAAGCGGCGAGCAACTCTGTGAACGCCTCCAGAACGACAACCACGAGCTTCAAAGCTGCATCTGGAAGAAACTGAGCCTGTCGCAGCGCGGGTAGTTAGCCACAAGGTTGTACAATGTGGGTCCTCGCACTGTCCATTTTTGATTCAGCAATGCGGGCCTTGCTTTTAGACGACATTTTGTGCAAAGATAGACAGGTCGCAGATGAATCACTTTTCTTCCGGTCATCGCGCACTTTTCACGCCTTGCTTCTGCTGTCCATGCAGTGCTAAGCATCACGCTAAGAAGATCCACTTGTTGGCCACCATCTTCTTTCTTTCTTTTGTTTTCGGGAGATCATCGCGATTAGCATGTGAGATGGGTGCCTATCGATACGGCGAACACCTCACAGAGAGACTCTAAGCAAAGTTGTTGCCCCATTCCACATTTGTCTATTGTGCGTTTGTACGGGCATAGCCTTCGCATGGAACGACGTTCAGTCGATTCACATCGTGCAGTGCACTCGCTCCTCGCCCGCGACGGAAGACGATATGTTAGTTTGTGGATGACAATCGTCGCACGCAAACAAAACGACCTGTCCCGTTCCTTAGACTGGATATCCCGCTTCCTTTAGTCAGGGGGCCAAAACACAACGCCATGTTTCTTCTTTTCAACTCTAGATCCCCCTTATGCATGTCGCTGTGCCGGTTTGTCCATTGCCAACCCATCATAATTGTCAACAGCTAGAGGCCGAATGCAGGCACAACTTAGAGCCACGATCGCATGGAGGCTAGCGGCCCAAGTAAGAATTGTGATGTATCGGGTTCGGAGAACGACTCTTCGCGTGTTGATCTACATAGTTCTTCAACGGAGTATCCGCACTTCTATTGTTGAGTCCTATCGGAATTTTGTTTCAACTCCTGAGGATTTGTGGGCGTAAGGTGCTCTCATTTTTGCAGAATCTATCAACATTCGCTTTTAGCTAGTTAAATAAACTTTTTTTGCGTAGGAAATTGGAGCACGCACGAGACGAACATTTGCAAGCTTTGTGAGCCGATCTCGCGAAGTTTGTCTGATTGGTGAAATCCACACCCCTCCCGTGGATGGCTGATTCGTATGACCTGTCTTAAGGAAGAGCCGCTGAGCTTCCTTCAGTGATGTCTTCAATACCAGAAAAGCATACTGGCTTATAGAATGCGTGACTTAATTTTTTCGCTTGTTCTATTTGAATTTCTGATCGGCCTGCCAGTGTCCGCAATTCCTCGAGCTTCAGCGTCGCCGATTTGGCAAGGTTGGAACAGACTTCAGACCGTTGTACGCTCTTTATCCGATGAATGCTCATTCCTTTTTACTAATCGCAAGTCAAGCTTGGTGCTGAGATCCGTCAATCTGACAGCTGTTGCACACCCTTTACTTACCCGGAGCACAACTTCTCCGTTCCCATCGACCATTTCCACAACGAGGATAAATATGCGCCACATCTGGACGGCAAGTTCCCATTACGCTATTGGTTTGATGCATCGTATTACAAACCTGGCGGGGCCATCTTCCTACTTGCTGCGGGCGAAACTTACGGAGATGAACGACTAGAAATTTTGCGGAAAGGCATCATTTACCAGCTGGCAAGGGAAACAAACGGTCTTGGTGTCATCCTTGGGCATCGCTACTATGGCAAGAGCTTTCCGGTGTCAGACCTCTCGAACGCAAATCTACGCTTCTTGACAACAGAACAGGCTTTGGCTGATACGAAGTACTTTGCTGAAAACGTAGTTTTTCCTGGTCTTGAACAGTATGATCTTACTGCGAAGAAAACGCGGTGGGTTGCATATGGAGGTTCTTACGCTGGAGCTTTCGTTGCATTTTTACGAGTACTATACCCGGACACGTTTTTTGGAGTCATATCATCGTCTGGAGTAACTGAAGCAATCATTGATTATTGGGAATATTTTGAAGCGATTAGGCTCTTTGCGCCTCCCAAGTGCATTGAGTTCACTCAGCAGCTTGTCCAGTTCGTCGACAAGATATTACTCGATCCAGCGAAACAACAATTCGTCCCAACATTGAAACAGACCTTTGGTTTTGTAAATGTAACTCATAACGCCGACTTTGCTGCCGCACTGACAGCTTCCGGGATAGGAACATGGCAGGAAAGGAACTGGGACCCTGCCATATCAGACCAGAGGTTTGACCTCTACTGTAGCAACATCACCAGCGAGAAATCATTGTATACGACTCCGCATGATTTCATTCCCGTGTTGAAAAGTCTTACCGAAGCAGCAGGCATGCAGCATTTGTCTGTCGGTAAACGGCTCAATCAGCTTCTCAACTTCATAGGCTGGGCCAACTTAACCGTGGTACAGCCTTGTGCGGCGTTGTTTGATACTCAGGACGAGTGCTTCGGCACGTACGATGATGCTCGTTGGCAGCGTCATGGCCTTGACCAGCAAGCATGGCGAAGTTGGTCCTATCAAGTTTGCACGCAATGGGTATGGCAGATGCAAATTTTGCTGCATTATTTGCTGACAACTTGTAGTATGTTTGCATCGAATAGGCGTCTGTTCAAATTGAGAGCCAATTTAAGCAGTGAACTATGACCAAACAAGAACAAGAAAGGCATATGTGCCTGAATACCAAATAGATAATTATCGTTAACTAGATTGTGCAGGGGCTATTTTTATACAAGCGACGTTCCCAAAGACGTTCTTCCGATACAATCTAGGCTTCTTGATTTGGCCTACGAGTTCAAGATCTGCAAGCAAGCCTTTGAAATAACCACGCTGCCTGATGTTGATGCTATCAATAAATTTGGCGGCTTTGACATAGAATATGATCGTCTTGCGATTGTGGATGGCGAAGCTGATCCTTGGAGGTGGGCAACACCACACGCGCCGTCTGCTAGGACAAGGAATAGTACAATCAACAAGCCATTTATCCAGATAGATGGAGCAGGACATCACTGGGATGAGAATGGCCTCTTCCCGAATGAGACTACGCCTGATCTGCCACCAACACCGGTCAGAAAGGCGCAGAAACAAATTGTAGAAGCTGTAAAGCAGTGGATCAATGGTGGGGCTCCTTGGCCATCGATTTGGTTACTTTCCTGACAGACATTACAGACTACAACCATGAATCTCGATGACTTCTTTAGAGCAATAGAAGGGACTAGGGTACTAGTGGCTAGTCCCATCTATTGCTCTAAATCCTCTGGGATCATTCTTCTCTCCTCAATGGCGTGCTCGCACTATACCGCCACAACGGTGCGCGAGAAGCGAATGTGAAAACGAATTCCAACCTCATAATCTTGTGATAGAGATATTCGAGCATAGTATAGGTTCGTTTGACCTTGATTTAGACTCCTGGTCTTGTGCATATATCCTTGAAAGCCGAGCTGTTGAAAATGAAGACGTGACATCCGAGGCGACCGAAGCTTTTCCCGTCTATCATAAACAGTGTGGTGAGACCAATTGCAGTAGTCTGAAAAAGATTCGCAGTCCCATCATCCTCTATACTCCTTCATCATACCCATATCGCCTTCATTTTCTACGCCAAATTCATCCATATGGACAGCCTGCTCCACGTCCCAAGACGTTCCTTTCTCACTTTTAAACCTGAAAGCCAGTACAGCATTGTCCTTGATTCCGTACGCCTTAAGACTTTCGCTTTCAAGCTTTTTTGTCTTACGTTTGGATTCTTCATTATCAATGTTGAAGGGATCCTCAGGATCGTCAGAGAATTCTAGAGGCTCCCAGCCCTGTGAAATGTCTAATGGATCAACAGGTTTGGCGAAAGAGATTTCTGACGCAGATGAAGGAAGCTGATGACCATTGAAACCGTTAGGAGAAACTTCTTTTAGGACTGCTAGAAGCTCCTCCTTTAGTGTAGAAAGAAGGAGGAGTGGTTCAACGTGCAAGAGAACAGTTGTCCTATGATGCTTCAATCGAATAGTCCATGACTGCGGATGTGGAGTCGTTGATGAAAGTGACATGACGTTGAAAGGGACGGTGTGGGAAATATCTAGAGATAGCTGTACACAGAGCTATCGAAATCACCACGCGCCCGGATCAATTGGGGGTGGGAGAGCGTTTTGCCAGAATGTTGTTCTGTTTGGATTCGGAACTTCTGATGGAGCGTAGATCGACGGTCCAAATCGAAAACCTTTCTATTCTATACCTAAAAAAGGGCCAGGCATAGACGAAGCATCGGCTCATGCAATGCTCAAAGTTGAAAGTAGGATTATGCGGGTCAGAAGCAGAAAAGCGGTTGCAAGTACTTGATCACGAAACAGAGCCACAATCAGAGTTCCGGACGTACTTAGTTCTATTCCATTTTCGGTAATGTCACGACTGCTGCATTTCACGTCAGCTTCGCGACGACCGCAACTACGCAATCTCCTCATATATCCGGATAGTATGACTTGTTAAAATTGTAACACCTTCAATTATTACTGAAATGCCCGTCGCATCCTCACCCCAACTACCTGGTCACCCAGAAATTGAATACAATGAAGTTGTCGTGGTGGACGAAGAACGAAAGCTTACACCCTCTGAAGAGGCAGAATTCAAGAAACGGTACCGCCTTGGCCTCCCACTTGTGCACCGTACGATACTAGGTGCCCTCTCTGGCTTCACTGTAGGCGCTATCCTCGGCGTATCTCATGGCGCTAAACGAGAGGGCCTTCGCTTCCGCGCCGAAAATGCGCATCGCCTGCCCACATCACAGAAAGGATGGTATTTCTATCACAAGAGCAAGAACTATGTCGGGATGCTGGGAGGACTCAAGGAAGGCTTTCGCATGGGTTCGAAGACGGCTATTTGGGTCGTTGGATTTATTTGGCTTGAAGCGGCGGCTGATCACAACAGACGATATGGTGGACAGCAAGACTTTTTAAACACAACTACCGCAGGTATAGCCACGGCAGCTCTATGGAGTGCATGGAATAGATTTCCGGCCGCGACCACTGTCAGAACGGGAAAGCTTGGATTCAAGGTTGGCTTGACGTACGGACTGCTGCAAGACGCTTTGGGCTACGCGCGAGGAAGAGAAATCGCGTACATCGAATACTTGAAGAAGTTCTTTGGCAGGAAAAACACAGACTATGATTAAAGGTAATTCGTCGGCTTTCACCAATTTTTGATCGGCTAAGGAATGCGAAACGGAAGCCCAAACCCGGTTTCGGTGACATAGCTGAACCGGAACCGTCGAACGAATGGCCTTCTCTGCATTCCGAGCAAAGCACGAAAGACGTCTCGCAGAAACGTGCATGGGGAAAACTGAGGGACGAGGGCGAAACCATCGCGCTCAGGAGTAGATCGCACAAATGTTCTCTACCAAGGGGCAACAAATCATCTCTAACAAAATCAGTGCAATCATGCGCTGGCCCTTGAACAATGGCATCGCCTTGAGCAGCAAGAGAAGAAGGCAAAATACAAGTCACGACCCAAAGGTCCGTATGGATGAACGGGAGAATGGAATGAAGCTCCTGAAAGGCCTCAAGTACTTCACAATTTCCGAGGTTAATAATGGCTCGTTATGTACTATTGGAACGTTTCTTTTGAGGTTCTTTGTGAAATATAGGCCACCAAGTTATATTTCATCATGGGGCAATACAAATGCAAGCCCGTTTTATTGTCCTCACTATACCCAATTGCGGGCTATATATGTCAGACCGTTATCGTGCTTGACTGATCATAACACATTCCAAACACCCTTCGCTTTCATGCACTGGTGTCCCTTTAGATCCTCCAGTACGCATTCAACGTTGTATTTTATATTCAGCTGAGATATGATACCGCTCCGCTCATGATGCAGCTTTTTTGTAAGATCTTTGTCGGCACTGATATTCGTCTGTGGCTCGATTGATTCTTCCGGAGCCTTCAGCTTGGCTTTCAAGAGGTAGTAGTTCTGTGCATGCACAGGCTTTAGGTATGTTAAACTCAATTCTGAAGGCTCCGGTGGACGAATTGATTGTCTCCCGCCGGTCAAGCAATTCAATGCTCTGCCCATACCTTCCAGTAGTACGGTAGCCGTGCATCCCCCATGCGCGATTCCGGGCCATCCGCACAGTGCGCCTCCGTAGTAAACAGCCATCACGAGCTCTTTCTCCTTCTCGTTCCAAAACGCCCTAGGAGTCACTAGACCCATTGAGCCTCGCAATGTTTGATTTATTACAGTATCTCCTTCCTGGGGATATAGCGAGATCTCATTCCAGTCCCACTCTACATCCCCCTCATGTTTGAGCATCTCCTGCACGAATGGTATGCCATCTGCGGCCAAGACGATGGCTTTGAGCAAGAGAATATCCTCTTCACTATCGCGCTCAATCGAGTCGAAGAGCTTGACTGCAAGGGCCATGGATTTTCCTACTAGGAAACCTGTGCAACCGAACACCAGGGCCCACATAAAAGGTCGTATCTTCGACCGTGGTCGATACGTTAGAGGTTCGCTCGACGCGAAGCGTCGCTGTGTAGATCTGGGATGCCATTGGCGGATCTGGCATCTATTTGTGACTCGAAAAGGCGACTGCCCCCGCAGCAGTTGCTTCGATGGACGTATGAAATTCATGTTGTGCTTTGGCGGAGTTCACAGGCTGGAAGCTTGAGCTGCTTCATGAACCCCGAGGCCCACATCCTAGCTTTCTCGCTTCGGCGAGCAAGAGCAACCAATCATCATCGATCTTTCAAAGCCTTGCGATGCCAAACATTGCTCCACGGGGATGAAATAATACTTGCCGTCACAACCGTAACAGAAATGTAAGCACCCAAAAATCAATGGGCGAAGCTAAAATTTCGAAAGACCAGTTGTCAAATTTGACACTTTTGTCTTGGAAAACTCTACAATAAACAAAGTGGCTTCGCAGGAGTAGTTTGTGACAAGAAGTTATCATTACTAGCAATAAACTCTGCGGTAACAAGCTCAAGACGCGTAAGAAGAGGAGGGGTATCTTCTGCAACCACCCTGCGCCAACCTTGAGATCTGAGTATGCTCCCAAGTCGTAACGTGCTAGAACAACCGTGTCGCGCACTCGAGTAGAGGCAGTCACCACGCTTGGGACGTAAAGAATCAATCTTCAGCTAGAACGGCGTCATGAGACGTTAAAGTTGCAATATTGTATGGAATAGGTGAAAAGCCAGCTTGTGAGTGGCCGTGCCGTTGCTTCATTGTGGGACCGGTGCACTTAGACATGGTGTACACGTCGTGAGCGCATATTCCACCTCGTCCTTCTCGCGTTGCCCGATACCTGCAACCTAACGTTTAGCCCTGGTGACTACGATTCTGCTCATAGTCAAATGGTTGCACTTGCCCTTGTTCTACGCCTTCCTGAGCGACCGCAGGTAAGACATGAGATGATGATGTCAAAGACTGAGACGAAAGCGTTCTAGGTACGAGAATAAAAATGTTAGCGTCGCTTGCCTAATAATTTTTTTTCTTCAAAGAAGCCCTTACGATGATTGCATGGCAAATAGCTCCTATAGCGTTGACAATGGCCATCAAACAATTGCCAATGGCACGGAAAATGCCTTCAATACAGCTTACGACAGCGCCCATTTTTGTCTTGTGTTTTGATGTTAAGAGGTCGAAAACGTAAGTATGTATATATGAGTGTGCGTGCGTTTGTGTAGGTACTTGGATTTTCAATTATGCAAATATGTTCTTTGCTCCTGATGCCTGCAAACTTCGTGCAGTCGCTCAGAAAATATAAGAATCATCCTCTTGCGCAGGTAAACATGACGTAATTCTCTGGCTGTCGTATGACATGAGCCTGCAGGGGATGAAGCATTTCTGGTGTCTTCCAGCTAATCAAGGTTCAACCACAAGGCGGAACGTGACCATGACAAGCCGGTAGAAGCGTCCAACGCTTTCCCATCATGTCTTAAGTTTTCAGGGATTGCCAAAAAACGACACAGGATCTTGTGGTTATTATTCGTGAGGGTGTTCATGGCCTCGAAGCGAGGTGCAATTCCCTACATGGAAATTGACCTGCAAGATCCTGGCCATTGACAGCTTCCATGACAACACGCGCTGGAAGCGAACTCCACTTAACAGTCTATCTATGCGCAGGGATGATTTCGTGAAGGTCATTTTCACCTTGATCCGCCTTGTCCAGCTTGGATATGACGAAGCGGCCATGGTGTGTCTCAGCCTGATTACTGTAATGGTCCACTTTGTCAACTTTTCAGCTCGAACAGCACTAAGACACGCCTCCACAGGTGAGTAGATTCTAAAGAGTGCTACGGTGTTAAGGCCAGGATCAAGTCGACACCATTTTGTTCGTTATACCAAGTGCTAAAACTCTTGTGATGAGATGTCTAAAAGACTCGGAATTGACGTCATCCTACGGTGGTTTCCTTTTGTGGCGGTGGTGGCGTCTCCACACGAGAGTCTGGGGTAGATGCAGATCAATAGTCCTATGACAGCTAGTACGCTTCTTGTGTCGACTCTTCGTTTTCAAATCGTGGCAAATTCCGTGTGTAATGTACTTTCAACCATGCCATACTTGGGACTGTCTACTAAAGAACAAAGATAATTATACATGTTCGATCATAGTCCTCATAATTCTCCACTGTCCGTACCAGTCTTCGCTCTGTGTGATAAAAATACATGAATGTTTGAAAAATTCTAACCTCTATCAGGTAGGTGATTCCCACTAGTTCTCGACTTGATCCCTCGTCCAATATCTTGCATAAAGCTCATCAATGAAATACGAGTGGCGAACTCCAGGAGGACGTGCTCTGCCAAACTCCTCTATCGCATCAGTAAGCCGCCAGTCAAGTTTCTCGACTAGGTAGCAAACAATGAAGAAGCCTGTGCGATTGAACCCATAGTGGCAGTGCACTGCTATGAAGTGCGGAGGTGCCCGCTTCCTCTTCGTCACGGCGTCATGTTCATCAAGCAGAAGCTCCCGCCGGAGGCTGTCGATTACTTCAATGAAAGATTTAACCTCATCCACGGTAGGCGGAAGTTTCGATACGGTCGGGAATTTTCGGTAGGCTATCCCACCTCGTTCGAGCTTGTTCATGTCGTATACTGGAGTCTCGTGAGAGATATCAACCACGGCTGCAATTGGACCCAGCCCGTCTTTCCCTTTAGGAGACGATGCGCTCGACCACTCTTTGACAAACACGCTCGGAGAATGCGACGGGTCTACTTCGCGTAGAGTCTTCATCGCCCGAAACAATCCATTGATAGGCTTCGATACAGGTTCGACGCTCTGCCATTTAGCCAGATTCTTGACGTCCCATTTCCCACCTTCACTAAGGTATTGCAGTTGCCATCCCAAAGAGAGACGATGGTCCACTTCGGTCAAAAAGGATTGAATGTGTCCCGCTAACGGACGAGCTGTCTTCGGTGCATAAAGCAAGGCATGTGACGCAGGTGCTGGTAAGATTAAGGCTCTGAAGTGAACGTCCCCGCGATTGTGCCTTTCTGTGACCGTCTTGAAAGACTCATTAGGTGGTGCGCTTCCCTGGAAAACCACCTCTTTTGCGTGGCCTAAGAAAGCAGCAATCTTGTACACATTGTCCGCTTTCGTAATGGGATCGGCTTCACCAGCGACCAGGAATACAGAACAAGTTAGGCCAGCCCAGATGTCTTCGCCTGGTATTCCTCCTCGTGGCTTCCCATTTACGTAGGTAGGCAAAGAGCCATATGCCATGCGCCTCCACACCGGAGTTCTGCTTTGCTCGTTATAGCGTACCTGAAGCTTCTTAGTTTCTTCTTCCGCATCGAATCCGGTGAATCTAGCAACGCTAGCACTTTCTGTGCCACCCCTCCGATCCCAACGTCGCCATATATCAAACAACCACCCTGGAACGTAGAAGAACCTTCGGAATTGTTTGACTTGAGCCTCTGTAGGTGGCTCAGCTACCGGGCAAATGCAAATCAAGGCCTTTACATGTTGAGACTGCAGGTGACTGTACGGGGATTTCGAGGACGCAAGAAGCGCACCGAGCGAGCATCCCATCGAATGGCAAATCAAAATTATTTTCTGGTTCCCCTTGCGATGTCTTTCAATCACATCTGCAAGTAGATGAACTAGACTCTCCGTTGTATATGCCTCCCATGCTTGTGGAGAGAATTCAGACAGTCCACATCCTGGCAAGTCTACTGCAAGACAATCTGCACAGTTTGTGAGTGATGTTAAGAGGGCATGAAACTGAGCAACGGATCCGCCAAGCCCGTGAATAAAGACCAATAGAGGCAGAGGGGTCGGATCAGTCGGCAGCTTGTCGCCCTGCGGATGCTCTCTGTAGAACGTTCTAATGGAGGGGTACGTGTACCCAGTCGCTGCTGGAGAATACGAGGAATACACTGTGAATTTTTTAAGCAGACTAGGATCAGTTGCGATCGCGTCTTAAGTATGAGTCAGTGAAGATTTTTGTAGGCGTCAGACCCGCTAACTATACCTGTTCCCATGCCACCTGAAATACTGCAAGGCGGGCGAGAGTTTGTTTGCCTGCTCTTTGATCGAAGACCCCGAACGATGACAATGCAAGGTAACAGGACAAGTAGAGATGTGGCAATGCGGTATTGGAAGGTATCTGGCGTGATGCTGGCGAAAAGTTTTTGCAACCGCAAGGTAGAGACGATTGGCAAGCGGGTCGCTTGCTCTAACCTGATTGACATTGTTCGATATGCTGCAGTCGAACGAGTGCTTGCATAAAATTTACTCTTGCATGCACATGCAACCCACCCAATGTTCAAGCAATGATGAGCAATGGATCGGATAGCCGAGATATGCGTTTCATGCCTGAGATCCCATAGATGCGGATAGTCGTGCAGCGCGGGCCGACGGGATCCAGAGTCTTATATGATAATTCGTCCGCTCAATCACTGTACAAGGTTATCCTGACGCTCGAAGCTTTCTGTAGAAAATGGACAGTGAAGCCAGCCAATGAAACAAAAGCAAGTTGCGGCGTGGATTGTTCCGAAGCAGATCCTCGACCCTTCTTGCGAGCTGTGCCACGTAGGGCTGATGATGTGGTTCTCTTCTCGTGGGACAGGTTATCGGGTCAAGCGAAGTAGATTCAACTCGTCAACAGAAAGCGCTGCGCCGTGTCTATAGCAGGTCGTGCTCCAGCAGTGAGACGCCGCTTAAGCTTGATTCGTCCCGCGAGAGCCCTCAGCGGCATGCAAGTAACAGTCGACAACCGAGCGCTCGGAGCAATGACGTTAGCCTTACTCTGCAAGACCCTTTGGACAGTATCGCGACTCAAGTTTTTCGATTCCTTTTGATGCTTCCAGTCAGAAGATGTGATTGCTGCCTTACCCAGATGATCGTCGACAAGGGGTAAGCCTGAGGCACACCACGAGCTCTTTTAATCCCACCAATGTGCTCCAAGGGGGCAAATTTAGTGAGTTTGGAGTGCGAATTTTGATATCGGCCGCCTGCGGCATTCGTTCAGCCATGGCAGAATGCAGCGGGCTAGGGCCAATTCACACAAAGGCAGAATGCGGGCCCAACCCTCTGGACCCGGTAGCGGCTCTAAGCTCTCGGTGCAATTGCGAGCGTGCTTAGAACTATACCGCTGCCCAGAGCAAATCAAAGCCACTGATTTGTTAGCGGGGAAGGAAGAGCTTGCGGGAGGGGTGGCATTTAGTTCGTCCAGTGGGTCAATCGTGTACTCGGGTCATTAGAGGTATAATTCGGCAGCTGGTCAATTGCACAGTCGATATCTTTCTGTCCGAGCAGCTATTCTTCTCGTTTTTGCATTTCACCTGCAAGTTGCTGCTTCTTCAACAATCTCGCCATCAACAACCCATTTGGACAGAGAGCAAGCTTCAGCATCCGTTTAGACCTTCTGGACTTTCCTTGTGACTCGTCATTCCTCCTCCCTACGGAAAAGAATCAGAACCCCTCACAAGTTTGACAATCAACCCGCCCAAAAATGGAACCGCATAATATCGCGAAGCAGCAAAATCTTGAAGAGCCACGTTACTTGTCCTTCAAAAAGCTTCCCGAAGGCACTAAATTGGCCAATGGGGAGCTAGCCCTGAACAAATACTCTTCGGCTGTTACCCATGGCCATGACTTCCCAGGAGCCAAAGCCATGCTGTATGCAGCAGGGGTCCCGGATGAAGCAACTATGCAATCAGCTCCTCATGTAGGTATCGCCTCGGTTTGGTGGGAAGGGAATCCGTGCAATATGCATCTTCTCGATCTTGCCAAAGAAGTAAAGAAAGGTGTCCAGAAGCTGGGGATGCTGGGTTGGCAGTACAATACCATTGGAGTCTCCGATGCCATCACAATGGGTGGAGAGGGGATGAGGTTCTCTCTCCAGTCAAGAGAAATCATAGCAGACAGTATCGAAACCGTAACCTGCGCTCAGCATCACGATGCCTGCATCGCTCTACCAGGCTGCGACAAAAATATGCCCGGTGCGGCGATGGCATTTGCGCGTCACAACAGGCCGAGCATCATGGTGTATGGTGGCAGCATAAAACCAGGGTTCAGCACTTTGCTCCGAAAGCCTATCAACATTAGCACCTGTTACGAAGCTTTCGGTTCGTATGTGTATGACACCTTGAAGAACCCGGATGATCCATCACAGACGAAGGATGACATCTTGTCGGACATCGAAAAGCATGCATGTCCAGGTATGTGGATTAGCCCTCTAAAATCAATTCTGTGCTTCAGCTGAGCAGAAAACTAGGAGCCGGTGCTTGTGGTGGTATGTATACGGCAAATACCTTGTCGACGGCGATTGAGGCCATGGGCTTAATGTTGCCCGGTTCATCGAGCACTCCTGCGACTGAGCCTGCAAAGATGCGTGAATGCATCAAGGCAGCCGAGTGCATTAAGATATGTCTAGAGAAGGATATTAAACCTCGTGATATAATGACAAAAGCTGCTTTCGAGAACGCCCTTGTCATGCTCATGGCTTTGGGTGGCTCAACGAACGCGTAAGTTTCCATGTATTTACCAAAACATAGACTAATGAAGGAGCCAGAGTCATTCATTTGATCGCTATGGCGCTTACTGCAGGAGTAAACCTAACTCTAGATGACTTTCAGAGAGTTTCAGACAAAGTTCCGTTCATTGCTGACATGGCTCCGAGCGGGAAATATTACATGGCAGATCTCTACGAAGTTGGTGGTACTCCTGCTGTTATGAAGCTGCTAGTGGCTGCAAACTTGATGGATGGTAGCCTGATGACGGTGACTGGGAAGACCATCGCAGAGAATATTGCCCCATATCCCTCTTTACCACAAGATCAGGTCATTGTCCGCCCGATCAACAACCCCATCAAGAAGACCGGGCATCTTGAGATCCTTCGTGGTAATCTTGCTCCCGAAGGCGCTGTTGCCAAGATCACTGGTAAGGAAGGCATGAAGTTTACAGGCAAGGCTATGGTTTTCGAGAAGGAGCACGAACTCGACCAGGCTCTGAATGAGGGCAAGATTCCTCGAGGCGAGAACATTGTGATTGTAGTGAGATACGAAGGTCCAAAAGGTGGGCCAGGCATGCCGGAGCAACTTAAGGCTTCCGCGGCCTTGATGGGCGCAAAGTTGACAAATGTCGCTCTCATCACTGATGGTAGATATAGTGGAGCTAGCCATGGCTTCATTGTTGGTCATATCACCCCAGAGGCTGCTGTCGGTGGCCCGATTGCCGTGGTGCAAGCAGGGGATATGATCACTATCGACGCCGAAAACAATACCATCTCATTCGATGTGACGGATGAAGAGATCAAAGAGAGACTTTCGAGATGGAAAAAGCCTCCAATGTTGGCCACTCGAGGTACTCTTGCTAAATATGCTGCCCTTGTCACCGACGCAAGCCATGGCGCATTGACAGATCTTTTCTAGACTTACGTATTGATCATACTTCCAAGAGTCATAAAGTGAAAAAAAAGTCGTACTAACACACTTTGAATATCCAACCTAGCTGCAGTGTATCGAGACTTTGGATGGAGAGATTGCTGGCCTATGGGATATTGAGATATGGAATGGATGCATGTTCGCTGACAAGTAGCTCATAGATGGTGGGACTAGTGAGTGGAATCTGCGCAGTAATAAAGGAGAGTACTTCCATAAACAAGATTTTGTGTGCATCTAGCCGTTAGAGAGGCGGAGCTTTGCCTTGGTAAAATTGTGAGAAGATCCCCCCCTGCTTTAATGCAAGCGGCCCAAAACGGAGGTGATTTGGTTTTGCTAGTCGTCCTGTGGGTCTGAGAGTGATTCGCCAATGCGAATCTTGTCTGGAATACAAAACTGAACAGTCAAGCTGAATTCTATACATAAGCGTTGTTGTCCTTGTAAGATGGTGTTGAAATGCCTGAGACGCTGGCTTGCTCCTTGTTGAACATGCATCGTTGATCGCCTGCGCCTAGCCAAATATCTCGCACCCACCAGCATCTTGGAGCCTTCCTACCACCCCATCAACATTCCCACTCCACATCGTACGAAATTTGGGAGCATATGGTTCCATTTGATTGCATCGCTGTTTTCTGGCTTCAATCTACTCACTATTGCTGCGCCAACCTCGTCAAGCTGCTTGTCTCTATTCAGCTGGTTTGACTAGGAGAGTAACAGCCTTTGAACACTTTTATGGCATCTGATGGCAGAGAATGGCGAAAATTCGGGGACGACTTATGGATCAAATATGCTTTCAGAAAAGATTCATATAGCATCTGGCTGACTGACCTTTGCCAGCTCTATATTGAAGAGCTTGACAGCAGCGATCTTCGCTGGCGCGCGTCAAAGGATAAGCTACCCATCGATGTCGACGAAGCGCAAGCCCTTGCAATTTTTTTGAAGAACCTCTCCAATGCTATTGAAAGAAGCAGTTTTAAGCCGCCGGATACCATTAAGAGGTCTCGTTTCATGGACATTGTTGCCATTGTGTCGCTGCCCCACCCATTACCGGAGATCGAGTGGACCTTCAAGCTTGAGCAACAACCAGATGACCGGTTTCGAGATAGTGTCTCCAAGCCCTTGCTTGATGACATTTACAAATTTCAGCAACGAGAGAATGACCTCATTCATCGACTTCACGAGAAAGACCATGCAATCGAAAAGCTGTTGGATACTCTTGACAAGTACAATATCGACCTTGCTGATGTTTTTCCATCATTGGCTTCCCATAGTGCAATCCGCCAAAATAAGAGTAGACATGTTGCCGAAACACATATACCAGCACTTCAACCGTTTGATGAACAGTCATGGCTTGAAAACATAAGGAAGAAACTATGCGTTGATAAATCCGGGCCTGCTGAGAGCCGACCAGAACCAGAATTTGAGAAGCTGCAGGAGCTGGGCAACCAGCAAAGGCACAGCGGCAGAGGTGTGAGTTGATGGCAAATTTCTTAGATTTTTTTTCATGGACTAACCGCGACTGATTCTAGCAAGCTGCAAGATCGCCTGTCCTGAATATTGGAAAGAATACGGGTATCAACCGCACTTTGGCTGATCGTAAATTCCAGGAGACGATTACGAAGTCCAACGCAGAAGCTACTGGTGAGCTATCGATTGCTGATATGACAAGTGCGCCACAAAACCGGAAGGGTATCAAGCGTTCGTTGGGAAGTAGCACGGTTGCACCAAAAGCTGAGCCAGCAACGGCTGAAGGCGCTACAAATGAAAAAACATGCCGTAAGGTGGACGAGACCTGCAAAGATACAACAAAGATCTTGGACGATGTCGTAACTCAAAGAACTGGTCATAATTCTGTTATATTGCACGAAGAGCTCGACCAAAGTAACTCCGCCATCCAACCTGTTAACCAGCAATCAAAAGGTGGAAGAAAAGATGCTCGAAATGAAGATGAGATTGCCAAGCAAAAACGAGAAGCTCTGAAGAAACGATTTGATGTTGCGGCAGCGCATAAGTCAAAAAAACGCAAATTCTGAACGACAGGAGTCTCAAATTTGCGATGAAGGCACAGCAAAGAGCGTCAATGTTACCTACTCCCCAAAATCGCGTATATTCGAGCAAATGATAAAACCTGGACCAAAAGTTTAGCATCATAACCAGTTGACGGCCGGGGTGTCTGGGAGCGCTCATTGACAAGCCGTCTGCTCCTTCGTCGAATTGAGTTCCACCCCGTCCTTGTGCGCCGGTCATATTCGCGTCCCATGGCCGCGGATGGATCGCTGATTCGAATATTGGCACAATAACCTTAACTAGGAAGATTTTTGCTGCCGGTTTCCAAATCATAGCCTACGCGTCCTCCTCTCGCTCCTCCAAGATTTGTCCGTTCGTGGTTCTTTTTCCGTTATGTCGTCTGCTCCTCAAGTATTCCTTTCGACGACTTTAAGCGATTCTTGAGTTTGTCACTTGTTCTCTTATCACTAGTATATGTAAGCTCTGTGCCCCGTTTTTCTACTCTCAGCGACCAATTTATTGCTAGCCTAATGTGTCCTCGTGCCATAATCCAGTTGAAAAGACTTCCAGGACATAACGATGCATAATTTTCCGGTCTTTTGGAGTTTTGACGTCTACAGATGTGCTTCAAATCCAAGAGCTGATGCTTCTCTGGATACTGCTTTGTGCACTTCGATCTCCAGGCCTTGTGTCGTAACTTGTGAATGTTATGACCTGATTCATGGATTTCTCGATGGGATCCAGCTGCGACGCGAAATCAGTGTGACTCAATTATTCATCAGGATATTTCAAGGCACTGGCGCTAAAATTTTCGTCCTGCTTTAGGAGTTCAACAGAGAGAGTTGGCAATGTTGTTGCCACCGGACAAAGACATCAGTGATGATACAAGCTTCATGCTCCAGTACATTGACAGAAGGAGGTAATTAATGCCACTTTTCTCTTATTTCCTACGCCTCTGCTTGCTTGTTACTCTTAAAATCGAGTGTCATAACCGGACTTTCTATCAAATGCCCGCGAAGGAGCGTGCCTTGCTTCAGGACGGATCATGATTGAGAGGCAGGCTGGCTCGGCTGAAGCAGACACAGACATTGATCGACTTTTTGCCGGTAGAGTATTGAATGCTGATTTCAATCTACGTAGGGTGTCTGCACTTTTATGAAACAATCAGAACTTATTACAAGGAGTTAGCGACACTATTCGTTGACGAACTGGTTGCTACTAGTAGAGATCCGTCAATTAGGATCCTTCTTGCGAGAAGGGCTTGCCATGCTACTCAAGCGGAAATTTGCGTGGCGTATGAGCTTCTGAAAAAGTACTCGTGATGATTTCCTTTGTCGCTTACTCCATCGCTAACACTCGTCTTAGCTAGTTTGTGATGATACCATCTGGGTATCTTGTAAAGTAGCAGAACAAAAGCTAGGCGGACTGAGAAGGAGTGTGGGTGTTAAAGAGACCTCGGGATCTCGTTCGCACAGCATCGCTTAAGAGTGAAGGCATCATGTAAGTGTATCAGTGATTAGGGGTTCAACCGAGGCTTGGGCTACGGGGGTAAGTGTTTACAGAACGAGCATTGCAATTGCAGACTTATGAAGTGTGACTTTATGATTCTTATGCGCGAACAATACGTACTTCAGTTGATCTGTACATGCTTGGAGCTAATAGATCACGGCAGAGTGGCCCTTTGCCGCTAGGCAAATACAATAGCTCACGGTTCCTTTCTTGGTCAAGTCATCGGTACGAGCTGGGCGAGGCACATTCACCGTGACATCTGATGCGAGAAAACTCCTTCACTGGTCCGGCTGTCGTTGAAGGAAATCTGCTCACCATCGTCGTCACCACTTCTCCTTCCTGGCCAGTCTCTACGTTTTCTCAACGCCAACTACCACAGGTAGCAATCACTGTTTCCTCTTTCTTCCACGGAAGGTCTCCTCTGGTAGGTGTCGGAAAGCTCCTTCCGTCAACATCTTTTATCTGCCCACTTTGTACTCTCGTCAGCGCGATTGGTTCCTTTCCTCCTCTGCTTTTACGACTGCCGAAACCCAAATTGGCTCCTTCGCCTCCAAGCAGCCTTATCCACATCTCTGCTTTCATTGAATTGCTACAATATTGAGCCTACTCGTCTATTGCCCTTGTTGCCACAATGGAGGCGGCAACTGGAAAGTCCTCACAGCTGTCGCCCACCACTAAACACAAGGCCTCACTGCCAGAAAAAGATGGCCGGTGGGTATCATAGAGTTCTTCCACAGCCTTGAATCCAACAGGTTTTCTCAACGTCGAGATCTGACCCTGCTAGCAGAGTCAAATCCCATAGTTCTTCAGAGCGACGTCCGACCGCTTCATCTCTATGCTCCTCTATAGCCAAAAGAGGCTCCACTACTCAACGAGGCAGCTCGCACAGGTCATTTCTCAAATCTTTTTCAAACCTGACTCTTCAACAACCAATAGTGTTTCGTGCTCAGATCGAACACCCTCCGGCATTTACGCGAATATTCAACAAACGCCCCCCGACAGTACCAAAAGCGCCTGTTTTGCACACCGAACGACGAGCTTTAGTCAGATCCAAATCTCCTGAGAAAATGTCTCGGAAGGAATCTGCCAACTCCTGTCCCAACACGGATATGAGCCGGCCAAGTCAGAGCCAATCAGGCCCCAATCAAATACTGCGAATTAATGGTACCGATGGAATCGACTGCTTGAACGACACCGACAATTCGAAAGAAATAGAGATTCCCTCAAACAATGGCCACCTGAAAAGCTACGGTAGTGGTAATAGTGATGATGAGATGTGGCCAACCCCACTGGAGGAATGGGATCTCACTGCTCGAAACCGGGCTAGGAATATATTCAGTCCATTAGTTCCTCAAACACAGCACTTAGCGCACACCTCTGGTATCGGTGATGAGGAGAGCCCCCAGTTCAAATCTGGCTCTTGTCCACCAAATAGCTCTCCAATGACAGAGTATTATGGTCGCCATGGGAGTGAGTCACCCGTGAAGGATGACCACTGGCATGCAAAAAATAGCTTTCATCCTCGCCGAAAAGATGACGACGATTCTTCTGGAGGGTCTGAACGGCCAGGAGCTGTCAGAGGCTGGAGCCCTGATGGTAAAGGATCAGGCGGCAATAGTCCAAAATTGCACGAAGGTAGTGAGCCATCAATGGCGTCGTCGAATTTAGCCACTCAGTACTCTGGCTCAAGTAAAGGTATATTTCAAAATCTCCATCTTTATCGTATTATCTCTAACCAAAATCCATCTTAGCGCTGAGCGGACTGTGTGGTTCTGCTGCTTGGTTCATACCACAGAACGGCCGTTATGAGCAGCTGCTACCTCGTTATCAGTTGATTCACACTTCCAACTGGTACAAAGCAGAAGGAAAGATTCCATGCGGGATTAGCGAGCATGCCAAATTCCATCAAGGTCGTTACAGGTGCTATCAAGCCGGTTAAGCTCTTGACATTCGGGCGCGGCACTTCAATGCGAGTGGGTCTACCGAGTGCAAAGACAACTAACCGAAGTCGCTGTTTCAGCGACTCAAGGAGAGTCCGGTTACCTCACACGCATGAGTATCAGGATTTGATGTCAATACTTGCACAAATCGTCTTAGCGTCATCCACGTAACTTCAAAGCTTCAAGCAACATTCCGTAAAGAAATTGAGGACAAACAAAAGAGAAGAGGGCAGAACATGGCTGCTACACAAGAACGAGCAGTGACTCATTTCACAAGGGACCCTATGCGTGCATCACTATTTGGAAGTGATGGCATATTTTTCTTCATAAATTTCAATACTTAAAAGTGCGCATTGAAAGTGGCAAATTTCTCTACCTCCAAACTGGTGATGAAAGGCTTGCACTAGGGCGCGTACTCATGAACGACTCGTTCTAACAATTGCTGACCAGCAATGCCGTTACGTTTCCTCAAGTGGAGATGTGAAGGCAAAAATTAGCTGTCGCTAAGCAATGAAAGTTTACTTTTTGTATTTTACATGCAATGGTTACGATTCGTCATCACTGTCATCATCATTGGTGCCACCATCTCGATTGAGCATCTTGCTCATGTAAGGACCATCGAGCCAATAGCCTAGCCTTGCATAGTAACTTCGCACGCCTACACCGGAAATGACAGATAATTTTTGGCTACCATGCTCGTTGCGCGCGATGCGCTCAGCTTCCTCCATAAGCAGGGTACCATAACCCTGATGTTGAAATTTTCGAGGATCTCGAGCGTGCACTGGCACGGCCGAACCGTAGACATGCAGCTCTCTCACCAAGCTAGTTGGCTGCCCTGTAAGCTCCGGTCGAAAGGTGTGTGTTGAGCTGCACTTGCGTAAGCGCAGGAGTGCGATGAGGATATCCTGCTTCGGATCTTCGTACGCGAGGAACGTCTCCCAGCCGCCATTGGCAACATAGTCTCGGCGTACAAGCTCGACTTGTGACGGACGGATCTTGTTTTTGACCTCGTTTATGCCAACCTCCCGAGTCCGCACGTCACGACACGTAGTCCCAAAATCCTTCATCCGCGCCAGGGCCAATTCTCGCAGATTGCCGTTTTCAACGCCGGCGGTGACAAGAGGCATAGGTATGTCTCGCTGAACACGATATATTCTCGTCCACGGCGGCACAAGAGCCAATATTCTCGCAACCAGGTCGATAAGCGCATTCGGGGTGTAGTTTTTGTATCGTCCGGTTCGCCACAGCTCGTACAATCCTGTTCCTCTTATTACGAGCGTTGGATATATCTTCAAGCCGTCCGTTCGAAAGGCAGGGTTCTCAAAATATTCCCTGAACTGATCCAAGTCGCGCTCCATGCCAACATTTGGAAGGTCTGGCATCATGTGCGACACCACTTTAAAGCCTGCGTCTTTTGCCAGCTTGAATGTCTCCGCAACAGCTGCAACCGTATGTCCCCTGTTGGTATCTCTTGCTACGTCTTCGTACAGACTTTGGACGCCGATCTCCAATCTCGTACAGCCATATCTCAGCATCGCGCTCAAGTGCTGGTCCAAACAATAGTCTGGCCGTGTCTCAATAGTTATGCCCACGCACTTGATGTTGCTCATCTCGCCTGCCGCGACCGCCTCATCCACATTCTTGGTTGTATATCCACTCAGGGCATTATGTAGCTGACTTATGAATTCTTCCCTGTAGCTCTCGGATAAGCTCATGAAAGTACCGCCCATAATTATATATTCGACTTTGTCCACTGAATGTCCTAGGGATTTGATTTGGTCTACTCTCCCTCTTGCTTGCTCGTAAGGATCGTAACGTGCTCGTATGGCGCGCATCGAGGTCGGTTCATAGCCTGTGTAGGATTGTGTTGAATACTCAAAATCGGAGTCCGGGCCACCAGGGCAGTAAACGCAAATATTGCCTGTATATGCGATGTGTGGACATCGGTGCGGCTTGCACATAACTGCAACGACGGCAATACCAGATGATGTTCCTGTGCACTTTTAGACAGTGTGGTAGGATTTTTTTTTCTCTCTGATGACATACTTATGGGCTTTGCTATTAGCTTGGGAAGGATATACTTTTTGTAGTGCTCGGGCACAGCGGCAATAATTGCAGTCAAGGGCGGCTGTGTGCTAAGGAAGTGCTTCTTCGACATTTGACCTCTCAGGTGGTTAAGATTTAGGTCTTTCTTCGGACCTTTGCCATTTTGCTGGGCTTCGTAGTCTTGAATCAACGCGCTCGCAATGTCTGCACAGCAACGCATGTATCTTGCATTTCAGAGTCAGCAGTGTTCAATGTGCGCACAGCAGTACAACGATGAAGATGCTGTCGAGACAGGCTGAAAGGACAAAACATGGTCTTGTATATCAGCAGTCTCTACAGTTTTGAACCGACTGTATGAGAAGATCTAGAAAATTGTGTACCGTTCATTCTCTGGAGGCAGCTTCACGCCACGCGGGATGTGTCGCTTTGACTTTGTCTCTGTAGCGGTAGCGGTTGCCATGTTGGCAGCATCAACAGCCTCGCTCGTGGTCAATTCCAGGCCTGCGGGTGTCGAACAGCGACGAACATAACTCGTGTTTTTGATAGTGGTTTTGAACTAGCGCAGCGGAAGATCTCCGCCCGGGCCTCCAGCCAACGTTGATCAAAGGCACGAAGTGCGGCAAGCTGTGTGAGAGCTTCCCGTTTTGGCTCCGGCGCCCTGATCTTGCTTGACCGCAACCTTTCATCGTCTCCAGCTGCAATCCTCTTCGCCTGCGCTTCTGAAAATGCAGGCTTTCAGACGGGCCATCCCCGGCCTGCGTAGAGTGCATCGCTCGTATGCAACCGTGTCCGCAGAGTACAAGACGACTAACTGTGAGCAACGGGCTAACCTTATCCTGCTGGAGATTGGCGAATTGATGGCTAACGCAAAGAATAGCGAATCTACGGATCAATGCGGATACAAAAGTCATCTTCCAAGGTTTTACAGGCAAGCAGGGCACCTTTCATGCCCAGCAAGCCATTGAATACGGAACCAAGGTGGTTGGAGGCGTCAACCCGAAGAAGGCAGGACAGCAACATCTAGGCCTCCCAGTCTTCGCCAATGTCGCGGACGCGGTCAAGGAGACTGGCGCTGATGCTTCTGCCATTTTCGTACCGTATGTGCAGACATGAAAATGATGACTTTAGTCATGTGTAATCGCTGATCAAATACGTTCTTAGGCCACCTCTCGCAGCCGCCGGTATTGAAGAAGCTATCAGTGCCGAGATCCCTCTCGTCGTTTGTATCACCGAAGGCATCCCCCAACATGACATGGTTCGCATAACGGATATGTTGAAGACGCAATCCAAGACTCGCCTCGTGGGCCCCAACTGCCCAGGTATCATTGCTCCAGGTCAATGCAAGATTGGCATCATGCCAGGCTTTATCCACAAGCGCGGTCGCATCGGCATTGTATCTCGCTCAGGAACTCTGACCTACGAGGCCGTTAATCAAACCACACAGGCTGGACTTGGGCAGAGTCTGGTTGTTGGAATTGGAGGCGATCCCTTCAGCGGCACCAATTTCATCGATTGCTTGGATGTCTTCGTAAAGGATCCTGAGACGGATGGCATCATAATGATTGGTGAAATTGGAGGTTCTGCTGAAGAGGATGCGGCGGAATGGCTGAAAGAGAACAACACTGGCAAGCCCGTTGTCAGCTTTATCGCAGGTATCTCCGCTCCACCAGGCAGGAGAATGGGTCACGCAGGTATGTACTCTTTGCAGGACCGAGAATCCTTCCGCAGCTAATGTGGCCACAGGTGCTATCATCTCGGGCGGTAAAGGTGGTGCCGAATCCAAGATCGAGGCTCTTACTGCGGCTGGTGTCATTGTCGAACGTAGTCCTGCTGCTTTGGGCAAAGCTCTACACGCCGAATTTGTCAAGAGAGATATGATATAATTTCTCAGGAGCTTGTTGCGCAGAATTGAGAACGGGTTAGACAAGCGCAAAGCAGTGACGTTATCCATAGGACGAGATCGTTGTATGTACGAGTGGATGCGTGTTTTTGTGTATGTTTAAGTATATTCCTTCGTGGCATTAACCCTGAAGGCCGTGAATAGCATGCGAATACGGAAATCACCCATTTGGGGCCATGTCCGTCCAGTACATGAGTGTTCTTCGCAGAAGCTGCAAACTACCACATATGCTGTTTCTTTTGGCCGTGATTCTACATCTGATCATCGTCTAGGAATTGGCAAATCACAGCTACATCTTACTGTCAAAAGCTGTGTTAAGGTAGCACAGCTCTGCTGAGAGCAAAAATGTTCCACTAGTCCACCCAGAGAACCACCGATGTACCCTTTGTCATTGAAAAACGTTTTCTGAATCTGAGAGGCCTGCGTCGCGACAATTACTATCACTTAGTTTCAATGCTTTGAAGAAAACGGGAAGACTGTTCAACGAGATGTACTTGTTCAACACCAACTGTCTAATGATCGTTGTTCTTTTACCATCGAAAGCTTCTTGTACGGATTGGTCTAGCTAGAGCAATTTCTTCTTAAACACTCAGCTTAGATATGATTTCTATACGCATGGCTGATAATCCAAATGTTACTTTAGAACTCACGTGAGCGAACGAATCCTTTCAACATCTGCTAGTAGTTGCATAATATTCTCAACACCAGTTCAAAAAGAAGAAAAAGAAAAGTATCCAAAGTCCATCCTACTGGATCCCATTTGGGAGGGCGTAGGATTCTGGTAAATGTACTTTAGGATGATATACTCGTCTACAACGGGATTTTTACGCTGATCCTGCTGTTTGGGCCACAAATCATGAGCCACAATGACACCGAACGCGTGAACAAATTCCAAATATGCTACTCGAATGAAAAATGGTGCGATTATATTCCGAACAAGGTCCTCACAGGTCGTGGGTATAGCTCGGATATAGATTTTACTTATGTCTCGTAACCGACGAACCGCTCTTTCAGATGAAATACAGAGTGGTAGATACTGGACGAACTGTTCTTCTTACGCGCAAAATATGACGTCCAATGAAGGGCATCATCATAAACAAGACACGTTCAAGTAACGGCAACGTGTCAATATGTGTGCGCGGATGAAAGAGAAAAGAAGAAGCGGAAGGGCCATCTTTGCAAAGACATTTGTGCCAAGGCTTGGCACAAGTGGTTCTCCTCTGCCCTCTGGATTTTCTTGCTTTTCTCAGACCCTTCCAACACCACGTAATCCACAATGTAAGACCTGTGCGGCCTGCTTTAAGCTCTCACGTATAAGTTATACGATCTCAGATCTCTCATCGATCAGTCAATTTCTATCCCAGCCACAGCGGACTGCGAAATGGACACACTTGACGGCTCGGAATTTGATGTCTTGATCGCTGGGACGGGCATACAGCAGTCCCTACTTGCACTGTAAGAGATGATGCACGATTTTGGTTTTCTAAAGCGTAGTCTGACTGACTCAGTCACTAATGAAGAGCCCTCTCGCGGTCGGACAAGAAAATCCTTCATATAGATCATAATGATTACTATGGAGGAACAGAGGCTTCATTTAGTCTGCAAGAGGCCGAGAATTGGGTCATGAGAATAGGAGATCATAGCTCTCAAACTTCCTCATCGTTTAGAAATGCTTCGATTACAAGAGCATCAAACACAGAGGAGAGTTCATCAAAGCTCGCCCCTTCGCGAGCTTACAACCTGGCCCTCGCACCCCAGCTAATTTATACGGATTCGAAGCTGCTTCCATCCCTTGTATCATCAAAAACGTATAGACAGCTTGAGTTTGTGGCCATGGGAAGCTGGTTCGTATACGACCATGATGAGTTTTCTAATACGCCTGCCACGCTGTTGAAGATCCCCACCACTAGAGAAGACCTCGTTTTCTCAGATCAGAGCATCGATATACGCTCAAAGCGTGCGATCATGAAAGTCTTGCGCTTTCTGATGGACTATGAAACCCAAGAAGACGTGTGGCAGCAGTATGCACAGAAGCCCTTCACGGACTTTCTAAGCGAACAATTCAAACTACCAGAACGGTTGCATAGTCTCTTCTTAGCCCTTGTCTTGTCGCTCGATGGACCACAGTACACCTCAACCGCATACGCATTGCCACGGATAGCTAGGCATCTAAGGTCAATAGGTCAGCTTGGCCCGGGTTTCAGCTCCGTCATACCAAAATGGGGTGGTCTATCGGAAATCACGCAGGTTGCTTGCAGGGCTGGAGCGGTTGGCGGAGCCGTTTATGTTTTGAACAAGGGTTTGAGAAACGCTGTCAAAGCCGAATCAGAGACAGAAGGCGAAGACAAGCTCGAAGTGAAATTAAGTGACGATGAGCGGGTCAGAGTTTCCTGGCTCACAGGCACAAACGAACATACAGCCTCTATCTTAACCCTTGCCCCAGATGAAGAGGTCGAGATCACATCTCGACGTTCCGTTTGTGTCATTTCGTCGCCCCTCCCCTCCTTGTTTCCAACTTTAGATGAAGGCGGTCCGCCGCCTGCGGGGGCTGTAATATTCTTTCCATCTGGAAGTCTTTTTGACGAGTCTTCACCTGTATATTTGATCATTCATTCCAGTGAAACGGGCGAATGTCCACAAGGTCAAAGTAAGTGCCAACCCTTTTTGCTATACTTTCTTGCCTGATGACTATTAAAACTGAATACTTATCTACATTGTCTGAAATTCATTGACGATAATGTCCTCTGACAAACTGATGTGCAAGAGCCAATCCCCAACGCTGTTGAAGTAATATTCTATGCAGGGATAAATTGCTAATGGCTTTTCAGGCGTTGCATATGGGTTTACCCGAGGCCCGTTTGAAATTTTGGACATGGCGATGGACCAGCTGCTCGATCTTACCGACGAAGGTGTGCGCCCCTCAGTTCTCTGGTGTCTAAAGTATGAGACTCAGCAATTTTCTTCTAAGCCTCAAATTAAGGATATGGACATACGAGACTGCACAATGGTTTTTACCCCGCCTTCATTAGATCTAGTCTTCGATGAGAATGTTCTCAGCAGTGTTAAGCATGCCTGGCAAAAGATTATGGGCTCTGAGGCAGACGAGCAACACTTTCTAACTTTCGATGACAGAAATCCTATTGGAGAGGAAGATGATTAATAACCAGCTCTTCCTGTTATTTGATGTCTCGAATTAGATTTGTATCCGTGGCACTTCGTTTGATCTTGAGTTCAAGACTTAGGAGTTCGGATGAAAATTTGGCCATGTACGTGCCCTCAGATGCTGCCAAATGCCATACACATTGAACGAATGTAAGATCATGCTTTTTGCGTGCAGGTTGCAGACTTGGCTACATTCGGAGCAAAGCCGGACCGTTCATGCCATATCCCATCGGATTCATACAACCGTTTTCACGTAGCTTGTTCTAACACTATACAAGAATGGCATAGGCGAGAGTAATCGACTCATGGTATGAAGCGTAAGCGGAGACCTTCACGTCAACTTAGTATATATTCAATAGCTCGTACACGCCCTAGTTGCGTCTGACCAACCAAGGGTGTGTGGGAAAAAACTTGCCGTTGACATGCGCGCCCTTAGTTCAGCTTACATCCAATCATTGTCCCGCGTTGCTCACAAAGTCACCAATAGAGCAGCAAGGGCACGGTGTCCACAGCCTTGTGACTTGATTGCGCGCCCTTCCAATGCCAGACAATTATATAGATACTGGGGCACCGTTCTGGTCTCCGACAGGCTTGTATTGTGGCTTCGCTTCGCGATGTGTTTAATGCGAGTGTGACTGAAAACTCACCGCATTCAGCTAGTGGGATCCACGCAGGTTCTCAATTGTAGGGCGTGGGCATAAGAGCACTAGTCCGATGGCTTATTATATCCTAAGCATGACGAGTGTATCGACATGACCTCGGAAATATTGGTAGTCCTCGTTCCTATAAGCATCAGCCTGTTTCCGCCGACTTGACACCCCAAAGTCAGACATCAAACGGGCCTATTCAACGTCAAAATTTCACTTCTTGCTGAGATCTATTACGAGATCGTTCCTATTACCGATCAAGTCAGATCCCTGTGTTCAACATGTCCCAGGCCGCAGACCAGCAAGAAAAGACCACCGCTCGAGTGACGACTTCGAAGCCTTGGGACGCGCAAAGTACACTCAGCAGCGCAGACACGTTGTGCTCCACCACACAGTCCATTCCCACCAAACAGGCGGAAACCAAAAATCCTTCAGTCGCAAAGAAAGCCTGGACGGCTATGAAGAAGCACGCGAAAGAACATCACGAAAGCGTCAACGCTGCCTATGCAGCGTATTACGGCCTGCCTGCGACGAAAAAGCCAGTTACTTGGGAGGCGGACAAGAAGCAAGGGTTATAAAATAGCGGGACCAAACGATATAATACCATAGAGGCGCAAGAGGGGGTTTGAGCACAAAAAGTTTTGCGTCGCTGTTCATAGATCTGCTTTCCTGGAATGATTATGATGGCATAGCGATGTGCTTTGGATCTGGCCTGGCTAAAGTGTTCATACGATTCTTTCGTTTTAATATTATTGTACGTGCCTAGTAAGTCACAAATCAAAAGCGTCTGATTTCCAAAAGGAACACTTTTTCTATCGGCCAAGCACAAGATTGCGGTTGCATATCTGATGATGAGTGAGTGCATCGTTGTTGTTTGATCTATTTCGATACGCCGACTGGGTGAGCTTGAGGACAGTACAGCACCTCGCTCTTGCTCTTCAGGTTCGAGAAGATGTCGAATGGCATGTATTCGAATCACATGTTGAGACGGCCGTTGCACCTTGATGGCCTCACTCTCATATCCCACCCGCTACTTCAACGACCTGCGGCGTAATTCTGAGGTGGCTGAGTAGCTGGCCCTTCGGGGGTGACATATGCCTTTGTCAAGCCTCCGTCGACGACGAAGTCAGTCGCGTTGACAAAACTGCTCTCATCGCTGGCCAAGAAAACTACAGCATGCGCCTGTTCAATAGCCTCGCCAAAACGGCCAGTTGGGAAATGGATCTCTCGACGGTGGCGTTTGGCCTGGTCGTCGCCCAGCCAGTCCTGCAGCAGGGGAGTACTGCACTTGTTATCAGACGCTACAAAGCGAACATGACTGTTGCCAACTTACTTTAGCGGTGCCGGACATAGAGAATTGAAGCGGAAGCCCTCCCTGGCGTGCACGATGGCCAACTCACGTGTCATGGCGAGGACGGCGCCTTTGCTCGCAGTGTAAGCAAGTTGAGGAGTGGCACTGCCAACGAGGGCGACCATGCTTGCGGTGTTGATCACGCTAGCCTTGGTTTTCTTGTGCCGCCGGAAACTGAGCACTGCATGCTTACAACCGAACCATACACCCTTGACGTTGATGTTCATGGTTAAGTCCCAGATCTTCTCTGGAGTTCCGATGGCGTCGTCGTCTTCAGCATGCATGATCCCGGCGTTGTTGAAGATAACATCGAGACCTCCCCAGGAGTCCACATGCTCAACCATCTTGGCCACATCGGCCTCCTTGCTGACGTCTGCGACGAACGTTTCGATCTTGGAAGCAGTGGGAACAATCTCGAGCACCTTTGCTTTGGCCTTGTCGAGAGCTGGGCCAGATATGTCGGCCATCAGCACATTAGCGCCTTCCTTGGCGAAAAGAATTGTGGTTTCCAGTCCAATGCCACTGTCAAAGTCAGCGAAAGCCAGCAAATCCGTGCGTGCGTTTAGAAGGTGTCCAAATCAACGTAGCTTTCGTGCCACATGCACCCAATCATCCAAAAGCCACACTTGTGAGACTTTTACTGCGCTCTTTGCCTCTGCCGCTCAATTTTGGATCTTGCACTTACCCAGCTCCTCCCGTGATGATGGCGTTTTTGCCTGCAAGGCGGCCGCGAGAGGTGGGCTCAGCTGCGTGGCCGTTCATAGTGTTTGAGTTGCTGAATCGTTCTTTTGGCGATATAGTTCCAACTAAGAAAAAAAGATTTCGAAAATCAACACAGAATGCGGTGCGATTTCGAATGAATGACTGGTTACTATTACCCTTTCTGGCCACCGATATCGTCAAAATAAATGTTATGTAATGGCACGGTCAAGTGGCTGCGAAATCTGCGCTGATGAAAGTCTGCGTGACTATGAAGCGGAGACGACGGCAATATCCCACAGCAATTCAGCAACGGTTGACAGGCGGGACTCTGTTCGAAACAACGTTCTGCTGGGCCGTCGTCCTATGTTCCCCTTCGCGTCCTTTATCAGCGCTGGTGTGGTTGGCGACTGATAAGACGCTCCTGGACCTTCAAGGGCGAAAACCCGGCTTCCTCGCGTCCGATGGCCAGATTGAAGCTTCACATGGCTGCGCCGACTGTCGGACTGCAAAGTCCGACAGTCTTGTGCGTCGTTACCGCTCCTTGTCGTCAATTCAGGCGGCGCCGGTTTGCTCATGCCGCCACGGACTTTTCGCCAGCTGGTGCCTAAAAAGGCTTCGTACACCACGCCGAGAAGGGCAGATGAGGAGCTCAGTTCATGCTGGTTTGATCACAATCTCGCAAATCTCACGAGGTGTCTAGCAAGACAAAAGCTTATGAGGTTGGCCGTAGCTGTGGTTCCAAACCCTGCCAAACCATGCTCGCCCCCTTCTGCGACAAGCTGTAAAAGGTGCATTACTTGTTCGGGCATTTCCAGGCGGTGCAATGACGGCGTTGGCGCTCGTCCGAGCTACCTTGGGTCCAATCCCCACTTGCTGATCAGCGAGCTTTCATTCTCCCAGCCTCGTGTGCACACTTCGCGAGTCTGTACCTCATATTCGACACTTTGTGATTCAAACCTTTTCTGAATTGATTTTTTTTTTTGGAAAAAAAAAGAATAGATTACTTGAGCTTCAGCAGGACTTCTGAGCGACCATTCAAGGCTTGAACCCCGCGGTCATTCCAATTGTAACCCTGTGGCGTAGATCCTGGGTCTCTTATCTCCCCTCACCTCACACACGAGGATTCTCAAGCAGTCCACAATTGACACACGACCAGCTCATATCATGGCTAAACGAGAGGAAATCACCGCGGAAAACCTACCGGACATCCTCAGAGAAGATGCGAGTGTTAAAGTTGCCGGACTTGATGTGGACGGGGTACTGAGAGGCAAGCTTATGGCAAAAAAGAAGTTTCTTTCAATCGCAAGAGACGGATTTGGTTTCTGCTCGGTCATCTTTGGCTGGGATATGCATGATATGACCTATATAAGAGAACTGAAGATAAGTAATAAAGAAAACGGGTACCGCGACCTCATTGCCAAAGTAGATCTCACGTCGTTCCGACGGATACCATGGGAGAACAACATCCCTTTCTTTCTAGTTAGCTTCTACGACCCGGATACTGGCAAGTCGATAAGCGCATGTCCTCGCTCTTTTTTGAACAGGGCAGTGGCAAGGCTGGCGGATAAGGGCTATGGTGCGATGGCAGGAGGCATGTACAGTGAACCTTTTTTTTGGCTTCTTCAGAGCAGAATTGGCTAACAGCTCGTAGCCGAGTATGAGTTCTACAACTTTCGATCACCTCAAAATCCTCATAGCGCCGAGCGAAACTCCTCGTCGACCGCCACATTTCTTCAGGAAAATCCGTCGCACCAACTACCTTCCCTTACGGAGGGCATGACTGGGTATAGCATTACGAGGCCTGTTCATAATCAAGATTGGTACTATGGCATATTCAATACCTGCGAAGCGTTTCGTTGTGGTATCGAGGGCTGGCATACCGAATCAGGTCCTGGTGTCTTTGAGGCGGTGAGTTGGCCAGGAAAGGTTGTGTTGTAAGATGAGCTGCTAATGCATGATTAGGCATTGGAATTCGACGAAATAAGAGAGATGGCGGACAAAGCATCGTTATTCAAGTACGCAAAGTTTTGGCAGAGGCACGGCATAGTCGCACTAACAGACAATGTAGATTGGCTGTTAAATCCGTATCGAGCAAGTACGGGATCACTCCATGTTTTATGGCGAAACCTCGTGCTGGACTACCTGGAAACTCGGGCCACATGCACATATCAGTCGTTGACAAAGCTGGAAAAAATCTTTTCGTACGCAGCTCAGAAGATAAGGACGCTCCGTATGAGGATCTCAAGTGGATATCAGATCTCGGCAGGCAGTTTCTGGCCGGATTAATTGATGGTCTACCAGACATCATGCCCATATTAGCACCCACGATAAATTCATACAAGCGCCTAGTGGAGAACTTTTGGGCACCTGTGACTGTCTCCTGGGGCCTAGAACACCGAGCAGCCTCAATACGGCTGATTGCCCCACCCTCTGCCAGCGCAAAGAGCACAAGATTCGAAGTCAGAGTGCCGGGCGCAGATACGAATCCCCATCTTGTACTTGGTGCAATACTAGCTCTCGGGTGGCGGGGAGTAGAAAAGAAACTCGAGGTGAAGCTCCCTCCACTTGGCAAAGGAGAAGATGTCGGTGGCGCGAGTGATAAGGGTCTTCGACTGGCGAAGAGCTTAAAAGAAGCCACGGACCGCTTCATGGCTGAGAATAGCGTCGCAAGAGAAGTGTTTGGCGATGAGTTCGTCGACCATTTTGGTGGAACGAGAGAGCATGAGATACGGCTATGGGATGAGGCTGTAACTGATTGGTAAGTTGGCTGTCTTTAAGCGGATCTCGCCCCGTCAGCTAATCAACATTAGGGAGGTTAAGCGGTATATCGAGATGGTATAGTTCGCGTTCCATAATTAGGGCTAATTGCATGTGCTTGTACAATTACAGCCTAAGAGCAAGCTGTTCGAATCAAGATCTTGTTTCCCTAATCTTTTCATCTTGAATAACTTCTTCTCATTCTATTTTGTCTATCCTGATGTTCAAAACGTTTTCTGAACAAAGACTCCTTCAATTCGAATTTGCTTCTGCGAATACTAGCTCTACGCTGAATCAAACGTGGAGAAGTCACATTACATATTGCCTCATCTCTAAATTTTGAACTAGGAATCTTTCCAGGCAAATACCCCCTAGCTTTTTCTACGGTGTGAGTATGTAGCATCTGTCCCAATGACTGGGGCTTGTGCTTCTGGTGAACGAAGTGCGTGCTGTGTTCAACGCAGCCCGTTCTCAAAGTTTCATATCCTGGATCTTAACGGCCGACCTAGTGCCTGCCCCTCATGAGGTCATGGTAAAGCTTCGTTGACAGCTCAGCTTGACACAATAAAAAAGCTCAGAAAATAATTCGTCGACCTTGCATACAAATTACATTTAGTAGCTGGATGCTTCCGCTAAGAAATATTTGTCGTCGGGGATCTAGTCAAGTTTTTCTCAAACTTTCAATTACAACACCGAGCGTTTCCAGTCTCAGTCCAAGATCCACACGATTGATATCTTCTCCGAAGCAAGCAAATTGCAACATGTCTCTACACTCTGCCGCCTGCTGCTCCGTGCCGCCTGTTGTTAGCAAAGACTATGCACAAAAGGGCAAGTACGAGACCGTCGACGGCCTGAAGACGTACGTTACTGGCCCATCCGACGCAAAGAAGGCCATCCTCGTCATTTTCGACATCTTCGGCTTCTTCCCGCAGACTATTCAGGGAGCGGATATCTTAGCATATGGGGACAAAGAGAATCAACGTCAAGTCTTCATGCCTGACTGGTTTGAGGGCAGCCCGGCTGACATCTCCTGGTACCCACCAGACACCAAGGAGAAGGGCGAAAAGCTTGGAGCATTCTTCAAAAATGAAGCTGCTCCCCCAAAGACATTGGTACGTTACTCTTCAATGTATTTTGCATGGCTGACTAGTGGCTAATTTGAGTTTCTAGGCGAGGATTCCCAAAGTAATCGAGAGCCTCAAAGGGTTAACAAGTGCAACTGAGTGGGGAATTGTAGGCTACTGCTGGGGAGGCAAGATTGTGAATTTGGCCAGTCAAGAAGGCACTTTGTTCAAGGCTGCAGCCGCGTGTCACCCAGCTATGACTGATCCAGCCGACGCCCCGAAGGTGGCCATTCCAATTGCAGTTCTTCCGAGCATGGACGAGGACAAAGACGCGGTAGGAAAGTATGAAGCAGCTCTCAAAGTTCCGCATATCGTCGAATGGTTCCCCACTCAAGTCCATGGTTGGATGGCTGCACGGTAAGTTGTCGTTGTGGTCTCGAGATATTCTACCGACTAATCAATGTAGATCGAATCTTGAAGACGCCGAAGTCAAGAAGGAGTACGAGCGTGGATACAAGACGCTGCTCGACTTTTTCCACCAGTATTTGTAGGTGATGTGACAACAGAAACAATGGTCGAAAACACAAAGAATACGCGAAGCCGAGATGGCTCAAGCAACATATCCTTGTTTCTACCGAAAGTTTTTGTTAAAGCTTTTACTCTCATTTGAGACGGTTCGATCTTTACCATAACATCTGAGAAACACTTGCGGATATGTTGCGTACAGATAGCACACTCAAATTTTTGATCAATGGAGTTTTACTTCCGCCTCAAAACACGGCACGTTTAATGTCTGTGCATGGCATTTCATTCCGCGGTCTTTGAAGGCTCCTGTTGCTGCATTTCAAACATGTGATCACTCTTAACAGGCATCCACCTCCAGTGAATGTACTCTGAAATTCGTCGTATCACCACAACCCAGTCGCATCTTTCACCTCATCTGCCTCAACTATTTTGATGTGGAAGGAAGTGATCCCCCATTTTTGGCACATTTACCATTAAAGTCTTCAAAGTCGTTCCCCTTCGAGCTCCATCTACAGACCCTCCCCACAGCTTTAATCCAGCAAAGCCGACAGCGTAAAATACACTGTGAATGATGACGTAAAATGGCAAGACTCTGAAGGGAGTTTAGACATAAATTCCAGCGCTGGGCTATCACAACAACACGTCAGCTATTTGTAATCACGAGGAAAACAAACAGGTGGTGTGATGCAAGATTGCGTAATCACGTAGCTAAAGAGCCCAACTCTACCGCGGACGGATTGTACCAAGACCCTCAAGACACGCAGTATATCCCTATACGAGGATGGCGATTTAGAGACTGCGCATATCCTCCGATATACTTCGCGCTGGTCTACAGTTCTTGAAGACCTTTGTCTTTTGCAAAAGCACAGCACAGCACAGCCTGGTTCAAGGGTAATTGTGTCATTTTCAGAGTGTGGAATCCGTGCGGTGTGTGAATATCATTCTTTGACTTCTTGGGATGATATCCGAACGTTTTATTTTACGCTAAATCGACAAGAACAACGCAAAGCATATCCAGATTGGGTCGTCAATGGCGTTCAAAGTCTACTAATATAGAGATGAATTTGAGGCTCCCGTATTTGCCTGAGCGAGATGGCGCAAGTCAGATGCCGGTGATCGACAACAAGCTCAACGAAACCGTGAAAGACGAAGCTTGAATCTCCCTTCTGTCAAGATGGCTGTAACTCGATTTGAGAGATTGATCGTGGAAGCGAAGCTTGCATGTTTTCAGGGCTATGTTCAAGTAGCTTGGTCGCTTCAATGATCCGAAACGAGAGTTCAAGGTCTTTCAAAAGCATTTGGGAGATGAGCGCAGCGCGAATATGTCCATTTAGGTTTTTAACTTGCTCCATGAATGAGACTGGTATCAATAGACGTCACTGAAATGAACTGGCCTCATTCCTCTCTTCTCAAGTTTGGTCGACGCTGGAATGGATGAGCGGACCTCGCCAGACGCGTTCAGGTCTTGAGAACTGTCCGCATTTTTGAGGCCCTTGGCTAATGAAGATGGCAGGCGAAATAAAGCTCAAAATCTGCGCGCGATACTAGATTCGGAACTGTGCAAAGTAATTTCTTTATATTTGATCCCTTATCTCATCCTATCTGCATATCGATAGGAGTGTCTCCTGGCGCATCGGTTTGCACCTAGCAATGTTTAACAGGAAACTCGTTTTCGTCTCGTTTAGGTGTGTTTTTTTTTTCTTTCTTCAAAGTTTTGACAAAACGGCGTCGGCACTTGACACGGTGACTTGGCCTGGCCCTTTCTCGACTGTCTCAACAATCAGAACACGCGCGCATCAACATGTCACAGTTTTTCCTACTCACCATCTGCGTACTTGATAGTGCCGTCTTTGTCGATGATCATGGCCCACCGTCCGTTGCGGTCACCCATGCCGGCGTCCCAGCCGTAATTTTTCGAAAAGAATGTCTTGGTGTCGCTAAGGAACAGAATTTCGTCACCCTTGACGTGATTGACCTTTCCCCAAGCATTCATGACCCACGCGTCATTTGAGGCAATGACAGCAACAATGTCGACTCCTTTGGCTCGGAGTTCCGGCAGCTTCTGGATGTAAGGCGGGAGATGTAGCGCCTGACAACCTGGCGTGAACGCTCCCGGGACAGACACGAGCACAACCTTCTTGCCTGCCCAATTCTTACTGGCATCGTATTCTTGTGGCTGTTCCTGATTAGTGATCACGAATGAGATCAACAAGAGCTGCTGACATACGCGGCCACATTTCGTAGGGTCGTCATCCACAATAGGCACCCAGCTGCGATGTTTATGTAAGTACCCTTGCTTTGGAAAAAGTTCGGAGCTGCGCGTATGCGCGAATGGTGGTGGAAGAGCTTACTCAAACTTAACATCGTCTGGGAATTTGTCACCAGGTTGGAGGGGAGCCATTGTCACTGTCAATTATCGTATCTTCTTTCTCAAGGCGAACAAAATGATCAAAATTTTGAGACTAGAATAGCCCAATACCAGAGTTGGGAAGATCTCGGAGCTCTTGTTCTTATAAGCTGGGCAGGTTGTGAGAGAAAGAGAGCCGAGGGGCAGAAAGGAGGGGCAACGAATAAATGCATGCGATGCAAAGATGAACCCTGGTGGACGTGTCCTCCAGCTATGACGGCAATCAACAAACGAACCGTCTCTGCATTGGATTCGAGAACCTTGAGTCTGATTAAGCGGTTTTCTAATTGCCCCACGAAGCGATGCATCGTTGCCGTAGTCCGCTCCCATGATCCCTGTCGTATAGCTTCATGTGCCTGCATCATAGCTCTCAGCTGGTCCCGCATCTTCCGGATTCGCTCGTGATCCTGCTTACGCTGATGTCTTAAAGATTCAGCTCCGCAGTTGAATAAGTTTACACTACCGATTCTCTCAGAGGCCCGTCCACAGATTGCACACGTCGACGTGGTGATTCTGGAGTCAATCGCTACAGTCATGTCCCTTGCTCCCCCATTTACCGAAGAAACGGCACGCCTAAAAGTGAAAAAGGCCCAAGACTTATGGAATACCCGGTTAGAATGATTATGACTACGCATTTCCTAATCTGACACCTGGTGCAGAAATCCAGAGGCGGTCGCCAAAGCCTACACTGAAGACTGCATCTGGCGCAACCGGACCACGTTCATCAAAGGAACCGACGAGATTATTGCCTTCTTGACGAAGAAATGGCAGCGAGAGATTGACTATCGCTTGCGCAAAGAGCTCTTTGCCTTCACAGACAACAAGATTGCGGTGCAATTTTGGTATGAATATCGGGATGCAGACGACGGCAATGCTTGGAAGCGATGTTATGGGCTCGAAGATTGGACGTTCGCTGAGGACGGGAGAATGAAAAAGAGGCAGATGTCTGGCAACGACCTTAATCTCGGTGTTGGTGAGCGGTGGTTCGTTGACGGGGTTGATGTAAATGAAGTCGACATCAGCGAGAAACACTGGTAGACAGCGGCGCTCCGTTGTCCAAAAACAAGGCCTCAATGCGTGTATTCGTGTGGCTCGACCGTTCAACGTTTGCTCAAGCGGGTGGCGTGTCGTGTATAGCAACTAGCAAGTATTTTGGACCTATCTCAGTTTAGCAATCGAGAAAACATCAACCTCTCCATGTGGAGGACGTACTAGGTACAATTACCAGCTCGTTCTTCCGGGTGCGTACTCGCAGCAGTCGAACGTCTTCGTCTTTGTCCAGGCCTTCAACAAGAGTGCCAGCCGCGTCCACAAATTTGAAGACTAGTCGGGCCACGTCTTCAGCACTGTGCATGCCACCTTCTGATCTGCCATTGGCATATCCCTCGGTATCGTCGGAGGACGCTGGCAATGTGCTGTTGGGATTCGCGGAGCTTGATTTTGAGATCAGCCCGGAGGTCCGAACAATGGCTCCAGTTTGACGAGTGAGTAGCAAAGTACTCTGAACGCCGGGCTTTTGGCTCAGGCGTGTCAACTGCGCGAGTGTCTCCTCAGGCTACTCAACTGGTAAGGACGTGTAGTAGGGGCTTTTGTGCTTGAGTGAAAACTTACTGCAGTCTCTGCCATGTTTGTGACTGTTGATAGGTTTGAAGAGCTAAAAAATGTCCTCGACCCGATCTATCGTTCCAGGGGAAAACACGCTCACTATTTTGCTTGATGGCTTGGGTTTTGCAAAAGGGTTGCGAACATATCTGGAATCGCGCTCGAAGGCCTCAACTGACAAGGAGCGGGCCGAATTAATCACGTGGAGTACATAACACAACGTCTAGGTCAAGTGGTAGAATTTAAAAGGCAGCAATGTGACTCGGACTTGCAATAAAACAAGGATTCTCATTCTGTTGCCGAAAATCTTCACATTCTCAAGTTTTTGGGGCATGTTTCTATCACCCTGACACGCAGTCTCTCTCCATAAGCTCTGCTCCAGACTAATTCCACAAAGCCTAAATCTGAACAAGTAATTTCTGAACGGTGGTCTGCAAGAAGCAACTTGATTTATGGCCCATATGTTGTTTTTATGTAATTCCTAACTCTGTTTTCCTCCGTATAGCTTGGAGAATTAATTTCTTCGCTCTCTCCATCCTTTCTCAAGTTCGTAGTGAAGGAGTACGTGGTTATCAAGCGCTAGTCACGCATAGGCCAAACCAACACGATGGTGGCTTTTAAGTAGAGTTTATCTACGTTTCGGTAAGAGCTCCTTTTCTATAGAGATGTTGGAGGAAGAGTTTAGCAGAGAGTGAAAAGTGTTTGTACTTGGACTAGACCAGAAGGGGTTGGCGATCACGTGGTTATGTCGTGTCATTCCTGATCGCGCGAGCACACAAATCTTCATCATATGGGCCCTATAATGGAGTTTCCCGAGGATCTTAGCCTTGAAGATGGCATACCGACGGTTCTTGTCCTCATCATAATTGCTCTAGTCTCAATCTATGCGTTCACGAGATTGTTTACCGACCCTGAAGGACCTGTCGACTTTGATGTTCCCGAACCGGAACAACTCCGTCAGGACTGGAAAGGAGATGTTCTTGACCAGCCATCGATCAAAGTAGGTTTTTGAACTTGAAAGGACTTAGGACGAAATTGACGACCTGTAGGTTCCTGGGTCGTCTGTGATCCAATGCTACAATCCTGCCACTGGTGAACGTCTGGGACTTGTGAATCCTGTCACCCAAAACGGGATAGACAGAGCAATCTCGCTAGCGAGCGAAGCTCAGAAAGGATGGGCCGGATCCTCTTTTACGCAGAGACGGCGCGTCCTCAAGACGATGCTGAAGTTCATCCTCGACAATCAAGAGTCAATCGCTCGCGCCGCATGTCTGGACTCGGGCAAGACAAGGGTAGATGCTAGCTTCGGCGAGATTTTAGTGACTGTCGAGAAGCTGAAATGGACCATCGATCATGGGGAAAAGGCCCTCCGTCCTGAGAAGCGTCCAACGAATTTGCTGATGATGTACAAGTACAACGAGGTACGCTGGGAGCCTCTTGGCGTCGTAGCCGCCATCGTGAGCTGGAACTATCCCTTCCACAATCTATTCGGACCAATCATCTCTGGAATTTTCTCCGGAAATGCAGTCGTTGTGAAAGGTTCCGAACAGACTGCTTGGTCCGCACAGTACTTTGCGTCAATTGCACGTGGGGCGCTGAAGGCATGTGGACACGAACCCAACTTGGTCCAGTCCATCGTCTGCTGGCCATCTGTTGCCCCTTACCTCAACCAGCACCCGGGTATATCCCATCTTACGTTTATTGGCTCAAGGGAGGTGGCGTTGAAGGTTGCCGCATCTGCAGCTAAGTCGCTTACACAGACTTGCATGGAACTAGGTGGGAAAGATGCGAGCATTCTGCTTGACGACGTCAAAGATATCGACCGCGTTGTTTCTACCCTCATCCGCGGAACATTTCAAGCCGCCGGTCAGAACTGCATCGGGATCGAAAGAATCATCTGTCTACCCAAGATCTACGAGATAATCGTTCCTCGACTAACGTCGATCATTGAACAGCTACGACCAGGTTCAGCGCTGAACCTGACTTCGGCAAAGGATGTTGTCGATGTGGGCGCCTCGATCTCGTCCGCGAATTTCGACCGCTTGGAACAGCTCATCACGGATGCGATCAGACAAGGAGCCAAACTTCTCGTCGGTGGGCAACGCTATATCCATCCTGACTTTCCCAGAGGCCATTACTTTGCTCCCACTTTACTCGTCGATGTAACTCCATCTATGGCAATTGCAAGGGAAGAACTATTTGCCCCAATTTGCGTCGTTATGCGAGCGGCCACAATATCCGAGGCTGTCAGCATTGCAAACGGCACCTCATACGGTCTCGGCGGCTCGGTATTTGGCTCAGACAGCAAGGATTTGGAGCGGGTGACCCGCCAACTGAAGTGTGGCATGGTTGCGGTCAATGACTTCGCAGCATACTACGCGGTGCAGCTGCCATTTGGCGGTGTTAAGGGCAGCGGCTATGGCCGCTTTGCTGGCGAGGAAGGGCTGAGGAATCTATGTGCGCAAAAGTCGGTTTGCAGGGACCGATTTCCGTGGTTGATGAAGACATCCATCCCGCCGCCGCTGAGGCTGCCTCTGAAAAACGAAGCACGGGCTTGGGAGTTTTGTAAAGGCATTGTCGAATTCGGCTACGGGGAGACGCTTCGCAGGAAGCTTCGCGGCATTCGAAGACTCGCGGGCATTTGATCCGCTACAGTCCTTTCATAACAAGTCATGCTCAGAAGCAGCGCTTTTTGTTGTAGATCAACGTAAGTTTGTTTTATGCATATTTACAGTCGATAACCCTAATCTACTGCACCCTACTGCTGATCAGATCGATCCTCTCTTCGCGATGCCAGACGATCATGCCGGTGGATTTTCTCTTTATTGACCTGATCCGGTGCATCGGGACAAAGGTCTCTTCCGTGCTCTCCGTCGTCCACGAGTCGACGGGACTTTCCATCAGCCCTTCGTGACGGTCTTCGTAAACAACTACGTAATCGGTGCTGTCGAAAGCGTGATCCCACTTCAGGCGGTTCAATATCGCAGCGGCGGGGGTCAGCTTCTTCGTGCCCGGAGAGGGGGAGCGGCGAGCAGCGGCCTCGGCGGCTGAGCTCCCAGCTCTCACGGGTGCTGGCTTCCCAGTAACGGCATGTGCAATGCCAGTGTCCTCGCGTGCGTTGTGAGATGCGCTGAGGATCATGATCTGTCCATCGAGCAGCTGCGGACACATCCAAATGTCTACGGCCAGGAGACCCAGGTCCTCCTTCGCAACAAGGTGGGTCGACAGACAAGGCGCTGGAAGGTAGTCTACGAACACGGTGCTCATACGGACGTCTGCGCGCCACGAGTGCAGCAAGCCCTCCACGCTGTCGCGCTCAAGGTCTCCCCGAATTCCGAGCAGATAGGTGCCCCGGTCCTGGCCCGCCTGCCGTGAAATCGACGCGTCGGCCTCGCACGTGGTGAGCAAAGTCGGCCAAAGCCAGACCTCTGCGGTCCCGCCGGCCTTCGAAACGATCGTCTCGCACAGTGCTTGAGTCTGCTGCCGAATCGTGTCCGCAAACTGGTGCGGGTTCTCGTCGTCCAGCTGCTTGCAGCTGAAGTCGACCCGAACAAACGTCTCGAACCGCTCTAGGAACGCGTTAAGGCGGTCTCGGGTGTCTGGAGCCGCCATGGCGTTGAAGCCTTTCTCGTCCTTAAGCGCAGCCCTGTTTGACGAATCCTTCGGAAAAGAAATAATTTTTCAAATCCAAAAAAAATAAAATTATAGACTGAAGGGACAGAGCGTCGAGATTCAAGCCTTGGGTAGATTCGAATGCAAGAACTAACCAGAATGGTATATGGACAGAAATGAAACTCGAAAATTTTCTTTCCCTCTTGTGAACGAATTGAGGAATGCCTTCTTGAGAACGAATGGCCTTTTTTTTTTCTTGTCGTGTCGTTGAAGGCGAACTTTGCTACGACCAAGTGTGGCATCTTTTATAGCGTAAAGCTTGTGTGCGTTGGAATGGCTACAGCGTGTATGTGCACTGCCGTGTAGGGCTTGCAGCGAATGCTTCGCCCCAAATTGACTTCGACTCACAGCACACGAACTGGTCTCCCAGCCTCTGCGCCGTCCAGTCATGTTCTGCGTGCCACGGTGACGAAAAGAGTCACCTTGTGCAAAAAATCACAGTCACGTTCGAAAGCCACGAACAAAAATCGCGATGCACAAACACGCACACGCACAGAGTTGCGCCACACAGATGCTACAGCCTCCTCGACCAGGTCTTCCGAACTTAGCGATATTGGGGGACGCACTCCTGCAACGACACGACCGGGCTCCAACGTGGACTGTTTCGCTGCAAGGGCGTTCTGATGACTCCCCGAATGATTTCTGCGACAGGGTGCCTGGAAGGACTTTCGAATGGTCTGGAAGGCTGTGTGTGAGGAAAAACAAAATCAGGGATGCACAACATGAGTCTCAGAGTGATGGCCGGGATGTTTTGGATGCTGCTCCACGCCAGAACATAACCTACAAGTACATTACGGCTAAACGCGTGGCTACCGCGGTCGTGATAGGGTCCATGAGAAAAGAATCAGCGTCAGGAGGTTTTGGACATCCAGGCGGTACTCCTCCATTAGCGCTGGGCGACATCCCGGCACCGACGAAGTGCGTCCCCCCTCGCGGCGTGAGGAGGCTCTGCGCATCGTCATCACCATCGTGATTGGAAATGGGAAGGGCGCCAGGCCATGTGGAGGTTTCCTGCGTTCGGCGAACAGGACGGGCGGGTCGACCTGATGGGGCCGCGCAAGATGCACGACAGTGCTAGGAACGGGTTAGCATGGGCGGAGCGCTTTGGGCGTCTGGCTGCTCCCGCAGCAGCGGCGGCCGTGTGGAGTCGAGGCGCGTGTTGGTCGCACGTCTGTGCTGATCCTCGGCTAAGGTCGGGGAGCGAGGGCGTCTTGCAGCTTAAGGACCGATGCAGACAGGAGGGCCGACAGGGAGAATGTACAGCCGTTGACGGAGAGTGTTTCCCCTGGGTGCTGGAGTTGCGAAGGAAGGCAGGGAGTCGACGGCGACGCGGAGGACGGGAGCAGAAACGCCGTGGGCAGAGCAGCGCCCGGAGGAAGCGCAGCACGGCTCTGGCCTGGGCCTGCATCTGCATGACGTTGGGCTAAAGTCGCAATCTAGCGATCGTGGTGATTTGCAATCCCGCTGGTGTCGATGATGGGAATGAAAATAAAAACAGGGACAATCATGATGACGATGGTGACGATGATGATGATGATGATGCCAAAGCTCCAAGCGAAGCAACGGCGCCCGCACGAGTACCGCTCTGTCACCAGGATTTTGCGGGCGCACAAGCTCTGCTAACTTTGCTGCCGCTGCCAGTCTGCACATGCCCGTACACAACCGCAGCCTGTGGCATCACCATCGTCTTCCATCCTCATCCCCCTTGCCGTTCTCCTGATCGTCTCAATTCCCCGTCGTCGTCGTCGTCGTCATCACCATCACGACGATCACCCTCCCGCCAGCACCCACTCCAGGTCGGCTGCGACTGCTACTGCTGCCACTCCTACGCTCCAAGTCTAGGCCAGGCGTATCCACTCTCAAAGCAGCCAAAGAGCAATCAAACAAAGACGCCATCAAACAGCGGCGCCGGCCAGCGAAATCGTGCTTTGGGAAACGTGCTTGACAAATACAATCTGCGCAGGCAGCCCACCCCACTGGCACGCTCACACACACACACACCCACACAAACACACACGCACGTACGCGCGAACGCACATCCGTCCATACATACATACATACGTACATACGCCGTACAGACATCCATATGCACTCGCAGCCACGCACAGAACAGATTCGGGCGCAGGTGGGCTGTTCGGACAGCGGGCAGAACTAGGCTCAAGCAGGCAAGCTTCTGGAAGATTGGCCACGAGCATCAGGCGCGCACACGGTCCAGACGGCGCCCACGACTCTCCATCATCATTCAATTCATCCATCGCCCATGTTCCTCAAACACGCCCCTGCGTCAAATCTCGTCCTCGCCCTCCGGCTGCCAGAGATCTGATCTCACTCTACCGTACCACCATCCGCCTCTTTTTTTTTCTTTTTGCTTCTTGCATCCCACCACCACCTCCACCACCTCCTCCATCATCCCACCTTGTAATTGCCTCTCCCTCCGCTTCTCCCCTCCCGTTCCCGCGCACACCCTTCCCCACCTAGACACACACGCACGCACACAATCTCTCTCTCTGTCTCTCTCTCGCGCGCTCGCTTCGTTACACGTCTCTCTCGGTCTGATTGCTTTGATTTCAATCCCGCAAGCTCATACACGTCGTCCAGGACATGATAAGGTTCCGCGTCCAGCACCGACTCCTTAGCCTTCGTCCACGCCTGACAAGCCGCTGCTAGGAGCTCTGTTTTCTCTTGTACTTGCAACGTTCGGGGCTATGGTCCGATTAATTTAACTGTTGATATTGTTGTGGTTGCTGCTCCGAGCTCACACTCATCGAGATCGCTCACACGACCCCTCCGCGCCCGCCAGACAGGTCGCTTTTTTGGCCACACGTACACTCACCTTTTGCTTATACCTCAAACTCCATACGCCCGTACAGCTCTGGTGCCGCCTCATCTCAGACAGAAATGCGCCGCTACAGCAGGCCTGGTGCCGGCGGCACAATGCACGCCCACAAGACGAACGGCGCTGCGATACCTGATCCCATCTCCTTGATCCGGTCCTACGACTCCGAAACCATCCTCTCGCGCCCGGTTCGCCCGTCTCCTCTCTCGGCCTCCAACATTCAAGGCCTTCCGCTCGATCTGATCGAGAGGCTACGCTCATTTCCTCTTTTCCAGTCGGCGCCAGACTCCTTTCTCGCTGAGATCGGATCGCACCTGCGACCCCAGCTATATTCCGCTCACGACTACATCCTTACAGAAGGCGACGAGGCAAAAGCCATGTACTGGCTCGTGAGAGGCTCCTTGCGCGTAACCTCCAGAGATGGCGAGAGTACGTACGCCGAGCTGAAGCCCGGCGCTTTCTTTGGCGAGATCGGTATTCTCATGGACATACCGCGCACCGCCACCATCATAGCGAAGCTAAAGTCCCTGGTCGTTCGCCTTAACAAGGAGGACCTGCAAAAAGTGCTTCCCAACTACCCGGACGTCGAGCGCGCCATCCGAGACGAGGCGCAAGAACGACTGACGATTCTCGAGAGGAAGAAAAAGGAGAGCGGCCAGACAATGTCGACAAGGCCGACAAAGTCGAGCAAACGGCCGCGATCGGATGGAGACGTCATCATGGGAGAAGCAGGCATATTGAGAGATGGCCAGATCATCAGCTCCAAAAAGCGCAAGTCTCCAAGCCCGAGTTTGGCCGACACGGTGCAGACGAGCGGCATGGGCAGTGGCTCCTTCAACGTGCGACACCTGCTGAAGGAGCTCCCGCTGTTTGCCTCGTTGCCCCCAGAAATCCTTCACTTTATCGGCATGAATGCGCAACCAAGGACTTTCCCTCCATTCACAGACATCATCAAACAAGGCTCGACCGGTCGAGACGTCTTCTTCATCGTGCGAGGCGAGGTCGAGGTCATCAACGACATGCCCATCAAGCTCAACGGAAACCTGAGTTCCGGCGACAAATCTCGCGTTGGCTCCATCGTCAAGGCTCGGCTTAAAGCTGGTCAGTACTTTGGCGAGGTCGTCAGTTTGTCTCTGGCAAAGCGCCGGACCGCAACGGTCCGTTCCGTCTCGTCCGTCGAATGTCTCATGATCAGCGGTAGCGTTCTCGACGAACTTTGGGACAAATGCGGGCCGGAGCTACGTCGACAGGTTGAGAGGACCGCCAGGGACAGGCTTGAAACCGCGCGACAGGGTGTGGACGGCGACGTGTTCATGTCGGACGCGGACAACACACCCGCTCTGTCTCGGCTTGATCTCGACGACAGATCGCCCAAGTCCCCTGGCGAGAAGGTCCCCAAGGTTACCTTTGCCTCAACCGACAACAAGCTTGACCGTATCGAGGAGGTGCCGGCCGTCGAATCTGTGGACCCCGATCCGTATCTCAACGTGGATCTGGAAAACGTTAGGTCACGGTCGCGTCGAGGTTCGCTCGCACCCCCATCGCCATCGAATGGTTCCCCTCCAACAGAGTCTCCTGGAACGACCACGCCTCGGTCGCCCCACAGGTCGAACAGCATCAGCAGATCCTCCTGGCCCACGTCTTTAAAGTCCGAGCCAGCGTCTCCGATCCGCAGACTGTTTGCCCCGAAACGCAACAAACTGGCCAGGCTGCGCAGCCAAGACACTGTTGGTATTTTCCCTGAAAAAGTTCTGATTAATATTTTCGAACATCTCGACATATACGAATTAATGAAGCTACGAGCGGTCTCACATTACTGGAAGAATCTTCTCACGAACAATCCCAATGTCCTTCGTAATCTGGATCTACGACCTTATAATCGCTACGTGACGGACGAGGTTCTGATCAGCATCATCTGCCCGTTTGTGGGAGCGCGGCCGCAGCATGTTGACATCAGCAACTGTTTTCATGTGACGGACGAGGGATTCGCGACTCTGGCATCCACGTGCGCTGCGAACATCAAAAGTTGGAAGATGAAAAGTGTTTGGGATATTACCGGCCAGGCTGTTCTTGACATGGTGAACGAGGCAAAGAATTTGGAGGAGATCGATCTTAGCAACTGCCGCAAGGTTGGCGATAACCTGCTTGCAAGAGTGATTGGGTGGGTTGTGCCAGAGATTCTCCCCAGCGTAGGTCCCCAGAATCAGCAGCAACTGAGCAATCGCAAGATGGGACAGAAGAACATGACGGGAAATCAGCCTCAGAATCAGCCGGCTCCGGGCACGGTCATCGGCTGTCCACGACTGAAGCGCTTGACGCTTTCTTACTGCAAGCATATCACCGACCGCTCTATGGCACATATCGCTGTTCACGCATCCTCGCGGTTGGAAGAAATGGACCTCACTCGGTGCACAACGATTACAGACGGTGGTTTCCAGCACTGGAGCATCTATCCGTTTCCACGCCTTCGGAAACTGGTTCTCGCAGACTGCACATATCTGACCGATCACGCTATTGTATGTCTGGCCAATGCAGCAAAAGCTCTCAAGGAGTTGGACCTCGTGAGTGAACTCGTACATACATTAACGGTCTTCTGGTTATTGACGAAACAGTACAGTCCTTTTGCTGCGCACTCTCTGACACCGCTACCGAGGTTATCGCCCTTGGTTGTCCAAACCTGACCCATCTCAACATGGCTTTCTGCGGCTCGGCTGTGTCTGACGGATCACTCCGCTCAATCGGCCTTCATCTCCTTGAACTTCGGGCCCTTTGTGTTCGGGGCTGTGTCCGTGTTACTGGGATGGGCGTCGAGGCAGTCGTGGACGGTTGCAGCAAGTTAGAGCACTTCGACGTCTCACAATGCCGGAACCTGCAACAGTGGGTTGAAGAAGGCGGAGTGCAGCGCGTCAATAACCAAATTGCTCTCGGCATCGCGCCTGGTACGGCGGGACGAAGAGATGTCCCGATCAAGTTTGATGTGGTGGCAGATGGATCATGGAGAAGCGGTCGCTGAGGTTTTTTTTTTTTTCTTTTTTTTTTTTTTAAAAAAAAAAAACCCACCGTCACACGGACTGTATACACGCCTGTCGCTACGAGCCTACAGCTGAGATGATGACTTAATGACTTAATGAGGGAGTTTGCCATGAGTGCAAACCACCGCACAGCTGACTTGTAACTTTCCTTTGTCAAAAAAAATTTTTGCATATGGAGCTAACGGATGTCTTGATGATACCACACGGGTTAGATGATGCTCGACTCAATTGGAGTCCGTCAATGTGAAAATTTTTTGTTTCTCTTGTACTTTGGCTGGCTCCACAGTTGTAAAATCACTTTGACGGTCGTGATGCGCAGAAACTCAAACGAGGTGTTTGGATAATGGGAGGCACGCACTAGCCAAAGAACGGCGCGAAAGCTAGCAAATCACGATTATCTTCAATTCATCTCTATGGCATCTAGGGTATCATTATTCCAAGTCTTTTGTTTCAAGTCATGGACAAGGGGACTTGCTCCAGAAACGTTATTCTGTCGGGAGCCTCGTCTGACAGGCCACACACGGCTTTGAACTCGCCGGCTTCTTCCTGGAACCGTCGCGTGCGAGCGACGAAGTCGTCCAGCGGGCACAGGGCCGCGCCGGAATCGCAACCGGGGATTCTCACCACGCCGTCGTTGACGTTGATTCGAACGAACGGCGCGGACGCGGCCGTGCCTCCGCGCGCCGGGCAAAGGATGCGCTCGAAGATGACACGTCCGCCCATGGGCATGACTCGCGAGGTCGTCCACTTCCGATTGGGCTCGACGTGCGTGGTGGGCAGCGGCTGTTCGTCGTGTAGGATATGAAGGGCGCTCAGCACGGGAGCAATGTCGCCGTCGTGCACGCTGGACGCAGCATAGATTAGTCTTGACGCTCGTTCTCGGTACGCATCCTGTGTGTAAGGGGTAGAGGAAGGGGGGAGTTTGTGGATACTGACAAAGTGAAGAAGAGCCTTCCGGCCTCTGATCCTCGAAGCAACAGTCTCGCCGTCGCGTTGAGATACAGTGCGCCCATGGCGAACGAGTACGGCGTTCCCGGGCCAGCTCTGTAGTAGTGCAGCAAGTCTCTGGCGTACGCAAAATGCGTCCACTCGTCCGTGGTGAAGAGCTTGCACCAGGGACTGTCGCCTCTGGCCAATATCTCGAAGCCGCAAAGTTCGTACATGGCGTACACGTCCGCGTTGTCGAGCTTCAACGGCTTCCCCGTGACCTTGTGGCGAACTAGCTTCTCTAGCCGGGCCGACACGTGCGGCAGATGCGCGTCTATGAAAGCAGCGAGCTTCGCGTAGCCTTGCTCGCGTCCTCTCTCGGTGTCGTTGTTGTACAAGGCGCACGTCTTGCCCGGAGTCAGCGTGTCGGCGCCTCGATCCGCCGTCTCCGGTATCACATGGAGCGTGGCGCGGTTCTCCCAGTCGAGGCCCAGCAGGCCCGCCGCGAAGTACTTTGCCGTGTCAACGACACGCTGCGAGCCGCTCGCCCACAGGCTCAGAGAAGTCGGACCGTTGGGCCCGTCGTGGGCGCCAAGCAGTTTGGCATACCGCGTACGTAAACGAACGCCCGTGGAGAAGGCAGCCAGCGTGCCCGCATACGGGCCGGTCCGCGTCAACTGTTCGAAATCGCGCCCCGGATCGGCGCTGATGAACTGCCAGTCGCGCACGAAGGCGAGCTCGCCCGCGACTGAGACGCCGGCGTCCTTGACTCTCGCAAGGAGCTTCAGAATCCGCGCGCCCGCTTTCGCCGTCGGATACCTCTCCGCGTGACGGGAGATCATGTGGACCTGCTCGACCTCGCACCCCGGAGGGGGCCTGCTTGCCTCTTCCACGGCGTCTGCGTTGCTGTCCCAAGGCCCAATGCCTCCAAGGAAATCACGGACGTCCCACCCTCGGTTCTGCTGTGGGCCAAATCCTGATATGGCGCGATGGGCTTCCACGCCGTGCTGACTTGATATTGAGGCCAGCGGCCAACAGAGCAGGCTCGTAGGTAGGGAGAACCAAGTCCGCAACGGTGGAGCATACACAAGAAGTGCAAAAACTAATATGAGTGCAGGCGAGACACTCAGCGCGTTTGCCATCGTTGTGTGTCGCCTCTCTGACAGCGTAAGTAACGGAAGTAGTTGACGGTTGCAATTCAAAAAGGCCGGGGGGGGATGACCAAACATGGAATGTGGCCGAATGAATATACGACCTCACATAATGTCATACAGCTCCGCTTGCACCTTCGTTTTCATGTAGCAAGGAGAATGCTGTTTGGAAACCGGCAACTAGACAAAGCAATTGCGTCGATCAAGTCGTGCTTTCGTCGTGGCCATTCACCTGCACTTTGACTATCAAAGTGCTGCGGTCGCGGCAGCCAATCATGATCTTTTCATGCTCCTCAACCCCTTGCCTTCTCGGATCTCTAAGCACATCATGCTCATGAAACAACACAAGTTCAGTCGAGCATGATGCTCGTGATCTACGTTGCATGTTCGCTTTCGGGGATGAATTTTGTCCGGCGGTCCGGAACACACGCCGCTTCTGACTGCTGGATGTTGGACGTAGTTGCCGAATGGAGTTACTACTTTTTCGTGAGATTTTAGGCTGACGGCTTTTTATCAAGGCATGCAAAGCGATACTACGGCCTTTCCTTGATTTGCTGACAGCCGGTACAAAGCGGTTCTGTTGCTAAGCCTGCGTTTCTCGGTCAAACAGAGAGCGCTCACTTCGTCGGTTTGTAAAAGGCTGAGTAAGGCTTGGAATGAGACTTAGGTGGAGTGGTCATGGCTGATTATGACCCGGATGTCTTCGCACCCCAACCTTTCGACGTCTCTCGATTTTTCTTCATACGCTCACTCATAGTTATCAAAGGCGATCCATCATGTCGGTTCCCAAGGCAGCTATCCCCAGTTTGATCCTTCATGGTACGGACCACTCATCTGTCAACGCCAAAGAAGTCGTGTTCGGCTGGTTCTCAAAGCTAGAGAAAGTGATAGAGTCTGGCAGTTACGATCGGAAAGACGACATCTTCTTAAATGACAGCTGGTGGAGAGATGTAGTTACGCTCTCTTGGGCCATCCGGTGCCTGCACGGAGATCAAATCACGGAATGTCTAAAGCAGGCTCATGAGGTTAAGCTTTCAGACTTGAAACCTGCGACGAGTGGCGTTCTTGTTCCTCAGCTGGTGGATATGGGGCCGTTCACACTTGTTGAGACTGCATTCACGTTTCAAACTAAGTACGGCTCGGGCTCTGGATACTTGCGGCTTGGGAACACCGCACCGGGCACGTGGAAAGCATGGATAATTCTCACAAAGTTGGAGGAGTTGAGAGGCTATGAAGAACTCCATAAGCTTAGTGCCGGCCCGAACTGGTCTTCGCCCTCGGATGACGCGAAGTACGAGTCGATGTCTCAGCAGAGACCCCGAGTTCTTATTATCGGTGCTGGACACAGCGGTTTGTCCTTGTGTGCCAGGCTGAAGCAGTTGGGAGTACCAGCTTTGCTTGTGGATAAACTTTCCCGGTAAGATGATCTCCAAGGAATGAAGACGGCAAAGATTGCTTTCTAGAGAGGTCCTTTAGTCGACAGCACACTAGCTACGAGGTTTCCTCATTTTACTCAGGAACTCTATTAGGAGCTAATTGCGTAGGCTAATGCTCGATGTCACAGGGTGGGAGAGAGCTGGAGACGTCGATATATGAATCTGACTTTGCACGACCCGATCTGGGAGAACCACATGCCATATCTTAAATTCCCCGAAACGTTTCCAACGTGGGTGCCTAGAAAGCAAATTGCCGACTGGCTTGAGCACTATCAAGCAATTATGCAGCTTCCTATTCGACTGAATACCACAGTCACGGATGCAAAATGGGACGGAAAAGAGAAACTCTGGACTGTCCACCTGGAGAAGGACGGGACTCAAACCTTCTTGAAAGTTGCTCATGTCGTGCTGGCGACGGGTTTCCATAGCGACACGCCGTACGTGCCTCCTTTTGAAGGACTGGAAGAGTTTAGGGGACCGATCGTTCACTCGACCCAGTATAAGACGGCTTCGGAAGTCCCAGACTACGAGTCCAAAAGGTGGATTGTTATCGGTTCAAGTTCAAGTGGGCAAGACATAGCGCAGGATTTAGCTGAAGCAGGAGCAGATGTTACCATGCTGCAACGCGACGCGAACATGATTTACTCGCTGAATTCGAAGGTCAATGTCGTTGGGGCGGCATACTGCAAACCTGGTATTTCAACATCCGAAGCTGATATCTTAGCGGCCAGCATGCCAATCCCTGTTGCTGCCACATTGATGGTAGGGGCCACTCAAATGTAGGTTTTTTGTTCCGATTCGGTATCATGTTCGATTTGTAGAAACACAAGGTCCTGTCACTTTCAAAACATTGTGGTTGATATCGGGGATCCTGTCGAACACATGCAATAAACTAAACCGATGATAGGATTTATCAAATGGACAAAGAACTCCTCGACCGGGTGGGAAAATCGGAGTGTGAGTACTTATGGACTCTTGATCGCTCTGATATTTATTCCTGAAACAGTTAAATTTCTTACGGGAGTCGACGGCCGAGGACTTCTGGATCTAATCCTGACGAAAGGGGGCGGCCATTACCCGGACCAAGGCAGCTTGAAATACATTGCAGATGGAACAATCAAGGTCAAGCAATGTTACGACGGCATTAAACGTCTGACTTCGAAAGGTGTTGTTCTTGCAGACGGACGTGAGATAGAGGGCGATGCTATCGTCATGGCAACTGGTTACATGCATGCGGATCATACCTTGCGGAAAGTATTTGGAGACGATTTCGTAGAGAAATCAGTTTTCGGAGGGAACATAGTCAAAGACAATGAGCTCGTTGGGGTAAGTCATCTCATCCTTTCTTTCTTCCCATGATTCGAACAAACTAATGAGGTTTCCTACAGCTTTTTACTTGTATTGGTCGTGAGTCTCACGTTGGCCATTCTAATGTCTCATCGACTAATCTCATCGTAGATCCGGGAGCTTGGTTTATGGCTGGTTCGTTTGCATTTAATCGTCCAGGATCTTTAAACCTGGCATTACAAATTAAGGCAGTCGAGGTAGGACTCAATCCTGCTCACTATGCATCTACCTAAGCGTTAGAACTGCAGCTCTCCTGCAGATATAAACATTGAACTATGCTGAAAGAAACTATGAAGATCATTCAGAAAAATAACCGTGAATGATCGAGTCCCTCAATGCTATGCAATAATAACTTTTGAAAATCCTTCGTTAGCCGGCAGCATATTGACTTCTAGCCCTCAATTTTTCGCCGTAGAACCAGAAGAAAAATGGTGCAGGAATACCAATGCCAATAGCGACAAATCCCAATAAGCTGTTACCCCAACCATAGCCTAGGTTCGAGTAGAGATACGGAGCGAATAAAGGAAAACCAAATCCAGCAAGACTTCGCAAAACAACCGCAGCTGCTACGCCGCTTGCTGCATACCTCGTGTAGCTATCGACAATGTATGTTTGCATGCACTGAAAGCACACAATAGTACCAGCGGAGAAGATGACCGCGCCAATGTTTGGCATGATCCAATGTATACGGGCTTTGGCGCTCCAACCGTACCTGAAAGTCATAAGTTAGTAACGAATATGCTTCGCATGATTTCTAAAATGCTTACCAGAATAGACCGACTGGGATGAAAAGGCTGCCCACAAACATAATCGGGACCCGAAATTCTGGCTTTCCAACACCGTTGTTACGCTTTTTGAGCCTTCGATACATGCGGTCGATCAATGGAGCCGTGATTTGAGTCCCGAGGAAGAAACCTAAGCCCAAGGATATATAGTTGAGACCTCCGATGCCAGAATTCTCATGGTATGCATTTGTCCACAAACCAGGGAATGTTGACAGTAACAGATACATTAGGCCGTAAAGGTATGCCATGTAAACTGCAATAACCTGGACAATAATTTGCGTGAACAGAAGGCGAAACGGTCGAACCAAGGCTACACGAAGAACCTTTGACAATTTCTTTTCGGAGTCAAATGGTGTGTGTAACTTCTCGTTTCCCGTTTCCCGCCTAAGCTTGGCAGCCTTCTGGCGCAAAAGCGTTGGCGCGTAGGACTCCTGCAAAAAGAAGAAGCCGATCACCTGAACGACAACGGTCAAGATGGAAGTGCTCCAAAAGCACCATCTCCAGGTTGTTTTCTCCGCAATAAAGCCACCGGCTATGGGACCAACTGCTGGCCCAAGAAGCGGCATCAGCGAGTAAATTCCAATGGCTTTTCCTCTCTGGTCAGCTGTGAATATGTCGCTCAAAACCCCACCACCAGTCGCTAGAGGAGCGCTGCCACCAAGACCGGAAAGAAAACGAAATGCCATCATCTGACCAGAACTTTGAGCAAAGCCACAGCCAATGTTCCAGGCGAGAAAAAAAAGATTGCTGTACTGAATTACCCGAACCCTGCCGTACACCTCGCTCAGAGGACCCTGCGCGTAAGTTAGGATTCTGGGGTTCTGATTATGGTTTGTACGGCACTCACGAGGAAAAGAGGCCCAATTGCATAAGCAAGCACGAAGATAGAGAGCACCAAAGCGGTTTCGGTCTCGTTCGTGATATGAAAGTCGGCCGCGACTTTCGTTAGTGCAGGCGCAACCATTGAAGATGAAACCGGCGAAATGAATGTGAAGGCGCTGACAACAAATGTTGCCGCCCATTTTCGTTTCATGCTCCAGTTCTTTGGGTTCTCTGGATCGTCGGCGCCATCCCAGTCTACCACAGTGGGATCTCGCTTTAACGACCTTCCTGTCTTCGTCTTCTCTAATCCGATTTCTTCTTCTTCTTCACCCTCGCTCCTGAAATCTCGCTCGTTCGGAATGCCGAAACGAATCTCTGGCTCAGGCTCTGGAAGTTCCTCTTCTGTCTCTTGTTTTTCTAGATCTCGATCTTGATCTTTCCAAGTCTCCGCTTCACTCGAGATGTTCACTGAGTCCGCACCATCCTCGGCGACAGGTAGGTTTTTTCCCTCCGCATTCGGTGACGGTGGTGTGGAATATACACCATAGTGATCATCAAATGTCTGCGCAGAATATACTCGACCTAAATTTGGTCCTGAACTCAGCCGCGATCTGATTGATCTTGAACTTGAACGTGATCGGTTTCCAGGGCGTGGACGGCTCTCTGATCCTCTTCCAGCAGCTATAGGTTCGAAGGTCCGCTCTTCAGCCATTGCGTGTGAGGGTTAGCTTGGAAATCTTAATGAGGTAATGATCCGACGTGAGGAGCACTATTCATTTGACAACAATGGTTCTACTTGCGAGATGATTGGAAAAGAAGAGCACAGATTTCGTCTTATTATAAAGCTATATGCAACTATGACAGGCGATGCAGGAAGATAGCAGAGGAAATGCACGCGATCTGCGGTCACTTTTTATAAAACAAAAACGGCTATCGGCACACGACATTATAAGGAACTTTTCCATGTCGCCCAGTGATGTAACAAAGGGGCGTTAAGTCCGAACACCGTAAAACCTCGCATACAACCAATCAGAGCAGACCCGAGTAGGTACGGAAGGACGCTTCGGCCCCGATGTAAAGCGAAGCTTTGCCACTGTTATTCTGTTGAGGTATGCGGGCCATGAAAACGAGAGGGAGAAAGAGTTGCCGTGAAAGATTGGGCCGGTACCGGTAGATCTGCCCCTCACGGCTCACTCTGCGCACCGGGCCACTTGAAAAACTCACTCGGGAAAAGCGACAACGGCAAGTTTGTCACAGCCCGGTGGGGATTCTCGGTCCTCTCGGCATCACTTCCTGTGGCTGGAGACTGTGGCTATAGGATGTTTTTGCCTGAGGCTCCAACATGCCATCGGCTGAACTATCCTCACAACAGCTTTTCGAATACACTGCATACTCTTCCTCGAATTTTATTATTACTGTCACAAACATTGCGACCTATTTTGCCGAATCAAGATGTGAAACGTTCGTCTTAGGTCAAGCATGACGAGGGCACAGAACATGACTGAGAGAGCTAGGAGCCAGAAAGCGTTGGTCCAGTCTGAGATAGGCACTCGTCCCGAGTATTTGCATTATGTCGGATAAGTTCAAACTTCCACTCACCTAGTTTAAATTTAAGTCGATACTCTGAACTTTTTTGGAGGTCAAAATTTTTCTTTCTGACGCAATGATTGAAGTCTTAAAACGATGTTCAAGCCAAATTAAAAAGAATATCTTCGGATTTTGAGGACCTCGTATCTTGCGTCTCATGTTCAAAACTGGTAATGGAAATCAGTACGTAATGCGTTAAATTTTACGATCGAGAAAGTACTCTATGCTTCTTTTCATTGATTGACTAGGTTCTTGCGATTCCTATGTCCTTGTCGTAAGTTGAGCTGCAAGTATACGACACAATTAAGAGAGAATAGAAATAGTTCAAACGATCTTCTCCTCTCGCAGTTTTGCATAAGTTCGTACGCAGCATGAACCTTACTTAGTCGATCATGTAAGAAAGTTCAGCGAGTTGGCCAAGGCATAGAAGGACACATCAAATACTGGAACCTTTGTTCCTGGATCCCCTGGAGCCGTCCAAGACCCTTCACGACCTCTTGCTGTGTTTGGAATAGGTTGTTCAGCTGTCTATGTGGAAATATACGATATTCTGTCATCTTGATGCTTGAAATTATGCTTCAGTTGACGAACAAGCGTGCCCGTCAAGCCGGGAAGGAAATGGTTAATGCAGCAACGACATGATTTATAAAAGCTTGTATTCGAGCTTCCATACTCCAATCACAGGGTAGGTTTTCCACTCTTAGTTGTGGACTTTCTACCGTTTATACTAAGAGCACACTGCTGAAGGAGCGATGAGAAACCTCATCGTATCACCCTTGGCGAGTTTGTTAGATGTTTCATTCAAACGCCACCTTGGTTATAATTGAACGTACGACGTAGGATCTGTTGTTGAACTCTCGAATTGAAACTGAAGGTGGGAGAGTATTGTAAGAGTCGCTTAGATGGTATCTGGAAAATGTAGAGAACGTTTCAGTAAGGTTGCTTTCTACGTCCCACCAGAACACTACTTTAGCCAGAAAAAAGTCGATAGCTTATTCAAATAATCTCGAGAAGCAGAATCGTGGAGCAGAACAGGCAAACAAAGGTAGTGTGTAGATGGCGGATTCAGCTGACACCCGTTGACAGCCGTTCATTACCGGACGAGGCTGCTAAGAAGCTCACAGTAGAAGCCCAGGAACGCAGAAAGCTGCTGCGAAACGCTTATATTGTATCAAGGATCTGCAATTGGAATCGCGGGATGAAGTGGAAGGGCTCTGAGGGGCGGCATGGAAGCGAGTTGTATTATGGAAGCGAAGCAACATGATATTGGACAATCAATGATACTTCATGGCAGCGTTGCGGCAACATACGGTCGAGGCGAACGTCATAACCCAGGGCATATGGGAGCATGAGAAGAATCAATTTAGCTTGGAATCCAGCTTTTGAAGCTTCAGTGCCAGCATCAACTTTCATCTCGTGATATCTCAGAAATTTGCCACACTTGACCAATTCTCTCCTCCCCCGACAGGTCTACATTCAAATCCCTCTCCAAAATATCCGGCATCAGTCCATGCCTTCATGGTTGAATTGTCATACGGCCCGTGGAGCTGCCCGCCATCTCTGCCATCGGCCCACCGATACTCCCACATCTTTTGGTCTGCAGAGGCATCTCCGGAAGAGTCAATGTCATCTCGCCGCTCATCTACCCAGTCCTCTCCTGTCTCACGCTTGTACATCCTCGTCAGGATCTCGCGTTCGTGCTCGTAGATTTCAAGATCGCCACGGGTCATGAGCTGATCTGCAGCTCCGGTGATCGCTTCAACAGTCTCTTTACGCTTTCTTTCCGCGGCGTCTTCTGCTGAAGTGTCTACGTCCATAGACTCGACATTTGCACTGCCGTTATGTTGCTTTTCCTTCTTCTTCTGTTGCCACCTAGGTTTCGGTTTTTGCTTCTGCTTAGGTTTACCCAGCCTTTGTAGAGCTTCCATCACCGTCTCTCCCAGTTGCAGATGCCGAATCAAGATAGCCAACAGATCGGATGTTAAGATTGCCTCATCCTCTCTGTCTTTTTGTCTTTGCTCCTCAATCCGCTGCTGCTGTGCCTCCCGCGCTCTTTTCATGTCTCTCTTCGACACGCCTTCTAGCCAGTTGTCGTGTACTGCGTCCGGATCTTTTGCTTTTCTCACGTAGTTGCCAGATTCATCAAACCGGCCCTCCTCGTTTTCCGCACGCATATTGAAGGCGTCTAATCTGGGCGCGTGCTTCTTCTTACCACCGGCACCGAGTTCCTCGTCTAGATCGCTGTCAATGCGATCGCGCTCTTCGTCGTCTCCACTTTCACTGCTGCTTTCTCTATCCTTTTCCGTACCACCCTCCCTTCCACCTATGCTGAAATCCGCCGAGACATGGCCACCTGATTTTGAGGAGGCAATCTGGCCTTTGATCTCATCGTCTTCTAGAAAGCGGACATCTTTTTTGCGCTTGCCTTCTCGGGCAAGTTCTTCATCGTCGTCCCCATCGGGCTCCTCCAAATCAGCAAACATGTCGTTGTCATCTTCCTGTTCCGCTTTCTGCCTTGCCCTCTCCTTTGCCGCCCTCTGTCTCGCTCGTGCATCGAAGTTATCATTGTCGCTGTCGCTCTCGTAGCCGTCTATGTTCACCGCATTGCGCTTTACGCCGCTAGTTTTGCCAATCTCGTCGAGTTCTAGGATGTCATCTTCCTCTGGCGCATCTGGCGCAAGTGTGGACGGATTGCGATAGTCAAAGCGAGGCTTCTTTGCGTTTGGAGTGTCCTCCTGTTGAAAGTGCGTTCTGGTGTAGACATCGGCCGAGCGTTTAGGCCGTGGAGCTTGTCGCGACATGATGGTAGTACTAATATAATGATGAAGATGAAAACGCTTTTGTCGCTTGCGACAAGGCGAAAGCTACGCGACCTACGCGGGTTTCAAGCAAATACGGTCATTTCTGCGAGAAGCAAGTATTCTTATAGTTGTTTTGGTTGTGTAAAAATAAATAGTTTTGCGCAATTCACGCCCTGGTGGAGCTGGAGCTTACAAAGGTGTAGCCTCGAAACGTGATGTCAAGGCAGATGCAGCCTCGCAAGCTTCGAAAGCTTCATAGATCGAAAACAATCCACCTTTCACCTTGAAACAACACAAATCCTCAACTCACTCCTTGTGCGCGTCTCACACGTCTACTCCCCTTTCACTTGACCGCTTGCAACAACCCATCTCTTCAGCCATGGTTCGTGCCTAGTTCATGTGCGGCAAACAACCCCCCACTAACGCGTAACTCACAGTTTCGCCCCGACCTCTACGGCGAGGAAGATCCCATGGCCATGTACCAAGCGGCCATGATGCGGAGAGGACAGCCTCGTCGTTTTGACGAATACTTCAGATGCTACCCGATAGCCATGATGCCCGGCCCAGTATGGGATAAGCTAGCTGTTTCGAAATCAACGGCTGACTTGCAGACACTAGGAGCGGCCAGAAGCAAATACAGGCGGCAAGATCTTTCTACCTGCGAGCGCTCTCGATAAGCTTACACGTCTACACATCACATACCCTATGCTCTTTGAGCTCACGAACGGCTCCATGGAGAAATCCACACATGCAGGTGTTCTTGAATTCATTGCTGAAGAGGGCAAAGTCTATCTGCCTTACTGGCTTATGCAGACACTGCTCCTAGAGCCCGGAGACCTAGTACAGGTCAAGAGCACCGATCTTCCGTTGGGGAGCTTCATCAAGCTGCAGCCGCAGTCTCCAGACTTCCTCGAGATCTCCGACCCAAAGGCCGTCTTGGAAAACGCGTTCCGCAATTTTTCTTGTCTAACTACTGGCGACGTCTTTCAGTTTAGCTACAACGATCAGATATACAGCATAGCAGTAATAGAGACACGACCGGATAACCCGAAGAAAGGCATCTGCACATTAGAGACTGACCTTGAGGTCGACTTCGCCACACCCGTGGGCTATGAGGAACCGAAGAAGACCAGCGGCACCAGCACACCGCGTAGCGCTACAGGAAGCCTGGCTGCTCAACATGGCGTTCTACATTCACACGGAACTATGGCACAGGCGATCAACTATGCGGACATTGCTCCTACATCCACTCACGCCGCCGCAGGGGCGCGAGCTTTGTCTTCGAACTTCCAAGGCACAGGTCAGAAACTGGTCTCTAAGAAAGGGAGCAAGGCACCCACGCCAAAGCCTTCCACGCCAGTCGCGGGCGCGTCAGCAAACGCAAATCCAGTCGCACCTAGGCCGAGGAGAAATGGCCCCCAGCCGCTGAGACTACCGTACGGCAAGCTATTCTTTGGTTATGAGATCAAGCCGGTGAAGAAGAAGGACGGTGACCTGAGCGAGGACAAGGCGAAGGAGAGTGTTCACTTTCAAGGCCAAGGTCAAAGCTTGAGAAAGAAAAAGGGAGACAGTAAGCGGTGAGATGGCGTATTAGTGTACGATCGGGCACATATACTATGTAAAGGATTCGAAAGCATAGCGAACGGCGCATGGGAAATGGATCGATTGGAATGTCATAGACCATCCAAGATAGGCATTGCGACCTCAAGAACGATGATTTGATGATGTGCCACGTGCTGAATTGATCGGAACCCATTCTCAGAGCAGGGCAGCGTACGCATCGCGGATTAGAACGAAGGCGCATCGATCACAAGCCGCGTCAACGTGCGAATGGCTTGACGATTGTGCATTGCATGCATTCTGTGCAACAAAGGCCGACTATGTCTGTGGTTTCTCCAATGGACGAGTAGCTAGTCCTAAGTAGGCGCCGCATGTCCGCTTTGCGGCAATCGTGGTGAAGGGCCCGTGCACGGAGGAGCAACGTTCGCGTGGACAACCATCATCAAGGACGATCAAGCAAGAAGACAGCAATCGACAGCGAACTACTTCTGCCCATTAACCACCGCCTGCCGCCAGGTCCGAACACTCGACGCGCGCCGCTTGCATTGGCGAAGCCATACACCATCGTGTGTCTCCGCGCATTCGTACCTCCACACAGACGGGGCAACTCCAGCTCTCTGTCTGCTGCCACTACACCGTTTCCCCAGCCCTGTCACCTTCACGTCTGCACAACACCAGGAACACACTCATCTCGCGCGCCTATTCATAAAACCAACATACAAACTGATGACGAGATAAGCCAGTCTTCAAAACACCAGTTGCTGTTCGCCATCTCTGGCCTGGCTGCTGTGGCAGCATTGCCCCTTGCGCGCCATGAACAATGGAGGAGCCGTGGGAGACCATGGCGCAACGCCGGGCACCGAGTACACGTTGCAGGGTATCATGCGCTTCTTGCAGATGGAGTGGCACAACCACGAACGGGCGCGCAATGCCTGGGAGATTGAGCGCGAAGAACTCAAGCAGAAGGCCAGCAAAGATGAAGGCCAGCTCAACAAGCTAAGACGGCAGGTAGAGGCCTTGGAGAAGCACGTAAAAATGCTAGAGATGGCGTTGAAGGCCGAGCGCAAAAAATCCAAGGCGCTAGCTGCCGGTGACAAAGCTGCTGCTGCTGCTAGCAGTGGCAGTGAGGACGTGGCCTCCAATGACCTGAAGATTAAAACGGGCAAAGATGACGCATTGAACAGTAAAGCTGTGGAAAAACGTACGTGCGGTGTCTGTTTAAATCATTCTGGCAAAGATCATACTGACAGTTCATGCCATCTAGCCACGAATAAACCGCATAATTCGTTCTTGCAGACTGACGTTGGGTCAAAAGAGCTTGATCATGATGTCCAACTTGACAGATCACGCAAATACTTGTCAAAATGTGTGGAGGAAATCACATATCTGCTCTTGCCACCCTCGCATCCGCCCCCAATGAGAATGGAACAACAGCCAATGTCATATCCGCAAGAGCCTCAGGGCATGACTATGGAGGATGTCTTCCGCCAGAAGAGTGGGCAAGCGAATACAAGTTTCCTGCAGCATGGTCCGAGCCATCAACCACCTCCAGTTCCTTCTGCACCGGAGACAGCCAATCTTTCTCAGTCAACTCATCAACCCCTGCAGGCTGAAATGATGACACGGGAACTATCAGGCCATCATTCGAATTCATTGCTTTCCTCCCAGTTCAACTCCGCTAACACCCAGTCAAACTTCCAGCCAAATATTCAGGAGATGGAAAAAGCAGCTGAAGAATTTAGCAGCTTCACACACACGACATCGAAAGATGACGAACCCATTCTTACCAACAATAGACAAGGCATACCTGAGGGTCCGGATGGTTTCATCTTCGACGAGGCTCCTGAGGGGATCCCTGAAAGTGCGCCACCTCGACGACCTGATCAGGATCTGTTTCCAAGTGCTAGCAACATTCCGGTCAAATCGCCTCCACGGACGACGCTTGGCTCTCATCGAAGGAAAAGCTCTGGTTCGACGGGCATGGCAAGACGGCGAAGTCAGGAACAACATGAAGCAGCCGATTCCCTGACGAGAGCTGCTGCGAAGCAAGATCCTCATACGTTTAAAGTGAAGTTTGCGCTGCGGGGTCATCTTGATGTTGTGCGTTCTGTTATCTTCACCGGAGGCGGCAGCCCTTCTGAACCAGAGATTTGCACGGCTGGCGATGATGGTATGATAAAGAGATGGATTATACCAGCAAACTACGGGAACTACAACCAGCATGGGAACGGTAATGACCTCGATATTCAGAGCTACTTTACCCATAGAGGGCATGAAGGTGTGGTCACTTCACTTGCGGCGTGTCCTGCGTCAGCGACATTTTCAACTGGAGGTCGAGTTTCTGGCGACGGCTGGATCTTCTCTGGCGGCCAGGATGCCACTGTAAGAGTCTGGGAACGTGGACGGGTGGATCCCAAAGCCACACTTGAGGGCCACACTGATGCTGTTTGGGCTGTCTGTGTGCTGCCAGCAACTAGCGCATCTGTCTTTGGCCAGGACTGCAACAATTTCGGAGGGCCCGACAGAGTTCTTCTCGCCTCCGGCTCTGCCGATGGCACCATAAAGATTTGGGCCGTTAGCGCACCACCACAGCTCACATCGCCCTCGACGTCAGGCTCCAGACGAGGCGTTGGCGGCACACGTAGACACAGCGTCACGTCGGGAAGCAATTTTCCTTCGAGCCCACAGCCTAGCACGGCGACAAATACACCGTTCCACTACACTCTCGTGCACTCCATCGAGCGTCTTGGCCTTCCCAGTCCAACGTGCATCGCGCCATTAGCTCCTACCGGCGAGAATTTTGTAGTGTCTTTCACGGATGCCAAAGTGCTTATTTATGACACGCGCACCGGCGAAGAGATCATCGGTATGGCTAGTGACGAGACGTATGAAGGAACGCCGAAGACTGGCATTAATGCTATCGTTGCAACAAGCGTGGGCCTAACCGAAGGCCCTGAGGGCGCTAGAGGCATCGAGCATGGTGACGATAGCGTGGTGCATGCTGCAACAGGATCGAGTGAGCGAGGCGGCGTGGAAGGCGTCGTCGTCAGCGGGCATGAGGACCAGTTTATTCGGTTCTTCGATGCTAATTCTGGTATGTTGCAAGCCCAACGTCGACTTGCTTTCCTCCCAACGGAATGTTCTAACAAAACGAAAACAGGTCAATGCACATACTCGATGATCGCTCACGCCAGCGCTGTTTCTTCCCTGTCTTTGAGCAAAGATGGCCGCGAGGCTGTGTCGGCCGGTCATGATGCCAGCATTCGCTTCTGGGATCTAGAGAAGCGGGTATGTATGCAAGAGTTCACCAGCCATCGGATTATGCGCGGGGAAGGCGTGTGCAGCGTAGCGTGGAGCCAGGACGGTCGGCTCGTCGTATCGGCTGGAGGCGACGGCGTCGTCAAGGTGTTTGTGCGGTAAACGAGGACCTCTCAACCATTTCTTTGTGGAATGAATGCTGCTGCTCTTTTCTTCGAAGGAGCGGAGACAGTGATGCGATCCTATTCACAAAGGGGCATACGATCCAGTACCGCCAATGACCGTTCGCTCGTGTCGGCGAGCAGGCAATAGGAGACGCATAACGAATGTTTACGGAAGGAGTGACGGTTTGCCGTTATAGACCATTGATGTGTATATGTGTTTGTGTGTGTGTATGCGGCTCATTCCTCGCTTCTTTGGGTCTTGGAGCATGTCTGGAGAATGAACCTTTCTTCGGGTAGGCACAGGCATTGTGAGGGGCGTTTCTGTTCAATTCAAATAATACAGCATTGGTTTTTTTTTGGTTTGCAAACATTACGTGCTCATGTCATCGCAATCGACGGGAGGGAATCTCTTTATCCGTCATTCCGATATCCTGACGCAACAGAGTCCACGCTTGCCCACTCTGCTGCCAGGCAGCCTTTACGCATAAACTTACATACGCGCGTGTATTCAGAGAATGAAAGCGCGCGAACAAAGGAGCCCATGTAAGCGCCGATTGACGGCATCGCCCCATTCTTGGTTTTTTTTTTTTTTTTTTTTTTTTTTTTTTTTTTTTTTTTTTTTTTTTTTTTTTTTTTTTTTTTTTTTTTCCTCTTATGTCGTTCATCAACCACCTCTCCACACCCCATCGACCATTCGTCATGAGCGCCATTGTTTTAGGTCGACGTGGAAATCTTGCACAGCTCCCAAGGAGCCGCGCTCGGTGCGCAGCGCCGGCATGGTGTGCTCCCTACCTCCTCTCGAAAGCCAGTAGCGCACCATCTTCGCCCTCCGGTCGGCGTCGAGCCTCAGGTCGAAGTAGCGGCCGTCGCCGTCGATCAGGCACAACTGGCACACAAACTCGGCGACGTCCTTGTCGACGGGGTAGTCTGGGTGGCGCGGGTCGACGACGGCGCCGGTGGGCAGCCAGGCCGTGTCGCCGTTGAGCGTGCGGACGAGCAGGTTGTGGAAGTCGTACAGGCCGCGCCTGCGAAACGCGCTCGCGAGCCGGGACTCGTTGAGTTCGCACCGCCGCGCCGTCTCGAAGAAGGCCTCTTCCTCCGTCGGCTCGGCCTTGGCCGACCTCGTCAGCGACCGGCCCAGCATCGACAGCCGCGAGCTGCGACGCCGCTGCGACCCGTCGCCTTGCTCGTCGCGAGCCGCCGCCTCGCTCCCTTGCGACCCGTCGACTCTGATGATCGGAAGGCGGCTGGCGGGTCCAGCTTGTGTGTTTGGAGTGGAGGCGCGCTCGGCCTTGGCCGCCCTAGCCTGATCCCAATCTCTGGCCATGTTCTTGAGCATGTTCCATCGGAATTTCCGGGCTGTCGTCGCGTCGCCGTGCATGTGTGGAGGAATTATACTCGCCATTTCCTGTTTCTTCTGATTCCTCTTCTTCCCCTTCCTTCCTTTTCTGCTCGTTCGGTTGCTTCTGCCTCCAACTGATTTTCTTGAACCTTGAGTGGGTGTAGACAGGCCTTCAGGTTGGAGACGGACAGGGAGCGCAAACAGGTGCTTGTGTATTTTAGAGCATATTTTCAATCCGGAAAGCCGGGCCATCGTAGGCTGTAGACGTGTTCATGAGCTGCACAGCCTTGCACAATTGTCACCCAGGGCGGAGCATTCGCCCCAAGGCGTGAGAGGCCTCCAATTAAGGCCATATAAAGATGTTATTGCATCATGCTATGGCTGAGCTAGGCAAAAACCATATGATTTGCCACATATGTCGACCATCATCTTTCTCACTTGACCATAGTTCTCAAAATATGGTTGAGGTCATTGGAGGCACTATATTAAGTTAGTCGGTGAGTTATGATCACGTGATGGTTCCCTTCACTCAACTCCTCCCAGCCTATTACGGCGCGAATGCACAGTAGTAGGCAGCCTTGTGCTTAAATGACTTTGCTCAGTCTTCTGGGCGAGCAGCGCGACGGGAGCTGCGACGTATGCGTCCTGCCAAAGCGTGCATGTTGCACGATCCCGAAACAATCGTGATTGGCCATCCAATCAAGTTGACGACTTGAAGTTCGGAGGAAATCCAGCTCCAGATAGCCGTTTGCATATCCGAAAGCCAGATTTGCGTGGGACCAATCGTTTCCACCGAACATGCTTCGTGGATGGAGATCACTTTCCCAAACAATTAGAAAAGGAAGTGCCCAAGAATCACGTTACCTGCAATGCATGCAAGTGTTGTCACATCGGCGAACCAGTCCGTTGGGTTTCATCTTTAACGACGGCACAGGTTTCTCGTCCTGCGCTTTTCAGCTCCTTTTTTGGATGGGCGGCCTTCCGACGCGGGAGTGATCGGATAAGATTGGGGCGGACGGCAATCAAACGGTGGTCACCCGAAAGATTGACAAGAGGAGAAGGAATACAAAAGGGACCAGATGGGGAAAGGTAGGGATGGCAAATTTCTACAAATGATGTTGGGCAAGGTGCCACTTCCGCTGCCGTGCCGGTACACAGGTCTTTTGTGGATGACATGGGAGCAAAGACGCTTCCATATATGCCATGCCAACGGCGAAAAGGCCCGTCCTGTGGCTCTCCTATTGCCTCTCAACGGAGGGTCTACTCGCGGCTTGTACGAGTACTTGTAAAGATAAGGCGGCTTTTTGAGGGGGAAAGATATCTGCACCTGGAAGCGCGCTTGGCGACGGCAACTCTGAGATATGGTCGTCTCATCTCAGGTGCTGGACGGGTTTCCATTGTGTGGCCGTCGGACCGTTGCGTTGATGCAACCGCTTCTTTGTTGCTTCATGGCAGAAAGCGAAACACCAGCGACTGTCACAAGCAGAAATTTGTGGAACGTTTTCTGGAGGCACAAGAAAAGGCATAACACGGCAGTACTGAGAGAAACACCTGAGCTCGTCCTCTGATGCTTTTTCTCTTCGTTTTGTTCCCTTTGGATTGTCCAAGTACTTTGCACCGCACAGCAGCGTACTGCAAGCATTAGCGCGGCGGACAGTGCGTTGCTGAGGCGTGGGTAGCGAAATGTCAAGACGGCACGCCCGCTATGACCATCTCAACCAGAAATCTATGTGTGGAGAGCAGATGCTGCAGCAGTCCTGCACGTCGTGAAGATCGGGACGGCGCCGCGCTGTGCACATTATGGGGTGGTGATTGGGGACGCTCTGGGCTGCGTGTGCGCCAGCGTTTGCGCATGCAGTAAGACTCTCAGACAGGAGAGCGACAAAATAGTGAGGCGGCAGCACTCAAGCAATAATAATGGTGCAGAAACCTGGAGGAGCAGAATTTCTTATTCCCACCCAGCCTAGCTGGACGACGATGGAGCTCGTGTCAGCGAGCGGAAATTGGTCAAGCGGTGCCATCCGGTCTCGCGAATGAAGTCCACACGCCTCGTGAGCCTCTTGCTACTGGCGCCAAGCATAGTCTGAGAGGGCAAAGACCGACCAGGCTTCCGCTCAACCTCGAACACAAGAAGAAGCAAATTGCTGCACTGTCCGGGGGGTTTTTTTTCCTGTTTCCCGAAGAGAAGGAGACGTCGTCCAAGACCGTGCCGTGAACTCGGCGCGTGCAAGATCGTAAGGGCCAGGGGCAGTACGTACGATGTCCACGACGACACGACCGGGGGTGGGGGGGCTTGTGTGCTGATTATCATGATGGACGGCTTGATTGATTGTTTGATTGATTGAATTTCATCCTAGAGCGGTGCTGCACTGGGGGGAAGGCAGCCATGGGATCGTCCCAAGCTAGGTTTTTTTAGAGCCGACCGCGGTTCTCGAAGCTATGGAGAGACCGCGTATCGGCCCGCAGGTGTAGACCCCCTTTACTGGGTATTATTAAAGAATGCCAGTTGATTGAAAAGGGCCGTGGCGGCGCTCGCCATCCAACGGCAAACCAGATGGGTGGAGCAGAGGCGTCGTCAGGGCACGTTACTTCCGCCCGGGACATGTAAAAGAAGGGGAAAAAAAGAAAGGAAAGGAAAGGAAAGGAAAGGAAAGGAAAGGAAGTCGGCTGCTTAGGCTTGTTGGGCGGTGCTGAGGAGCCGGCAACAAAGCGGTTGGCGTAGCATCTGGAACAGCAAAGAGGCGAAGTGAGTGGGAGGCAGAAGCGGGCGACGCAGTTCAGCGTGGCAAAGGACGAATACAGTCCTCCATCTCATGTCCGTTTGCACGGGCAGATTATTGAGAGTGGATGCTCATGCAAAGGAGACATTTATAGACGGGCGAATGGTCATCTGCAAGAGGACAATTAAATGACGGAGCCAGGCTGAGGGCGAAAGGCCAGACGGTCGTCCGATTGGCACCGGCGGTGGTGGCGGGCGCAAACGCCCCCTTCAGTGGCTTTTCGCTCCAGCCAGCAGAGACGGGGGGCGCTGACCCACTGACTTTAGTAGGGGGACGGAGACGGAGACAGAGACGAGACGAGACGAGACGAGACGAAAAGAGAGCCGCGTTCGCGGATCTCCCGGCGTGATTGACAGGCAGCCAGGGACCACCGCCCTTCTTGCGACTGCGTGCGTGATGGTGTTGCTGCCGCGGTTCACACGACGAGGAGGACGAGCAAGGAGGAAGCGGAGAGCAGGAAGGGAACGCCAGGACGGTTGTCGTCGTTGTCGGTAGAAGGGCGCCGTTCGTCGCATCGGACGGTGTCTAGTCGACACCCGCGCACACACACTCGCACACGCACGCACGCACGCACGCACACGCACACGCAAACGCACAAGCACCCGCGATCTTGCTCTAAACTCCTCCTGTTCGCCTCTCGTCTTCCAATTGTCCATCTCCATCCTCATCGCCGTGGCTCCCACCCTAGCAGACCCCCATTTCGATGAGTGTGCTTCATTTTAAAGACGCCCGATCTTTCTAGCCTTCTGCTGCTCTTCCCTCTGCTCTCCTCCCTCTCGCTCTCCTCTCTCGACCCGCCTCTTCTCACCGCCCGCTCGTCCACTCTGCTCTGCTCCATTCGTCTCGCCTGACTTCCGGACGGGCAAGCATTCCGTCCTACGGCCAACCCAGCAATAATCTCCCCCAGAGCCACGCTACCCTGGAGGTGCCTCACCCCTTCAATATTCGACGACGGCCGTACGTGCATGTAATCCGTAACCACCGTCATCTCACGCAAAGGGACCGACGGAACACGGCCATAGACATCGCTGCTGCCCGCTAGTCTCTCTGCTGGACGCTTTGCTGTGTGTGTGTGCGTAGTTTTGCTCTGCGCCGTGCGATTGATTAGGTCAAGCGTGGACGCGGAAAACGTCCCAAGGGCCCCCCCCCCCGTCTGCCCTCGACTCTGCTTGCTTTGCTGGTCCTTACCTTAAAACCTAGCCACCCAAGCTTTTTTTTGAAGCTTCCGCTCTCTCTCCATCACCCACGAGCACCCTCTACTCGATCCCTCGCTCTCGCCCTCCTACAGGCGCGACGTGACACGCTCGCGCCTAGCACGCTTGTTGGACGGGCAAATAGAAAAAAACCCCTTCCCCCCCTTTTTCCCCCCGAGCCTGAAATCCTGCCTACCACGTCGCAGTACAGGGCTGCTTCTCTGCCATCACGCGCCATCTGCTTGGAAGACCAACCTCGAATGCGCCTCCAGGCCCTGCCGGCATAGCAACCAACACGACTCGACGCCCTTTTCTCCCCGACCTTGTCCTCCCTCAGCACGGTTCGAACAGTCTCCAGATATGAACAGTCATCCTCAGCACGAGAGCATGTACTTCGACAACCCACAGCGGTCGCCGGGCTCCCACCGCCACGCTTCCGCCACGCTCCATCGCCAGCCGTCCGGACGCTTCGACTCGTACGGAGGCTTGCCTTCCTCAACCAGCTTGTACGGGGCCGAGGACCTTGCTGCACAGCAGAACTTCATGCCCCGGTACTCCGACAGGATGGCCACGGCAACCCTGAATTCCAGTTTTCCCAGTGCCTACGACCCGTGGAACTCGTACAACCCCCAGCAGAACAACACCATAGCTGCTCACGGCATCGCGAACAGGATGAAGACTCTGGGCGGCAGAGGTCGGCCCAGCTTACCTGGAGTAAGATCTGTCCTGCTTGCAGCATTCCCAAACGCAGCAGAGGAAGACGTACTGACTTTTTGGTGATAGAATTGGATGGGTGGTCCGATGCCAGACATGGCGCCATTTCAAGGCATGGGCAGTGCCGGGATGTCTCATCAGCTGCGTGGCAGTGAAATCATCGGCCCAGACATGGACGAAGAGCTTATTCCCACTGCCATCGTCATTAAGAATATCCCGTTTGCTGTCAAGAAGGAGCAGCTCGTGCAGCTGATGACGGACATGGGGCTCCCGCTTCCCTATGCCTTCAACTATCACTTTGACAACGGCATCTTCAGGGGCCTTGCATTCGCGAATTTCACAACGGCCGAGGAGACGGCGGTCGTCATCGAGGCGTTGAACCACTACGAGCTTTGCGGACGCAAGCTCCGCGTCGAGTACAAGAAGATGCTGCCTCTCGCCGAACGTGAGCGTATCGAGCGGGAGAAGCGGGAGCGTCGTGGTCAGCTCCAGGAGCAGCATCAGCCGGTCGCACCTTCCCAGCTGCAGACGCAACCTTCGTTGAGCTCTCTCTCGTCCAACATCCCGGCGACCTCGCCCTCGCCGCTCTCAGCTCGCAACTCGAAGCCCGGCATGGACGCCTTCTCAGGCCAGACCTCTCAAGCCATGTCTCTGCCAACCTATGACCTGAACGATCCCCAGGTCCTTGAGTTCTACAACCAGCTTTTCATCTTCAAGAACGACACCTCCCGAGACACCATTACCTTTCCGCCCACTTTGTCTCCGCAGGACCGCAGAATCGTCCACACGTTGGCTCATCAGTTGGGCTTGGCTCACGTCTCAAAGGGAACCGGTGACCAGCGCGCCGTTCACATCTTCCGTGTTCACGAAGGCTCCAATATCAGCCCGCCAATCCCGCAGATGCCAACAAGCCATCCATCAGATAGCCAACGTCGTGCTCTGAATCGAGCAGCCACCACAGACTTCACTGATGTTCGTGGCGAAGGGTTTTACGGTGGGCTTGGGCGCCAGTCCTCAGGCTTGCTGGGGTTTCCCGATTCCCCGATCGGATTGACTGCCGCACATAACCTGCGTGCTGCAAAGTCCTACGCGGACCTGCGCTCTTACACACCGTCACCCGTTCCTTCGACCGCTAGCTTTCCGGCGACCATAGGCAACAATTTCGCGCGATTCGCGGACTATGCGCACACTACGTCTGCGGCGTCAAACCCCAACCTGTCCGCAACGGCTGCGTCGATGTCTAGTCGTGAGGAGAGCTTGTTGATCAACGGGATGAACAGCATGACTGTTGGCAGTGGCTTCGGTCCGAGCGGTAGTCCTCGCAGCATCCGCAGCGCCTGGGATCGCGAAACGCCAGGCCCCATTGGAGGACACAGATCCTTCAGCAGCGCAGTTCTCGACGAACAGAACCGTGACCGCAATCAGGCCGTCCCGTCGCGCCAGCCTCGAGGTCCGCTCCCAGAAAGAGGCACTGGTTTTGGCAGTCGGCGACAGAACGGGGGCCACAGCGGTCGCGGATCTGATGAACTGTCGTCGCAGTCCAACCTTGAGATCACTGTCGAATAAGCGAGCACATGCCTTGGCATCAAGGAGGTTGTCGCTCGCCAGGCTATGCCCATTCAAGGGAACTCATTCGCATCTTCACGAAGTTCACGAAGCATGAAGCCATGAAAGTAGAGACCGCAGGCTTTTAAGCCTGTTCTTATATCCAATGCATACCTGGGTATTATCAAAAGCATACGAAGGAGAAGGTATTTGGTTTATGGAACACAATTTCGCACCTCTCGACTTATATGCGTTGTATTATTGGTATTTACTGCTATTTTCTTGATATGATTCTCGCCTTTCGCGAGAGAGTTTTAACTAGCTTTTCCATCCTTGTTTTATGGGCTACTTCGTTTAAAGCTGGCCTTTTTCGCAAGCCTCTCTCCATTTATCTCCGGGACGCACTGGGCAAGGCGCAGGAACAGCAAGGGCATGTTGATGGCGAACGCCTCGAAGAAGTGGCGGCACAACCGTTTCTTCGAAGCGGAAGCAGTTGAACCCAACATCTCACGGCTCAATGACGAAGTTCCAATGACATAATACCACAAAGAGCTAGGTAGTCACTGCGGGCGACCGCGACGATATCCACGAACGACTCTTGTCACGACTCAAGTCTACGACTGTCTACGATTCAAACTAAACCCTCTCCCTAAGCATCTTCGTCGGTCCATCGATCGATCACAATCACCTCCATTTTGGCGAAGAGTAACGAACGTGTGCCACACATGATGATCTCTCTTCTTAGTTGCCAAAGAATGCATGGAACGGCCTGAGAAATAACACTACATGTTTTGCGGTTTACAACTCAAATCCCCTCGCAACTCTTCTCCGCCAACCCCGACAGCGCCACCACCTTACCTCCCCTCCACCGAGCGTATGTGGACGAACCAACAAAGAAGATATGGTCTGGCGCAATCGAATGCACGAATTTGAACTTTTACTTTGCTGGAACCTTTTCTTTCTCTTCTCCTCCTTTCGGAGACGAGAACAAGGTATATACGGTTCTTTGTATCTATGCGCTCATTCATGATAGTGGTTTACTTTGAGAAGGAAGAGCATATCTGTTTGCGTCGTCGATTTGTTTCTGCTGCTGTTGGCTTTTGTAATTGCGAGTACTTGCTTTTTTTTCAACCTTCATCTCTACCACCTGTTGTCCTTCTGCCCACCTTTATTTTCAACGTTAAAGCGCTGTTACTGGAGCAAAAAGAAGTCTTTGTAATATCGGGTTGTGCGTATGGGATACATATAGTACATGGGCGGCGAGAAGGGCGGTCTCGCTTTATGGGATGGAATTTCAATCCTTCGTAATTCAACTTAGGCATTCGTTCGACTTCCTGCTGGTCTTTGACGTGCGTTCCGTGCCCTCCTCTCTTCATCCACATCTCTCGTTGACGTTCAGCCGGCAAGCTCGACTTGGTAGATCAAAGACAAAAGACTTGACGGAAAGTGGCTCCTCTCAGTAGAAGAATGGTTTATTGCACAAAGTAAGTGTCTCGGATGCTTTGTAATCTGTACAGGTACAAGTGAAACCGGGTATGCTGTCGTATGCATGTATTGGTATCTCCTCGCGCGTATTTCAAAAAGATTTGTTCTCCATGTCCCCTGCCCAGCAGGCTCCCAAGTAAGCTGTTTCCCAAATCTAAATGCGGACCATAGACCGCGAAAGGAGATGCCTGCTCAGGCGCCAATCTTCGTCCGGAGGTAGACCTCTAGCGCGCTCACGCCGCTGCCATTGCTTCCCGCGCTGTCTCGTCTGGTGTCTATGCTGGACGGCACCGTCGAAGCGTACGCGTGGACTGCAGAAGCCGCGCCGGCGTGCTCCTCGCTAACCTTGCGCAACTCCGTGCCGTACGCTCTGGGCCACGTTCCCGACAGCGTCAGCGGCGCTCTCGACGCCGGCGTGCGCTCGGCCTGCTCCTTCAGCACCCCGCAGGGGCACCGGTTCAGCGTGCCGGACGTCTTCAGCACGGCCAGCAGCGCGGCCTCGAGCAGCCTGTTCTCGCGCTCCAAGGCCTCCACGCGCGCCTCGAGCCGCGCCTCCCTGCTGTGCGACGTGTGCGAGCTGCACACGCTCGTGCGCGTGCCGCCCGCCAGGTTCGCCGTCGCCGTCACGGCCTGCGGCGTGAGCGGCGTCGAGTGGTGACGTCCGTGCAGGCGTGCGCCGACCCCGCCGGACGTCGGCGTCAGCGTGCTCCGCGCAGTCGACTTGGTCGGGATACCGGGTGCCTGCGGCGACGAGCTCGCCCTCGGCTGCGGCGCCACCTTCGCGTCCGGGCTACCGTCGCTCGATGCGCCCGGCCCGTCGTCGGCGCGGACCGCCGTCGTGTTCTCTAGGATCGAGCTGTCTCGCAGCACCAGACGTGCCGGCTTGCGCGTCGGTCGGTTCCGCGGTTGCGGCGCCTGCTCCGCCACCACCATCGTCTTGGTCTGCTGATTTTGGTGTCGCAACGTCGCCCTGGCCGCCTCGTCGTTGTCGCATGCGCTCTCAACGAGCGCCTGATCTCGGCTCGACCCTACTTCTTCGTTCTGTGTCAAGTCCTTCACCAGCCCGTCGATGTTTCTGTAGGCTAGCTGCAGCTCTTTGATCTTTCTGGCTCGTGCCGCAGCCTCTCGGCTGCGATGAGCCTGCGTGGCTGCCGAAGGCGACGGTTCGGTCTCCGGTTCGGTTGTTACAACATCATCGCTACCTGGACTTCGAGGTCCTTGGTCAGCGAGTACATCCGTCCATCTTCGATCAAATTTCTCCTTTTCCTCAGCTGATATTGCCTCTGGACGAACACCGAATATCTTGCTCTCGTCCGTATTTATGCTCTTCTTTAGCGGCGGCATCTCTGTCGCCTCAGTGCTCTTATTTTCCTCATAGACGCACAAATGTAGAGCTCCTGGATTCGGACTTCCTGGATCCGATGGGGGGTTGCTATTGAGCGCAGCGTTTGCTATTGCGCCATTCGAATATGGTGCCGTCGCATGTCCGTCGATGATGGACAGCCCAAATCCCCCTTCAGGTGGTCGCTTTACGGATCGCGCTTCTGTTGAACAGCTTACAGGCGTCTTCGGACGACTGGGTGGCAATGACTCTGCGCATTCATGTGCATGCATGCCATCGATACCAGGTGGTTTGACGCTCAGATCCTCACCATGCGGTCGAGTCTCCAATGAGCAGGAGATCCACGTATCAAGCGCGTCACTACTAACGACTTCAGTTTGCTCCGTGTTCGGGTTACAGAAGCTGTCATGTATGGATCAGTCTAGCCCAGGCGCCACCAATTTTTTTTTTAATTCGCAGCATTTGACCTACAGTCGAGGTGAATAGGCTTGTCCAAGATCAAGCAAGTCCGGGTGTGGCAGGATCTGGAGATACTTGTGACCTAGACTAGCGTTAGCGTCATTGACTCGAGCTAAAGTAGAACATTTTCGCGAACCTCGAGCTGTCACTTTCTGCTCTACGCCCTCCGGAGGCACAAAAATGGTAGAGCTTTGTCTCACAGCTGCAGGCGCCTCCTGATCTGGACTCTCTTTCTTTTTCTTGAAGATGCCTCGACTTTTTTTACGGCCAGGCTTCTTGGCGCTCTCCTTTGCTGTCTCGCTCGCCGATTTTGTTGGTCCCGTGTGTCTCAGGAAGTACGCCATGTCGAAGGTAGCACCGGCTCTTGTGTTCGAGAAGGCTCGCTTGCTGCTCATCAAAGAGTCCTGGGACTGAGGCATCGCCTCGCGGAAAGTGCGGGCTTCCGAGGCCTCCATGATCGTAGGGACGAGCGAACGGTCACGCGTTGGCTGGCGCGTGTTTGCAGTCCACGAGTGCCGCCTAGTTATATGCTGGGGCGGCGATAATCCAGGAGGTGATTTTAGGCTCGGGCTCTTGCGAAGTAGGTTCGGCTCCTTGCGGCTGTCTGGTTCAGGAGCGCTCGTGGTGAGCACTGTAGCCGTTGCCATGGCGGGCTGACCTTCGGACAGTAGGTCCGGTTGCTTCTTGCCAATCGCCGAAAGCTGAATCGCCGCAACAAATCAGAGACGAGTTCTCTCGAGGGCCACGCTCAAAGTCGTGAATTCCGTGGCCCAGGTTGGTGCGATGGAGGCGTTAAGCAACAGTAAACTGCATGGACTTGTGCGACGGCTAAAGACCAGATTGAAGTTTAGCACCGTTACACTTTTCGGACTGTCGTGTGTGTCAAGGGAAACAGAAACCAAGGCGGAGGAGGCATCCGTGGTCCATCAGTAGCGCAGAAGAGGACAGTATCAGAGGAAAGAAAAGTCAGAATGAAGGGTGGTGTTACAGAGAAAAAAAAAACAAAATTGAATTACGAAGACGTTGACCTCCTCGCTACATCATGCTGATTGACTCAGCAGGGTGCAATTGACAACATATATACAAGCACTTAAGTGAAGACAGGCGCCGGGACATCGGCTGAGACCTGTCGGGAACTGGTTGGTGAAGAGTGGCTTGTAGCACGGTAGTCGTCAGAAAAAAAGAAAGGGAGGAATCGCTTGCGATGATGGCGCTAAGATAGTCAACAGCATGGCCTGCTCGAATTACACGAGTCGAAGTCAATCGAAATTTGCTCGAGCATGTCGGGCTTCTGGATCGTGAACGACTGCTTAGCTTATTTTGCTCAGGCTCAGCCATTCCGGGTCAAGACACGCAATCACGAAGCACTGCACAGCAGTCAGTCTGCCGCCGGCTCTGAGGACAAAGCTCACGGCCAAGACATCAAGGCTGGATGCGTACTCCGTACCAACGATCCAAAACAAAGGTTGCAGCCCATGGGTTTTCGCCCTGCATGTGCAGGGGCTTGTGCCTCGCTCAGATTTGATGGCCCCCCCAGGCATCCCGAGCTGGATCCAAACAAGTGGCGGCCTTACGTGTGGTCGTCACATCACTTAACAATCACACCAGGCAAGCGGCGGTGTTGAGCTGTCTACGACATGAGGCGAACCGGACTGGCGTCGACCGAGAACATGGCATAAGGCTGGCCCGGAGACGTCAATTGCACCATAACGGTCCCACGTTGTGCAACGTGAATCACTTTGCCAAAGAGCCGAAGTTTGCGACAAGCCTCTTAGATCACAAAAAAGACTATCCCTGCCAATCACTTTCCACGCGAAGGGTGATTGTGCTTTTTTCTCTACGTGCCTGGTGAAGTTCTTGCCATGTTCAACTAGTCTGCCCTCCTTGTGGATTGTCCATCAAGGAGCTTTCAAGGGGATTGTCACTTTCTACTCTAATCAGAACTCCTAAAATGCAGACAAAACTCCTTGTGCTATGCCGATGGAAGTCCATGGATGCGTCAGACCACGCCAGGAGAACAACTCGTGTTTTTTGCTCTGGCCATTATTGTGATGAGCCTTCCTGTCCGTGCTCACTTTTTCTTCGGTCGCTTGCTGTCGAGCAGGGGATTGGCCTGTGGCTTTTTTCGCTTGACAGGCATCTGACCCGAAGGTCTGGGTACTAGGAAGCCCGGAGCAGCTCCGGACGAAGCCCTGGAGGGCGGTCCTGGTGCAGATATGTGATTGGTCTGCTGCTGCTTGCCCATCTGGTGTCCGTCGTTCAACTCCTTCTTGATGTAGCTCTCCGACGTTACCGATGACTTATTGTCCTCGCTATCGGACGATAAGGCAACCTTCACGTCCAAATCGCTGGCTTCCTCTTTCACACGCCGCGAGAACTCTGTCTTGATGCGATCCTTGCCGGGGACAGTGGGGAATGACTTAGAGTTGACAGATGCAGAGCTGATGGAAGAACGCCGCGAAGCGTCTGATGAGTTGACACCCGAGTATCCGCCCATTTTGACGTCTCCGTCGTCACAAGTGAGTGAAGATATCGGCGTTTGAATCGGGCGGTACGAACCCGCAGCGGTGATCGACTGGCCTAGGTCGATGTCTTTCGCAGGTGATATCCTCTGTCTCGCCTGTGCATCTTCGATCATCGCTCTCCAATCTTTGCCATTCACAAGCGATCGCGTGTTGCCCAACACCCACAGAGAACATTTTGCGCGTGTAAGACCGACGTTCATACGGCGATAGTCATTCAAGAAACCGATGCTTCCCTCGGAGGCACGTACACAAGAGAAAATGATGATCTCGCACTCACGGCCCTGGAAGGCATCTGTAGTATTGAATTCGATCGTGTCCACGATGCCTTTTCCATACTCCTCTTGGAATCGCTGCTTGAGTGCGTTGAACTGTGCTTTGTACGGTGTGATGATTCCGATCTTGCCCCTGAAATCATAAGTCGAACAAGTTGCTAGAAGCTTTTCGTACAAACGCATCGCAGCATCAATCTCCATTCTGTTTGTCAAAGATGAGCCACGTGGTCCGGACGACTGCTGGCCCTGAACATCGAAGAAACGATACGGACCAAGGATTGGATCCTTGTGCCAGGGTTTCGCCCGTAGCTTCGCCATTTCCGGACCATCGAGCAGCCTGCTGTCGTAGAAGCACTTGCTTGGGAACAAGCTGATTTCCGGATGCATACGATACTGCGTGTCCAGAAGATGGACATCCTCGGGCGAGTTGTTCTGCATGCGTACGAACAAACTCTGTTCGTACTGGAAGTTGAGCTTGGCGTCCATGAATGTGGTTGGTGGCAACTGCTTGGGATCTCCGACAAGGATGCATTTCGAACATCCATACTTGAGCGGAATAAGTGCCTGTAACTCAGTACATTGTGCGGCTTCATCGACGATGACCGTTTCAAACTCCAGACTGAGATTTTGGAACCTTTCATGACCGCTAGCGCTGAGGGTCGCGCAGAGAATGTGTGCTTCGTCCAAGATTTGCTGCTCAATTCGTTTTTTCTCAAGATCGTTCTGACGGACGGTGTTCTGTTCCTTGTCTTTCGCTTGATCAATCAAGAGCGACAATTCCTTCTTCCGACGTCTATACATGTTGATCTCCTCTTCAATCGCACTTGCGTTCGCGCCTTTACCTGCAGCTGAATCACGTTTATCGTAAGCTTCATTTAGTTTCCGCGAAACATCTTGATGCTCGTCCATCAGCTTCTTCGTCTCCATCCGTTGATTCTCCGAAAAGCCAGCTGCCTTGTTCAGCCTTGCAGTGACCAGCTCCTCCAACGTGACCTCCAAAACCTGGGGATTAATCTTCTCACTGCGACCAAGTCGCACTACGTTGATCTTCTTTTCTTGTCCGGAAGATAATTTAATACCTTCCTTGAAACGCAAAACAAGTTCGTCAACAGCGGCGTTACTTGGAGCGCAGACGAGCAGCTTTTTGCTTGTGGTTCGCACAGGGGCAGCACCATTTGCCATGCCAGGACGAGTAACCGCCGTGCTTCGATCCTTGAGCGCATCCGTCAAAAGAGCGCCAACAGTAGCAATGATGGTCTTTGTCTTGCCGGAACCAGGTGGGCTTGGTAACCAGGTTAGCCAGAATCCATGAAGATAAAAGTAAGCGTCTGCACTAACCCTTGAATGAGGGTGAAGGCATCATTATCCAAAGCACTCTTTACAGCCTTCGCCTGGGCCTGATTTAACTTGTAATTGTCCATTAATGGTTTCAACGCAGTCTCCCCATACGTTAGCAGCCGCGACGGAGTTGCCTGCAAAATGTAATCGCAAAGATCATAATACTGCAAACCCATCAAGGCGCCGTACTCTCTCTCAACAGTTATGAGAGAATCAACCTTCATTGCCCAAACGGTAACCCCCCCATTGATCGAGCTCATAAATTTGTTACCAGGGACTACGCGATACAGCACTTCGACGTGTGCTTTCTTTCTGGTCACCTTATGAATTCTGCTTAGGCAGGAAGGCGAGTCGGGGGAGCCTGTAGGATCTCGAGCTTTGGAAAGCAAAACGAGATCTCCCTCCGAAACCTCGAGTCGCTCTTGTTCTGGCGCGCGCGGTATGCTACAACTGACCTCCACAAAGGCATCTACCAACGCGCGACTGATGATCTTGATCTCGTACGGGCGATTCTGCGCCTCCTGATCCTTGTCGTTGCAAATTTTACGCCATGTTTCGAGCACCAAGAGTGGCTGGAAGATATTTTTGTACATGCTTGGATCCTGCAGGCTCTCAGGCACCCTTTGATACGCATCCGCACGCGAGTTTGGTGGATAGTAGCCGTTGTGGAAGTAGTCCCAGCTCAAAATCTCTTGATGGAGTTTTGACAGGTCAGGAGCAAGACGAGCGCGCATGTCCTTAGCAGATCTCACAACCTTACGAACCTTAACAGGCCCTTTTGAAAGCAGCTTTGCAGCATCCGCCTCAGACATTGCGTTGGCTGGTTTTGCGGTTTTCCTCTTCGGGCCAAAAAGCTCGCGATCAAGATCATTCTCGTCATCATCATCAGAATCCGATGAATCCGAGCTCGACTCGTCCGAGTCTACCATTACTCCTTCACCTTTTACACTATGATCCTTCGCTAGAACACCCACACTATTGAGCGCCGATCCGGGACCTGGAATACTGCCTCTCGCCGCGGCAGCAAGTGCGGCCTTCTTCTTGCGTGCTTCTTCTTCCTCGAGTCTTCGCTTGCGGATGAATTCGCTTTGATCAATAACATTCTTTCTAGCCGGAGGAATTGCCTGCTTCTTAGTTATCGGTAATTTCTTCTCCCTTTGTTCCTTGAGTTGCTTGAAGCGCTCAGCCGCCTTGGTCGCATCTGTAATGACCTTCCTCTGTGCAGCCTCAAGATCAGAGTCAAGGTCGATCGCATCGTCTTTGGTTCGGCCGGAGGTAGCCCAAGCGTTCAGCGAAGTCTGCTTCACGACCTTCTTTTTCTCCTCTACAACCCGCTGAGCGATGCGGCGATCGGAGTATTTGTCAATCGCTTCTCTAAGCTGAGCAAGCTGCAGCTCCTTAAGGTTCGTTCTGATCTTTTTGGCTGCGACATCTTCAATATAGTCTAGCGATGCTTCAGTGGCGTCAACCTTGCTTTTGCTAAGCCGAGCCAATAAGCTGGTGACCAGAGTCAAAATCTTCTCGATGAGAAATTCATCCCGTAACCGTAGCCACCGCACCATGGTGTTCATAGAATCCCTAGGATGTTGGAGAAGATCCTTAGCTTGCTCTCGGTTCTGCTGCTCGTCCTCGTAATCATCTCGAATAGCATTGAGGAAGACACTGTAGTGATCAAAAAGGGTATCGGCAAACTGCATGGTGTCCCGGCAAAAGTCCATCATAAATTGCTTGTCATGACCTTGCGTGCCCCAGCCTTCCATATTCTGGAATATGGTCGTCAAGACAGACCATAACGCTTTCCAAAATGCCTTAACAGCGTCACACTCCTGCTCAACCAAATCTTTCATGCGCAGAATGCCATTTGAAGGATTGCATAGTACATCTACGACATCATTACATAACTTGATCATGCCTGGCATCGGCGTGAAGATGACCTTGCCACAGATGTCGGTCATTGAGACGGTGAAAGCCTTCAGAAAGGTATAGAAAGCGTTGTCCAAGGTATATGCAATAGCGTCGTCACGGCCCGTCTTCTCGCTCATCGCCTTGAGAATCTCCACGGCGCCTTGACGTACGTTTACGTCGGAAGAAAAGAGAATGTGTACGATGCCCTGTGCCGTTTCCTCGGTCTTGAAGAGTCCCGCAAGCTGGAAAGTTGGAAAGTCTGACACCCTCCCAAGAAAGTTGGACAGCTGGGAGCATTTAGCATCGAAGGCGGCGGCAAATTGCTTGGGATCATCAGCAACTCGCGGCGAAAACTTCGGACTGAACTTTTCAAGTCCAACTAGCTCGCGAGCCCCTATGAGGACTCTCGTAGCTAGTGCCTGGTCGCTCGAGCTAATGCCATTTGTTAAGCGATTCCAAAATTCGTCCGAACGCTTAGGCGCAGTGTGTCCGCGCGGCTTATGAAACTGTACAGCTTTACGATCCTGGACAAGAGTCAAACAATCAAGGGCGACGGCGCTCTCAATTATGCTCAAGGCAGCAGCAGCATCTTCACTGGGTTTCGCTCCATTCTTGATGCCTCGGGTGTATTGTAGAATCAAAGGCAAATATTCATTGACCTGCTCAAGCATCTCGGCGGCCACCGCAGAGCCCACATACGCCTCAAAGCTGGGTGGCCTGATCATCCCTTGAAGTGTCTGCTGGATGACGTGCAGTGCCAAAGTGAAGCAGTACGATCTTGCTTCGCTAGCAAGCTGATCGTTCTCGCTCCGGGACACGAATTCTCGAGCAAGTGCACCACAAGCTGCGACAGGATTGCCCTTGATGGTAGCCATAAATGGACGGATCCACGAGAATACGTTTTCTAAAGGAGGATAGCCCTGTGTATCGGGTCGCACGAGGATCTCGTGCAAAGCAGGGCTTCGGAAGCATTGCTCGATGATAGCCTTTGGAGGAATAGATCGAAGTGTGTCCCAGAACGCCTCAGGAGACTTCTCTATCAGCTCCTTCCAAGTCGAGACAAGATACGCGAAGGTCTCCACATTGATCTCTTTGAGCGAGAATTGGTCGAGACACATTCGATGAATGTTAGCTTCCATGGGGCGGAGTGAATTCATCACGAGCTCGCCGGTCAATTTGGGAACAACGATGCTAACGCCACGCCAGAAGGCTGGAAGAAAGCCCACTTCAAGGGCCGACATTTGCACACGTCGTAGGGCGAGCTCCAAAGGTTTGCGGATCATATATGTGAATTCGTGCTCGGTCGGTGGCCTGCTCAGCTTATTCCAGGCATATCGGGCCCATTCCAACCGCTCCATGTTATCACTGAAGACGAAATACGTGAACGCTGGAAGGTACGTGGGCAAGCGCAGCTTCTTGGTTGTCTGCACAAGGCGGAATGGCTCGTCGAAGGTCTCCTGCATGAGCTGTTCGTTACGCAGGTATGGTTCGCAATTCATGGCCTCAAACAAAGCGTAAAGGCCCTCAGGGTCCAGGCTGCCAACTCTTCTCTTTTCGGGAGCCAAGTGCAACAATTGTCGCTCCGCATGTTGGAGGCCCTTCCTGATGCGCTCCACATTGATGCCATCGAACCTTTCCATGAACGCAGCCACCTCTTCGGCATGATATTCAGCCATAAGTATCTCGCCCAGCTCAGACCGAGCCGCGTGATACGTTCGAACACACACATCGCACGTCTGCATTAGATGCTCCAGGCCGTTCCGGACATAGTCCTGCAGAGGGACTGCTTCCTCGCCGTCGAATGCGAAGATCTGGACCGCGCTCAACACCGTCCGCTTTCTCTTCGATGCTGCCTCTGCCTTCTCTCGTCGTTCATTTCGCTTATCCTGATTCTCCATCTGGAGCTCGTTCTGGGTGAAGTCCTCATCGTAGCAGCGGTCTACTTCGTCATCAGTGCTTCGAGAGCAGAACCAATGCAAGCCCTGAGGAAGGGCCTTTAACTCGTTGATAGCGGCAATGGTGACGTCCGCCATCCTTCTTCCTCCAGCAAGCGCTCAAAACTGCCGAGTACGCTACCTCATCTCTCGAAAGACACTCGGGAGAGATTTGATCGTGAGCTAAAAGACGGCAAGCTTTTTTGAGATCTGTAGGAGAAACGGCGTCAACCGCCTTTGAGATTGTCAGCTTCCAATCCACAAATCGTGAAACCCCTTAGGGCAACATAGCGAGTTTGCGAGCGAGACGGAGGGTTCCACGGGCGGGGAGTGCAATTAAAGTAAGGAGAGTCAAAGGCACAGAATTTCACTCCGTGATGAAGCGCGTCAAAAGATCCGTCGTCGCGCTGGAAACACCCTTGACCACTTACAGCCCCGATCCGGTTAGCACGGTGAACCGCAAGGCCACATCTGAGCTTGTCTACTCTTCCCGCAACCCTTACATCCTAACCTTCTCTGAATCGACCGATTCATTTTTTTTATTACTGTCCTTCACAAGTCCTGACGACCCAAGAAGAGGATCGTGGCAAAAATCCGCAACCCAACCCAGCAGATTCGGAAGAGAAGTACACAACCCTCAGATCTCCGGCGATAGCAACAGACTTCGTCACCTTTTGCGCTCATCATACAGGCAAGTTTTATTTGTACAACGGCACCAAAATTGACTCAAATGCTTCATTGTGAGGACATGATGCTGCCAAGCAAGACGGTGATAATGCTAAGTCGGCACCGTTGACTTGGAAGTCAAACCCAACTTCCACACCCCGTGCTGCATCCGCTGCCGTGATCTTTCGGGCTTTCCCTAGTTCAGGTAATCACTATAAATCCAGTTGCTTACTTGCCGCATTTTCTCCTAAAAAAAAAAAGAGTCAAAATTTGTCAAGTTAAGTTTCGGCTTTCTCGAACCTCTTAGCTGCCTAAGGTAGATATCTGTTACAATGTAACGTCAAAGTGAAAAGTCTACATCCCCTGTTCTCCTCGAAGGCAAGAATTACCATAAGACAAGCCATTTACATATACGAAGTTACGGGAGGCCCTTTGAGACGCGTGCACACAGGATAATGAACGCACAATCAAATGTGGAAACGGCATTAAACAGCTATAGCATTCGTATTCAACAGGGGTATCTACAGGACACAACAGGATTAAGCAAAATGCTCAGTTCATCCACGTATCTCGGGTGGTGCGACTACGGAACTCGCTCTTCTCACCTCGACTTCCGCATCACGATGGCGCATGTCCTGACCCCTGTACGCCTTCTTGCCTCGCAAGAACCAATCGCCAGCGACGATAATGCAGACGACCGCATAGACAAGTGACACGTAGTTCATGTTGCTGGTCTGGACGGGCATCGTGTAGGGCAGCGAATACATGACCAGCGTGAACACCGTCCAAGTAAGCAGTAAAATATTAGCCACAAGACCGAGCTTACCCAGCCAGAAAGGACCATGTTTGATGTTTTCGCGTCCACGGATCAAGAGGCAAAGCACGGGTACCGAGTAAGAGACGTAAAGAAGCACAATGCATGCCGTTGCCATACTGCACCGAGGTTAGCACCTGTACCCTTGTCGCCGGGCTAAGAAAACTTCACCTGTTAAAAGCAGTGTACGAAGCCAGATACAGGCAGCCCACAACAGCAACCAAAAAGCAGCTGATCACGTGAGCATTGAGCGGGACGTCCAACCCTGTGTGGACCTGAGAAAGCCATTTGGAGCCCGGAATACCGCGATCACGAGCAAACGACCAGCACAGTCTCGACTGCCAGGTGTGCGATGCAATCAAACAACCGAGCCCAGTGCATATGATCAAGCTTTCGAGCAGGATAGCGCCGGCGACGCTGTTGAGCGCACGGTGATACAGCTCCAGGATGGGCACCAGAGTGGCCGTGTTGACGATTTCCTGGAAGTCGCCCACAATGCTGAAAAACATGGACACCGAGTAGAACCAGGACGTCGTGAATCCGATAGCGACGGTGCCCAAAATGGCGATAGGGATGACCCGCTCCGGCTTATGCACCTCCTCCGCTAAGTGCGTGGCGCAGTCGAGGCACGCAAAGGCCCAGTTAGCATTGACAAGGCCGACGATGTAAGCTATGGCGGAAGAGTTCCAGCCCGTGTTGTTGATGAACGTAGCAAAGACGAACTTGGCGTTCTGGTGCGTCTCGGCCGTGGCAGGGACCGTGATCAGGATGATCAGGAAGGACACGAGCGACACGTACAGCGTCGTCTGCGCAATCTTAGGGAGCGTCTTCCCCCAGCAGTTGAAGAGAAAGCAGAACAGATTGACGAGCTGGTACGTGACAAAGACCATCCAAGGTTTGATCTCGCTGCTGAATATTAGCCGCACGCATGACCTTGCGAGCCCCGGGTTGACGCTCAAAAGGGTTACAAATCAAAAGGACGTGGCTCACAGATCCGGATGGCTCAGCTGATAACAACCCGTCAGCGCAGAGCCCATGGCAAGCGCCACGGAGGCACTGGTGAATATGCTTCCCGCCCATGCAAACCAACCGGTCGTGTACGAGGCAACCTGCGCCCACTCTTCGCTCGCCAGCTCCGAGGCCCAGAAATACTGGCCGCCGGCGTTGGGCAACGCGCTCGCCAGCTCTGCCAGCGAGATGCCTACACACGTCGAGACCAGAGCAACGATGATGATTCCATACACGAGCAGGACGGGCCCGCCAGAGTTGATACCCGCCACGAGGGCCGCCGAGACACCGAACCACGAGTTGGTCAACGAGAAGCCCACGCCGAGGACGGACCAGACGCTGAAGCGGTTGCGCGACATGGACTGTGAGTAGCCCATCGCAGCGAGCTGGAGGGCGTCGTTACCGGACACCAGAACGGGACTGCTGCTTCCATCTTTGATCGAGGCACCCGCATCCGCTGCTGACGAAGCCGCCAACAGGTCATCCGTGGACATCTTTTTCTGGTGCTTCTCCGGATCAGCAGTCATTTCGACGAGGTGGAGGACAGAAAGAGGGAGGCAGAAGGAGAATGAGCAGAGAGCGAAGTCAAGGCAGAGCAGCAACAGATATCGACGGTAGAAATGACGACAAAAAGCGGCAACAGAGCGAGCCACAAGGCGGGTCCTCTATTGTCTCTCTTAATCTCTTTCTTTCAAGCTGACACACGAGCAGCTCTTGTTATCTTCGCCTCACACAGACGTGAATCCACAAGCAGACACCGCTCGAGCGTCGGATCTATATATACACATATAGGTGCACGCGTACACACACGTATATACCGAACCGGAAAGCAAATCCTTTCATGAAGGGGAAGGGAAGGGAAGGGAAGGGGGGAGGGGCCCAAGAAGATGGAGCAAAGAGCGCAAACAGAGGAGAGGTCCCGACGTGACGATCTCTCGAACAAATTAATACCGCACCTTTTCACTCCCCCCGAAGGCCTTATCATGGTCTCCGTGCTGCCTCAGCTTCCTCAAGCGTACAAGTCTCGCATGGACAGCAGCACCAGCGCCGGCATCAAGGTGGCGAAGGCGAGTGGGGAGGGCCCGCCCGATTGCTCTCGGCGCGTCTTGGAAAAAGCCCGTCTGACGTAGCAGACACGAGAGGACGGACAAGAGCTTTTAAGAAGGGGGGACCCGGGTGACGAAATGGGGAAAGAAAAAAAAATTCTCGGCGGGTACAAGAGATGTTTCCTGGGCGTGAGGGGAGGGCGGGCTTGGGACGACGTACGAGGCATTGATTAAGCTTGTCCGTTGATTGGGGGCGGGCCCGCTCCTGGCCGCCGAGACTTTGTACGTATACGGCAGCCACAGTCGATGGAAACCAGCGAAAAGAATGGAGGAAAAAAAAAACAACTAACACAAAACAAATTAAAAAAAAAATAAAAATAAAAAGATGCACAACCGCGTCATACCGAGACACGGACGCTTTGCCATGCTGGGTCGAGTGCAAGGCTGAGCTTCGCTGCTGAGTAACGTGGTCAGCCTTGTGTCACGTACTTTGTCAGGCAAGGTGCAGCGGGTCGTGACGAGGGCGCAAGGCCGCTCGCCTTTTTGTACAACAGTCACAAAGGCGAATTTGAAATCTCTGCCAGTGACATTCTGTGTTAGATCCGCAAGTGACCGCAAGGCTTCGTCCTTCCCTTCGTTGCCACGGTCTCCGGCAAGGCTTGGAATCACTAGAGCTACAGAGCCACACCAGGGCCGGCGAGTCATCGCTCAATTAGGTAAAGAAAAGTCGTGAAGATCACTTTTTGCCAAGTGCTGAAGCTTTTGTAGCTAGGCTGGCTCCACACGGAAACAGAGAGCAGGGATTTGTTATGTAGATGAACGTCACATATAGACAAGGGAACGGCATGATTAAACTCGTAAAGATATCAAGAGCAGCATGCAATATGAAAATCCCGTTGCCATATCGATACTCCATTCGGCTCATTTCAAAACTCCTAGACGGCAACCAAACGCACATTCTCCGCTCCAGATCCTCGGATCCACAACGACATATTATGAAAATGCAGCACAGATGAATGCGCTTCTCCCCATGCTTATTTGATGATAAAGGACGCGTTTGTGGAAATTTCGATAAAAGGAGGCAAAAGGAGATTTGAGTTCAGGAAGCGCAATTATGTAGACAATGAACAGTTGGAAAAGGTAAAAAAGCAAGAGGACGCCCGATGCGAAAAATTGAGAGAGCCCCCCATATTTCCCTGCTCTCTCTGCTGCCGCCGGAGATCAGGGAGGAGAAAGACTGCGCTCACTTCGCATTCTGGGGTTCGGGTATCTTTTTCAGTTCTGCGCAGACCAGTGTCATCTCCCCGACCCTTCATCAACCCGCATTTGCCCAAGTAATTCTGAGGAACGTAGGTATGACTGCGAAAAAAAAAAAAGAAAACATGGCCATAAGTCTTTGAATCATTGGTTCAAACGCAGAATGTGCGTTGGTTGGATGCACCATGCCTGTCGATCTTTATCTGGGAGATGCGTAGGTCAGCGTCTATTGTTGACGATGGCCAGGCATCTGGTTGTGAGGCATGGGAGGATATTGGTTCTGTCCTGAAAGATAGTTCTGATACTGCATGGCCTGTTCCGGTGTCATGGGCTGCTGGGCCATGTTGCCACCACCGTACGGCAAACCGCCCTGAGGCGGCATCGCGCCGCGCTGAACTTGGTTGTGAGCGTTGTCATCAGGCGACTCTACAGGAGCACCGTCGTCGATGCCGTTCGCGTCATTGCCTTGTGGCTCGGGCGCGTTCAAGCATGCCTGCAATCGCGTTAGCGACGCGTCGAATTCGTGTCGCCAGCATGAAGTCTCACCTGGATGAGATTTTTGCCCTCTGGCTTCGTGACCAAAGGCTGTAGCTTTGGCGTCGTGAATGTGTAGACCAAACCAGTTTCGGAGACGACGAGCAGCAAAACTTGGGTGCCGGTGAGGACGGACAACTCGTAAGCCTAGCGCGACGCGAAGGTTAGCTTTCTGAGATGCGATCACACAATGCAGTACGATGCAGTACAACGCGCTGCATGACGAAGCGCGATGGACGTGACAGGTGAGAAGGCGGATGGCAAAGGTAAAAGGAAAAAAAAATTTTTTCTGGACGCGACGTACCTTCTTCATGATACCGGCTTTGCGCTTCGAGAAGGTGATGTGCCGCCTCGATTTGTCCTGAATGAACTTGATCTCGATCTTGCGACGCTCACGACCTGGCTTATCTTCGTCATCATCGTCGTCGTCGGCCGCTGCTCCGCGTGGTCGCTTCACACCGCGCGAGGCTGCATCCACGCCGTTGTTGCCGTTCTGGTCGTCATGACTGGGCGAGGCATTGGGATCATGCTCGGTTATCTCGGTGGCCATTGTGGAGCGGAAGAGACAAGTGCTCTCGATGCTGTACGAATTAGGAAATTGGTGTTTATTTGACTTTAACTGTATGCGGTCGTCAGCAGATGCTGAAGGTGGGGATGTGCTTCGGCAACGGAGCGAGAAGGGCGATTTGCAGGACGGGAAAGCGAGCAGAGAACGGACCAGCAAGAAGCGACGCGACGAATGAGGCGACGGAGAGGTCGCAAGCAGATGGAATTTACCTGCGACAGTACGAAAGGCTGTGCCTGATGGTGGATGAATGTGGTTAGAGAGGGCCGGAAAGAGGAAAAGGGCAGTGACAGTTTAAGGGTTTGAGTGGGTGACCGGGAGGCTGGAAAGAAAAGATGAGAAGGGAAGGCGCTTGGGGGGGTTTGGGGCCAGTCCAGCACAGGAGGGGGCGCGCTAGAGGTGGAGGCAGCAAGGTGTCGCGCTGCGTGTGATAGGTAGAGCCAGTGGCCAGTCGTAGCGCGCAGTCGGGGCGTGCAAGCAGTCGGGGCGTGCAGCCAAACGGCGGGTTGCCCTCACTCCGCAATCCTCTCACGCCCGTGACCGCCCCTCGCGCTCCCAGCTTCTCGATGGCGAGCCTTGGATGGCCGTTGGGTGAGGGATGAAGAATGGCCGGATGGTTGCTTGGTTGGCTGACTGGCCGGCAAGGTGGAGCTCCGTTTCGATCGGTGCTTCCCTTTCCTCTTTCCAGGTCCAGTTCCAGTTCCAAAGCATCGTACCCGTGAGCGAGAGATGAAACCCGGTCCCATCCAGTGAGTGCAGGCGTTTCTGCCGTGCTGAAGTGACCGCCGTCGAGACGACCGTCACAAACAGTAAAGAACTTAAAAGCCCAGAGGCGCACAAACACTGAACAGGAAAAGCGTCTTTCCCCTTCTGCTGCAGTCCGGCAGTACACACGACCCCACGCAGAGGCTACCAGAGGCAGCACACAAACGGCTGAGCACTGATGAGAGACTGCGCAGTGGTGGCTGCCTGTCTGCCGTGTCCGTGCCGGGTGAGCGCGCCCTGGAAGTCGTAGCTGTGTGCTGGGCCGGGCCTGCCCCCGAAGGAAAGGCGGTCTGGAAGGGCGAGGGGAAGGGCGGAGGGACGGAGGGAGCACTGCAGCGCAGCTCCCGTCGTGGCCACGGCCGACGCTGAGGGTGCTGTCGCCGAGGAAGGCGAGCCGCACAGATGACCGGCACGACGCAAAGGGGGGAAAAGTAACGCTCAAAGCAGATAGGTGCGTGGAGGGCGAGTCCTGAAGGAGAGAATCCTTACCTGAAGTCCTTCAGCTGCACCGCCTGCGACGTGGAGACTTGCGAGTGTACTTTTAGGTTAGTGAAAGAGTGTTTTGGGAAAGCTCAGACGAGGAGGGGGAGAAGGGGAGCAGGCGCCTTTTCAGACTGGAAAAATCCTAGGCCGGCCTGGGTCCGACCGCGCCTGCCCAAGATGGCCCCGTCTCGCTGTCGTTGCTGGCCGGGCCGTCATTGGTGGATCCCAGCCTCGTCCGAAGCGGACATCTGCCCTGCGGCCTGCTGCCTCGCCCGCGCCGGCGCAGTCTTTGGCAAGATGACAACAATGTTAGTCATCACGCCTGCACACGGCCTGCGCCAGTGCTTTGCCTCCCCCTACCACCCTGCTCACAGCCGGCTCCTGGTTCCCTGCTCCGGTCTTCGCTGCTGGTTGCAACCGTCCATCGGGTCCCAAGTCGACAGCGTGCGATCGTCGCCACGGCACACACTCCCACCACCACCACCACCCCCCGCCCCGGTTCCCGGACACGCGCGAGTGGCCCGCGACACACCTGACACGTTGAACCAGCAATGATGGTGGAATGCAACATGTCTGACGTGCGATGCGATGACATTGTGGTGATACGTGATTTTCTTCGGGCCAATGGTATAACGCAGCGGACAGGAGGGCTCTTGATGGCCATCGATGCGTCTTCTCCTCAACATATGGTTCTTTGGAAGCACAGATCGACCTCAGCTTGACCGAAGTGAGTTTAGCTGTTGCCATGCCGGGAGTGGCACCACCGTGGCTGCGCCGGTGTATCACAATCGTTGGTCCGTCCATCTTAGAATCACGTGACGGCGGGCAGCCGTCCAAAGGAGCTCGAAGCCTTCAAGCCTTGAAACCTTGAAGCCTTGTTGGCTGAAAACCTAGGAAGCCAGGCATCCTTTTGACGACGAAACGCTCGCATTTGAGCGCGGAAATAACCGAAACAAACACGACACGGATTCTGTACAAGAGCACTCCGTATATGATGACGATAACAAGCCAAACGCTGCCACGGAAGTTCCAGGCATCTCCGGTAAATTTAAGACCACGACGACCCCCGGCTCGACAGCGACCAGCCGTTGCAGCAGACAGAAGCGCTCAACACGTGATCTCACTTATCTGCCGTCTCTTGGACATTCTCCTCTGGCTTTTACTTAACAACGTGCAAGTGTACATACACGCATTGTATAGACGATGTAAGAGGGATGCGGCATGAAATACAAACTTTGCGTCGTGCCCGTAGCCGCGTCCCCTACTCGCAATCGTCTTCGCTCCGTTTGGAAATTGAAGGTTGTTCGACATCACGAACCGCGCAGGGATTGGACGCTTTCCTATGCGTCGACCAGCCGTTTAGTTTGGGCGTCCCTGTTTCAGAAGTGCGCCAGCGCCCTCCTCGTCATAGGCTCCCACGTCTTTCGCACAATGCGTTTTGGAGGCTCAACCGTTGGCAGGGTGGCTAATCGGCTTCGCACATAGGCATTCTGAGCCCACTCGCAGCCCACCAATGCAATGTCGATGTACGCTTTTCTGCACACCCGCTGCCAACCTGAGCAAAAGACTGGAGAACGAGGACCAGCGCTTTGCTGTCCAATTGATCATGTCCAGATATGCGCAACCGCGTTTTGGCCCACGTAGGCGCCATCTTTTGCATAGCTAGGGCCGAAAAAAAAAAAACGAGCAGAAGAGCTCGAGATGCTCCTAGGGCCGGTCTCCTGACATCTCCACTTCAACTCTCTCCTGTCACCACCCTGAAACGGGAGTTGCGCGGCCAAGGAAACGCGACCGCCCAAGTAAATCGTCGCCCTTTAGAAACATGCCCACCCCTTCCGGACCGTGACGGGCTCTCTTTTGACCACACGCTTCCCACTCCTTGGCTTCGATGCTGTTTTGGATCTCCTTCGAGAGAGTCTTTCCATTCACTTATACCCTTTTCCGTTCTTACGCTGCTGCCCTAGACGGCATTTTTTCCTAGATCCCCATCATCGAGGCGAGAGAGCAGGCGCTCCGTCGTCGATACCTTACGTTCGCTATACTTCGCACAGATCGAATATCTTCAAGTCCATTCCAGCCCGGAGCTGTCGACTCGTCGACTCGGATTCCCGATTTTACCACAAGTCCACCCTCAAGATCTAAAAGGCCTATCCATCAGAAGCACCTTGACGACCTTTTTCTTCCTTTCTTCCCTAGCAGCAGGGCTCCCTCTCGGTTCGTCTAACCGTCAGGATGAACAAGCTTATGCTCACCTTCCTCGTGGTGAACTTCCTGTTCCTGGTCTGCGCAGGTCTTCTTCTCGGCTTCTGTCTGGTCGGCGAGCAACAAGAACGTGGGACCAAGACAGTCGACAATGTGGCCTTCGATGTGCTCCTGACGGAGTGCCCGTTAACCGGTACGCAAAACCGCTCGAGATTTTTCTCTTTGTAAGAGAAACGGCCACTGTGCAAAGCTAACACAACAGTTCTGAAGCCGGCGTCGTGAACTCGATCTTCATGTTCTTCACTTTCGTCCTGTCTCTACCTGCCCTCGCTCTTCCCATGAACCGCGGCTGGCTTAAACTCCAGGGCGTCCTCGTCGTTTTCAACGCCCTCTTCACGCTCATTCTCGGCCTCTTCATCTGGTTCGACACGCTGCAGACGCGCAAGAACCTCCTGAACGTGTGGGGGAACCAGTCTACGCAGGTCCAGTCCCTTCTGCAGCAGCGTTTCCAGTGCTGCGGCTACTTGAACAGCATGTCCCCCCCGTTCATCGTCGACAGCGTGTGTCCGGACGCGGCCACCGCCAGCCAGAAGCAGGGCTGTGCCAAACCATTCGCCTCCTTTGCAAACACCTACCTCGACTTGATTTTCACCGCCGCCTTCGGCATCGTCGGCGTTGACGTACTGCTCTTGCTGTGCGTGACCATGATCGTCAAGTACCGCGCAGAGCTGGAGCGCTACAGACACATCGACGAGAAGGTGGGCAACTACTGAGTAGTTTGCCTTCCTTTTTTTGGTGTACAAGTCTTTTTTTTTCCATCCCTTCATTTTCTCTTCACACGAGCAAGCGGAACTTTGGGCCTGCCCTGGCGTTCTACGCCGGCTTAGCCTCACTCTTTTTTTTTCTCTTGAAGTACAAGGAGTGGGCAGGAGGAGGGAGGGAAGATGTAGAGCTGAGGCCCGCGCAAGCATTTAGACGGAGAGACTTCGACAGCAGTCAAAGGGGCCTCGTGAGACCAGAGAGGATTTTAGACTGGTGATGCTTCAATCGAGAGGGGAATCCAATGTACACTTTTTGCGAGTTCATGAGGACAACGCAGGTAATGGCAAGTGAAACTGTTCATCATCGCGAGAAGAAAGTGTTTAAGATGAAAGGGGGAGGGGAAATGAAAAAAATAGAAAAGGGTCACCAAATGAGATATTCACGTCCCCTCCTTTTCTGCTTTGATCCTCTCCTTCGTTGTGAAAGAAGGCGACTGTGACGAGGACGTACTTTCTGTTCAGAGAACCACACCCAACAAAACCTCCCCCCCCCCCCCCCCCTGGTGTATATTCTGTGCGTCCGCGCGCGTGTCCGCCGCTCCCAACGACTCGTTCAGAGCCGCCTTCTCTGCTTCTCAGCCGCGCGCTGGACCGCGTGCCAAAAAGACCCATCTTCGGCTCCTCTAGGACGAAGCCGTCATCGCATACGTGTGTGTCTCAACCCCGTGTCTGCATCTTGCTCCCAGGTCGGCGCGGGCCGAGCCAAAGCAAGCGAAACTCGCCAAGCGTGAAGCGGTCCCATACACGGGCGACACGACGGGCCGGTTTTTTTTTTTTTTTTGGCGGGTAAAAAATATATGTATGCTTGCTTTTCTTTCCTTGACGAATGCGCTTGTGGAAAACAGGAGGGCCGATCACACATCATTGGCACATCGGTCTCGTTCTTGACGGACGAGGCTGCTCCGCGTCGGCGGCGTTGGGCGGGCTACAAAGTCCCAGCCGGGAGACTACGAGTGTTGACCATGGGTCTGGGTCTCTATTTATCACGACGTGGGAGCGTGGGCGGCTTGAGGTCTCCGCTAGGTTGAGCTCGGCCGTTTGTACGGAGGTAGACGACAGAAAAAGTTAAAGCGGTGGAAAGGCTACAGGAGCGTTGGATCCAGAGTACATATCGAAAGAAGGTGGAGAAATATATCTCCTCCCCCCCCCCAAAAAAAAGTTGGTACAAAAAAAAATGCCAGCGTTGGCCCTGTTATGTGTTATTTGCTCTAAAATACTCGCACACTATACATGTAATATGACCTCTTCTCCATGGAGGAGACGATACATGTATATTAATGAGGCCTTTGGCCACTCTTTTCAAAGAAAACAAAATGGTGCTTTTTTTTTGGGAAACAACTCTTCTTTCCGGGATAACGCCAGCGCGGACTTTCCGAATGCAAAAGGGTTCCCACTCAATCTAGGGGAATGCCTTCGTACTCGCCGTAACCAAGCGCCAAGTTCATGTTCTCTGCGAGAGCCGTGTCAGTTTAATGTATTCATGGCTTTTGCAGTCCATTAGAGGGAAGACTTACGCAAGCACTGCGTTGCCGCACCCTTCAACAAGTTGTCGATCGTTGCATTGACAATGACCCTCTTTCCGCTGGAGTGTACCGCAAACCCGCCAACCTCGACACCGTGCTTACCAGCAATGTTTTTGACGAGAGGCGACTCGCCCACAACCTTGATCAGCTTTTCGCCGGCGTACCTGTCCTGGTAAAGCTGTCGGATGTCGCGGGACTTCATCTCTTGTTTGAGCGGAATATTGATCGTGTGGTGGATACCTTGGAACCAGACCGCAACGTGTGGGATGAAAGCCACAGATCTGCCCAGCTGCTTGCTTATTTCACGCTCGTGAATATGATCCGTCAAGCTATATGGCATGAGGTTGTTGGTGAGCAGCTTCACGTCGTTCTTAGGGCTCGGCTTCGTGCCTGCACCAGAGTATCCGGACACGCCAAAGACGGTAGGTTCAGCGCCGATAAATTCCAAAATCGGAGCGATGCCGATTTGAGCGGCGGTAGCGTAACATCCTGGGTTAGAGATACGAGTGGCACTAGCAATCGCTGAACGATCCACTAGCTCGGGAAGACCATATGTCCAGCGGTCATCAAATCTGTAGTCCGCACTCAGGTCGATTACAAGAGTATCCTCCTTGCCAGCGGCATCGATGGCGTCTACGTATGGCTTGCACACGCCATTAGGAAGAGCCATGACCCAGCAGTCGATCTCACCCTTCTCAGCCATTCGTCGAACATCGTCTGGCGTCAAGTTCTCGTACGTGATCTCACGCTTGTTGTAGCCCTCTAGCTTTTTACCCGCAAGCTCACGAGATGAGACGTGTCGCAGATCCATATTCGGGTGGTTATTGAGCAGTTCGATGAGTGCCTGTCCAGTGTACCCACGTGCGCCAATGAGCGCAACTTTTGCAGGCCAATCGCGACTCTTCTGCTTGTTGCCGAAAGGGGGATTGGGGTTGGTCGTTGTGGCATATCCCCTAGTAAGGACGTTTGCCGCTCTCTGTCGGATGCCTGCTCTCTTACTCTGGAAAGCTAAGCCATTGGTGCCGCGCACGTTGGAATGGAAGCCAGAAGAAGGATGCGCGATGGTATGATAAGATGCTGCCGCCTGTGCCCTCTCAGCTCGTTGAGCGTTTGCAGTCTCCCGTATCCTCGCAGCCGCGTTTGCGGCGCGATGAAGCTGGGATTCGAGGTTAATGTCCCCAAACATGCGACGACCGTGCTGGACAAACTCCTTCATGAGTTCGCCAACTTCGGTGACGCTTTCAATGCCGTACCAAAACAAAACTTCGCCATCCCTTGCTACGCTGCCATCAGCCTTGTCGAAGAACCAAGTTAGGTTCTCGTCGTTCTGGTTAACGGTCCACATAAGTTTGGGATAGTCCTTCTTCAGGTTCTGGAACACGTTGTCCGCGATGTTGGTTAGCCAGCCTGACTTGGTAACGGTAAAGGTCGCCAGGTGAGCGATAGACGAGTTGCCCTGTGGCGGAAGCACTATACCTAGTGCATCCATATGCTCGTCGAAGTACGCCTTGAAAGGCTTGGATCTTAGGTCATTAACGTATCGGTCGACGACTGCGCGCGCGTCAAGCCCTTCTCGATCACGGACGAGGACCTGCTTAAGGTTGTCCAGATTTCCCAGTTCTTTGAGTGATGTTGCGGTGTTTAACTTTGTGCCCCGTCGAATCAACGTGCCAGCGCCAGTGTCGGTGAAGAGCTCGCGTTGCAGGTGGTCTGGGTGAATGATAGCAACGCTTGAAGACTTTGGTAGATCATCCAGCAGTGCCTTTATCTCCTTTATCTTTAGTCGCGTGCCGTACTTGACCCATGGCTGCTTCAGAAGATCCTCGTATTCCTCGTCCAGGTTGATTGCGGAGATCTTCTCTCTGGTCACTCCATGGAACAGGCCACCTTTTTCTGATGTGTATATGATTTTCAGCGGTTCGATGGCTCTCGCGATCTCGCCTGCTGCCACGTCGGCGTTGACGTTGAGAACCTGACCATTTACTGTCTCCGCCATGGAGGTGAGCACCGGCAAGCAACCAGCGGCAATAGCGGCCTCGATGGGCTTCTTGTTGACATGCGTAATCTTGCCAACAAGCTTGTACTTGTCCTTGTCCAAGAAGTCTGCCGTCAACACGCCCGAAGTGATGGGCCACGCCTGGACGCCTCGGTCGCCCAGCGCCTGAACAAGCTTGAGGTTCTCTTCCAAAAACAGCTTGCGAGCGATCCCCAGCGTTTTCTCGTCTGTGATCCGGATGCCCTCCTCATACTCTGGCTCAATCCCTGCATCTTCCAGGATCTTGTTCATCTGTGGTCCTGCACCGTGGACGATGACAGGATACAAGCCCATGTGGTAGAGTTGCGACAAGGCATTGCACAAGCTTTCTAGATGGTCCGTCAGGATCGCACCGCCGACCTTGATAACGGCAAACTGCGGTGAAGCCACGGAGCTGAACTGCGCCAGATACTGCTGGATCTCTCGCTTGGAGCCAATGTTGCTCAGCACGCTGATGACAGCAGACCGAGCCGAGCTGGACGAGTCCACCGCGGCATATTGGCGGGTCTGCAAAGCGGCTGCTCCTGCGCGGACTACGACTTGTCGACCGCAAGCTGTCGCGGAGAAGGGTAGGAATCGGCGAACGGCTCGAGACGCAGAGGTCGCGCCTCGTTGGCGGGTGACGCACAGCATTTTGTGCGTCTTTGTTTCGGTGGAAAGTGCAGAGCTTCCGGCAGGTCGAGCTGGGTCAATTGAAAAGCGTCAGACGACTTTGTCCACAGAGTCCACTGCGGGCCTGTTCGGAGCGTGACGTACAGTCAACCTCAGTGGTGCCGAAGCCAGTCGCCTCCCAAGACCAGTCACACCGCTTGCGGGGAGAATGGCGGCGACGGCGGATCGCCCAATCAAGACCAGAGGGTGCACGGAGAAGGGGAGGAAACCAAGGCGAGCGGAGAGGAACAAAAGGAACGAGCAATTGGGTTCGTCGAAGCAAAGACGCCGCTGCTTGATGTCTGCGGTCAAGCCTGGTGCCCTCAAGCTTAAATTTTTTTTGACTCGCCCTGTCCTGCGCATGTCTCGACCGTCAGCCCGCCGCTTTCGCTCGTCGGCTGGATGGCTGATCCCAGACGTGCGCGCACCAGCGATGGCGTGTGTGGGGCAAAGTATGCACGGCAAAGTTTTCGCAAAGCGCTCACATGGCGACCTTATTCTTTCATTCCGAGCCCCAGAATTTTCTTGGGCTTCGCTTTCTGAATGGCTGGAGATCGTACCGTTGCCCGTACTGATTAGATTCAATCGCGATAAAGCACTTCTCGACTCCTCCACCGCTTCTCGTCTCTGTATCGTCTCCGTGCCTGTTCATGTCCACATCCCAACATCAAGCCACGCACAACAGAAGCTGCACCATGAAAAGCGAAGGGCGCCCGTGCCTGTTCGCTCGGCAGAGATCACTGGTGCTTGGACAGTCTGCTTCCCCCTTCCTTTGTCCGACTCGGCTTAAACCTGCCGTGGCGTGAGGTCTGAGCGACGAGGTCGCAAACTCAGATGATCAGTTCGACAAACCGACCCGCTGGCCTACTGCCGCTGCTGCTGCGCCGTCGGCTTGTCTTTACTAGCGAGCCGCTCGCCGCGGATGACAGGTCCTGCGCAGAAAGGTCTTTGGCCTGCTGCAGCTTTCGAATCATTTTGATTCTAATCGACTCCACTTGCCGCTGCACTTGATCCGCCTCGAATTTCTGACCATTGCATTCAAGTGCATGAACCAGAATGTCAAAACTCACGAGGGTGTCGGGGTGGTCATCTCCAAGTACTCTCCTCCTTGTAGCCAACACCTTCCTCCCCACCTTCACGGCTTCATCGTGCTTCCCTTGGCTATTCAGCGTGTTAGCGAGGTTGCTCATGGTTATGAGAGTTTCGCGATGTTCCTCGCCTAGCATCTTTATTCTTAGATCAAGCACTTCCTGGTACAGATTTGCTGCTGCGTCGTAGTCTTTTTGACTATTCAGCACGTTTGCCAAGTTGTTTCTGCTCGTCAATGTATTTGGATCTTTCTGGTCCACAACTGTCGTCGCCTTCTCTACCACCTGTTGCAGAATCTCTTTCGCTTCATCATGCTTCCCTTTCTGACTCAATATGTCAGCCAAGTTTTCTCTGCTCATTAGTGTCTCTATATGATCCTCGCCCAGCGTCTCGATCCTTCCTGCAAGGACTTGCGTGTGTATTTTTTCCGCCTCGTCTATATTCCCACGAAACCGCAGCACAAGAGCTAGATTGTGCATATTCGTGAGCGTGGAGCGATGCTGTTCTCCTAACAGTTGCTTGCTTAGCTCCAGAGCTCGTCGGTGCATGTTCTCGGCTGCCTCGTACTTCCCTCTGTTCTCGAGCACCAGCCCCAGGATTCCGGTAATGACCATGGATGGAATATCTCCACCGCTAGAAATCTTAATACGGATATCCAGGGCTTTTGTCAGCATATCTTCTGCTTGCTCGAAGAGTCCCTGCCGCCAAGCAAACCAACCAGCATTGTGGAGTACCATAGCCGAGTTTACGTTGGCTTCGTCATTCGGCGGCTGCGTGTCCAAGATGACCGAAACATGCGGATACAATGTCCTGCACCTGTCCCAATTTATATACTCTCCATTCGGAAATTCTGAAGCCATGATATGAACAAATGCTTCGTATACTCTCTTCTCGGCATCGATTGAACGCAGCCATTCTCGAGTGGCAAGTTGTACTATGCCGTGCATGTTGAGGGCATCCATCGATTCCGTGACTTTGGCGAGGGAGAATGCACGAAGCACCTCTACGTCTCTGCTGTAATCGAACTGAGCTTTATGCAGGTCATCTTTTGGTGCATCGTGATCCATGATATAGCCCACATCTCCATAACGGCGGGCCATGAATTCTGGAATGCCCTGGCGATTAAAGAAGCTCATGAATGACAATAATGTTGCTGCCGATGGCCACTTCCTTTGGATATGCTCGAACGACACCTGCCAGGATGCAAGTACAGAGTCTGGAGCATGGTGGTCGCGACGTATGTCTAAGGTAGATTTATGGAGTAATTGCACTCGCTTTTTCGTCTCCTTCAGATGGGCCATGTAAGCTTGAGTGGAAATCCTAGGGCGGCTTTCATTGATGTACGCAGCTGCATGGACTAGAGCAAGCGGGATCGATTCGAGGGCATCAATTAGTTCCTCTGCATGGTCGACTGTCACGTCTGCTAGTTTGGCTCCTAATAGCTGCATGGCTTCTTGTTTGCTCATGATGTCTACAAGGATGATGTCCTGTGGGCGACCAACTATGTCTCGGGCTATATCCATGTTGCGAGAGGTAACTAATATCGCTCCGTTGTCACTCTGAGGTAGCCATGATGCGAGGGAGATATCTTGTCCGCCTGTGTGTGATGGGACTTTCATCTCATCGTCAACATTGTCTAAGATCAGTAGCCAATCTCCCACATCTTCGTTACTGAACCAGTTTCGAACGCGCGAGAAAAACTCCGACGAAGTACCAGATTGAGATAAGCCAATCCTTTCTGCCATCTTGTAGACGTCTTCTTCGAACCGTGCCGAATGGCTTGCGTGCACCCAGAATATCCATGCTTTTGACGCTCGGCGTCGGACTCTATGCGCGTATTCGATAGCCAGCTGTGACTTGCCGACACCGCCAAGTCCAACAAGTGCTGCGCGACCTGCTGGACGCATGCATATTGTATCTACCTTGTCAAGGATTCTTCCATCTTTGCTACTTCGCTCGACGAAGTCTTCATCTTTGCGGAAGGGAACGTTTGAGAACGGCTTGGGTGGGGCTTCACTTGTGTTAGCGTACCCTTCTCTTGTCAAGCTAAAGACGGGACGTACCGCGTTCACTAGTCGTGGTCGAGTAGCCCGGAGTCGTAGTTGATTTCATTCCGATATTAGCATTCGCATCTTGTATATCTTTGCCTTTCATGATTTTATGCTCAAGAGGAGCCCATGGGCTCGAAGGATCGAGGAGGAGGGGATTCTCGTTCACTCGGAAAGAAGCGCGCGCGTACCTGCAGACGGGAAGGAAACGGATTGGCGGGGACAAGTAGAGCAAACGTATGTATATTCTATCGCCTTATGGGCATTTGTTACTGTGATCAACTTGCATCATATGGCAAGGAATTAGGCAGATATTAGGCGATGCAAATAGGAACCCCACATGTCTGCGAGGCTGAGCAGCAGGTTGCGAAGATCAGTGAATTTGTTGATCAAGCATGAAAGACCCATACCAAGCATTATTCTTCATTGTAGCAACAGCGTATATATGTACGAAACGATATCATGTCGAGAAGAAGTGTAGCATTTGTGCTTTACACATATAGCCAACCCCTTAGATCATTCGATTGTTGGTTTATCACGAGAATCATAAAGAAAAAAGTCACTGTGTATAGTTGAGGATATTGCAAGGACATGTTCGAGACCACGTTATTGCTAAGACTTCTTCATTGAGTGATACATTATCGTGATGTGCTGCACTGCAGTGGGGCGTAAGTCACATCTGCCGCAAAGAACGCCGTTGGAAAGTAGCAATCCAGATCATTGGCTCCAATTCATCAGTATGTGGTATTGGATACAGAGAGAGAGAGATCTTCACAACATATCAAGAAGCTGTGCTTGCGAGAGGCACAACTCCATTGTATGACTTGTAAAGGATATGGAAACACGCTTCATAATCACACAACCAGTTGTTTCCCTCAACCGCACAGATCCTTAACGTGTAGTAGCGACTGGCATATCACGTTAGCGAGTTCTCTAGACGTTGGGTCGAGGCGTTGTAGACGTACTTGGAACGACAACAACGATGATGACCAAGATGATGATACCCGCAATGATGCACATGCGCATTTTCATATCCTTCCACCACATCTGCTTTCGTACTCTGTTGGCACCACGTCGGAAGCCCTGTGCTGATACGGCAAGGTTATCTGTTTTGTCCTGCAATGAATCTAGACGTTCGCCACGCTCCGAGACTTTGTTGATATTGTCGCGCATGATACCGACTGTGCTGTCAATTTCCTACGAGTTGTTAGCAAGCATGTTCTGATGAATTGCCAAATTCTGATTATTGAAGAGCTTCACTGAAGCTGTACGTGCAATGAAGATGCCGTCGAGGCCTGTGGCTGCGCTGTTGCTCTCGTCGCGGTGGCTATTGCTGTGCTCATGAAGTCATGCATTTCATCCCAATCCAGCGCGACCGTGCATCATGAATAATGGCACTTCTGAAATGTATGAAGCGTAATTTGCGCTTCTTCAACGACATCTACATGTTCCGGGGCTTCCAGTGCACCAGAACGTGTGAGGCAGAGCTCCGTACTCTCCAGCCAAGCCAAAGCGCGGTTGGTATCGCCAAGCTCCGTGTTCAGACTCACGAAGTTGGCTGCCAGACAGCATATGAACATGGCCACAGACTCGAGGCGATAGTGTTAAGGAGTGAAGCTAGTGTGATCATTGGAGGAATAAGAGGAAAATCTACGTACAGCTTGCAGCGCAGCTGTGCGGTTGTTTCCGCTTGTCGCATTGCTAGGCTGAGAAGTCGTGTTTGGAATGTATGGATCGTAAGGTTGAGAGCTCATGGTGCCAGAATTATCGTCGACTTGCGACAGTGTATGTTATCGTATGCAAGAAGAAGATGTGGTGTTGCTGAGGGTTGGCGGACGTTGCGAAGCAAGCGAGCTGACACCTGCGACAGGGAGGGTTTGAGGGCCTGAACGGGATCTTAGGTAGTATGCGCTTGCGTCGGTACGAACAAACTAAAGGACAGCGCAGAGACGTATGCAGTCAAGAAGGTTGTTGATGGTAGAGATGGATGGCTGCGGAACAGAAAGATGTAAAGGTGGTTGGGAGCGTCTTTCTGAGGTTGGTCGGCCTCCGCTTGGAGGGCGAGTGTCACGTGACTATAGGCAACGTAATTGATGATGGGGCTGAGCTGATGGCAAATGGGAGTTGTATTATCAAGAATCCTTCCCAGATTGTATTTCAGCCGAGACGTATGGGAAAACAGCTTTTGCTGTGAACCAAGAAGCCTTGTTCACGATGGTCGTCAAGCCGGTGCAATGGCACGCTGACAGAACACGGGAGGATGACATGTGAGGCTTTCCTGGGGAGAGGACAAAAGTAACGGTGCGACACAGGCACGGCCGAAGGGGAACGACAGCCGGCACGGCCGGGACGACGAAAGACTCGGCGGTCCAGACGAAGCCAAGCCTGGCGCGTACTGCCAAGATGTTTATTCTTTCAAATCTCATACACGAGGCAAGGTGTGCTTTCATGCAGGCCCATGACGGCGTGCGAAACGCAGCGGCGAAGACTGATCTTTTGGCCACGGAGCAGCAGACTGTCCGAAAACAGATCCGTGGCCAGGGCAAATGAGAGAGCCTCGAGCAGCAAAACCCAAGACGGATCGAGGATCACCACGCGGACGACGGCTCCAAATTGTGAGCGGCCCTGATCTGGCCAGCGGTTTGCACAGCCCCCTCGCTTCAATGTCTCGCCAGCCAACACGAGAGGCTAACATAGGGGGCGCGAGCTTATGAGCCGGGCAGACGAAGGGCAGGTTTTTCTTGGCCTTTGGCCTACGGCTGCACTGCTCAGGGCGGTTGGGCTCTGTGGGCGGCCGCAAAGAGAGCGGCAGTTTTGTTATGGCACGCTCCGTGATCAAGCGTCACCCTTCCACTGTGCTTGTCCATCCTGGTCCGCCCGCCCAAGCGAATCCCAAGCACACGCCTCTCCACACCCAGTCGCTCGCTTCCTCTACTCTGCGAACCTTTAACACCGACCCTCCCCCCCCCCGTTTTGCCTGTAGCGAGAGGTCCTCTCCTACGTCTTCGCCGCCGTCGCCCCTCGTCGCGGATTACGATCGTTCCGGCCCGTCCTTTCATCCTCCGAACCCCCCCGTGCACCCTGTTCGCCGCCGTACTCCCCCCCCCCCCCCCCGGAAGACAGCGACGGCAGCAGCATACCTATCTTCGAGGCATAACAGTATTCAGTAATACCGACGATCGTTCAATCCTTTTTTCCGTTTAAAGCGCAGACATCACGGGCGCGGTGCGGCCATTCTCCGTTTCCTTGGAGCCGTTGACGCTGGCGTTGACCGCGTCAATTTGCCTCCTTCTTTTGAGTCCTACCCACGTCTTCGACCGCCCGGATAGCCCTATCCGAGGAGCTTTCGCTACTGTATTTCTTCCAAAATGATACGACCGACAACTGTCCTGTGCTCGCTTCTGGCGGCCGCCAGCTCGGCTCGCGCTGCTATTACGCTGGACCTCTCCTCGACTGGTATAGCTCTCTCTTTCAAGGTTGTGACCGGGAGGCTTGAATCTTTGGCTGACTTTCCTTTCAGATTCAATCAAGCAGGCAGCGTCGACGATAGCATGGGGAATGGTGCACTACTACACTGGTAACAACACGGGTGACGTGCCTGGCAACTTGCCGGCTCCTTACTGTACGTTTCATTTGCGGCCATTCGCGTGTGTCAAGTCGACATTCTAACGAGGCTGAAAAGATTGGTGGGAGGCTGGTGCTATGTTTGGCGCCCTTGTCGACTATTGGTACTATACGGGTGACACCACTTACAACGACATTACCACACAAGCTATGCAGTGGCAGGTTGGTCCCAACGAGGATTACATGCCGCCGAATCAGACAAAAACGCTTGGTAATGACGACCAGTCATTCTGGGCAATGGCCGCCATGTCTGCGGCAGAGGTGAACTTTCCAAATCCACCAGCTGACAAGCCACAATGGCTTGCTCTCGCCCAGGCCGTCTTCAATACCCAGGCTCCACGATGGGATGACAGCACATGTGGCGGTGGTCTGCGATGGCAGGTTTTCACCTTCAACAACGGTTATAATTACAAGAACACCATCTCTAACGGATGCTTCTTCAATATCGCTGCTCGTCTAGGTCGCTACACAGGGAATTCTACATACCTGGACTGGGCGAACAAATCATGGAACTGGATCAGCAGTATCGGTCTCATGGATGGCAGCGGGGGCACATACCATTTCTACGATGGCAGTGACGACACTATCAACTGCACACAGATCAATCACATCCAGTGGACGTACAATGCCGGTGTCTACTTGTACGGCGCTTCCATCATGTACAATGTCGTAAGTTAAGCTTTCTCTTCGGCGTCTAAACAACTTGGTTGCTAAATACATGCTCAGAGTGCTGAGGCCGACCCGAACAGCTCCGATACGGCCATGTGGAAGCAAAGAGTTGACATGATTGTGGGCGGCCTTGATGTCTTCTTTAACAATGGCATCATGTTTGAAGTCGCCTGCGAAACAAACGGCAAGTGCGATGTTGACCAACGTTCCTTCAAGGCGTACCTCGCACGTTGGATGGCCGCCTCTACCAAAGTTGCTCCCTGGACTGCCTCTACCATCATGCCGCTACTTCAGAAGTCCGCTCAAGCTGCCGTCGGCACGTGCAGCGCTGGCATCGACGGTAATCAGTGTGGCTTGCGATGGACTGAAGGCGCTGTGAACGATGGCTCGATGGGTGTAGGAGAGCAGATGTCTGCGTTGGAGGTCGTGCAAAGCAACCTAATTGGCAACGTTGCTGGACCTCTGACCAACTCGACCGGTGGGACCTCAGCTGGCAACCCCGCGGCCGGCTCGAACTCAGATGACAACCCGATTAAGTTCAATGCCATCACCACTGCTGACAAGGCGGGTGCAAGCATTCTGACTCTGATGGTTCTGTCCGCGCTATTCGCAGGTGCCTGGTGGATGGGTGTAAAAGGGTGAAGAACATGTGTCCTCAACAAGCCTTTCTTTTCCCTAATTCTATTGTCTTTATAATCGCGCGAGTATATCAGACGGCGTCCAAAGGGGATTGCTGCTGCTCTGTCAGCTGGTGCTTGCATCAACGTCATTGTGACTGGAAAGGGTTTTTCTCCTCATGTATGAGTGCACAGTGGCGGCGTTCGGATATGGATCAAAGACAGTCTTTTTATTTTCTTTTTGACGACTAGAAGCGCAAGTCGTGTGAATATGGTGTCAGCAGCACATTCATGCATATTCTTCTCAGTCTTGTTTCTCGATATCTGCTGATCCACTTTCCTATCCCATGTTTCAGGTTTTGCTCGCTAGGGTTCTGGAGACGTGAGGCAATAGTTGTGTGCACGGACCACGAAGAATTTTTGCCAGAGAAATTTCACGCTCCAACTTAAAAAGCCTTCGCTCTTCCTACAACGTAGCAACGAACATAAGACGATTCAAATGACCCTCATCGATGGGCGGAAATCCAGCCCTGATTACGTAACTGTGCAACTGCGAAACTGACATGATGAACATCGCCGTCTGGGACACTGCACACGTGAATGGGTATCAAAACAGGTGTGCAGTTTCCTGACTGCAAAACGTTGACGACTCAAATAGAAATTTGTTATACGCATCGACGCAGCCTAGGTTCTTTTCATTGACCACGATAATAAGCTGATATGATCCCTCTGCGGATCCACAACTGCGATCGTCGGAACAAACTTTGTCACGCTTTGATCGACGAGATCATTCTCCCACTCTCATCAAGGCCCTCTACACGTTCCAAGAGCAAATATTATGCCCTAGGCATATCAAATTGACTCTCTCAGCTATCTTCCTATGCCGAGCGAGTTTCATACTATGCCAACATCCCATGTACATTTCCTTGCGAGTCTAGTAGTATTGCTTGATAGATTCTCATGCTTGGTTAAAGAGGGTAGCTGTGCTGGCAGGATTGCATCGCCACAACAAATTGCAGCAGGTTTTGGCTCCTTGTCACCATCATGTTCTGACAAATTGCCACTTGCATGGCTTCTGCCAACAGTCGATCGTGACCTGCTGGTTCAGCACTGCAGCAACGGCTGGGCCATGGCATTCCGCCCATTGCAGGATGTAGTCACAAACGGCAGCTCCAGGGTCGAGTTGCCTCTCTACGCGTCATCTTCTGAGGATGAAGACGATCGTCGAACCTTTGGAACCGAAATTGGGTGCACGAGTTTGATGAACAATTGCACTCATTCAGACCGTCGAGGCAAACAGTCTCGACCAAAATCATCAGAGTTGGTGTGTATGTGACTTGCACGCATTCAACTCGAGCATATGCTTGATTTGGTTGAACACAACTCCGTTCTTAGTCGCGAATGCTTTCCCCTCCTCAGCCTGTGAAGTATTCATCACCACCTTGTGGCACCCACGCGTAATGCATTTGTCTCATTGGAGCGCACGGCATCCTAATGTACGAGGCCGGGATGTACAAGGTGTGCTGCAGCAGTATCACAACCACCAGGATGATCTTTACTTCAGGAGCCGAAGCAGCTGAGAGATCGGAAGAGATTTGAATCATGTACAATGTCCTTGTGATACTATCAGAACATTGCTTGGTCATGCATAATCCACCTTGTTGATAAACGCGAAAGCAAGAGCACACCGCACACCTAATGCCAACACTATGGCCTCCATGCTACTGAGCACCGCTAAAATAGAGCAAGAATACGATAGGACAGCGCAAGCAGATTTTCATCACGAACTTCTCAATCATCATCATCATCATCATCATCATCAGCTGAGTCCTTCAAATGTGGTCTGTTATTTTTGAGCAAGGTAATTGATGTCTCTGGCTATCGTGTTGACGAAAGGTGGAGCTTAGCGAATGCACTATTCATAACTCAGCCCTGCTCAGGATCCGGGGGTCTGCCAATCTTCTCGCCTCCTTGCTGCACTTTGTCGGCGCAAGTGGTCTGCCCGCGCCACCATGCAACGTCGCCTCACCAGCGCTGCCAATTCCTTAAAAAGAGGTCGTCTTCTCTTTCAAGATTGCTATAAGGTCGCCGTGGCTTGCCGGAGACGTCGATGAGGCCCTTCTGGATGTCCTGTCCGTCACCAAGATGGAATCGCGACAGCCAACCGACTGACTTCGTAACGGACAGCGCAGAGCCGAACTAACCACGCTGACGGGAAAATCAATAGGCTAGTGCGTTTGGAGTATTGGGGTCGAGCTAGACCTGCATGAGCCGCGCCGCCGTGCAGCAGAACGCTCTATTTTCGGCGTCATGGCGGCGGACAACCGTGCGGAGAGCCAACGACCTCTTGTATTCCTTGCAACATCACCGGCCACCAAAGCCCAGTCCTCCTAGAACTGTAGCTGCCTTTGGTGCTACAGATGCGTGCCAAAATAGTGGCGGCCATGTCTTGAACTAGGCTAGTCCCTAACTCCTGCTTAACACATCCGTCCGCAAAGCGTTCCTCCGAACCGGCACATGTATAGCCTGATTTTGCGGTTTTCGTAGCTGCACAGATAGCTATGAGGCTTAGGTGGGCCCCTGTGCCACACATCTAAAGATATGTCAGGTATAGCCCACCTCGAATCCCCTCGTCATGAATTGTGAGGGAGCCTCTTTTCTATGCCTGCTTGGATCTAATTAACTTTCGCACTGCCTTCTACGTTGACTTCCGACTTAATGTAGTCCTTTTGTCCTCTTGCTATCCGTTGGTGCTCCTACTTCTGTGTTGTAAAGTGATCCGAGGACGCCAGCAATCAGGCCACCAGTGCCCCCAACTGTTCATTGCGTTTGGTGAAGTCGGATTCCAAACGAAGATGACTTCAGAAATCTTCCCCGAGCCGTCCATACCCGCTTCGAGCAACATTGCGAGGAGGAGTGTGTCTATATTCAGCCGCAAAGGAACAGAGACACCCGTTCAGATAACACAAGCCTTTCCATTCTCAGGAACAAACATGACCAGTGAACCGCCAACATCTCCCACCACCAGCTCAGGGAAAATAAAGAGCAAGAGATGGACGCTGGGTGGGCGTGGGGATGTTAAACCTGGAGGTACAATCCTGCGAGCTGTGCCAAAAGATGCGCCAAAGACAAACATGACGCCTTTGGAGCGAGAGATGGCTACCTCTCCTAACGATGAGATCTTACGGGCGATAGGTCGTACCGCTGAATCTGCGCCCACGTCACCTATTGGCGCTTCAAGCCCACTTACCGACATCACAAACGTTTCGCCTCAGCGATACTATTCGAAAAGATCGAAGCACAGCCGACATGATTATCTAGGAGTCTGGAGGGATGGGCAAGTACAGTGGGACAAGGAAAATCAGAAACGGGAGGAAGCGCTGGCTTCTTCGAGGCCAAAGACATCTGACGGAAGCCGATGCTCGAGCTCCAACATGGAACAACCAAAGAAATTGACGAAGCCGAAGATCCACGTCATCATTCCGGACAACCACTCTAGCAAGCGTCCTTTTAGCTTCATTCCATTCTTCCACAATGGATCCAGCGAGAATACGACAACGCCGTCTGTTCATGTCGTGTCGCCACCCTCAGTGACGAGTGGAATGTCTTCGGCCTCAGTCGAGGTCTCTGCTATAACACCAACGGCGATTTACAGACCCAGGCCATACCGGCCTTTCCAGCCGATTACGACCTCAATTGATCAGTCACCAGCATTTGAAGGTGGCCTCGTAGCTGAGCGACCACCACATTCGCGTACAATATCCATCAACTCGAGTGGTTCTGATTCTGACGGAGATGACAATGCCTCTCTCGTGCGCAGCAGCCGGTCATCCATGACCAGCATTGGCGTGCACAACGAGGAGCAACGAACCCAGAAAGGCGGGGACTTGAGCAGACGGGGCAGTAGCTCGTCTGAGGCATCTTTCGAAAAAGATGATGACTCTGAGAGGATCAGCAAGATCAGGGTCGAGACCACGATCGAGCAGACTTGTGTGAAGAACGTTGCAGTGGAAGGCCCACGGATGAACGACATGGTTGATTTGATGCGGAGCACCAGCACACACAGGCGCTCAAATAGCGGACGCAAGCAGCGACTGTCCTCATCGCGAGGCCAGAAGAAGCTTGCTAGGATCAATTCGAAGGAGGAGCTCAAGCTGAACGCCAACGAGACTCTGTCTCTCGATGAGGCAGTGCGAGACCTGGAAGATTCGCTTTCCAGTTTCAAATACGATCTTGACGGGGCTGATGCACCCGAGGTGGTTGAACAGCCCATGTCGCCGATCCCTGAGATTGTTCTCTTGCCTGTCGACGCACCGCCTGCCCTACCTAGGAAGTCAAGTAAGCGCGCGAGGTTATCTTGCCCGCCAGCCTCTACTGTAGAAGCTCCGGCTCCGTCTACTAATCCTCCTAAAGCCACTGAGCCAGTTCTTTCTTCACCAGACATCTCCATGCCGACCGTTAAACATGCACCTACACCACCGGTGTTCTCTCCATCCAATGCGAGTTTTACGGCGAAAATGGAAGCTGCGCGCCTCGCTCAAAGGCGGCAACAAATGCAAAGCCACCGCCGTGAGAGGCGAGAATCTTATGGTAGGCTGAGGCGAAGGAGTTCTGTGCGATCTGTTCTTTCGCTCGTCCGCGAGGAAGACGAATTCCAGAACGTAGATTCGAATGCTGCTGAACAAGTCGTCTTCCATATTCTTTCAAGTTTGGATTCGATGGATGATCTATTCAACGCTGCGTTGATCACCAAGGGCTTTCATTATATTTTCAAGCGTTATGAGCTCGATCTCATGCGTAGCACTCTTCGAAAAGAATGTGCCCCAGCGTGGGAGTTCAGAGAAGCGTGTCTGCCTGTGGATGAAGATCACGAAAACAGTGCCGCTCCACCGCCAGACTACACTCCTCAGGCATACTACCAGGGCTACAAGTCGGATTGGGCAACTGTGACTGCCCTTGAGCAGCTGATTTTGCAGCATTGCTCCTCTTTGCTTCGTGCTGAGACGATCGAAGCTTTGCAACAGGCCGACTGCTCGAACGTTCACGCAGCTTTGTTTCGCATCTGGACATTCTGCCATATCTTCGGCTCAGGAAGGGGCCGCGAAGATGATATCATTGCGCAAATGGACTGGCTGCGCGGCGGGGTTCTTGCTCATCAGGAGAGCTGTACGAGCACAATATCCGCTCACGACTCTTTCTACATAAGCACAGTCTTGCTGAACGCACCTGAACACTTTGGGCAAGGCAACGCTGGAGGGTTGTCGGCGGAAGAACTTTACGACATCCTCGAGATATGGAGCTGCCTGATCAAGCTTACAAGCGGCGTGGTTGGTCAGACACAGCAAGCGAGGCAATTTGGTATCTACGATAGGACTGACGTCGGTGGAGGTGATATCGATGGTGAGGAGGCGTTACTTGGTAAGAATTGTCCTTCTCACATTCAGACCCAAAGCTGACAGATGCTCCAGAAGAGTGGCATGCTTATCTTCTTACGCTTGGCCTGGTGCCTATTCTTGATATCATCACCGCCCTCGTCAACGGCGAATCACACTCTGCATTTGCAGTCGCACAATACAAGGGTCTTACAACCTGGGAACCTCCTCTCCTCGGCAGTTCAAGAAGCGCGTTCCTTCACGAAGCAGTTTCGCGCCTGTACGAGGAGCGTATCTGCGCAACATTCTCTCCAGAGCAATCTCATCTTACCGAGCTGCGCTCGATCCGCCGAGCTCGCGATTCAGAACTCTATCAGCGACGCTTGAGTGTACGAAGCATGCAATACCCTTCACGACAGACCTCTCTGAATCGTGAGTGGGGTTCATTCCGGAGTATGTCCGGTCCATCAGCAACTCCCACCAGCCCATTCAACACGGTGCCTAGCCATCCCACTACTAACGTACCACTTCTACCACCATTGCGCCCGGCTACTATCTTACCTCGCAAACCCGTACCACATTATGGCTCAAGAAGGGGTGCTTATTACCCAGTAGACGAACCTATTGCAGAGGAGTTGCCACCTTATGACCGCAGAGCTGAAGCTGAGGCGGAGCGTAAGCGCATGCACCCTCTTCAACGTGCTTTACAGGTCGAAGACTCAGACCCGAGTCAGAATTCGGCAGATAAGGCCGTTTCCCGCATTGTGGAGATGGGTTTCACCATTGAGGAAGCGAAAGGCGCTCTCAAGATCACAGATATGGGCGACGGACTTCGCGTTGATCGTGCTGTGGAGTATCTGATGCGCGCAAAAGGCTTCAATTGAAAAGAAACAGGATATTTTGCTTCTCTCGAATATAAATCGGTTCATTCGTCTATGTGTAACGTATGGTAACGGAGAAGGGTTTTGTTTGGATATCGGTTGCGGGCATCGCGCTTGAATGAGCATAATTTCAAGGTCCGATCCCTACTCTTCTTTTTATAGTGTGTACATGGAGGGCTTTCTCTCCATACGATACCCAGATTGATGTAGCTTTCAAAATGCTTCAGAACAACATACAAACAGCATTGAGCGATGAGTGAAATCTGAGCTTTGATGGACTCCTACCTTTCCATCAATTCAATCGTCAAACCAGTAAACTTCTGGTGAGAACTAGTTTGATTCCTTTCCTTGTACCTTTTCGTCGCTCCCTGCGCCAGGCGCGTCCTTGGCCTCGAATTCCTCCTCGTAAGCACGCCAAATCGCCGCGTCACGGCGTATGCGGTTGTTATGCCGCACCATCTTCTCGTATGCAACCATTCGCTTGTCAGCTTCGACGAAGCCTCCAAGAACCATGCCTGACATCACGAGAAAACTACTCGTGATGACTATCATTAGTGGGTGAACCTCTCATTCATTCACTACCACGAACTTACATTCGGAACTGTACGGTCAGCCCTCGATAAATAGGACTATACATGTGTGCTACACCGCTTGCAAGCGCAGCACCGATTCCCCACTTCAGCACGGTTAGCGAACGAGCAGCCAAACATTGGATTGAAGTGAGCGTACAGTTGAAGCTCCGTACGCGGCTCCTCGGGCAGCTTCCCATGAGGCGGCCTTAAGTTCTTCATCGTTCTTTAAATCAACCACGCGCTTCATTTTTCTGAAGACTGCTTTTGAGATACAATGGTTTTGCCCAATTTGAATGATGTCGAGTAGAACGCTCTGGCGTGCTGTCTATTCCCTTGTATTGCCCGAGCGTCTCCGAGCAGCAATGAAGGACGGAATGATCATGCGACAGGACCCCATCCACTAGAGAATCAAAGGTGAACCAATTGTCCAATATAACATATGCTATTATCCTTTTCAATTGTCTTTAGACCCGCGAGACGACTTGCTTCGTCGAGGCATTACGTTGCGGCGTCATCCGATCGTTTTACGGAGCCAGACCGAAAAGGGAAATCCTTGAACTTTTTGGAAACTCCGCGTCGAAAGAAATGTCGGGTTTTACTTTTGACCATCGCCTCGCAGCCATTGCACACCTCATGATCCTGTCGCTTCACAGACCTGCTGTAAGAGCAGTTGCCTCTTCTTCAGAATTCATTTGTCTGGCATGTCGAGCGACGCGTCAGCTACCCGCAGTCGCGGTTCAACAATCGCGCTCTGCATCCTCCTTGAATGAACCTGCGCTCGACGAGAATGAAACCCTTAAAGAAAAGGCAGCACGGCTTACCATTCAGAATGCCTACACTAAGGCTTGCAAGAAGGCGAAAACTCCACGTCCTAAGATACTTGTGAAGGGAGAAAAAAAGAATGGCTATGTCGCTCGCGTTGAGCTTGATGGCAATGTACTTGAAACTCCACCGTACAGCGGCGTGAAGTTAGCAAAGGCCAAAGTGAAGCTCATGGTGATAGACCACATCAATGGGCAAAAGAGCCAGGGTACGACTTCGGACGCTCCGGGGAACATAGCAACAAATCGGGAGAAGCCATCGAAACAATCGCAGCCGTCAGCATCTCAACGTAGAGTTGGTCTTCGAGGCCATCTCAAGACACAAAAAAACCAGAAAACAGATGTTTCGAGTCCTCTGAGGGCTCATAAAGTCTTGCGTCCCTCAAAAAAGCGTGGTTCGGAAGCGCAGAGTTCTCTCAAAGCTTCTAAAGCGGATCATCATGTGCAGGACCCCGTCGTACATCAGCGACGAAAGACTCGTTCACGATCTCTTATATGGATACGGAAGATGAGAGGACAACTGCTTCAAGCCAGAGCTACCCAACATACATATTATCGACCGCTGCTGTCATCTCTGAGGGGTCGCGGCTCTAATGTTCATATGAAGTCCCTTGGAGGTCAGGGAATCATTGAAAAGAGCGAGACCTCGGTCGCCACAGCGAACTCCCGAAAAAGTTCAGGGCAAGACCTCAGAACTTTAGGGCACGCTCGTACAGTCCGTCCTTTGGCACTTGAGCCCGTGAGCCTTGAAGCCACAGCTAAGGAGGTGCCTGGGCTGAGTTACGGCCTGGATAGAGTCCTCTTCAATCCCGGTGTCTACCAGATACGAGATCCTCGCTCGCGCGTCTATAACTTCGATCCGTATCTGGAGAAGATTACCGATGTTCGCAAGTTCAATTTCGCCTTTTTGGATGAGTACCGTAGACCATCTGCAGACGACAAGCTCTCCGGCATGGCTAAAAGGCATGATGCGAGATATTTTAGCTCCACGTCCAACATCACGCATGTTCTCTTGCATTTTCATCTTCTACTGTCAAATTGGCGACCGCTAAAGTTTTCTAACATTTCCGCGGGATTTTTTGATTCTCGTCAGGATCTGAATGACGAAATCGGATTTACGACATTTTCTAGAGCGCCGCAATCAGTGTATTTGAAGCCCACTCAAGGAGGCTACGCGGTCGACAAAGCCGACGACACGGCATCGATTGGTTTGCTAGCCTTTATCGGAAATTGTCTTGAAAAACTGTTCACGGTACCCAAGGAGGTATTTGAATCCTATTTGAAAAATTCTACGAAGAAGAAGCCAGAGCCGTCCAGTTCTGGATATCATCACACCAAATACGGCTCTATCGTAATACGTTCTCAGCTAGACGCTCGTGATAATCGATTGCCGGGTACCGGAATATTCGATATCAAGACTCGTGCAGTATTACCGATACGGATGGACTCATTGGAGACGAGTCAAAACATCGGTAAACACTACGAAATAAAAGGCCTATATGGAAAATTCGAATCATTTGAACGAGAGTTCTTTGACATGGGTCGCAGTACTTTGATGAAGTATTCTTTGCAGGCACGATTAGGTCGCATGGATGGTATTTTTGTCGCCTATCACAATATTATTCGGCTCTTTGGATTCCAATATCTGAGCATTTCAGATATGGACGATGTATTACACGGACAAACAGACCCAGCTCTTGGAGATGGAGAGCTCAGTGCAAGTCTTCACATTCTTTCAGACATTTTTGACAAGGCCATTGAACGGTTCCCGGGCGAGGTTCGTTGTTGTGATTGCGGATGGGGTTCACAGACTCTCAATGCTAACTTGAGGACAGCCACTACGCCTGTATTTTGACGCACGCAAACGCATGAAGAGCATAATCGTGTTCGTCGTGCCGGTCAAAGAGGAGGAGATCGATCGAGAACGTGAAAATGCGCATCGTCAGTCAAGAGAGTACCTTGAACGTCTCAACCAAAGTCAGGGCTCTAAGGACGATGCCGTTGTCGAAAAGGAAGAAGTTGAGCTGCTTGAACGACTACTTTCAGAATCTTCTGAGTCGGCCGTGACTGAGGCAGATGCTGCAGTGACTACAGACGATTTCTCCAATCAAAGTGAGAACTCTGCGACCGCCCTTGAGAAAGGTGATGATCAGAGTTCGATCGAGAGTCTGTTGGATTCTGAAGCCATCCATGATGAAGTGAGCAGGCTGCTAGCTATTGCATCGAAAATCCGCATGGAAACGGATGTTCTACAAAGAGAGGGGAACACATCCACACCACGATTTCAACACATCCATAAAATAATGATAGCGGACATTATCAAGAAGACTTACAATTTCAAAAGAGACGTGGCAAAACTTGCAGAGTGCCTCAAAAGGCGCGGAGATATGTCCAATGCCAGCTATGAAGCTGAGTTGATGGATCTGCAAAGGCTGGTCATTGAGCAATCTGAAATAAACACTCGACTTTTTAATGACGCGGAGAGGCAAGGTGTCGTGACAGACAAAGAACTCAAAAATCTGTCAAATGTGCAAACGCTTGAGGCTGCGCTAAAAGCCGCAGCGAAACATTACACCCTGCCACCGCGATACGCTGCGTTCAAAATTCGAGCACAATCGACAATAGATGGCGAGATAACTGAAGAGCCACCAAAGAACGTTGGCAAGGATACGGCGTGGGAACTCACGTACACCATCGAGGATTTGAATGAAGGTGAAGACGGTGATGCAATGTACTTGTCCATGCTGCAGAAGAAAGACTCTGCCGTAATGGCTACGTGGGAGAGCAGACGGATTCAGGAATACTACGAGAGCGGCTTTTTCAAGGAGCTGATGAGTCTTTCGGAGCAAGGCCAGATGTGGAGGAAGGAGAGGGATCGATTAGATGAAGAACAGAAGGTCATTGTGTTTGAGCCGAGAGGATGACGTCTCTTGGTACTGAGAATATCTAGACGTTGCATGGTCCCGCGAGGTCCAGATAGAGCAAGTGATAGACGGGTGTTCGGGTCGATAACAGTTTTTTCTATTCTCTGTTGGCTGGGCTTCAACCTTGTAAAAATACTTGCAGTTGCATGAGCGTAGATCAAGACAGTCATCTACTTCTCCTCAGGTCGGGGGGCCAAGTGTGCATTGATCAAAACAACATGCAACTTGGCTACGTGAAATTGCGCATTCAGTTGGCCTCATGTCGTTCAGCCTTCAACGGAAACAGGCACGTGAAAGCCGCTGGAAGATCCGAATGCGGAAGTGAGCTTCACGGCGGCAATGCAGCATCCTGGGCCGCGCGATGACCTTGACGCTGGAAGATCATCCCATCTGGACGCTCTTGGAGTCGCACCAGCTTTGATCTCAAGCTTTGCTTGGAATAGTTCACCCGCGCAGGTTGCAGACAGGACCGAGTGCATGCTGTAGTCAGTATTGAGCATGATTCCTCATGGAAACGTCGCAGTAAGTTCGCTTCCCTTCCTCCTTCGTTCGCTTCTGCATCAAGTCGTTGCGCGCAGCGTCATAGGTTTGTGCTTGCTGTGCACCTCCCCGTAAACGAAGTCTACCACTCAGCGTCTTTCGTATACCCCAGTGTTTTTTACACCGCATTTCGCCGTTCTGCGTTCATATCTGTATGTCTTGTTCTGACGGATCCGACTTTGGCAGAAACAATTCTTAAACGCTCCGCCGCTGGCGCCAGGACAGCAGCAGCTGTCGGATAGCACGCGCAGAATGCCACCCAGCGAGGATGCCATAAATACCTTCTTCGAGTTCACTGGCGGCGCCGTTGATCGAGCGAAGGCGATCAAGTTCATAGATGGTGCTGGAGGGAATGCCATGAACGCGGTGGAGGAGTATTTCAACAATTCGGCCAAGTACGACGAGGACTGGCAGGGCTGGGACGAGTCTCAATTTCACGCAGATCGCGATGGGAACAATGCAGCTCCGGCAGGCATACCTTGTACGTGGGTTGATTGAGACTACCACAACTGTCGCGTGGGTGAGAAAATGATACTGACGTCGCATTACGCCCGAAGCGTTTACGATAGACGCAGGCGAAGACCAGGGAATCTATCCAGGCAGCTCGAGCGCACCCACTCGCCCACCTTCGCGCAGAAGTAACTACTCCACCAAGTCGGGCCAGGAGAACGGAGTCATCAACGGACTGGGTCAAGACTTGTCCGGCGCCAAATACTTCGGTCCTCCGACAAGAGATGCTGCATACTACGCACCGGAACAATGGGCCATGGTCCCCGTGTCGAGCACGGCACGTGTTTACGACAACCCCGATCCTCCAGACAGGCGGCGGAACAAGGAGAATGGTGAGCCTGTCTGTTTCAAGCCATTGAAAGAGATGGACCCGCTACCGTCATTGATTGCGGTTTTGGGGCAGATCCCAGGCGCAAGGAAGGCTTTATTGTGCGAACACCTGCAGTTGCAGAACTACGGCAACAATCCCAGGTGGTGGGACGGAGAAAGTGCGATGGTGGGACATCCCAGTCTGGTGGGCGATGGTGCATTTCCTCAGCAAGACGTCGTTGCTGAGACACAACGTCTCATGGCATTCATCCAAGAGTCAGACAGATCATACGGGAGTGTTGAAGCGCTCGAAAAGCTTGATGGTCTTAGCAACGAAACCACGGCCAACATCATAAGTAAATCCGGCGATTTCACGGGAGAACTACGTTTTCTTGTGGGCTGGAGCGCGGCTGCCGACATGTTTGGCAGTGCAGTCAATCAGAACGCCTCTGAAACCACACTACATGGAGGTGATGTATTTCGAACGATCATGATGCAGAGAGAAATGGTCGACGGCATTATGGAAGATACACAGCAGCCTATCTATCGGCTTGACTTCACCATGACACAATCGGAGCCAAAGCGAACGCTGTATAATGCCATTGATAGCCAGTTATGGTTGGGCGACCCAACAGGTGAGAGTAATGACGAGTATTTCATTGACCATGCTGCTCCTGTCCTGGTCATGTCGGTTAAGAACAAGCATACCGTCGAAGGTGCAAAAGGGTTGGGCTTACAGGTTCCACCAATATTCTACGCCGATCGATACCTGAGACAACACGCCGCGACGATGAAGCAAATGCGACAGCGCAAGACTGCTCTGCGCAATGATTTGGTAGACATTCAGGAGAGGAAATCGAAGCTTGATCAGACACCACACCCAAAGGATCCTAATGTGATCCTCGATAGGGAAGACCTTTTCAACAGCACAATAGACCATCTGAGGAAGCGAGGCAAACCACCTGCACGGGAGAAGCCGAAGAATGATGGCGAAGATGCAACTATGGAAGAGGCACCAGCTGTTACACGGTGGGACCTTCTGGCCGATAAGTTGGAGAAGTACCATATGAAGCTGCAAAACAAAGTCAGAGGTAGGCTCAAGCCAACTTCTAAAATTTGACTAACAGTCGCTTACAATGTTGAAGATCTTGACGAGCAACGCATCAGGGTTGAGAAGCAGATGTCTGATTTGTCTAACATTCTAACCGAGAACGACAGCACCGACTCACAACTTCAGCCAACGGAGCTCTACAAACTTCGTGGCGTGGGTATTGGGCCAGCTTACGAAACTACATTTGTCTACGTCGACGCTACGCCATCTACTGCACCTTCGGCCATGGAAGCGGACGGCCAATGGTGGCGATTTGAATTCCCCTCGCACGGGAGCTGGACAGCACCGACCAAGATTCCTGTCACGGAGGCAGAGGTTCTCACTGAGACCAGTGACGAGGCCAAGGAAGCGCTTCTTATATATGCATCCAAATCTGCATGCGATCCCGCGAACCCAGCAAATGCAGTTCCGCGACTGTGGCATTACCTTCACAATTTCATACTCAATGATAACGTCTTCTTCGACACCGAGCTTCGCGAGTACCAAGCGCAATTCTCTAATGAAGTTCCAGACAGCTGGAACGACGAGAACCCACCTCCGTACGAGGAGGTCGTGGTCGAACGCGTCGAGAATATAGATATGAATGAGAAGCGAGATGATTGGGTTGAGGATCCCGAATCTCCTGTCGCTCTTGACGCTGAGTTTTCTGCCGACACGACATATGAAGACTTAGATTCGCATAGTCCTGCCGATGTTTTGCGTTCGGGCAGGGGTGTCAGCACCGAGATGAGTGAGATTTCAAGCAGTAATCTTGCTGCTAGCGGAGTTGACGAGTACGGGAGGATGAATGGCAGTTACAGGCACTGGTAGGAATGGCGATATTTGTATCGTAGTGCTGGGGACATTTCGAATATTCCCGTTGTTGAAGTGGATAACCAGCTATTCCTTAGGATAAGCTGGGTCAAATGTCGCTCAGACTCGAATTGAAATAGACCGTGAATCTTGTCGAGCGCGGTCTCGCGGGTGTCCAGCTTTCCGCCAATGGGCGGTGGGGCTTCCGCATTAAGAAACAACAATCCAAAAATTACTCGCGACCTTCGTTTTTTCCAAAAAAAAAAAAAACCAGCGATCTTCACTTTTACAACATTTCTGCGTAGATAGATAAAACGCCATGGCGCAGGGTGCGGTTAAGAAGTCGTCAAACCCTAATGCCGTCAAGAAGAACAAGAGGTATGCTGTCGTCGAGTTCCTGCATCACTGATCACACCCTGCTAACAGCTTGGTAGGCCAACGACACAGAAGCCTCAACGCGGCGCCCGAGTGATTGCCCCCAAGAAGGCCAAGCTCATCGCGAAGCAGAAACTGTTGAAGAAGCACACGGCCGGTTTGACTGCGCTGACGGAAAAAAATTTGGCCGAGAAGGCGGGACATCTCGAGCTTCTGGGCGGTGGCAAGAAGGACAAGAAGGAGCAGCAAAAGACCGCGCAGAGCGGCAAGAAATGATGGACGGAAGTTGACATGACAGAAGAGAAGCTTTGGATCATATTTTTATAGTTTTTCTCTTCACGTTTTCCGAGAAAAAAAAAAAGAAGAAACAAGGGAAATCAAAAGGGCATAGCGACAGGCGTTTTGGAAATAGGTGGGAGACACCCGAGCGAGCTGCTATATTTCGCAAGACGATACCCAAGAAAAATGCTAGTGGTTAGCTACAAGTACATGAGAATATCCAAGGTGAGGAGAAGACTTCACAACTCCGTTCCCGATGAAGAGGCAGATGGCGAGAGCCTGCTCTCATTAGCACGCACGAGGAGGTGGGAGAGGGGCCAAGTTATATGACGCCAGCGCGTGCCGCCTCGCCGGCCGCGGCCTCGTCAAACTCCTGCCTGGCCTTGCCGCGACCGATACCGCCCTCGCCGACACCCATTCTGCGGGCGACATAACGCTGGGCAACGACTCCCGTGACCTGCGAGATGATCTCCTCGACCCATTCAGCGACCCACTCGCGTGGGTCGACGCCACCGCTGTTTATGATCTCGATGATCTCTTCGGGCAACTGCATGTCACCGTCGGGCACGTTCTCGGCATCGAGCCATTCAGCCCATTTGCGGGGAAAGCCCTGGGAGAGCGACTTGAAGGCGAGGGCGTGCACAGGGTCGTACAAGTACACGGCGAAGGCGACGAGTTCATCGCGCTCATTTTCGTCCTGCACGCCGCCAGCCTCAGTCCTCTCCTCAGGCGGTCCCTCGTACAAGCTGTCGTCGAGCTCGTAGCCAACCGGCTGAATGGCGAGGAAGACGTCACTGCTGCGGACAGGGTTGGTGTCGCTGAGGATCTTGGTGGCCTGCTCTGCAGCCTTCTGGAGGCCGCCGCGGGCGTCGAAGAACTCTTTCGCGTACGCCTCGGCGCTGACGCGCGCCAGCTTTGTGCCCTCGCGCAGACCGGCCACGATGCCCATGTCACGGCGCACATGGCCGTCGCGCCACCACGGCCCGTCGTTCCAGCCGCTGGATCCTCCACGGAATGCAGCATCGGATGCGCGCCGCTGCGACGACTCTGAACCGCGCTGAATGACGAGCAGGTCGCCGCCCTCGACCTGTGACATGACGCGCGAAAAGACGGCGTAGATGGTAGGGTCTAGCGACGGGTAGCCGACCAGGTCGTGAGTGATGTGGATTTGTAGGCGTTCGTGCTGCGAGATGGGCGGGGCGATGGTGTTAATGATGCTAGCGAAGGTGGGCAGCGCGCGTGTACGAAGGTCACCTCCTGCAGCAATTAGACATGTTAGAACGGCTATGAAAGGTGCTGGAGGGGGTGTTTGAGAGGGGGAACTGGATGCTGGAGAGCATGCACGACATACCTAGACCTTTAAGATCACCCACTCGGCCTCTCAGCTGTTCCGTCCATTTTTGTGCCTCTTCGTTCTTCTGAATCTCTTTCGCGTACGCTTCGGCCTGCTTGACGGCCGCGGTTGCTGTGGCCGTGATGCCACTGAACCATCCTCCCCATCCGCCTCCGCTTTTGTTCGGCTGCTCACTCGCCGACTTGGTTGAAGAGTCTTTCTCGTCTTGCTGCTGCTGTGCCTGCCTCTCTTCCTCGGCTGTGGGCGTAAGTCCCTGGTGGAAGCTCCTGGTGCTCTCGCCGCTCTTTCTGGGTGGTGCGCGTGCCTTGTTGTCCTCGCTGTTTCTGGTCGAGCCTGCTGGAGTCGATCCGGGGGTCGCTGCGGCTGCCGAAGCTCCAACACTACGCTGTTGACCTAGGGACACCTTTGGAGTGCTGGGCCTGGAGCTTGGTCTGGCTTTGGCGAGAGACTCCAACTCGGCCAGAGGGTCGTCCGCGGGCGGTGCAGCTGCAGTGGATTTCGGCTTCTGCGTCTGCTTGGACGAGGAGGACTTGGACGTGGATTCTTCGAGCGTCTCGAACTGGGCGAGCAGCTCTTCGTCCGTAAGGGGTTTCTTCTGGGCCATAGCTTAGGGTCGAGAGTGAGATGGTGCTCCGCGAAACGAGGTGCCAGCACGGCGGCGACGAAGCGGGAGGAGAGATTGGGTCTGCGTGCGTGTGTGCGCGTGCGTCTTTACGTCTGCATGTGTGGGCAGGAGTGTTCCTTGGCGTGATTGAGATCACGTACGTATGAGCAGACGAGGTACGTGTGTGGACAGGTGCGGTGGTATAGTTGTTTGGTCGTCTGTGTTGGTACGCTGAGCGTACGCAAGATGCGGGCGGACCAGCCCCCATCTGCCGCGGGACCCAGTGGCTCGCTCGGCGGCAAACCCAGTAACTGACCCAGTAACTGGTGGGAGGGGGGGGGGCCCAACGGCAGTGGCGGTGGTGGCTACTTGCTGCTGGCTGCTGCCCGTGCTTGCAGCAAAGGTTGCTGTTATTATGATTACCTCCAGTGTTAGTGCCAGCACTGTTTTTTATGCCAACACCGTCGATGCGGCTGCTGCTGCGGCTGTTCCTCTTGTAAGGCCTCCTGCTTGCCTGCCTGCCCTCCGTTTCCATTGCCCTTCCTCGCCCGTCGCCGTCTCCGTCTCGTTGCTCGCCGCGCACTCGTGCAATTCTCTGCGTCTACCCACGTCGACCCACCCGCTTGTGGTTCCCTTGCCAGTCAGGTTAGCGCGTCCCAAAGCGGAATAGTGCCCAGAAATGGGATGAAAGCGTTTTGGAGACATGTATCGCCCTCACGCCGTCAGTCTTTTTCTACTCCTCGTATTTCCACCCCGGCTTCGTCTTAAAAAAGCTCATCCAGTTCAATTCTTTGTCCTCTAACGCCGTCGTACGTCGCGGTATTGTATTCGTCAGTTCTAATCTCTTCTTTTCCTCTCAGGTGCTCTGCTGGCGTTGCGCCAAACCTGGCATCAGCCAACGCTGATCCGAGCCGGTTCACCACCATAAATTAACATTCCATCGAAAAATTCACCCAAATCGGCTTTAAAAACGATGGATTTGCTATCTTACTGCAGCTTATAGTTTTCATCATCGTTATATACTACTAGCTTTTGATTACAATCGTGCTAAACCATCCGAGCCATGCCGCCTCGCGGCAGAGGACGCGGCCGCGGCGGTGGCAGATTGGCAAATCGTGGAACCACCAGAGGTGGTAATAGAGTTGCAAAATCTGCTCCAAGACCACCAGGACGCCCGAGGAGAAATTCGTCAGGCAACCTCAATGGCCATTCCCAGGATCGGTCCGATGGGGATCACGTTCACGCCGTCTTCGAGCCCCCAGGCTTGCTCATCATAGCCGGCATGCTGCCCGAACACTTTCCAGACTATGATTCGGATCACGAGCAGGGCGAAAGCGACTCTCATTCCGACTATGGTTCTGCAACTGCGAAAACGCCGCGAAAGCTGACGGCCAGAGAGCGTCTGCAGGAGACCGAGCATGCTTCCAATCCTGGAAACGACGATGATTGGACCGAAACAGATGTCGAGATCATGGTCGCCCCAAAGACCAGAGGCTTTTACCGTCCACCACCCAAGCGAGAGGTGGTCCGGAAACGAGTCAAAAAAGCCGAAAGCTCTCGTTACGGCGATGCTTTTCCGCAACTTCGTAATGGCAGCGCCTCGGAAGATGCTAGCGAAGACGCTCTGCCATCGCGTCGCTCGTCTCAAAAGTCAAGTCACGAGAACGCTGACCTCCCCGTCATCGTGGAGCAGGAGGCCACCGATGAAGACATGAATGCCAAAAGCACGTCTTCTGCCGTCACCGCGAATACGGCCAACAGCGTCAAGAAGTCGAGGAAAGATGCCACACCTGAATCATCGAAGCCACGGCCCGAGATTGTGGACGAGGGTGAGCTTTCTGAAGCAGACTTCCCTACCGCATTCCTAAAAAAACCTCCAACGCCTCCAATAGAGAAATGCGATGACCGAGCCGACTGGATCATGCGTAAGCTCTTTGCCCCAATGGGAGACCCGCAGGCTTTCGTCTCCGCTCTCACGAAGCTGGACCCCTCTACCCGCAGCACCGAGGTGCTCTACGATCTCGCATTGAATGCACAGCGTGCCATCAAGGCTTGGCAGGACGAGTACCTTGAGCTCGATCAGATCACTGCCCCGAAATCGAACCCTCCGAAAAAACCTCTAACCGGTGGCCGCATGATCATCGATCCCTTAATTTACGATGACATGCTCGAAGCAGACCTTTACGGCTATAACTACGACTCCAAAAAGGCTCCAGGGATGCAGGACCCTTTCCGTCAACGCGCAGGGGGCGGAAAGTTCGTCGGTGGACGCGAATTACGCCAGCGAAGGGGCCGCGACGTTGGCCCCGTTGAGCTCAGTGAGCCCGACGCGACAGACGTCGGAGGCTATGGGACACGTAGACGAAGAGCTGCTCAGCAGCAGAACAACAATCAGCTCGAGGTGCCACCTAGAGGAGTCAAGCGAGTCAATAGCAATCAAGGGTCAGAGGTCGAACTGCCGCCTCGCAAACGTGGCAGGCCGAGCGCCGCAGAGAAAAGCCTCATGCAATCGAGGGTGCGACAGCTTAGAGAGGAGAGCGCCGCAAGATCAACGAGCAGCGAGCGAGATGTCAGATCCTCGGAGCCTCCGCGGCGGAGAGGCAGACCGCCCGGTAGCAAAAACACAATGCCTAGGTCGGACGCTGGAATCAAAAAGGGGCCAAGAAAACCAAGAACTACCTCTACCCAAGCAGACGGTGAGAATGCTTCGCTCGATCCCGCAGAAGCTGCCACGCCTGCCTCCGGAGACGACAGCATGATCGTCGATGATGCTGCGCCAGCTTCTCAAGTCAACGGCGTCGAAGCGAATGCAAGCACAGGTCAAGAGCACAGCGTCACGAACGGAGAGCCACCCGCTCCACCTCCTGCTCAAACTGGCACGAGTGCAAGCACTCCTGGTCCCGACGGGTCAGCTCCAAAGGAGAAAGATCCCAAGAAGCGCGTTCGATCGGAAAAACGCTCCAAGAGCATGACTGAGTGGTGGGCGGCACGTAAGGCTAAGGCCGCCGAAGACCGCAAGCTGCAGCTGGCCCAACAGGCTGAGCAGGATCGCATTGCAGAGGAGCAGGCTCGTGCCGCGCATGCAGCGCATCAGGCACATTTTCCACCCCAAGACGCGAGATACTGGCCGCAGATTGCTCCGCAGCATCAACATCAACATCATCATCATCATCATCATCAGCATCATGCTCCACAGTCTTATCAGGGTCCGCCCCCACAAACACATCCTCCTCCTCCACCTCCGCCGCCGCCGCCATTTGCGTCTCGGCCACAATCGCAAACGTACCAACAAAGTTCGCCTCAGCAAGGTCCGCCTCAGCAAGGTCCGTCTCAACAAGGTCCACCACAACATGGTCAATCGCAGCATGGTCAATCACAGCGGGGTCCGTTGCAGCATATTTCATCTCAGCATCAACCGCCTCCCTTTTCAACACCTCAGCATTTTCATTCACAAACGCCTCCGTCACAAAACGTGAGGATAGAACCCCCAAACACACAACCTCCCCCGCCAGTGGCGCATCCACATGGATTGCACACCCAAGGGCTACCTCCGCCAGAGCGCCAGCTACAACAAGTCCCTTCTTCAGAGCAGCAACACATTTCGGTCAAAAGTCACCAACAAGGCACATCGCATACATCTCAATCGAGTTCCACCTCGGGATTACCGCCTATCTTGGCTTCCAAGCAGCCCCCTCATCAGCCGCCGGCACCGCAAGCGTCATTTACGAGTCTTCCCGCTCATTCACCTCCGCAACATGTCTTCCAAGCCCATCCTACTCCGTCCGCAGCGCAGGCACCGGCACAGTACTCTCCACCCAACCCCCAGGAGGCACCTAATCGCCAACCATCCCCTCTTCGCCGCATCATCAATTATGTCAGCGACCCGTCTAAGGCAGCTCAGCCTGCAGGGCCTCCCTATCAGTCCATTATGACTCCAGGCGCGACTAGTCCATCAATCATGCACCAAGGTAGCCAGACCAATCGTCCAGACAGCCGTGGGCGGAGTCCACCAGCAACTGCGGGCAGTTTCATGAGCGCGTTTCACATCAACAACCACACGTCTCGACCTCCTATACCTGGGACTGGTAGCTTCAGATCAGAAACACCAGCCAAGAACACATTCACGAACTACACGGCTCCGCCTGTAGCAAGACAGCAAGGCCGCATGACAGGTGCGCAAGTGCAGGATCTTGCGCTTGCCGCTGTGCAACCGGCGCAAAGGAAGCCACTTGAAGATGTCTTGAAAGAGCAAAGAGATTGGAGGTCCAGAGATCTTTCCCCTCCACCGCCGCCACCACCTCCGAGCGGGCCAAGACCCTTATTCAAACTACAACCAGCGCCGTTAAACGGCCCTCCTATTCTCCCTCAACCAGCTACTTCTAATATGGATCATCCGGCAGGCGCACAAAGTTCGCATCTTTCTCACCACCAAGATCGCGGCCCAACGCTACCTCGCTTAACACAACAATCGGCCCCTGGGCCTTTTGTACCGCGTCCATCCTCAGCGGCCAGTAGACCCATGCTAGGCTCGTCCATCGCGGCTATACTGTCGCACAGTCCTCCCTCAACTCAGCACGCTCAGATGGCGTCTAAGTCTACAGCCAGGCAACAGCTTCCTCCACTGATGCCGAACCTTGACCGCGATAAGCTGGAAGAAAAGTCCGCAACGAGCGGACCTTTTGGAGGAACTGCCGATAGGCACAGAAGCATCAGTGTCAGTAGTCAAGGGCCACCCCTGAGGTTTGTAGATATGCATCGAGGCGACCGGAGGGGAAGCTCGGCGGGACCCGCGCAGCATGGTTTCCCACCTGACAAGCATTAAAATGTTATTTCTCTTGTTTAATTCTTTTTCCTAATCTGTCTCCACATCATAGAGTGTCGTGTTTGTCTGTCTTCGCTGTTGCTGTTGTTGTTTGTTTGGATAGTATGTATATACGAATACCCTACGTACTAGTGTCCTATCACTCGCTTTTCTGTAATGCTAGCTTGTACGCATGTTATTTCGTTTCTTGAACATCAACTGAACCGTGCCGCGCTTTCGCGACAGATCCCAACCACAATCGTGAGCCACTCGCCTCTTGCGCTGCTTCGCGCTCATTCAACTACGAGCAGCCAAATGTGCTCGTGTAATTAGTATGTGGGCAATTCCGTCAGGAAATTGAATAAAAAAAAAGGAAAAGAAAAAAAGGTCGTGCACAGAGAGTAGGATTCACTTGTTTCCTCGTTTGCTCGGTTGACTACATGATTTTAGACGAAACGCATGAGAGGGAGGCGGAGGGGGGTTAAAAGAAAAGAAGAAAAAAAAAAAGAGAAAGGTTCGTCACAAATGCCGGAATCTCTCTCGCTCCCGTGGGACCCAACTCCAACGTTGCCCCCTCCCCCCGATCATGTGTATGTGATTGTGTGTGTGGTATGATATGTGGCGTATGCATGCGAAAAGCAAAGAAACCAAACAGGACCAACTCCGACCCCATACCCAGTCCAGGCACGTTCACGACGTACGAAGTGTATCCCTGTCACTCGTCCCTGTAAAACTTCCTCATGAGCAAATGAACAAGGAGATTGACGTTGAGCCGCAAGGGGCCTTCGACGGGTCCGCCACGTCCGCTCTCGTCCTCCGATCCGAACAGGTTCATGAACTGGCAGTTGTTGAACTGGGCTTGCAGCAGGTCGTCCAGCGGTACGCTCGCGGCCGCGCCGGGGATCATGAGGCTGCCGATGCTGCCCTCGATGTGGAAGATGCCGACCTCGTCGCTCGAGATGGTGACGTCGATCTTGTCCCACTGGCGCTCGGAGTAGCCGCGCCAGGACACCAGCACGCCCTTCTCGGCCAGGTTGCGGGCGGAGTACTTGAAGGAGCCGAACTTGGGCACGCGGCCGGAGCGGGCAAGCTCGCGCTCGTGGTTGTACTGCTTAGTGAAGGGGAGGAGGAAGCGCTTCTTGCCCTTCGCCTTCTGTTGCAGCGTCACCATGGCCTGCTCGATGTAGTCGTTGTACGACTTCAGTTGGTCGTCGAGCCACGCCGCCTTCTCGTGCAGGGCCGCAAGCGTCATGCGCACGTTGTCCATCTCGCGGCTGCGCTGGATACGCCGGCGGTGCTTGGTGCGGATATCTATCGCGATGGCGTTCAGGAGATCCTGGTAGTGGTTGACGCGTGAGATCTTGCCCGCTCGCTCTAGGTCGAGAATATTCTGCAACGCGGTTCGTTTCAGCTCCGAGTAGGTGAGCTGGGAGATGTCAAGGAGGGAGGAAGAGGTGCTATATGGGCTTGACTGGCGCCGGGGGTTCTTGCGCGCTTCGAGGATCTCGTCATGCACGAGCTGTTGCCACTTCTGCTCTTCTGCCTGTGTGATCGGTCGCACCATGATGTCAAGCAGATTGCTGCCTTGCTGAACGCGAATGATGTACAAAACACAGCGTTTCGTCTCCATGAAGAGAGCTTTGAGAGGCGCATCAGGGTCTAAAGAGTGTTAGCTGTGATGGCTTAAGTAGAGGGCGGAGCGATTGCAACCTACCTTCGACGTCATGGTATTTTGGATTGAGAGTCAGGGTGATTTCCGTCGAGCTGACATGCAGCATATCATTCTCGTTGTTCTTCGCGCTGCCAAGCTCACGAAGAGTATCATGAAGCGGATCGTTGCGCTCGGGGCATATCGAGGCCATCTCCGAGGAGACTAGCTGGTGGATTGCGAAAATATCCGGCAATTTGATGTACAGAGTAGGCTTTGTTCTCGCGTACAGGTCATTAAACTCATCGATATCGAACTGCTCTTCTGCCGCGCGAACATCGATCACTGGAATCATAGTCAGCACGTTTGTTCCGTCTCTGGCATGAAAACATACTCTTTGCCATGGTTTCATCAAGCCTGACTAGAGCATCCGAGATGAATGGATTGATAGGCTGCAAATACACGTTCTCTCCGCCAAACAGCCTACCTAGGCAGATCTGGCTCACAACCTTCGACACTTCGCCAAGGTTTCGTTTCTGCAATGGCGACATGCCACGATCTACCACCCCCCATGTGTCTGGCTGAAGTAGAGCAGGCTGGATGTAGGACTTCCAGAGCCAGTTTGCAACGATGCCCATCAAGTACTGAGGAGCCTCGTGTGGGAACCGAGCTTGGAGGATATAGAACATTTGCTGGGCAATGTAACGGATTCCATACGGCATCTTGGGTAGGGTTTCCTCAAAACAGACCATGTAGTGGTCCACGATATCTCTAAGCTTCTGCAGATGGCGCACATATGTGTCTCTCGTCTCGGGGTCCTTGATGGCTATCTCCCGGGGAATGTCTGCAGGTCGTCGACTTCTCTGACCGGTTCGTAACTCCTCGTTATTGATGGCTGACTTGTAAATCTGCATGGGATCGCTCTCGAGGTCTAACTTCTCGTCTTCCATGATGTTTTCACGGATCACCGGGCTGAGCATCTCCCGAAGAAACTTCCTGTAACGTGGCAGGCGCATGTAATTGCCAAGAAGCTTGCCCCAAAAGAAGTTGCCCCGTAAATAGTCCTGGAGGGTACTACATGCGTCAACTTCTTCCTTAATCGACCTGGTGATGACTTTCAGCAAGTAATATTCCTCTCGTCGCTTCTGGACCTGGCCGAAAATTGTCATCATAAGCAACTCCATCCTCTTGCTTTCCTGATCGGGCATTGCTCGTTCCCGGAGCCTTCTGAATAGTCGTGCAAGATAGTGCGGTTGTGTCTGCAAAGTGAAAAATAACTCCTGATAGAGTTCGAGCTTTTTTCGTGAGTTTTTGTTGAGAGCTTTTAGGTCGAAGGGGTCTTTCGAATTGATATCCTTGTTCGTGAGCAAGCTACCGACGTGCCCGCCGAAGTGTCTCTGATGCTTTATGACTTCATCAAGAGTGATTTTGTTCTTCACGAGCAATGCGATCTTTACGTCGAGTTGATCGATATATTGCTCTGCCAGTTCATTCTGACGCACTTGCTGGACAACAGTTTTTCGCAATCGCTCGAATTCTATTCTTCTTAGTACGCATGTCAATACTGAGCGTCATATTCCACATACCAATTTCTTCATCGAAGTCAAAGTCGCTGTCGTTCAGGAGATGGACGAAGTTCTTGACAATACCCACTGGTGGATTCTTGCCACTGGTCAAGGTCTTGTAGGCTTCACCCTGCTGCCGCGCTCGCACAAAACTTTGAATCTTAATGACCTTTTTCATGTTATCCTGGAAATATTTCTTTTTCTCGGCGAATTGTACGCGAATCTTGCGCCCGCGTATCAGCGATTGCAACTCGCAAATAGCTTCTTCGTTCTCTTCTAGCTCCATAAGGTCCCGGCCGATGCGTGCGTTGCACTGCTGCTGCCGAATAATGCTTTGGAGTGTCGCAAAGGCATCTTCATGTTCATAAAGAGCGTTCAAAAACTCTTCAGTCCGCTGGCGCTGAGTGAAGCCTCGCACAGCGGATTGGAAGTGCGTTATGGCGCTGGATGCCCGGTTCATGGCCTCCCTGTCAGCTTTGAGTGCTCGACGCAAGCATAAACCGCGCATTTGTGATTGAAGAGAGATCACATTCGACTCTTGCTCACGTAACGCAGCTTGCGTAGCTGCTATCCGCCGCCGTAGAAGACAAGCACGTGCTGCAGCTTGTAGAGCCGAGTATGTAGAGGTATTAGCCAGCAACTCCTGCCTCAAACCATCGAACCAAGCACGAGTGGCTCGGCCACGGACGACAGATTGAAGGCGCTCCCACTTAGTTGCTTCTGTGCGTAGCTGTTCCTTGACTTCCGTATGCTCGCGTCGTGCAATCATGGCTCGCGCAGCGGCTTGTAATTTGGTCACCAAGGATTCTTGTTGCCGTAATGTCGTTCTGTTTGTCCGATGCGACCTTCTCTGAAGCAGGCCTCTAGCCGCGGCTTGAAGCTGTTGTATTTCAACGCTCGCCTCGTGCAGGTCGTCGACCTGGTCAGCGATTTGCTTTCTTGCCAATGCACCGCGGATTGCAGCTTGAAGCCCTTGAACACAGATTTCGGCTTCCCTTGTCGCTTGAAGATCGTCGCTAAAAAAGAGTGTTATGATTAGTAGTGCTCAGTTGAAGTTTGGACCAGAAGGACGTTATGCTGAGTGTCGCACTTCACACCCGAAGCGCTTCATTTCAGCCCATGCTCTACAGGTACATGACGATTTTGAAGTGGGAAATGCTAACGTTTCAGGGTGCTCGAACGGAAGTGCTCTTACCTTGCTCTGCACCGCACGATGAAGCCTCGAGCGGCACTCTGTAATGCCACCGCAAAGCGGCGCATGTCGCGTTTGTACTCAAAAATCTCTCGAGACATATCTCCTCGAATTTTAGCTTGCAACAACGTGACCCAATCTTCAGCATCCCATAGTTCTTGCATTGTATCTCCAAGGCGCAATCGCGTCATTGCTCCTCTGATTTGCGCCTGAAAATCCATTATAGCCTCTTCCTCTTCACCAAGCTCTCGCTCAACGCGTTCTTCCTCCGTTTCTTCAGGCTCAGGTTCAGGTTCAGGCTCAGCGCCGAAAGTGGCCCCCATACCTGAGAAGTTCGGCATAGCGCCGACTTTGTCGAGGCCTTTTTGTGTTGCCTCCAACTCGTGATCTTCGAAAGTAAGCTGCCCAACTAAGTTGCCAATACGGAAGTCTACAATCCCTTTCCGATACAGCAGCCATGACAAAGCATGTATACAGTAAATGACCTTTGGGATGTTTTTCTTGTCATACAGGTCGACCAGCTCGAACCAGAACAAATCGGGCAGCTCCATCTCGGCGAGAAAGTTGCGGAAAATGGCAATGTTGTCCCAGTGACGCGCTTGTAATCTCTCGTGCCGGAAAATACGATAGTGACGGTGTGGCTGCAATGCTTGAGCAACTTCTGCCAGCGTCACACCGTCTCGAAGGGTCTCTTCGAGCTGGACAATCGGAGGAATGGCCTTCTGAATGATGTCCTCTATCCATTCTTTCGCTTCGCCAATATGGCAGAGATACTCGTAGGCCTGCAGAAACTGTCTTTGCTGATCCATCCAGTTGCGTCCTCCCCAGCCGGAATTCGCTTTGCTGGCACGGATCGAGTTTGCTCGCTTCAGCCTGCGACGGCCATGCATGCCAACGACCTCCGAGTCTCGAGACACCAGAGCCAGGTCTTGGTCGTCAAACTTCGACAACGTCTTGAAGTGTCCCGTCGAAGACTTTTGAAAGTCTTGGACGTGTGGCGTCTCAAAGTGCTGGCTGAAGTGCACGTGGTGGCCATTTGCGTGCCGTGGTCCATCCTGTCTTCTCACCGAGTCTGATCTCGACATGACCGTAGATTGGGGCCGCAGGTGCGATGTTGGCGAAACCGGAGAAGCTGCACCGTCAAAACTCTCCTTCCTACGCGCATCATCAACGCTGTAGCTACGACCATGCGATCCAGGCGACTTTGTTGCCGGCGGGGTCGACACAGGAGTGTGTACGGGGGTAGGCTCAGATGAATGCGGTGCGGTTCGCGAAGTAGGTCGGAGTGCTGAGCGCATTGATTGATACGTGTTGGCGGCATTGAACGGCGGCTCGCTCTCTTCTGTTTTCCGTGTTGTGTGTCGAATCGTCGTCGCCTCGCTCATGCCCCTCCGGTGGCCATAGCCGGAGCCGTTGGGCTGCAGATCAAGCCCAGAGTGAGACGAGCTGCTGCCATGGCTGGGAGCGTACTGCTGCGACGAGTACGAATAGCCAGAGGAGTTGGATGATGCAGTCGACGCGTGGCGCAGAGGACTCGGCGACGTCGCTGGGTGTCCGAGGGCCGAGCGAGTGCGGTATGCGTAGCTCGAATGCATGGGAGAGGAGACGAAAAGAAACGAGATGATGTTGGTCAGCGATGGTCCAAGTCCATGTGTCGCAAGCTGATTGCGGCCGCTTCTTGGGTCTCAGAGGGCAGGTGTGTGGTGGAATGCGGATTTGTAGTTTTGTTTGGGCGTCGGGACGGCGGTGCCCGTGGGCCGTTGTTGATGGGGAACGAGTCGTGATTCCCAACGCGGAGCCGGGCGCGAGGACAGGAAAACAACGGGGTACAAGCCTACACCTTATGGCGGTAGAGACGAGAGGAAGAGATTCTCTGCGATAGCTACTGCTCGGTGGTAGGAGCGTCGGGCGTTTTGGGCGTGAGCAGGGCGTGAGGAAGCCGGAGACCAGCACACGGGCGCAAGGCTGGGCCTCAACACCGTTGCTATAGAGACGACGTCCGCATCGGGTTTGGCGTGTTTGTGCACGGGAATTTTTCACCCAGCACCCGCGATTCGCACCGAAACAAGGCTTAGGATGAAGTCATCTTTCGATTCATTTCTCCGTGATCGTGGTGCTTCCGTTTCGTGAGAAAAGGCGTGTCTGCACTCATGGCGACATTGCGTCTTACCTTTTTTTGTGGTGCTGTAACGTCCCCAGGTCAGGTGACACTTAACGAAGGACAAGCTGTGCAGTGTGCACACTGTGCATCAAAAGTCTGCTCGCGCGTAGACTGCTTATGGCTGGATACGAAAGCTGTATTGTGATGGCCGCGAGCGGAATCGTTAGGCATTCACCTATGCCCTCTGGCGATGCACGTCGCTGGTTGGCGCCAAGCTGAAAGGATCAAACGAGACGTTTAACTTTTCTCTCCTGCAAGCGTGCTTCATTTCTGCATTAAAGATCTACCTCTGAATCCCTACCCTGTCCCAATGTTGCCACGCCACTGTTCTGTGTGCAGACATCTCGGGCTGTACGAGGTCGAGAAAGGGCCATTTGCAACGTGCCAGAGAGAAGGAGAGGAACATTCGTCATCTCGTCTACGTGGAACAAGAGGCCAGTCAGCCGATTTTGTGAACGGAAGACTAGACTTCAGACCGGTCCTTTAAAAGAAAAGCCCAGTTTGGCGGCTTTCTCAGGCATTCTGAAAGAAAGGCCGGGCTCGTGGACTCCATGTTTCTTCGGAACAAACTGAGGCTCTCCGCTGACGATCAGCTGTCGTGCATGTCGTACTCTTCGTTGTCAGCTACCGGCCAGAGCTGCGCGAGCTACTCCCGTTGCGAGTCCGGACCTCCCCTTTGTGGCTGGAGCGTGGCCAGACGAGCGGGGAGAAACCACGGCAGCCCCACGCGACGCAACGCAGGACCAAGATCTTCCCCCGCCAAGTGCGCATAATGCGTCTAGGAGCGTCTTCACGTTAGTTGTAACTGATTTTATGATGCCCCGGCGCATGATCCTTACTCTCGGCGCAACACGAGGACAAGGCAAGGGACGGCAGAGGTCCGATGCAAACACGATGCATATAAAGGAGGCGTATTCGCCTACGACTGAAAGACAGCATTCATCTTGTGTTTTATCTCGGAGCAAGCCGAATTTCTACAACACCTTTTTCATACCCGCCCCAAGATGGCACAGACCGAGACCGGACCTGCACTTCTTGCTTCCGTCGAGGATTTCACAAGCCAATCCTTCGACTATGTCGTCTGTGGAGGCGGTCGGTTAAATATCTCGACCCACTCTGTTTGCCTTGACTTACTTGCTCAGGTGCCGCCGGCCTGATCGTAGCGGCTCGCTTAACTGAAGACCCAAATGTAACTGTCGGTGTTATTGAAGCTGGAAAATATCACTATGATGATATGTTTGTCGATGTTCCCGGTCTCTTCTTGGCCACGCTCGGTAATCGTGATTATGATTGGGTTCATCAGACTGTGCCGCAGAAGGGCAACAAGGGCAAGGTGCATCACTTGCCACGAGGAAAGGCGCTGGGTGGCTCGACCGCAATCAACTATATGATGTAAAACATCTTCACTTTCCTCGGCAGAACAAAGCTTACACAAACCTTTAGGTATGTCCGGGGTTCTAGCGCAGATTATGATGACTGGGCCGAACTTACCGGCGATGAGAGCTGGGGGTCCAAGGAGATGAGCCACTACATGCGAAAGCATCAGACCCTTGAGCCAATCGATGAAAAAATCACCGATAGAACTCATTTTCCGTTTGTAGGCGAGTACCATGGTACAAGTGGACCCAGCCGGACGTCCTTCAATCCCTCGTCTCTTCCAATCGAGGAAGCTATCATCAAGGCTGCCGATGATGCGTGTGGTTTCTCGGTCAAGCCAAAAGATCCATGGAGCGGAGACCACATTGGATTCTACAACTCTCTCGGTAGCATCATCAGGACGGGGCCTAACAAAGGGAAACGTAGCTATGTCACTCGCGGCTACTTCGAACCAAATGCAAAACGGCCGAACCTCGAAGTCATTTGCGAATCTCTGGTCCACAAAGTTCTTCTCGACGGGAATAAGGCTACGGGTGTTGAGTTCTCCCATCGTGACAAGACTTACCAGGTCAAGGTCAATAAGGAGGTTATCGTTTCCGGAGGTACTATCAAGAGCCCGCAGATTCTTGAGTTAAGCGGTATCGGCGATCCAGAAATCCTCAAGGCAGCCGGAGTTGAGGTCAAGGTCGAAAACAAGGGAGTCGGCGCAAATTGTCAAGATCATGCCGTCAGCGGAGCAGCCTTCTGGTTAACTCCAGGAGAGCTATCTGCTTCTATCCTGGCAGTCCCAGAAGCCATGAAAGCCGCTCAACAAGAGTTGATGATGAACCAAACCGGGCCTCTCACGTGTGCATCACTAGTCCAAGGCTTCTTCCCTTACAAGCTCTTTGCCACACCGGAACAACTCAAAGAAACAGTAGAAAGTATCAGGAACACACCGACGACGAGTGACTTCCATAAAAAGCAACTCGAGCAAGTGATCAGGCACCTCGAAAGCGACAAGTCTGCCAATCTGCAGATAGTTTTGCTCGGCAGCGCCGGTGATTTTGAGAAAGGTGTTCACGATCAATCGCGACTCTTCAAGTTGGAGCTTGGACCGGAAGGGAATTGCAGCATTTCTATTGCACTCTGCTTGCAGTATCCTGTCTCCCGGGGCAGCATCCACATTACAAGCAATGGTAAGGATAATTTTGGCTCTAAAAACTAAAAATAGAATATATCTGATGTTTCATAGATCCAACGAAGGATCCAGCCATCGATCCAGGCTACATGAGCCACCCTGCTGATAAGCACGTAATGGCAGTAGGCTTCGGCATGGTTGATAAGCTCTCCAAGTCCAAGTATGTGGCTGACAAAATCGCTTCTCGAATATGGCCAGCCAAGGAAGTCGACTTGTCCGATGTCAAGCAGATAGAGCAGCAAATGGAGGAGGTTGTCCTAGGCGAATACCATATCTGTGGGTCAGTCGCCATGGGTGATGCTTTAGACTCTCACTTGCGCGTCAAGGGAGCAGAGGGTATCAGGGTGATTGATGCCAGCGCTTTCCCGAACAACGTGTCCGGGAACATTTGTTCGAGCGTGTACGCACTGGCAGAGAAAGGTGCGGATATTATCAAGCGTGATAATGGACATGCTTTAGTTTGAGGGATTTTGACCATAGCAACTGTAAAGAAAAAATTCGAGCGGTAACACGCCGTCCCAAGGAGATATTCTGCAAAATTCATTTAAATCAGGGCATTCTGAAATAAGAAATCACGGTATGACCAAGAGACCACAGTCAAGTCCTCTTGCGACTTGCGTCCACGCGGTGATTAGACAGTTCGGTCACGTGCCTTGAGTTCATGGTGTTATATCTTAAGTAAGGCATGAAGGCATCAATGCCTAATCCCTGTCGCTTCAACCTGAATGCATCGCGACTTTTGACGAGACTAACTGGAAAGCTGAAGCCGGACACACATTTCCGTCTCGTAGCGGCCTGAGTATTTTTGCATCTAGTCTTCTTTTACATCTCCAATTTTGCTTCTATCTATGAGCGCTTCGTTAATATAAAGGACTTGCGCCGCAAACGCGCACAAACTCCTCCCCAATCGTCTTCCGCGAACGCACTTTGCCTACATCCTCCTCCTCAGACTTACACCAGCGCGGTGCCAATATGGCCGATGCCAACGGTGCCAATGGGCACGCCGTAGTCGACAATGATCGGTACGCATGGATGCCAACGACAGTTGATATTCCGCTTGGAGAGGGCGACGAGACGGACGTGGTCGAAATCTCACTTACAGAATTATGGGACGACCCGACGGAGCTGTGCACGCTGCTAGAGAATGAGAACATCAAACCGGACTTCTGGTTCTTGACAGCGCTCGCCTATGCGAAGCAGCAGAAGATGGACGTTGCCATTGGCATATTAAAGCAAGGCTTGTCCAACTTCTCCGGCCCCAAGCAGGCGCAAGATCGACTCGGCATATTGAATGCGCTGTGCTGGATGTATTTGTGGAAGTGTAGGGATGCGCCCAGAGTGTCTGTGGATAATGTGGTAGATGCGCCAGCGTTCTGGGCGAGCAGTACCCAGATGGCGAGCATGAACGGGGCTCCTGGTGGAGAAGACAGCGTTAAGACAAAGGAGCATTGGCTGAGAGAAGCTACTGGCGCTCTTAACGAAGCATCGAGGATTTCACCCTCGTATCCACCTGTCTTTCTTGCGAGAGGCGTACTTTCCTTGCTTCGTGCGTCACTACAGCGACCGGAAGAGCGACAGGACAGCTTGCGGCAGGCGTTGAAAAGCTTTGACGACGCGCTGAGGTCATCCGGTAACCGCAACATCATGGCCACAATGGGAAAAGCAAGGGTCCTTTATGCTATGGGCAAATATAGCGAAGCTTACACAGTTTATCAATCCGTGCTTAGAGCAGCCCCCTCACAAACGGATCCTGACCCGCGAATTGGCATCGGATGTTGCTTGTGGCAGCTTGGTCACCACGAAGAGGCGCATAACGCGTGGCAGAGGGCTCTTGAATTGCGACCGAATTCAAAGACTGCCCTGATGATGAACGCACTCTACTGGCTGCACGCAAGTTCTCAGCTTCCTACCACCGATCCAAAGTTCCGCCCGATGTACAATAGAGCCATGCAGGAACTGACACAGAAGGCTTGGAAAGTGGATAATCGATATCCAATCATAAACTCGACGTTTGGCAACTTTTTCATGACTATGAAAAGATGGCCTCAGATGCAGAAACTTGCGAAAACGGCGATTGAGCAGTCCGAAGTCAGTGCAATTGCTAGTGACGGCTGGTACTTGTTGGCTCGTATGGCTCATTCACAAGGCGAGCTTAAACAGGCACTGGAGTTCTATTCGCGATCGGACCAGGCACGAGGAGGTGATGGGCGTGGAGGCGACGACAAAGGTTATCTTCCTGCTAAGTTTGGCATGGCTCAAATAAAAGTGCTGCTCGAAGATAATGTCGACGCGAAGTTCAGACTTGAGAGATTGTATCGCCAAAATCGGTCTCCAGAAGTTATGACCTTGCTTGGCACCCTCTATGCGGAGGATTATTTTGCAAACTCGATCATGGGCGCCAAGGATGAAGATAAGGCTGAAGCTTGGAAGAAGGCAGTTTCGCTCCTAGAGGCAGTACGCACGACGTGGAAGGACCCCAAACGAAAGTACACTGAGGATCCCGATGTTCTACTCAACCTTGCGAGACTGTACGAAATCGAATCTCCGGAAAAGAGTATGCAATGTCTCCAGCACGTTGAGAGGCTACAGATTGAAAAGTTGCCCGAAGACAAGAGAGAAGTGGACGAAGGCGAGGATGCTGATCGCGCGATGAGGATACAACTGCCACCAGAGCTGATTAACAATATCGGCTGCTTCCAATTTTTGGCCGAGAAATACGCCCAAGCGACGCAGAGCTTCCAGGATGCGCTTGACAGCTGTATTCGTGTGAATCAGGAGGATGTTGACAACGAAGTTGATACGGACGCCCTCATTACGTCAATCAGCTATAACCTTGCACGCAGCTATGAAGCTCAGGGTGACGAGCAGAACCTTGCCAGAGCGACCGAGACATACGAAGGGCTGTTGAAGCGTCATCCCGGTTACCTTGATGCTCATGCAAGATTAGCAAAGATGAAACTCGATTCAGATCCGTCAGGCGAAGGTCCCAAGAAGATTTCTGAAGTATATCACAGTGCAGAGGACAATCTAGAAATCCGTGCCCTCTATGGCTACTATCTCAACAAGGCTAAGCGGAAAACCAACAACATTGCCGAGGACCAGGAGCAGCGCCATATGAAGCACACTCTCCGCGATTACAATAAACACGATCATTACTCGCTTGTAGCTATGGGTAATGTTCACCTCGCGATCGCGAGAGAGATGGATCGCCTCACAGACCAAGACAAGGAAAAGCGTCGGAAAATGTATCACAAAGCCGTCGAATTTTTCGCTAAGGCACTTGAGCTGGATGAAAAGAATGCATATGCCGTGCAAGGTCTTGCAATCGCAATCACAGAAGATCAGAAAAATCTCTCCGCAGGTATCCAGCTTTTCACGCAAGTGCGTGAGGTACTCAAGGACGTCAGTGTGTACATGAACTTGGGTCATGCTTATTGTGAGCTGAAACAATATGCGCGATCCATTGAGAATGTAAGCAGCCATACTGAATCTCAGATGATCCATACGCTAAATTTCAGCAGTATGAAGCAGCTTTGCAGAAGGATGGTGGTAGAGATGCCACTCTCCTGGCCTGCTTAGGCCGCACTTGGCTTCAACGAGCGAAACAAGAAAACAGCCTTCAGGGGATGAAATCGGCGCTCGACTACTCCCAACGGGCCTACGAGGCTAGCCGTCACAGCGTGCCCTTTAAGTTTAACGTCGCATTTGTTCGCATTCAGATTGCACAGCTCCTTTTTGCTCTTGATAAATCCAAACGCACGTCAGCAGATTTGCAATCCGCTCTCGAAGGTCTCGACGAAGCTGTTCAGGCTTTCGAAGAAGTGGCTCAGAGCCCCAAACCACCGTATCCGCAGAGAGATATCGAACAGCGTGCAGTCATGATCCGAAACACGATGCGAAAACAATTGGAGCGTGCGTTGGAGGAGCAGAATGAATATGAACAAGCAAATGCGTCACGTCTGGCTGAGGGCAAAGCGCGTCTCGAGGCAGAAAAGCAGGCTAGGGAGGCAGCAGAACGCGCTAGAAGAGAGAAGGAGGCCGAGCAGCGGGCAAAGATTATGGAGGAGCGGAGGAAGATGCAAGAACGTGATCAGGAACTCGCAGCCGCAAGGGCAGAAGAGGAGAGGCGGCGTGAGGAGGAGATGATGACCACAGATGAGGAAACAGGGGAACGGAAGAAGAGAGTCAAGAAGAAAGGACAGGGTGGGAAGCGCAAGAAGAAGGACGTCGATAGCGAGAGTGATGGTGATGGTGGAACATCCAGCCGGGCACGTAGTCGCAGTGTTGTGGACGCAGAGGACGAAGGAGAGCCACGTCGAAAAAAGAAGAGGACGCTACATAAGAAAGGCAGGGCCGAAAAGCCGGGCAAATACAAGTCAGCCGAGTTTATCAACTCGGAGGATGAGGATGATGACGATGGAGTTGCTGCGCCGGCTGCGAATGGCGATGAGAACGGAGCTCCCACACCGGAGGCTCCAGCTGATTCCCCTCTTCCGGAGATTGACGATTTGCCCAATGAAGATGGTGTTGAAGATGAGGAGGATGAGGAGGAAGCAGCTGTGGCGACGAGAAAACGAAGGCCAGCAAGAATAGTGGAAGATGAGGACGAAATGGATGAGGATTAGTACTCAAACACTCGAAAAACGAGCACGGGCAGTGCTGGCGTGTCTAATTACTTTATCTGCATCAAGCCTCGGCGTTGGGCAGCACTTTCGGAGATCTTAGAATTAGCAAGCCGTATATCAGCGGGATTCGGACAAAATGAGAAACGCCTCTAAGTGTTGGGCAGGCACGAGCACGTATCTTCCATCGTCTTTCTTCATTGGCGATTGCTTTCAGGAAGAGCAAGGACACAGTTTGGCCTGATCTGTCAGCTAAAACCAACGTTTGCTGGTGTCGTTTTCTGCCGTCTCCCACAATATCATTTTCAGCCATTCTGGTACAAACCGTCGTACACCGACACCGTGCTGCGATATTTCAATGCCCCTTTTGGTCTTTTGCTTGCTGCCTATGATCCACGACAACAGCTTCGCTGCGTCAACACTCCTTGCTCCGCGAACCGAGTCTGCTTTATTCGTCGAAATCTCGGTGCTTACAGTACCCTCCTTCCGCAAACCCCACGAAGCTCGACCATCTAATCGTGCTGGACCAATCACTACTGCGACGCTCATACAATCGCCGTGTGGAGCCTGAGTGCACTACACTCATGCTGGCTGGTGCGAAAGCTTTTAAGAATACGTCAACTCCGTGGATCTCGTCCTTATGACTCACTCAACTTCGCCTTGGAACCGTGGACAGTGGTTCAGACGCGCCTAACGGTGTGCGAGACTGTGAGTAATCACCCAAGTCTAGCAAGCAGCGTCCTGGACAGCGTGACGGATTGATTTGTGTCTTTATTCAAATATAGGCTGCCTGCCTGCCGGCAGCATAGTTTATACGGAGAGCTATTATTCGTAAAGATACTTTTTTAAAGAGAAAAAAAAATCAATTCTGGAGACATGATCTTGTAAGAAGACAGAAGGCTCTGAGAACTTGTCGTCGTTGCATGCTGAACTAGGCGTGGGGTTTACACTCGCGGTTTGAGCTTTTAACTATGCATGGCCTATAACGATGGTTCAAGCTTCATTTGAAAAAACGTTGCTTTGAGCGATGGATTTGACCACAAAGGGTAACAACCGACCTAATTACATCGTCGGCACTCAACGTATGCCACACGCGTATTCCTCATCTTTTCCATACACGACTGAATTCATCTTTTCAAATCTAAGCTCAATCTCAAGGCCTGCAGCTTAAAGCATGTACTTGAAGGTGATAGCCCTGTCACCCATTTCGCTGAGTTCCTCGTGGGTGTACTTGTTATGCTCTCCCGCAGCCAATTTACGAGCCTTTTTTCTGTTAAGACGGTTGTAGTTGAAGGCGAGGAAGGACGAAGCCATGATACCTGCGATAACAAACCCAATCTCTAGCGCGTGACCGAGAGTGTATCGTGGGGCATCGGCCTGTCTGTAAAAGTTCGAGGCCATCGCTGTATTGTACGTTCAGGGAATAGGACTTGGACGAGAACTTAACATTTTGGCTTACCTCCGGATAAATTTCCTCCTGCGATGTGAATAGCCATCCCTACTGCGCGCTTGGCGCTTCCGGCCAGATTGTTTGAAATCAATGCGATATTGCCGGGGTACGAACCATACTGTAGTGTAAAATCAGCTCCGTTGCAGGTATGATGTTCATCATATTACTTACAACTCCAGCCGCCGCAATGAATATACCTGCGTAGACAATCCCAGGTTTCCCACTCGAGATACACATGATGAAGCCGACAAGAATGACGAATTGCAGCGGGATTATGAAGATCGTTCGTTTGCCAACGCGGTCTGAGAGCCAGGCGAACCCGACAGCACACATGGCTGCGAAAACGTAGATGGGCACGGTCAAAAGCTGCGCCTCGGTCGACCGATAGCCCAGATCTTTGATGATAGTGGGTAGGAACAACGCAATACCATAGAGGGGGGCGACTATACCCCAAAACATCCAAACCCCCACCCAAACTTGCCAGTCAGTGAAGGCATGTTTAACGTCCTTCCAGGAGAGCTTTGCTGTCTCGGCGACGTGTGACCCTACTTGGTCTTCTGACTTCTGGCTTTGGTACTTGAGTCGATAAACGACGAACGCCCGTTCCTCTGGAGAAAGAAACTTTGCGGTCTCCGGGAAATCGTAGACAGTGAAGAAAGCAACTCCAGCCACTAAAACCGTCGCGATACCCTAGTCGACGTCAGGAAAAGAGCATGGCACTGTAAAGAAGTTCAAATACCTCTAAAATAAAGATCCATCTCCATCCTTCTTGACCAGCGATTCCATTCATGAAGGAAATCCCATACGCAAGGAGACCAGAGAAGGCGCCGGCAATAGCGACAGCTGAGAAGAAGAGAGAAAATCGCCATTGATACTCGTAGCGCGTATACCACCTGGTTTTGGACGTCAACTAAATGCACGACGATGACCAGTATAACGGCGGAGTTTCAGATATATGTCCAAGTATGATCCTTCGAGACGGGGAAACATACATGCTCAAATAAAAGCTCACGCCCGGGAACAGACCAGCCTCAGTGATGCCGAGAAAGATTCGAGCTGTCAGAAGCCCTGCGTAGCTTTGTACGAGTCCCATCAAGGTCATGACGGTTCCCCATGCGACCATGATGGCCGGAAGCCAAATGGAAGGCCGAATCTTCTTGAGGATAACGTTGCTGGGCGGTTCAAAAGCACAGTAAGTGAAGAAGAATGCAGTGAGACACTATTCGGAGGGAATTAGGACGAGACTTGAAAAGCTGAGCTGCATCACACAAACCCAATTGTACTGTCCGGGTGTGAGATGCAGGTCTTCCGCAAGCCCTTCGATTTTGGCATTTCCCTTCGGACACGGGTCAGCACACGCACAGGATCTTGAATGAGAGACGATGTGCTCACGATGTTGCCTCGGTCTATGAAGGACAACAGATACAGGGCGGTAAGTGTTGGCAATAGATGCCAATCCATTCGTCTCAGCAGCTTCTTTTCGTTGATGTGAGCAAAGTCTGCTCTGCTGACTCCGGGCGCAGTTGCTATCGCGTCAATTTTCCTAATTTCCTCAGCTTTCGAACCAGTCCGACGACTGTGGTCGCCGTCATATTCATCCCGAGCCACAACGATCTTCTCGTCTACCAGCTCGGCCATGTTAGCGCGATGTCAAATCGAACCGTCTAATTCTAGAACGAATAGAAAGGGATCAGGAAAAAGAGCCTGTACCAAAAGATGGAATTCTGCTATGGAAGAACACTTGTAGTGGATTGAAATTATGGCAAAGTGAGAAAAAAAAAACTAGACTGAACCACGGCTCTGCTCGAGAACATTATCCGACAACCCCCTCCATCGTCGGTACAATGTATGACGAGGAGCAAAGAGAGCTGATCTATACCCCAGATTTCGAGCCACCGACGTGCGCCCAGAAAGCGGCGGCCACCCCGCGATGTTGAAACTGGGCAGGAGACTATACTGTACAAACCTTAAGGTGGAGTGGGGTGTGGAGTAAGTCACCTGTGACTAGTTGTTAAGACCGGGCGTGCCAACCAATAATTTCACCTTCCAAGCTGTTTGTGGCCTATCTCTGAGGCGGACTCCAACGATGCTCGCTGCACATGGCTGCATTCTTCGTGACATCGTTTAAATTTTCGGTAGTTGTCGATACATTTATAGGCAATCAGTCCGCGACACGTGATCATGAGAACATATCCGTCTTGTTTCTAAAGATGGAATCAAAGATTTGGAAGACCAAGTCCATACTGGCGTTAACTTCTATCAAGTCTTTGCTGTTACCTAAATCTATACACATCGAGCGACAAGAATTGTAACATCGAGGGTTTCAGTTGCAATACATGTCCGCCGCTGTGGTATACACACCAGCTCCACGTCGGAACTACCGCCTTAGGTAGGTTCTGATGCACTTGGCTATTGATATGGGACACCGAGACATACATTCCCTGTCGGGAATAGAGTTTGCACTCAATCAGACTTTAAGCTCTGCGTACGGCGGAAAGCATATAACTCACCACGACATCTAGCACGTAAAATGAGCCTTAGGTGTGCAACAGTTGCCTTTAATGCTTTGGGGTCGCCGAGGTTACTCGAGCTGAAAATCTGATATTTTGCGTGACACGCAAATTGGTCTATATCAAAGAGGAAGCGCCTCTACCGTTTAGTTCGGAACCCGGCAACCGGCAGCAGCCCTCCAAGTTGATCGGATGTGATTCAAAACCCAAGATCGTCCCGGTACAAGAGAATCCTGACGAGTATCTATAAGGTTGCCCACGTTCCGCACGAGATGTCTGGGAAAGCCCGGCGCAACTGAGCCCCTCGGAAAGGCAAGCCGGACTGGGGAAGGGATCATAACATTTTCATTCTGGTATTGGCATTGTGGTCGGAACGAGCCCGGAGGGTTTCAACGACACTCTGTGCACGTAGACGGCCCAGATTCGGAATGTTTGTAACACGATATGCCCTGGAACAGCTTGCAGCGGCAGCACCGTGTAACTTGGACGTGGCACTTACGAATGCTCTCGGGCTTAACATTGCATTAATTGTAGCGAGTACTGCAGGATGCATGTTTCGTCAGCGTAGGATCAAAAACCTATCAACCCTAGTTTTGTAGTCGGTCTAATGGATATAATTCATTCCGTCCTCTCCTCTTTAGCTGAGCCAAATCAGGAGCTCATTCTGTTTGCCTTGGAGCGGTGAGAGGTCCCGCGTTTCGATGAGCGACTAAGTGCCAGTCAGACGTGCGGCACTTCGTACAATACAGCACAGCGTGGAGGTCGACTGAAGAGCATGTGGGAGGATGACTTCGCATATGCTTATTCTCCCGTATGAAAAGTTCCGGTAATCGACAGAACAAGCAGCCGTTAGCGACGCGTCGATTGCAGTAGCTGGAGAAAAAAAAAACAGAAAACGCGGATCGCATAACCGTTGGAGCACTATTGGTGGGACCTGAGCTGGCTTTTGATCCGCGCCATGGATTAACTGCGCAATCCCTCTTATTTCCCCATCTTTTGGACGTTTAGCACATCGGTTGGGGCAATAGGAAAGGATTCTTAAAAAAAAGCGACATGCATCACAGGTGACAACGGTACCGTGACGCCGAGGTATTGTGACTTGAAGGTTGAGGTACAATGTAACTGCTGTTTTCTGGAACAAGCCGAACCTTGCAGCGGTAAGTTCTGGCTTCTGAAGATTTGCATTCGTTTCGACGACACCTCCGTACATGTCCCGGCTTCTGGGGAGTGCAGATCTGATCTTGGGGAAGTGTTCCTGCTCGTTTCTCCTCAATCGAAAGCATAAACCGTGGTTCGCCTAGCTAGCCTGTTTTTTCCAACATCCACCAATCCGCGTAACAGAGCAGTTACAAGGGATCGTAGAAGCTGGTGAGAAAGCTGCTGGTTCTCTCTCTCTTCCCCCCCCCCCCCCCCTTGAAGTTCAACGGATTTTCTCGACTGAGGGGAGCTTCTGTTACAAAGTCTCCAAAGTATATTGCTGAGTCCTTGGTATCTGCATCTAATCGTACAAACTTCAGTGTCTTCGGTACCAGCCGGTGGGGTAATTGAGGGCGGTGGAGATGGAATCGTTACAGTAGGATTCATTTCGTGCACCGAGCCCCGGCGTATTATCGGCTGCTCGTGACTGGAGGACTGTCCTTTCAGTCACATTGCATAGCTGGTTGTCAGGAACCGCGTGCTCTACAGGACCGTCCCGCTAAGCCTCCAGGCTTTTGGCGGCCGAGGGAACAGCCGGGCCTGCTAGGGCAACGCTCATTGGACACAGTCGTGCATAATGCACTCAGAAAAGGGCCAGTCTTGCCGTAGCTACAAGACGCAAAAGACTTTTTTTAAGTGGTCGGAAAGGGTACGGCCCTGCTCGGGTCAACGGTTGCACGTCAGCCCTTTCGGCGACGCATGCTTGGGGAGCTTCTCACGGTTGCAGCACTGCTAGGACGGGATGGGAGCTAGGCTGGCATTCCGTGACGGGGCAGAGCTGGCGGAGTCGCGCGCGCTTGTTTCACGCACGAGTCTGTCCCCATAACGCACGCCATGTCGGGACGCTGCAGAGCCCTTTTGGCGTTAGCCGTGAGCATCGGAGGAAAGCTAGGCTCAGTGGTGAGAAGGTTTTCTTCCCCTCTCGGGCATGAGGGCGCCGCTAGTCTCGCGCAGAGGTCGCAGACGCTCGGAGGCCCAAGACCAAAGGCCAGAGCTTGACCTTGCCGGCGTCGTCGAGCGCGCGAGTGCAATTTCAGCGTCGCGGGCACGAGCCAGACTGCGCACACGCCTCGGCAACGCCCCATTCCCTCCTCTCAATCATCCTTCGATCGTGCTTCCATGGTCCCGGCCGTTGGAAGCGTGGAACAATGGTGATGTCTGGCCGTGGGAATGCGGAGCTGTGTGTCTCGTCTCTTGTGTTGTCGTGCGTCGCCGGCGCTGCTCGTCGTCGTGCTGCTGCTTGGTCGGACGGCGCGCTGGGCGTCGTCCGCAAGTCAGGCCAAGTCTCCACCCGTCTGGGTCCGGCATTCCTGCGTTTCATGCCAGTCCGTCTTTTTCTAGAAATGATGTGTTGATCGGCTGCCGTACGTCTGCGTGCCTTACTTACACGTTCCGCCTTAGCGTTCTTGCACATGAACTCTCGCTCCCGGGCGACGTCCTGCTTATCCTAGGTACTGCTCCGGGGCTGCCAGGAATGCCATGCCGCTGCCCGAACCAACACTCGATTCTTCGTTTGGCGTCGTCGCTGTGAGAGCCGTCGCCCCAAGATGCTCTCGATGCGCACGAGCAGGCGGACGGTCCGCTTGACGCTGCTCGTTCGAGACGCGCTATGAGCCTCTCGCACCGTCGTCCGCCATCGTCACACAACAACAACATCCCTGGAAGCAGCCGAAAAGTCTACTGCTGCTGACACGCCCACAAATCGGGCCCATGCATCATGATCCTTGGGCATGCTTGGACCCCTTCGTTGCAATATATGAAGCAGGGCGATCGCGGCTTCACCACGTTTTGTCGTGTCATTATCGAAAGTCGACGGAATTGGCCCCCCTTGCTCTTTCGTCAAGCATCTCTGTTCCCCTTTGTGCGCTGCTTGTAAAACCTCCCCAGCCCCAGTCGTCCGTTCTTGACCCTGCTCGTGTGCCTGTCCAGCCGTCTCCTGTACCTTACTTGTCCGCTCTTAAGATCGCTCGGACAAGGCTGCCCGCTTCGCGTTCTTATACTAGGTCCACCCCAGCGACTCCTTGTTCGGTCGTCAGCTAGGCCTCTGCTCGGATTGACGGGCGCAAAGAATTAAAGGAAACAAAAGGCCGACCAAGCATTCTGCGATTCGACATCTGTCACCGACAGTTCGTTAGCTGCGCAACACGGGTTGTTGGCTAAGAGCTTGGTTTGGTTGCACGGTGCCCTACTTTTAGGTTTCTGCCCTGAACAGAGTCGGCGCTCCTTATGTGGAGAGGGCGTGTTTGGGCTGTGCAGCTCACGCGTCAGGAATAAAACTCTTCGCAAGAGACCTCACCTCATCCGGTCAGTCGTCATATATTTGCTTCTTCATCCATTAGCCTTGTACTCATCTTCAGCTTAGATTTTGGCTGCTCTGCACTCGCTCAATGATTGGACACACTCGCCATGTTTGCTCAACAACAGCCAACTCGTCCTCATGACGACAGGAGCTCCTCCCAGCCGGCCAGGCTGCCAGAATCAAGTGCGACAGGCCAGAGGTTGACCCGTGAAAGATCTACCTCGTCGTCGGACGTTCGTGACCAGTACACAAAGCGAAGCTCTATATTCTCCAAGCGTCCGAAAAGTATCCTAACCACTGCGTCGCACGCGAGCTCTACGCGTTCGCACGCATCAAGCAGCAGCGGAAGCGATATATCGTGGCGATCATCGGGTGCCGACGTGTCCCCGGCTCGCACAGAGGCAGACGGCTCGAAAGCGCGTTTCCTGTTTGGCCGTGGTCGGAAATCGAAGCCATCCGTGTCAAAGTCGATCCGCACGTCTTCGCTTCTGGAAGCAGACAGTGACTTTGACCCTCGGCGAGAGGATTTCGAGAATGGAAAAAGCACGACTACCAGAGGCGTGCGGATCTCGGCGCCGTTCGACTTCCAGCACATCGCCAAAATCGAGGGCAATCCTCCCGCGATTCACCGCTCGAGGATCAGCGAAGAAGGCCCAGAATTGTTCCAAAATTTCCGGGCATTGCCAAAGGGCTACCGCAATGCCATAATCGCGCCATCTCCTGATGACGAAGAGTTCGCCGCCAGTGCCGTAGAGAAGCAAAAGCGACCGCCACCTTTGCGACCTCAACGTCCGGATGATTTGTGGGGTGAAGATCCCGTCTCAGCTCCCCTACCGCATGATTTCCGGCGAGAGTCTCATGCCTACGAAGATGACTACCCCGATCAGCCTGTGTCAGCGCCTTTCCCAGGCTACCGGAGCAATTCTCTCAGTCGCCGCCCAGCGCAACGTTCTGTTCCAAGCCTTTCTCAGGTATTTATCTACGGGCCAGGTCCCGAGGTTGACACTGAGACAGGAATGCCGTCTTTGGAGCCTCTCGATGAGCACGAGCCGTTCGTCCCAATCTACGATTCTCAGCCGCCAGGGTGGATTGAAAGCAGCGTTCCTCTCCTTGAAGGCGCCCCTGCCATGGATCCCTTTCCAGATCATCTCCGGGCGCCTACGTTCAATCTGCCTCTCGAGCAGGTTCCTGAAGAACCCGAGGGAACATTCTCTGGTAGACCAAGCAGAGAGCTACCGCGACGGCCTTCATTGCGCCATTCGAAGTCCTCTCCTGCTGTCGGAAATAGGCACAATAGCGTTTTTGATCCATTTTCCGAAGACGAACCTCCATTGCCACCGCTATCGAAACGCTTGACCAGATCGCTGTCCCGATGTTCGCAATCTTCTGACACGCTTGGTGACCCTCTTCACTCTGTCTGGCGAGAAGTAGCGGATCCAAAACCTGAACAGCTCCCTGTTGACGACCTGTCATGGGAAGACGATATTGAGTACTGCTACTCGCACAATGCAGAAGCGGACTGTGACTTCAATTGGCAAGATGTCACTCATTTCGACGATCGTGATTCTGAGGCGGAGTCTTGGATTGAACAACAGTCGTATGATTCTAGTCTTCAACCCAGTCGGGACGACAGCCAGTCAATGTTAAGCTCAACAAGCCATGATTTTTCACTGTTGTCAGAGAAGCCGCGCCGCGTGCCAAGTAATAGCTCTGTTCCGGAGTTGGATTATCGATACTCGCATGCGACATCTACGGCGAGCCTATCGATTGCCACCCCGAGGGACGGTTCTTTGTATCGAGGGTCGGATAACCTGCCGCCTTTGCCAGTAGACATTTACACTTCAAAAGATATGCAATTGCAGCATACGGAACATGATATGACTCACTCTCACGATAGCGCTTACAACGAAATCATGATTGCACGCAACGTGGGTGCTTCGGTAGAAAATCTCTCTCATTTCGAAGACGATAGACCGCAGACGATTCTCTTCACTGGCGAGAAAACCAGCACGGGGTTCTACAGCGCTCTACCAACACCACCTCAGTCGGGAAGAGAGCCTGCCTTCAACTCTACAATGCGCAGGCCGAGCAACAAGAGTTCTGAGAACCTGATTGTAAATGAGGCAAGCCGGCTGCCACTTCCTAAGAGCCCCGCGCCGAGCAGCCATGATGGCGACGAGGCGCCTCAGCTCGTTCCGCGCAACCTCGTAGCGGTACAAAATGCGGCCAAACTTAGACTGCTAGATGCACAGGACAGACTATCCAACCTGCCTCCGACCTCGATGCCTCGTAACATGAGCTCAGACTCATTGGATTCAGGAAATCAGTCCACAAAGTTGCCAACACCACCAAAGTCACCTTTGCCAGCTGAAATTGCGTACAACCGGTCTTTCCTAGCCACCCCATCGCCGTCACTAGTTCCTCAACCGTCTCCAACACCTGCCACTCTTCGTCAGCCTTCACCTGTCAACATTGCATCGTCAACAGCGTATTTGCCAACCGCGGCAGGAACGACCACTGAACAACAACCAAGAGGCTTGCTTCGCCACCGTGCAGAAAGTGCTGCTGCTCGTATTGGCGCTCTGCCATCACAGTCATCGGCGCATGTCGAGAAACCCGGCACCCCAGACAGTGCAACGTCAGCTCCAGAAGGGCTAGGACGCAAAGCATATACTTTGTTTCCCTCACACAAATCCTCAAATTCGGACCTGAGAGTCCCCTTCCCGTTAGCAAATGCACCGACCTCTGCTCCAAGTATCAAGTCTGAGCCCTCAACTACACGACCACCCTCCTCGTCTCCTTCACAATCATCTCGATCATCTTCGCGGCCAGAGTCGCGCGGTTTGACAAAGCCGAAATCGAAGGCGAAATCGAAAGCTCCAAAGAAACCCAATCCGTATCAAGAACGATATCCCCTGGGGATTTAAGACGGTCCGACGACCAGGTTTTTATTTCAAATTTGTTATGTATATACTCTATACTACTGCTGCTACCACGCGACCTGTCAATTTTATTTGTGTCTATATCATTGTTTAGAGCATAGCAGTGGCGTTTCAGGCAACGCCAAAATAGGTTTTCTTTTTCTGGTGCTTAAATGGGTTCTTTCACAAGGGGGGGGAGGGGGGGAGAAAGGGCGTTACGATTTACGACGGATGTTACGAATGAAAGGGGAAAAATTTAACAATCTTCTATGTTTGAATAGTAGAGTAACAACCATACGGTCAACTCTTGGGGGGCCTAAACATATTCTCATGCCACAGTGGCACCACATCATTGCAGATATTTCAGTCTCTTTCACTTCGTGTCCCAGAATTGACATTCGATTCGGATTTCCCGGCGCATCGAACCCCTCCGTAGACACTTTCAGAAAGGCAGCCTCATTTTTTTTTCAGCTTGGATAAAGGGGTGGGGGGAGGCAGGACATCAGTCTCCATTCTTGTGTCAAAGTGTGCGGCACCCAAGACATTCCAAGATCTACTTTCAAAGTGGAGATGGACACTTCTTTGCTAAACGCGTTCATCGTACCTACGGTGACGAATGATAGTGTCGTGTTTTGCTTTTTTTTCTCTTCTCTTGCCCCTTTGAATTTGATTCGTCGAAGTTTGACCACCTTGCCTGCAGATGCAGGTGCTGTGAGAGTGAGGCTGCCCTGGACGTGTTCATACCTATGCAACGGAAGAAACCCCACCACCACGCGTCGAAGGCTTGGGCGCGTCTACTGAACACTCGAGGACAAGCCAAGCCGGGGGGAGGAGGGTAAAAGGCTCGAGCGGCTTTAGCGGTGATGGAACTCAAGCTAGGGAATGGAGAATGGCAGGAACTCGACCACAATTGGAGAGGGCGGGACGAAGAGAGGATTCCCGAATTTCCTGTCCACCCCAGCAAAGGAGCGGAGTTGAAGAGGTGGTATTGGAACCCTCCAGGGGGGTGTTTCCGCGCTTGGGGGCTCAATGCGCAGATGCTGTGGAGATGCAGGCGTAGATAGCGAAGATCTCTACTTCGGTAAGCAGAGTTCTCGGTCGGGGTCCGCCACGTCGGGATGACGAGCTTTGTGGAGGATGTGCGCATGTCATGATAGCCGTCGGAGCCGGGAGGCCTGGAGGGAAAGTTGCAAGGCCTAAGCCAAGGTAGAGAGACTAGACGATGCCGAAGCGCGCTAAGGAGAGCGCCGTCCTCGCGAGAAGGAAATAAGTTTACCTTGCAAGGAGCGCTTCCCTTTTTGTTACGTTGTCGTCGCTCATCAGTTTCCAAAGCGGCACACGCTTCGCCCGCAACCATCGATCGACGGGTCCGGGAGCCATGTTTGCTCTGCAGCCGGGTCAGCTGGCATGACGGTGGTGAGATGTGACACTATCACAAGTCCCGAACGACCCTCCGATCAGTTCATGAAGCTCCCTACGGGAAGCATCTTCAGGCTTAGCTTGGCGGTTTGACGTGAGAAGCGTATGGAGACGTTTTGGCGAAGGGCCGGCTCTAGAAAGCGAACGAAACGGTCCCATTTGATGAGATGTTTGTCTGCGCAAGCATTCTAAACGAGAAGCGGGATCTAAAGCGCGCCCCCTTAGCCCTTCCCTCTCTGGCCCCCGTACAACGCGATCAGCGTTGTCCAAGACTGTGGTTGCAAGCATGAATCACGTCTCCATGCAACTGCAATCCAGCCTCTTCATCCCAGAGGCCGGGCGTCGGCCTGTGTGCAGTCGCCCCATACATGCTTATCAAAGGGGCAGGGAGCAAAGGCATGAATAGTCCCATACATGATAGTCGATCGATAAGGTGCTTGTGATTATAGTGAATCCAACTATGGAAATGTGCCGACCATGTTAGGCGGCATCGCATCCGAATTCCGAAGAGAAAAAAAAAAGAGAAGCATGTCGTTCTCCTGACAAGCATTCTTGTTTACCCAATCCCACTCTCTTCAAACAGGAGCGAACAGAGGTTCGGAGAGCACATGATCTTTATGGCTATTCGCGCACATTGCAGCTACGGTAATGGATGGTCTCGATATCTAGCCAGGGGTAAAAGTCAACGTTCCATGAAGGTCTGTCAAAGTTGTGTGGTTCGTCTCTCTTAGCACAGAATGATTGAAGACATCATTTCTCAAAGCCTTAGCTTAGCTGCCTATCCTGATTAGCGTATCAGGACAGGAAAATGAAGTCCTTTCGAAGAGCGGAGAATGATTTCTAGAGTCACCATTCTACAGATAGCAAGACCTACAGCGCATAGTGACTCAAGAGTCACCGTGACGATGCTCGTCACAGAGTCAGTTCACGCAAAGATGTCTGCATCGCTAAGGAAGCATAGAGTCAGCCTTCGAGATTGAATTATGCCTGATAAAATCGCACAATTGTATTTCACTCGACTGCCTTGAGAATATCCAAGACCTGGCTCTTATCCGTCAGAGGGATCGGGTTCGTCCTGCACCATTTGTCTTCCAATGAATTGACCGCGATCATGTCCAGCTTGTCCTGACCCACGCCGACCTCTTTCAAGCTCCGCGGCATGCCCAGCTCGCGAATAAGAACGTCAAGCACCGCGCTCAAATCAGCATTATGCGGTCCTAACCCCTTGGCCTTGAGAATCTGCACCACGGGCTCCTGACCCCAAAGAATCTGGAGAACCTGGTCTTGCTGAGTGCTGTTGACTCTAGCGTTGTACTTGCACACCGCGGGAAGCAGGATACAGCTTGTCTCGCCGTGTCCAACACCTAATGGACCGAGTTGGTGGCCTATCCCATGACTTGCGCCGAGTTCGACTCCGCTCTTGACGGCGCTCATTGCGTCGATGACGCCCAGTTGGCACTGATGTCGGGCTTCTAGGTCATTCTTGTCCACCTTGGACCGCAGGAGTCCAGGAACGAGCTTCTTTAGTCCCTGTTCAGCGGCTTCCTCTCCGCCCTTTTTGTCCTTTGCAAGGGAACATATTGTCTCCACGCAATGGTCCACGGCTCGAACTCCAGTACTCAGCCAGAACTTGTCAGGCGTGGTGGTGGTGAGCGCGGCGTCAAGGACAACTAGAGCGGGAGGATTGGTTCCATGATTGAAGCCATGCTTCACATGCGTCTCGTCGTTTGTGCCGCCTGCCAAAGCCTGGTACTCCCCTCCGGACAAGGTAGTCGGCACACAGACAACTGGAACCGTCGCTTTCTTTATCTCTGGTCGTGATGAGAACCAGTCCGTCCCACTCTGTAGACGCATCAAATCTTCAGAGGACGAAGCGTCGTTCGCCAAGGCCTGGCAGTTCTGTCAATACTAGGGGACTGGGACAGGACGACGCAAATGCAATACCAATGAAACTATCTTTGCGGCATCCGTCAAGCTCCCCGCGCCCAGTGTTATAATCAAATCAGCGTTGCAGGCTCTGCATTCATCGGCAATTTCTAAAACCTCAGACCAGTACGTGTGGGGTTTCATGCCAACACGGAGGCCAGCGACTCGTGGTTCTAGCGCATCCTCTAAGCTTCGGAGCGCGGCAGTGTTCTTTGTAAGCGATTTAGAGGCAATTATGTATACCCTGGTAGCTTTGAAAGTGTTGGCCACATGGTAGGCGCAAGTCTGAGGAAAGGGAACCCCATAGCTTATGTAGGGAAGGTCACTGTCAGTGAAAGCACGTCGATATGTTTCGGTAGCCATACTAGCACGTCAACGAAGGAGTTCAGACATGTAAAGACATGTTTTTCGAGGTGTTCAAAGTCAAAACAACCGAGCAGGATAGAGTTAAGCCACATGGTGCGGGGAAAACGTCAGCAGGAACTCCCGAACCAATTCAGAAAAAGTCCGGTAGAATCCGCGAGTTGAAGCATTCTCTAAGGCATTCCTTGAAGCATTCACCGAAGCAGCATTCCTCTTCAAGACGAGAAGCACATTACCCGATGTCGAAAGATGATGTAAGTCATGAGCTTGTGGGAAATGCTGAAAATAGCAATAGCAAAGCTTCTGGACCGCATGTGGTTGTGGTCCGAGCGCACCTTGTTACCGTGTATACTCTTCCTTTCCGTTTACTGGCCCGCTCTACAGGCGAACTTTGCGAAAGGGAAAAAAAAAACCTTTGGAAATTTGTTGGGTGATCCCACTAGGAGCCTACTGTATAACTCATGGCAGTGTTGAATGTCGCCACCTAGGTTTTGAGCATACCCGGGCTCTGTGGCCTTGTCTTCAACTATCATAGTCCGCAAGACATATTCAGGTTACAGAATGTTACGGGGGCATCACGGCTTCATTTATGCGATTTCAAGCTCTGGATAGCAGGCTCGGTATTTCATCAAATGGCAGTCAACAGTCACACCGTCAAGCCTGTATTAGCGATGACTAATGCTAATAATCCAAAGAAAGTTGAGCGGGTGTACACGTCAGGTCCATCTGCTGGGCACGTCATTACCCCTCTACAGGTAGGGGTGGAAGCCTCTATGAACGACGATAGTCCACCTCAGCAATTGGCTCAAAGGTCGACGTCTGCATGCTCGTCACGGAGTACACAAATTCAAGGCATCCAGTTGAACTGGGTCCTTCAAAATTAATTCTTTACATGGAGCTATTACCCTACCTGCAATATTCTGAGCTTCGAAGCAGAGATACCGTATGCTCCATATCGCTCCTTACTAGTATCTCGTCGTCCACCGCCCTCGGAAGTGATGGTAATGGATGTCGAAGGAACAGTCTACGAAGTGAAGAATTCGAAAGGTGTGAGCATGGGAGACATTGTTGACGTCGTGCTTGACAAACCATGTCAACCTTACTCCGACAGGGACTAGCAGAATCTCTGCCACGAATTTATCAAATCGGACAGATTAGTATGGTAAATCTCTCGAAAGCTTTCTTTTGGCGTCTTTTGCTCTGGTCACTGAGCCGCTGCCAACAATGTAACGCCCACGTTAATGATCACTTTTGGCCTGGCGAAGTAGAAGAAGACAATTAGCACGCTTCCGTCGTTATACAGTGCAACAACAACAACCAAGTAATCATGCAATCCGATCAAGGATCGTCGTGTTGACCTCTGAAGCATTGATCTTCAATGGTCATGAGTCAAAGGCCACAGACAGCATCAGACGGATCACACCCACCTCCGGCTGAGAGATCAGCGTGGACGAAGGAGTCAGGGGATGGATCAGCTGCCCAGATGGCATCTTAAAACCTGGTTAACTCGCTTGGCAAAGAGCATGATTTAACTTCCGTGGCTATGATGAAAGGCAGAAGAGCTTCAGGCGCGGGCTGACGGCCAATATCCTGAGCTTGCAAACGACGTAGCCTGTCGAAACCCTAGCAACGTGATGTCAGAGCAGCGATGGTACGAGAGAAATGCTTCTCAAGCCAGATCTGTGGAACACTCTGAGTGCCAGCCTGAGGATCAACCTTGGCTCCAATGCTTGCGCTATGCTGTAATTTTGCTGCCAAGGCGTCTACACAACATTCGTGCCATCTAGGCAAGTGGCTCGGACAAGAGCGAAAACGCATCCCGTCCAGGAGAGAGTCCTGATGAATTCTACTTCTGACCACAGCGCTCCGATCTGGGAGTCCGAGTCTGATGGTGTTGCGATGTAGACGAGACTCGGTTCGCGCATTCCTCGCGTGCAATAGCGCCACGGAAATCTGCAGGCGATGACGACAGAAGAAAAAGAGGAGAGCGGCGGCCACAACTGCGCTGCCCTACGTCATCGGAGCCGATTGATCGGCATCATCGCGGAGCAAACTCGCACAGGTCAGGACGGGCCTAATGACGAGGCTGAAACATGAGGACGCAGATTCATCGTCATCGCCATCATCGTCCGCATCATCATCAGCATGGCCACCACCTCCGATGTGGACTGTCTGAGTGCCTGCGTTTCCAAGCTACATGTTGACGCCCAACGTGCCAACCACGTCCATGGCTTGGTGCATGGCGTGTCCAAGTGCAAGTGGGGCTTAGTCACTTAGGTCAAGTTAGTTTCTGGCCTGGTTGGACGGACTTTCCAGCTGTCGTCCTGAAATTCCAAGCCGCCTTGCCTCAAGCGCTCCCGCTTTCTGCCGCTGCACAGCTCTCTCCGTCTCTCCTTCAACCTTTTTTCGTGCTCATCCTTGAACTTCCGTGGCGATTGCTCGTGACCTGAGCCCTTCAGTCTGTCCTTTATCGCCGCACCGAGATCGTGTGGCCAGCCTCCTCAGCCTTGTCCAGAAGGACCCGCAGCTTGAGGCGAAACCTCGACAAGGCAGCTCGCCGCGACGGCCGGCAAGAGGACGTTGCATTCCACGTGAAAAGCCATATAGAGATCTGTCGCAGCTAGGTCAGACTGCACCCTTCCTTATCGCTAGGTTTGCAAGCCAGTGCATCATCGAGATCTGCCGGCCAGAGTCTGGACAGACCTGTCCGGGGCCCCTCAGATTGCGTCCAACCGACCTGCCGCACTGACAGCGCCAGCATCGACGGAAAGCAAAGGACGTGTAGAGAGGACATTCACAGCGTCCCCGCCCATCACGCGCAAGGCCAGATACGAGTTTGCAGAGCATCTAAACAGCAAACAGTTGGCAGCGATGCCTGCCCCATTGATCGAGGTGTGTGAAAAGTTCCTACACGTCTAAGCCCAGTCCGTCCTCCCTCTGTACTGTACAGTACCGCCGCTCTTCTTTTGCTCTACAAGAGCCTACAAGAAAATCGCGTGGTTCGGAAGACGAAGATCGATTGCCAGGCTTGCAGGTTCCGCAGTGGCTGCCTGGGTGGTTTGAAGGGCGGATGATGTAAAGGCAACGGCCAAAAACGTGGCTCAAAATTCCTGCGTCATCACCCGCATGGCACCGGTTCTGCGACCGACGCAACATCACCCTTCTTGCTAGAACCGCTCTAATCCTAATCCCCTCCGGCATTTCACGACGTCCAGGCCTCGTGTGGTCTCCTCCATCTGCCAAATCATCTTTCTCAACTTCTGCAGCTTTGTCTGTTTAGTTCGCGGCTATTGCATGCTTTTGCTTACAGATAGATACCCCTCCACTACACCCCACCGACGACTCGCTTACTCACCATCCGAGTCAGAAAAGTTCACTTCTGCTTCAACTTCCTTTTGTGTGGACATAGACTAAACGATGACGACCATACAGAACCTCAAGAACTTTATTCGACACGGCAAGCAGGCGCGGGTGGCTAACGCTGAGCCGACGACGAACATTTCCAATGTGCACGCCCAGCAGCAACGATACGACCAGTATGGCTCAGCAGGGCGTGACCAAAAGCAATATGGCATCAGTGAGCCCGACGTCTTTAGCCACAAGCCTTTACATGACCCTGCCGTCCATGGCGATTTTTCAGCCGCAGCCGTAGACAACCGCAACGTCGCTGCGAAGGCCGGCGATGTTGCTGCGCACGCAGCCGAAGACAAGGCGAAGAAGCAGCAAGCTACCAAGGAATCTACTGTCGATCCCCAAGTCCTCGAGCGCATAGTGGCAGAGGAGAGAGAGAGCAAGGGTAGACTACCACGCTATCCCGGTCTCGAGCGATTCATTCTGATTGAGAAAATGGGGGACGGTGCATTCAGCAACGTATATCGAGCCAAAGACACGACTGGACAATTTGGTGAGGTGGCAATCAAGGTCGTCAGGAAATTTGAAATGAACGCAACTCAGGTATGCTTGCTATTTTCATTGTGGTGCCAGTGCGTAGAATTTCTCTCCTTCATGAACACACTTTCGACAACGTAATCAGCAGACTTTACGTGCGAACTTTGTCCAACCACAGTAACGGTGTAGGGCGACAACGTCATGCATCCTGACTTCAAGAAGAAGGCCCCGAAGACAGTTGAGGTGCGCAACCCCGATGCAATGCAACGGCGTAGCTCCTCTACCATGTTGCAATTGTCTTTCAAAATGACGTACAAGAGTCCAGTGGCTAACTTGCAACATTATTCCAGCGGGCAAATATTCTGAAAGAGGTTCAAATTATGCGACAACTTGATCATCCGAACATTGTCAAGCTCATACATTTTTCGGAGTCAAAGCAATACTACTTCATCGTCCTGGAACTCTGCCCTGGTGGCGAGTTGTTCCACCAAATCGTTCGGCTCACATACTTCAGCGAGGATCTTTCCCGACACGTCATTGTACAAGTCGCGAAAGCTTTGGAATATCTACATGAAGAAGCCGGCGTCGTACATCGGTGAGCTTTTGCGATACATGAAACAAATCTTGATCACTGACGTCATCCAATAGTGATATTAAGCCTGAGAATCTGTTGTTTTATCCAGCACCATTCGTTCCGACCAAAAACCCCAAGCCTAGAGCACCTGAAGATGAAGACAAGGTCGACGAAGGAGAGTTCATCAAAGGTGTTGGGGCTGGTGGCATTGGTGTTATCAAAATAGCCGACTTTGGTCTTTCGAAAGTAATTTGGGACAGCCAGACTATGACTCCATGCGGGACAGTCGGGTACACTGCCCCGGAGATTGTCAAAGATGAGCGTTATTCAAAAAGTGTGGACATGTGGGCCTTGGGTTGCGTCCTATACACTTTACTCTGCGGGTTCCCACCGTTTTACGATGAGAGCATTCAAACACTTACAGAGAAAGTTGCGAAGGGGCAATACACCTTCCTTTCTCCCTGGTGGGACGACATTTCAAAGTCTGCTCAGGACTTGGTCTCACATCTTCTTACCGTAGATCCTGAGAAGCGTTACACGATCAAGCAATTCCTTGCTCACCCGTGGATTCGTGAGTCCCAGGAAGAGACAACTCCCGCTGCCGATGCACCACCACTAGCAACCCCGATGCTCAGAAACCCTCAGCTTCAGTACCTCGACGAAACTCCGGGTGGTCGAAGGCAGGATTTCCGATCTCCTGGTGCAGTTAATCTGCGAGAAGTCTTCGACGTCGGTTATGCTGTTCACCGGCAAGAAGAGGAAGGCAAGCGAAGGAAGAATTTCAAGCAGGGCTTTCGCGGTGGTGAACTCAACGCACTGAACGAAGATGATTATGACGATGAATTCTCTGGCGAATCCGTGCCTTATGACCCAAGGCAGCAAGCGCCTCCAGCAAAGCTACCCAAGAGCCAGGCTGCCGACGTAGGGGCTATGGAGAAACAAATGCGCAATACCACACTGTCGGCGGCGGCACAAGCTCGACAGGCGAATGCCCCTCAGTCTACAGCCCGTCAGGAGAAGGGTTACGGCCAACATAGTGCTGCCGTAGCGGCGGCTGCAAGGCGACAAGTCAAGAACAAAGGACCGTTTGAGCTCAATCTGGATAACGCGACGCTGCTGGGCAGGAGGGGCAAGAATGCGCCGAGCGGCTTGCGGGATGGCATCACCATTAGCTAAGAATATGCCGTTCGCTAATTTAACACTATCAATCTTATTGCCGTCATGGAACTGCGGCATTGCGAAAACGAGAGGATGTTCGCACAATAGTACACATCGATTCTGCGAGAATCGTGGAGAAGGAGGAGAAGTGGGGACTCGGGGTAACGCAGCGTCGATAGATGAACGAACGAGGGACAAGACCATGGAAAGAAGATCATTCCGTTATGTCAGCTTCATGGTAGGCGCTTGTTGAGAAGCCTCCTTTTTCTTTGTCAGACGATGTCTGTTGGCAGACTCGTGCTTCCAGAATACAGTCACCAATTTACGAGTACGCTATCGTCTTTGACCAAGTCATAGGTCATGTATCGTGGTTGGGTGTCATACCTCCAGCCATTCTAAGGTAATTTCCACAGGCGCACGCAGATATAGTCAATATACTAAGAATTTTCGTCGAATTTTATCTGAAAACCGGTTTTCGATTACAAAAAAGATTTTCATTCTTCATCACCGTACCTGCCATTCTATCGGCTTCACAGCGATCAAAACTCCAACAGAAGATTTGCATGGCACCTGTTCTTGATGGCATTCTTTGCTTCTCGCACGGCAAAACCCAAATGCTATGAACGAGAGATTACTAAAGCAACGAGAGCGTGCAAAATTTCGAACCGCATGAGGCGCCCCGAAGGATAAGTCGGCGGGTATAGTCCTGATGTGACGGTCAAGATAGCACGCTGTGCTCTTCAAGCACAATTTTTTAGAGCGTGAGTTTGGACAGACGGGGCATTTCCTTTTGTGAAGACCAGCACACCGCTTTGGTACAGAAGACTTACAGTTGGTCTATCGAGCAGTGAAGGAGACGAGAGAGACAATTGCCTACGCGGTTGAGCTAGACGCAAACCTGGCTGTGAGATCAAGCGCTCGTTTCACAGCGTTCGACCTCCACAGGCACGAATTGCAAGCAAAATACCCTACGGGATCTCATGGGCACGATTGCATATTCAAACGCAAACCGATCTTTGCATTCTCGATTTGTTGGGTTCGTACGCCACGGTGGCTTTCCGCTTTCAGTCACGGCTAGCATACAAAGTGCTTGTGATCTCTTGCGTAAGAAGCAGTGCTCTGCTCCGAGATGTTCAGCAATGATAGATTTGTCGCGGAAACTTCAGCAGCCAGCATGCTGCCGACGCAGCTGCTCTTCCGTCCGACAGCGCGGTGATGTTGCGATCGCAAGGTTCTGGCAGTCGGCCTTCGTTGGACGCGCAAATGGTCGTGGGACCTTACTTAGATATTTTATATATGCATCGTCCAATCTAGGACCATAAAAACTGTCAAATTGATGAAGTGCATGTAGTTTGGGCCAGTGACAAGGCGCGTCTCAAAATATACCGCCCTTCGTTCTCCTTACACGAGTATGACATTTGATGCCTCTGCTTGTTCACCATGTGCATCCTTCACAGCCTCTTTATGCAGACGGCCAACGCCTGCTCGTTCCACGGCGAGCAAACCTACATCAAGTGTCCTGCGCGTCACCATCATGACATGATATTCATCCCACGCCTCGAACTCGTAACTTTTCTTATACGGATGATTTTCATGGGGTCGAGCCCAGTCACAATAGTAATTTGCTTCGGACAGGATCAAAAACTCTTGCAAGGACATGTCGTGTTGCCGCCACGATTCGTCAAGAAGCACATAGCCGCTAACAGCATTGTTCCTGTTTAGCAGGAGGAACACGACGCGGCCGCTGGGTTCCCAAACTGGGTCAATGCTTCCGTACCGGAGGTATGCTGTCGAGGCTTGGATACGGAAGGTGACGACGAGGGTCTTGAACAATAGCGGTATGATACGCTCTTTGCTGTTGGCGAGCTGCAATCCAGTGCTCTCGAGATAAATTTGCTCGTCTTCGTCCTCGTCCTGGTCAAACGGCGCGGACTCGTTAAAGTCTCCCGTGTAACCTACGGCGGGCGACGGGTCTTTTTCATCCGATGAGGGCCAAAACATCTTTCCGAAAGATCTTCTCGTACGAGCATCGAAGACTGCTTCGACCTGGCGTCGCGTATTCAGGAAGTACCATCGAAGGAAAGTGCGACTTCGTATCCACGAATTCAACTTGTCTAGGGAAGCTACAGGACTGTCCTGATACAGGCCATCGATGGTATCGCCGAGCCACCGGATTTGACCGTGCCAGCCCGCCCATGACCATGACGGGAAACCCCTTCGACGCTTCAACTGGCGGGCAGGCTGCCACAGCAATGCCGCATCGAATATGCACGTTGGGAGACCGGCAATAAACTGGCTGGCCAAGATCTGGCTTTGGACAGCTGCTACGCCAGCGAACCCGCGGAGATAGTCATCTGCAAAAGTGAAGTCACGCCGGCTAAGAGCTTCTGCGGACCTGAAATACACCGCTGCCGGGTTAGCATCTCGGTACAGAATCTTGTTTACTTTCTGCTGAAAGACAAGGGTGAAGTCAGGCGTGTTGTTCCGTTCGGCCTCAATATCTTCGGAGTAGGCGTAGTTTGGACAAGAAAAATAGACTTGATTGTTGATAAATATCAGCGAACGAGTGGCTAGCTGATCCTCTTGGTACCTAGGTCGGAGAATGAGTACTTTCTTTTAAGTGAAACTAGCTGAAATATGTCATGAACAAGAGGTCATAAACTTACGTCCAGCCGCGAGTGGAATATCGCGAGTGACTCATATAAGTCTGCGGTGAAAAGCGAGCAAGAACACGCACACCAGGCATAATCTCTGCCGCGTGTTGGTGAACTTTTCGAGACAATTTCCCCACCCCTGCTATGCCACCATCCGGAGCGTCGTCGTCTGCAGCTATGATCACATATGCCGCATGCCTATAAATCGAATCCATGGAATCTATGTTGTCTTTGGCCATCTCCTGGCCCGCGTCGCCCGACTGGGAAACGCAAAGCGCATCAGTCCAGAGGTACTTCTCTCCTAATTTCTGTGTCAGTTCGACAGCGTCCCGAATCGAAGGTGCGAGACGGCCTAGCACAGCTCCAAGGCTGTTGGGGTTCGAGAGAGCCCTCATGGCAGGCAATGACGAGGAGAACCTGTTGCTTGTGCCCCACACATATGACAACGCCAAAAATCGACAGTCGCTCTCTGGCTCGACCAAGCACATATTCTCAACGTCTACTACAGTGAAGGCCAAGGGCAGCCTTCCGGCCCTAGTCGAAGCCAATGGCACGGAACGACACGGGTGGTGGTGCTCGCAACGATGCATCCAGTCCCTGATTCGGTCGATGGGTACGTGTGGGCTGTTTGGATCTATGAGGACGCCCATCCCAATGCTTGGCTCCTCGTCGGTTTCGGGCAGAAGTCTTACACTGAGCCGCACCTTTAAATCCTCGTGTTTGCCCAAAGACCAGAACTCGAGTCCAGCCTCGGGCCTGCCTTCGGAAATCTGGACCCACGAACCCTGCACACGCGAGCCTTCAAAAACATACTTGTCTTGTACTGGTCCCTCGCGGAAAGCTTGTGTGATGAGAGAGCAAAGCGGGCAAGATGTGCGTTTCTCGACATCGAAGAACCAGCCCAGCTGGTGCATGCGTTTCTCGGAGAACGGAGACGAACGGAATCGGTCGCGGCTGATGTTGAAGACGCGGCACGCCTCACACAGTGCAGACATCGCTGACGGATGGGCAGAACAGCATGCTTTCACCGGAGAGCAGGAAAGATAGGGCTAGCGAGATGAAGACGAGTGATCTGGACACAACGAGTCGGCGGAGAGATGCGCTAGAAATACGACGGATTGGTTTCTTCTTCGTCTCAGACGGGTACGGGTGTCGCACGTGCGAGTTTCGTCGATGAAAACGCACGGCGGCATTCATGAAATGCGGCATTCACACGGGGTAGATCTGAAGATGTTGCAGAGCACATCATCTGTCGATAAGGAGAGAGAGTGCCGGCGCGAGATGCTTGACTTCGTTGTCGCGTGCCGGCATCGCGTAAGGTGACTGACCACAGTGGGTCGATGCCCATAAGTGGCTTAGCTCAGGGCTTGGCTTCAAGATTTCGAACGCCTCGTCTTCAAAGAAAGGAGTGAACCACGATTGCATCAACACCACCCTCCTACAGTCCCACGCGCATCTCGCCAACCCCCTAGCGCGATCGTCGTGTCGTCCATGTCCGCTGCATGTGGCACACGTGAGTTGGCGTCGGGCTTGAAGTCAACACATCCGTGCAGTGCACAGCCAGTCTGAAATCACCATCCATGAGCGTCGCCACCATCCAACCCGCTCTTCCAGTTGGCAAGCCGAAGATGGACAACGAGCGGAAGCGGGCCGCCACTGCTGGTGAGCTCGAAGACTCTGCGGCGCCGCCGTCGAAGAAGCAGGCTACCATGTCGAACGGCGCCGCTTCCGGCGAGGCTGCCGACGCGCCCAAGTTCGGCAGCATCAACTCAACATGGCAGGTCGATCTCGAGGTATAAACCCCGTCCGTGTAGTGAAGTGTGTGAATTCAACTGATAATGGGCACCAGACCTTCCAGAAGGACGCCATACTGCGGCAGATGAAAGAGTATAAGCGTGAGAAGCAAGATTTGGAAAAGTCCCTCAGGGCGCTCGAAGACCAGTCACGGCATTACAAGGAAAATCTGCGTATGGTCGATGCTTGGTGGAAACAGGCAAGTCTCTCGCAGTCTCAACTTGGTTGTTGTGCTTATCAGTGACAGGTCATAGACGAAGTCGTCGTTCTATCAGGCGGAAGCCCGGATCCATCCACATCGGCGTGCTTCGAAACATCATCATTACTATCTGTGGATGCCAAAAACTTTCAAGAGCATCTTGCCTCACGCAGTGATGGGATTAAAAAAGTCATATCAGCGATATATTCCAAGATCCCGGCATCGACATCCCCAGATGTACAGGCCTTGCAAAAGCGTGTTAATGAGTTGCTAGCTCAGGAGAAGGGATATATCAACGAGTGTCAGCGCCTAAACGAGGAGCTTGAACTAGCAAAGTCGAGACTAGACGACGCCTCTTTCCGATACATGGTTGCTGAGCGAAAGTTAGATAAGGCTAAGAGCAACGTGGTCGCTAATATCGAAAAGCAAGGCACGCTAGGGTCGTCAGTATCCAAACAGGATTCAGATGAGAAAGCCAATGGAGACACCGTGAACGGCATCAAGAGCGAGGCGTCGGCCGCAGCCAGTGAGGCGGCTGAGCGGGAAAGAGCCGAGGCCGTTGCTGTTGCGGCGAAAGCGAAAGAGCAGTTGGCGCAGCTGGAGGAGCAGAACGCAAAGCTGACAACCGAACTGACAAGGGCGAAGGCGAGGCTCGACTCTCTTACGGATGAAGATTATGCAGGGACGGAACTCTTCAAGATCATGAAATCTAAGCTAGAGGAAAGTCTGCACAAGATTAATGACTTGGAGGCAAAGCACATTGAACTGCGGGAGGAGGCAAAGAAGGCTCAGGCCGAGAGAACAGCGTACAGGACAAAGATCGATGACGAGGCTATGGCAGCCACATCCAGTACCGAACAGCTTCTGGCAGCAAGGGACGCGGATTTGCAGAGAGTAAGAGCAGCGCGAGATGATGCCCACTTTAAGGCCGCAGCTCTAGAGCAATCGCAGCATGATCATAAGGCGACGGCCGAGTCTGCGGTTGCTCTCGCGAATGCACGAGAAGCTCGTATCCACGCATTGGAGAGCGAAGTGGAAAGGTTAAAGATTCGGTGTAGCGAGATTCACGCGGACGTGCCCGAAGACGAGACTAGCGACGTCTCACAGCTGCAACAGAAGGTTGCAGATTTGCGAAGGGAGTGCAAAACTTTGGAAAGCGAGCTTCCGTCGATTGAGCAAGCATACAAGAAAGCACAAGCAGCCGCAGCCGCTAAATTTTCGGCTTACGAGCAGATGGACCAACAGCTAGCTGCACTGAAAATGGCTAAGGTCAAGGCCGATCAGAAGTATTTCGGCATGATGAAGTACAAAGAGCAGTTGGAGGCTGAAGTCAACACACTTCGAAAGGCAGACAAGACGAGCTCGGGGATCATAGCATCGCTGAAGAACTCCGACTCAAATTCGAAGGAACTTGTGGTGAACTTGGAAAGACAAGTAGCAGAGCATTTGGACACAATCGAGCGCATGACTCAGGAGCGTTTTGGACTGGAGGCTAAGGCTAACCAGGCAGCTATGTCTGCCACCGCTTATCAGAAACAAGTCATGCAGCTTAAAGAGGCACTGAGTGAGAAAGACTCGGCATTATCAGCATCGGAAAGCTCCGTACGAGAAAGCCAGCGTGAGGTTGAAGCTCTTAAGGCGCGATCAGAAAACCAGATGGCCGAGATCAAGAGACTGAAAGCAGCGGCAAGCGCCAATGACAGTGAGGAAGTCAAAAATCTACGGGTTTGTATCCCCGCTTCAGTACTTATCGTGACAGACTCTAACCATGGCTGACAGGCTGTCGTATTCTGCAACTGTGGAAGAGGACTCAAAGATACCGTTATCACTACATGCGGTCACATCGTATGCAGGGAATGTGTTGATGACCGCATCTCAACGAGGCAGCGCAAGTGTCCCATGTGCATGAAAGCATTCGGTGGCAAGGACTTCATGCGTGTGCATCTTGCTTGAAATCGAATATTGGGATTGAGAGCCTTGTATATTCCTCTCCAACTTCTTTCGGCTTTCTGCAGCACTTTTCGAAGCTACGAACGGATGACTGAAATACTCAAGGCTGGGATATTATGTACAAAATGGGCAATTGGCCTCGTAATGGGAGAGTCTCGGGACAGCTTGCGGCGAGTTACGGATGATTATTCCTGGCGATAGACATGTCAAGACTCCCTTTATCCTAGTCATATATAGCGTGAAGACAAGGCACATTCTAGCATTGTCTTTTACATTTTTACCAACGCAGACGAAGCGAGGAAACGTTCGCGCGGCATGATTATGTCTTTGGAAAATTATGCACTTTATCGTAAACTTTGACAAATTGAGCATGATTGTGATGTTTCGTGAGGTAATGGTGCTGCCTATCGAGCGACACAGTACACCGTCAATCTTCATGGTAGAATTTATCGATAGCGGGCAGCACGCCAAGATTCCGGCTGCAGCACCTAACTTTTTTTCTACGAACATCATGCGCCTTAAACCGTACAACACAAATCTTTCGCTAACCCCCAGGATTCGTCCATGGAATAGCCTCGTTATTTCATAATCTAGTCTGCACAGGTTTTACCTGCCTTCCGTCTAGCTTCTCTTGCAGCAGATCAAAGAGACGTGCCTTGCACAATGCCGAAGAAAAACATCTCAGCCAAGTTCGCGCTACCATATCAATCGGCAAACAAGGACCGAAGAAAACAATTCCATATCAAGCAAAAGAAGGCACGAGATGTTCTGAAGCGTGAAGAGAGATTCGCAAGGAAAAAGGAGGAGGCTCGAGATCCGAGGTTGAGAGAGGAGCGTCTTCGTACGAATGTTCCTAAAACAATCGACTTGAAACGGACCTGGGATGAGATCGGCGACGATGATGACGAGGCTAGCATTTTAGGAAAAGCAGTAGATCTTGCACAATTGGCTAAGAGAAGGAAGATTGAGGAGGAACAGCAGATGATGGACGAGAGTGATGCCGGCAGCGAAGTTGAAGACGAGGGCGCAGTACCTGACAAAGACGACGCAGAGAGTGATATAGACAGTATGCTGGACAGTGGTAGCGAGAGTGACGAAGAAGATGAAGAAGGCGAAGACGAAGACGAAGACGAGAAGGCATTCAAGAAACCCTATTCAAAGGGCCAGCAGCGCCGCCAGGCCAGTCCCAATCCTTCGACGACAAGCACGAATCTTAACCTCACGCCCGAATCGCTCGTCTCCAAGTTTCCCACTCTGTTCGCACCGTTGGACAAGGATCCAAAGATTCTTATCACCACCTCCATAAACTCGACCCTGCATGACCAGGCACGTTTGCTGACCGAGCTGTTCCCCAACAGTGTGTACGTGCGACGCTCGGCCCACAGGTTCGGGCACAAGTTCAGCGTTAAGGAGATTGCCGGTTTTGCCGCGAACAGGAACTACACGGCGCTCATCATCATGATGGAAGACCAGAAAAAACCTTGCGGCTTGGATTTTGTACATCTGCCTAACGGACCGATGTTCCATTTCAGCCTAACAAATTGGGTTGAAGGTAGAAAATTGCCTGGACATGGCAACGCTACGAACCACTATCCTGAGGTATGCGCCGCTATTTCCCGTTGACCAAGTATGCTGATGTAACTAACTCGTTTCCGAATACAACAGCTCATTCTAAACAATTTCCGCACCCCGCTTGGTCTACTCACTGCACATCTCTTCAAAACTCTTTGGCCACGAAAACCGGAAATTCAAGGCCGACAAGTTGTGACCATGCATAATCAGCGTGACTTCATCTTCTTCAGAAGACATCGTTACGTATTTCGCGACAAACGAGCAACGGAGAAGAGCGTTGTAGGCACAGATGGCAAACCCATGGCTGGTGTGGAAGACATTAGAGCTGGATTGCAAGAGTTGGGACCTCGGTTCACATTGAAGCTGCGTAGGGTGGATAAAGGAATCCAGAGGAGCAGTGGACAAGAGTGGGAGTGGAAGACGAAGACGGATAAGGTTCGGACAAAATTCCAGCTTTAGAATATTGGAAATTTCGTTGGCTTCCTCTGCATATACCCGATCTGGAATGCATGATTGTTCGCATGCATCAGCAAATACGAATTTTAGCGTCCAGGCTGACTCTAAACTCATGCCTTGCCATTTCTTCTCCCTTTCCGCTCGCATACCTAGGTACAAACACTTCACCGACGAGAGTATAACGTTTCTTACCACCATCCTTGCGCAATACATACGGGAATGTCGCACCTCGAAAGATCGTTATCCGATCCTCGACTTTCGCTTCATCCGGAATCATGGCAAGAAATCCCCTCTTGGTTATGCACAGCCTTCGCCCTGGGCCATTCCTCTTCAATCCGGCGTGGGCTCGCCGGTTCGGGTGCAGACGCAGGGGGAACGGCTCCGGGGTGGATGGCAACAAGTATGCTCGTGCCGTCTTCAGATTGATATGGTAGTACGAATTGGTTCTTCGCAGCTCCTCTTCCGCAATACACAAGATTTCTTCGGCACCTGCCTTTAGCAAGTTGGCATTCCTCTGCTTTGTTAACTGGGCGCGCTCTTTGGCGGAGAACGTGTAGCCCCCCTTCAGATCGCGAGCTTCGTCGCTCAAAACGGTCAGGAACCTTACCCAGTTCATATCGACATCCAAGCTCTCTTCGTCAGTGAAATCGTAGACATCTCGCTCGTCTAGCTGTTTGCTTATGGCCGACATGGTAACAAAGTCTTTCCACTTTGAGAAAATAGAATCCAGAGCTTCGGATGTGGCATTTGTCGGGACGATGTCTTCGCACAGCAATGCAACTGAATCGACATGGCCACCGTGGAGAATCAAACAGTCACCATCAATCTGGACGATCGCCATGTCGCCGTCCGTTACGTCAAGCTCTCTCAGTCGGCTACTTCCTCGAATTCCTCCATTGGATGTCGCGAATGGCAGCGCTTTCCAGGGCTGGCTCAGATTAGGGACCCATGATGGCAGATTTGTTACTTTTTGTGACATTTTGGCACGCACTCAGGATATCGAGACCGTTGGCTTTGGCGATCACAGCCCACGTGGCAGACATGAGAACGTCTCTGAGATTCATGCGATAGTCCGCCGTTACGTCGAAAAGTTCATGATCGCACATTCCGAGGGTAGAGAAAACTGTATCTCGTGGATCGGTAGCCTTGCATGCACGCGAAGGTGGAAGAAGATAGGTCAGTGGAACAAAAGTATACCCTCCGTTCGTAGCTTCTCGAAGGGCTAGGAGGGATGTCGCATTGTGAGTCCATGGTAGACCGGCTTCCATACTGCCTTCGGCAGCCTGATTGACTTTCAAGAACGAGGGTACGTACCCTAGACCAGTAGCATATTCCAGCACAGCGACGGTTGGCCCAAGAGCATCCATGGATACGACTTTGTCTCCACATACAAGCATGACCACGGCTCGATAAAGCAACTTCCTGTCTGATCCAAACGCGGCTCCACCACGGCCGTTTGAACAGTGCATACAGAGCTCTCCAATGCTTATCCACCTGCTCGACGCCAAATTTCGGATAATCTATTGTTTTTTCACCGGGGGCACGCGCAGGTGTCGCGCCCAACGTATTGATTAGGTCCATGGCCAGACTACTGTCATCTTCTTCCTCCCCCAGCCAGACATGCACGCTATTTGCTCTTTTGAAAATTCGCCGCATAAGCGCGACCTGTTGATTCCTCTCGTCGATGTCAGCTTGATTAATGCATATCTGGTCTATCCACCAGTATGTCGGCGACTTCGTGTTATGGGGCCATTGGACCGCCGGTCCGAAAGAGCGATGCTTATCACGTTTGCGCATGGCCTGTAAAGCAGCTTCCAAGCTTATCGTAACAGGAAACTCGTGGCCGTCTATCTGGATGGTTGACGTTGAGGCTTGAGGACCCCAAGTATACGATAGAGCGATGTATTGACGGAATGTCGGGGTTGCGATGTAAACTTCTTCGTCTAAGCTTTGTACATGAAGCGAGGCGACAATCGGGGCGACTGGATTGTCCTCTGATGGGTAAAGGGCGAGGACACGGATCTGGCTTTTGGAGGTGTCGAGTGGTGTATAAATCGACTGGCCACCTTTAGTCGCAACCGCTAGTGATTGCCCCTCTTCAGATTGATTGAAAAGAAGCGCAGGGTCAAGACCATTGCTCGTGTTTTCCATAGGAGCAGGTGTGGCACCATGATTCACTGCATTGTGGCATAGAGAAGCTAGCGGCGCTTGTTTTCCACGCTCCTGCTGTTCTAGTGTTGGCTGGCCAAATATTTCAAGCAATGTATTCAACCCATTCTCGATTCTATCCAGGCGATGTTGCACCTTGTCCAGACGAACATTGACGGCAAGTAGCGACTCCAGCACGCTCATCTTGGTAAAAAAAAAAAAAAATAAAAAAAATAAAAAAAAATAAAAAAAAAACTTTCGAGTAGATGCTACAAAGCAGTTCCCAGGCATCGTGATCCTTTTTGTATATTTTTGTCAACACGGGATCCACCATATTGAAAGTACCAGTGCAAACTTGAATACGAGCACGTTCGTTTCAACCCCCTGGCATGCACGATTACCTATTCAACGGCGTCTTACAATGCTAGAGTAGCGAATCAGCCCCATTGTACGTTAATGGCATAATGAGTTTAGAGCAAAACTGATATGGGAATACTTTGATCCAGCAGATCAAGATTCACCATATCAGCGCTGCACATGTGTGTGCGATTGAAGCTCTGCCACCTCTCTGGAATGCAGATGATACGTCCAGAAAGTCCTTGGTTTTCTTTCGGATAAGCGCGCTTAGAAATACCCGTACTTTCGTCAATGTTCGTCGCCCGTAAGACGTTTGGAGAAGGTCGTAATGACCTGAATCCATATTCAATCAGCAGTAGCGAAACCGAAAACTATCGGCCAGATCAATCGCTTACTTTAGAACGCAGAATCGTAAGACAAGTGCCAATGAGGTCTCGGGTAAATTTATCCAAGATCCACGTATGCGTGGATCGACCTTTTAGGCACGACGCTGAGTTGCTCTCAAGTCATATGACGGTCGTGCGTAATCCTGCCTGCCATCGAGACCGTAGGCTGGGCTTCGCATCAGCTGGAATCGGGATCGTCTCTTCGAACACGAACGTGTAGACAAATATTAGATTGTTTCAATCGCGAACTCAAAGTGATCCGGGGAGACGTGGACGATATAATCTAGGTTGCTCGCCTTGGATAATCCACTTGAAGCGCATTTCGTCGTCATTGGGGTAGACGAAGGTAACGAACTTAGCTTGTCCTGGTTGAAAAATGTTTCGCGCCTCTGCGCCAGCTGAAGGCCAAATCTGTAAACGAGAAGCAAGCTCGGAAAAAGCGACCATACCGTTCTTTCTTGTAGATTCACTCTCGTCTTCGCCATCGGATAGATGTGCATTGAATTTCGTTCCGAATTGATGAGTTTTCCAGGACGGAAAATACCTCACTGGACTGCAGATTTAGCATGCAATCTGGTGGCTGGCACCGCTGCACTCCACATTGACACTTCATCGTCGTGGCGTTCGTGCAGTGATATCTAAGTTGATCGATTTCGTGACAGAAACTTTACAACTCGCTAGCATTCTTCCGCACCACATCCTGCTTCTGTCATCACGATATCTGAACTCAGTCATCTCCACCATGACCAAAAAGGAAAAGCCTATACTGTTGCATCTCGGAGATGACATTCTTTGGAACCATGAACTCTACGAGCAGTTGAAGGACAAGTTTGACATTGTGCGAAGCTATCGTATGAATAGGGATGAATTCATGAGAGCTCTGAAGAGCAAACGGTTTGGTGACTTTTGCGCAATGTATCGTCCCTTTTGGAATACGGGAGGAGAGATGGGCAGCTGGGACGCCGATCTCATGTAAGAAAGCAGAACGACATATTTCGGTCGACGGAAGCTCATGTTAGCAGTTCGCTGCTCCCCTCGTCATGCCAAATATTCGCAAGTGCGGGAGCGGGCTTTGACTGGGTCGATACAAAGAGCCTCGCAGAGCGAGGCATCATCTACTGCAATAGCGCACCCGCATGTACGGAATCCGTAGCCGACGCTGCAATATGGTTGATTTTGAGCACCTATCGAAGATTCACATGGTCTTCACTTGCAGCACGATCGTTAGATGTCGCCAAATTCCAAGATGCTCATCAGAATATTGCTGGCCAGACACACAACCCAAATGGTTCCCGGTTGGGCATTATAGGTCTTGGGCGGATAGGTTATCGAATCGCGCAGAAAGCCCACGTCGCGTTCGAGATGAAGATACTTTACAACGACATCCGACGGATGCCGGAGGAGATAGAGCGGGCGGTTGGAGCCCAATACTTTGAAGAGCTAGACGACATGCTGGCTGAAGCGGACTGTGTTGTCATCGCAACGCCCTTCGTCGGAGACTCGCTCATGAACGCAGAAAGGTTCGAGAAGATGAAATACGGAAGTCGCTTGGTGAATATTGCACGCGGTAAGCTTGTGAATGAGCAAGCACTTGTTGAAGCACTCAATTCCGGCCGCATCAGCGCTGCAGGGCTCGACGTCCATTACGACGAACCACACGTCAACCCAAGATTTGCCGCCATGCAAAATGTTGAGCTGCTCTGCCATACCGCGGGCGCGTCGGTCGAGTCCCACATGGGTTTCGAACGATTGGGAATGGAGAACATTCTCCAGTACTTTGAGAGCGGAAAAGCGTTGACGCCTGTCAATCTACAATGGTTGCCTCAGTGAGAGTGAGAAAGAGAGAGAGAGAGAGAGAGTAAAGAGAGTTCTGCTCTTACGAGGATGTCCAATCCTCGATCAAAGCCAACGCTGATCGTTTACGTGCTGTACTGGAGCGTTTTCGCGCGTTTGAACATCACAATGTAGAGACTGCAGTCGGCCTTTTCTTCAGCCCAGTAGCACGACGTCATTTCATTTCCTATCACGCTCGCGTTAGTCTCGCGTTAGTGAGGCTGCTTTTTTTGTGGAGACGCGGAGACGAGAAAAAGCAACGACGAGAGAGGTAAGCAACGACGAGAGAGGTCGTCCCAACAGCCCGATGCTCGAACGGTGAGGTCAGCTTACCTGAGCTTCCGCGAAGAATACAGCTGAGGAACCAAGAAAAGGGGGAGACGCCTGGATATGCGTCCCAGGGACAATGAACGAGCCGTCCAGGGCTATGAAGCCATACAGTACCGAGACCGACGAGGATGAAAGTCAAAGCCCCTGCGATTCCTTTCGACAAACACTATTGAGTTCGAGAAGGAGGGATTCCTCGAAGCGACGCGCGAGAAGCTTTCGGTGGCGCGGGATGCGTTCTTCTGAAACCCTTCTAGAAGCCTTTGGAGGATGTTCATCTCCCGCCACATGGGCTGCTGACTCGACGCAAGCAAGCCTCGCTCAAGGCTGTCCGAGACTCGGCGATGGCATCTGTCTCAGCTGCACAGATCCTTTCAATTTTACTTCCCTGCACTTCTGCGCAAGGTCAAAGATGCGCCTCCCTTCGAGAACGCTTCTGCGCCGCCAGAGACGGTTGTGCGGCATGCATCAGAGCTCCTCAACCGTCCAAACGAGCCCTGTGCACTGTTCCGAGGGCGCTCCCCAGCCATGACAGCGCCGGCAGCCATGATCAGAAGGTGGCAGAATTGTGATCTGCCAACGCGCGCAATCCCTGATTGACATGACAGAGTACGATCGCTGACAGCCAGAGTGAGTAAGGTCTTAGAGCCAGCCGAGGCACCGATAAGGCTGGCCTTGACCTTGACTCTGATCTCGTGAGGCTGCCCTATCGCCGCTTCATCATGCGGTGGACCACCAAACGTACAAGGTCGTGCTTTGACTCCAACACTGTCCTCATGGCGTCTCCCTCGCCGGAGCGCTGACATCGTCCTCCGTAGCTCCGGCGAAGCCATCGATCTCGCCGTGAAGTAGAAGGACGCGGCCAAAAGAAAATTCTTCAGAAAAGAATCATTTTTGAGGCATTGTAGATTAGATTTTACGTCTAAGCACAATGGCAGATCTGTATAGAGTACATCATTACCATATTATCCTTAACATGAGCATATGATCATGCTCCATGACGGTGACTTCAAATGACTATCCAAAGGTATCGTGCAATGTTTTCCCCGCTTTTGATAAGCACCACTCGCCCGTCGTTGACCCATCCTATAAAATACCTGACCTGAATCAATCGTCATTGCCGTTATCGCCGCCCAATGCATTTGACATAACTATTAAGAAGAAACAATGGCACTGTAACCACCATTTGCAATTATGAGTTGGACATCATCCCGTTGCCGGCATGACAACCACGTTCGTGTCTTTTCATATTTGATCGCACACTAAAGGCCTTTCCGCAACCCGGGTGTCCACACTTGAACGGCTTCTCGCCCGTGTGACTGTGGCTGTGGATCCGCAGACTGCTTGGCCGAGAGAAGGCCTTGTTGCAAGTAGAACAAATGTAGCGATCCTGCGGCTGCGGGAACGAAGCTTGGCTGCTTTGGTTGATATAATGATGGTGCTGCCAAGGGCTGGTGATTCCAGTAGGACCAGACGAGAGAGGAATGTGTACCGGAGGTGGAAAGTTGGAAGGAAGAGGCCGCTGTGCGTACATCCCTGACGACGGAAGAATGGGTGTTTCTGAAGGGTAGTAAGGTGACGAAGATGACAGCGTCGATGTTGGAGACGTGTGGTAAGGCGAAAGTGGGTATGTCGCATTAGGATATGATGATGTGACAATTGGGTGAGGAGTCATCATGGAGGGCTTTGAGACTGCGTTCGAGTAGTTTTGCCGTTGTTGTGTGGGATCCATCTGCATGTAGTAGGTCGACGCAGCTACGCTGGAATGTGTTGACATTGCAGCAGGCGATTGAGAGCCGTCGACAATCGATTCTGGACCCAGAGGCGGCGTCGGAGGCAAAGTCATCTTTACCTGACTTTGCACTACCGGGCCAGTGGTCTGGGGTAATGCTTCCGACTGGAATTGCGAAGTTGGTGTCATCATCGCGGTTGACTGTGTTTCCTGGGCTCCTTGCTGTGCTTGACTTTGAGCCTCTTGAGTTGAACGGTTAGTGCTGATTGTATCAGCAGGCCGGTAGTGCACATACCTTCTGACATTCCTAGAAGACTTGAAATCGAGGGCAACGACGGCTTGTTAAGCTCATCAACTGATGGAGAAGGCGGCGACGGCGGCGCAACCGCTTTTTGCTGATACGCGTAGCCATATGGTTGAGAGGATGGAGCAATGTACTGAGCCGACATCATGGCAGTCTCGTGTGAGCGTGCTCGAGCTTGTCCGTATAGTTGTTGTTGGTGGCGAAACTGTGCTTCTAAGGCCTCATCTCTGCTTGGGATGTGCGCCATGCTCGATACTTGCATCATTTTTGTTCGTGGACTTGTACTATGGTAATTTCTGTTCCGTTTCGCAACAATGGCGCCGGGAAGCGATATGTCTTCTGGTGTTCGCTTCTAGAATGTGACAAGAAATTAAGAAGTTTATACTAATAATACGGTGCAGCAATCTGGTAGATTAGAGGCAGATCTGTCTGGAGGTTGACGAGATGATTTGCAAACAAATAGACATGCGGAGGGGTAGCCTTTAAGATGGCTTCAGATTCTCAAAGAGCCGCTGGACATTTTGATACCCTGATTCATGGCCACCCCAGATTGGTGCCGTGATAGCAGATAATGTCCCCAGGCGAATCCCCAGTGGCGTCAAACGGCAGCCGGGGGAATTATCCCGGACAGTTAATCTATGTCCCACTCGCGATATTGCACGCCAAAAATTGAGGCCAGTAGTCAAGGTGTTTCGAGGTCAGGGAGGCTAGTGCGCGCAGATCCGGTGCGGACAGGGCATATGAGGCCGTGCTGCCTCGACGTGGAATTGCCGCCTCGGCAAATATTCCTTTCACAAGCTTGACCTGAGCATGGCCGTGGAGACCGGCAAGGACGAAATCAATGCAAACGAGCTCCTGTGACAGTTCTTACAGACGATCACTGCTCAGGTGGTCGCACGGCTTTCCCACTGGCTTGTGAGTCGCGAAGGGCTTGTATTGATATTGATGTTGAACTACCAACAAGGCTCGAGTACTCGCTTGCATTATGAACTGAATTTAAGATGCGCCTGTGGAATGGACTTCGTAGCCTGGAGTATTCTTTGCACCCAGGCTGGCGATCAAGTCAAACCTCGACGAGCAGTCCGGCGTGTGCAAATGCTCAGAGCATACGATGTGTAAACCGAAGTGCGCAAATGGAAGATTGACAACGAGGAATCATGATCACCCTTGAGGGCTGGCTGTATCCCGGAGCCAATACTCACCGTGATTGGCAACAGGGAAGTTGAGAATCCTGCAGCAGCACCCGAAGCATCGAGGAAGCATGCAGGTCAGATTCGCAGGGTTCGATGGCCTAGCGATCACCCGTGCAGCACCATTCGAGGCCATCAACCCATGCCCCGCATTATACTAACTGCCCAGTACAAGTCACAATCCCCGAGGGAAGATCCGAAGGGATAGACTGGGCTGATGCGACGGAATGATCTGAGCCAAACCGGTCGTTCAACCGCCCTATATCGTCATCCTAGAGCCGCTCAGGCACGCGGTGCCAGCAGTTGAGACTCACAAACGCCAGAACTGTGTTGATACGTTATGCTCGGGGTACACGCATAGCAAACCAGGATGCAGGCATAAAACACAGCTGGGCGAAGGAACACGGTGCCAATGGGACCGCATCCAGCGTCGCTTTGAGGTACGTTATCCTCGGGTGTGGACGAGTTGAAAGAGCGCCCATGGCGCGAAACAACAGCAATGACCATTGGAAAGGGCGTTGGATGAAACTGGACGAGCGCTCCGGCGAACTGGATCGGTGGTGGTGTTTGAGCAAGGCAGTGATCGTCAAGCCCTGGGACCAGGGTGCTCGGCTGTCTGAACCACTGCCATCATCATGCTGCTGCTGCTGCTGCTGCTCGGTGGACACAGAGCAGAAGTTGTCCTCCAAAGCGGATGCATCATCGGCTTGGTTTGCTTCCCGCCCTGCGAGACGCCTGCGAACGGCTCCATAACACAGCACGTTCAATTGACCGGTTCAAAATTCTCCAAAGTCCTCAGCCTGTGTCAGTTTGTTCGTGACCTGTTGTGCCATTCCAGCGTTGAGGGTCGGCCTCGTGCCCATTACTCGCAATGCTGCATGCGAACTTTAGCCGATGCACAAGCGCAATTTAATTAAATAACGACTGCTCAACTCCTGCATAAAGGCCGGTTGGTAAATCTCAGCACGTCAAGCGGCTATCTGCGTTCCTTTGAGCATGTGCATGGCTTCGAACAGTAGACGAATCGTCCAGTTGCTGTCGGTTGATCAAGTCGATGCGCTACCTCTCGTGACAGTCATGGATGTCTGAACACGGGAAGATTGGTACTTGCGTTCCCCTGAAGTCTACGTCCTGCCGTTAGGGGCTGCGCTCACTTAGAGTAACTCTCAGTCGACCGGACGCAGCCAAAAAAATTTTTTCGTCTTTTCGTGGTAGAGCCACGCTCAGCCTCCTGCGATGGACTACATCGTCCACAATGCTTTTCCTGCGGCTGTGTTCTGATTGCAATTTCCCGGCGGCTACAACGTCGCAAATCGATCCATTCATTGTATGAGTCTTTCCCCTGGCGTAGATCGAGGTGGCATGATGCTTAGATCTGTCGAGAGAAATTTTCGAGAGATCGATTTGCATAGATGGGCTGCCCTAGAGGTTCTGAAACTCTAATATCAGAGGCCCCAATACACCCATTCCCACGACATTGTTCTTTAAAGTATTCTTGGAGCAAAACTGTTGATCAATTGCTGACTGTTTACAATGTCGCCCTTCCCCCATGCCCGATGTTCTGTGCAACGCCTGCCGCTGTATCTCAACATAGGTGTGGTCGACCAACCGCAGCCAGCAACGTGAGGATCGTTGGTCGGGATGGTGAAAAGTCCACATCCGACTTCCGCGTCGTTTGTGTATCTACGCATGATGTGATGGGGACTTCTATACCAACGCTCTGTCTGCTATGATCGCCTTCGATGGACTGTTGGGCATTGAAACGTCTTGGTCTCGCTGGGACCCATGTGCAGCTCAAGCTGCCACGATTTCTGCATGCCTTCTCCACCAGTCAAGCTGTCTCGCACATCAACCCAAACTGCGAGCACGGAGAACTCAATATCCTCGTCTCGTCTAGCGATTAGCATGTCTTTGGTCTGTCTCCAGATTGCCGAGTAATTCAGGCCTTCACTTCCCATGCACTGTGTCCATCAAACAAGGGCGATGATACACGGCTTTCAAAGTCAGCCAGGATTGAGAGATACAATCAATCTCGAGCAAAATGCTGTATCTACGAAAGCGTTGCCGAAGTAACGGTCAACGATCAGAAGCCAACGGAAAATCCTCCTCGGAAACTCCAATCACCCGTTGATTTTTCACGAAGGGGGTCGATTGTGTGTTGATCCACCACCACAAAATTCTACGGGAAAGCCCATTAGCTCGGCATTATCCACCCTGCCTGCAAGCCGACACCACGCGACCAAAGAGGTGCGAGTAATGTTTCGGCATTAAATACTCGCTGCGGCTGACCAGCAAGCCGCATTAGCCTTTGAGCAGAAGACCCCGGCGCAAGCTGTGTTCATCTAACTGACGGAAACGGGCCCTAGCCGGACAATCTTTAAGCCCATGTGACAATCCGATAAGTGTAAGGACAAGGCCGCTCTCTTGACATGGTTTTTGGACGCCATCATTGGCTCCACGGCTGTCGAACGGGTGGAAGGCCAATTAAGGATGGCTGCAGCACGGATTGTAGAGAGGGGCCTTATACTCGTCAACCAAGTGTCCTGCTTTGCCTCTGAATTCGACTAGCCTGGCCGCAGAGTGACCTCTCAGGTCGCTTAGGGCATCAGGGCACGACATTTATCTTCACCAAGGTCCAGCTCTTGCGGGCGAATGATTGCGGAACATCAGCTGTCAACAAAACATCACAATCGCTGGGACATCCCACAAGTCGCCAGCTTTTAGACTCAGCTACAATGCGGGAGTTTGACGATCGTACCGATCTTCTGCGCATAGCGTCACAGTTCAAGCCAAACAAGAACTTGTGGGCGTTTACCTTGGCACATGCCTATGTTGGCAAAATGCGGTGGCGTTCTTGTGACGAACGTTGCCTACCCCGGATTACTGCAAGGTTCCGTAACATCTGAAAATCTGTGCGATACCACCAGAATCCGCCGAGGAGTAGCAGATTCCGAGTCTACAAAGCATTCAGTTAATCGGACGAAATAGAAAATGTATGCTATGCAACCGTCTATCATGATGAACTTTCGAGACTGTTTTCACACATTTGCTGGGGCTATAAAACGCTCAACTGGGCGGCCTGGAAGTCGTGCTTCACAATACGGTCAAAGCTTCTAGGCCACGGCTTTCGGTAACATTGAAAACACTGTTGTTTCTCATGTGGTCGAATCTCTCAGTCTTGACCTCGCCCTTCTGACTCGACAGAGAACTGAATAAAGCCTCACCGAGGGGAGTGTCGACGTCAAGCATAAATAAATTCGCATTAGAGCGCCGGGAGATTTAAGAGCCTGGTTACACGATTCGGGACGCCGCAAGGCAACTCGACACAGATAACGGATTAGCGGACACCTGTTCCCATTAAAAATCGTCGCGAAGTCTTTACAGTACAGACAAGGGCACACTGGAAGAGAAATTGCGTCAGAGTCTTCGCTTGCTTGACTAACATTTGTTGATACAGCGGTGCCAACAAATACATTCCTCGTTTGAGTCTCGGTGGTCGGTAAGCCATGTCTAACACGTGATTATCATGTGAGATCAACCAACAGTTATCATAAGACCTAGTCTTGTGACACGATCAGAATCGTTTGACAAGGCCTTACATATCATTTCTAGTAAAAATTCGCTTCAGAATCGCCGCTGGCTGAAAAAAGAACATGTCAACAAGACGGTAAAATCTCGTGGGTCCGAGACCGAGGCTTGCGAGTATTGCTGTCTATAACACATTGCCTAAGGGTCATGTGCAGTTTTCTCAAGGCATTTAGATTGGTCGCAGGTGATGGGATCTCGCTAGAGGTCGTCGAATCGTAATGCTTTATCGCAACATGACGTCCACAGAATGCTAGTTACCCTGCAAACAAACTTTTATAGTGTCCATAATCATTATGGATTCGGGACTGCTCTAATCTCACAGTTACTGACCGAACAGACTTAGATTGGACGGAAAGCAGACCGAAATGAAGAAGCGTAAACTCTAGTCATTCCTGTGTGGTAGTGCTTCTGACAGCCATATTCAGCTTTAGCGGCGCCTAGCTCTGCATTTACAGAGGCCACCTCCAAAAACTAGATTCATGAGCTTTTGTTTGGCTTTGTATATGATGGTGCGCATACATATCATGTGTATGTTCAGGGACTGAGTGCCGAGGATAGATTAGACGGTTGGCATACCAGAGCAGATGTGGTAGCGTCGCGTGCCCATACAGGAGAGCAAACTGCTCACGAGGCAGTCTGGAACTCCATACATTGAGCTGGTTAAAGAACCAGATTTACGTGCTGCTTCATACTCGTCGTGTCATTGTAGTTTGAGTGTGCCAGCGTTTTGTTGCTGATGGAGGGTCGGCAATGAACAATTCTTCGTGCTAGTAGACAAGCGTTTCAAGCACCTTCTCGAGTAGATGAATAGTCCGTGGTTAGTGCCCCACTTTTGGATTCCTCCCTTTCTCCGGGTAAGGGTCAAACATCACGAGGCTACGGCTCTCTCAGGAGTAAGTGGGAAGACCGAACTACGCGTCGGCAGAGACATGGTGAAGACCTCTTAAAGAAATCGCACATGGCTGAAGAGCAACCGATGATGAAAAATAGCGCATATCAAGGTCCTGGAATTGTTCCGTCGCAAAATTTCCAGGCGATTCTGGACATTAAGCGTACTGCTGGTGTCGCACTTTAGGCCGTGCCTCCCGTAGCCGCGGCCTTTACCGCCAACCAAGGGGATGCTGAGACATCTGTCCAATTGCGTTCGTTAGTTCGCCCAAGCCGTAACCTTGCAAGGCGATCTCAAAAGGTGTAAGTAGACGCAGGTGCTCCCTAACAGAGCTCAGCTCCAAACGCATTTCGCGGAGTCGTTGGGCACGAAGTATCGGCCGGTGGTGTTATCTCGCACGTCAGGGTGACGAAGAAATCCTGGAAGCTTGAGACTTTGCGTGGTTAGTCAAAAATGTCTCCTGAGAAGCTCTTTGCGGGCGTGGGCGGCGTGGACTAATTTCTCTGACAAGTGGACGAAGCGCGAGCTGACAGCTAAGTTAAAAGACTTGCTTTTTCTTGGGTTGCGCACCAGCTCTAGGCGCCACAACGCACTGCAACCTGAGATCTGTCGAGCCAAAGTGTGCCAAAAGCAAAGAGCAGGCAATTATCAGAGGTCAGATATTGAGAGCAGGTCTCGCCGCCATCGCTGCTCCCTTGCACCGGAAAAAAAAATACCTCGCCGTCGATCCACAGAGCGCTTCTTTCGCCTGAGCTGAGAGCTTTGTTCACCTGTTCGTTCAGCATGCACTCGCGCAACCACAGGATTGTCGACGATGAATAAGGACACGCTCAATGGCTTCTCCAGCCAATTCGGTGCCCGACACACAGCTTGGTCTGACAAACGACGAGATCCGCGCTCTTCGATACCACCAGCAAGTCGCGCTGTCCCAAACGGGGTCCTCGCGAGCTGCCAGCCAAGCGAGCAGTGCCGGACGCTTGCTGTTGGATCCGAGCAGTCTGACGGCTCTGTCGGCCTACTTTGACCGATTGATGTACTCGATACAGCAAAGATGGCAATCTGTGAGTCCGATGCATTCCCGTTTTTCTCTGTTTGGGACCTTTCCGCCGATCGCTCTGCCGAGGCATGCGACTCGGCTCTCTGCATGAAAATGAAGCTTTGAAAAGTCGAAAGTGTACTGAGGCATGCGTCAAACTACAGCTGTACTCGCAGACCCAGAACGCGACTGGAGCTCAGTACGATCGCGCCGGTCGCTTAATCGAGGATGCTGATGCTGCAATCGAGCGCTTCGAAGAGATCCTGCGACAGATCGAGGAGCTACAAAATGAGTTTGAAAAAGTGCGACGTATAGGTGAAATTGTCAAGCAGTACCGAGCAAGAGTGGAGGCCCTTGACAGGAGAATATGAAACAAGCAAGTAGGCAAGAGTAGACAGGCTTCTCTGGGACCGATTCGCACTGGTCAACCGTATTTCGTTGACTACGTGCGCTCTCTCCACATACGCACAGCCTCTAATTACCACGATTTTACACATATGGGGACATGAATCGGGTCTGGACCCGAGGGGATTAGAAAGATTGAAAGCCTCGCGGCAAAATTTATATTGTACAATTGCTCGGCGACAAAGCCGAGCAACAAAGAAGGAACGCCTCACGGCAAGGTTGGCTATATACCCCGTTCAGTGACTGTGGTAGTATCGAGTTTTAATCGACTGTATGTGGGAGTACAATCCGGCGTTGGGAGGTCTGCTATGCTAACGAAACCATTGTTTGACGGTGTTTTGAATTTGTTGCATATACGCTAGTTGCTGTATAGTTTGGTATAACAAGCGTGAGCTGAGGTGGTCCCCATTCGTGAGAATCTTTGCTCCGCCATTTTACTATTCGTTAAATCATTACCAAATATTATGTACAAGTCAATCAATCATACACAGCGAAGTATCGAAGAACAGTTGGGTATATCATAAGCAAAAGTATGCCAACCAGATGGTGAACCTGCGGTTCGTGGTTGACCGTCTTAGTATCCGTCGATGTAGATGTACCAACATCGTGCCAGTAATGTTACGCTTTCTAGAGCGCATAATTCTCAGTGTGCAAGAAGATCTCTTCTTTCTCCGGGTCAGTGAAGATAAGGCTCTGCAGCGACGCCACTGCGCTCGCGACAGTGACACGCATGCTCGGCGGCCCGCAAACGAAGACACATGTCCTCTTGCCCCACGATTTGCTCATTTGGCGTAGCATGTATGGCAAGTCTGGTCGGCCATACTCTGTGCTCCACCCATCTGCTCCTCTTTTCGCCGCGGGGAGGAACGCAAATCGCATGAGATTCTTCTGAAACTCCGTCGGGGTGGACGGGAATCCAAAATTGAATCCCTCATCGGCCGCTGATGGATCAAGGACACTGTCTGGCATACCTGATGCAAGGGCAGTCTTGATGTCGAGGGCAAGGTCGCGGCCACCTTCATGAGCCTGTGCATTAGGGTGGTTTATCTGCTTGATATGGGCTTTAGGAAGCGGTTGAATGACGTCTTCGTTCTCTGTTCGAAGCTCTTTCTCTAAGTTCTCATCGCCCTCCGCATATTCTTGAATGTAGGCGGAGTTACGCTTGGAGTGGTAGCTCGCCCTCTTCTCAGCAATGTCCATAAACTTGTCGTTGACTTTGTCATGAAGGTATGTGCTGATATGTCTGTTTGCCGCTTGTGTTGTCATCTGATGCGTCCTAACCGACATACGTTTTGCCGAAGTGATGAAAAATTGGCATCTAACAGATTCAGGAGGGGCGCAGTCACGACAAATGCGTAACTCCTCTTTAAACCACTCCATAGTTTCTGGCCTTTTCAGGGCCCAGATAACTTGAACATCCTTTGTGACTGCTTTTCCGTCTCGCATTCGTTTGATGAGATCAAGGAGTTGGCTCACGATAGCAGTGATGCCGCTGCCGCCGGCAATAAGAACGACTTTGTCAAAGGATTCGATACGCCTCCTCATACCTCCGTATGGGCCGTCCAAGAATGCACGATAAGTTTTCCACTCCCCCTTCTCCAGTGCGGTGTTGACGACTTTCCTGGTAAAACCACCGAACGGACGAAAAACAAGAAGTAAATCTCTATACTCTTCGCCATACTCGGAGGGAAAATCATCGCTACACAAGGATGCTATGGTGAAGGGGTGATTTTCGAAGATTGAGATGCCAGGCATTCGAATGTATACGTATTGACCTGGACGCCACTTCATCTGCGTGGGGACGGTGATCTTGACGGCATTTTCGGGTAGCAGTGTGATTGCCGATTCGTCCCCAATAAGCCACGACATTCGCCTCGGGTTGAGGAAGTTGGTGTAAAAGATCCGTCCAACCCAAGACGTCAGCCAGATGGCAACAGTGGCGTATAAGTATGAGTATGAGGTAAGGTAGTTGTTGCAGTGCCAGAACATCGTCCCAACAAAGACTGCACCCACTGGCCAATGTAACACCAAGAACAGTTCATACATAGGTCGTCTTATAATAGGCAACGAATGAATAACTAGGAAACAAAGAGGTACAAGGGCCGCGACACCTAAAGCGATTAGTCTCTTCAACAAGCTTATTGATACAAAAAACTCACCAGTTCCGTACACATAAAAGTGTTGTCGCGAAAAGAAGCTTTTGAATGCTGGGACTCCCCGTGCATCCGTAATAGGTGTGATATAAAAGGGTATGGTGTGGATCAAGCTCAGCAACAACATGAGATACGAGCCCCAGCGATGGAAGACGTTCAGACGTTCCGGTCCGATCCCGGTTATAATCGAGACAAAATTCGCCTTCATAGCCATTGCTACAACCCATGGTAGCAATGCGACTGCGAGCATACCGGATCTGATAGCCACAGGAGGTGAGCCATATTGAATGCTTGTCCAGTAGAGCGGCTGCGGTACAAAGGTATACATCAAAGAGAACGCAACGCCGGCGAATCCAATGAACAACACAGAAAGAGGTGGGAATACGATCGGCTTGAGACTCTTATGTATCCTCCAGTCAGGAATTGTCCGATAGAAAATGAATCGAAAGAGAGCGATCATGAAAAGGAGAGGTCTCCATCCTGATATTGTTGGCTGGGTTCTTGGAAGGTGGGTTTCCCTCTCGAGGTCCATGACACGCGGAAACAACTTGTTGGTTGATTTGTCAGTAGGATACGGAAAAGCCGCCATTTCGTAGTCATCGGATGGAGACGAAGTTGCGCTGGATTTATATACCTCATATTGGTGACTTGACCAAGCAGCTCTTATTCGGTCTGTAAATGCGTGGTAGCAGTACAGCGCCGACGTAAATGCGAGCAATATAAGTCCAAAGAACACCCAGCCCAACGCGTATTTTCCGCTCTTGTTGAACGGGTCCCGAGTATCTGCTTCGATGAGGCCAGGTGGACTGCTCGAATTGTACGGGATGTTTACCCTTGCGATCAGTTGATGCATCGTCAATTCAATCTGATTTCTTGCGTCCCCTTCCAACCGCGTTAATAAGTTGTAGATTGCGGTCATCTTGGCTGATTGTCAATGTTGCGTGCACCGATCCAAACTTTGCCTCGCATCCAAGCTTTTGCGATTTTGGTCTTGAACTATGCGCGCAACTATCGATATAGTCGTGTCATGGAACAGGTCTGCGTGCGCAAAGTCCGTTTATCGATTTCAAGTTCGAGAGTGGCTGGTAGCTGTGGAGTACGGTCAACGCAATGTGCAAGCTGACCAGCTACATCCAGTTGCGACCAGAACGCTGGGAGAGCTCTCGGATTGTAGAGCAGCTACCCCAGACAAAGTCGGGATTTTCTGATAATAGATGTAGAGATGAGACAATATGTCGCAAAGGCTCACAAAAGATAGTGAATGCCGCAGACGGTCGCAGGAGCGGTCGATGATGAGGTCCGAGGCGCATATATGGGTCAATCTCACAAGCGGAAGAAGGTCAACTAGGATATGTGCATTCTCAAAGCGCAAAAGCCACTCGTGATTCGCTGAGAGCGTCATCGTCCCTGCATGACGGTGAGGACGTTCCCGCATTATTGGATCTGCATCCTGGCCGTGCTGCTGGCTCATCACTTCAAAACCGTATCCACATACTATCACGTTTACCGGAATCCCACCAACGGTAGGAATCATTGCCAAACATTAGCATACTCGCTTGTAATACTCCTGAGCTGTGGCGTCGAAATTCTCGAGATTCCAATAGAGAATGTCGACAATAACCGGACGGCGGTAGAGGCGGCCACAACATTGGCCACCGGCTGCCAACAAAGAACAGGTTCAACGGTGGTAATGCACCTAGCCTGCGGGTCAATCACTCTGATGGCGTTGGCCATAACCGAAGGTTCCGGGGTGATCACACATACAGTAGTTTATGCACCCGATTTGGTCTTTACTTCTTTGACCACGAATCGTGCTTGCACATTCTGCAGACGGTCGTTCAGCTTCCAGCGATCCAACCAGTAATGGCCATAACTCAATGGAAAGCAAGATTGTACTACAAGCGACCTGTGAGCTTGCGAGTTACGTGTAGCAGAGCCTGCAGTGCATATTGTTTGGTTAACAAGCCAAGGTAGCGTGTGAACGCCCAAGTGAACTGACAAGGTTCATTCAAGTTGTGATTGGTTGGGGTTCATTGGTCGTTGTCCAATCAATTCCAATTCTGTTGTGTCGAACCGTTAGCACTAGTCCAATTTTGATTAGCCAGCGCTTAACAATCGCCACATTTTCCTTACGACTTTTTGTTTTGCACTTGCGGAATGCATTACGGAGTACTGTTGAAGAGAAAACATGGAGACGACATCCATGAAATCCATGTAAAACATTGCTATGTGATGAGGTTGAGTTTTCACCTGTGACGTTGTGCGAGCTTGTCAACAACAGGACTGAAAGCACCGTCCATGCTCCTTGATCACCAACCCCCTCCCTTTCTTTCACTCCAGATCGCCACAAGCGCTTCTAGCCAAAATCAAATCTCCTCCATGCTATCATGCAAGCGCTGGACGATGTTTGTGTATATTTGTGATAATACAATAGTGTAGGCGTACGTGCTTGACCCCACCTGAAATAGACACGGGCGGCTACTTATGCGAGGTGTTGAAGAAGGGTCTGCAGCCTTACCAGACGAATCCTTCAGCCTTGTTAAAGTCACAGCGCGAGGCTTTTAGATTTGACGAATGATCCGCTATCTGTTCCATCCATTCCGGTGAGCTATCATGCCGAAGTGGATCGAGGGGCGCACAACGTCCACATCCTGAGTCTAGTCCGAGCCAAGATCACTCAGTTCGCTACTGAAGTCGCTGTCGTCATGAATTCTGGAGTACTTAGCTCGACTGGCACTCTTCGTCGGCGTCCTTTTCGGCTTGCGTGGTGAGCCGTTTTTGTGATTGAAACGCTCAACAAGATGTTCAATAACACAATTATCTCCCAAGTTGGGATTTTGTTTGCCCTTGTTAATCTTCGCTTGACACTTCGAACATTGCTTGCCATGCTTGATCAGCAGATAGTGGAGAGGATACTTGAGTTCATCGGGTATCCGAACCTCGCAATGTGAGAATGTTTGGTCTCGGCTCGCATTCTTAGGAACCCAGCCAAGCCAACAACAAAGACGCCAGATGTGTGTGTCGACAGCAAATGAAGGACGTTGCAGGCAGAACAGCAGCACGCAAGATGCCGTCTTTGCGCCTATTCCGGGATAGGAGATCAGTTTCTTGAAGGCTTCTTCTTGTGGCAAGAGATGTAGATGATCCAAAGACAGCAGATCATCTTCTGTTATCGCAATCTCGTTTTCCTTGCCAAGTTTTGTCTCCAAATTTTCTCCAGATGCTCCCGTGATTGATGAAAGGAGATCTGTGCGTCGCTTCTGGTTCTCCTCGTAGACCATGTCGAGAATACGCTTAATGTCGCCACTCTTGATGTTTGCAAGCCCACCTTTCTCAATAGCGGCTTTGAGTCTGCTCTGTGGTGCCAGGCGAACAGCATTCCAATCTACCATGGTGCGTCCCTCTCGATCTGTAACGGTGCCAAATGTCTTAACTATACCTTGAAATGCCCGGTTAGAATTCTCGTTGTTTGTGTTGGCTGACAAACGAGTTCGAATTAATGCCTCCAAAACGTGAGGGACTTCTCCACAGCCAGCGACGGTCAAAGAGCCTTGTTGGATTTTTTGAGGTGCTGAGACTTTCCCATGAACTGAGGAAAGAAGTTTCACAACTTCACGACATTCTTCTGGCGTTGGCCGTGCATAGTCAGGAAACGGCGTCGCTCCAGGCGTGTGACCATATGATGATTCTTTTTTCCCTTTTTTTTGCTTCTTTGGGGGGGCATCCATTTGCAAACTACCATCATGTACAGCCTTGCCAGTCAAATTGTCGTTAAACGTGTTATTGTCGGCATCGTTAAGGTTGACTTGCGGTCTGTACCCCTTCAATTTCTTGGTTGAGGTCCGGGATTCCTCAGATCGTTCCAGCGAGTTAGCACGGAAACGTTTTCCAAGACTGTGGGGAAGCTCCTCTACTTCGGTCGATTTCGGTGCATTCGGTATTCGTCTAGATGGACCTTTTAGCGGTTGGGTTTCAGCTGAAGGCTCAATTTTGATTTTTTGCGTTGATCTGGCTGTACCTTCGCCATTCCTTATTGGGCTTCGAGTTTCGCCGTTCAATTTAATCGTGGTGGATGACAGTTGCTTAATTTCCTTTGTAGTGTTGGCCGAAGATACGAGCCGGGGCCTCAGCTTCCTTACTGGCATTTCTACGACGAGTGAAAAGGCAGGATGGAAGGGTTGTGGGAACGTTTGTATCGTAAACTGACATAGACTTTTGTTCGACACGGAATAAGTGGAGAGAGAACTAGGCTAAGCATAACAATAGGTGACAGGCATAAGGCTGAGGGCTAGGTTCGAGCTTCGTCGGAGTTCTACGAAAAAGACAAAAGAGAGACGATTGGTACTGTATCCTCACGGTTGATTGTTATAGAAGAAAGGATTTTGCGACCTAAGCTGGATGAGTTAGAAAGTGTCTTTTAACTTGCCAGATCTTGCGCCTGAAGTCATGACGAAAGAATGGAAGCGGCTTTCAACGAGCAAGCTCAGACCGGAATGTGGCACGTGTCACGATCGAGATGCAGGAACAGCTCTGGCATCCAACTCGCCCCGCTGGTTTATCCACTAAAATAGCCGGTTACTGCTCATCTTCCACTGTTACTAATTTTCTACCTTCCGGACAGGCTCCAGTTCGTTTGCGCTACAGTTGCTTTGCAATATCGAAGAGCTTCCGACGTCATGGCAGGCACAGCGCCGCTAATAGTCGATGCAGTAACCAAACACACGGCTACTGTCATTGTAGCCCATGGTCTCGGCGACAGTGGTGTTGGATGGGTCTGGCTGGCGGAGAGCTGGAGGAGACACAACAAGTTTCCAGAGGTCAAATTCGTATTTCCAAATGCCCCAGTCATCCCAATTACTCTGGTTGGTACGAGCCATAAGCAAAGGCCACTCGTCTGCTAACTTGAGCTCAGAATATGGGCTTTCGCATGCCCGGTTGGTACGATATTGTAAGACAACGCGACCATTCCAATGTCCGCAACTTGGATTCTGCAGCCTCATCTCTACCACATGACAAAGAAGCTGATTTTTCTGATAGACATCGTTAGATGAGCTTAAAAAAGGCGAGGACGAAGCAGGTATCAGCCGTTCGCAAGCTTACTTTCACAACCTTATCGACAGCGAAGCCAAGAGTATAGGCTCTGAGCGTGTTGTTTTTGGCGGGTTCTCCCAGGGCGGAGCAATGTCTCTGTATTCCGGCCTCACGTATGGTAAGAAGCTTGGTGGCATATTCGGATTGAGTTGCTACATGCTGCTTCAGGATAAGCTCAAGGACAAGATCGCAGCTGCTGGTGGTGTTAACAATTCCACACCCATATTCCTAGGTCACGGTGACGCCGACACGCTCGTACGATACGAGTGGGGTCAGAAGACAGCAGACAAATTGAAGGAGTGGGGTCATCCGGTTGAATTCCACACATATAAAGACCTGGCGCACGGAGCAGATCCTGAAGAGGTGGATGATCTTGAAAAGTTCTTGAATAAGGTTATTCCTCCTCTGGGTAATGAGACTAAGGCTAGCTCGAGTTCATGACTGCTATTGCTAATCCTGTTGTCGATTCTCTGTTCTATACACCGGCTTAACCTCTATCTACGCAGAGCGCGATAGATAAGCCATAGTTAGCGCTGTTGTTCAATCACAATGAAATTCCTTCATTACGGCCATCTTTGCACCAACCGGACACATACAGAACTTGAAATGATGTCACTCGCTTTTCTATTACTTCCTCCATTCGTCAAGACATCAGCATTGGCGGGTTCTCTTGCATACTACCTTTCTCAAATCACGGTTTTACTTTGCCCATGGGCTCTGGAGTGTATCGCTCTGACCGTGGAGCATTTCAAATTTCATTGTCCTACTTTTGACACTGCCCGTTTTCGAGGCTTTTATGAGGCTGCGGAGAAGCATAGGGCTGACCGAATTCGGAAATGTTGACAATTAAAGTCACCAAGCGGTCTTCTAATTGCTCTGATTACCCGTTCAAATTTTCACTTTTCCAGTTGTCAGGACTTTAGACATGTCTAGACCACTTGTTGACAGAATACATTTACCAGGCCCCAATCCTTCCTCACACATCAAAAGACGCTACCTCGTCTATTTCATCACGGGCAATCCAGGCTTGGTTGAATACTATGATGCCTTTCTCTTGCACTTATATATGATTCTGGGGCCAGAAAACGATAGAAAGCTTTTCAGTAGCGAGAATGCTTTCGATATTTACGCAGCCAGCATTCCAGGGTTCGACTTTGCTGACCCGGACAACGCGTATGAGAGATGGAAGAGGATGGGATTGAACCACGCACCGCCCTTTTCGCTAAATGAGGTTATCGATGGCATGGAGGCAGAGCTTTGGGGGGCTGTTGAGCTTACGAAACGCGATGGAGAGCAGCTAGAGGTCATTATCATGGGACATTCTCTTGGCTCCTTCATTACACTGGAGCTGATTCAAAGGCACCGACGCCGCCTCGAGAATGGACAAAATGAACCTTGTGTTATTACTGCAGGTATTTGTCTCTTCGCTACCGTAGTTGACATTGCAAGTAGTGAACGCGGTCAGATTTTTTCGGTAAGTTCATCCAAGTTGTTCTGTCTTTTGTACAATTGAGGCTAATACCAACTATGAGGCATTGTCCAAATATATTCCACTATTTCAATCACTAGTGCCTTTGCTGTGCAACTTCGTCTTGTCACTTGTTCCAAATACCTTACTGAATACAATTATCCATCGCATTGACGGCCTCACAGGCCATTGTGCGGACGTCACGACTGCGTTCCTTAAGTCTAAGCACGGCGTCACGCAAGCATTGTACATGGGCGCTGACGAGATGCGGCAAATCAGTTCTGACAAATGGGACGAGGAAATATGGGGTGCTGCTCACCCATCCAGAACAGGAATTCCACGCCCCAAGATGTTCTTCTATTTTGGAGAAAAGGATCATTGGGTTGCTGATCGGACGAGGGAGGACTTGATGAAGTTTAGAGGAAGGGGAAACGGAGGGGACCATTGGAAACCAAAGATGGAGATTGATCAGAACGGGATACCACATGGTTTTTGCATTTGTAGGTCTTCGCATCAGCTAAATCGGTAGAAAGACTTGGAGGCTAACTGTGAATGCAGCGCATAGCATACCAATTGCAGAAAAAGTAAGGCAGTATGTAAAAGAGATAGTAGAAGCTTCTCCGTTGTAGCTGCGGTGTCACAAGAGTTCGTTCTGAATTTCCTACGCAGCATCTCCATTGCCTTCAAGAGAAACGTCTTCAAAGCGCAATCTGCCATTACAATTTGAGACGTCTCCTTCTCAAGGTTGCTTGCGATCATCCTCGCTAGTCTCCCGTCCATCGTTTTGTGTATCGTCATCCTTCATCCATGCACCTCTTGACTTCAAATACTCCAATTCGGCTTCATCATCCAGGTCCACACTTGGCCAGAAGCATTGTGCGAACAGACTCCCGCTCAAATCTTCGCCAAACAGCTTCACGGCCTCTGCATCTAGAAACTGCGCGATCTTTAGCATTGCCCACCGACGAACACACTCCTTCTCCCATCGCTCAAATCGTAACATCAGAGTTCTTGTCAAGTGTCTCAGGAACAATAGTTCCCTTGCTTTCATGTTTGATTTTAGCTCTTTTAGCTCCCTGTTGCTCTTGAGCAGCAGTTCACGATTGAAGAGCGGCATCTCCCGGTTCGATCCGCCTTTGCCTGTCAGCTCACGCAGTCTGCGACGATATGTGTATTTGGAGATGCTCATTTCTTCGATGATGCACTCGATGTGGTCAACTGGGATGCTGAAGTTGGACAGCGCTTGATTGACGGTGCGTCGCACAACTTTGAACTGCTTATTCATCATCCGGCGGACGCTTTCAAATTGCTCTTCAGTTAGATCATCGTCCATGTCGGGACCACGACTGGCCCTTTCTTGTCTATCTGTCTCATCGAAAACTTCATTGTTGGAATGGTTGGGCGACATTGCGTTATCGTCACCGCGGCTGGAAGCCATGTCGTGCAGATTAAGTTGTTTTAACTTGTGCTGTTTATGAGGAGCGTTGTAAGATATTTTTCGAATGTCATATCGCGAGCAGGCTTAAGGGCATTAAGTGAGGAGCAGTGACGTCGTGATCGAAGTTTCGAAGGTTAAGTCACATTCTTGATGCGATAAAATTACCAAGATCTGGGTATTTACTGTAATCGCTAATGAGCAAAAGTAAGCATTCATCTGTCTGAGTAACCAGTGCAGCTTCTCCACGAGATCGTACGGAAGCCAGCCCCTGCTCAGTCAACCTCTAACCAAAACTCATCCTTTGCCTCGAAGCAACGTCAGCAGCGGATTTTCATCGGCAGAAGATGCAGGTGATTGCTTTTTCGCTGACGTCGAAGCTTCGTTTTGCCTTGGTGTAAACCGCGGACCGCTTCTGAAGAAGTCCGTATCTGGACTGGTGAAGAAGATTGGAGTTGGCACCTTCACCTGCGATGATTCCTTTACCTTCTGTTCGATACTTGGAATAGCCGGCTGCGCGTTTGCAAACTTGGGGCTCTCATGGTGATGTACCGTAAAACCGGCATCCTGCTCTCTTTGCTTGCCAAAAAGCTCTCTCAGACTTAGCTGCCGTCCCATGGGAATGCTCGTCGAGCCTTCCTCCATCTCTGATTCTTGCTCAGCGGCATACCCATTGCTACCTCCGACACGCTGATTCTCTTTAGAGAGCTGCGTTTCTGCCAGTCTCTCCATGGCCAGTCTACGGCTTTCTTCAGCCTCGACGGCACACCTCGAGATCTCCTGCGCATTTTCCTCACGTGCCCCTGCTGTGCTTGCACCTGGCTCAGCAAAGATCCACAGTCCATACACCACATCCTCTCCGTCCCGTGATTGCCCTTTCAGAATTACGTATTCGCTAGTAAGCTCTACATCGTCGCTACTCCTAAGCTCTTGCTCATAATTTTCGAAGCCGCGCCTGTTCAGGATGACGACGTTGAAACGTTTCGCGCCCATCTCATTTGGCACCAGTTCATTTATAAACAACGTGCCCTCAATCTCTAGCTTCACCCACGAGGACGACTCAGGCGAGAACTGATATAGGACGGCATATGGCGCTATGCTCCGGATGCGAACGATTTGAGGATAGTAACGGCGCAGTACAGCATGATTGAGCTCCTCGTTTGTACGAGTCATGGGCGGCGGTTGGATGTCTGGATAATCGGTCTCGTAATCCGTGATTTGGGCCTGCTGCTGAACAGGGGCCGTGTTATGGACATTGTGGTGGTTGTTGCCATGGTGGTTCTGGTGCGAACGCCGCTTGCCCTTTCGAGGTGTGTGCGATTGTGTCGCCATTCTTGATCGGTGGGGTTATCCAGATGTAGTGAAGCACATCTGGAACAGAATGCAGAAAATCTGTCCTCACGATGCCGCTTGGAAAGATGGTATAAAGCAAGATGTTGTCATCAGATTTGCGCCTAGCAGCATTACGAGATGACAGTAGTACCTCTATTTGCCTGCTCGTAAACTGGATTCACGCGCTGCTGGCATGTGCTGGCCCAGCAGCAGCAGAGCACCATCAGGCCACGGAGTACGAGGTCACCGTCAAGATCTTAAGTCGTCCTCAAGCGTCCTCAGTCACACTTTTCAGGTCGAGCCCGCGGCCTGGATGCACGTTGCTGAAGCTGCAAGGCTGAGTAGCCTCTACCCAGGGCTCGCCCGCCGCGCTAGGAGTGGTATCGTCATAGTGAGTTCTTGCCCGCTAGTTCTACTACAGCGTGCGGCAATGGCGACTTTGAACGTGCTCTCGAATTCTTCACGGTGTCACACACAACTACAAACTATGCTCTAATGGCCGTCCGTATAAACCAAGCAGATGATAATACAATATCTTAAAATAATATGTCCTTGTCGCGTGCCGATCCCCGCGCCTCCACCGAGTCGGTAGAGGGCGCTATGCCAGGCTCGTTTCCCGAACCTCTTTCGCCCATACCAACTACAAACTACCAGAGCCTGTCTCATGCTGTTCACTTGCGAAGGGCTGAGTTCACACGATCGAAGCGCATTCGAATCAAAATCGGAACCTGGAATGTTGCTGCTCTCAAGGGCACCGAGAAGGATATCGGCAGCTGGTTTGTGGGTGGAAAGGGCCTTGAGGAAAAGTTTGCTGGTCTAGGCATATCTTCTGATTCTGCAGAGAGCCATAGCCAATCAAGGGAGAGCATAGAGGAGCAAGAATGCAGACAATCGAAGAATCAGCCTACCATTCCGAAAGGTGATCAAAGCGAACAGCCACATGACGACGAAATCGGCCTATACGTTCTAGGACTGCAGGAGATTTTAGATGTTGGCTCAGCTGCCGAGGCCTTGAAGCCGTATACGGATCCAACGGCGGCGAACCGCTACAAGACCGAGCTTGAATACGTGCTCCCTGCAGGCTACACATTGGTTGCGGAGAAGCAGTTGATTGGCATGTTGCTTTTGATATACGCTTCACCATCTGTCGCTCCAGAGATCAAACGTGTCAGTACAACGAGTGTTGGGACAGGCCTGATGGGCTACATGGGCAACAAAGGCGCGGTGACAGCGCGGATTGTTTTGGGTGAAACAACAAGGCTCGTGTTTGTGAATTCGCACCTCGCGGCTGGAGCTGATAAAGCTGCGCTCGATCGCAGGAATTGGGACGCCAGTCAGGTAGTCAGCAGAACACGATTTGACCCCATAGAAGACGCATTCGGCACGACAAACAGTACGGGCGAGAGGATTGGAGAGGAAGACATAGCTTTCTGGTTTGGTGATCTAAATTACAGACTCGATGCTCCTGGAGATGACGTACGGAGACTGCTTATGCTTCACACTAGAAATGAGTACGATCTCAACCGTGCAGCAGGAAAGACAGTAGACGAGGAAATTGAACATCTAGAGGAGCGACGAGGAGAAGACCCAAACACTTCGCAGAATGATCTCACGCAGATGATCAAAAATAGAGAGGATGACGAGTCCGATGAGCGTCTACCTCCGGAACAAGATCCTACGTCTTTGGAGACGACATTACTATCCCTTCTTGCACACGACGAACTCCACATGCAAATGGCTGAGCGAAAGGCCTTCCACGATGGCTGGCAAGAGGCTCCTATCCGATTCTTACCTACTTACAAATACGACGTTGGGAGCGTAGGCGTTTTTGATTCGAGCGACAAGCGCAGAGGACCCAGTTGGTGTGACCGCATTTTATACAGGACACGAACAGATCTACAACGTTTCAAGCGTAAGATGGAGGAGGAGGAGGCGGCGCGGAAAAAGGACGAAGAGATGAAGGCAAAGGGTATTGAGGATGCTGCCAACGAAGACGAAGTTCTATTTGACTACAATCCGGAAGACGATGCGGATGAAGAGTACGATGAGATGGCTCAACCGGAGGCTATTGCTGTGACCACGAAGGACGGCGACCAAATAGAACTCGTGCAAGAGTACTACAATGCTCATCAACGAGTGCTCTCGTCAGACCACAAACCTCTGGACGCGATATTCAGCTTCACATACGACGCTGTAATACCCGAACTCAAAGCAAAAGTCCACGCTGAAGTAGTCAGGGAACTCGACCGCGCAGAAAACGAAGGGAGGCCGACAGTTACAGTCATAGCAGACAAAGTTCACGACGAAGAGATGGACGAAAGCACCCCTCCAGAAGTCAAGAATGAGAGTATAGATTTCGGACGAGTCCACTTCAGGGAACACAAACAACGTAACGTCACCGTCGCAAATACGGGACAGGTCCCCGCGACAATGGCGTTCGTTGACAGGCCCACGACAGGTGGTGAGGAGCTTGAAGCCCCTTCACCCGTTTGGCTGAGCATTGAATGGGACCGTGAGCCCGACTCTGTCGATCCTAAATCACCAAGGTCGAACAAGAAAGGCCCTCTCCCGCCACCTATGTACACTCTTGACCCGGGCGACGCCTGCAACGTGACTTTGACGGTCCGTGTCGAGGCTTTGGAACTTGTCGGGCGGCTGAACGAGGGCGGCGCAAAGCTTGACGACATACTGATCTTACGAGTCAAGGATGGGCGTGACCATTTCTTACCTGTGACGGCTCGATGGGTGCAGCATGGGTTGGACAAGACAATCTCGAAGATGACCAGCCTAAGCGAGAGCGCCATAAGAAAACTGCAGCACCAGGAACCGGACGCATCATAGAGCAGCCGCGAAAGTGGACGTTCTCAGCACGTGTAATGTGTAATTTATAACCTCTTGGGATTTTCCCACGTAAGATGTATAGAGTTTATGTGCGTACTGGTCATCGTATCAATTGGATACCGAAATTCGAATTTCATCACGTTTTGAAGTTTGATATAGTCACGTGGGGAATCGTCCATGAACCTCCAATTTTTTTCTCTCCCGCATTCTTTACGGAAGTTGTAGTTTCTCAGCGTATATACGCTTGCGAAATCGATACCGATGCCCAAGCCAATTTCAACTTCAGACCTGATCTTCTCGTCACAAGCGACTGATTTTGCCCGCACGCTGTCGTCTCTCAAACGGTCCACGCTCAACGTACCAAATCGCCTTCGGTCTATAGCCGAGGACGCCGATTTCGTGGCCGAAGTCGCTTCCGCGTTCGACTTACCGCTCGTGGCCAATGAGAGATGTGGCAGCTGGTACATCCGTCCGGAGAAGAAGGCGGAAAGCTGCTACTTCAAGAGCACGGACGGGCACGACGGGCAGTGGAGCTTCTCGCTGCGCAGGCTGAACGTGCAGGTCTTCGACGTGGTCGCGAGGAGCGGGGGCTGCGTCGTCGTCGACTCGACCAGGAGGGGCAAGGCCATGCCGGACGCGCTGGCGAAGACGGTGCCGATCTGGTGCGCCGTCTTCAACCGGGCCCTCTTCCCCCACGACGTCGAGGCCGGCAGGCTGTACACGCCGCCCAGGTGCGTGTCGCCGAACGAGCATGCGCAGATCGAGCGCAGGATCGACGGGTTTGTCGGCGAGCTGCAAGGTCTGGCGCTCGACTTCGCGGAGCTTCGGGCGAAGGTGAAGAGGCCTCTTCGGCCCCTGTGGGTCACGAGGGAGTCGGACCTGCCGGCCTCGGCGCCGCGCTTTGAAGCGTTCTGTCCGGTCGTGCTCTGCACGGCGAGCAGGAGAGTTGTTGGCGGCGAGATCTCGGAGGGCGGATACATCCAAGGCGCTGGCGACGACGCCGAGGGGTGGTCGCACGGTCTAACTCCCGCGCTGTTCTGGGCACATAAGCAGGAACTGCTGTCTGCCCGCGAGGAGGATCTGTCGGACCTGATCGCCTCGTACCTCTCTACGTCTGTGAACAACGAGGGCGACTCGAAGGTAGCTACCGTCAAAAGAGCATCTTGGCTAGGCATTGGTTCGTTCAGCTGCTTGACTGCATCTAGCTTCACCGACGACTGTGCAGTCGTCACGGTCGGTATACGCAATGCCTTGCCAACGTCACGTCTGTCTCCTAAACTTCATCTCCATCTTGAATGCAGAGAAAGGAAGCTGGGAAGTAGAGACCTGAGGACCCAGTTGCCGCAGCTTCGCCCCTTCGTGGAGGGGCTGCAGTCGGTCGAGCACGTGGTGGTTTGCGACGCAACAGGGAGAGATCTGGCCGTGGGAGTTGCGCTTGCCCTCCTGTGCTTGTACGCGGACGACAGCGGACTTTTCTCGAAGATGAGATCGCCGCAGATCATAGACAAAGGGTTCATCAAGCAGAGGCTGAGCTGGATCATGACCAGCTATCCGGGCGCGTCGCCTTCGCGGACCACATTACAGTCGATCAACGACTACTTACTCTCCGAGCAGGCGAGAAAAACTCCCGTCTGCTTCAAGGCGTCGACTTCCGCCGACGAAGAACGTGATTCTCCCGCGAAGAGGATTTTCAAGGACCTGGAAGGTCAATGGACACTAGATAGAGACATCATAAGCTTCCGAGACGATAGCCTCGGGGGTAAGGTTACAGGCACGGCTATTTTCTTGGCTCGTACGGCTACTGCGGAAGACGCTGAGCTTGAATATCTATACCGCGAAGAGGGCAATTTCACTGCCATCACAGGTGTCGAAATGACCATTAACCGAAGATGGATCTGGCGGCTTTCCAGACGGGCAAGCGAGGAAGAAATTCCGTGCGTGAGCATCCATTTCGTCAAGGCTGATGGTGAGACGGAAGACTACCTGTACAACAGACTGGCTTTGACTGCGGAACAGATAGGCTGTGCCACGACCAAAGTCCTATCCGCGGATGCTCATCACGCTTGCGGACGAGATCTCTACGTCTCCAGCTACGAGTTCCGCTTGCGGAACGGCAGGCTGGAATCTTGGAACGCTAAGCATGAGGTCAAAGGGCCTGCGAAAGATTATGTGTCCACCACCAGGCTTTGTAAGGTAGATCCCAGCAAGCAAAGCTCCTAGATAAAAAAGAATGCATGGCGACAGCTCCAGAACGAAGGTCCATGCACGTCAGATCAAAGTTGTCTCACCTCTTGGATGGACTTCGTTTTAGAGCTGTCTGTGGCCAAGAAACCACAAAGACTGGTGCCAAACCCCGACTGCAGAAAAGCAAATGGGAAAGCAAGCAGCCAGCAAAGAAGCTCTTTGTCCAAGAAGTGGGGGTGGGTAGACTGACTTTACAGCTTGCAACGCTCCAGGGATAGCATTTCCAACCTTCCATTCGATCGCTTCTCCGCCGCTGATCCATAGTGTCGATCGCAGCGGCCAGACATTGGTTCCATATCGGCGATTGTGGTCGCGGCAAGGCAGATTTCACGCTGCAGCTCCGTCTAGGTGTTCTTTATCTTCTCCCAGCCGCCACGCGGTCAGAAAAGGGAAAAGAAGAAACAAATAAAAAGGTTCGTATCGCCACGCGGATCCTCTGACCGGGATCCCAACAGAAACGCCGTTCACATATGACGAGTCGGCTGGCCGGGATTTCGGATGCTCTGTGAGGAAGAAGAAAAAAAAGGCCAATGGATGATGCGCAGAGCAAAAGCGGTCGGAGCCAGTTCTCCCCGTGACAGAGCAGATGAGCGAAATCTGCTTGCCCTCACCCCTCCCTGCTGCCAAAAACGGGCAAGCGGTTCTGGAGTGTGGTGTCGAGGAGACTATTGATACCATGCGACGGTCTAGACTGCCCACTTCGAGCGGGAGATTCAGAACCCAATAGTAGAGCCTGCAATTAAGACTATGCGTGTGCGATTGGCCTTGTGATGCCGGAAAATGTGTGGGGGAAAAATAAAATGGTTTCGACGTAGTTCTTTGGGGTGAGGGCTCTAGAGAACCGACGTCATTTACGAGATCAGTGAGTGAGAAGGGGGAAGGTTATCCGCCTGTTTGGCCCTGCTCTTATCATTGATTGGATCCATCAAACGTCGCCCCAAAAATTGAAAAGAAAAATTGTTCGCTACAACTTCTGTTGCTTCGAACGTTTGGAGTTTGCTCGAAAGGAGGCAAGTTGGCAAGCAGAGGAACTGAAGACTTGGGAGCACAATGAAAAAGACTATGATAAGACAGCATTTTGATATTTGTCAATATCTTGTCAGACAAAGAAGAACCAAAGACTGGCCAGGATGCATTTCGAATTAGAATGCCATTACAGCGTTTACGACATCTAAATTCACATATTACAAATTCCTCTTTCCTACAGTGATTTGCACGAGGGAACGGAGGCTGATCACCTCAAACTAATCATCCTCCTCCTCTTCGGCAGCACGGGTGGTGAAGATGTATCTGCCCTTACCCGTTGTAGCGTCCTGCTCGTGCTCAATGGCCAGCTTGGCAACGTGAGCGAGGATGTTCTCGATTTCGGTGTCCTTCTTGTTCCTGTTCTTGCGTCCAAGGTCGTCGAGGGCAGGAATCTTGTTCATGAGATAGTAGACAATGGCGATGACAATGGTAACACCAATAGAGTAAGCCCAGATGACGACGACGGTAACAATGTCCACCCAGCCGTCGGCACGCTGCTTGAAGGTACTTGCCGGGTCGGTCGGGTAGTCGTGCAGATTGCCAGAGAGCCAGCCGAACACGCAGAAGATGGTAGCAAGAGCGTCGACACCAGCGATGGCACCGACAAGTTGCCAAGATGGAAGAGTCTTGCCGCCACGAGTGACAAAGATGAGCCAGTTCTCAGTAAGGGCGACTTCGAGGAAGAGGATTTCCTGAACGTTGCCGAAGTTCTGAACGATACCGCCGTTGGGAAGGTACAGTGTGCCACGGATGACCCAAGTACCAAGAGCAAGCAAGAAACCAAGGACGACGGAAATGATCCAGATCTTGGGAAGCTGCCACTCCACAGGTCTAGCCTCAGAGTGAGCATTGTCGTAAGCAACAGCCACAGTGGCCAAATCGGCGAAAAGGGCGATGAAGACGATAAGCTCCACGGAGATGGTTTCGTTGATGATGATCATGCTGGTGGTGAGGTAGATCTCAAGATGCAGACAAAGGGCAATACGGTACTGAATGTATGCCTTCATACGCTGGAAAATTTCACGCGCGGTCTTAATAGCCAAGACGATTGTGCTGAGACCAGGAGCAAGGAAGACGATATCAGCGGCGGCCTGGGCAGCTTCTGAAGCACCTTCGACAGCGATACCGCAGTCAGCCTTCTTCAGGGAGGGAGCATCGTTGACACCTATTGATCCAAATCAGCGCTGCGTTGACTGAAAAAAAGAGAACAAACATACCGTCGCCAGTCATGGCCGTCAGATGGCCACGCTGCTGCAACATCTCGACGACCTGGTACTTGTGCTCGGGGAAGACTTCAGCGAAACCATCTGCCCTCTCAACCAGATCATGCTGCGTGGTGCCAGAGAGACCACCGTGAATCAGTTTCTGAGAGTTGTACACCTTAGTACCAAGAGCCAACATCTTGCAAGTTTCCTTAGCAATAGCAATGGCATCACCAGTAAGCATCTTAACAGGAACACCAAGTCGCTGAGCCTCAAGAATTGTTTGTGCGGTATCTTCACGTGGAGGATCGAACATGGAGAGGAGACCACTGAGCAAAGCGTTAGAGACGATAAGAAACGAGAATGTGTGGCACTTACAGAAGCACCCAGTCACCACCGTTCTTCTGGTAAGCGACACCGAGAGCACGGAAACCACGACGAGCAAACTCAGCAGTCTTAGCCTTGAAGAGATCGGCCTTCTCCTTGGAGCAGTTGGTAAGAGCCAATACAGCCTTCGGAGCACCCTTAGCGCAAACGTAGGTGTCACCATCAAGCTCAGCGACGGTGGTGATACGCTTCGAAACAGGGTCGAAAGGAGTGAACTTCTTCGTGATCCAGCCTTGCTTAAGAATTTCTCGAGCCTTAGGATACTTCTTTAGGGTAAGAATGGTGACCTTATCAATTGGATCCAGCGACTTGATGTTGTGCGATGAAGCAAGGGCAGCGCAAGCCATCATCCAGTTGACGTCTTCACCCTCAACAACGAATGGCTCACGCATAGACAGCTGGTTAGCCGTAAGAGTACCGGTCTTGTCAGAGCAGAGCACGTCGACACCTGCAAGCGATTCAATGGCGGTAAGCTTCTGAACGATTGCCTTTTGCTTGGCAAGGTAAGCGGCACCGACAGCCAGTGTGGTGGTCGTGACGACGGGCAGACCGACAGGAACGCCAATGATGAGCAAAATAAGTGCGTAGTGAAGCAGGTTGACGGAAGAGTGCTCGGGGGTGGCAAGCTTGAGGTGGTGGAAGAAGCCACCAATCCAGGCGATAAGGATGAAGAAGATGACGAGGACAAGCAGCGCGGTACCGATAGAGTTCATGATGGCCTTGAAGTGACCCTGATCCTTGGCACCTTCGACGAGAGAAGCAGTGCGACCGACAAAAGAGTGTCTTGCGGAGGTGAGCACGATACCGTACGCTTTGCCACGCTTGCAGCCAGTCGTGTAGTAACAGACTTCACCGAGGTACTTGTCGACAGCGAGAGATTCACCGGTAATGGCAGACTGGTCAACGGCAACGATTGGTGGGCCGGCGGTGATGGCGCCACCGTCATCGTCCATGTCGTCGTCGGAGGATGGCTCGCCATTCTTCTCATCTTCGGCGTCCTCAGGGCCACCCTCGGGGTCGTTCGACTGTCCGAAGCGATCCAGCTCCTTCATTCGGAGGTAGGTTTCGTACGTCTCAGGCTTGCTGTAGTCGGCCATCAAACGCACATCTGCCGGAACAGTTTGACCTTCCTCAATGACGACCTTTTCCGGGTGATCAGCGCGTGGATACGACAACGACGCGTTAACGAAGGACTTACCACGTCACCTGGGACAAGTTCGCGTGCTTTGATTTCCTGCTCGCTTCCATCACGGACGACGATGGCCTTCATGGCAATGTCACCCTTCAGCGAGGCGACGACGTCGGCGGCCTGCTTTTCCTGGTACCAACCGACGAAGGCGTTGAGCAGCAAGATACCGACAATGACACCGAAGTCAACCCAATCCCGCAGACCAATGGCAAGCAGCGCAGCAATTTCCATGACTGGAGCGGAATCGTCAGTCCTGCGTAGGTCCAACGGGGGCGGCACACGCGCGGGGCGCGTGCAAAGCAAAGGTCAGAAAACTCACCATAAAGAATTGGGCCGGTGAAGAACATGAGGAACTTGACGAACAGATTCTCCTTCTCGGTGGTGAGCTCGTTGAAGCCGAAGCGGGCACGGCGCTTCTCGACTTCGTCGGCAGTGATACCTCTGTTCATGTCGGTGTCGAGCCATTCGGGCGGGACGACGTCGTCGCTGGCCTTTCCTTTCGGGCCGCTGGACCTCCAGAACGCCCACCACGGCTTGCCTTTGCCCGCGGCGGCCGCGTCGGCCTCAGCTTTGGCGTCTTCATAGGCAGCGGCCTTTGGGTCGCGATACGAGACGATGAACTTCTGCAGCGCAGTGTACTCATCGAGCTCGTCGTAATCTTGAGGATAGACAGATTCACGTCGCGAACCGCGCCTGCCACTGGACGCTATGGACTTGGAGCGCGGATGGTCGCCCTTCTTGTCACCCTTCTCAAGGTCCTGTATGGTGCGCAACTTAATACGGGGCGTCGTGTCACAACAAAGAATTGGGTATTTACCTTATCCCACCGCGTAGATAAGGCGTTTCCGCCGTTGCTGGCCTCTGTGGACGACATGCTGGGTTGAAGGACACGCTCCGGAAGAGGAACAGAGCAGATAGGAAGAGAGAACGCGAGCCTTGCAGCGGGGAGCTCGAGCTTAAATCTCGTCGATGCTAAAAATCGCGCAGCCGACCTAACCGGCACGAGAAACTTGAAATGCCGCCCGTTCAGAGATAGTTCACTAATGCTTGACAGACAGCGAGCACGAATCTTACGTAGGAGGAGCCGCGATGAGCCAATTTGATTGGCCAATTGGCGCGAGCCTTTCAGCTGGGAAAAGTGGGGCCCAGAGATGGGAGCGCACGGCTGCCCTGTACGTACGTTTAGCAGCGGCAGTGGTCGCGTTAACAGCATGTTAGCACGGGGCGGTGGGGGTGCAGCGGCATTCGCAGCAGGAGCGACCAGCAGCAGCGACCAGCAGCAGCGACCGGCAGCAGCGACCAGCAGCAGCAACCAGCGGCGACCGGCACCAGCACCAGCACCAGCCAGCAGGAGCACTCCGGCAGACACCAGCACGCACAAGAGCACTCCCTGCTGATGACGCTAGTCATCGAAGCTGCTGCCGGCTCTGGTGCTCCACAGCACCGACCATGCGCCGCCACGGCCGCCTCTGCTCAAAGCTTGATGACGCTCTTGTCCACGCTTGGGTGTTTGCTTGACTGGCGCTCGTCCTTGCTGCTGCTCCGACTCTGCCGTCGCTCCTGCCTCGCCTCCGCCGTCGACCCCCGTTGCATGCCGGTCAGCCGTGCGCTTGCGTGCGTGTTCTACGCGATGCCGCCCACCACAGCTGCCGCCGACGCCGTCTCTCGCCTCAATGGCTGCCGAAATTTGGGCAGCGCAAGAACCACGGTAGCTTCTCCGTATCTGCGCCAGCTGCAAATCAACGTCCGGACATGCACGGGTGCGGCAAATCGCAAGGGTGAGGCCTGGTCGGCGAATGACAGTGCATTACTTAGCAAAGCCTTGTGAATAGTCGTCACCTGGCGTCCCCCTTCCGCCCAGAGAGCACCAGGAAACCACCACGTTTTCTGCTTCTCCTCGCTGCTCACTGCTCGCCTTTCGTTCTCAGCGAGCGCGGCGCGCCACTGCACCACTGTTCCCCAATTGCCAATGTGAATTGAACGTGTCGCGATCTCCCAAACCCCATGGCCTGAACCAGCCTGGCCTCATCAGCCGTCGCTCGGCCGTCTGTTGATCGGAAGCCCTTTTCGCTACTGCTTCCACGCAATTTTTTTTCGTTGGTGAACGATCGCCGCCGCCGACTGCCTCAAACGACCGTCGCGTGGGTGGGAAACCCGTCACGGCTCGATAGCGCGCACATTGTTTATTCCCGCGTTTTGTGCATGCCTTGTGCATTTTGGGTCAAGACCAGAAGAGAAGAAAAAAAAAAAGTCCGTTCGTGTTTGGTTTCATCGCAAGGAACAGCCGGAGGAGGCTGGAACGGCCAGGTGCGGCGACGGGGTTTCGGCCCTGACTCTGTCCGTTGACGGCGCCCGGAAGCCACTACTGCTCAGGCTCAACATCGTTGCCCCCGTCGCAATCTTTGCAACGTCAAGGTTCAGAATTTTCACCTCGCTCACCTATTTGTCCCGTAGCTGCGCGATATTCGCTCTCGCTGTTGTTTCTGCAGGGTCTCCCACAGTCCGGGTCCATTCCGCCATTGTCGGGCGGATGAAAGCGGATGGGATTGCTTGGAATGGAGATCCACTGCACCCATGCCCTCGTTGCCTCTCGGCGCCGTTTGCACGCGACATTTTTCCTCGACGGTCTCTTCCAGAATGTCTTCGCGATGCGCCATTATTACCATTGTTGTTTTTCGATGCGTTACACGCTGACGTGTGGAAGATTTCGCTGGACCCACACCGGCTGGCCCTGCATCGGTGGATACGTTGGGGTGGAGAACCTTCGGGTCTAATCTCCTCCAGCAGGGAATAGCCAAGCAAAGGCTTGATGAGTGGAAAGAAAAGATAATGAGCGCAATAATCCACGATTCTAACGCGTTTGATCCACGGGCTTCTGTCCTGCCCGTACCACTATCCGACGGCATACGAATCGGATCGTGGTTGCTCAAGCCTCATGCCATTCTAGGGCGCGCCTCGCGTCGCACGTCTTCTTCATTGCCGACGGCGACCCACGAAGGGGGCCGTCGCGCGTCCAGTGCCGTAGCATCCAGAGGACAAAAGAAAATATGAAAATACACTAAAACACAACACGGATGCGTAAAGCTTAACAAGGCCGCTGGTGCAGAAGATTTGCGCCATGACTTTCGGATGACCCCAACGTTAGCCTAGCAGAGAGCGCGACAGCCCCAGAAGAAAAGATCACACGGTCGTCGCACACCACGACTCTTATCTGCGACGAGGTGAATTTTGGCCAGAGGAATACACACACACACAAGATAGGCTTTTCCAGGCGCTGGTGCGTCCGGGGTGCTGCCACGGGCTGACTCGGTGGCTCCCACGCGAAGTCATGCTGGGAGCTGGCGCGATCGTAAACAACGAAACGAGCGCCCAAAACTCCTCTTGCGCTTCGCTCGACGGGTCGTTTGTTTCCCGTTCTTGTCGGGCGTTTGTCTTTCTCCGTCCTCTCTCTCTCTCCGCAAATCACGCGAAAACAAAAACTACAATGCAGCTTGCGAAACCATGCATAAGCGTACGAGCTGAGGCCGCGATTGAGCAAACTGTACGATGTGTGAGCCTCAAACCCTCCCCTCCCCCCTCCGTTCCCCATCGTTCGGGGGAGGCGCGCTAAGTCAGCACCGTATTTATTCGTAATGCGTGCCCGATCATGGGCTGCATGCATGGAGGCGGCGCGCAGGAACGGAGATTCATCTCCAAAACCACATGCCCTGCTGTTTCAACCCTCGATTGAAGGATGCATCTGTGCCACGCCGCGCTCCTCGTCGCTTTGATTGTTCGCCAGTGCTCTGACTTCTTCTTCTTGAGACCAATGTCTTGGGGCCCTTGATACCTCAGCCTCAAAACTCACTATCACATCGCCTGGTCACTGCACTGTGATTGTGGTTTCATGTAGAACCAGCTTGCAGGCTATCAAAACTAGGGTGGCATCTGCGTGCGAACCACTGTCACAGCCTTGGACCGTTCTGGATGTTTGTTTATTGTCCAGCGTGGAGCTGTAGCCACGCTTTCAATTTGCTGAGACTCAGTAATTACAATTCGCGTACCCACCACTTCTATTCTTTTGGGACACTTCTCCAACCTGGTCCTCCTTTCGACCTTCTTCCATACCCAATGAAGCAGCGCCTTGCAACGCGGAAATGCCTGCCTGTTGAAGTTGGACCTTAATTTGCTTGGGATCCATTCTACATATGCCACATCCCCACCAAAAAGATCTTTGACGGCGTCATGCAATTCATGTATTCAGGGGTTCAAATAATCATACCTTCCATTCTTCATGCACTAAACACTGCGTGCATCCCATCCCCCCGCTCCTCAAGAATTCAATGTGGGTATCGATCAATATCAAGCAATCTTGGCGGCAGCTTGGCCGTGACAACCTCAAGACGAAATCCGCTCTCTGATCAAATCGTGAAATCGTTAACATGGCCGTATACTCTTTCGTTGCTCTTCATTATTCAACCAGGAGTCCAAATCTGCGATCCTCCCCATATTAAAAAAATGCGTACAGTTCCCTCAACAGTTATGCGTTAAGCGCTTTGACTTCGTCAAATACGGCCTGTAGACGTTCTGTAAAGCTCTTGGACACTTCGTGTCCTTCTTCACCTTCAAACTCCTTCTTGTCCGTGAGTCTGTTGATGGCAGCGAACTCTTGCATCGCGTCGAGCACTATATTTAGATTGCCGCCTAAGCGACCTGCAATGATCTTGCGGAGTACGGCATTGCGCGACAGATTTCCTAGCGTGAACGCGACGCAACCGTATATTATATTCATTTGCGTATCTTGAATGGACACCGCGTCTTCGGCACGTTTCTTTCCGCGCACGAATAGGTCGATCGCCTCGTCGAGAGCAACACCTTCGTTCTGAAGCATTGCGAGGCGAGCGTCATCGCTAGCTTCCGTCAGGTTTATGGTCAGGCCAAAGGACAGAACCGTCAAGTCGAATGTGATGCTGTACGCATCGCCAGCCTTGTGATCCAGAAGCTGGGCATAGCGCTTGTTTGCGTTGCTCAAAAGCGGATCAATGACTGCAGGGACGCCGATCATGTCGCATGCAGCGGCGTTGTAGTTCGTGAGCTCCACAGCAAGCTTTAGCGCGAGCTGTACGGACATTGAAGCAGACCCATCGTGGAGGATCAGAAGTGACGGTAAAAGCCCGGAAAAGGCTTGCACTAGCGTTGTGGGCCAAATCTCGTGCCGAAGAATCGGTGTCGACACTGTGTTAACTTGTAGCGCCGAGAGCGCGAGCTCAACGACGGCTACATCGGGATCGTTGACCGCCATTTCCGCGCGAACAATATCGAGTATCTTTCTGATCGCAGGCTCATCTAGAAGAGTGTATGAACTGCCATGCTCGCGAAGTTTACGAATGACCATTTCAATGCTGTGCAGTCCGAGTGCACGAGGCGTCAAATCGCGAGGTTTGTTCTGACCCCAAACATCCGTTGCGAAAAGCTGGTCTCTAAGCTCCAACACCATCGACTGGGATATCTTGGCCATATTACTCTTTCTGTCCCCTACAATTTGTTCTAAGCTGACACTGAGTTCGAGCAGCTTGAAAATATTGCTGAAGACTGGTGAATGGAAGATGTGGTCCAGAACTGTAGATGTAGGATCCGCAGAGACGAGCAGTGCAATCACCGCGGCTTCAAGAAATAAGAACACATTGTCTGTGTCCCTCTCCACTGCCTTGAGGAAGGAACTGTCCAGGCCAGATTCTAGAAAGCATACAGCTGCCTCCTTATCAATCAGTTTTTCGGCTAGATCGCGCAATGCTGACCGTCGTATAGACATGCTATTGCTGCTCTGTTCCACGTCCATAAGCATCATCGACATCTCGTCATGAAGTCGTCTACGGGTACCAGCCGCTCTTAAGTCGTGAGCGGCACGAGGTTGGGTCGTGCCTTCCATTTCATCGTCGTCGTCCATTGCCTCTTGGCTATACGAGCCACCCAATGTGTATCCATGGCGTGTTTCCTCTGCTGCGAGCATATCCCACATTTTTTCTTCATTTCGTTCCTCAAGATAGGTGCGGCCTTGGCCGTAAGTGATTTTTGCTGATGTCTGTTTGAATGAACCTTCGCTATGCAAATTTGGCTGGTATGCTTTCGATAGGTCCGAAGACGCTGTCTTTACAGAAGTATTGCTATCGATCTCGGTTGGCTCATTCACATCCATCTCTTCAACCGCAGAAATCGGTGCCGTGGCCTTCAAGCTGTCTATGAGCCTGCTTCGTCTTCCAGTGGAGCGCTGAGGGGTATCTGACCCGGACTCTGTGATACAGGCATCATTCCGTGACGAAGCCTTGACGCCACTTGAAAGCTGAAGCTCACTCATCGACATCTCATTTGCGCTGTCTGCCAAATTTGCTCCGAGTAGTTGCGACCAAAGCTTATTGCGAGGTGTAGAAATTGCACTCGTCACAGCAGGTGATGCTGACACACTACCTGAACTGTGTGGTGACATAAGAGGCTCGATCTCCATCTCAGAGCCAATATCTGGCGTTCCTGGGGTCGCAGCGTTGTCGCTGTACTCTGCTGGAGTACTTGGGGGGTCGCGAATCTTTGAGAGTGACATTGTAGTAGACGTATTTTTGCCAAACGTTCGCTTTATGACTCCGTTACTAGACCTAGGCATCGGCGAGACAATAGCTTTCCTGCTGGGATTGCCTGAGGGGGTAGTTACGATTGTTCGCGGACGGTTGAGCGCCATGCTTCGACTTTGCACAGTCTCAACACCTTTGCCAACAGTTCGCATATCTCGAGAAGGTGTCTTACGTCGCTTGTGAGCTGCCCCATGAGGAATTTGTCCAACGGGACGAGGCTTTACATTCGCGTCTGTCGGGTCATCGTCATCTGGAATATTGTATATGTCATCGGAGAAGGTAGTTTTTCGAGAAGTGAGAGGCATTTGACGTTCATGGTATGGCTCGGGTGTATCTCGGGCGCTTCGTATTCGAGTTGTAGTTGCCGAGCTGTTGGATGAGGCAGCTGGTGTCTTCGCGCGGCCGCGAGCAGGTAGTTTCAAGACTGCAGATGGCGCTGCATGCATAGGGTCTCCGCATTCACCATCTTCATTATCATCTGGAACGTCGAAGATATCCCTTTGGACCACTGTTTGTCCTGTCTCGCCCCTCTTTCTCTTCCTTTGCGATGTTCTGTCAGCCGCTTCTGCCGTCGAATGTAATGTCTCCTTGATAGGCGTTGACGGCTTCAGTCTCATCTCCCCTGGCCTGATATCTGACATCCTCTTCTGTGAGACCGGACCCTTTTCCTTACTCTTGCAGTGTTTCTCGTCGCGGACAACCTGATCATCGTCTGAAGGCACATCCCAAGTATCAGCCACTTTTGATCCATCTCGCGGTCGGCCAAAGACAGCCTTCGTAGGTGAGGCTTGGACGGCTTTCTTAGTCCTTTGCTTTTCAGGCGAATTGTCTAGGAAGCTCTTAAAGCCCAGGCCCTGCTGTTTAGCGGGTTTGCCATACGTCGTGAGCTTGCGCGGCTTCACGTCCACACCAAACATGTTTATGTGGAAGATGTGAAGCGGCGGCGACCTGCGCGCTGCGCTAAATAGTTGGATAGCAAGCCAGGTGTGTAGGTAAGACTATCGAAATTGGTGCATCGTTTAGATATGTGCTCGGCGCATGCAAGGAAGCAGGACGGCGTTCAGAGTGAAGACACGGCTGTCGGGGAACAGCCAAGCCGTCGGTCCAAAGGACACACTCCGGCGACGAAAACAAAGACGTATGCGTGTCGAGCAAAGTTGGGCCGATCAAAGATGCAAGGGCTTGTCGTCCGTAACGTGCAGCGACGGTTGTTGCCCAACACAACGCGCATCCGCGAAAGGGTGCGACCTTCTGGATATGGCGGCTACTCGGGACTCACCGAGACAAGCCGCTAGACCATATCGGGACAAGTGCACAGATCCACTCTGGACTGAACGAAGTACGGTCGAGAAGCTGGATGTTGCATTTAGGTGTGGGATCACAAGAGCACACATCTCAGCGTGGATGCAGCTCTCCTCTTTCATAGTCCGCTGCGTGCTCTGCTTCTCCTGTACAGTTCCTCTCATGCATCGCAGCTAATCGTCCCCCGCTGCTCGGATCTCGCCTTCAGCCCGCTTGATCTGCACACTATGTCTACGCTCGAAAAGACGCCGTCCCGCAACCTGGGGCCATCCTACAAGCCTGACGAAGAAAAACCCACGGCAACCGTATCGACGGAAATTGGCCACAGCAATGTTCATATTCTGCCTCAGACACCACAGCTTATAGCACTTCTCACGTAAGTCCGTTCCCTTCGGAGCTTTGCTTCGGATCCTAGATAAAATCGTAACCGAATTTGGCTCCACATCACGAGTCTCACTGCTTTTTTTTACCATCGGTCAGATTTTCACGTGTGAAGCTAAGTGGAATCTATTCTTTCTGAGCTCTTTCATCTTCGTTGATTATATTTGACACCACTTTCCCGCACTCGGGAAGCACGAAGCTGAAGCAGGGCCAGAAAGATCCGAGATGTGCGAACTGAACGTGCAGACTTCATATTCTATTCAAACCGTATCATTCGGCTCCTGATCGAGGAAGCTTTGAATCACCTTCCTGTTGTTCAGCACACCATCAACACTCCGCTGAACACGAGCTACCAAGGTGTCAAGTTCGCGGGTAACATCTGCGGTGTGTCCATCATGCGAGCCGGCGAAGCCATGGAGCAAGGCCTGAGAGATTGCTGTCGATCAGTTCGAATCGGCAAGATCCTCATCCAACGTGATGAGGAGACTTCCCAGCCTAAGCTCTTCTATGACAAACTGCCTGAGGACATCGCGCAGAGATGGGTACTGCTATTGGATCCGATGTTGGCCACCGGTGGAAGTGCGTTGATGGCTGTGGACGTACTTAAAGGGAAAGGAGTCCCGGAGGAGCACATTTTGTTCTTGAATTTAATCGCCTCCCCAGAGGGTGCTAGAAGGTTTGCAGAAAAGGCCCCCAAGGTCAGAGTCGTGACAGCCTTTGTTGACCAAGGATTGAACGAGAAGAAGTAAGTTTCATTCTCAGTTCCAAGATAACGAGCACTTACAATGTTCTACAGTTACATCGTGCCAGGTCTTGGCGATTTTGGCGACCGGTTCTACACCGTGTGAATCCAATTTGCAATGCAGTGCTTGGCAGATTGTGAATCACCCTCAGTGTAACGACTTTTACCTCGCTATAGAAAAGCATATAAATCAACAAATACTAGACAGCAAAATTGAAGTTTTTCGCAATTTCTCTTTTACCAAGTCTATATACAACCTGGGATAGGCTAAACACATGGGCACAACTGAACCAGATTCCGCAGAACAAATGGACGCAATTGATAGTGTTACATTTATGCGCCAACCTTGTCCAACAGACCTTGCATATTGATCGACTTGGGGCGCTCGATTGGCAGACCAAGAGCACGGTCCCAGATAAGCTGGGCAAGAGGTCCCAAACCACGAGACACACCGAAGGTGGCGGTGTAGTAGAGCGTCTCCTTGAAACCGTAGTAGTGGAACAGGACGCCAGAGCTGGAGTCCACGTTGGGGTATGGATTCTTGGTCTGCGTCTTGTGTCAGTAATCCATTCACTTGGCAGTACCGAAAGAGGACTTACCTTGCCGTGCTCTTTAAGGACACCTGGAGCTACCTCAGAGTTGAGCTTGACGAGTTGGAAGACAGGGTCTTTGAGGATATGTGGACGAGCAGCCGCGAAGTCCATCAAAGCCTCAAAGCGAGGATCGGGCTTCCTGAGTACGCCGTGACCGTAACCTGGAATGACACGGCCGCTCTTGAGTGTGCTCCATAGGTAGTCGGTGACATCCTTTGCAGTTGGGTTCTCTGGGACAGCCTCCTTCATCTGTAGAATCCAGCGGAGCACTTCCTGAGCTGCCAGACCGTGCAAAGGACCAGCCAAACCTTGCAGACCTGCAGAGTAAGACAAGAATGGATCCGACAACGCGGAACCGACCAAGTGGGTCGTGTGTGCGGAGACGTTGCCTCCCTCGTGGTCACCATGGAGAGCGAGATAAAGACGAAGCAAGTCCTGGAACTCCACGTTCTCTTCGCCGCCCTTGCCGAGCATCGCAGCGAAGTTGTACGACCAATCCTGGTTCAGGTCAACTTCAGCTGGGAGAGGTCCACCACCGCGGTACGCATTCTGGTAGATTTTAGCAGCGATGGTGGGCAGCTTAGCAAGCAAGCTGATGCAGTCCTCATAGGTTGGCTCCCAGTAGTCGGCCTTGCTGAGGCCCTTCTCGTACGCCTTGGCGAAAACCGAGGTGTAGTTGAGTGCGGAAACGGCACATGCGAATTGGGTCATTGGATGCAAGTCCTTGGGGAAGTTGTCGAGAAGAGTGTTCACAAATTCTGGGAGCTGGGCCTTCTCAGCAAGTTCACGAGAGAGAACGCGGACCTGTGAAGTGGTCGGGACCTCTCCAGTGAGCAACAACCAGAACATGGCTTCTGGAAGCATTTCGGTACCAGAGGTTCCCTTTGGCAGCTCCTTCTGGCAGTCCTTGATTGTGCGGCCGTGGAATCGGATACCTTCGTTAGCATCGAGGACCGAGCCTTCCCAAACCATGGCAGTCAAGCCTCTGTTAGCTTGTTAGCAGTGTATAGAGAAAATTGTTGTTATACTTCGCGGCGCACCTCATGCCACCGAGAGTGTTCTCGACCTTGACATCGCCAATCTTCTTATCGCCAACAGCCTTGACTTTCTTAAGGAGCTCACGCTTGGCCGGGATGACTCGCTTCATCACCGACTTCAGATCTTCCTCGTTTGATGAGGCATAGCCTCTCTTGGCTTGGCATATCTGGGCTGCTCATCTCGTAAGTACAATTGTACTCGAAGTCTCGAAGCCTGCTAAAGGCAGGCTTTGCAGGTGCACGGAACGTAATATCCCGGCGGCTGCCAAAAGGACAAGAGCACACTTACAGGAAGCAATTGGCCTTACTGCGGTTGGCTACGAGCTCATTGTCAGCACACACAGCTTCTCGCGCCAATGGTTTCCTGTGGCACCCACCCTGACGGCCTGGAAGGCCCTCGATGCGGTTCTCGCGCTCAAAGCCATTGTTTACGTCTTGGTGCGGGGCGGGAGCGGGGGGGTATCTCGGTGCTCTCTGCTCGACGGCTGCGTTCAAACTCAGTCGAAGCCTGGACAAGGTGTGGAAGGTGAAATGTGAAGAAAAAAAAGAAGCTTCAGCAGTTGAGCAAGAAAGTTTGACGGCTAGTAACCGGACCTGCAGCCCAGCTCTGTCATGGCATTGGTTCCTCCGTTTGATGCTCGGTTTGCAAACCCTGGCGTCTGGCCGAGGTCGGTTTGTTGCGGCAAAGCATAGCCATGCAGTCCTGATTCAGTCTCGCCGAGTGCGACTCGCTTGGGCCCTATCGACGACACTACCGGTCAGAAAACACTGTCTCTCGCGGGCAGAAATGGTCCTTTCTGCGTTCTGAGGAGAATTGTCACCCTTGAGGCCACCGATACCGGCTATCGTTTGTCGCGTGTTGTGCGAAGACTGCGGAAGCGAACAGATTCGCCTGCGCAGAGCATTACCAAGCGGCTCTCGCAACACTGCGCTTGTATATTATTCTTTGCCATCTCCACTTTCTTTCCCATAGAATCGCATTGTGTTGCCCGCTATAGCAGGAACTCCGCCATGCTGCGACCAGCTCTTCGTTCAGCGTGCAGACAGTGCCGAGCAGCTCGGCAGCTTCGATCCCCAGCACACCTACGAGCGTTCAGTTCAATACCTCAGCGTATGTCAAGCTCCATACTCAAGGCTCCCGAGCCTCCAGTTTCTTCAGCTTTGCCAGCAGATGCTTTCCAGCTGTTACCGGAAGCGTCCAAAGCCGGCGAAGCTGAAGATGCCTTGTTCAATGAGCAGGTCAAGGCCGTTAAAGAGTGGTGGGCAACACCCAGATTCAAGGACATCAAACGCCCTTACACAGCCGAAGACGTCGTCTTGCGGCGAGGCACCCTACAACAGTCGTACCCGAGCTCGTTGATGGCTAGGAAGCTCTTTAACATCTTCGAGGAGAGGGCCAAAGAAGGAAAGCCAGTGCACACGATGGGTGTTGTTGATCCCGTACAGATGACCCAACAAAGCCCGAACCAAGAGGTCATGTACATCTCTGGATGGGCTTGCAGTTCACTCCTCACTACCACGAACGAGGTCAGCGCGGACTTCGGCGACTACCCTTATAACACCGTTCCAAATCAAGTCCAGAGAATATTTAAGGCACAACAGCTTCACGATAGAAGGCAGTGGGACATCAGACGTAAAATGAGTCCTGAGGAAAGAAAGGCCACGCCATATGTTGACTATCTGAGGCCAATCGTTGCAGATGGAGATACTGGTCACGGCGGTCTCTCGGCTGTCTTCAAGCTTGCCAAGCTATTCGCAGAGAACGGTGCCGCAGCCGTGCATTTTGAAGATCAGTTACATGGCGGCAAAAAATGTGGTCACCTTGCCGGCAAAGTCCTTGTTCCAGTTGGCGAACACATCAACCGTCTTGTTGCAACAAGGTACCAGTGGGACCTCATGGGCACCGAGAACCTCGTGATTGCACGAACCGATTCCGAAAGCGGCAAATTGCTCAGCAGCGCGGTTGACGTCCGCGATCATGAATTTATCAAAGGTGTCACCGAGGATGTTGAGCCGCTTGCAGAAGTGCTGCAGCGTATGGAAATGGAAGGTGCTTCGGGCCCAGAGATTGACAAGTTTGAGGCTGCGTGGGTAAAACAACACAAGCTCGTCACCTTCGATGAGGCGGTAGTAGAACACCTCAAGAAAGAGGGTGCTCCACAATCTTCGATTGATGAGTACCTGGCCACGGTCAAGGCTGATCCTAGCCTCTCACTCGCGAGGCGACGACAGGTCGCTGGCAAGTACACAAAAGAACCTGTTTTCTTCTCATGGGATATCCCACGCACTCGCGAGGGCTTTTACCACTACAAGGCAGGCGAAGCCGCAGCAACAAAGCGTGCTATGGCATACGCTCCATATGCTGATCTTTTGTGGGTTGAAACCGGCGACCCAAGTGTTGAGAAAGCGGCAAGCTTCGCAAGGCCCATTCGCGAGAAGTTTCCGGGTAAGAAACTCGTGTACAATCTGAGCCCAAGCTTCAATTGGATGAGTCATGGATTTACAGAGGAGACATTAAAGAGCTTCGTCTGGGATCTAGCTAAGGAAGGGTAAGTCATTTCACAGTATGCGGATTAGAGGGCCTGATGCTAATTGGATCTCTTAGATTCGTTATGCAGCTCATCTCCCTAGCAGGTCTGCATTCGAACGCCACTATCACTTGCGAACTCTCCAGAGCGTTCAAAGATCAGGGCATGCTGGCATATGTCAACCTTGTTCAAAGGAGAGAAAAGGAAATCGGTTGCGATGTCCTGACACATCAAAAGTGGTCTGGATCTGGCTTAATCGATGGTATGATGGGAGCTGTTCAAGCTGGCAGCAGTGGAAGCAAAAGTATGGGCGAGGGAAACACCGAGAATCAATTCTGATTGTGTAATTTTGTTTGAAGATAAAATGTAGATACCAATAAATTCCAGTGTACAAGTGCGAGGACAATGGTAATGTCCCGTTTCGCAATTGTCTTCGGCTACAAGGAATTCAGTGGACCACATGGACTAGGCTAACATGAAGGCATTGTTGGAAAGATAATTGTTGCTGCCTCTCGAAGATGAGGCTCAGTGGAGGCTCCATACACAAGCGCAGGATGAAGTTTCTCCGAATTCGCAAATGTTCTGCACACTACTGGAATATTAGCACATATGTGAACACACACTTAAAGGAGACTGACAGACATAATAGGATATATCGTTTCTACGATTCATTTTGGCGTGCAGAACACACTGTCCAGGCATTTTTTCTGCGATTTACAATGGAGTAACAAGCTCCCAGCATGTCGCACATTCAATACTTTATTTTTCAACCTGATACCCACTGAGTCTCTATTTGAAAACTGCCATCATGATTCTTCGTGGGTCAGCCAGCCTGTACAGAACATGATGCTGTCTGTCATCAAGTCTTCATCGAAACATCGCCGTGCCTGATTCTTGTTTAAAGTAGCAACCGAAGATCGCCATTGTGACGCCATCTAACCACGGTGCAGTCAAAGTGAAGAAGTAAAATCGAACTGCCTAGAGGTTCAAAAGAAGCATCGAAGAAGCACAAGAAAACGGCGATGGAGAGAAAGAAACATAGCCTATTTCTTCGACTCACGCTTTACTTCATTCCTATACAAGAGATTGACCTCCACCTCTCTCAACCATAAAGCCCATGGCCTAGCAATCGTTGCCTTATTCATGACCCAAGCGTCGTCCGCTTCCTTGCCTGAGAGGTATTTAATATTGCCTCCCTCACTCTTCAACTTCGCGTTTTGGATCTTGCCACCGCCTTCCACGTTCACCTTTCCTTCCAGACTATGACCGAAATAGGCGTTATGCATCATGATTGAATCAGTCTGGATCTTCGCATTCTCTACGGTGTATATTGCTTGGAACACCGCAGCTTCCAAACTGTCTGCGCAAGTGGTGAACCCATGACCGCGCATGAGGACCACAGGGTGCGTCGGCTCGTTTGAAGGATCCGCTGCGCGGCCTCCAATCTGAGCTGGAAGAGCAGAACGCAGCTTTTGCGAGATGAACCCGGCCGAAGTCGATGGCTTGAATGCCGCAGCGAGGTGATGTCCCACCTTGGTTGTTTTCACCAGCAAATCGTGGCTCGGATCTGAACTCGAATACGCGTCCGCGATGTCCCAAACGGGCGTCTCGGTGCCCAGAAAGCCTGCCATGTGAAAGGACGCCTTTAAGGGTACGCCGGTGAGCCCGAAAGGCAGCACAGAAGGCGCATGCGCATGTACAACGGCATTGATTGTTGGAAATCTCTTCAGGATCTCCGAGTGGATGCAGCGTTCAACGAACCCCTTGGGGGCGTCGTTCTCGACAGGTTCTGCGTCCTCGATTCTGTATTCAACAATATCTTCGGCAGAAGACATTAGCGCCGGAGGCATATTGCGGGACATCAAGAAGGTGTCTGGGTTATCTGGATTGCGAACACTGACATGGCCATAGGCATCGAGGATGCCATGGTGGTGAAGAATATGCGAGCTCGTTATCAGTCCCCAATACAAATCGTCCAAATACAGCTTCTCACGTTTTCCAAAGTACCCTTCAGACATGTTTTCTGACTCGAACTGACTCAGAGCGTGTAGGAATATGTGTTCATGTTCAGAAGCTTCCTTCTCAGCGACTTGTCTAAAGTTTGAGACGCAAGTATTTCAAGCGTGTCTACGTCACCACCAAGCGCGAGCTTGGAAAAACCGGCCTGAAACCGCGGAATGTTGCCGCAGATGGGTAACTCATGATTGATCTAAGTACTATCTACTTAATGGTGCCTGTTCATTCAATACAAGTTGCATTGCACTTCACAGGTATTTCCAAGGTATCTAGGCCTTTGTAGAGAGCATAGCCGAGATTCCAACACCGCGCTATGATAAGTTACACGCAACTCTCTTTAGTCTGATTTTCCAGACAATTTCGATTCCAGCCTCTCTGCTGCGGCAGTTTTCTGCTTCCCTTGCTGCTGATCGCGTCTAAACTCATCAAGTTTCTGCTGCAGCAGATCGCGTATATCTGGTACGGTACTCCCTCTCCGCTTTCTCGCCTCGATTTCTTCCCTGACACCCTTCATGATCTGCTGCATTTCGAATTCCGGATCATGAGGTAGACCGAGCGTGCTGTTCATGTCATCATCCGCGACCGATGTCGAACTAACAGTTCTTTCCAAGCCTGGCTTGCTGCTGCGAGCCTTGAGCTGTTTTAGGAGCATTCCCTTGACAGGCGAATTGAGAAGCACAAAACATGCTATAGTTCCAACAAGGCCATAGAAGTAGACACCAGCCCAAACTTTGATACTGGCTGACAATGTTAAGAATTGGAACGGGATGACCACAAAAGTGATTGTCAACTGTGTCAAAATCAAGCATGCAAAGTCGTAGTAGCGCTTGTATGGTCCTGGGGTTTTTCCATCCGGCGACATGAAAAATGGCCGTATAAGTCTTCGACCATCTGCAATGTGTTACTCAAATATGTTCACTATAATGGGGCATTCTCACTTACGTTTCGCGATTGTTTGATCAAGGCTGGCAAGAATAAATGCGAGGTAATAGCCAGGATAAAAGCCATGCCAAAAGGCACTAGTAACAAAGGTAGCGAGAGTAGCAACAAAGCCAGGCTTTTGGCCCTTTGGTGTGACTCGAAGGTACACATAATTTCTCAGCCAAGAATTCGTGTTGATATTCCAACCAGCGAGATATCCACGAACATTTTGAGCGAACTCAATCTCCATTGGCTTGACATTTACCAGCCGGTCCCAATTTGCTTTACCGGTCTTGGGATCAACGCCATTGTAACCAATACCAGACAAGATACAAGCTCCCTCTGTCAAAAACCAAACTCCGTAGTATTTCATTCGAGCGGTAAGACCAAGCATGTAGACTTGAAATACTCGGCGCAAGAAGCCATATTTCAGGAAGTCCGGACTTAAGAAGAAGCTTTGATAGAAATAACCTGAAAATTGCAAGAATGCCAGGATCCAGAGGAGGCCGGAGACCATCTTATACATAGCAGGTGTTCCTGAGCGTGGAATCTTGCGCTTCTTACGTGTTGGTGGAGCCTTGGATGGATCTATTCCGGGTGGGAGCTCGAACATCGATGTGGTGATATAGTTTTTGTAGTCGGCATAGTCGAAGGCTGGCCCGGCGAAAAGACCAGGGAAGAAGAGTACGTAGCCAGCATAATCGAGGAAGTCCGGCAATTGTTTGATTTGGCGCTCCTTCTGAAATTGTGAGAGTTCCTCCTCGGGAAGACGGCCGTCATGGACGTTCCAACAAAAGGCTGTTAGTTTCATAACAAGGACCATCTGTGCCCCTGTTACGTCCACAAGACCGGGATCATTCACCATTTGTCGGAAGATGTGGTTCACAGACATGTGTCCCATCAAGGCCACAAAGCCAATCCAAGGCATAAACGGACCTTGGATGAAGTACGATATGGCATATGCCATGACTGAGCTGATTGCAAGAGTCCGGAGACCGCTCCATAAACTGAACAAACCGATGAGATAGAACATCGAAACACTACGAACATTTAGCTCTGGTCAGCCCGTTGCTTGATTGAAGTTACCATATAATAAAAATATTTTTCTGCCATGGATGTCTATCTGGAATCCGCTTCAAGATGGCAGTAAGTGGATACGACAGCAGAAACGAGCAGGTGAGCTTCACTTCGATGTCTTAGTTTCCTGTTTCCATTTCGAAAAGAATAGACCTACGTTCATCTGGTGATGCGCCAAGGACCGACGATAAGTACAGGAAAGCTACAAGCTGTCAGCAAGATTTCCAGTCACCAGGCCGTACGCCGTACGCCAATCTAATACAGGTATGAGTGCCGGGCTATATGCTGGAGCCATGTTGGGCTACCGCGGACTAAACGTTGAGGACGCAATGACGCGAGAGACGGTCCAAAATATTGGTAGGAGACTGCAGCAGGCGGGAATTCGTTGCCTGGCGGAGCTCACACGCAGACTGGAGCTGATATTCCGGTAGATTGGCCACCTGAGCGCTGTTTCTAATATAGTGGCGAGGATGTTTGGCTTGTGACGTCGAAGCTTCCCATTTTGAGCAGAACGTGCAAAAAACGTGCCGACACAACTCAAACCCTCGACCAATCATTTTCTGCACCGCGAGCAATTATTCTCGCCGCGCATGTGGCCGTCACAATAGCCGTTGCTCAAGATGAGCTCGCTGTACAATCTCGAGCCGCAGCCGACCGCCAAGGTTATCCTGAACACGACCGCCGGTGACATTGAGCTCGAGCTCTTCGCAAAGCAGACCCCAATCACATCACGTAACTTCTTACAGCTTTGTCTAGATGGGTACTACGATGGAACCATCTTCCACAGGCTGGTGCCCAATTTCGTGATCCAAGGTGGTGATCCCACGGGCACCGGATCTGGTGGAGAGAGCAGCTACGAGGATGGGAAGCCCTTTCAGGATGAGTTCCACTCGCGTTTAAGATTCAATAGAAGAGGTCTGTTGGGCATGGCAAACTCAGGCAAGAATGACAATACGAGCCAGTTCTTCTTGACCCTGGGCGAGACCCCAGAACTGCAGGGGAAGAACACTATGTTCGGGCGCGTGGTCGGCGATACAATATACAACTTGATGAAGATGGGCGAAGGCGAGCTTGCGGGCCCGGACACGGACAGACCGTTATATCCGTACAAGATCAAGAGCACCGAGATTTTGGTGAATCCGTTCGAAGATATGGTGAAACGGGATCTCAAGAAGAGAGCAGTGGCAGCTACAGTGGAAGAGGAAAAGAAGAAACCAAAGAGGAAGGCGGGTAAAGCTATTCTAAGCTTCGCTGGCGACGAAGACGAAGAGAACGATGTTGCTCCAGTAATCAAGAAGCCCAAGTTCAACCCCAAACTCGTGAGCGGAGGACAAGATCTGCCTAAGAACCCACCCGCTTCGCCGGCAGTCCCGACTCTAGATACGAAGAAGGAACGTCCTGCTCCTAAGCCACGAAAGTCGCCCTCTCCTTCTCCGCCTCCCAGGCGTGACCAGATACTCTCAGGCCTTGCTCGTACGTCGTCAAAGAGGCCAGCATCACCCTCCCATTCCGATTCGGACTCGGAGTCCGACTCTGAGCCGGAGCAAGTCAAGAAGGTGTCCGATCTTGTATCGAAAACAAATGCCCAGATTGAAGAGCTCAAGGCCTCCATGAGACGGAAGGCTCCAGCTCCTGCGCCCGCTGCGAAGAAGAAATCGGCGTTGGAAGCCATGATACCAGAGACGTCGACAAGAGGGAGAAAGCGTGGCGCGGTCAAGGAAGACCCCAATGCTATGAAACTATTTGCTGCCTTCAAGAGCAAACTTGATTCCATCCCCGTAGAGACACAGCGTGATGAAGGCGAAGAAGGAAGCAAGCAGGCGATACCTGGGGAGGGTAGTGGTCCTATCGGCGACGACGAGGACGAAGCCGCACTATGTGACCTACATTTCATAGCGAACTGCCAGAGCTGTAGCAAATGGGATCAGGCAGCTGCAAGTGACGACGACGAGGATCTAAAAGGAACGGGATGGATGAGTCACAAACTGACGTTTGCTAAGGATAGGCTTGGCAAGGATTTAGAGTGGAAGAGGAAGAACGAGGAAGAACTCCTGGTTATAGACCCGAGAGAGCGGGAAAAGGATTTGGGCATAGGTAGAAAGAAGGGTAAGGAGGACAGAGAAAGGGACCAGCCACGACGGCGAGACAAAACTTCTGATCTCGACAGGCGGAGATGAAGCCAAGCTACGGGTGTGTATGTTTTATTAAGCCCATTGGGCCGGCCTTTGTCTAATCGCATCGAGCTGCATACAAAGCCGGCTCAAGCTTAGATGCTGGAGTCTATCATTCCCTAGACATACAGCTCCTCGAGTATCTGCTTAACCAAGGCCTGCATATCTTGTGCGGCTAACCTTCCAGCCTCTAGTACTTCCTCATGATTCGCACGTCCATGGCTCAAGTGCTCTGTCAATTGTTCCTGAGACATGATTTGAATCTCTGGCGCGTCACCCCGTGGACCAGGCTCCAACACTGCATTGTTGGTCACCAGACTGAACGCCAGAACCCTTAACCCCGAGTGCCGCGCAACCACGATCTCCGGCACCGTGCTCATTCCTACAACATCCGCCCCCAAAAACCTTAACATTCGGCATTCTGCTCTTGTTTCGTACGTCGGCCCAGCAAGAAACGCGTATACGCCTTCATGCATGCGTCGTGCTGTCTTGTCAAGTCCAAGTTTCGTCCAGGCGTTGTGCGCCCGGCGCCTTAGCTCTAAATCGTAGGCATCAGACAGTGGCGGGAAACGTACTCCAAACTCATCGTGGTTCGGACCACGGAGCGGGTTCCAGCCCACCATTCCTGGGATGTTGAGGTGGTCATTGAGTAGCACTATGTCCCCGACAGAGTACTCAGGATTCAGGCCACCCGCCGCATTGGTGACGACGACTGTCTCGACACCCAAAAGCTTGCAGACGCGTATGGCGAATGTGCAGGTTTCCATACTATGTCCTTCGTAGAAGCTATGTGAAGCAGGTTAGGCGAAGCAATGAGGAACACAATTGGGTGAACACTTGCTGCGCCCTTCCGACCAACAGAACCACAGGAGTCTGCTGAGGCCCGACTGTCCCAAAGACTAACTTCCCTTCATGACCCTGCACTATTGTTCCCAGCTTAGCCAGCGTTCATAAGTACTATAGAGTTTCGCACACGCTGTGACCTACCGGTACTCACAGCCCAGTTCGGAATACTCGCGTACGGAGTTTCCACCCGTAAGCCTGGGTTGATCGCGTTTGCAAGGCCTCCCAATCCTGAGCCGCACACGATCGCTACCTTTGGAGAACAGAGTTTGTCAGGCAACGAGTTTTGTAGGAATTTAGCTGTCTCGCTTGCGCGGGCGTACAGCGTGGTTGTCTTTGGCTGTTCTGCCATGATTATTTGCGATGACCTATTATGTACACCGTATCATATGGCTCAAGAGAAGGGTGTAATCCACTTCCAAATTCTTATGGACTTCTTGAAGTTACATTGGGTTAAGGACGTGGTGCACAAGATCAGTCATATTTGAGCATCCAGAAGCGTGCGCCTTCCGCTTTGGGATGCTGGGTTCCGCATCCGCCGACATTTACGGAAGGCCCGTCTTTGTGAATCTCTGCAACGATCCATTGCTGCGCTCGACCAGAACCACTCAACAAGTTTGGCATCATGTCCAACCCGGCGTATTGGCGACCGCCATTAAGTGCGGCGAAGAGATTAAAAGTGAATATAATGCCATTGCATATGAGAAGGCAGTGCTAACTCGAGGCAAAAATAGGTGAACCCTTCGTCCATCCAACGTCCATCGTACGTATGTCACCAGCGCGCCGGATTGGCAGATGCCGGAAATCTTTCAAATCAGACGTCTGCAGCTACAGATGAGCTGGTCAACAAGCAACAGTCTGCCGAGGTCGCGCCATCACAACCAGCGGACAGGTCGTTGAAGCATGCATCGATGTCGAAGTCGCAAGCCTCACAGCCGCCGTATGCATCTTCATTCCATCTACTCGTAAAGATCTAACACATGAACAGAGGTTTTGAGCACCTGGGTAAACTAGACCCTCGGACCAGGGAGTTTGTCTATAACATGAACCTTCCCCCTAACGTGCGATCGGTATATCTGCGACCTCTTCGCCGTGCACCTACGCACGGCATCGCAGTATGCGACCTTCAGATGCGCTCATACTCGGTTCGCAACCTCGAATTCTTCGCGGACTTCGCCATGCGTGCAGCATACTACTTAGGCCTCCCAGCTAAGGGCCCAGTGCCGCTACCTCAAATTACAGAGCGATGGACCGTGCCTCGAGGCCCTTTCGTACACAAAAAGAGCCAGGAGAACTTCGAGAGGAAGACACTGAGGAGGCTAATTCAGATTCAAGACGGCCACCCGGAGGTTGTCCAAGCTTGGCTGGCGTATCTTGAGAAGAGAGCCTACTATGGTATTGGCATGAAGGCCAATGTGTATGAATGGGAAAGCTTCGATGTGACGAAAAAGTTGGATGAGGACGCGAAGACGATTGCGGAGCAAGCAGAAGAGACATTCGCAAACTTCGGCGTCCGTCAGGCCGCGCTGGAAAGATTGGAGGAAACGTTGGGAGACGAGCCTCTGCAGGAGCTTCTCTCCCCAAGTGACGATGTACGAAGAGAACCAAAGGAGATCAGCAGAAGCAGTTGATTGCAAAGCAGGAGAACGTCGAACACTTCGCAAGACCATTGATTCAAGATGAGTAATATTCAGTTTTGCCGGCTACATTGAGCAGCTCAGCCTGAAGTGGCATCCTTCTTATGCCAGTAAACAGGATGAAGAAAAAAAATTACTTATAAAAGGGGTATACTTTCTGTGTACACCGCGTATGACACTTTTTACAAAGGAGGATGGGATCGTAAGGTCGTAAGCGTCGCCTACCCAGCCCAGCCCAAACGATGTGCTTTGTCACAAGCAAACACTCCGAAAGTGGCGGAGAGACTTTTAACTCCAACGAAAACGCAGCGACCCGTAGGAAATGTTGGTATATGTTGGCGCGGGAACCCGCCGCTCGCGCAGCTCGATCACGCCACCACCCGCCCGTCTCGCCGTTCTTTACCGCCTCTGCCATGCGGGCTTTTGGTGCGGACGCACGTCACGCATGGTTGGCGCCCCCGCCACCGCCGCGCCGCTTTGTGGACGGCAGCAGCCTACGCCTGGATCTCGCGGCGCTGAGCGTTCGGCGCAGCAGCGTGGCCGGCGTACGCCGCGGCCCCGTCGTCAGAGGGGAAGTACTTCTCGTAGTCCGGGAAGGAGATGTAGCCCTCGCGTTGCAGGTGGCCTGTCCAGCCTCGTGCGGCCTCGTACCCGTCGCTCCACCGTCGCTCCATCGCACCCACCACACCACTGGGTCGCTGTTGGGTCGGGGAGTCTTGCTCATCGTGGTGGTGCCTTTGGTGCGTCGACAGCGGGCTTGCCGGGTGGGAATAGTGGCCGGCGTCGTGATGGTGGTGGTGGTGGTGATGATGATGATGATGATGCGCGCTCTTCACGGGCGGGACGATGGGTGACGAGGCGACTCGTGAGAGTAGGGCGCGGGCAGTCTTTGCGTCCGAAATGGAGCTGTTGGACTCTCTGCGCGTCGCTAACGAGTTCTGTGTGCAGACCGACGGAGGCGTCGTGGTGGGCGAACTCAGCGGGTACCGGCTGTTGTGCGATGAGGTTGGTCTCGATGGAGGGCTTGATGAGGCGAGTGGAAGCCTGAAGTACATCTCGAGCATCCGTGTTTCGAGCACGCTTGTTGTGCTTAATGCCTTGCCCTTGGCAGAGACCGCGCAGTGATGGGTCGTCCGCAGGGCCGAGGAAGGATCAGCGTTGAAGCCCCCTTTTGTGACACTGTGATCGTGCTGTAGACTCCGTTGGCAGGTCCTCAGACTCCAGAGTGTGTGTTCGTGAAACTCGTTTACCTTGCTTGGTTTTGAGTCCTGTTATATTTTATTCTTTTTTTCCCTTTTTCGTTTTGCGAGGATAAGGTTCTTTCTATGATTCTTTTTTCTTTCTTTCTTTGTCGGTCCGGACCACAGGTTTCGTATGCTCGTGTTAAAAGTCCGTGAGAGCCGGAAGCGATAGCACGAACAGGTGACGTGATGGCTGTGGGACGACTGGACGTGTGAGCGAGGCTGGGCTGTACTGTTGGGGCTCGACGGGCCGTGGCAAAACGAGGCTCTCTCTTGAAAAGTACGGCGATTCTCTATCGACAAAGCATTACGGAGCCGTAGTCCCTTCTTTGTTTTCTTCTTCTTCTTCTTCTTCTTCTTCTTCTTCCAGAGAGGGGAGAGGAGAATTGGAAGCGATTGCCAGGGAAGAAAAGAGGTTCGGCAGCAGGCTTCACGAGACAGGGCAGGCCTTAACAGGCAAAGCTGGATGGGATTTCGCTGGTTCCCGGATGCTGGGGATCACAGGCCGGAAAGCGTCTGGACAACTCGGGTCGACGACTGGGAAGAGTCAGCTACCTCATAAGCTGCATATTGTGCTCTGCCACTTCATCCCGGTCCTCACCAGTCAGCGCCGCCCTCGCCATTGCAGAAGTACCACGTAGTTCATCCACGACAGTCCAGCGTCACGCTAGAAACCATGCCCCGTCGCGTTGTCCCCAACATGCAAGGCCAACGACACCCGCGCCGCTCACGTTCTACTCCCCACTCCGTCCGTTCTTCACCCACCGCATGTCCGCCACGCCGAGCGTCGACGTTTGAATGGAGCCCTGCCACATGGGAAGGGGAGGATGGGAGCTGGGGGAGGGGGGAACGAGGCGGTCGCCCGCACGCCTCAGGGCCACCTGTTCTGAGTGGGACAGAGCCCTTCCTCTACTTCTGCTGCTTTTACTGCTCCTCGACAATGCATCTTCGGCGCTGGGCGGTCCTAGTTCGCCCACTTCGCTACGCTTGACACGTCTTTTGCTTCAGCACTCTAGGCCGCGTCCTGTCGTCTCGTGAAGCGACGAACGAGCGAGCGAACAAACGCCTTCCCCACCCATCCCCCCTCCCCGCCCAGCGCTACGCACGCATTTCTGGAGGCTCTCTGTGCAGTGACAAGTCGCCCTAAGCCAACCAGCGAGAAAAGGGGTTTTCCGTATACTTCGAGGTACAAAACGCGGGGAACGAAGGTTCCTCCAACGTTACGTGAACGGGGCTTGACATATCGACATATCAGACGATGGATCCGTCCGACAGAGATTGAATCTCGTCCCCGCTTTCCCCCTCGACACCATTTTTTTTTGGGTTTTTGCTCTTCTCCGCTCCAAAGGGCTGCTGGGTCCCCGACGTTTCCACAGCCTTTTTCCAGCACCAAGCTTGGCACTGTTTTCCCATCCCCAACGCCGTCTGCTGCACGCTTTGCTGGGAATAAGGATGGGCCGCATGAAGGCTGTCGGCGCGGGCCCTCCCTCTCCCCACTCCATTCCTTGAGCACATCATCAGTGACAGCCTGTGATCGGCAGTGTCGAGACCGTCGTGGCTCGTTTTGGCCGTCTTCTTTCCACGCAAAAAAAAATCGCTTTTCTTTTTCCCATTTCCCTTTTTTTTTCCGTGTCTCGTGAGCCGTGAGCTTGCTTACACTATCTGCGCGGGTTGGCTATCCGCTGCAGGATATCCTGCTAGCCCTTCCGAACCGATTGCTTCCGCCTGAACACGTCAGGGGAAAAATCTCGGTGACGGAACTGCCCTTGGACAAAAGAGAAAGTAGCGGTCTCTTTTTGTGCATCTTTGCGCGAATGCCTGCTGATTTGGGATTTGATGCGTCACTTGCAAACGAACGGGTGTTTGTCACACGCTTAGAACAGGCAAACCGCTCTGATTCGTGAAACATGTCTCCATTATCATTTAGATTTGATTGGAGATTGTATTGCCCAGTAATAACTTTGTCCTCTCAAACGCCTAATGCGCTCGTACCTGACTGGTGTTTTTCGACGCGCCATCACGCACGTCGAAACTCTATGAAAATCGGCAACGTGACCAAGCGTACGTCCGCGTCTGCACGAGCACCAAAGAGGAACGTGAAGCCCGTTCTGGACGGTGTTCTCCAACGCAAGAATCAGACTTGGGGGACCTGCTCACAAGACCTCACTGCCTACCGTTTACCAATCTCTAGCTTTGAGACATGCAGGATCGACCTCCTCTGGTATTCGCTCTTCCATACTCCTCGTTCGCGTGCGACGAAGTCTCGATCAGTGCTGGTACGAGCGTCAGCGTGGGGTACCCGGTATCAGTGGAAATATGAAACTCACGTCAACATCATCCCATTTCTCCCACTGTCTTCCTTTGACGTTGTCAAGTTCTTCCATGCTCATGACCTTCCCGGTCGTGACTGCGAGAACGAATCAGCATCTGAATAGCCTTCGACATGCTGGCATCGGTAGAGAGACGACAAAGAAGAAATGGAAAGTGAACACGTACAGTAGCCCGCATGAATCTTGGCATCGATCTCCACTCGGCTGTCCTCGGGAATGAGCTCGTCAGGAATAGGAACGCGCTCATGTATCGGGATGCCCTGCTCGACGATGGCGTCGTGCTTCATATTGCTCATGCTTAGCATCCTATCAATCTTTGTGATTCCTAGCCAATGCAATATGTCCGGCATCAGCGCCTGGAAGCGCATATCCTTGACGCCCGCAATGTTCTCCGTGCGCTTGAAGTATTCGCTCGCTCGATCGGCACCTCGCTTGCGTGCATTGTACACGAGGTATTTAGTGACCTCTCCCAAGGCGCGACCCTCCTTGCGGAAGTAGATCACCACACCACTGCCGCCGTTTTGCGCCTCCTTAACAGCTTCTTCGATACCGAAGATGAGATACGGGCGACAGGTGCAAATGTCCGAGCCAAAAACATCGCTTCCATTGCACTCGTCGTGAATGCGCAGTGAGAGTCTGCAGTTTGGATCTGACATCCGCTTGGTGTCGCCAAATATGTACACCGTCAGACCCCCAATGGGGGGTAAAAATACCTTAATGTCATTTCTCGTGATCAGCTCGGGATACGAGCCACCTGTCTCTTCAAACAACGCTCTTCGTAGCCTGCCCTCTTCTGTTGACTTGTTAGATCTACATGTTCTTCTCTCCACGTCCAGTGCCCGTACATACCGATCCCGAACCTCTCCGCCACGCCCGGTAGGTACCACACCGGTTCCACAGCCACCTTGGTTACCGCAAGCTCGCCATCTTGATTGAGACAGATCTGACCGTCGACCTTGAGCCTACCGGCCTTCACACTTTCCTTCAACTCAAGGATCCTCATATGAGCTTTGGTAATAGCTATTGTGGGGCGAATCTCCACATTCTCTTGGTCAATGTAGTTCTGATACAGCCATGGAGCCAAGTGGCCGAACGGATCCATGGCAACAATCTTCTTCGCATCCGTCCATTGCGGGTGCGGTCCAATTTTCGAAGCCGGCTCAGTGTTCGTGAAGTCGGGCTTGTGGGAAACGTCCAGCTGGGCGCTGGCGACTGCCAGGGCATGATAAATAGAATACGAGCCGCCATGAGCACCGATGGCATTGCGTCTTCCAATTGTGGACTTGTGTCGCGAAACGACCACGGGTCCACGGACTTGGGGGTCGGCTGCTCCCCATTTCAAAGGAATCGGGTCAACACCAGCTTGACCTGGATACGACGTCAGGATAATTTTGGATGAGAACGATGTTGATTCCCTCCGGACAGAAGGCGATGTTGCAGCAGAGCTCGGCTTAGTATCTTGGGCCTCCTCGCTCGGTGTCTTAGGTCGTTCCTGTTCTGCTCCTGTTGCTGGAGCTGTCTGCTGTGACGAGGTCGCTGCAAATGACGTTAGCTACTCGAACACACAAAACCCCGAGATACACGCAAAATGAAATGTACAAAAAGAGAAGGACGGCCACCCATGAACGGCACGAGAACTTACACAGTTCGGCGGATTCGTTAATTTGTTTCACGCTGGACAAGATATTGACTTTTCCATTGATAGAATCTAGCTGCGAAGTCAAGCGTGCATTGTCCGACTTGATCGTCTTAATATCCTCCAGTAACTGAGCTAAGAGCCCTGCTATGTCTTCCTGAGACGACGCTGCTGCCATGTTCGCTGCTCTATGTTCAATGCTTTCGTTCCTCTGAAGTTGTTTGGTGGTTGGGAAGCTTCGAGCGGAAGCTGACCGAAGCTTAAATAGCTATTCCGGCTAAGGGCGGGTTTATCAATGCGTAGTATCACACGCAGCAGCCCGCCTCCGCCAAGCAGGAAAGCAGATAATGAAGATAGAGGTCAGGTTGCATCGGAAATGAGCTAGCGATCCACTTTCCTTTCACCGACTCCTCATATCGCCGCACCGGTTCATGCAATATGTGGGCTACACACGTGACTTAGGCTTTGCCTTCCTCACAGCCTGCTTATGTCATCTGGGCTTGACATCCCGACTGTGCATTCACGCTATCTCGTTTTGCGCCGACTACAACTTCTCGCTGCCTTGTTGCGTACTGTTTCTGTAGACGGGGTCATAATGGTATACAATACGCCACATTGTCCGGTCTTATGCGCGACTAACAACAATAACAGGGTAAACGAAAGAAGGCTGCTAAGCCTATGACCACAAAGAAAGTAAGTCGCTTTGCGGGGGAAGCGTCGTACAAAGCGAGGTCCTGATATGCGCGATAGAAAGAAGTCCTTCCGACCGTGTTCCAGTGCCTCTTCTGCAATCATGAAAAGTCCGTCCACGTGCGTATGGACAAGAAAAGCGGCATAGGATCTATCCATTGCAAGGTCTGCGGGCAGCAATGGAGCACAAACATCAACTGTAGGGTCAACATGTGGTCAAAGTATATGGAACGAGCCTAGTTGACGGCAGCACAGTTCTGTCCGCGCCCGTGGACGTGTACGCGGACTGGGTCGATGCATGCGACGAAGCGGCAAAACAAGCAGCAGCAGGTGTCGAGGGTGAGCGATCGAACTACACCAGTCAAGCCGCACCTACGCCGAAGACCAAGTCGTCCACGGGAGGACATGGGGAGATGGACGACTTTATCGAGAACGACGAGATGGACGCGGAAGCAGATTTTGCAGACGATGACTAAATCGGGTCGATGAGCGGATATGGACACTACGGAGCTCAACGTGTACAAGTATAAGAAGTAAAAATGAAGGTTCTTGGTCCCGGGAGGAGGGAGGGGCAATGAAAGCTTTGGGTACATTGCTCGGCACGGCGTTTCTGGTTGAGGATAGAACTATGGTGCGCGGCACCATGTGAAAAATTTAGCTGGAGGACAAAATTTCGCTGGATACCAAGTGCGACAGCTGTTGATGTGCCAGTCAGTCGCACTGACACTAGGATATGAATGAGCATATTTCAGCACAACATTGTTTGCATTCTTGGAGACTGGGCCAACGTCCGGAATACGTATATTACCACTCATTAGATGTGAACTTTGTAGTTGCACGCTGCCGCAGAGTGTCATCTTTTAAAAGTTCCCTTCCCCTCTACAACGTGCTGCCTCGCCGTTCCTTTATGAGATGCCTTGCTACCTCCTGGTGTAAATTTCCTAGGTGTGTAAGCGTGAGGTTGGCGATTTTCTTGTGGAGAGAAATCAAATGTTTTCTTCCAAGGTTCGGCGCGACGCATGGGATGGTCGGTATTCTGCAGTTTTATAATCATGTCGAGCACGTTATCACACTCTTGCTGAACGTTACTCCATCTCGGATCGGTGATCTTCGCGGTGCCGATCATCTGCAGACTCCCCGTCAACTCTGGCTTGCCATCCTGAATGCTTCGTGTGCCGTTCTTTGCGTATCCTTTCTTCTCCAGCGCAACCTCGAACCCTTTGCGCAACCTTTTTGCGAAGTGATGACGAATGAAACGCTTGGAGCTCAAGCCGGTTGCACAGGTCGCCCACCACCAAAGACCTTTCTGCTCACGCTTCTCGTATATGAATCGGACCTTCAATGCCTGGACCCCATTGCCCTGGAGGGTTGCTTTGAAGCATGGTTCAGAAGCTGTGTACTCGCGCCAGTAGGTCCAACGGAATATCGAATTCTTAGAGATTTTGGTCGGCTTTCTAGCGGTGCGAAAAACTCCGGACATTCATGCGAACAACTTCATCGATAGCGTAACTTGGAAGGTAAGTTGAGACGGCAAGGGATTGACGGGCGCGGACTTTTGTGCTGTAGGTAAGCCTGGGATCGGGACTCTTTCTTCCCCGGCAAATTGTCATGTTCCGTATACGGCATGCGGACGAGCCAACCAGGGCCCTGAGTCACACGTGCAGTCGAAAGCGCCACAGTGACGCTCAGTTGGTTTTGGAGGGGCGCCTCCGATCACCCATAAAACATCCCACACTGTGCTTTACGACATCTACCGACCGTCAAACTTCTCACGATCGAAAAGCACACAACCGAGAAACGCATACACGAGAAAATAGCAAGAAGACTGCAACATGCCGAAGAATAAGGGAAAGGGTGGTAAGAATAGGCGTCGTGGAAAGAACGAGAGTAGGTCGCACTCAAGTTTGCGGCAAAATGGCTGTTGCTAACGCTGGACGTAGACGACAATGAAAAGCGTGCGTAAAAACTTTCCCCTGTAGATTACAAGTCGTAAAATTATTCTTTGGAGACCATCGTCATGTCTACTCGAACACAACACTGCCTAAATTCCTGACAACCGCGCACCTCCACTCACATCATCGCTGTGCTGCGGCAGGACTATCGCAGAAGACTTGGTGCTTAAGCCACTGCGGTTAAGTCAAGGCAAGATTACGTCGAGTAAAATTCCAAAGGAGCAAATTTCGACTGGCATGATGTATTTTGTGCGATCAAGTAGGCTGACAGCCGCCAAATAGGTGAACTTGTGTTCAAAGAGGTTCGACGCGCAAGGCTGCAGTGCAATAAACAGCATGACTAACAGCGCTCAGGATGGCCAGGAATATGCACAGGTCATTGTAAGATTCCAAACCGCACAATTTTTTAATCATTTCCATGCAAAGAAGTGAAGCTAACACTCCAGTTTAGAAAATGCTAGGCAACGGAAGGCAAGTCAAAGAGCTTTGAAAGAACTACGGTCATCCTAATTTTGTATAGACTTGAAGCGAAGTGTTTTGACGGACCTACGCGTTTGGCCCACATTCGAGGAAAACTCCGGAAAAAGGTCTGGATCAACCAGGGTGATATCATTCTTCTATCCCTACGTGAATACCAGGTGAGTGTTGTCAACTATATAAGCCACGTCTTCTAGTTTTGTCTTGAGATCTTTCAGAGTGAACGCTATACCTGGTATTCGCCTTTCATACGGAACTTCGGGTCATATTAGTGCTCGCTACGAACTGCACAAGCTCGGCTTTCTACGTTATTAAATTTGGATAGACTGATGCTGACAAAAGTCTTTGTAGGATGAGAAGAGTGATGGTAACTTCTACTTGTCGAAGTAGAATGGCTGATGCTAATGAATCTAGTTCTTATGAAGTATAGCGCAGATGAGGCTCGTAGTCTCAAGGCATATGGCGAGCTGCCCGACTCCGCAAAGATCAACGAGACTGACACATACGCGGACGAGGGTGCAGAGGGCATTGGATTCGAGTTCGACGAAGACCGTGATGGATCTGATGCAAGTGAGGTTGATATTGAAGACATTTGAGGCGCTGGCCACTGGGTTCAAGTATGGATGATGTGATGAGCAGTTCGAGGCACCAACCACAAGACTGATGGCAATCCAACTATCAGCAGCACGATTCCTTATGCTGTCTGAGCAGCAACTGGTGGGGATGGCAGGGTTTTCTACAGTTCATTTGGAGGTGGTTCATCACCAGCATCAGTTTGAAAGTACATTGAACATTATGGTTCACGGAGCATAGCGACACCTATTGTCTTCCAGATGAATGAAGTTCTGTTTCTGCAGACTCATTTCGTCCGATACGATATACAATACTAGTCCGAAGCTTTTGAATGCGTCTTGTGCTTTGGTTTGTGCGGCATTCAGTATCTCTCCCGACAGGCTTTGGACCCTGAAGATGTGCAGATTGAAAGACTCGCGTCATTGTAGAAATTTCGCAAGGCTGACTCAAAAAAAGTTCGCCCCACGACTTATAACCCCTCCACTCTTTGCTTGCAATTTCCTACACTGTATTCATATCTAGTCAAAACATGTCTCCCGCACAAGATATTCCCATTGTTCAAAAAGTGGCACGGTCCGTGTCAAACAGCTGGCAGAGCGGTTATGTGCCAGCTGCATTATCCACGTCGCCAACCCTAACCTTTCATCACCCGAGCAGCTTTACCTCGCAAAGCCCGGGTCTGACACGAACGGTAACCACGAGCAAGACACTGAAGCCCTTCAACACAAAGGACATCAAAGTCCTGTTGCTGGAAAATGTCAACAAGACTGGGCAAGACATCCTGCGGGAGCAGGGCTACCAGGTTGAAGCGTTGAAGACGAGTCTGAAAGAGGATGAACTTATCGAGAAGATTCGGTAAGCCAGATGGACGGCGTCGTTTCGTGCTGTGCAAACGCCATTCGCACTAACGGTCGCGAGGGTAGGGACGTCCACGTAATTGGCATCAGATCCAAGACCAAACTCACCAAGCGGGTCCTCGAGTCGGCGAAGAACCTCATCGTCATCGGATGCTTCTGCATCGGAACCAACCAGGTCGATCTGAAGACGGCCGCTCAGCTGGGGATTGCGGTCTTCAACTCTCCATTCTCCAACTCGCGATCCGTCGCAGAGATGACCATCGCGGAGATCATATGCCTCGCCAGGCAACTGACAGACAGGAGCATGGAGCTGCACAACGGCACGTGGAACAAGGTCTCCGCTGGCTGTTGGGAAGTCCGCGGCAAGACTCTGGGTATAGTGGGCTACGGGCACATTGGATCGCAGCTGTCCGTGTTGGCGGAGCAGATGGGTATGAACGTGATATACTACGACGTGGTGCCGCTCATGGGACTGGGCACATCCAAGCAGGTTGACTCGCTGCCCAAGCTGCTCGCGCAGGCGGACTTTGTCACGATCCACGTGCCCGAGCTGGAAGATACGAAGAACATGTTCTCGGCCGAGCAGTTCAGTCAGATGAAGCAGGGCTCGTACCTGATCAACAACGCCCGGGGGAGCGTCGTCGACATACCGGAGCTGATCAACGCGATGCGATCCGGCCACCTCGCGGGCGCCGCCCTGGACGTGTACCCCAACGAGCCTAGCGGAAACGGGGACTACTTCAACGCGGACCTGAACGCGTGGGCGGCGGACCTGCGCTCGCTGAAGAACCTCATCCTGACGCCGCACATTGGCGGCTCGACGGAGGAGGCCCAGTCCGCCATCGGCATCGAGGTCGGCAACTTCCTCGTGCACTACATCAACGAGGGCATCACCCAGTCCTCGGTCAACATGCCTGAGGTCACCCTGCGTTCGCTGACGATCGACGAGCCCAACCACGCCCGCGTTATCTACATCCACAAGAACGTGCCTGGCGTGCTGCGCAGGGTCAACAACATATTGGCAGACCACAACATCGACAAGCAGATGACGGACTCGAAGGGCGACGTCGCCTACCTCATGGCGGACGTGAGCCAAGTGCAAGAGAACGAGTTGTCGGACCTGTTCGCCAGCCTGGAAGGAGACGAGGCCAGGATCAGGACCAGGATCTTGTACTAGAAAGCGTCACACGGAGTCCAAAATTTTGTAGTTTCTGGATTTTTTTTTTTTAATGTTGTTTGGGTAGCATAAGGTAGACAAGGCACGGGAAAGCAATTCAACAAAAAGAAAACGCTCGGCGACGAGCACCCGGCGCCGAAACAAGAAAGAGAAAAAAGAAATGATACGATCAGTCAATCAATCAGGGCAGAATAAATATCTGTTCCAGCGAGGCTTCAACAAAAAGAGAGGGGAAAAAAAAAAGAAACAGGTACGGTCAACTATGCGATCCATCTCGCCATCTTAGGGCGGGGCAAGACATCAAGCGTTTCCAGCATCATAATCGGATTGCAGATAAAATCAAGACACAGTGATAGAGTTTGAATGAAAAAAAAAAAGGTTCAACCAGTTTGGTCAGCGAAGAGCGTCGAGATTTCGTCTATTCACCCACATTCCTTTTGTTGCCTTGGACAAGAACCAAATCGACCCATGAAGAAATCAGACAACACAAATCCCTTTTGGCCCCTGTATCCCCCATCTTCGAATCCCCGCGCTGCGTCGCAAAGCAGTCAAGAAGCCTTTGCTCAGCTTAAATCATATGCATGTAAACGTGTCGGGTTTTTTCTTTTGAAAAGGAAAAAAAAACCGTCGCACTTAATGGCGTCACACACTCTCTTTCTATATCGCGCTACCGTAGGCAAAAAAGGGGCCGGGGGTGTTTGGAAGATATTGATGATGGTAGTGGGGCTCGAAAGGAAATGTTTACGAATGTTACACATGTTGGCCTGTAAGAGCACCAAGCACGAGTTCGCACACGTTTGACAAGCGGTTCAGATTCTTCCTGGACGCGGTTGCCTCGCGATGCGGATTTAGAGCTTGTTGGGGCCAGCCGTACCGTCGTGCATCGGCCATTGATAGCCTGCTGCATCGCTGAATTTGTAGCCATAGGAGGCGGTGAAGTCGTCAAGGACAGCGGGGCCGCGAGAACCTAGTGACTTGCATTAGCATCTGTACATTGTTTTACAATCTCGAGGCGGTGTGTGTGTGTGTGTGTGTGTGTGTGTGTGTGTGTGTGTGTGTGTGTGTGTGTGTGTGTGTGTGTGTGTGTGTGAGAAGCGTACCGTATGGGTATTCCATGGGGACGATCTCCTTGTTGTCGTCCAGATAGTGCAGCAGCGGCGTGAAGATTCTCCACGAGGCATCCAGCTCGTCGTCGCGCACGAAGTTCGAGTGATCGCCCTTGAGCGCATCCAGGATCAGCGACTCGTATGCCTCTGGGATCTTTAGGTCCGAGAACCGTCTCCGGTAAGTCAGATCAAGTTCTGTGACGACGGTCTGCATGGACAAGCCCGGCAGCTTCGAGTTCATCTTGATATAGACCGACTCGTTTGGCTGGACTCGGATCACCAGCTCGTTACGGGGGATGTCCTTGAAGATGCCGGACGTGACGTCCTTGAACTGAACGCGAATCTCCGTCTTCTGCTCGTTGAGGGCTTTTCCGGCCTTCAGAATGAAGGGCACGCCGTCCCACCGCTCGTTTTTGATGTAGGCGACCATGGCGGCGAAGGTGGGACACCTCGAGTCCTTGGGCACAGAGTCGTCGTCTTTGTAGCCCGGCTTGCTGCCGTCCAGGGACTTTCCGTACTGGCCTATGATGACGTTCTTGGGCTCGATTGCTGGCATGGCCCGCAACACGCGCACCTTCTCGTCACGAATGTCCTCCGCATCGAAAGAGATAGGCCGCTCCATGGCGAGCAGGGTGAGGATCTGCAGCAGGTGGTTCTGCATGACATCGCGGATGATGCCGAACTCGTCAAAATATCCGCCACGACCTTCAGTGCCGAAGGGCTCCTTGAATGTGATCTGGACATTGTCGATGTGATTTCGGTTCCAGGTGGCGCCGAAGAAGGAGTTGCCAAACCGCAAGATGAGCAGGTTCTTCACCATCTCCTTGCCCAGGTAGTGGTCGATGCGGAAGATCTCCTCTTCCTTCCAGTCTGGTGCGAGGGCGCGCTGAAGTTCGCGCGAGCTCGGCAGATCCTTGCCGAACGGCTTCTCAACCTGTCACGTAACGCTGATGTTAGCAGGCGGCGGCCCAGGACGTCATACCAGGCCGTGTGTCACGTACAATGATTCTGGTGATGCCATTGGTGGGGTAGCAGATCTTCTTCAGATGCTGCGACACTGGAATGAAGACGCTTGGGGGCAGGGCCATGTAGAAGACGCGGTTGGTCTCCTTGCGGCCGTTCTCCAGCTCCTCGAGGTGCTTTCTTAGGTTGACGAACGACTCGTCCTGGTCGTACTGGCCGGAGATGTACGTGCAGATGTCGGTGAACTTGCCCAGCTGCTCCTCCATCTCCTTGGTGGGTGTCTTGATGTTCGACTTGACCCGCTTCAGGTACTCTGCGTGGTCCATCTTCGTCCGCGCGTAGCCGACGATCTTGACATCTTTGGGGAGGAAGTTGTTGCGATACTAGAGCGGCGCGAACGAGTTAGACAGCGACTTTGTGGTCGGGAAACAAGAGGGCTGCTTACGAGGCCGAAGAGTGCCGGGAACTGCGGGCGCGGTCAGTACACAGGGCGAAGGGGAAAAAAGACGAGGGCAAGCTTACCGTCTTCTTCTTGGCGAGATCTCCGGATGCTCCCAGGACGACTATGACGGTGTTGTCTTTGAGCTCGATGTTGCTACACATTCGGAGATACGTCAGCACAAGCTTCTCCAGCGTCGCGGGGCGGGGGGGGAGGGGAGGCAAAAGGGAAAGAAAACACAACGAGGCGGAAGCGCGGCCACGCGGACGCCAATTGGGATCCAGCTTGGGCTTGTTGGACGCAGACGCGGCGATGAGATCGCACGGCGTTCCGCACGGTGGTCGCAGGTCACAGCGACGACGCCGGTGGAGGGAGACGGGGCGAAGAGAGTGTGTTGGGGCTTACCCAGCGGTCGGCTCGACCTTGGGCACAACGATGGTGTTCGCCATGGTCTGCGCGGGAGAAAATTACAGCGAGAAGACGGCGAAGAAGAGACAGAGAGCCACAATTGATCGGATCTCAGGGCGAAGGAACAGAGTCCGGTCGTAGCGAGCAGAGAACAGCAGGAAGAGAGAAGGGAGGGGTGGGATTGGGAGTTTTTTTGGTTGGAAATTCGAGACGGCGGGCTGCTTTGGTGGGGTATTCCCGGAGCTCGAGGCTGACGAACGGGTTGGTTGGGAGCGCGGGAGCTCTGACGCGATGATGCTGGCCGCAGCAGCACCGTCAAGGCGAGGATCGTCGTCAGGTCGACTGCGACAATGTCGATGCTGAAGATCCGGCGCGCTGGGCTGACGGCGTTGTGTCTGCGTGTATGGGCTGCGCACTGCTGCGACGGATGGGAGCGCGTGCAACGCTTTTTCACTCGACTTCTTATGCCTCTGGCCGGTGGGACGCTTGCCCACCACCACCTGCACGCCCGCCACTGACGCTCCCTTCTCCCCCCCGTTTTCCCACCGGCGACCTCGCTACAGCGCACCCGCGGAGACTCACTAATCTCCTGAGCTGGCGGTCACCGCCTGACCTGAACCCGATATCTCCGTACTCGATCGCGCTTTGTCTTGTGTGTTGCTACTTCCGAGGACTTGGCCGACACAGCCGTCAAGAAGCCAGCCGGCCGGCCTCGTTCGCTGCACACAGAACGGCGTCCGAGGGACAAGACAGAAACGTCGAGGGGACACAATGCCGCTGCTCGATGCTGCTGCTACAGCCTCGCTTGCAGGCCCGCTGTGGATGGGGAGGGGAACGCTGGATGGATGTGCGACAGCGCGAGTCGGAGCAATCGCGCGTCTGGCCCCCCATCATTACTACGCCATCACTAAGCAATGACTGTTTATCCGTCACGGCTCCCTTACCCTCAGAGAGTCTCCATCCGCCTGCAACCGCCACGGGATCACTCAAAACTTTTTTTCCGGCTCTTTGTTGACCTGCAGTCCCAAGCCCGCCCACGCCAGTTTAGCTGACCTCGTGCTTCTATCGTGCGTCGTCCGTCCAGCCAATCTTGATCCTCCCGCCGTCTCGCCATGCCACCTTCTGAGCGAGAGAGAATGGGAAACTCTCCTCAATGGCCGTTGATGCTGGCTGTCGTCGGACCAGAGATCCCCCCGTCCCCGCCGCCGCCACCGCCGCTGCTGCTGCCGCTTGCCGTACTTGGCCATTGGTCTGTTGTTTCTGCAGATGCTGCCGTGCTGCAACGCGAACATGACTAAGCGAACCTCACCTCCCCGAAACCGTCCAGCGTCCTCGTGGCACGGTTCCGGAAAACGCACCTCAAAATGGGACCACGCTCTGGCTGTATTTTGTAAGCACTGGAAAATTCTTGCTTGGAAGCAATCCAACCGCTTCCAAGGCCTCCACACTCCCCCTTCCAAGAGCATTTCGTTTTGACGTTTCATCCTCGCACCTCGTCAACTGTGACGCAACGAGCAGACGAAACAGTGGGGCCACGCCTATGCTGACGTCGGGTCTCCCTGGGTTGTGGTATGAGCAGACCGCTCCAAGGCGGAGGCGTTCTTGGGGAATAGATGTCGTATTTGTGGAACTACTACGTTGATGGAGAGTGAAAAAAAAGACACAAGCCCAGCACTTCAGCAAGTTATGCAGCCCCGTCCATAGGATAAAAAAAAGGATCCGATACGCCTGCCGGTGGTAACCCTCTTTCTTGCAAAATCCCACGACCTTAGCTTTGCTTCCCCAAAAAAGAAAAAGGTTGTGCTCTTTCCTCTCTGCCATGCCGGTCCGCCCCGCACACTTGCCTGCCATATGGGTTGAATTGGAACACAAAGGAGAGTCTTGATGAGTTTTGGATTTTATATTTGCGTGGGCCGCTGTGCATGTTGCGTATGATGTGAATTGGGGGTTTGATGTTTACGACACCGTCATGTTCTGGCGAAGAACCTTGTAGCCCGCTGTCTAATTATGATTCTGTAGACATTTACGGCTTCAACCAGTCCAAGGCGTGGCAGGCGGCTGAACGAGCGGTCGAAGGTAGCTTACGTCTTTCTAACTCTGCTTGCACTCCGCGGCCTCCTGCTTTGGCTTCGAGCCGTCATTCTGCGTGCATCGTTAGCGAACTCTTCGTGGATCAAGAACGCTGGGTTTGAAGTCGACTTGCCTCCTCGTCCGACTCCTCATCCTCGTCGTCATGATCGTCACTGAGCTCGTCCTCATCGTCTTCATCCTCAAAATCAGCATCGTCAAAGTCATCGAGATGCTCGTATTGCAGAGCCTCGCCCGTGAACCAGTCCACAGCACGTGGGATCAGCTTCTCCTTGATGTCTTCGCCAAGCTGGTAATCGAGTTCAAGACGCTCTTCGATGTCTGACGTGTTCTCGTCGTCATCCGCAGGCGGCTTTGGAGGGTTGAAGAAGTTGAAGAACGACTCGCAGGGCACTGTTTTCCGCACGACACGGGTTTGCTTGGTAGCTACGCGTATTCAGGTTAGCTACGTGGTTCTCCGGGACGCTAGGGGACGACGCATGGATGACGCTTACTCTTGTTTCGCTGCTTCTTGCTCTCTATCCTCACAGTGAGATCCTTGTTTGGCTGCCAGTCGATCTTGTCGCCTTCAGCATGGTCGTAGATGAAATCACCTCCGTAGCCGTTCTCCTCCTGATAGAAGTAGGTCTTGGAGATGGTCTTGTTCGTGAAGAACTCGTTCGGCGCGAACTCAAAGATCAGCTTGAAGCCAGGCTTCTCGAGGTACTCCATGCGGATGTCGGTCAGATACTTAAGCGCTTCTTCGTCTCTGTCGGTGATCATTTCGGCGAGCGACACTTGGTTCTTCATGGCAGACAGCCAGAACTCCGGAATGCCCTTGATGCTGTCATCGGCAGGCGTCTCGGTTTTCTCTGCGTCCATGCCATCTTCCTCGTCTTCGTTCTCCTCGTCGGCCTCTCCAGCCTCGATCTCTTCCTTGGACGGCTCGACCTCGCCGTTGACGATCTTCGCCCGCTTCTCGTACAAGGGCGTGAACTTGGCAAAGTACTTCTTCTCCAGCTCCAGAACCTCCTCCTGGAATTGTGCCTCGAGCTTGGCGTGCTCCTTCTGCACACCCTTAAGACCTGCCACTCGGCGGCGGACATTGGCAGGGAGGCTCTCAACGTAACCCGAGGAGCGGCCAACGAGGCCACTGAGCTTGTTTTGCATCATTGCAACCAGGGCTGGGTTCTGAGCAAGAAGACCAGCGGCTGCAGCCTTGTCAAAATCCTCTGCACAAGCCCGGCCATGTCAGCGTCGAAGGTCTAAAGGGAGAGGGTTGAACAAGCAGCGTCAATGACATACCTTCTTTGAGGCTTCCTAGACCCGGTGCCTGAGCCCGACTGCTGATAGGCGCGTTGTTGGCCGGCGTGTTCTGCGGGGTTCTAAGATCAAGAATGTCAGCGTCCATGTTTGGATGACAAGGTTCGTTCAGCAAAAAGAATACGTGGTGGCGGTCGAGAAACAAGCACAGCGAGAGTGGGGTACAAAAACAAGTTGGAGCAGAGGGAAGACTCACGGCGCCGCGAGGTCGATCTTCTTGTTCCTGATGGGTTCGGCCATGGTTGGCGACGCGTTAGGACGTGGTTGAAGGGTTGGGAAGCAAGGAGAGGAGTTTGTTGTGGAAAAGATTTCAGCGGTTGTACTGTTGCGTTGAACTAAAACGTTTGCTTAGGTCGTTTGGTCTGTGGCGCAATTCCCTGGTCCCTCATTGCCCGCCAAAAAAAAATCCGCCGTCAACGTCCACTACCACCTAGGCTAGCAGATCACCCCTTGACCGCAAAATGCTTCCTGTCCCGATCGCAGGCAGACGAGCCACGGCACTCTTCCGTTTCATGGACGTACGCTGTTCTGGTCAGCGCAACCGAGTGATGCAAAGTCCAAATGCTCGGCCGTCACCCTGCAACGCGGCTGATTACGTCGCGTCTCCTATCTTGCACGGGCTGACCGACCCAATCTGGATCTTCCAGTGTATATTCTTCTGTTCGATGGAACGCCTCTATCGTAGGAGCTAATTTGTACAATGTTCTTCAACCCGTTGGGTTATCCCGTTGTTCCCTTACCGAGCAGCAGACGTGTAGAAAACGTCTTGCAACCGCTCGCTGACATGACTGACAATGACTCTTTTCTAAGACACACCACTCAGTGCTTTTCCTTGCCCAACATACGAAAGCTTGCTTCCCGGACACGTCTTTACCGTATCCTGCAAGACGTGAAAAATGTCTCAGTGTCTAGTAAATTGAGTTCTACTCGATCATGCGTCTATACTTCTCCGTTTTGTAGGAGGCCACCACGGCGGCCAACGCACCGATACACAAACACACAGCAATTGCGTTTGGGCCATCTGTAGAATGATGTTCGTCGGGATGTGCTTCCTTTGCCAGTTCCGGACTTTTTCCCGGCTCCAGAATCGAGAAGACGACCCAAGAAATGAAGGTTCCTAAGAACTGCGGGAGGGTAGTGTACACGTTTAGGATGCCGAGATAAATGCCGGATAGATCTCCGGTTGTTGAGGATGGGTCTTCAAGTAAGCCGTGAGACGCCTTTTCTGCTTCCAGGTCGACTGAGGCGCGATGTTTGTGCCCCGGCTTTGCTTCCCCAGAAGCGAGTCGGTTGATTTCAACGCCTATGAACGTGAACGGTGCCCAGCACGCCAGAGCCCACGGTCTACGCAAGTCAGCCCCATCGTGAAGGATTTAGCTGGAAATGAGACTCACACTCCACAAAGAGCTACGATGGTGGTTGCTGCTCGCAAAGAAGTAACGAACGGAGCCGCAATCATTGACCCCGCGAAGATGATGTGAGAGTACGACCAAGCTGACACAAGCGGTGGCTTGTGTTTCTGCACTTCCTCGACGATCCACGCGATGCTTGCAGGAGGACGAGGTGTGAATCCATCTGTTTCCTCTTCCAGACCGTCGATAAACCATGGCATGACCATGGAGGACACGAAAGTCACAATGGAGAACACGATCAAAGCACTGCTTCCGACACGACCAACTTGTGCAAGGGAATCTGGGTGCTCCTTTGCATCTGCGGGGGCATTGAAGCGTAGATAAACTTCGCCCAACCACGTGGTCGAGTAGAACAGGAACGGAAACCAGCCGATCCAGCACCAGAACTGGACCCAGCAAATAGCTGCAATACGTTCCGGCATGTTCAGGGCTGTATCCCATATCTGCCTGAAGAGCCCCTTGATCGTTTCCAAAGCCGTAGTCTCCTCATTTTCCTTACCGTTCGTGATCAGTATCCTCTCTTCCACTGCCCAGCAAGTAGCTCCAACCGTGGACACGAGTATCAGTCCCGCCACCACGATAAGCTGCTTGAATTGCGTCTCGCCAATGCTGTTTCCAAACAGCTTCGTCAGATCCATGGCCCCAAAGCCGTACCCGATCAAGCTGCCTACAGCTACCATCCTACTAGCCCACGCACTCCCCATCTGTTGCTTCGACAGCGGGAGGGTGTCGCTGATCAAACCTCTACCGCACGCCTGCACAGCGTTGATCGCAAAATCGACGCCGTAGATTGCAAGGACAGCCAGAATCACCGTAGCAGACTTCTTCGTCTCCGGATCTTGGACGAAGAACGAGACGACCTCCGAAGTCCAACCTAGTATGAAAAGGGACGCGCAGACGATGAGTGTGCCGATCGCCATGAAGGGTCTGCGGCGGCCCCAAGGCGACGTAGACTTGTCCGCCAGTAGGCCTACTATCGGCGCCATGATCAAGCCGGAGAGGGGGCCTGCGAGCCAAACGAGCGAGACCTTGTCTTTCGTGAGGCCGAGACGGAGAAGGTACGGTGTGCAGTAGGTCATTTCGACACCCCATGTGAATCTACACGACCGTCAGCATGTCGACACGAATCGATTTGGAAAGAGAATAGGGCATACTGAATTCCAATCAGACTTATGGTCAACAAGGCCATGCGTGTCGCCTCCGACGAGCCCTTGATCCTGGCCGTCCCACTCCACGATACTTGAGCCATGATGTGCAATTGTGTACAGCGGCGAGCACTCCTGCCTGCCTGTTCTCTGGCTGGTAGTGCAAGTGGAGCGCAAGATGGCTCAATTGAAGGGGGTGAACAAAGGGGTCTAGGGCCAAGAGACTCAAGCAGAGAACGAGAGCCCTTATCAATAAGCGTTGCTCGTGATTTTCACGGTGTCCTCAGCCCACCCCTTGTTGGGCTGAGGCTGCGAACCGATAAGTTAATGGTTGCCATATTAAGCACAGCGGCATGGAGCACTCGCCTTTTGTCTAGCCCCTTCTGCTAGGTCCTTGGCCACGCGGCACTAAAAGTTCGCCGAACAAAAAGAAGTGTGAACATCTCCTGTACCTGCATGAGGCGAAATGCATGGTGTCCAAAATTGGTAGCGCAATCTTGTCTCGAAAGAATAAAAGGTTGATGGTCATCGGAAGAGATAGATTAAGAAGAGTGGCACTGGGCTGACCGTCGATCTTTCGACGCGGATTGTCCACTACCCCTGTTGCACATCATCTGCATGGATGCTCGCGGCTTTTGACTAATCCATTATGGTTGCGAGCGATGGCGAATGCTTCATCACAATGATTGTCAACAGAAACAAGACCGAACATACGCAGCCGCCTGCTTTTTCTTTTTCTTTTTTTTTTTTTTTTTAATTCTCCTCCCAATGTATCAAGTTGATTCGCTAAAACGATACACGACGGTCGTAAGCAACACTTTCAGGCTCTTCCCAAGGCGGACGCAAACAGCCACCCGAAGCATAATCACTAATGCCATTTAACGCCCGCTATAGCGGTATGAAACCCCGTTCTACTAGTCGTACAAACCGCCTCGACACCGGTATCGACGGACCTGCATTGAAAAAAATTATGCATCAGTGATGTTGCCAACGCACGCTAGCCTACATGACAGCGCATTTGTTACCGCCGGCAGGTTCATTCGGGTTCTGACTCTGCTCAATCTCCGCAATAACAGCATCGAATGCCTTTCCCACATTTTCATCGTACCGAGCGCTCGTCTCGACCCAAGCGCACTTGAACTCGGCGGCGAGGTTCTGTCCTGTTTCTTTCGAAACCTGCCTCTGCTCTGGCCGTACGTCGCTTTTGTTCCCTACAATGACCATGGGCACGGTGTCCTGGCCAAGGTGATTGAGGATCTTATCGCGGATGATGCGTACCATCTCGAAGGACTGCTTGCTTGCGACCGAATAGACAATCATGTAGCCGTGGATGCCAATAAAATGCTTGGAGTTTAGGATCGAGTACTCATCCTTGAACAAGTCGTTAAAATCAACGCTGCATTACTTTGTAGGCGGCAAGGTGGGGACACGACTCAAATGACGCCGTGTTTTCGTGAGAGCTCATCACATACCTGACCTGCCGTATCTATGATCTCGGTCGCGAAATCTTGCCCTTTGTACCGAATGACCTTGGAGAAGGTGTTCTCGATAGTCGGGTAGTAGCTCTCGACAAAGTGGCCGTCAACATAGCGCACCGTGAGGGACGACTTGCCTGCCATGGCGAGGAATTCCGTTAGCACCGTCCCGCAAAGAGTGAAGGAGCAGTACGTCAAGAGACGGACGCACCGACTGATCGTGCGCCTACAAGAGCGACCTTTCGTTGTTTTGGGGGACCTGCAGGCATCGTAGAAGGTAAGTTGTTATTTTCGGTTCGAACGGAACAGCCGAGCAGAAAGTTGCTCCTCGTAACGGGCTGAAGGAAAGACTAGAAGAGGAGGAGGAAGAACGAAGAGAGGGGTGGACTGCGGCTCAGCGTTGGCCGATGTGGTGGTGGTGGCTTCAATTGCAGTGACGCAAACCCGTACAAGCCAAATCCTTTGAGCACCGCGGCCAGGGGGGTTTGGGTTACTCTAGCGGAGGGTGGTAGAGCGAGAGCGAGTCGAACGAGGGCGCTGGGTCAGAAAACCATACACGTCTAAGCCAACGATGAGATCAGAGGAAAGCTTCAATCCCGCAAGTGGGACCGTGCTCCCCGCAAACCCATCGCAGCCATGCCCCATCAGTTTCCTGACTTACCCGAGAGTTACTTCGCCAATCATTGCTCTGGCCGTCCAACGTCCGTCTCACTCAATACGCACCAGCCCTGCGCTGGACGAGCGAAGGTCTTGTTTGAAATGAAATAGACGTTCTTCACTCACCGACGTCGTCATCGTCCTGCTTGTCAAGCCTCCATCTGTGCCATCGTCCTGATGACGATCGTGTCTCGTCGCGATGGGACCATCTCTTCCGGTCGTAGTCGCGCAGCTGTCGTTCGACATTTGCTCCGAAGTAGTTGTCGCAGTTGTACGTGAAGTGCTCACACGGCGCGAGGGTGCGTGCCAGTCGTTCCATCTTGTGTCGCTGATTCTGGTGCCTCCTGTTGATGGCCGTGTCACTGCATATATGTAACGGCGCATGCTCCTCGTTCTTCAGGACTGCAAGCCGGCGTCTGTCTTCAGCACTCGTTAACGAGGGCTGCAGTCGGCTAAGTAAATATTCCATCTTGAATCCTTATTGCTCCGGTCGTATATCTCACTGGCCCTGAAATCAGCGCGAAGTGCCAGCGAAATGTAGCCCTTCAGCCTCTTTTCAGCCGCAAGGGAAACGCCGATATTGTCGCCGCAGACATCCCGAAAAGAGATATCCAATTACTACAAACACTCCCAGATTCTCTTGGGCAAGCATGCCATCACTGTTGCCCAGAATCACGTTCGCTTCTTCTCCATGATGTAGGAGGGGCAAAAATTGGACACCCATACACGAAAAGCGTAGCCCTGTCTTTTCTGGTCAATATTTTTCAGCTTACACGGCTTTCATTTAAATGACCCAAAAATTTCAATGACAGCTCAGGCTACTCTTATGTTCAAGAAAGAAAACCATGCGAGCAAATTGCCCCTTCTCCCGCAGGTTGACATGCATTCACTCGTCTTCGTTCACAGACCGAGGCACTTGACCGCAATATTGTCAGCTTGCTAGTCGATATCTTCTCTTAGTCTACATATATGCACATGTACAAATGGTCATTCTTGTTGACAGTGGTAGCAGCATCGAATTAAGCCGCCTCTTAATTAATCCCAATGCCATAGTTAAGCTAGTTCTTGTATGCATATATTCCTTTTGCTGCTCAGGAGTGAACCCTAGGCATTTGGTTTAACCAGGCACTATTTGGTAAACTGATGTATTTTCGACAATGTCGTGTCAGACAAAAGCACTGGAAAACATGTGGTACAAACCTCTGCACTACTTGAGGCTTAAGTACCGTTGACCTTGGCTGAACAAGGAAAGAGGTGGCTCCTGATTCAGAACAGACAATCAGGACGACATTCCTCTATCAAAAAGGCACTCTTGTCGGCGCCCCAGGCATGTTAAGGAGTCGTCAGTTCATTATATTTGCAATACTTTACAGATCTAGTTTGCCCAAGTCGTGTTTCCTGCTTAACCTAGCGATCAAGGTCTTCACATAAAAGAGAATTGGAGTAATAATTGCTAAACGTATTAAGCAGACCCGAAGCTATTGTGGACACACTCTTGTAGCTAGGCGAAAATGTGAATGGACTTGTGTGTTGATGGGACGCTGTGATAAATAACCATCTGCACATAACCTCAACACCCGAAAACCTTTCGCGTGTAGAATCAGAAGTAGTCATCACTGCTTCCTTCTTCAAGTATAATTGAAGGGCTGGTAATCAAACTTCGCCGCGCCCATTTCAGCTGAGAGTCCGGAATTGCTGGCGAGGCAAGAGGCGACATGTGACCGGAAGAGATTCCAGCAGATTTGGGTGACACATAGCCGAGATCATCCACATGGGTGAGTGGTGTGCGCTTGATTTTCTCCTTGCGTTCTTTCCGTCGAGCGCGGTGATCAGCCATTGTCCTCTTCGCTGGCTCCGGCGGAGGTGGCGAGTGGTTGAGTTTGAGAACTGAAATAAACCCTTGATGAACAAACAGTAATATAGAACCAGCAAAAAGACCGATAAGAGCTGCAGTAGACAAGTAGATATAAATCGTCTACAGTACTGTGATGTCAATACACTGGTCTCGAAGTGTCACGGCCCGACATACCTCAACAAGACTACCTGGAAAACATTGAGCGGGGTACAAGACTATAGCCCATATTGCCTGGCAAAAATGGATGAAAGGGAGCAGCAAAAGGTATAGGAAGTACAATATCGGCGTGAAAGGATAGAGTATCCAGCTGAGAAGAAGTTTTAGGATTTGTCCAACGTAGGCCACGATTGTGAGGGCCTTTTCGAAGAATGGATTCATGACTTCCGATGGTCACGCATCCAATATGAGTGAACAACTAAAAATGCTGTTCAAGTTCACATGATAAAAAGAACCCAAGGATCTTTCTATGCCTAAATTCTCAAAGTGATGATGATTCCCGAGCAAAGAGAAGTCGCTATTCCGTCACTCTGTGGTGTGAATAGCGGCACACCAGGCTGTTTCCAGATGCAGCCTAGTGCATTATTCCAAAGCTGCACCTTTGGATGGACGAACGAGAGTTTCAATTAAGCAGTGTCGCAAAAAAAAGAATGCCTAGCGTCCATCATCAGTGTGAAACGGATATTCCACGAGCTACATATGGGCAATCAAGAGTCGAAGCCCTCCTCGTCCCACCAAAGCGGCGTTTCGTCGTCCCAACCGCCGTCACATGCCTCGAATCATGCCACCACAAGCACCCATACCATAGAGAAGGGTAAGAGCGTGCCACGAAGACGACAATCGGTGCAGGCTTCGCTGTCAGGAGCTAAGGCAACGGCGAGTCCGTCGGCGAGTTTGGCTAGTGCAACGGCAACGACCTCCAATTCCAGCAAAGGTTCTGCTGAGGACTATCTAAAACGGGCCGCCCAACCTCAAGCTCAACCCAATAACACGTCCACACTTCAATTTCGACCTATTGACATACCGGAAACCATGGGCACATCATCTTCAAAACCCGTATCGATCGAGAGAACCACACCTCAAACCGCCGACCCCGCGTCCCCGCCTTCGCCACTATCTCGACCTATCGATGTGCCCACCACGCAGAGCCCAGCTCAAAGCCATGCACAAACACCCAGCCCGCCGTTAGAAGATTCGTCTGGCTTTGTGGATGCCTCTTATCAACTTGCTGCACCTCAATTTTCTCGCCCTCCACGATTACCTCTCCCGATCGAAGAAGAAGTACATGTTCCCGGATCTCCTATCATATCGCCCGCAGATATATCAGCGCCAATAGGGCCCATAGAAGGTGAAATAGCACTTCCACGAAGAGCATCTGTCCTAAGCAGTACAACGGTAGATGATGATGATCTGGGTGATGACGTGAATTCTTTGGAACCTTGGAATGGTGCTACTACTGTGCCAACGTTATTGGAATGGCGAGAAGAAGGTGAAAAGGTCTATGTTACGGGCACGTTTGCTGGATGGGACAAAAAATTCAGATTACACCGCAAGTAAGTATCTCGTACGTTTTTTTGCTATTCAAGAGTCTATGCCTAGGACCGTACACCTGCTTTTACCCGCTAGCCATCCCCATTTGATGAAGCCAACATGGTCGATGAATCCTTCGTGCGATGTTTAGGCAGCTTGCTCTTGAATTTATCAAGCATCATCAATGGCTGACGTTGCCGCAGCGGTCCAAGCAAGCATCCCGGGGCGCTCTCCGCTATGATAAATCTTGTTCCAGGCACCCACCATGTACGCTTCATCGTCGACAACGAAATGAAGTTGTCGAAGTTTCTCCCAACTGCCGTCGACTTCACCAACTTCCTCATCAACTACATCGAGGTAGTCCCACCTCAGCCCGCTGAATCAAAACCCGACTCGGATGCTCTCCAACAATCTGCAGCGGCAGCTGTTCCTCCACAAGTGCAATCTACACAAGTCTCGGACGAGCCCAGTGTCCATACACCTCAGGCTCCACCCGTAGTCGCCGCGCCCGCGCCTTCCACTTTAGCACCAAGGCCGGATGCTACGCCTAAAGCTATCCCAAGAGACCCCAGGGAACGGACCTCATCAGAAACACTAGCATCCCAAGTTGATAAGCCGAAGATGGCGCCAATTGCCGTGGGTCCTCCTAAAAAGTACCACACACAGATACCACAGTTTCTGCTCGACATAGAGGCAGAAGACGACCAAGCTTTGTACGCTAGGGCGTCTGCTCTGATATCCACGCTTCCAGAGCCGCCAAGCCTGCCCATGTTCCTTGGAAAGAGTGTTTTAAATGGAGCTACCCCTATGAAAGATGATGCCAGTGTTCTCGTGATGCCCAATCATACCGTGCTAAACCATCTTGCTACAAGCAGTATTAAGAACAAAGTACTTGCAACCAGTGCTACCACGCGATATAAGAAGAAGGTGAGCCGTTGTTCAGTTAAGCGCTGACCAAGTAAATACTGACAAACCAGTTCCTCACGACAATAATGTATAAACCAACTACACAGGCCATAGACTGAACGGACGGACAACAGACAGGAAAAGTGATTTTCGAATCGTCGCTCGGACAACGGCACCTTGCAATTTGTTGTGTACTTGAGGTGTGCGAAGAGAAGTTCATCATCTTTTCGGTACGCGAATTAGGAGGGGCTACCACCCCCAAGCGCAATATAGACACCACAAATATGAGAATAATCTTTATTTCATGGTGCACGCTGAAGGCAACTGGCGTGGGTGAAGCGCATCAAATCCTTGTAAGCTGTGGTTTCAAGACTTGAAGGCAATTGGGTTCAAGGGACTACATTAGATCATATCTGCGAGGGTGTAATCAAGCAGCTGATGAGATGGGTTACTCCACATCCTCGTAAGAGTGAATTAGATAGAACTCGATGCAATGAAGTGATGTCCAGAATGATATCAACTGGTCAATGTGCGGAGCTACAGAACTACCTGTTTGAAACGACTTTAACTGGGAACTTTATGTGCCAGTCAAACAATTCATCCCAAACAAACGTTCTTCCGCAGTTCTGTCTAACACAATCTTGGTCTCTTCAATGCTATTCAATCTAATTGGCCCATGAAATTCCTTTCGGGTTCATAAGATCTATTATTGAACCGAAATACAGACCCACCAGTTCGCAAACGGAGACTTAACTTAATCACCGAGGAGCTTAGTCAGCAAAGGGTCTGATGATCTCATGCAGGCATCTAGCTGTGCTTAGAAAGATTTCCCCAAAGCTTCGGTCTCAGATCCCTAAAGCTCCGATCGACTGACGTGCAGTTCACCCAGCAAGCTACTACAAGTAACGCACGATCAATTGCAACTTGCGTGAAGCTTTCTGATTGTTCAAGCCAGATGCACGCCGATTTGCAGCAAGTGCCCCTCTTAAGCAGCACCGTCAACACGACCCATATTAACGCCGTTGACACTTTCACGCCCGACGTCTCGAGCTCGTATCTTGTCGCTTCCAGACGGAACGGACAGCCACTATGTAACAACCCGGAAGGATGGGGCCCCCTGAGCCCGATACGATGGGACTTTACGCCATGCTTCTTGGATGTCACGGTGTTGGCCGTTGCGGTATTTGGGCTGTTGGGAGGACTTGGGGCCATATGGTATTTGAAAAAGCAGACCAGCCAGCGCGTCGCAAAGAACTGGCATTTCTGGGCTAAGTTGGTAGGTCCGATTCTGTTGAGCTTCTTAGACTAGATGGGTTTGCCACACGAGTTCTCGTCACAAGAACTTGCATGAGGTCTTCAAAGCCACGACAGAAACTTCAAGGACGCGAGAGCTGACATCTCTATCACTTAGATTGTTCTCGCGGGAGTAATCGTCGACTATGCTCTGCAAGCCGTTTTTCAGCTTCAGTTCTATAAAGATGTTTGGATTGGAGACTTTAGATTCTGGACAACGATCATCACCGTTTTCTCACTCTGCGTCATCTTCTACATTCAATATATTGAACACTGGCGATCTCGCAATCCAAATGGCGTTGTTCTCTTCTATTGGTTGCTTCTGCTCATAGCATCCTCGGTGAAGCTGCGGTCTTTGATGGCACAAGAGATTCAGAAAGAGCACGTTGCCTACTTTGCTGTATACTGCGTGGGAGTTGGACTTGCCGCACTCGAATTTGGTCTTGAATGGCTAGTACCAAAGAAGTTAAGCGATTACGATGCACTCGGCGACGAATTCGAATGCCCATATAACTACGCAAATGTTTTCAGCGTTTTAACCTTCAGCTGGATGACGCCTATGATGAAGTATGGATATAGCCACTTCTTGACTCAGGACGATCTATGGAATCTCCGTCAGAGGGATACTACAAAAACAACGTCGGAAGCATTTGATGCCGTATGGCGGGAACAGTTGAAGAAAAACCGACCAAATTTGTGGACAGCGATGATCAAGGCATACGGAGCACCTTACTTCCGAGGAGCAATCTTTAAAGTTGGTTCGGATGTACTGCAGTTTATTCAACCTCAGCTGTTACGTCTCCTGATTTCTTGGGTCGATTCTCAAAAGAAACCGAACCCGCAGCCAATCGTCCGTGGCGTTGCCATTGCATTAGGCATGTTTGTTGTGTCATTCTCACAGACCGCGTTCCTTCATCAGTACTTTCAGCGTGCTTTCGAAACGGGTATGAGGATCAAATCTGGTTTAACCGCAATGATCTATTCAAAGGCGCTGAAACTCTCAAACGAAGGACGCGCGACCAAATCCACTGGAGATATTGTGAACTACATGGCTGTCGATGTGCAACGGTTGCAAGATCTCACTCAGTTCGGTCAGCAGTTATGGAGCTCACCTTTCCAAATCTTTCTTGCGTTCGCCTCTCTGTATCAACTCGTGGGCCTCAGCTTTTTGGCCGGCGTTGGGGTGATGGTACTTATGATTCCCATCAATGGCATCATAGCGCGGCTCATGAAAAGGCTGCAAAAGATACAGATGGGTAACAAAGACAAAAGGACGAGACTGATGACGGAGATATTGATCAACATGAAGTCCATCAAGCTCTATGCGTGGACAACGGCGTTTATGAACAAGTTGAACTACGTACGAAACGACCTGGAGCTTTCAACACTGAGGAAAATCGGCGCAACACAGGCGTTTGCTAACTTCACCTGGTCAACTACACCATTCTTAGTTTCCTGTTCGACTTTTGCGGTCTTTGTGCTCACTCAGAAACAGCCTTTGACCACGGACATTGTATTCCCTGCTTTAACTCTATTTAATCTGCTCACATTCCCTCTTTCGATGCTTCCAATGGTCATTACCTCGGTTATTGAAGCTTCTGTTGCTGTTTCACGAATATCCTCCTACCTTACTGCGGACGAACTGCAACCTGATGCCATCACTCAAGAGGAAACAGTAGAAGAAGTCGGAGAGGAATCTGTTTGCGTACGTGATGCAACCTTCACTTGGAACAGGAGCGAAGGCCGGACTGTTCTTGAAGACGTCAATTTTAGCGCACAGAAAGGTGACCTTAGTTGCATCGTCGGTCGAGTGGGCGCCGGCAAATCCAGTCTTCTGCAGGCCTTGCTAGGCGACTTGTACAAGATAAAGGGCGAGGTTATAATCAGAGGCAGATGTGCTTATGTTGCGCAGAGTCCATGGGTCATGAACGCTTCAGTTCGCGAGAATATTGTTTTTGGGCACCGCTGGGATCCACATTTTTACAACAAGACTATTAAGGCTTGTGCCCTTGTGGACGATTTCGCAACTCTTCCGGACGGTGATCAGACTGAGGTTGGGGAGCGAGGTATCTCGTTGTCTGGTGGCCAAAAGGCCCGTTTGACTCTTGCCCGTGCTGTCTATGCGCGAGCTGACATTGTAAGTCACACTTGCGAATAGTTGGGTTACGCATGTACATGTGCAGTATGACTTGCACTCGTCCCTGCAATGTCACATTTTCCCATCCACTACAAGATGAATGATGCAGCTAATGGGATTCAGTATCTGCTCGATGATGTTCTGTCTGCCGTTGACTCTCATGTTGGACGTCATTTGATAGACAATGTCCTCGGACCTAAGGGACTGCTCGCTTCTAAGACAAGAATCTTAGCTACTAACTCAATTCCTGTTCTCATGGAAGCAAATTTTGTCCTTCTCCTTCGCGACGGACGTATCACAGAACGTGGTACTTACCAGCAGCTTATGGCTATGAAGGGCGAGATTGCACAACTCATCCGAACTGCAAACAACGAAAGTGAGGATATGCAGTCTCCCGACCGCCCGGAGAGTCTTGCAAGCGACGAGACAGTGTACGACGAGGAGCGCGATTCTGACGAAGGGGATGAAGCGGAAGTTGAGGCCGTACAGGGAGGTATGGCACAACTTGCGCCTTTGCGCTCTGCTCGCGGTACGGCGCGTAGATCCAGCGGTGTTACGTTGCGCAGAGCGAGTACCGCCAGCTTCAGAGGTCCACGTGGCAAGAACCTGGATGAAGAATCCAACGGAGCCCTTAAAACAAGGCAGACAACCGAGAAATCTGAGCAAGGCAAAGTCAAGTGGAGTGTGTATCTCGAGTACGCAAAGACGAGCAATGTTGTCGCGGTAGCCATCTACCTGTTTACATTGATAGGCGCGCAGACGACTTCGATAGGTGAGCCCACTTATTGTTGCACCTGATCAACAGAGACCAAGTCGAGACGTCTTTGTGGCGCCAATACGTCTTGCTAAAAACTGACTGTTTCCAGGTGGGAATGTTTGGCTTAAAAAATGGGCTGAAGCGAACGCTGATTCCGGATCTAATGCACATATCGGGAGATATCTCGGAATCTACTTTGCCTTTGGTGTCGGCTCATCGGCCTTGGTTGTTGTTCAGACACTAATCCTGTGGATTTTCTGCTCGATCGAGGTGAGTTTGGAATTTGCATTGATGTTGCAGTAGCCAGCCAAACTACGTCCGCACCGGGCCGCAAGGGGATGCCAGTAGTGACACTAATTGTCTTGCCGGCATCCCCCCGTCCTGCGCTAAAGGATGCTAGCACTAATTTAGGGCCGGATCTGGTTACGTGCGCAACACTAAATGCGGATCGATTCACTAACGTCACATCCCATAATTAGGCGAGCAGGAAATTGCACGGTGAGTGATCCTCTTGGCCTGCTACTTTTGGTTGTGCACTATTGACTCGACATCCAGAGCGAATGGCATTTGTAAGTGGGCATGTGATTCTACTCGGAGTTTCTTCCATCGTCCACCTCCTGGCAGCGCCACTATGTGGAGATGGAGAAGCAGACCGAAGCTACCGTCTCGCTTTGAGCTCCCGAGGCTGACAGGCGACTCAAAGGCCATTTTCCGCTCTCCAATGAGCTTTTTCGAGACCACGTACGGAGATCTTTAGAGACCTGATCGAGCCTATGCTAATGCGATGCTCAGACCAGCGGGCCGGATCTTGAATCGCTTCTCCAGGTAAGAGTCCACACCACCTTTCTGGTTACCAAGAATGCGGGTAGGGCGATTCGTCCTGCGTATCGCGTTAAGCAAAAATCACCCTCCTTCAAGCCGGCCAATCATCATGAATCTTATGCTGACCCTCTCGTAGTGACATTTGTAGGTGCGCGATCTGGTTATTAAGATTATTACTAACAGCTTCTAATTCCAAAGACCGTGTTGACGAAGTCTTAGCGTAATGTCACCCAACCTGCTCGCTAGGCCGCTTCATTGCTAACTATCGCCGCAGCCGCACGTTCAACATGCTTTTTGTAAACACGGCAAGAGGTATGGCTGCTTTCGGCAAAGAAATCTCCGGTTGACTGATTTGGGGAATAGCAATCTTCACTTTAGTCGTCATCTCCACGTCGACGCCAGTATTCATTGCTTTGATCTTGCCGCTTACAGGTTTGTATCTGTACATCCAGCGGTATTACCTCCGAACCAGTAGGGAGCTAAAGAGACTGGATTCTGTTAGCCGCAGTCCCATTTATGCACATTTTTCGGAGTCTTTGAGTGGGCTAAGTACAATCCGAGCTTACCGCCAGCAGAAACGCTTTTCCTTGGAGAATGAATGGCGCGTCGACGCAAACCTTAGAGCATATTTCCCTAGCATCAATGCTAATCGCTGGCTTGCCGTGAGACTCGAGTTTATTGGTTCGGTGATCATCTTTGCAGCTGCAGGTTTTGCTATCATCGCAGTATCTGCGGGTAACGGTCCGTCGGCGGGGTTGCTTGGATTGGCAATGTCATATGCATTGCAGATTACGCAGTCTTTGAATTGGATTGTTCGGCAGACAGTAGAAGTTGGTAAGTGCGCGGCCAAGTTTTTCCGTACCCAGCTATCACCAATCTACCCTTTCTGTGCTTCCGAAGTTTTTCGCGACAATCCATTGTTGAAGAAGTCGAATGTAGACAATGGCGCGATTCAGAGTGTGCTAGTCATTGGGAGTCTCTATAGCATATTTTATTAACGCCCAGAGCAGAGACAAACATAGTATCTGTGGAGCGGGTGCTGGAATACGCTGCTTTACCAAGTGAGGCGCCGGAAATCATCGCCAAGAAGAGACCACCAACTAGTTGGCCCTCTCAAGGTGCAGTATCATTTGAAAATTTTTCAGCGCGCTATCGACCTGGCCTGGACTTGGTTCTGAAGAACGTGAATCTGTCAATTAAACCCCACGAAAAGATAGGGGTAGTAGGTCGTACAGGTGCCGGTAAAAGCAGCTTGACCCTTTCGCTCTTCCGCATTATCGAAGCTGCTGAAGGCCACATCAGCATCGATGGACTTAACACGAGTACAATTGGTCTCATGGACCTCCGCAGACGCCTGGCAATCATTCCACAAGATGCTGCCTTGTTTGAAGGTTAGTCGATCAGGCTCATGAGGCCCTCGCACTTTGCGGCGACGTGACTGCTCTCCGTCTCTCACAGCTTGACTCTTCGTGCTTAGAATTCTCCTAACGTTCGCTGCAGGAACATTAAGGGACAACTTGGACCCTGCACATACACGGGATGATACAGAGTTGTGGAGCGCTCTTGGTAGGTTCTTCCAGTCGTTCCCACCACCCTCTTCTATGCTGTAACTGACGTGCCCATGCAACAGAACATGCCAGACTCCGTGACTATGTGGCTGCAATGCCCGGTAAGCTTGACATGCAAATCAACGAGGCCGGTAAGTCCGGATTCATATCCGACCCCCAATTTTCAATCATGAAACAGGAAGCCACTCCGCCTCCCTAAACTTATCCATCAATGATCTGATCGTAGCTACTCTGTCCATAATTCTGCGTCTGTTCGCAGGCGGCGATCGTGTGGCGGAGTGGTCATCGGGCAATATTTTCAAACGCTAATGCGGGGGTTAGGCTCAAATCTCAGCTCTGGACAGCGGCAACTTGTCTCCCTAGCTCGCGCACTGCTTTGCCCAACAAACATCATGGTCCTTGACGAAGCCACGGTAAGTGTCAAGGGACGTAGCGAATCAGTTGTCTACGATTTCAGCAGATCTAATTCGTTGGATTTGCGATCTATGACCCCTGTGCTGATCCGATCTGAAACAGGCCGCTGTGGATGTAGAGACAGATGCTGCAATTCAGGCAACCCTACGCAGTTCAATATTCAAGGACCGTACGATTATAACAATTGCACATCGTCTTAACACCATCTTGGATTCGGACAAGGTGGCAGTGCTCGATCGTGGCCAGATTAAGGAATTCGATACTCCTGCCGCACTGATTCGTCGTAAAGGTCTCTTCTATGATTTGGTGAAGGAGGCAAATCTTCTGGGATCGGTAGATATGTGAGATTTTGCGGGGAATGCATGCGAGTTAACCATGGGGGGAAGGGCGAAAGTCCCAGGTACTAGGTCGAAGGGCCCATAGGACAGGATCGCAGTCACACTCAGCCTCAGTCATTTGTGCTTGCACAGTAGAGGAAAGCTCGAAGTCCTTTTCATGGCCGGTACATACCGCGCCGCTACGACTAAACCTTGTCGACGACAATGTATCAGAGGGCAATAAGAATTCTTGACTACGTTCATTTCTGTGGGCAGAGACCAGTTCTTATTGGGTAGTGTGGGTATGTTTTCTTTTGCGCCTCGTGCATATCGCCTCCCACACACGGGGCCTCTGTATTCTTTTCGTGCACACCAAGGGGTAGAAAGCTCGCCGATCAGCCCGCGCAGCGGGCACCGACCGACAAGGGCAGTTCCCGCGGTGGCTTCACAGTGACGTACTCCGTACCGTGTGACAAATTCGCTAGGGCCCGCGTCGGGGCGAGAGGTCTTCCGGGTGCACTCGTATCCTGGGAAAGGCGGCTGTGTGGCATATGGATGTCATGGGGGAAAACGCAAGACATGCCGCCAAAGCTGTGCTACAAACGACTCTGCGGCGGCCGTCAGGCTAGACCGTGGACCCATTTTGCGGCGTCTGCGGCACGCCGAAATGAAAAGGACATGATGATTACCGTCGCCGGGCCAAGGTCAAACGAAGGAGAAGAACAGGTAGAAGTGGTTGACCGAAGTCGTCTACAGCTCCTCTGCGCTGGCCTGGACTGCTGTTTGATCTTTGTCTCAGGTGGAGGCTCACGGTGAGCGCGCGAGAAGAGCAGCAAACTTACGCCTGCGGATATCGATCTTGACAGGAGATTTAGCGGCCCTGTTAGCGGTGATCTGGGTTTTAGGGGCATCTCAATCATGCCAGGCCCGATGGGCCGGTCCAGTCATGGCGAGCCCGGCAACCAGGTCGCAACCGGCCCTTGTGATCGCGCCCTGTCTGGAGAGGGTGCGAGATAGATCACGGCGGAACCTGGCAGACGGCTGAGAATACTTGTTGGGGTTCCCAGGTCACGGCGCACGATGGCTTGCATTGTCGGAACTGATTGCGAAGGGTGGCGCGCCCCGGATTGAGGGCAAGACATCCGGTTGACCAACGTTTGCTGTCAAGGCGGGTGATTGGCCGCGGGGCGCAGCACAGAACGGATCGTAGATGGGGTTGAGGTGGGCGACGCAGGAAGCTCGATCATTCTGGGCCGGTGCAGACGGCGCTCGAGGACGCAGGCAGAGCAGCAAGCAGCCGCGCCCGCCCGAGACAGAGCCCGAGATGGGAGCGGGAGAGCAGGCAGAGGCGAGCTCTGCGGCCGGGCTCGACGGCGAGGGGGCAGTCGAAGGCGAGCAGGCACGGCGCCGGCTGATCCTGCGCTTGGTGCGTGTAGCAGAGGGGCGGTTGGGCGAATCCTCGTCGCCGCCGTCCGTCCTATCACAGCCCGCGCGGCCAGCCGAGCACGGTGGCACCGCCGTCGTGGCCGGCCTTCCCTACAAGCGCCATCGCTTCGCCCAAATCGGTCCAATCCAGATGCGATCGGCGACGGGGCCAACGGCCATGCTCGCCAAGCAGCATGCAAGTGCTTCTGAAGCCATCTCCGCCGCGGGAGTCCTTGTCTCCAGATCTGTCCATTCTTTCGCGGTTGACAGCGCCGGACAGGTGTGGATAGTGCATACGACTTGGCCTCCAGCCCTGGAGGCTAAGCCTGTCGTCGAGTACGTACAGAGGCCGTTATGCGCGTGCGCAAACACTGCGAGAACCTGTGCTGGCGAGCACCCAGCTCACTCGCGACTCCGACACACAGATGGCGTTGGGACAGGACTAGACGGGGGCATATAACCATGCAGCCCAAGAACCATCTGCACTCCGCTTCAGATGCTCTTTGATCCGTCCAACCGCCTCGAACTCTGAACTTGACCTTGACCACCACCGGCCCACTCCTAGCCCCAGCAGGTTTCTGGAGGGAGAAAAAGAAAGACCATCGAAAAAGAAAAGCGCCGAAAAGCAGCTTCACGCTCTTTGCGGGCCCTCACCACCGGCGGCCACACGTCCATTCCGTTCAAATTGCACAATCCTTCAGTTGGCGAACCTTGGTCAGCTCCAGCATAGTCCAGACCAGGCCCTCCCAGCACCGCTACTATTTTTTTTTTATCACACCCCTCCCGCGCTCGCGCTCATTCGCAATTAATATCGTCGTCGACGCGTTGCTGAACGCTCTGATACCGTGTGCTCTCGATTGAGTCCACGTCTTGCGTAACCCGGATCGCGAGCAGCCTGCGGTGCAACCCAGATCAGCCTGGCCCTTATTTGATTCGCAACAATTCTCGTCCCGCTCGTTAACTCAACCTGCTCCCGGAAAGCTGTGCCTCAACTTCTTCTTCGGACGGCTTGTTCCACCTTTGCATCCCGGGAAGGTTCGTGGTGAGTCTGCGATTGGTTGGCCCCGGATGCCTTGCTTTCACAACTCATACCGGAATATGTTCGAGCATTGTCCTCCCACCTTCCCACCGCCTCCCTCAACGTCCTTCTTGCTTCTGTAATGCTGACGTCTACGCCACAGATACAAAGCTGACCCGTCAACTCGAAAGAGAAGAACGCTCCAAAGAGCATTGCCCAGACACCTTGGCTGGTTTCCGCGCCATATACCTTTCCCGCCATGGCTATTGGCGACGTTCAGGACGATGGTCGTCCATTTGGCGATGTGAAACAAAACTTGCCACTACTACAGCTTCCTAGATCAAGTGGTTATTTTGGGAATGGCCACTTGCCACTTGCACCAGCCGACACGCGAGATCAGTACCTTGACGCGAGAGCGGATCCACGCAATCATCCATACCAAACAGTACGTAAATTCCGTCTGTTAACTGTCTGCTGTACACTGCAACTAAGCTTCACCGTCCAACCCTCTCGTCCGACTGCTTCGCAAAAACGCTGTACTGACTTCGTCTCGATTATAGAATCTGTCGACTCCAATCGACGGTGTACCTACACCGTTCACTGGGCTCGCCTTTAACGAAACTCAAGATGGGATTCGGCCTTCGGCACGGCGATTGTCCTCGCAGCACAGCGTCACTTTTACTGTACATGGTCTCGATGATCCCACTAGTGCCGAACTCCAGTTGCAACACGGCAATGTGCCCACGTCAGAGCAACAACGATCAAGACTGGAGCGTTTCATTCGAAAGCTCTATTCCGAACCCGCTGGGCCAGACAGTACGATGTCTTCAAGTAGTGGTTCGTCCACTGGCTGACAGAATTTCGCAGGCAAATTTAGCACTCCGATCAGGCACAGAACAACGTCTGCGGATGGTAGTCGCCGTGGTAGCTGGACGCCGGACTACAGAGGTTCAAACTATCGCTTCATTTCTCAGGGGGGCAAAAGACCGGCAGATCGCCAGGCCTCGCGTACATGCACGCCGGATGACGAAGATGACGACGGCGAGTACTTGCCCATGGACTACGTGCCGATGCAGCAGATACGACTCGGTGATGAAAACGCTATTCTTGCGTATTACGACGCCATACTTCGTGGCATCCAACAGTTGGCCCTTAAGCAAGTCCTCAAGGAGTGGATCAAGACCATCGAGCCCAAGAAACAAAAAAATTGCCCCTACAAGAAGGGTATCAGACCGAAGTGGTGGCCGGAACAAGCTGCGTACAAAGAGCCAGATCATATCAAGGTTGAAGATCGTATCCATCTGGCTATCGGCATCATTAGACACGCGCAAGACCCTAAGGAACTGAACGGCGAAGGTCTAGCTCAGCTCGAACGTGTAGCCAGTCGGCAGGATCTCATCTTCGATCAAGAACCCCCGGAAAAGCAAGCTTTCCGCAAGCGGCTGTTGGATAATCTCTTTACTCTGGCAAGACATGAGCAGCAGGTCAAAAATGATGAGCGAGGTAAGCGAACTGTTGAAGCTTGTCTAAACTCATGACGCTGACCATGCCAGACATTACTGAAGTCGTATCGTTGCCTATGGTCAAGAAGTTTGAAAGGCCAAACAAGAAACGGAAGAAGACTTCCGACAAGAGTAAAGGTGCCGACACAGACTCAACCATTGTGAACGGCGACGATGATGGCAAGACACCCAACGGCTTGCTCAAGCCAATAACTCTTGGGTCAAATGGTGAAAGAGATTCTACCACTCCCAACACGCCTTCGTGGAGGCAGCATTCTACTCAAGACAGCGGCATCAGCTTCCCGCGGCCAAATGATCAAGGACATGATCAGCACATCATGTCGTACTCACAGCAGTATGATAGCACAGGGCAGATGGACAGTCGTTATTCATCTTTTGATGGAAGTCCGATGGACGGCTCCGACTCGTCACCAATATCGGGATACCCCTCCGGTACATCCACAGGAGGCGGGCATATGATGTACTCCACCTCGGCGCAATCAGTCTCCATGGGATACGAAGCTCCCATCCATAGCCTGTCAACGATGCAAAATCATGACGGTGCCATGATGTCTGGAATGATGGTACCGAGTCACGGACGCCCCCAGCTGACGACGGTCTACAATGCAGTTACCGAAAGTGACGATCGTAGCTGGCAAGCTACCCCAGCGTCATATATGCCGCAAGCACAACCGTTCGCCACGCCCAGTTTCTACGCATGACTCTGATGTCTTATCTCACCGCTAAACACGGCACGAGCTCCATGATGAAATATGTACAGTCCAGCACTTCTAGTGCGCATTTCACGAATTCTTTTTGGCACCATCTTAATCTGTAATACTACCCCGCATGCTTAGCTTTGGTACGAACCACTGTTGATCGTCACGGGTTGGCCTTCACAATCAGGACCTAAGTGTCCATACATTCTGTTTTTTTTTTTTTCGAGGCTTTGAGGCCTGAACCGGGCCATCTCATTGCCTGTATTCAAAAAAAAAAAAAAAAAGAAAAAACAGACTCGGGCGGCAACGTCACCAAATGTTCACTATTCTTAACCCTAAGGGCTCCTTGCGTTATTTGCTTTGAGATACCACCCCGCCCCTTCGGGACATATACCAGTCGGAGCAAGAACTATTTCTGATCTGCATTTGATGGGCCACATTAAGGACTTTTTTTTCTGTCAAGAAATGAAAAACGTATCTGTGGAAGAGGGAAGGAGATACGGTACATCGATGGAACGAGAGGGATTGTATCTGGGAGAAACAGCATCTTAACTTACGACACTTTCGGTCTTTCGTCTACATCAACATCGCAATAGTAAAGTAATTATTGGCACTGGCACGAGGCGTTGTGCCTTGTCTCGTTTGAGACCTTCAGCCAAGGTGAACAATACAAACAATTCAACTGTTGGCGTCACGAATCCAATGCCTTCTCCTGCAAGTCTTTATTAAGCGTCTCGTTTGACATATAGTAAGAATTTTTCTTCAATACCTTGAATACCGCCGCAAACAGCAATGGTGAATTGACGAACAAGATTTTGCGTGACGAGGATCTTGCACGTGCTCTCATTGCCAGCCTAGGAGCCTCAGGCAACCGAGATCCATCCATGTCGCGTTCTGTGTATGGATCTCGGAGACATTGAAACTTTCAATCCACAACACAAAGTACAGGTGATTTCCTTGTTTCCCATATCTCCCCGGCCATCCGCTAGGTTCTTTTTCGACAACGAATTCTGCCCAAATTCTTTCTCGCAGATATCGCTGCCGGGCAGCAGGAGCGCAACTTTTCAATGATTCGAGTCCGTCGATAACGACACGCCGGATCGCATTGTTGCGAGATCAATGTCGGCACCAGCAAGAGGTGCTCGTGGTGCGCGAGGGACCCGTGCTAGAGGTGGCTCTCGAGCGGGCACGAACAGCTCACGCTCGAAGGCTTCGGATGGCAATGACAGCGATGCCGGGTCGACGGCACGTAAAATCGTGCCTCGAGGTCGCGGACGAGGCGCCACCGTACAAAGTACGAGCAGAGGCATAGCGCAAGCCCTTCAGCAGGTCGCTAAGCAGCAGAATGCCTCCAGAGGCTCAAAGACTACAGGACGTGGATCTAAAGCGGGCGCTTCTCACTTAGAGCGGAACGCAGCCGATCTGGGAAGCAAGAGCAACAGCAATGAGACGCCTGATCAGCGATTTCAGCGTCTAAAAGCGCAAAGAGAGGTTGAGCGAACACAAGCGCAGAACAAAGGTCTGATATCTGGCGACAAAGCTGTTGATCTGAAAAATGCAGTTACTATTGTCGGGACTTGCCAGGAAATGTGCTCGGAGTTTGAAAGGGCACGGAGGATACTGCAAAAGGATGTCGCGGGTCCAGAACGAGTACGCATGGATTATCCTTATCGTAGGCTGCGGCCAGCAATTACGCAACTGACTTGAGCCTAGATTACTATCGAAAAGGACAACGGAGAGATTGAGCGTGTGGTAGATGAGAGTAAAATGGTCAAGAAGTTTCAGAGATCGGCTGCCGGTATTGACGAGCAACTCCCTTCTGATTTACGGCCGCCCGAGGTTCTACTCAAGACCACCAACTATTTGTTCAACGACATTTTATCGGATGAAGATTCGTTACAGAAAGCCAATATGTTCATCTGGGACCGTACGCGGGCTATACGCAACGATTTCTCGATACAACAGGTCAAGAGATTGGCAGACGTGCGGATAGCAATCGAATGCTATGAAAAGATCGCCAGATACCACATTCTATCGCTACACCAAATTGGCGGAAGAGGGCCGGAGTACGCTGGACCCGACTACAACTGGCAACAAGATCGAGAACAGCTTGATAAGACACTGTTGTCTTTGCTCACATACTACGACCACGTGAAGCTGCGGTATAGATCACCCAACGAGGTGGAATTCAGATCGTATTGGATTGTCTTCCAAATCGGCAATGTCACCGATTCAGTAGAAGAGAAGGTGCAGTCGTGGTCCCATGACGTATTGAAGCATCCGCGTATTCAACGAGCACTGGACATATACGCGGCATCTAGCGATGTTATCAGTCCGAAGGGCCCTTTGCGACCATTCGCATATCTTGCAGTCGCACAACAGAATTGGCAAAAATTCTGGAATCTCGTTGGATCGAAGCAAACTTCATATCTCATGTCCTGTGTTGCCGAGATTGGCTTCAACGTGGTCCGCAGAGCGGTTCTGACCACAATTTCCATGACATACAACCCTGGGGGGAAGAAAGAAGTGCAAGACTGGACATTAGAAAAGATGACGGAAGTGCTTGGCTTTGACGACGAATACGTGACAAGGGATTTTATTGAGCAGTCAAATCTCATGATTGGGGAAACGAACGACGGGACTGACTATCTTAAACTCACTATCCGACAGCTTGATGGTCTACCCGAGCCCTCGGCTGAGCTGCCAAAGCAACTACACTCTTGGCATTTGGTGGAACGCAAAAGATTCGGACGCTCATGGCCAGCGGTGATTGCTGGCTTGTCTTTTAAAGAAGCTAAAGAGAACGGGATGTTGGTGCCGGATTGGAATGAAGAGGCCATGGCTCATTATGGTCAAGATCATGAACTTTTTGTCGACGGTTCTGATGCGGAGCAAACCATTACTCCGAAGGAATCTGCGCAAATTAACCCGTTCGCCTCGGTCTTTGCGCCGACTCGAGCAGCAGAAGAGAGGAAGCCAGGCGCATCAAATTCGTTTGGTCAACCTTCCGCTTTTAACCAGCCCTTGACGAGCGTGGAGCAGACGACGACGACGCCATCTTCCTTTGGACTTCCGTCGTCGACACAGCAATCATCTGCTCCAACAGCACAAACATCCATCAGTACATTTGGCCCATTACCTAAGGCATTCAACTTCACTTCTTCACAAGCGTCATCCCAGGCATTCGTGAACCCATTTCCGACGAGTAAAGCCTCACAAGTGACAACAGAAGCACCGACCACGAACCCACCAAATCCGTTCAACAACTTTGCTTCGAAAACAACGACGGAGAGCTCGAAAGATTTGTCAAATCCTTTCGCGAACGCTTCAACTTCAACTACCACCACGAGCAAACAGGAGGCATCGAACCCTTTCTCAGCTTTTGTCGCACCGAAGACTACTTCTGTGCCTTTAGTTCAGATTACACCTCCAGAGACAAAGGATGACAAAGCGAGTGCTGGGGCATCGAAAAAGGTGACGTTTGACCTTCCATCATCTCCTCCTGGTAGACTGGCATTTGGTACAACGTCTGCTCCTGCTTCATTGGCCACACCATTTTCCTTCGCCAGCAACTCTACAACCGGACCATCTCAGAAAGAGAGAGGGGGTATCTTGAAACTTAGCGCCGCGGCGATAACACCGACAAAAGTTGGCGGAAACGATTTAGATGCCAATTCTGCGCAATCTGTCCAGCCAACTGCTACCACTTCGACGCCTCCCGCGACAAGTGCCTCCAAAGTTCAGGCTCCACCACTTAACCCTTCTACGCAATCGCTTTTATCGACGTTCGAGGCTTCTAAACCAAGTTCCTCTTCAGATTCAGGTCCAATTAACGTTCCAAGCGCGCCACAGACTGTGAAGACGTCATATTTACCGGACCCACCAAAAGCTTCTGCACTTTGTTCAACTCCAGCATTGTTGTCAAACATTGCTACCGAAGCCAGGCTATGGGAAGAGACCCGGAAGACAAAAGCTATGGACTATTTAGCTGAACAGCTTGTCTGTGATCCTGATCCATTCCGGGGGTATTTCAAACAGTACGTTGCAAAGATTGCAGAGCCTCTCATCAAGGAAATCATTGAGCAAGAAGAGGCTCGAACCAATCTCAAATTAGCAACCAAGTTCAGGAGGAAAAGGCTCCAAATCCGATACGGTTACTTGTGGAAGCGGAATGCAGCTATGTTAAAAAGCAGGAGAAAACGACTAGAAATGAAGCAGAGAAATGCGGAGGCTAGATTGAAGAGGTCGTCATTTCCTTGCGCTCCAGGGAATGGAGTAACGAGCGTCAAAGTAAGCTTGGACGAAGAGTTTGCAGCTTTCAAGGCAAGGGAACAAAACAAACGTATCCAGAAGGAAGAGGCCACGGAAAATGAGCAAGAACGTCTGCGACACAGCTCGAGGGAGGAGAACTCTCAGTACACAGTCCAAAAATCAGGCACTAATAGCTTCGACCATATTGGCCAACGTCATGTTGAGCCTAATCCTTTGCCACTATCATCGACTCAACTTACAGTTGAAGTTGGTGCATTGCGTGGACATCAAAGGTCGCAAACACAACCACACGCGGAAGTTCACTATAGCAATCTAAGCGGTCTCTCGAATTCACCGAAGGAAGCTAGCCCTCCGTTAAGCATTTCGTCGGACCGATCATCGCGTATGCGAGCTTCGTTGATTAATGGTGGCTCTATGGTTGATACGGGCTTTGGGTTAGGTATGAAAGCCAGTAGCATGCAATCCCCATATTTTCGTCTTAAGGCTGCTGGATTCGGACCGACTTGGAAAAGCAGCACGGCCCCAAGTGTCACGGGCATGAAGCGGCCACGATTGAGCGGCGACGATATTTTGGCTAATGGTTCCACGTTTGACGGCTTGTCATCTTCCGTGACTGCCAATAAACGACTTCGAAGCCCAGCAAACTTGTCTTCGTTAGGCTCACCAGTGGCACCAGCGCCAGACAGTAGTCTAGCTGCATCTTTTGGATCCTCCAATTCCTCCGTTGGTGCGTACAGACGATCCGCCAAAGACGAGGAGCTCCTTGCAAGGGCTCGAAAGATTCGTGAAGCTCTTGAAGAGGGCGAAAATTGGTTCAAGGAAGAAGTCCAAAGGGACGAATTACGACGTTCCCAGGAGCTGCATCGGTCCCAGGCAGATACATTGCCACCACCTTCAACTGCCTCGTTGACAGGACCAAACGGAGAGGACCTCTCTAAGCTGCCGAAGTTCTACAGCCGCGTGAGCAGGTTCGTACCCAGAGAGGAATATGGTATTAGGAAGGAGAAGAGGGGATCCAAGGACGAGTCAAAGGGGAAAGAGAAGAGTGATTTGAACGGTCTTGGCAATGGTCTTGCTGGACGAGGTCGCCAAGCAGCATCATCTGCACCTGCAAAGTCTTCTCCATCAAAGGGAGGAACATCCTGGGATGATGCGATCGAACTATAATATGGTGGCTTTTTACAATTCTTTGTCATGGAGGATGGGCCGAATCTGCCTTGGCATTCTCAAATGTATGCGCCCGCATAGCGATGGAGTTGTGATTAATTGTTCCCTGCTACTAATAACGATAGCGCAACGCAACGGAACCTGAAGAGCATTCATATCAGCACGCGGAGTTTGGAAGGAAATTTTTGGATGCGGAAGCGTTCAGCGCTTGCCGCCGACTGAATCAGAGATACCCGATTCTGTTCTTTAAAGCGCTGGCCACACATTTTGTTTTGTCTTAACTCTTTAACTTAATTTTGTGTACATGAGGTCGGTACGCAGAGTATACTTGGTACCAGCGACGACGTCTTCCCCAGAATGAGGCAAATTGCGATGCTGGAAGATAAGCACTCGGCCTGTCTTAGGCTGGATGTCCATGTAGCAAGACCTGCGGAACGAATGGAACCTTGTCGCGCCCCCTTTCAACAGCGGTTCGATTTCAGTAGATGTCTCGTCGTTGAGATACAGGTGTAGCGTAAAGTAGGATCTCTCCTTGCGGTCTGGGGTCTCGTAGATGCCGTCTGTATTGAAAAGTATTAGCTTGCGCAGTGTGCAAGACATCCGGGAGGTTCGCAAACCACAGTGTCTCTTGAAATACTCTCCCCCTACATATTTCAAAAACCTCATTCTCTCGTTCAGCCTCGTCATCTTCCAGACTTCTTTCTTCTGTACAGACCACTCTCCCGTCACGTGTGGCATATTCTCCAGTCGCATCACCTCTTGCACGTGAGGTTCACATCGAGCCCAGATTCTGCCGACTAGGTCTTCATCGTCCCAGATAATACGGGCGCAGTTCCTGACGTCCGTCATCATCTGTTGACGGCCCCCACCCACGTTGACCATCGCTCGCTCCCAAGATCCTACCTTCTCGGCCGCGGAGAGGAGACTTGCGCATTCCTGGGCCGTGAACACGTTGTCGAGAACGGCGGCGTAGCCTGGCGCGAGCTCGGGAAGCGCTGTCTTTGCGAAGTCGACAACGGTTTTGGTGACATGGTCGCCCCCGGGGCTGGCCAGAAGTGTCGTCCGATCGAACTCCTGCTTTTTGGTTGCCATGGCGGGCCTTTTTTTTTTTTTTTTTTCCCAAATTAAGACGGGGAGAGATGCAAACCGGTCCGCCAAAACTGGCAGATCTGAGTAAAGTTGACTGGTTGAATACTTGTGATCAATACTCGGTGTCGAGAAAGGCGGCTTTCGTGGTCGGTGCCTAAATCGGATCACCGGGCAATCAGCAGGAGGCTGTGCTTGACGATTGAGTGAACGACAGCAGTGGAAGACTCATCTAAGCAAAGTAATATGTGTCTAGGCCCTTTGGAGAATGTACCAGGAACTCACTACTTTCACTCCGTGAAATTTGCTGTGGCTTCATGTTCATCCCTCAGCACTCCGGCAAGACAAACATTTTGAACAATCCTGAGACAGTATCACTGCAGTAGGGTATATTTCTTTCTGGATAGTCACTTATAGAAAAAATTCTACCTGGTCTATGAACATTTCAACACGATGATTTTTGCATATGCTCTGTGTAGCGGTAAGTGCGAACAGGTTATCCACCCCAATGCGAAGCAAACATTTGATACTCCGGTCCGTCTTTTGTTGGGCTTCAGAAAGAACAAGTAAGTAGCCTCTTATTCTTCATTCCAAGAAATCAAATAATATCGTGTGCACTGTTGAGAGAGCGCGTGCACTATCACGCTCCGAAACGACGCACGAGATGTTAATCTCGCTGGCGCCCTGGGAGATCATCCTGCGTGCAAATTAGCTTCAACTCAATGCTGGCATGGGCTCGACAAACTCACTCTATGTTGATGTTATTCTCCCCAAGCACGCTGAAGAATTTTCCAGCAATGCCTGTCATGTTTTTCAAGTCTTTTCCGACCAAGGAGACAATGGCCATGTCACTAACAATGTCGACCGCTCCAATCAAACTAAGATCGTCATATGCGCCTTGCAAGCGGATGTCCTTGATCGCAAGCTCTTCATTTTCATCGCTGCTGACCATGCTCTGCTCAGAATGCAGTGCCATAGAAACATGCACCTCAGAACTACTGATCAAGTCGACTGACAGGTGATGTTTATCCAAAATAGAGAAAATGTTTGCAAGGAAGCCATGTGCACGGGTACGTCTATTACTATGCACGTTCAGGACGACAATGGAGTTCTTCACTGTGACTGCTGTTGGCTTTCGTCGTTTATCGATGTCAGACAAGTTGGTACTGGAGCGACCACGAGTAAGCTTCGGTCGAATAGGATCGCGAATTCCTTGAGGTTCTGGAACAATGACAGTACCTCCGGATGATGGATTAAGTACATTTTTAATCCGGATAGGAATGCTGTTTATCATGACTTGGTGCATTGTGAACGGATGAATAACTTCCGAACCATAGTAGGTAAGCTCAGCTGCCTCACTTGGCGAAACACTGGATAGGAGAGTCGCTGTTGGAACTTTTCTTGGATCTAGACATTCTTTCGTTAGCAGCTCGTTCATCAGCACAGGAGTCCTCAATGTTCTGTCGTGGTACAAAAGAGCTTTCTCAATGCTCACAAACATAAAGCGTGGAAACTCTGATAGTGGTTAGCTATAGTCCAACAAAACGAGCTTGACGAAAGCGTACCACCAGCAGAAAAGATGCCATCCACCTCCTTCCATATTTGAAGTTCTCTTGCTCCCAGACCAATTGCAACAAGAGCGGCAGCGAGATCAGTGTAGCCTCTTCCGATAGCGTGAAGTAAACCTCCAGGCACGAAGCCAAAGTGACCCGTGATGACAGGGAGTTTATCTTTGACCTTGAGAACTTCTTCTCCAAGAGCGACTGCAAGGGCCTTGTAGGCCCCTTCTTCGTTTAGAGATGGAACCTTGTGGTCGTTTATGACGGTCGACAAGTCAACCAGAGCAGCCTCCGTGCCTCTGTCACTCAAAAGGCTCGTCATGTAAATGCAGCTAAGTCTTTCACCCAGTGACATGATTTTGTCCTCTGTCCTGACAGAGACTTCACGTAGCTCTGCCACAGCCTGTAGCGTTCTCTTCAATTGTACACACTCGGCCACAAGATCACTCAGGAACGCGGAGAGTAGGTCGGGATTGCGTATAGTCTTTCTGGCTGCGGCTTCATGGTCTGCATGTATTTCATCCACGAGCTTGTTCGCCGCCTGTAATTCCCCATTTTCGGCCGCTTTTGCGGCCCTTAGAAGCCGCGTTGTAGTGCCATCGCTCTTCACGGACGACGAACGCGCCGAGCACACGACGGCCAAACGGTCCTTGGTCAGACCGTAGCGAATTATGGACGTGATGTCCTCTGCTGCCTTCCCGATGCTGGTTCCCTACATCCGACGTGTTAGTCTTTGTGATACATCAGCCATGAAGAATATGAGCGCAGCATGGTTGTTCGTTTCGTTGGCATCACCGTTTTCACAGTGTCGAACGCAGCAAACCCCGCGCTGGCCGAAGAAAACCCGCGTCGCGAAGAATTGTGCGACACCTCACACAATGATCAAACCTACTCCGTATTTTTGAACCACCCAATTGGCTTTGCTACCTAGGTCCTTTTCCTGCTCATGTTTTCTTATAGCGTCTCCCGGCGACACTGTATGCGACACGCCATTAACTATGGATGTGAGGATCTGGACGGTTGCCATATTGCTGGCAATGCACGAGTGTATGCACGGAGCGTGGAGGACTGGGAGTAATGAAGTAAAAAAGCAAAGTTCCAATTCGCTATGCAATTGCAGTGGACAAGAATGCAGGTCTTAGGAATAGTGGGGGTCAGCCGTAATATGACTGTTTTTCTCAGCCGCCAAACGTTGTGGAGCACTGGAAAAGTGGCTCGCCGATGTTCGGCCCTTCGGGCCAGTTTAAAGAGACAATGCTGACGGTGGCCGCTGACGACGAAAGCTGAGCTAAAAATCTTATTGCATATCCATAATTGCAACACCTGGGGTATTCACCGAATGCTGTTTCTTCCTACGACCCATTTATACTGTCATGAAACCAACGGCATCATCTGAAAACGCCCAAGTCCACCCGCGTCCGTTGCGCACATGCCTCGGCGACAAGGCTGAAGAAAGCATTTCTAACGCCAGCAAATCATTCATTGTGTCCGTCCGCCCCAACTCCTAGTGTTACCGAAATTATTCCCCAAAAGGCATCATGCTTGTGTTCAGAGTGCCTTACAATGTCCAGTTGCTGATCCTTAGCGGTCCTTTCCGCCTGTCATGTGCATTCCGAAGCTCGTGTCATCGTGTGAGCCCGGAACGACAAGCAAACTAACGCCTGTTTTGATTGAACTAATTCACTGTCGTAGCCTGTAGTGTTCTGATTTTGCCTGCTTCTTCATACCTCTGGACTAGGCGTCATATGAGGCAATGCAGGCATTGCGGGCATGCTCGCCTGGCGCCTCAACATTTTCGTCGTCTTCTTCGCTGTAAGTTTCAGGTCGACATTGCTGACAGCACGTTGGAGCCTCTGTGCGGTGGAAACCTTCGGTGGTGGAATGTATGCGACTCTATTGTTGAAATCCACCTGCTTAGGCGGCTTTTGAACCTTGGCCTCCTCACTCTCTAGGCGCACGACACCGACTTCTGGATCAGACCACAGGATAGATACTGCCATGTTGACCAAGCGACGTCTGGCATCTGGCGACAGTGTACGATCATTTTGGAGGATGTCATCAATTATGTCGCCGATAACTTTGATGACGTGACGTTTGTCGTCTTGCTTGACTCGCCCTTGCTTGCTCACGACGCTCTTGATAAGACTAAGCTCGCTCCTGAGGTTTGTACATATTTTTCTGAGCTTTTCATCGTTATGCGCGACTTGCTTCGGAACGAACAGCCTCGAAAAAGGTGACGATGCGTTCGTCTTTGATAGGGCCATTTCTGCCCCGTCTGTACCTATTAACTCTGTGAGTTCCTTAAACTCTTATCAGCAGCGTGAAATCAAAATTGGTCAGATTTGCTAGACTGTGATGTTGATTGAGGAGCTTCTGACGTGTGACTGAAGAATAAACATATTTGCTGGCTAGCGTCCCGTTGCCGCCGTCTCCGCCTAGCAACCTATTTCAAGCAACTGCTCCCAAACACATATCGGATACCTTTTTTGGGTCTGCCTAGTATATTAACATGCTTAATGCACAGTCAAGTAACCGATACTCTGAATAGTCCTTCCGATCATACTGTATAGAAGCCGATCGACAACTCAGCTTCAGGAACCGCTCTAGATTCTAAGGCTCAATAGCACCTTGAAGTACAGTCGAAACTCTGAATCGTCACATATAACATGCCTAGCTTGGCGATTCCTGTGTTTCGGCGTATTGAGGACTGGTTAGATACAGAACAGAAGTGACGCAGGCTTTAGCAGCTCTGTGATATGTTAGAAGATTTCCGGCAATATCTCCCGCTGCACTAAAGGCACCGATGTTATGACTACCCATTACCCCAAAGAGCCGGCAGAAGCAGAAGCTAGCCAGTTGTCTTACTACAGTACGTCTGGCAAGCTGCTCGGCGTCTGATAGTGGCATTGAGGCGCAGAGTTGCATCTTGTCGCAACAACGGTCTCAAACTGGATTTCAATCCGTTCAGATCTGGCGGTAGAAGAGGCTACGTGGTGAATTCAATTCGCAACGCCTGCCTGTTTTGTTAATATGTACGAACTAGAGTTTAGCATTGTGCGTGGCAGAGACGGGAACATGCGAACACAATGAAGGTAAAGATCTTTTACATTTCTAATTGTTGCACATTTGCGAGGATACTATATGCACAAATAGAAAGACGTTTGGAAGGGGTGACCAAGAAGACCATGCAGACAACCTTCTACAGAACAGACAGGTCGCCGAATCTCTCCTATTAAAGATGTCAGCAAAACTGATTGAGATCAAAGGTATGCTTTGAAGACTTGCCTTGTAACCCTGGGGTCCATGCCAGCGGTGCCTCGAGACAAGCTGCTCGGTGCGCTGGTCAATATCTGGTCGCGCAGCAGCAACCTCGTCCTGACATGATCATCAGCATTCCACTCACATTCATTTCATTAACATCAAGAAAGAAAATACATACCACAGTCAAGTCCTCAAATGGTCTAGCCTCCTCTATGTTCTTGAGAGTCTTCTCCAAATCCTTGAGCTCCTGATCCACCACCGCCTTAGTCTCCTCCGCACTCTTAACAGCCTGCGCCTCGAATGCCTCGATTGCCTTGATTTGACGGCTCACATCGTATGTCGCTGGCTTAAAAGCCTTGAATTGTTTCTCGATCTCGTCCACGACGGCCGTGTTCTTGAGCTGGGAGCGGTACGAGGCAAAATCCACAGTCTGGGGAAGCTCCGACAGCTGCTGGACCTTGCGACGGGCATCATCGTTGCGCTTCTTAAAGGCGACAAGCGCATTTGCAGTGTTGCCACGGAGGCCGAGCTGGGACGAAAGCTTCGTCCAGTCGAGTTTGAAGGCTGCGCTTCGCTAAAGGCGAGAGGGAGAGAGTTAGCCACGCTTCTCCAGAACAAGCTTGCAGTAATTGTGGAGGCAGGCCAATGGCATCCGACAAAGTTAATTCGAGCAATATAGAGACAGGAATACTTACCCCGACAGCCATTGTGATGGTTGGTGGACGGTACGCGATGATTCAATGATGAGAGGTGAATGTTCTTTGCTTGCTCGCTTTTCCGCGATCCATCCCGAATGCCAAGGTAAGAAGGATTCACGTGACTAATAGCCTCCTCATCCCACGACAATTGGCTATCAAATACGCCAAAACTCATCAAGTTCGAGTAATAACTGATAAATTCACAAAGAAATATATAAATTATGTGAGTTTGATAGCTAGAATCTGCGCACCGAAGCACAGATATATCAGAAAGCAAGAATGGAGAGGGAGTGAAGTGTAAATTAAGTGAGCATGCAGTGGCAGAAAATCTGCTTCTAATATTGTATGTTAAGTGAGGAAGTGCTCTTTTCTACAAGAGATAAGAGCCTAACACCAAACTTTTCCGGCCTGCATGCTACCAGCCAAAGCCCGCCATGCGCCGAACTATGGTACACAGTAGCTAGACATTTTCATCCCAACTCTTGATGCGGCCAATGTCGTTCGCCTCGGATACAAACACGCGAAGACAACAGCTTACATGCTCAATGCCATGATCGAGTTGACTATGTCATTGTCGTTTTCTTTCAGTGCCTTGACGGCCTTCTTCCTCGAAACACTAGCCTGCTGCATGACCAGCTCAATGTCCTTGCTCTCCAGACCCTCCTCGTCAACTTCTTCATCATCATCTTCCTCCTCGTCCTTCTTTGCATCACCGGTGTCGACCGCCTTGCCCTTTCCATGGTCATGACCAGCATGTGCATCTTGCTCTGCCTGAACGATTTGTTGAGCAGCGGAGGCTTGGGCTTGGGAGTTAAGATCCTCAATCTTAGCCTCTCCAAAGATGCTCGAGAGTTGTAAGTGTGTGATAATTGAGCGCAGGAAATGAAAGAAAAACTCACATCCAAGTGTTGCTGACTGGGGACTTGTACACATCCGGGTTGTTGATGACGAAGAGGATCTAGGCAGGAAGTTAGAACTCACTGTCATCATCTCAATAGTCAAAGTAGCACATTAGAAGCATTGTGCATGCCTTGTAACATCTTCTTCGCAGACAATGCCATTGTGCGCAGTTGAAATGGATTGTACTTACGCCCTTTGGCCGCCTCAGCGTGACACGTGTAATGCCCTCTACATGCTTTAGGCCAAGCTTTGCAATAGCCTTTCTCGCCTTCTTCTCATTTCTCGAGTGAATGGCAACGGAGCTGCCAGCTGGGATAGTTGCATCACCTTCACCAGCCTCAACTTCGGAGTCGGAGCTGTCGCTTGCATCTTCGACTTCGGCACCCTTCTTCTCCGGCTCATCTGGAAGCTCTTCAATGCGTGAGTTGGACATCTTGATAAAGGAGGGAAAGATGTCGTTTTGTGCTTCAAGGATATTGGTTGCGGCTCCAACGAGGTTTTGGTGGTGTGGAAATGGACAAGCTTCCTTCGTAGGCGCACAACACCAAAAATTGCATTATGTAAGCGAACTTCGGCTTTGTGGAGAAGAACTTTGGACTCAGCGCGAAGTCAGGGCCGAATACGAGTATATATATAGCGCACCTCAATCACTCAAGAAATTTGCTATCGAATATTAATGTAAGGACGTACGAATTGTGGTGAATAAACAGGAAATTTAAGTGCTTTCAATGGTTTTAAGCATTTGTGTAAACTGTTACACGCCACGCAGACGCCATATGCCCCTGTCCTCAGAGCCATGAATCTAGTATCATGATGCAAGAGAGCGCTAATACTTGGAATTCCTATGCTGCCAGGTATAGCGCCCGAATATCCCTCAGTCAGCAATCCGTGTTATCCTTCCATGCTGCCGATTTACGAATTTATGCCGATGCCTTGATTTTGGCCAGTTGCTTCTTCTCCTCGAAGCGGACTTGCTTTCTAAGACGCATGACTTTGAAGCGCTCGAAATCATTCAGCTGCCTTCGCTTTGCGCTCTTCGCCCGGCTCTTAGCAAATGCACTCTCCTCCCACTTCTTCTCAACCTCAGCAGCCTCCCATTTGCCCTTCAGTGGCCCTGAACCGATGCCGCGTGGCAGTTTGCTGATAACAATCGGTGTGAGCTGAACCTCGGCAAGTCGGGCGCTGTGGCGTGGAACGACCTTAGAAGCGTTGCTTGATGGCCCCTCTACGACGACGCTGTAAGCTGTCAGATTGTATGCCATTGCTACATGCTCCTCCATTCTCAAGGAACATACCGCTTATGATCAATGATCTCGGTAATGACAGCAATTCTAGGTACGTCAGTCTCATGAAGAACAGGCATACGCCTCGTGTTGATATTGCTTACCTGCCAGCATACTGGTTGGGAGAAGCAAAAACGACCACGCCTGTCTATCCTGTGAGCCTCTTGCCTATCGCATACGCTTTTCAAAACCCATACGGCCGACTTCCACCAGCCTCCACCTATTCTCATGTTAGAAAAGTTGACGATTTGGCAAATACTGAGTATCTACACATACCGGTTTGCAACTACGTCGACGTCGCCCATTGTGCTCGGAACCTGTTTGTGTAAGCGATTGAAGACTAAGTTTCTGAATATGTGGCATACTCTTTGCAAAGGTTTCGTGCTAAGTGTGGTTCAAGGGTGATTGTTCGCTGATTCTTGAGGCTCGTCGCGATTTTCGTGATGTGTGCGCACAGACGAGAATGGTCCAGCCAAGTATGCCTTAGTGCCTTATGTCTCGGCTAAACATCGGCAATACAGGAGAAACTTTTTCTGCTCGTCCGAAGTGATTCACTTTCAACCTTCTTAGTTGATATTCATCATCTTGGTAAGTGACTTTCTCAATAGAATCACATCTCTATTCCCCACGTGGATGACATAATTTGCGATTGAGTCTTGTGACCGGAAACTCTCGCCGGAGTTTCTCAACGGCACGAGAGAAATGATATTCAATTTCTTACATATTCTGAGCTTAAGAGCGATATTCACTTTGTTTCTAGGCACTTAAACAAAGAAAAAGCTGACTGGGGGATAGGTCTGTGCTTTGTCTTACGTATCTGCTCTAGTCTTGCTCTAGCTTGGTTTTGCGTTCAGCGCTCTGCATTTGGCACACGTCGAGTGTTCTACGCCATATTTTTATTTTCACATTCAGTATGTATCTTCAAGCTTATTGCACGTTACACCCGTCCTATGATTAGAATTCATCTGCCTAGATAGTATATGACCATTTGGAGTATGATTTTTCAATTTATCACCAAGATCGCTGAGGCTTCCCACTACACCATTATTCTTCTGGAGACTGTTTGATAAGACTTGGCTAACTTTGCTGAGTAGCTTTTTTCACTGCGTAATTTCGGAATGGAAGATATATCTTTTATGCTCCACTAGTTAATTCATGTACTAATTCCACGAACGCTTGATGAACTATGGATTCCCACTTCTAATTAATTGTTGTTCTTCTGGTCGTCCTCAATGTTGACTGCTTTGAGGCTTGTGGCCCATAGCTTCTTTTCCGACTCTGGATCGTAAGCCCATCTCTCGTAGCCGTCGCCGTCAGCAATCGACATCCAATGAGAGGCGTCACTGGGGAAGGGACTTTGCTCAACGCAGTCCGACAAATATTTCCCCCCCTTGTTCTTCCACTCCTCACTGAGCGCCGCGTAGACGCTAGTCGCAGCGCCTTGTTCTGGTGTCTTGAAATATGCCAGTGCCACTGGATCTTTGGACAAGCTTTTTATTTCTGGAGTGTCTGCGACATGTACCATCAATCCTGACAGTATTCCACCGGGATGAACGCTTGTAGCGTGAAGGTGCTTAGCCCCGTACCTACGCTCGATCTCATTTGCGAACCAAATGTTCGCCGTTTTCGATTGGCCATAAGCTTTGAATGGTTCATACTCGCCTTCAAGATTGATATTCTCAAAGTTGATGGAGTTGCTGCGGTGACCAATGGAGGATACGGACACAACGCGGCTGGGGAACTCTGGTGTAGCAGATGCGAGCAGAGTCGCTTTGAGCAGCTGGAATAGAAGGAAGTGGCCGAGATGGTTAGTGCCGAACTGAATCTCCCATCCGTCCTTCGTTCTACCTTCAGGACATGCCATAACCTGCGAGTTTGTTAGTCACAAATGCCAGCAGTTTTACTTGGTAGACCTACTCCAGCGTTGTTTACAAGAATGTTCAATGTGTTCTCCTTTCTCAGGAATTCTGCAGCACCTGCTCTGATAGAATCAAAGCTCTCCAGATCAATCTCAATCAACTCTATCCTGGCCTTGTTATCTGGATCTGCTGCGAGAATCTCATCAACAACCTTCTGGCCCTTTGCGAGATTCCGTACGGTGCCGTATACGGTAAGCCCTGCGGCATGAAATGCGCGCATTGTCTCAATTCCAATGCCGGAGGAAACACCAGTAACGAGAGCGACTCTTCCAGTCAGTTTTCCAACAAGATTCTCATCTTGGACAATTTCCAAGGCCGTTGGACGTTGGTCCCCAGGTCCCTTTCTTGATGCGTAACGTTCGGCATATCGAGACATTGTGAAAAACGGTCGGATTTTATAGTGTCGATTTTGAAGTAGGAGTAAGATGTTGCTTAATGGACAAGAAATTTGGCGAGGCTGTGTATAGTGTGATGCTTTGGAAGCTATGATTGTTGTACTTGTGAACTGATGAAGAACTCATCTTGCCTAGAAAGCAACAGCTTTTATATACTCAAGGACTTGATCTAAAACTTCTCCTTGTGCATGGAGTTAGGATGAAAACTTAGGCAGAGTTGACTAAGATTTTTGTGATTAACATATATTCTCACGACCTAAAGAGGCAAGGCATGAACCGTGTAGGTTACCATTTCTGGAATAGCGCTAAAATCGTCCGCGAGCGGACGGACAAACACGTCATGCAGTTGGGTTTGGTCCGAAAACTCCACGACAACCATGAACGGTGCTTGGTGCATGGCGTAATGCGAGCTGAAAGTCAGCCTTAACGCCACTTAATTCCATCCGTAGTGTTGCGGTATACGTGACATGTTCTTCAAACATTGCCTCATCTTCTTTTCTTGGCCGTTCCTTTGAATACACGAGACTTGAATGTCGTCGCTTTTAGTTGTGTAATGGCCCGCTCATGATAGTCTGTGGAAAATGTCCAACTAATTCTATGTCTCTCACAAGTGTTTATCATTGGCACATAAAATAATTTGGCATCAGACTCAAACAAAGCATTGCACATTCAGGTAATTCATTATGAAAAGATGATTTGTAAGTGAGGGAACCTACGGCATCGTGGCGGAGAAGAGAACAATATACGAACATTTGTGTCGCTATAAAGGCCGAACGTACAGTGAATATAGGTGTATTCTCTTGGGTCATTACTTCTCAGTCAATCAAAAGGTGCTGGGCTGAAGTAGAAGCCTACTGCCTGAAAGATGAGCGTGGTGGTAGTTAATATGCAGCAGGTATTCCACAAGCACGTACATAAATTGACCATACGCACAGCACAAGACTAGTGGCCTCTGATAGATTAATACTAGAGCAATTTCAGTACACCATCCGTAGTATGTATAGTGGGTTAGCCTGTAGAAGTCTCTCTACAGTGCTTACCACCAATTCAGGTCCGTGATCCTCCTATAAGAACACCTCCATGCAGAACAGCAAGCAATACGTACCAAATGACTTATGGGCACCAAAACCGCGCAATGTGTCTGGCACGCGTGGTTTGCAGAATCCCGCAGCGAAAGTGACATCAAATCGTGTGTGGATAACTTATCGGTGGATGATCACAGAAGATGACTGTGACTGAAGACAATCAACCCGCACTCATTTAGTTCCTACGCTATCATGCGAGTTCTGAAGACTTGATGAAGAAATCAACACCACAAGACCATTTCATACCCCGTCAGAACTGCTGAAAGGCGAGGAAGAAATGAGATCTTTCATTCAAGACCCATCCCATCATACGCTGCTGCAATATCCAATTGCCCACGGCTTGGAAGCCGCTGCAATGATGATGATATTTCCAATGGTCTCCAGAGGGGGTTTCTTCCTATTGTTACTCACGGAAACAAATACTGTTGGCTCGGCGAGACACTCGCCATACTGTGCCCCTAGGAGATAGTAGACTTTAACACAGCCTTCAAGATCACCGGTAGAACCTTGAAGTTTCTTTTTTTGCTTCTTGAGGAGATACATGCTGTAAAATACCGTTGCAAGGAATCGCTATGGTAGACCTGAACCGGATTGGAGATATGCTAATCCAGAAGCTAATGCTCGAAAACCTGTCGTCGTACATTTCTAAACGTCTAAATGATGAAGTAGTGACGTACCGATGTCGACTGTACATAGCCTCTAAATCAGAAATGGGAGTAAGTAGATGAGGATAGAGTGATTTCGAACGAGACTGAACGTGTAAAAAGACGATAGGGTCATTAGGAATGTCGCTTCAATCCCAAAAGGGTGAAACCAAGATGGAGGAAGAAGGAATCTAACCACTCTTGCGAGGGGAATTCGCATCAGTCAGAGTAGCGCCAAGCTGGACAAGGTTCGCAAACCATAGGAAGCGTATCACAGGTCTATGGGAGACAAGCATAGTATGCACGACCGCCCGATCGAATCGACGAGTGCGAGGCGAATACAGAGCACCTGAAGTATGTGCTCAAGAAATATGGGATGTGATAATACTAAGGACAGCGAATCGATGTGCGACTTAAAGAATTTTACTGAAGGACAGCAATGAAGCTTAAGGAGACCATGACTTGAACGCAAGAGTTAATTTAATATATTCAAACTTTTAGGACGAATAAGTGAAATTGTGCTACATACCGTCGGCATGAGTTTTTGAGACTATGTCCATAATCTGCTTCGAGCAAGGCTTCTATGGGGTCTGATTGTGATGTTCATGTTAGTTCATCGACGGATCTTCTTGCTCTTAGGTTCGTCTTCGTCACTTCCACCGTCATAGCCCGAAACCAACGCGGTATTTTCGGCCTCTTGAGCGTTCTTCGGCTTCTCCGCATACCTCAAAAGCGCCTCTCTTGGATCTTCGTCCCTCATCGAACTTAAGCTAAACTCCTCCTTCACGTACTTCTCATCTGGGTTATTCTTAGTAAACGGACCACTGTGCGGTAAATGTGGTCGTCGTGGATCTCGCGACTTTCCACTGGCCGTAAGTCCTAGCGTGGGATGGCGGGACGCAAAAGATGTGCCTGAAATAGAGGGCCCAGCACCAGGAGTAATGATCTGGTCGGCAGAGACACCCTGCGAGAGGTCCATTGTAAGGTTCGGGTCGTCATCGACATGGCGCCGTTTGGGAGCCTTTAGCATGACCATTTTGGCACCGCCATTGGAGATATTGGGATTATACATCACATGTATCTCACCATTGGCAGAGCCTGTAATGATTTGGTTGAGTTTGGGATGCCAAGCCACTGTTACGAGTGGAGAGCCGGGGGTCACAGGCGTGGAAAGTTCAGGGCGTAGAGTTGCCGGATTCAGGATATGCAGGTGGCCTGTTTCAGAACCCGTAATCAGGTTGGCGGAGGAGGGTGAGAATACAATGTTCGATGTAGGGAACTGGCCCGACATTGAAGGCATATCAACGGTGGTAATGGCCAGCTTGAACTTTCGCGTATCCCAAAGTTTGAGCTTATCGTCTCCTCCCCGCGAGACAACTAGTCGACCATCACCACTGATCGCAAGGCTGCTTGTCCACGTATTTTCGATATGGGCATCTCGGATCTCTGCCACAGGTCGATGATACGGTCCGTCACCTGGGTACATAACAAGACTCCCATCCAAAGCAGCTGCCACGAACTGATTTGGACCACCTTGTGCTTGTGAACCCCACGCAACGGCAGTCATACGGGTTCTACCGGCCGATCCAGCCGCCCTTGACTTGAATACAAGCACGTCCCGTTGAGATCGAGGGTTATTGATGTCCCATATTCTCAGCGTGCTGTCATGAGATGCCGTCACGAATAACTCTCGACGGGTCGGGTGCCATGCGCCGCATGATACTTCAGATATGTGCCCCTTGGTGTTATGCATGTCACGTAGATACATGTCGCCCTTAACACATTCCATTACCATTTCGCCATCTCTATTAAATATTTTTGCCTGTGGCAATGCAGTGATCACAAGCATCTGATTCGCGGCCAGAGGGTTTATAGTGACTTGATGTATAGGATGTGTCTCTGAGCTTGCGGAAGTTTTCGTCTCGGACGGGTCAACACTTTTGAATGCGCGTAAAGTGGTCGGCGTCATGGACGCAAAGTCATGTAGCTTAAAAGTGCAATCAGTGGAGCCAGATATAAGACGCGCGCCTGACGGATCTACTGTAACTGAAGTGACAGGCTTCTCGTGGGACTTGAGAACAAGCTCATGAGATACAGGGAACTCATCTTCATCCTCCTCCTCGTCGTCGTCATCTTCATCGCCATCATGGTCTGACTTCACACTGCCGCTTTCGCTCGACGAGTATGCCAACGCTAGTTTCTTTGGCCGAGCATCTTTTCGTCTTGATTGATCCAATTGGGCTTGTGTATTTGACTGCCGCGATTGCTTTCCAAAAGAATCTGTTCCCAGGAGTGCCCGAATAGCTTGCTCCTCGTCCGTTGATCCCGTGTCCATAGAATCTGTGTCTGACTTCCTTTACGTTGATACGGTGAACTGATTGGGAGTTGTAATACGAAAAAGTTGCCAGTATATTTCTGCTTCAGTGAAAGAAGAAATAACTAGTGAGGCTTACTGCACTTTTTGAAAGGTTCAGCAGGGCGACGTGGATACTCGACATAACTGGGCAGGATTGTTTGCAAGGTCTCAAATGTGTAGAACGCCGCAACCAATCAGAGTGCGGAGAACAAGCCAGGAATCCACAACGACGTCCTTCTCGCTGGTCGTACGCTTAACTCTCCGTCAGCATCTTTAGCCTATGTATGAATCAGTATTTCGAGCCTGTACAATATCTCCGATATGCCAATCAATATCGAGTCGCGGAAAGAAAGCTTTGTCAAGCAAATCAGCTCTGTCAATGGACGTTCTGCTCGACATTGTTGCGAACATTACCCACGTATCTAGCCAACATGCGAAACGGATTGTCTCCTTGTTCCCCAGAGAAGCGATTGCTGCTCTTCAGCCTTGCGTTCTTTTGCGAGAACATTCAACTACCAAGCAGATCAGAGCCTCGTTCATTCACGATAGCGCCTTCTTGGACGCCTTCTGCCGAGTTCTGTATGTCACTCGTCTATTCGTAGTCGTAAGATCTGCTGTGTCACATCACTTTGGGCCGTACTTTCTATCCACATACTGCGCAAAAGGCAGCACATCGCCAGAGTAGGTGGTTGAACTCCATGAATTGCAGGTCCAGCACGGCTAATCCTTTTATTCCTCGGGATTGGCAGCACGTCGCTCCTGCGACATTGTATCTCTTGATCCTCGTGCTTGCCTCGCTCGAGGACTGATAAATTCTTGCCATTCATCTATCAATAGAGATCGCGTCGCTCCTTCCGTTGCAATTTCCCCGGGAGACAGTGGTTGCTACGGAAGGAGCGCGTCGCGTGAACTCTATACAAACATTGTCAAGGTATCCGCGTCACCGTAGTGCTCACTGCTTGCGTCCTTGCTGCCCACTACACCGTGTAACAAATTCGCATACGTTGCCTCCCTTTCTACTTTCTTCTTCACTCCCTGACGCGTCTTGATGAAGACAGCCTGCTTAAGAATGTCTTTTAGATGCTTCTTAATTTAGTTACCCAAAACTTCGGACACACACTTCTGCAAGGAATAATTTGAATTACCAACTGCAACTTCGTTGCCGCCCCGCTCATGGTTTTGTATGTCGCACGCAGCACATGTACGAGCCGGTACTTTGCTGACGAAGTCCTACTAAAGACTATCCGTGAGTTGAAATACGGGATAAACAAGGAGCAGGAAAAATGGATCGACATACCAAATCTGAAGTGAACTCAAAACGCAGCGCACACTGCAGACGAGCTCCACTAGGCGACGGATCATCGACCGCAAATATTTGCGCCAGTAATGCTGCTTCAAACATGCAGAAGAGCGAAGAGTATCTCCGATTCCACAGTGCTATCGCCAAGACAGAATCACCTCTTGACTGTGAGACGAATCACAAACGATGCAGCATAACCTCACCAAGGAACAATCGCTTATCCCGTCTTTCAAACGAAGCCGTAATGGACAGTAAGCGCAGCTCAGCTATTTCAACCTCCTCTACCAATGCCTCCGGCACTGGAAGGAAGCGCAAGTCTCATGTTGGACCTTGGCGTTTGGGAGCAACAGTTGGTAAAGGGGGCACTGCTCGTGTGCGCAAGGTTAAGCACGCGGTAACCGGCCAAATTGGTGTCGCAAAGATCATACCAGTGGCGATGGCTGAACGTGCTCGTGCGATCAGCTTAGCAAACCTTGTACGTTCGGCTGAGAGAGGTGACCCCACACTGCATTTCGATAAAGCCATCCCACTTGGCCTCGAGCGGGAAATCGCAATCATGAAGCTGCTTAAGCATCCAAATATTGTTCGTCTTTACGACGTATGGGAAAACAGGAACGAGATGTGAGTATTGCCTTCTCATGATGAAAATGTACATCACTGACCCAGGTGCCACAGCTACCTCATTATGGAATACGTCAAGGGTGGCGAGCTGTTCGAATATGTTGCTGAAAGGCATCGCCTTCAGGAAGACGTGACTGTTTACCTTTTCAGGCAGATAATTTGGGCACTAAAGTACTGTCATGGTCTCAATATTCACCATCGTGACTTGAAACCTGAGAATATCCTTCTTGACTTCGACTCAATGACCGTTAAGCTTGTGGATTTCGGTATGGCTGCATTGCAACCAAAGGGCAACTTTCTGACTACTCCATGTGGCAGCCCGCACTATGCGGCTCCCGAACTTCTACGTAATGAACCATATGATGGCAGCCAGGCAGATGTGTGGAGCGCTGGCGTTGTCCTCTTTGTCATGCTCACGGGTTATCCGCCCTTCAACTTTCTTGTCGATACACAAGGCATTGTTTCCGAAGATCAAAAGCTTAAAGGCCTCTTCCGAGCAATCAGTCGGGCAGAATACAAGATGCCAAGTACCTTAAGCGCCGAAGCCCAAGATCTAATAAGGAGAATTTTTGTTGTTGATCCCATTAAGCGCATCAACATTGAGGAGGTCTGGAATCATCCTTTCATCCACAAGTATGATAGTGAATGGGGTTTGGATACGCTGCAGCCATCCGATAGTGTTCTTGCTCTCGCCATGGCTCAAGACGATTGGAAACCACTAGAACCAAAGACTATTGATCGCGACATATTTCGTGCCTTGAGAACTCTGTGGCACAGCGAGAGTGACACTGTACTGATCGACAAGCTCTGCTGCAAAGAGTAAGTTCTCTTCCCTATATAAGGGCCTAGAAGTTCCCTTTGCTAATCGAGGTGCAGCTTTAATCAGGAAAAATTCTTTTACCACACGATGCTGCGATATCGTGAGGAAAACCTTGGAAACTTGCAAGGCTGTCCGGAGGTTGGATACTCTGGAAGCGACTACCGACATAATAAGCGAGCATCTGCCACCCCTGCTCTGCCAAATAAGGTGGCGGATCATTCTACAAGCATCAGAAGCAAGTCAAAGTCTGTCCAGTCGGAGTACTCCATTATCGGCGATGAACACCTCTTTTCAAAGCACAGCTACTACGATCTTCCTGTTTCGGAAATGAGCTACGACCCATTCAGAGCCTCGCGATCTCCTATTGTTGCATCTAAAACAGATTGCACACATTTCACAGTTCAGTATTTGGGATCGAAAAGTAGCAAGAAGCATGTCTCACGAGATTGTCGTAGGAAGTCGCTTCGCGTCGACGCACTTCGAAGCCATAGCGGTCGAGGCTCCAGAATCAGCTCAAAACATTCTAATGGCAGCAATTCTATTCGACGTGAGACAACTGGTAAAGAGTCCTCAAGATCATCCTCGTCCAAATTTTCAGTCGCGAGCTCGCGTCTGCCTAGTGGGTCTCCCTTGCCCGTCATGCGACCAAGTGAAGTGCACAAGCGTGGTGTGCAGTTCCCCCATCTCAGGAAAAGCTCAACTGGAAGCGCACTGGTCTCAACGGCAGATGCTGATCAATTTAGTCGCACACCTGAACATGATGTTCGAGCTTTGCGCAAGTTAGCCTCGGTTCGAAGCAGCTCTCATCTCTCAGTTAGCCCAGCAGTGCCGTCGGAAGCACTCTTGCTCCACAAGAAAGGAGAAATTGTCCAGTCTGCACCAATTTCGAGAAGATTGCGAGAAGATGCTGATCTGGAAGCCCGTAAAGTGAGTGCGGAACTTGGCAAGGCATGCGATGAAGCATTTTGGCGCTCGTCTGATGATTCAAGTTTCAACACATTTTCATCAGCAGAAAAGCCATTTGTAGATACCCCACCGTCGTCGACCTCCCGGCCATCTCCTTGTTTTGGTATCAAAGATACCTTCTATGTCAGTGACTCCATGAGAAATCGGCCATTGCCACCAACTCCAAATGGTACGATGTCGACATTGCAAGCTACCGAGACGCCTGTGACATACACTAGTCGTGAACTTGCGGAGATGAGAGACCGTCTAGCAACGAAATATGCACGCGATGGTGCTAATAACCAGCAGTACTTCAACGACGTCTTGCGCCAACTCGATAGCTTGATGAGGCCAATGGAACAGCGCAAGGTCAACCGGGATTACCGGCGAATTGTTTCTGCGCCACCAGATTGCCATCATGCTGAGGCATGTCTTGATCTAAACAGCCTGGATGTTATTCCAGAAGAGGTTGATGAGAAAAGCGGTCGTAGACGCGGCGAAGGTGCTATTCATAGAGGCTCTGGTTCGCAAATCCGGTATGGCACCTTTGTCAATGAGGGTACAATTCGAGCTATAGTACCGTCTCCTCCACCAGTTTTTCAGCCGCGACCGTATCAAAATCAGGAGTATGAAACCCCAACACCATGGGCACCATTGAATATCAGAAAGGTTTCCACGTCAACAAAGAGCTCTTCTAGTTCAGCTTCTGAAAAGATGGACGTTCTTCCTTCTTCCTCAACAGCTCATGTTCGCAATTGCGGTAAGTTTTTTTTATTGGAACTCCTGTACTTTGACTATCATACACGCTTGCTTCTATCACCGTTCAGAGGTTAACAGCTTGATAATTGTAGCCCACCTTGCAAACAGGAACGGTTATTCTGCAAAAGGAAGAGCTCCACCGACTGCGAAGAGGATAATGCCAACCGATGCCATCACACCACAAACTCACCAATTAAATGCATTTCATAGAGTCAGGCACGTATCGCACGTCGCAGAGCACCCATTTGGCCCGCTTGCTCGTCATTATGCCGGAAACTGTGCTTCGATTTCTAGGGAATACTTCCAGCAAGAAGGTTTGTTATGTTTTGTGGCTATATCTTATGAAGCACCTCTGACTTCCCGCGAACCAGGTCTGCATATGACTCAAGAGGAACTTGCATCAGCGGTGGAATGTTGTACAAGCAACACAATTCTCTGTGATATCCCGGAGGACTGCGAGGCGGATTTTCCAAGATCTATTACCTATCAAGAACTCGCTTCCGACTTTCTTTGTCCTCTTAGTGGCAGTAATGCTCGTAGCTATGACCTGGATGATCGTTCAAAGACCCGCGACAATCGTGAGAAGCATAAGAATGAACCACCTAAGCAATCTGGACTCAAGAAATTTTTTAAGGGCTTGGGTAAAAAAAAGCTTGCCTCATCCCGTAAAGCCGTTTACGCCTCGGGAAGTGGGCGGCCTGCGATCAAAAAACAGATTACTACGCCTGGTAAGTCTTCGGGTGCTGCAAATAACGAAGGTCAAAGACTAATCCGAACTCAAGAAAATCACGCAGTTTTTGGCGATCTCAAAGTGCACCGTACTTATGATGAACAAAAGGACATATCTGCCGAAATGGAGATTGCCCGCTTTGTGAATGGCTTCAAAAAATTTGTGCGCGAATTCGGCTACTGGTCCTTCATGACGCCGCTCATCCATGTTATCCCGCTATTCGCTTCTCGCTCTGAGGCCTGGGATGCGCTAAGGTCCCAACTCGTTGATGCTCCGAGCTACAAAGTCCTAACACGAAACCTGCAAAAGTATACCACGACAATCAAGTGGGAATCGTCGAGTAAGCACAGTTGTCCTAGATCCCGATTAGTACCAAGACTAATACTGCCGACAGAGTTATATGATATGCTTTTCGATTGCACAGTGGATGTAGAGATATTTGGTGTCTCTCAGCGCAGCAAACATGTCAAGAATCTAAGTGTTGTACGCATCGTCCAGACTTCAGGTCCTGCCCGCGGCTTTGCTACAATCGCCAATGAGATCCAGGCTTTCTTTCAGACCAGGAAGCTTGTTGTTGAAAACGAAAGACAGGCAGCTGAAATCAAGGCAACACTCTACGCTGGGCTTGGCTCTATCATGCCTTATGCGCCTCGTCCTTCATTCGATGCCTAGTAGGCTTTCAACAACGGTTTATCTGGATTTTTGTACCATTGGAATAAAAGACCATTCTTTCTATTTCCGCCTTGTACAGTGTTGGCTTTCCCCTACTCGACTAAATGGTCGTCAACTCCATGAAAGCAATCGTTAGTCTTGAGTTCTCACGCCGACTATATTTTTTCCGTCTTAATTTGGGTATCAGCGTAAGTTGATGAAAATCCGAACCCTTCACAGGTTCATGGACTTGTTCAAGTTCTGCGTTTCTCTGCAGCCTGATGTTTCCTCCATCTCAAACTCGAAAACCACATATATGCACTTTGCACAGAGCGTTTCAAAGACAGACTCTTCCACAGCTTACGCACAATTAGTCAAGAAACTTAACAGTCTTCTCATCAGGCATTCTTGAAAGGAGAGGACGGGGGAATCTAAGAGCAACCATTAAGCGGGAAGTATTTTGCAAGCTGAGTCATGTATCATGAGATATGGTTGAAAGAATCGGCATGAGTTCTGTACATCAGAGCTGGTTAACCGGTACGAAATGCGATCGATCAGAGATTGTAAACACGAAGCGATTAGTCTTGTGTAGCGGAAACTGGAGCTCAAGTCTCGGAAAAGTTGTCGTGATTTCAACTAGCGTTGTTAATCACCGAAACCTTACAATTGACGACCCGAATGGAACAAACAGGAATGCTAAGTCGCTTTCCACTTGAACTGAGAAGCTACGAGGTCGGTTAGGCCTAGATAAAAGGGCTGTTGGCACAACGAAGATAATCTCCTAAACAGAAAATCAGCTCAGAATCAATAATATTAACCAGGCCAGTCTTGGTTGTAGCCAACTATTGACTGGAATTTGGCATAAAGTACAACAGTTCATGATAAAGAGAGAAACAGGCGTAATATGCCCTAAAACCCAGGCGCAGAATTCTAGTGATTTATAGCTCGCATGGTTCGACACGAGCAACAGATCGTCGAAAACTCTGTATCGCGAAATTCCTCATCAGTTTCGTTTTTAACGAGATGCGTTTTCTTTGAAGCGGCTCCACGTAAGTTTGTACGTACCCGGCTTTTCCGTTCAAATGTTTAAACTCTTTCAACAATACTAGACTACGCGAGCTTCACGTCGTTGCCAATTTGGTTCGGAGTTACAAGAGCCCTATACTTTCCCATCGAAGTAGACTGGGGAAAGGATATAGCAAAATTGTGAGTTCCTGCAGACAACGAAGCAGAATTAGCGTTCATCCAAATCGCTATTCTTCGTCCAGTCTTCACTTTGCAGACAAGGTTGCCGTCATTGCTGTTTTTCATGTCAAGGAGACCTTGAGGAATCATGATTATGTTGGCTACATTCCAATATGAACGTATCTTCATCTCAAGGCTGCAGAGGTGAAATTTCTCGTGCTTACTCCCTGTGTTCTATGCCAATCAGGCCTGCAGAAAAAACAACTAGAAGTGAAGAATCACTGGACTTGGCAGAAAAAGGCTGGGATTGTGCAGTCCTCTAGCTTGGCCTTTTTCATTGCCATTCGGTATAGAGTACATTCAGCTGTCCATTTCAATGGCCGCCTTCTCTTATTCAACTGCAACTTGTGTGCGCGCTTTATTTCCTCAAAATCGGCAAGATTTAGTCTGACCACGAAGTGCTCGTCGTTTCCGAGGCAAGTTTCCCAATCGTATCCTTCATATCTAGTGCATCGTAGCGCGTATATATCTTCCATGAGGCTAGTGGACTTCATGTTGCTTAAACCTTAGCATATTGTTGCGTCCACTCTCGTGCCTTTGCTATGGCCGCATTCTGATCCTGCTTCCAGTGCTGTGCTACATCGTTGGCAAGCGGGTCGTCTGGATTTGGAGCCCCGAGAAGTGCTTGGATGGAAAGTAGGATTGTGCGAATTTGGAGAGCTGGAGACCAGTTGCCTATAGATATCAGAACATAGTTTTCTTTCATTTGTTGAGGAGGGAATTACTTTTCAGAACGTCGAGACAGATGCGACCAAGTCGGTCGATATTTGGATGGTATATCTTGGTGAGGAAGCGAACCTTGGGCGGCGTCATGGGATAGTCATCTGGGAGAAAGAGCTCGAGCTTGAAACAACCGCCTAAAAAGTGTGAATTTAGCTATACTCAAGCTTAATTTGAAAAGAAACTTGCCTTCGTACGGAGACTGGCTTGGGCCCTAGGTTCAACATCAGCATCAACACAGCAAGCAGGTCAAAGTAGATAAGCGTGAACTTACGTCTACTGTGACGTCAAAGTAACGCAGATTGTCTTCATGAGGGACTGCGGTTATGCCTGGAACGCTGGTTCACGTCTTCAGCTCAGGCACAATATGACACGGCTCTACACTTACGGCTCCTGTGCTAGGCGCTCTGTCTCCTTGATGATTCGTTTAGGTAGAGCGGCCATATTTGGCGCTATGCAAACGTAACGAAAGTATGTAGGACTTTCTCGACAAAGTGAAAGACGTTGTAGGTAGCTGGTCGTGCGAGCGTGGGGTAAAAGGAAGGATACGAACGAAGAAGGGAAAGAGGCGCACTTGAGCGCAGCGGTTGAGCGTGATGAGACGGGGTCTAGATAGGAATCAGTCAGCCGCTTAGAAGCGAAAATGCAGAAGAATTCTAGAGACTTTGTTGGTGAGGAAACGGCTTGATTTGTCAAGTTGCGATGCACGATGTGGTTCCACTTGAGGCCACCCCTCCTCAGTGGCTGTTCATCATAGTTTCTACCGCATCTCCTGGCAGAAGCAAGGATCGGCTAGCTCCACGCGTATGTTGTGGGCTTCTGCATCCTCCAGCATCTGGTCTCAACTCAACTTAGATCAAGTCCCGATGCAGCATGCTTCAACATTTGTGCGCCTCCATCATCCTGGATCTATGTTGATCGTCGTCCATTGCAAATCGGTTCCAGTCCGAGAATGAGCCACGACTCTGCTATATCTGGATCGAGCCGGCAGGAACGCTGGCTCACACAACTCCGCAATGCTTAGCACCAACCGCCGGATGTCTTCGCACGATGTAGACGACTCATACCACAGCTCAACATTTGACCGCGATGTTGAGATCAGGGTGCACGAGACCGTGGGCTCTGCGTCAGTGTCTCCTAGTGGTCGCGATGTAGTCCTAGCATCGTATGCTGACAACCACGTTCCACGTTCTTGAAGAGGATGCTGACGAACAGGCGCAGTGCTGAAGGCTTACATATTGTCGACTTGGATTCACCGTATACCGCGCCCCGCTACCTCTCACACCAACAACAATGGCCTCCGGCAGATGTGCAGTGGTCGCCCTTTGCCGCTCGCGACTACTGGATTGTCAGCACCTCGAACCAGAAGGCACTTGTATGGAATCTCGAACTCTACAGCGCTGCTTCGCCGATCCAGTATACTCTGCACGCACATGACAGAGCGATCACAGACATTAACTTTTCCGCACATCATCCCGATATGTTGGCAACATGCGCCGTGGATAGTTTCGTCCACTGCTGGGATTTGAGAGAGGCTGGGAAGCCCGCAATGTCGTTTGCAGACTGGAGTGCCGGGGCGACACAGGTCAAGTGGAATAGGCAGGATGAGCACATCCTCGCGTCTTCTCATGACAAGTTTTTACACATTTGGGACAACCGTAAAGGCGCATACCCGCTCAAAACCATTGAGGCCCATACAACCAAGATCTACGGTATCGACTGGAATAGAATTAGAGCCACCGGAATCCTGACATGCTCACTTGACCAATCGATCAAATTCTGGGACTACTCTAAAGGTGACGACAAACCAGAACGTGTGATTCGAACTCTGTTTCCTGTTTGGAGAGCTAGACATACACCATTTGGCTGGGGTGTACTTGCATTGCCTCAGCGTGGCGACAATGATCTTCATATGTACGATCGTCGGCTTTCAAAAGGAACGCCCCGTATTGGCTTCGTTGATCCAGTCCATTCATTCTCAGGTCACCAATCCAATGTAAAGGAATTCCTCTGGCGTTCTCGAGGATCTATTGATCATGGCGTTGATAATCGTGATTTTCAACTTATCTCTTGGGGTATGGATAGGGTTTTGCATCTGCACAGGGTTGATCCATCGGTACTTAAGACCGTTGGTTACCAAAAGGGACAAGAGATGAGAAAAAACATGCCCGTGACCAGACAAGGCGCGAGATATAGGACTTTCAACATTCCAAAGCCCATCCCACTTACTACAGACACTGAAGAGTTGTCTGCAACCCAATCTAGAGGACTCCTGGGTAAATTGGTATCAGCTGCCGGAATGTCGAAGATGCCTCCCCCTGTAGCACCAGTAGGGCGAGAGCAAGCATCCATGACATATTCAGGGAAGCTGCGGAAGCGAACGGCTGATCCTATCAAATGGATGCAAGGAGTAACAATGAGGAGCCGTACAGACACGATGAGCAAAAGTAACCTCGGCCTAGATAATCCGGAAAGTTTGAAAGATGAGATTACCACCGTCTCACAAAAGTACACGAAAGTGGATTTTGAAATCGCAGATGTACATGGCCGGGTTGCTCGTGTAGCATTGAATGGACCGTGGGGCCCCGATGATAGACCCGTCTTCTTGCGGGTGACGTTTGAATTTCCTTCGGATTACCCCTCTGTGTCTCCTGCCATATGCTCACTTGAAAGAACAGCGGCAGGGATGTCAGACGAGATTGTAGAAAAATTGACCGAGGAGATGAAAACCATTGTAAATCATTATCATGGACGGAAAATGGGCTGTCTAGAAGCCGTGATAACCTATTTGCTCGGGGAACGTGGCCTTGAAGAAAGCATCACATTGCCTCCCTTCGAGGGTCCATATGATTTGCTCTCACCCGCCGCAGAGAGCTCAAGCGATGACGACGACGACGCTGTTGACGGACAAGATCTCGAGACCAGTGCTGAGGGTGCTCTTGGTCCTGCTCAAGCTAATGTACCATTGCCGAAAGCTTGTGGCGCTTACTGGTCGAATGACGGAAGACTAGTATGTTTCTTTCCTCCTAAACCTGAACCAAAACCACTCTTCAGTTTGGAGGCATTACGAAGCGCTGCAGGTGAGAAATTTCGAGGCCACAGGCATCTTGAAGGTTTCGGTCGAATGCAAGAAGACTCTCCTAGCTCCAAGCGAAGGACAGCGTCCGTGGACGACGACGAGACAGAAGACTCAGCAGAGTCCTGGACTTCATCCTCTTCCAGCTCCGATGATAGCTTTGACGATATCAGTCGACTGCCATCGCGGTTCCATCCTCCCGCTGCCTGGCGAGCGGCGACATTAAGGATGCAGAAAACATCTTCACATTCCGGTAGTGGTGGAGTGACAAGCTCAAAGCGCGATACCACAGCAACTAAGAATCCGACCATTGTGTCCATTCATGATTTCAGCGATATGCTTCCCGCCCGGCGTGACCTGGCTGAGGAGTATTTAGTCTTCGGCAGTGGACCTGATGTCTGCTTGCACAATGCCAAAGTATGTCAAGCTCACGGCCTTGAAGACCATGCAATTACGTGGGATATATGCCGGCACTTATTACTCAATGAGGTTCCACTTGAGAATGCTGAGCAGAATGACTCAAAGACCCCGATTTTTGTTGAAGCAAAGAGACAAATGGTACGTGTGCGCCGTAAAGATAGCGGCCTGGACCTTGCTTTAGACAAACCTGCAAACGTAGCCAATCCTATCTTGAGGGGAAGGGTGAAGTGGGGTGGCCATCCATTTGGTAGCCCATGGCTGATTCCGGAGCTGTTTGAATACTATGAGCGGCTTGCGGACACGCAGATGCTGGCTATGCTAGCTTGCATCTTCTATGAGCCTGAAGTGTGTAAAAATGTGTCCTATACCTTGGCTGGCACAAAGTCTCAAGACCTTCCACTTGCGATGCAAGCGCCTGCATATTTTCTTGAATATTCTCCTTCCGTTGAAGTTGCTCGGAGCCTCGCCGAGACAGGAAAGGTAACGATACAGTCGGCAACGCCGAGTGACTCTCGCTCTGGCGGGCCACAAGATTATTTTGACAGAAACACCACATTTGGATCTGCCGGATCATCTAATGGGCCATGGGAGCGTGACACAGTACCGAGTGGTCCCCATACACCTTACTCAACAGGCGATACGCCTCCGCCTGTGACTCCTTATTCAGTACGGAGTAATAGAAACAGTAGCGCCAATAGTCTCTCTACTTCACCCGAGCAGACATCCAACAGGTCGTCACGACGGTCAACCTCGAACATGTCTGCTGCCTTTTCACTTACAAAAGCATTTACCTCGCTGAGCACGTCACCCACGACGCAAGAGCGCTTCAAGGCTTCTGACGCTGACTTATCTACATCTGCTCCTACGGCGCAGACCTCAAGTGTAACCTGGGGGTCTACTACGTTCTACTCTAGCAACTCTCCTACGTCGGCCGAGAAACGGCGACGTTCTCAATCAAGCCGTCGTAGCTCTTCGAGGCCTTTTGCTGTCGATGGTGCAAATGATACAGAGGAAGACGACGATGAATACGATACGGATGACACGTATTATGATGTGGGAAAAGTTTACGCGCCAACCAAGAAGGAAGAACAAAAATTCAGAGTTGTCTTGAAGAACCAATCCTTATTCGATGTGGAAGGTCACGCCTCTGTTCCGCTGCTGCCGCCTAAAGACAGTGTCAAATTTCGGGCTTATAGAGACGTTTACGCTGAACTGCTCGGCTCTTGGGGTCTGTACATACAGCGCGCTGAACTCGTGAAGTTCAATGGCCTAACCAATTTCTGGAGTGAAGATGCTCCAGTCTACCCTCTACATGTGCAAATGTCAAGGGACAAGCCAGAGCAAGCATCCAAGCTAAGTCAACGCTCATCGCCGATGCTCCACGGAAGAGACATGTTCGATAATCTGGAGCCGTCCAAAAAGATATTGGATATGAACACTGCTCAAAGCCGATCGCATGGGTCCAGATCCTGGGCACCGAGTCGGAAGTCATCTGATCTTAGCCCTAAGCACAACAAACGGAATTTGCATTTGGAGAAATCACTACTGAATGGTCCCATTCGGTTCGAGCCCAAAAAGCGTGCCGTTCCAGGGATCAACTGTCATATCTGCATAGAGATAATACACGGACTGTTTGTGAGCTGCCCAAGTGGCAGACATAAAGCCCACACAATGTGTTACGAGGACTCTGTGGACGGAAAAAGCACGGATGAGATGTCTGATATGGGTGTAAGCTGCGGCTGTAAGACTAATGATATTGAGGACTGGTTAAGCAGCGACATGGATATCAAGTGGAGTTCATTCATGGAGGAGAACGGACTGCGGATTGGTCCAGGCTGTGCTCGTAGCATTTCTTGAAGGTGCCAAAACAGCGGCAAAGGTATCGTGCAGCCACATGCGATTCCGCCGCACTGTGTATCGCGGATCTCGCATCGTCTGCTTATTTCCCGCAGAAATTTATTGTACTACAAGTAGCGTTGAAAGTCCAGCTACTCTCCAGAAGCTACTAATATCTGCACTTCAGATATGCAGCAACACATGTGCATGGCGAGAGATGCTTGTTTCTTGATTTCCAGGACGATACGACAATCAAGGCTTCTTTCCCCTGGCAAAAAAGACCTTTCGCTTCACTTCCTCATCATTCTTCAAAACCATGGTGACGTCCTCTGGCAGCCATACCATCTTAAAATCAACCAGCCCTGCCTCTTCCATGTAGCTTTTCATCTCCTCCTCGGTAAAGCCAGACTTGTGCATCATCTTCCTCATCTCTTCCGTGACGTGCTTCCAATGCTGAAATTTCCGTCTCAGACCACGTACCCCGAGCAAAGGTGAATGAGCAGGGGAAAACTTACTTCTTCAGAGGGCGCCAAGTCGATGATGCCCACGACGCCTCCGGGCTTGACGCGCTGCGCGAGCTTGCGCAGCGACCCTACCCAGTCCTCGAAGTGGTGGAAGCCAAGTCCAACGATGACGGCGTCGAAGTCGGAAAACCTGCCGTCGGACGCAAGGTCGACGTCCTTTTCCTCGGAGCCGGGTGGGACGATGTACGGGTTGTCGCCCAGAAGGTTTCCCTGGACCGCGGAGGCGACGTGCTCGGTGCCGGCTGCCCTCGATCTCGAGTTGTACTCGTCGACCATGCCGCCGGAGACGTCCACGCCTTGCACGTGTGAGACGTACGGAATCAAGGCCCGCGTGACGGTTCCGGGCCCGCACGCGTAGTCGAGAAGCTTGAATTCCTGCCGTCCCTCCTGCTTGGACAGGCCGAACAGGTCCCGCTGCTGAACAAGCTCTCCATAGACGGTCTCGATGAGCTTCTTCTGCCAGGGTTTGGTGTCGTACTCCTTGGCTCGGCTGTCCCAGTGATGACGGTTGGCGTGTTCAATGTCGGACATGGTGTGGATTCGACCTCCAGCCGACGGCGTTCCGATGAGATCCTGATAGCGGAGGAAGAGGGCAATGTTAGTGCTCTGATGAGGGGTGAGGTGACGTCGTTCGACTTGGGGCCCAACGTAGAGCGGGACCGGTACTTGCGACTTCTACATCAAAAGGAGCGGATGAAGCTACGCGTGATATATACACACGTCCGCCATGCTCAAGCAGGCTGACGGCGTGGCCATAAGTCTCCGTCGGACTCATTTTCACTTGTATTTCGACTTTTAAGTCTCCGACGTGCAAACGCTACTCGGCGACTTTGTGCCTTCATATTTTGATTCTCCTTTGGGACAAACGGGCCGTTCCGGGCTAGCCGTTTGCTGGAAGCCAATGGCAATCGATAAGGTGACGTATGACCGAGTACATCCTCGCCACGACGTCCGAAAAGCCGTGACTCCCGCATGGTTCCACAACGGTACGGTCTGCGTCGTTTCCCTTTCGAGATACCCTTTCGTGTCGAGAGCTTGGGCAAAAGAAGTAGAAGAAGAAGAGGCAAAAAAAAAAAAAAAGGGAGATAAGAAAAAAGCACACGCGAGTCGCGGACACGTGAAAAGGGCGCACGAGAGATTGCTACGTTAGCCCAGTTTCTGGCGCGGTTTGCCTGAGTCGGTGAAAGAGCGGTTTTTGTTTGGGACCGGCTTGTCGCCGACGAAACCCAGGATCCAGGTCCCAAGAATTAAAAACGGAGAAAAGAAGAGAAAAATAAATGAGAGTAATGATAATGATGAAAAAAAAAGGGAACAGAAACGCCCGACTCCGAGTGCCAGATCAAACAAAGAGCGGGCATGGCCTTGCCTGGGAGAACCAGGCCGTAGATCTCGCTTCCAATGACTGCACAACCTTGCTTGACCGAGTCCTCCCCTCTCCCGGCCGCTCCCCCTTCCCCTGCAAAAACGAGCGGACGGGCGGTCGCGGGCGTTGGGGCTTTTTTCCTTTCCCGCAGCCTGGTTACCGCAACATCCCTCCCGCTCCCACACCCGCATGAGCTTATAAGGAATCGCAAATCGCGGGTATTTCGAAACAGGGCCGAATCTGGCAGCGTTAGACGCAAGGGTGCAAGTGGATGTGTTTTTTTTTCTTCGGCGGACAAGAGCGCCCACGCGGCGTTCGCCCGCTGCATGACTTGTTGTCAAACTAGTTGCCCCGTTGCTGCAGGACATTTGCGGGTCAACGGCTGACCCAGGTGTCAAATTTTCTTCTCCCCCCATCCAGTCCCCCTTCTCTTGTGCGTGTCATGGCCTTCCGTGGTTGCGTGCCTAGTCTCCCACGCTTGTGCGAAGGGCTTCAGAACCACGAACGGCGGCAAGAAAAAAAGAAAGGCTGCGAAGTAGAGTGTGAACACGAAACAATTGCATTGACGCACTGCTTGCCAAGTAGACGATACTGTGGAGGTGAACAAAAGCGAACCTTTATAATCCATATTGCCCAACGCTTGAATCCGTCTCTGATATCACACACGATTCCCCAATGCCTTTGCGCTCAAACACACGTCTGCCACCCATTGGGGTATCATCAGCTGTCGCGATGAACGCGTATTTGAATTATTCAGACAACCGACCCAAATTTACCCTTACATCGAGCTCTCAACTCGACGTTTACATGATGCACGTAGACCCATAAATATAACGCGGACTGAAAGTAGAACAGATAAGAGAAAAGAACGGGCGAGCTCTAAGGCTCGCTGCAAATTGGCAGAGAAAAATCCACGGTTAAGGCAGTAAAAGCGCAGGATTCCGTTCCAAAGTCAGAAAAGGCTTTTGACCGCGAGGCCACGTCGATCTAGTGAAGAAAATAGTAAAAATCTTTGCTGCGTACAGGCCCCTTCTCCAAAGCATGAAGGTGGCGAAATGTATCGCATATACTGAAGCGACGAATGATTGTTGACGTATTTCGTTGGACATCCGTGCGCCTAAGGGAATCAAAGATCTGTTGTAAGAGACATAGAATGATCGCTGCAGATTACCTCCCAGGTGTATATTGGACGACAAGAGGGAAAAAAAAAAGGTAAGAAGAAAAGGGCAGGCCGAAAGCTCGAGTTGGGAATTGACGAAGCCTTTTAGGACGGTGAGTCGTGCTTTCCAGCGGATTCAAACGAGAGTGGGTGCAGACAGAAGCCAGCTCTGGCCCCCGCTCACGCGGCAAATCACGCGCTCGCAGTCATACCTGCCCTAGCCGAGGCGCTTCAACATGTCACGATCTTCTTGGCTGCGACCGCCAGCACCGCCTTCGCCGCTCACGATGCTGCTGATGCTCAAACCTGGACGCACTCCTCCCGTATTGGTCGGAGCTGCTACGGTCTGACCCGTCTGAGCTGATGTGGAAACTGGCGGGGGAGTTCGACCGTCAGTTAAATTGCTCGGTGGCTTGAGGGTTGTATCCGCCGGATACGGTGGATAAGCCTGGGGCTGGGTGTTCGGGGAGGCTGACGATCGTCCGTCCTGTGTGTAGGGCGAGACAGTCTGGGGCGGAGTTCGGCGTGGTGCCTGGCCTGGATAGTAGGGCTGTGGAGCTGACTGGTGCGAAGTACTTGAGGCAGGGGATACCGGTGCGGCTCCCACCGTGTTCGGGTCAGGATAGCGATACTCTGCGGGCGCACCGGGAGCAGTAGCCGGGTTCGGAGGTGGGAGGGTGGGTGTATGTGGTTCGCCATTGGTGCGCGGTTTGTGAGTACCGTTCACACCATTGCTAACCTCATGAGGTGGGTAGTGTCCAGAAGGTGGGGGAGGGCCCGCTGGCTGCGCATGCGGATAATGCGGTGGAGGTGGTGGGTAGTGACCACCGGTTGGGCTCGGTAAGGTGTAGCCAGGAGGTCGAGATGCAGCATACGGGTCATGCTGACCCGGCTGCGGAGGCGGGAGTGGTTGACCGTACGCACCATACAGCTGCTGGGTAGGAGGTGGATGACCGCGACCGTAGACAGCATGAGCTGGCACAAATGCTTGCGCTTGAGCCGACACGGGCGTGAAAACACATTCTTGTGAGAATCTTTGACAGTTGGCGCAACGTCCATCCTCGGACTGGTCGAATCCGGAGCAACGAATCTAGAAGTCATTAGTCTAGTCGACGCTTGAATATACCGTCCTTGACCTACCTTTCTTCTCCTACAATAACGACACGCGATAGCCGTGCGCTGCCTCGGCGCAGGTTGATGTTGGGGAGGATATGGGTGATAAGCTTGCTGAGGAGCTCTGTAGGGATCGTGCGTTGGTCGATACGGATAGTGGGCTGGAGGAGCCGGGGGGTAAGCTGGCGGAGGATATGCTCCAGCGGCGGCGGCAGCAGCAGGTGGTGGTGGGGGAGGAGGCGGAGGAGGAGCATGATGTACAGCCATCTCGGGACGAGAGTACTCGGAGATTGAAGGCAGAGGTTGTTGTTGAGGAGGCTGTTGCAAAGTCGTCAGACAGATAGATGTAAATTTCACCAGGCTGGGCTCACCGGAATGGAAGATGGAGGATATGCAGTGCCGTTAGGCTGATGCGGTGCCTGCGCCTGCGTGGAAGCTGGAGGAGGTGCTGGAGGATAGTAGGCCGGGTTGCTCTGGTCTTGGCTTGGTGGACGGTGAGGGTACATTTGGGGAATGAGCAGGCTGATCGAGGCCTGTATCGCCAAACCGTGTTCTCCGCCTTAGTATGGTAGTAATTTAAAAAGAGCCAGCGTCATCTGCTCACGTTGTGCGAAAACGAGGCAGAGGAAATGTTGTGAGAATGTCAAGAATGAGGTTCCGGTGTGAATGGGTGACACAAGAGGACGGGTGGACCCGCGAGGCTGATCAAAGAGGCCGACTGCGGTTGGGATTAATTTGGGCCAGTCAATAGTGCAGCAGCGGAGCGACCGGTGCCAGGATAGGCGAAGAGGTTGCAGTCGGGAGTGCGAGCGAGCTGAAGGGGGTTTTCAGTGGAGGGGGCGAGCGAGAGAATAAAAGTGACGAAGACTGTGCAGGAAAACAGCGACGGCTGCCGTTAATAGGTCAGTTTCGGAGCGGGAGGGTGAGCGGATGCTGAACCACGGGTGTGGGAAAGGAGGCGAGCGTCCAGCGCGGACAGACTGGTTTGGCGCGGGAAAAAGCAGATCTGGCGCAAGACGTGTGACTAGGCTCTGCAGGCTTCGGTTCGTTGCAAGGAGAAGCCAGAGCAAAAATGGTGTGAATTCGCTAGTTAGCCCGTGAGACGAGGCGCAACTGAGATCAGCAAACTACGGGAGCCCAATCACGCCGGCGGAGCTGGACGGACCAGGTTTTGAGCTGCTCGTCGGTGGTGGTGGAGGTCGTAGTAATAGAGCAGTGCTTCTGCGGTTCGTGTGTGAGAGAGAGGCTCCCAAGGACGAGACTGCGTGTGTTGCGTGTGTGTTGCGTGTGCGTATGCCGGAGTTTTTGTGTTGCGTGTGTGAGTTGGTAGTCGTCCTGTTAGAACTCCCTTTCTATTGTTGCCACTCTTCGTTAAAGCAGCCACACAGAACGATAGAGAGACGTGAAGCAGCAGCGGATATCTTCTGGATTTGTTATGATTTGCTTCGGCTCCTTTGATTTTTGATGAGAAGAGAGCTGGTAGACGAAAGATAAAATCGGTGGATGAACGCTGCCGGCCGCTGCTGGCGGGACGAAACAAAATCCTTGCTTTGCGCCGGGCTTGGGCGGTGCAACAGGGTCGTCGCGCGTTGGGTTTTCTGTGCTTTTTGGTTTGTTCTTTGCTGCGTGCCGGGCCAGCAGAAGATTGGTACCGAAGGCTGGGAAAGAAAAAAAAGAGGTCCTTTGGGGGTGTTTTGCACGCTGAACCAGTATCAGTGGCTTTTCGGTGGCTGCAGGGTTCCTTGACCAGGATAAGGATTGCTGGGAACGCCTTGGGTGTCTGGCTCTTGGGGGGGGAAAGACAGAAACGCTGGAGATAGGGCCGTGCGTGTACGTCCACGCGAAACCCAAGCCGATCGCTTGTGTGTGTGTTTGGTGCAGCAAGGGAGGGATGATCCGAATACTGCGGCGGCGCTGTCTGCAGCCCCGGGTTTGGCTTTGACTATTCTATGATGGCTATGGATGTGGTTCTGCCGATGGCTCTGACTCTGCTCTGTCTCCGACTCTGGCTCCGGCTCTGGCTCTGACTCTGACTCTGACTTTGGCTCTGGCTCTGGCTGTTGTCCGCTCTTCCCGACCGCACCTTGCCACTGGTCGTACCGCCGTTGCTGATGCTGCTGCTCGTCCTGCACGGGCACGTATACAATCGGCTAGGGCGGAAACGACTGCTTTTTTGGGTGGATTCGAAGGAACGGAGCGAGGCAGAATGACGTTGGTTGCAGCTTTGACGAAAGGGGTGGACGAGCCGTGTGTGCGTGAGGAACAAGAGATCGAAGAAATCACTCGACGTGTGCTCCGTTGTGGCCAATGCCTAGCGCTTCAAACACGGCATGTGCTGGACGGGGTGGAGGCGTTCTGAGCGTGAGGCAAGATTCGACCGGGCCATGGTGAATGACAACACACTAGACACCAGACGGGTTTACGCTTTCGTGATCACGGAATCGTAGCGTCCACATCAGCTGTCGACTGCCTCTGGCATCCCGGAACGAAAGGGACTGGGGTACTTGGTAGACAAGGCTCGCCTAACATCTGCGTAAATCCCCTTAAAAAAAAGGAAAGAAAAGTGTGGTACTCCATTATTGAAACCCTTTGCGCTGCCACTCTATTCTTGCCCAGCGCTTCGTACGAGATGCACTATTTCACCAGAAGAACAGGCCCTGCCCTGCGATGACACCACCAGTGTGCTCCTTCGTCGCGGCTATCTCATGGCAAATGTGACTCGGCAATCGCACACTGAACTTGCCATTCGTCAGAGGCCCAAGCTGACAAGATGTGAGGGCGACGTTAAGAGTTATTGACAGCTCCAGTTTGCGGATACCTGTCCCATCGTGCTAAAGCTTCGAGAACATCGTGAGAAGATGTGCCAGCGAATCACACCAGCGGACTCGGTGTGATAGTGACGGAGAAGCGCGAGATGGCAGCTCACGTGAGTGAATTCGTCTGCGCGTGGCCCCCCAAAAAACTGGTTCCGAGATCCGTCTGTCGTGTAGGAAGAGTGGTAGGAGTGGCCAGGAATGGTCTGAATAGGGTGGATATGTGCTGACTCCCCCCAGTCAGCCAGTGGCAAAGTCAGTCTAGAGGCGGAGAGCAGCATCTTTTCACAAGCGATGGTTCGCCCAGTTGCGACACCTCCAGCACACTCGGCGGATGGTGACGTTGACACACAGCGTCTGCCAAAGGAGCGAATCGGCTTGGAGCGATGCTTTGCCTCCCGCCAACATTGGACAGGCAAACCTGGAGAGGGCTCCAATTTTCCAATTAATCGAATAAATTGTCCCCATGATTGGTCGATGACTCAGTTGCTTCAAAGTACCCAGGTCGCCTGTCTCCCGCCGGTCTGCTTGCAGCTTTCCCATAAACTGGAGACAAGCGCGCTGTGGAAAAAACAGGCCTCCCTCGAGTTGTCAGCTAAGTATCTCACCGCCTCTTGGGGCTTTGTGCGTCAAACTGACCGCGATCCTGCTCTAATTCCTTCCCCTTCATCATCATCTTCATCTTGTTCTTCTTCTTCTTCTGCCCCCGTCAACTCTCATAATCGCTCTCGTGACTATGCAGGACCCTTTCTCCATCGGCCGAAAGACGGGGGGCTGCGGTCCATTTCGCTGCATTTCGCTTTATTTTATTCCTCTAGTACAACTCCCACTTTGTCTCCCCATGCTGGGATCTCCGGTTCCTGCCGCATGATGCTGACTTGCTGCGGATAAGGGCGGGCCGAGGCAGCGCGAGGGGCAGTATCCGTGAGCTAGTATTGCTGTATGCCCTAAAATGATGCGCCAGAAAACGGAAAATTGATCAAACAGCGGAAGCTTCAAAGCCTAACCGCCATCAAGTGCTGTCTAAATGGCCAAGTCTTCCTCCCAAAGTGTTCTACCTAATCAGACTGCTTGCATGTACAAAGCGACTGCCATGGTCACCTGGTCGAACCGTCATGCAACTATCGATGCTGGATGCAGAAGCGAAAAGCGGTGAAGCGCAGATGAGAAGCGAGCACTGATGACGGCACATTTGAAGGATCGATGATCAAGTCAGCTGGATAGCAAAGAGTGATAACTTTTGCATGGTCGCTACAGCATCCATGCTTGTCGGCCAGCTTGTGAACTGCTGTCACGGACACTTCGCTCCGTACCCTGCCCTCTGCGGAAGTTGTCACTTCAAAATCAAAATCCAGACAGGGCCAGAGCTCAGGTGGGCATCTGCATGCTTCCTTCAACTATCGATACCATGTATACGTACGATCTATCACAATCCACCTCCCTGTCTGACAGCATGCTTCCATCCGTGATGGAGCGGCCCGGGGCGCAAACGTGGTGTATCAAAGTTAGAGGTTTTTTTGCTCTTTATTTTTTTTTTTAGCTAAAATGACATCGTAAAGTCGTCCTCACTAAAGCAACGTGCCATCTAAGGATGGTGGCACACATGCTCGGAACAATTCTCTATTGGCTGTCTCACAAGCTTGAGCGGTGCAGAATACCGAGCAAAGATTGTCGTCTGAGACGTCAGAGAACGCAACGGAGCCCAATGATGGCGCGGCGACCTTTGTCAACGTTTAGCGGCAAGAGCGATTGACGCAATTTTAGGCGACGTTTCAGATCCAAACTATATTCGAAACCATTTTCATCGATACCAACGTTCGGTTGCCCAGTCGTTCACGCGTCGAATCCTCGCCTGAGGAAGAGCTGCATTCACAGCACAGGGAGACACAAGTTCGTCCTCTCACAAGCGCCTTTCGCGGTGTGCAAGCAGTTCTCTTCAATTTCCAACGTCCTGCAACTTTGTGCGATGAGACCTCTTGGGCGTGAGATCCTTGTTGCCAGGCCGGAGCAACAAGAACCTGACCGGCTCGAGTTCGCATCCTTTCTAAAGGGGATGCCAATTTCGTAAAACCCCCACACAGCTTGGGAGCACGGCTTGAGTCAACGTTTGCGCAAAAAAAGGAAGATGACGCAGAAAAGGATGGGAAGCGACACGGCAGGGACTGTTTGCAGCATGGGACGTCCGAGCCGCATGGTTCTTGCTGCACCCTTCAGCCGTCGTGCAAGGTTACTCAAAAACTGGCCATGAGCCAAGTATTGGTGGAGGAACCAAAACAGTACGCTTGGGGCAACGACGATCACACCTATTACCTGTCGAGGCGTAAAAAGCAAGCCCAAGGAACTCGCTAGGATTGCAAGAGAGAGGATGCTTGATGAGATGGATTGATGAAAATAAAACAAGGGCGGACCGTCTCGCCCTGCAACGGCCCGTCGCGAGTGGAGAATTAAGGCCAACGATTGAAAGCGCGCAAATCATGCTGGGATACAAAGAGACGTTCCTGCGGACTCTGTAGCCTTAGCCTAGACTGATGTGTCACGGCAGGGTGAACTTGCATGTGTTCAGATAACTGCAATCCTGACCAAAGGAGGCAGCCTCGAACTTGGGGTTTTGCTTTGGCCAGAGATGGGACTCAAGAAAACCGCAGCGGCCAGCCAGCTGACGAGGGCGCGAGCGAGCGAATGAAAGTCACGGATTGGCCCCGACGTGCTTGCAATCGATGCAGCGAACGGCTGCCGGTCAGACAGACTCGATCGGCCAAGGCTGCTGCAGAAGCCTGGGACGTGGCTTTGCGCTAAGACGGCTGGTTTCCCGCGCTTGGGGAGAAGATGCCAATACGCACGGCGCGCGGCAAACCCCCCTTATAACGGGGCTCCACTTGGCGCGGTCACCTGACTGAAAGTGTATGCGTTCCGGCATGGCCCTTCCCGTCTGGCCGCTGCAGAGCCGGGATTGCGTGTGGACTAGTTTCCAACGTCCGTCCAATCAGGAAGTCGATCCGCTCACCGTCCTGTGGCTCCGTCTCCTCTGTATGAGTGCCACGTAGGTTTGCATTGCATACAATGCACAAGACCATGGCTTTCATGCAATCCTGTGCTGTTTTTCTATTGTTGAGCAGACACTCTCATACTACACACCGAGAACGATTCGCCATCACGCCCATCCCAGAGTCACTAAGTGAGCCAGCGACGTGGCTTTTCCGCCAGGCAAAATCGCACCTTCGAGTCAAGAAATGTGATCAATCATCGTCTTCATCGTCACTAGGCTCCTCTTCTTCGCCATCGCTTGGCTGGTCAGGCCTTACGACATCGTTGAGGTAAGTTACCTGGTGTGGTCTAAGTCAGCAGTAGATTCTTCTGTGGCTGCCAGTAAAGGAGCCCAGCAACGCCGCCGCTGGCTGGTCAAATGAACAACTCGACCTAGATCCTTGCGGGTCGAGGCCAACCTGGCCTCGAGAACTTGAACATCACAACGCATTAGGCATAAGTATGCCCCAGACCGCTTCCATATCGGCACTAGATCAGGAGTTTTGAATTCTGATCTTGCCGCTGGAATTATCCTCTTTTTAATCTTGGGACCGAAAGCATGCAACGATGAGTGTGATGGGACGAGGCTTTGTGCAGAAGTGCGCTTCACCGATTCCAGATCCAGCCCGCAGAAAGAATTGAGCACTTACGAATGGTACAAGGTGCGAAATCAGGTCCACGATGATCTCGACTGCATTGGGACTCACCACATCCTCGTCGCGAAGCTTCCGATGAAGCGTAAAGTTTTTAAGCCGGAGAAGTTCAATATCTTTGTGATCAGGATCGAATCCCTAGAAGTTAACATTGTCAATCACGGTACTTGAATGGATGTGGTGAAGCCAAAATATGAGAAATGTGAAGCCAGTGAGTGGTGCGACCCATTTTGGGGTGGACGTGCAAATTCCCCAGGGATCCCCGGAGATGTGATGCACACTCGCCTGAGCAAGAGCGGGACAGATGCCGATACGATAGCGTCCATTTGCAGACCATTCTCAAATGACGAACATAATTGAGCGCGTTATCCGACCACATAAAGCTCTCAGGTCTACAAGGAGAGGGCTATTGGCGGCAGAGGCTGGGACATTTGATGGTTCGATCCTTTCTCGATCATCTTCGCTTTCGAGGATGAAGGCGATTCTCCGTTGGCGAATGCCAGGTTTCGTCCCGTTCCGGCCCTCTGTAGTCGTGGCCTTAGCAGAGTTGACCAGTATTCCAAACAGCGGATGCTCTAGGTCCACCAATACACACTCTTTCATAAGAGTACCGCAGAGTCTGGTCCGCTTCTATCCGCTAATTCTATGAAATTATGAAGGGCATGAAACGATTAGTCTTGAAATACTTTTGGGACCTAGTGTTAGTCGTAACTGTCATGACCGCAACGTGACCAGCGGACCCTATCTCCGAATCGGGGTACCGACGTCGAGCCCATTGTACTGGATTGGCAGAGTATTGCAATGAGTTTTGATGCCCACAAAGCATTTATGCCATCAGACCCATCATGCTTTGATACTACCTTTATCGAGAAGGCTCTTGTTGCTGCGATAACACGTATACTTGCTCGGAATGCTCTTGTCTTGGCCCGCTTCGTGCGAAAGAGATGGGATGAATCGCTCACCTTTGGCTTCGTCTTCAGACTGGTCTCCGCATGCTCATTCACGAACCTTTTGACGACCTTCGCTTCATCCTTCGCGACGCCACCGAGAAACTCTTTACGAATGCCAGCGGAAGAAAGCACGGATTTGATTCGTTCTGGTCGCCTGTCGATGTCCTGACGAAGCGCAGTTAATGCTGCTGCTTCTGGCATCCACAAACCCCCTCCTGTAGATCCCCTCGTCAGTAACCAGCTTCGAATTTCCACAAAAGAGATGGAAGAGGGAAGTCTTGATAGGATTTGGTGTTGAGAACTGTGGAAAGCAGAACAGATTGCGCCCCTACAAGTACTATTCGCCTATTCTTCAGAATTCTTGAGTTGGGCAAAGAGAGTGATAACCTTAGGCTTAAATCTCGGTTGGAAATTGGCTTTAACAAGCCGATTTTCAACTCTTTCTGTTATGAATATGGTTTCACTTTGGCGCTCAGGAGGAGACACTTCCCTAGATCAAGGAGGCGATTGATCTATCATCCTCTAGGAAACGACTAGCATAGAGTGGCATATCAACGAAGAACAAGCATCACAGACAATATAAAATAGACTTAAAGAAAGACTTACCAACCAGGCTGCCACCGTCTGGCTTGATTTGTAGGTAATAGACAGCGTACGGGCCTTTGCGTCCTATCGTGTTTAATTTTAGCTACGGGTTGTTGCGTCTACAGAGGTCCAGCTGCCGCTGCTTACCAGTGCGGGACCACGCGGCCGAAAAATGAGTCTTATAAGGAGTCTGATCTTTACTGAATCGGACGTCTCTGTATATTCGAAAAATCTGCAGGGGAAAAGATAAGGAAGTGGACCAAGAGAGAACATTTGCACACCTACAATATCTTTGATTGGCAGCTCTGGCACGGTGTCATCTACCGTAATGATACCCTGCGTAAGAGCTTCCAGGAAAGTCTCAAAGTCTTTCCACGAAGCACGATAGTCGGGATCGTGCACTGGAAGGTGTTAGTAGTTGTAGATCGTGTTGTATTGGAAGCTAGAGTAGTGTCTGCATTGGTCCAATCAAGAAAATGGAGACATACTTTTAAGCCACTGGCGACTGTTGTTCGCAGCCAACTCCTTCAAGAACAGCATGGTGTTAGGGTGTATAGTCTCATCAGTGTACGGAGTGTCGCCTGGTGATCTCGCTCTCGGCTTCTTGAATACGACCTGGGTTCCAGGCCCCATTCCAGTTTTCACTCCAGGCCGCCAGATTTCCTTTTCGGCTTTAGGCCTCCCTTTCCCACCGGCAGAAGCGGAAGCTTTTCTAGAGAAACTGCGTTTGGCACCACTTCCAGACCTTCTCGTAATTGGCTCGCCTTCAGAGGACTCCTGTTCCGACTCTTCCTCGGACTCATCTGGGCCTGTCGAATCTTCGTATCCAGATTCTTTTTCATCCTCCTCAGTGCCTGAAATGTCTTCCAGGTTGTCTGAAACTTCTTCTTCTGCATCTTTAGAGACATTTTGCTGCTTTACTCGCTTACTCTTCGAAGTGCCGTCTGAGGACTTGGGGCGCTTGGAAGAGCTGCGAGCTGCCCCAACGTCCGACAACCTAAGTGATCTTCGTGGCATTCTTATTTTGTAAATTTAACTTTGCCCTTACTCGTCTGACTTTGCCGCTTTTATTCAAAAGTCATCAGTATCGAATTGTCTGTGCGTCGTTGAAGTCATGAACCATGTCGGTGATAGCACGTCAAAGCTTCTACTTTGACGCGTTCTTAAGCGCTCGTCTAAGTATTTTATCCTGGACTCTTCAACACGTGGTCACGCTTCTTCGCTTAGACTTCCCATACAAATATTGATTCTTTTTTAATAAAAGAGACGTTTACCTGTCGACCAAGTTGGTAGGTCTGCTATGTCTACAGCATTCGAGGAGAGGAAAATTCGCATCATTACAGAGCTTGAAGTCCCTGAAGAGGAGTACAATGACCTCTCACCGAAGGGATCCATTGATATAGGAATAAGGGAGCTACTTGGAGAGATCAACGCTATAAAGACACTGGTGACGACAAGCAGTTGTGCTGGACGTGTCAGCATTTACGTCGAAGGCAAGAAGCGTCAAGTAGATGCTGCCAACTCAAATGAGCAGGCAGTTAAGATTATATCCAGTTCCGGTGGCAAAGGCGGCGGGCGCTGGTTATTTGTGAGCCATGATCCCATTGCCGAAACTACGTCCCTGTGCCAGTTGTTCGGATTATCAATGAAACAGGGAATAAGACTTTCTGACCTCACCAATGATACCCCTCTCATACATATGAAGTTTGAAGCTATGGTTTGAATCCCGTTCCAAGATCTGATTTCAAGGGTTGACAACCATGCAGATACTGCATATGCTCACTGCCTCGTTGGAAGATGCGAGCAAGGTTCTCACAGCCGCAAGTAGTGCTGGCTTTAGAGAGAGTGGCGCGATGGGGTTTTCGGCCAACAAGGACGGCTCGATCACGCCCATGGTCGCGGTGCGTTCGAATGGCCTCGGGCTTGATTCAGTGATAGGCTACATCGACGAGAATGGCGATCCTGTCTGCATCGTTTCCGAAGACCACTTGCGGTTGCTCACCAGGATCGCAAATGATCGGTTTAGAGTCAACAGCGAGCGGATTTCGAGATTTCGAAAAGAGGTGCTCGATACGTATTCAGCGCATCCTGCGTCTGCCAAGTCTCAACGCGAGGATGCAGAAGCCCGGAGAGCTCGCAAACGAGCGGAGGGGCTTGCAAGGCAAGCAGAGCAACGTGTCAAACAGGAAGCCAAGTATTCTTCTTCCGACGGCATGGATCTGAATTTTCCTGGTTAGAACCAGCAAGGACCGTACGAGGCCTACAAATGGTAAATATAACGTCAATTCCTAGCCAATACATTCCAAGTGCTTATCCAGAGACTCTAGCTTCGACGTCATGAGCTAGACTTTCACTGCTAGCTTGGAGAAGAGATGGTATGTTCGTAACAAGCAATTTAACACCAGATCTCCCACAAAAGGGAGTTCGCCTTCTTGAAAATAAGAAGTGCATTGTGGTCTCACGCCTGAGAGATATTGTAGCAATTTCTCGACTCGATCAGAAATTTCTCATCGCCTATCCGGACGATCCTACTGCATAGAACATTGCAGGAAGGAAACATGGCGAATTGCAACTACGCACACCACTCTCTTTTCCAAAGCCACACTGCTCCACCCAGCATACCTATTTCCCCAATCTCTCTTTCTGTTGCCCATAATCCGTACAATCCAAACGGCGTGTTGCTCAAATACCAGCTCCAGCTTGTAGGATGGTGCTTGTACGACTTCCTACCTCTTATATAACCATGGCTATCCGTGGTCACCGAGATGTCAAACTCACCCACGCCATCTATCCCACTTGCAGCACTGAAGAATCCCCCTCCAGCAGTGAGCGGGCCATGGGTTGTGAACCTGATACCAGTCATCGGCGCATCCAACAAGGTGGCGATTGCCCCCATTGGAAAAGGGTCATTATACGTGTACATGCCTACCCACTCACCGCTATCTAAATACTCTGGCGACGACTGGATTGATCTCTGACGTTGTATCCACCTCCTCCAGGAGCTCAGTGACTCTGAGATGGGCAAAAAAGGCACGGGAATATCTGTAGGAGATAGCGCCAGGGGAATTTTGGAGATGCTGGGGATATTTACGTGCGTAGAATGCCGGGGGCCCGCCGACAGATATTGGCTTGGCAGGTCGGGATTCTTTGTGTGGTCGGGAAAAGCGCAAGCTAACAAGGTGGCCATCTTGCCAACGCCGACTAAATTGTCGTCGTGGAAGCGCTGGACGTAGGTTGCTGTCTGACGGCGAATGCCATTCGCGAGGTTGTCATATGTATAGAAAGTGATTGCGTTGTGATCGTGGAGCTGCTCGTCTAATGATGAAGACGAGGGTATGAAGGGGGCGATCCTAAGTAATCCACATGCTATCATCAGCGACACAATCGAGCGCTTTTCATCTAAATCAGCAAGTGCGGCTTTCAATCCCTCCTCGTCAGGAAATCCAGCCTTGAATATCAGGCGGCGTCCAAGAAGAAAGCTACGATCCAGCGTGGGCACGCCACTATTCAACATGACCAAGTTCGGTAAATACCTCAGCAGCTCCGACGTGTTCGGTATGACTCCCGTCTCCAGCTTTCCCACAGTCTTCTCGTTCTCGATGAACTGGAGATAACGCGATTCAGCAACGGCATAGCGGGCCACGAGATCGACATCGGCTAAGAATCCGCCCAGGTGCTCTTTCGCCCACGTGTGACTGTAAAACGAGTCCAGAAAGACAAGCGAGTCGTAGCAGGTCTGTCGCAGCAGCTTGGACACCTGTGCCAGCGCCAGCACCGTCTCCGGCGTGGTCTTCGAGGCTATCTGGACGATAAGCTCTGGCGGAAGCTTGTCAAGGGTCCGAAACTGTAGCTTGGCCATTCTCAAGGCTGAGATCGCTCGACGCAACAGCAACGGTGTCGATTGACGTCAGGGCTTGCGCAGAACGGGGGCGGCACAAGTTGCGAGAATCGATCGGCCAACAGTCGCGTTTCCGATACAAGTGTGTCGTCGATAACGTGTGGGGTAAAGCTCTGCAGCAGGTGATTGCCCAAATGCTACGCGCAACAGTGTCTGACTGCGACGTGGTGGCCCCAAAAAGCCGAGCTTGGGATTGATTGACATTAGGCGCCACTCGTCTGACGGGCAGCCTCAGGAGCCAAGTAACGGCGATGTGATGACTTTCTTCCTCAAGCAGAACGCTTGACGCAGGGATCGCTGCACCGCCCGTCAGCGCTGGACCATTTGTTTCGCCACTTGCATTCGGGGTGTTGCCAAAAAAAAAGAGTCCAAGCAGCCGGATGCGCGTGCTAGCAATTGCTTTGAGCAGCAAAGACACAGGCTCCCCGACCAATGCAGGCTTCTCTTTGTCGGGCAGACTCAATAGTCCGTCCATGTTGATGGTGCAAGATGAGGTGTCGGCCCCAGCATCGGCCAACGGTGGAGAGACCGCGGGCGATAACGCGGACTCAGCCCACAAGAATAGCTACACAGGGATCGTCCGCGAGGCGATCAGCCAGGGGTTGATCCTCAAACTCGACGGTGCGGGCGACGCTGAGGCATTCTCCATGTCTCTGCACACGGGAAATTCACAGTCTCGTATCCTGGGCAGGGATTTGCGAGCCATAATAATGAGGTGAGCCCCTGCTTTCATGCCTTTGAGAAAGGCCGTCTTGCTCAGTCGACGTCGATTCTTGCCCCGTCGCTTTCTGTACGAACAATCTCTCCCTCCTTTGCCCGAGTCTCAGTATTCTTAACTGCCAGACTCCGATTCCGCAGCCCATTGCCTATTGCTGTGGTATTTTCTTGGACCATCACTCGTTAGCCGGCATCTGGATCCGCAAAACGTCAAGGAATCAACAATGATGTACATCAACAACATCGCCTTCGCTCTCGCCGCCCTCAGCGCTGTGTCAGCCTTGGGCATTAACGAGAGCGATGTGCCGTCTGTCTGTGCCACAATCTGCAAACCCCTCGTCCAGCTCTCCGACGCGTGTTCATCCAGCTCCTCGACGGACTCGAGCTGCATCTGCAAGAATACTAGCTTCGACGTCGTGAACCTAGGATCCATGTGTGCGATCTGCTGCCAGCAAGCCAATTCCCTAGGTGACGGTATGCGAACCTTTCCTACCCTTTCCTTTCTCCCTTCCAAAGCACCGTTTTTCGTTCGGAAAACACAAAGGCGAGGCGGCTAATGTTCCAAACAGACCTCAAATCCATCTCTTCCGCCTGCGGCTTCACGCAGGGCACGTACAATCAAGCATCCGCCAGCTCGGTTGCTGCCACCGTTGTTGTGACCGCAACGTACTCTGGCAAAACAACAACCCTATCTGCTGCCGCTACTGCGTCAGCTACTAGTTCCTCGGCCTCCAGTAGCAAAAATGTCGCACCCGCTCCTACTATGCAGGCTGCAGGTTTGCTTGCCGGAGCCGGTGCTGTTGCTGCTGGATTGATCCTGTAAATACAAATGTATTATGTAATATCATGGGCAGCGTTCAGCGGAAATAGAAAGGAGCACTGTGCCACAATTAGCGACATCGGTATAATGGCTGACAGGAGCTGGAATAAAAAGACGAGTACACGGCCACGGCGTCTTCGATTTATGGTAAAAGGGAGGGTTTTTGGTCCGCGAGGCAGCTAAGTGACCATGTTCTGCATAGTCGGCAAAGGAATGGCAACTTTCTGGTTGAGGATACTAGGGGCTAGCTTCCGTTCCGCCCTGTATATTTACCCGAGTCCTTAGTAGATTTTTTTAAACAAAAAAAGCTTTGAGCTATTCATTTCCCCCGCTAGCGACAGGTTGTCAGTTCACGAATGCTACCCCTCAGCGCCATGCAAATGCTTTCCCACGTCTAGTATTACATGGCGTCATGCGCTGATCTTTCTATCATAGCGCATTTGCCTCGTGAGACGGCGGCGCCTTTGCAAATTGCTGGTACAGAACCGCCCATATTTCTCGTAATCTCGGGCTCCTTGGACGCATGAGCCTTCAGTCATCGGTTTCCATATCTCCGTTTAGATGACCATTTGTTTGAGACACTCTAGCCTTCGTCGACGGCACCGACGCCTCCTTGTCGATCATCTGGCGTGAGACAGACACAATGTTATCTTCGAGCAGTTGCTGGCCAATATCCTCAATGTCTGCATTGCCTTGTTAGCTAGATTACCCATGATGCCAAACGTTCTCGTGCAAAGCAGATATTGTCCGACTTACGCTTCTTGGGATCTATCTTGCCGACATATCGCGTTTTCAATTGATCCTTTGTAAGCTCTGATTCCTCCTTGACCCGCTTCTCATAGCCCTCTGCAAGTGAGACCAATTTTTGCAATTTGTCCTTGTTTCGCTCAGCCTCCAGCCTGAAGTCATTCATCTCGAGCGCCTCAGTCCACACGTGCTTGTGCAGATTCATCAGCATATTTTCCTCCAAACCCGTCTTCCTGTAGTTAATGCCGATGCTGTAGTAGTGTCTGTTAAGGCCGTGAATGAGTGCCTGAATAGACGGCTTGTTGAGATGTCCCAAGTTCGAGGTGGTCTGCCGGGGTTCATGCCCCATCATCAGGGTCTGTGGATTGATAAGTCTGAAAGCGTCGATGACAACCTTTCCCTTGACGGATTGGATTGGATCGACTACCACGGCTACCGCTCTGGGCGTTAACTGCTCAAACGACTGCTGGGTGTTGATATCAACAGAGGATAGCCAGCACCCAAACCCGGGATGTGAGTGATACCAGCCTACAACGGTCTCCGGCCGTCCAGTTTGCCGCAACATGTCCATCATCTTTGTCTGAAAAACTGGGTCGACAGCCTCAACGCTGACGCCTGTGCCGGACTGTGGCATGGCGAACACATCTACCACACGCACTGTGTAGTCATCTACGAACTCGCCTAGCATCAGACCCATGACTTCCATGGGAACACCAGCACGACCATGCCGCAGCATCTTGAGGAGGGCGAGAGAGGAGATGTAGACGGTTTCTGAGTTGTCGATGAGATTGGTGTCCTACGTCAGCCGTAGTGTTAGCATGCCTGTATGTTGTATCCATAACGTTGAGAGAAGCTCAGAGTAACGGAATGGTGTTTGGATGTGTCAAGTAGCACAGGTCAAACGTACTCCACCTGATGCACCCCCAGCACCGCCCATACTCTGAGCGGCGGCAAGCATCCTGTTTAACCGATCCATGACGGTGGTGTATGTGAGTCGTACGAGGTGTTGCGTCGAAAGATGAGAGTGGGTTGGACAATTCGGAGCGGTTCTATCTGAAGCTGCAATGGCAAGAGGTAGCTCTTGGAGGCGGATGTGTTGGGTGTATGTCCGGGGCGACAAAACGGTTACGGGCGCTGAAGACAGGATAACTGGCGGCGACAGGCAGCTCTCGGACGCGCGATCACAGTTGCTGGAAGAGCTGACGCTGACGTGCCTGAATGAGGCCGCACTTTTGATGTGTGCCTGGCGCGACTTCGGAGCGGCGACCCAGCCTCTTCGGCGAAAGAGCACACGCTTTCTCGCCCTGGCATATGTCGAAGCTTCCTCCGCAGTCTTCCAAGACTCTCGCCCTCTGCGCTCCCGCGCCTCTTGATCTGATTTTTACGCCTTAACAGCCAATCCGTGCTTCACTACCTCCTGGCCTGCTGCTCTGCACCATCGACCTTGCTGCAATTTCCATCCTCACATCCTCAAAATTATCATCGCGCGACATAAACCGCATGGAAATGTCTGATAAGGCGTTCGCGCCGCTCGACGAGCATGGCTCTACCCTTCCCCGCAAAGACAAGGTCGCGTACTTCTACGATTCCGACGTTGGAAACTACGCATACGTGGCAGGGCATCCCATGAAACCCCATCGTATACGAGTTGCGCACTCCTTGATCATGAACTATGGCTGCTATAAATACATGGAGATATACGTCAGTATTCGCCACTCTCGACACTCTACCCATATGATCTTGCACACACCATGCGCGGCGTGGGCGTTTCTACGTTTGACTGTACTAGCAGTACTGACGGACATAATGACAGCGTGCGAAGCCAGCGACGAAGTACGAGATGACACAGTTCCACACCGACGACTACGTAGATTTCCTGCAGCGGGTCACGCCAGATAACATGGAGACGTATAGCAAGGAGCAGAGCAAATACAACGTTGGCGATGACTGTCCTGTCTTCGATGGTTTGTTTGAGTTCTGCGGCATAAGTGCCGGTGGCAGCATGGAGGGGGCAGCGCGCCTCAACCGCAAAAAGTGCGAGATTGCGATAAACTGGGCCGGTGGTCTGCATCACGCAAAGAAAAGCGAAGCTTCAGGCTTTTGCTACGTCAACGGTTCGTTTCGTCTGACCGCATTTTTGGAAGGATGTATGCAAACAATGCTAACTCTGTGACTTAGATATTGTGCTGGGCATCATCGAGCTGCTGCGATTCCACAAGCGCGTCTTGTACATCGACATAGACGTCCACCACGGTGACGGCGTCGAAGAAGCCTTCTACACGACAGATCGTGTAATGACCGTATCCTTCCACAAGTATGGCGAGTACTTCCCCGGTACAGGCGAGTTGCGTGATATTGGCGTGGGCAAGGGCAAGTATTACGCAGTCAACTACCCGCTACGCGATGGCATTACGGACAAGACGTACAAGGGCGTTTTCGAACCCGTCATCCAGGCTGTCATGGACAACTATAATCCTGACGCAATTGTGTTGCAGTGTGGAGGTGACAGCTTGTCGGGAGATCGTCTGGGCTGTTTCAATCTCAGTATGAAGGGTCATGCGAACTGTGTCAAGTTTGTCAAGTCCTTTGGAAAACCAACACTTGTTCTTGGGGGTGGTGGATACACTATGCGTAATGTCGCCCGCACGTGGGCCTACGAGACGGGAGCCCTCATCGGTAGAGAACTTGGACCGAACCTCCCTTACAATGATTACTACGCGTATTTTGCGCCCGACTACGAGCTAAACGTGCATCCGTCGAACATGGACAACGCAAACTCGGCGGAGTACCTACGACGAGTTACTGAAGAGGTGGTTACGAACCTGCGCCAGACAGGCACTCCGTCGGTGCAAATGCAGGACGTGCCTCGTGCGCCTCTCGGTGGGGCAATGGACAGTGATGCGGAGGACGAAGCAGATGACATGGACGCAGATCAGAATCCGGACACCCGATTGACGCAACGACAAGCAGATAAGATGATAGCTAGGGATGATGAGTTCTACGAGTCGGAAGATGAGGAGATGAATGAACGCAATGGAATTCGTCGACAGCCGGGGCAGCAAAGGTCACGAAATATCGGCATTATGGATTATGAGAATCCGCATGCTCAGCCTGATATTGATGTGGACGAGAATGGGCAGCCAGTCGAGGTTCCAGGTAACACTGGCAATGGCGTCATTGGCTCAGGATCGAGGGAGGAGAACAAGAGAATTGCTGATCAGAAAGCTGACGCTGCCCTCTCACCAGGCGAGTCGTCTACCGGCTCAAACTCAAAAGTAACGAATGGAAAGCCGTCAAGAGCGAGTAGTGGTCATCCTGAGGCGAAACCAGAGCCTGATGGCCAAGCTGAAGCTGAAGCGGATGAAATGGACGTTGATGAAGGCTCCGAAGGTGATGACGAGCTTGAAGAGGAAGTTGAAGATGTACCTGCTGAAGCAACAGCAGATGTCACCGCTGTTGCCGCCTCGGAAACCACAGCTGCCACGGCGACAGCCTCAGCGGCTGCAGCGGAGACCACAACATCAAATTCGCCAAGACCAGGAGCTGAACTAACACCGCCCGATTCTCCGGCTGAAGAAACGTCCAACGCGCAGTCCACGACCGTGGCCGCCCCGTCCGGCGGAGCCACGGAGGACGTCGAGATGGCAGACGAAGATATGAAGGTCGAGGATGCTCCAGAGAAGAAGGAAGGGTTGGTTGAGCAGGAGAAGGATGATCAGGAAGGAGAGGAAAAAACAGAAGAGGTTGCCATGAAGGACGAGGAGTAAGCTATCATCATAGCTACTGCGTCATGAAAGCATGAGTGAGACGCTTTATACGATGTGGTCTCTTTCTCAAAGCATTACGTCAAGATCATAGCGTGGCGAAGCTGGCGTTAATGCAGGCCCAAGTAGTCAGTCTGCATCCTTTCCTGAGACACAGGCAGCACGAAGACGGACAGACTCAACCATCAGGGCTCATCACTGCCATATTTGGGTCTCGATCTTGCAATGACCGCATGAGAGGTAAGAGTAAGGGTGCTCCCAACTCTTCACTCCCTCCACGTGTTTTTTTATACTCCCTGGGTGGATGAAATTGTAGCGGGCGGTATACAGCATTTGCAATTTGGAGTTGGGCATGCTGGAATGCTTGATATAAAGCCCATGTACTGTAGTTATGAGCGTTCTGCGATTCAATGGACACAGAATTGATTGTTTCCGCACACTTCCGATCACAGTTTCGTGTCCGATTTCAATGTTCATGAGAGAAACACATCTCACGTCTGCGCGCATAGCAGCGACGAAAAATCCTTCCGTCCACCACGTGCTACCGCTTACCCGCTTGGCAGCATTCCCCCTGCAAGATTTGCCTGCTGTAAACCAGAACGAAGTAGAGCGAACATGTTTCGAAACGCAATCACCACGTACGCTTGGCCCCGAACAGAACAAGAGCTGGAGGTGCTCGAATGATATGTGCCAGGTACGCGCAGGGGATACCAGGCGCGTCCGTCGTTCAGCGAAGAGCGGTTTCAACTCTGTAGACGCAAGATCTTGACAATTTGTGGTTCGACACGGAGGGGCAAGACAAGAAGGCCAGCGTCCCGAAAGAACCAAGGCACAGCAGACACAGTTCCAATCACTGGGGGCCGATGCTATGGCCTCGTCGCTTCACAGATGATCAAAACCGTGGAACACGCGACAGATGAGGTGTGCTGCACAGGCATCAACGACGTTTTCGCAGTACGTGCCAGGGAAGGAAGACGAGCTGCGAAGGGAAAGAAACCTGAAAGGCGGCGCAGAGAGGGAGGATAGGACGCGAACGATGGCAAGATCTCGGGCTTGAAATTTGACCACAGCATTACCAAGTATTGAGCCAAGATGCGAGGGGGCGAATGGGTTGGGTTTCCTTGCTTGTTTGGCCGTCTTATTAGGCTAGAGCCATTTGAACGTGCGAGGAGTCGAATGACGCTGGCGACGAGTACAGAGTGTCGTGCTGGGAGGTGGAGGGGCGCGAAGCCCAAAAATAGCGCTTAGCCTTAAATGGTGTATCCCCCCCAGGACGTAATTAGTGTCCGATGCGCCTAGCAGGAACTCGCCTTGAAGAAGGTTAGTGGGTGCCCAAAGCCTGCACTGCGCAGCCCGTATAGGGGGGAAAGCTGGTGAAAGACTCGACGGAAGCAAGGCGGTCGAGGCCGTGTCGCAGATGCACCGACTGGAGGGACTCGTGGGCAGCGGAGATGGGCGGGAACGGCACTCGTCATCTTTTTCCTGCGCAGAGCCGTTCTGTAGTAAGTTAGTTCGTAGCGCGTGTACCCTTTTGCCTGGCGCAGCGCAGGACTCGTAATAATTAATGCCACCACAAAGTGGCGTACTCCCTTTCTTCTGCTTCGTCTTGTGCTCCTCGTCTCTCTTTCTTTGATCTCTCTGCTTCGCCGCCCTTTCGTTTGTTCACCTATAGCATCGGCGAAAAACTGCCTGCTGTTTTCTGTGTCTCGTCGATTCCGTCAACGCCCATATCCAACGCGTCCATCTCCGTCGACGGTATACTCGTTTAGAACCAGTTGTACTACCATGCCCGCGAGGTAGCGACGACAAAACCCACTCTGTCCCTCATCTTTCGCTCGTTGAGAAAGAGTTATCGCTTCCATCCTTTTTTTTTATCTTGGTTTCGCATACTACTTTTGCTCGTGGCAGCCATGATGACCCTTCGATTAACTAAATCGTGAGTTTACCTTGCCCGTGTTGGTTCTCTTCTACCTGGAACGAACGCGCACATGTGCTTCTGCGTCCTTATGTCTTCAAAGAGACTGCGCAACCCGCCATCTCGGATTGACACGTGGAGTAGCATATCTCTAAGCCGTGTTCGCTAACGTATAAGCGGTCTCCAGATATGTAGGGGCTCTCGGCGCCATCTTCATCTTTTTTGTCACCTTGCAACTTATCAAACGCTCGTCCGAACCGTCGGTACAGAGCGCGGCACAGTCAGTAGGATGGCGTGACTGGATGTGGCCGTCTGAAGCGGAAGATACTACTACAGTCATCAAGTCGACGCCGCCCAAGTTTTCAAGACCGCCGAATGTGGAGGGCTCGATCCCCAAGGATATCAAGCTTGATGCACAGCAAAAATGGGAAGAGATGGTACCGTCGGGCTCCACGCCGCCTGCTCCGGAAAATCACCCCGTGCAGGAATCGCAGCCAGTGTCAGAAGAACCAGTCGAGTCGGAAGTAAAGGGCGAGGACGATGAAGAGAAGATGATGAAGGAGGCGGACTGTCCTAGCCAGGTGGCATGGAAAGCGGATCCGCTTCCGGCGCTGAACACAACCTTCCACGTTCCCGACGATATACATTACAGTCCCAAGGGACCGGATCCGTCAGAGGTTGTCATCGTGACGGCGACGGATGGCAAAGGCCACAACGGTGGTATCGCGGACATCCTATCCCAAACTGCTGCGAACCGGAAGTCCTACTGCCAATATCATGGCTACAACTACCATTTTGTCAACATCTCGCAGTACGAGCTTGACGATGCGCATCCGGTCTGGAAGAAGATCCCAGCCATCGTGGACGCTTTCAACACATACCCGAAAGCCCAGTGGGTCTTCTTTCTCGACCTCGACGCCATAATCATGTCACCCAAGCAGGATCTCAACTCGCTTGTGCTTTCGCACGCCGGCATGAGCAAAGCGTTAGACTTTGGCGGACAGTATCACGGCAGCGAGTGGACCCCTCTAGGCGTGTATATGCCGGAGATGCACGACGTCAAGTTCGAAGACCTGGACATGCTGGTCGCGCAGGATCACAACGGCGTCAACGCGGGAAGTTTCTTCCTGCGGCGATCCAAGTTTTCACAGTGGTTGCTAGACATGTGGGCGGACCCGTTCTTCATGCGCATGAATTGGCCGGGCCAAGAGCAGGATACTCTGGTAAGTGCTTTGCCTGTATTTCTTTCTCCACATACTGCTTTCCTACGTGGTTCGACGGATTGTGCTTGTCGTAACCTCCGTATTTTTCGTTTGTAGACGGAATCGAGACTGAGAAGTTACACAGCTTCACTTCATCAAGCACCACAAAGTCTTCAGACAGCACCTTGGCCTTATCAAGCAGCGCACTGCCAATGCTTATGTCGAGGGCAATGAGGCCATGAAGTGGCAGCCTGGCGACCTCGTCATCCATTTCGCAGGCTGCTGGGTTGATGACAAGTGCCAGGAGTGGTGGCAGGAGTTCTGGTCTAAGAGGGGCACTCTCACAAGTGAATCGTACTGAGACTCTACTTCCTCATCCATACGTCTCTCGTACAACCTGTGTAAGAGAGACATATATTTCGGGATGTTCGAAAGGGTATTTGCGCCTTCAAAACGACGTTGCTGTACAAAACCACGGTAGGTGGGGTGGGGGCGTTTTAATACGGCATGTGCTTTTTTTGTGTGGCTTACTTGCACGGAGTTTTGAAAGATGAAAATGCTCTTGGGCAGCGATCTGTTGTCGCGCTGCTGTCAAGAGAATAGAGCGCAAGCACTTTCTGTATATATGCCTTTTTCTTGATGATATCCCACGCACCTCGAAATGACGAACGTGAGCTTGTTGACTGTTCGAAGAAGACTGTCCATTGCTGCCTTCAATCGTGAAAGGAGCTTGGAGCGGAGGGATGATATCGCGCTATAATGCTAGATAGGAACGCTTCTCTTTGCTCAACTTGCTCTGGGCTAGGGAGAAGATGCCGGGGGCCTTGTTTTTCGTCATCAAGTGTTTGTACAGCTTCAAGTTAACTGAAAGTCTCTAGCTTTTCTACGGCATGGACACTCAAAAGGCCGAGACCTGCAAACTTAGAATATCAATCCATGCGATTTGCGCCTGGAAGATCCACAATGCCATCGCATGCCATGCCACGACATGGCACAAGAAAGCGTCACCACCAATGTTCAAAGAAAAAAAAAAAAGAGAGCACATGCAAGTAAGAGGCTCCCGAACGGCCGGCGTACAGTTGTATGCACGACGCTCCGAATTTGGGAAGGTCGGAATTCCGTGTGGAGATGCTAGGGATCGCTGCATGGGCCAGTGAGCCTCATGTTCCGGCTTAACCTTGATTGTCTCGGAGGGTCTCTGCTCTCGCGCTTCGGCGTCCAACTTCGGAAGTTTGTATAGCCTTTTTCGCTGAGAGTGCTGTCGCTCCGGAGTATCGAGGTTGATCGGGGCTGTTGCGTGCGCGGCTGAACGTCTCCGCCCCGAGCGAGTCCAAGAATGGAAGGGTCAGGAGATATGGAGTTGGAACGACGGGAAGACGTCGTAAGAGGGATGACATGTTGGTGACCTGTTTGCTGCTGTGCACTGCAGTCAGCAGCAATTGAAATTCAACCGCTAAGCTGGCTTCCATATACGACTACAATCTTGAGCATATGTCCCTAGCGGACTACTACAAGAGTTTCAAAAGTAAGTGCTTTATGCTAATTGCCTTGTAGTCGACATAGATCGCTGACGCCCCGTAGTGTATCCTGCTTCGCAATCATATAAGCCATATCATGACGTTTCGTCGGAAGACGCGTCCGACCATGGCGAGGAGGAAGCCTTCCTCGAGAAGCCAAACGGGAGCCAGAAGAAACAGTCGCGTTATCGACGGTGGTTCTCCAGATTCGGCTGTTGCCTGATCAACGCCTCCGTCGCTTCCTGCATCTTCAGCGCCATAACGACCTTGCTCGTCCTGGTCCTACTTTTGGTGTCGACGAAGGGGGAGCCTCTGAAGATCATCAAGGAGTCCGCCAAGACGGCGTTCATGGGCCACAAGGAAGCGGTTCCGCTCCACGGTCACGGTGCTCACGATCACGGCTCAGCTCATGCCAACGCTGGTCTCGTCTCGTGCGGCAGCTCGCCGGCGGAAGCAAAGGCTATGGGATGCATCTTCGATGTCATGTCCTTCGCCTGGACGCCACCGCAATGCTATGACCACGAGACCTCGCAGATGTATCTGAATCGTAACGGCCCCTGGATCTTCTACCTCGATCACAACGCCACCCAGCCGCTGGAGTTCGACACCCTGTCTGAGCATGAAGTTGTGTGGACAGAGCACAGCTACCACATTGTCCACTGCTTGTACGCTTGGGAGCGAGGACACATGGCTATGAATAAGGGCAAAGGCACGCTCATTCCTAGCGAGCTTGGAAGCATCGACCACACGAGGCACTGCGTTGATCTTCTTGACGACGTCGGAGAAGCCGCCGCGCCTGCCAAGAAGGTCAACGCCATCGCCTACCTCGTGTACGATAGCTGCAGGGAGCTCGAGTAGCTTCCGTTGCAGCCGTTGCAGCTGTCGGGTTGGCTGTGGAGACACGGAGAAAAGTCTATAGGGTGAGGTTGTCCCAAAGTGGAGCACGCGCGCAGCGGTGGCATACTGAGTCGAGAAAGTAAAAAATACGGCTTCACGTAGCAGAGGGAAGGAAGATGCCGTTGCCGTTTCCTCGATCAACGCTGGGTCTGCGATGTCCGATCGGGGGGTGGTGCATGCTCACGGCTGTTTAAGCGCCGTTGGCGTGTAACCACCACCATGCAGCGACGACACGGCGGAGGCGTGGTTTTGATTTGTTCTTGTTTTTGCTCACGGTCAGTTAAGCGATGCAGCTAGAATATTTTAATGCGCATAGTTGCGTTGAAAAAAAAAAAAAAAAAAAAATCAAGTCGGTTCTTCACCCGCTCTAGTCTGACGCTGGCCCGCCTTGGAGCTTGTTTGCCTTCACATGCAGCGGTAGTGGCTGTTCCGCTGGTCGTGATCTTAGCCTGAGACGTACGTAACGATTCTGTGCCATGCCGCCCCGGGGCCTCAGACATCTGACAGCGACCTCACGAAGCTGACGTCTTTCTTCCCCTTTGGCGATCCCCAGAGCACGCAAAAAAGCAGCAAAAATAAAAAAAAAAAATAAATAAAAAAATAAAAAAAATAAAAAAATAAAAAAAATAAAAAAAAGCCCAATCATGCAAACAGGGACAAGTCTCGACTCGCTTATTGGACCCCAGTCCCTTCGGTTCCTGATTGTAGGATTCTCCATGGACGCAGGTCATGAGGGGCGAACCATCTGTCCAGCCTGCAAAACACAGACAGACACACACCCAGAAAAGGACTCCCTCGCCCGAATTCTCGTGATCTGCATCGTCGTGCTTCTGCATAAGCGGCGTCGTAACCTCATTCGGCAAGTCAGACGCTAGACACGTCAGTACGCCAGTCCCCACTGACCATTCAACCATGGCACTGGAAAGTCCGGAACAGAGTGTTCGAGAGCCTACGATCCACTAAGACGATGTTGTGGTAAATCAGTTTTTTGGCATTGGACGATGGCCACTGTCTTGACTGTAGACTCATGACGCCAGAAGCGTAAGCAGCTGCCAATAGACGTTGAACGTTAAGCGCGATGTGCAGAAGCGAAAACGTCTCGCGTGGAAGCTGTTATGTTATAGCTAGATAAGCTGGGGATCTTCTCGCTCGCGAAGCAGGTTTTTTTAATACAAGTCGTGGCCTGATGTCAAAAGTACAAAGCTCAATGCCGCCGTAACACGTATCTAAAAGAGTGACAAACTACCGCCATGCGCATGCTGTTAACACATTTGCGACCCAGAAAGTAAAGCCCCCACAAGGTAAAAACCGTGCCGTCCACCGTGCCGTGCCGTGAATTGGCCGTGGACGAACAGAGCCGGCACGCCTCGAGGGTATGGCCGCCACCGAAGCAGTCTAGCTCACCACTCCGATCTCTTCTCGTAATGACTGCAGCAGCACGCCCGCTATCCGATCTTTGCCGTCCCCGACACGCCCAGCCCATTGCTCCAGCGTGCCGATGACACTCTTGCCGCGTTCGATCTCGGATCGCACAATGGCATCTAGAAGGGCGTTGCAGCTCTCGTCACCCTCCACTTCGAATTCCCCGATACAGATTGACGCTCCAGCGAGCGGTGAGTCGGCCCGCTTTCTGTTTGCAAGCATCCTTGTGCCCTGCATACGTAGCGTCACGTAACACGCGAATACTTGCTGCAAGATCAGTACGCACGCGAGGAATAGCGACGGCGATGTGGCGAAGCGGTTGGAGCATGTGGGACACATGAGATAAGACGAAACGGTGCTGAGGCCACGCCTAGCCAAGAGGAGAGCCGAGTCCAAGGGCGAGAGGTTGACTTGCAACGTGTGAAGCTCAGATATAATCCCAAGACCGGCTGGATCGCAGAGACATGATGGTGTGGCTGGATCTTTCCGCTCGGGTGGATCTTGTGTGGAGCTGTGCAATTGCACGGGAGAGGTCTCGAGCACGGGGGCGAAGCTATGATACGAGTTGCTGTCGCCCGAGACGGAGTTTGCGTGCGTAGAAATATTTAGCGATGTCGTGGGCGTGGGCGCCACAAAGGGCTCGGATTGAGACGTAGTGAACCACTTAAAATCATCGATTTCTAGATTGAGGCCAGCAGAGGGAAACCCGTCGTCGAGCTTTCCAGGCGTCGGTTGCTCTAGCACTGTGGATAGCCCTTGTTCTTGATTGCTGGAGTCGACATAAAAGGTTAAAGGCTCCCCGACCATCGACATGGCGTCGTGACTTTGCATAGACGGTAGACTTTGCAACTCCGGAGTATTGCTATTCGAAGCTTGGAACGTAAGGCTTAGTTCTGTGCCGTATTCTGCAGGTGGGCCATCGCTCATGGTTCTTTTTGGCTAGGCAATGGTTAGCTCAGACGTGTCGGGGAATCCGGGGTCGGGTCACCTGTGGCAAGAGCCCGTCGGCAGAGCGTTTGCGCGAGTCTGGTGGGGAGGGGAGCAAGTCCTTGTCTGCCGTTTGCGTTGTCAGCTCGTCGTCGTAGAGGCTCGGATTGATGCCATCGATACCTGGGACAACGTTTTGTCTAGGCGCTTGCGTACTCGTCTTTCGCCGTTGGACTTTGTTCTTGCTGCCCTTTGGTTTGCCCAAAGGCTTCCCGGTGCTGTAAGTACATGCGCTTTTATTCGCTGCGCAGCGATCGCACATGGGCTTCTCGCCTGAGCATTTGACTTTGCAACGATAGCACTGCCGACGTTGTGAGGCACTGCGTGGTGGGATCTGTTCGGCGTGCTCATACCTGATCACAGGCTGTGCATAAGTGCCCAGACGACTCCCGTCTTGATTGTGCCCTCCGTGGTGCCTCCGCGGAACCTGTGGAAGGACGGTTTGTGGTGTGGCTGACGCCGGCCAACTCCATGCTGGTTGCTTGAATTGAACAAAAGGCAGCGTCTCAGCCTGCACCTGGCGGTACCGTTCTTATTTGATTCTCGAGCGGCAGCTGAGGAATGAAACCCCACTTTGTACAGCTGCAACATAGCAATCAATCCAAGTCCACCCCCACCCACCACGAACATCTGGTCCCAGGCCATCCGCAGTCGCTCACCTCTCGCAAATGGCGGGCGACAGTAGCGTGCAGATCGCCCTGGCCGGCTTCGCGGCCGGCAGCATCTGGCACTAGCATGGAAACGGGCTGGATGCAGATTCATTGCAGATCCGATGGATTTCGAGGGTTACGTCTGGTAAGTTCGACGTGGCCACGACGAGTCGTCCATGGATCGCGCATCAGCGGGCGGTAACTGGAGCGGGAAGGTGATTGAAGAGCATCTGAGAACTAGCTGGATCGGCGGGCATCGGGCGTCGATTGACGTCCAGACAGCCAGCCGAGAACCCTTTCCTTGCGCCGGTTTACATCGACGGTGTCAGCGTTGCGAATGGTGCCTCGTGCGAGCTCGCGATGCACGGGGGCCAAAGCGGAACGCTTGGGTTGCGAAGAGCGGTTAGCTGGAACCAGCGGGGCGGTTCTGGAAGGAGACCTGTGGCTTGGGCAAGCCTGCGCCGACACATGGACAGAACCGAAGGGAGAGTGCACAAGGCCGTTGACGCCGGGCAGACGAAGGCGTCATTGTCCGGCCGGCAGAAGCGACGGCTGGAAGATCACATGAGTGGCAGCCCAGCAGATCGTCGACATCGGGCGAGGACACGATGTTGGAGGACCACGCGCAACGGCCCGCATCCTGGAGGGAGGTACCGGCCGTTAGCCAGCGTGCATGCGACGGCGCGGGCTCGACGGCGCTTGTTGGCCGAGCGGCAGAAGACAGGCCCGTCGCTGCTGAGCACTTGCGGCTGGGCGCGAATAGGAACGCAGCCGCAGATCACGGCAGAGGACAAGACCAGGCTCGCGGCAAACACAGCGTTCTGGCGGGCTCGCAAGAGGTCGCACTGGGCCGGCGGCGGCAGACATGGCGAAGCTCGCGCGCTTCTGGCGGGCCTGGCCGTGGGCACGACTGCGCCAGACAGGCCGCTTTTCCCACTTGCAGCGACGGTTTCATGGCCTCGTACCCAGCTTCACAGTTAGCTTATCGATCCAAGGGCCAGCAGTGCGAAATATGCGTACCCGTGCCCTTGCTCTCCCGCTCGATCCCCCTCGCTAAAAGACCGTGTTGAGCAACTCTCGTCCGTCGTGGTCAGAAAGAAGTCACCCACACCACCACCCACACCCTCTCTCTCGCACGCACACATACACACGCACGCGCTCTTGTCCCGATCCCTCTGGGCCCATCCTCGCCCGCTCCAAGATTCCGGCCCCGCCCCCTCTCTCCGTCTGATTTGGTTGAAGTCTGCTAGATCCTCGTTTGTTCCTTTTGTTCCGCTGATGCCGACAACCCGGTCCTTCGTATGACGGAATGCAATTGTTTCGCGTCGGCCTTGCAGGTGTCGGATTCGCTGCACAGAACCGAGACTGCCCTCGCCTCGACCTCCTTTGATCACATCTTGAGCGTCGCTCGCTGGGCGGCCGCCGTCGTTCGCCAGTATGCCTCCTGCTCAATGTGCTCGGACCCGAGCTACTTTACCATCTATGTAATCATTCTGCGCAAAGCCGCCAGCTGCTACAGCTCGCTCGCCCACTCTTCGAGCGCATCCTCCTCGCCTGGCACCGCAAGTTCTAGCTCCGGCTCCTCGAGCCAGGGCTGGTTCGGCGCCACAACCAGAGTCCGGATAGGCAATTTTGAGGTCGACACGCCTCTTGACGACCACACGCGAAGCGTGATTCTTCGAACTGAAGTTCGGCGTGCTTCCGAGGCTGCGGCGCAGCTGGAATCAACGCTGGACTCGACGAGCGTAAAGGCGACGAGGCAGGTTCGCGACGAAGCAGCCCTAACGTACCAGAGAGGCTTGGTCGCCGTGCTAAGAGAAGAACTGGCTGCAGTCGAGCGACTTTTATATTCAGTATAGTGCCATCCATGCTGGGCAAATAGCGGCGAGGCTGCGGGACGGCCACGCCGCATTGGAAGGATTTTTGGCGTTGAAGGATTCACGTACGCTCATCTGGATTCGCCCAACGACCTTAGCGATTGGCGTCAAAGAAGGATCCTGTTTTGCTCATCACTTGAAGAGGCGGATATTTGTAAACGTGCCACGTGGTTTTGCATTTTGTTACACCCAAAAGTTGGTACTGTCCCAAATGCGATATACCTACTTCAACCAGCCTGCCGGTTCCTGCATAACAAGCTCCTGAACTCGATGGGATTTCAAGCGTCCAATGGGCACCCATGACGCTTGTTCGTCGCGAAGCCCACCGTCACCGGCCAGCCAGGGTTTGCGGTCACTCGGCTCGGTAATTTCTCTTTGTTTGGACTCTTAATGCTTTGGTGTGCTATTTATTCTGAGTGTCTACCATTTGATTACCTCTCTCAAGGTGGCACATAGTGTGTTTCGTGGCTGCCAAATTGGTACGCATCGGAGTCACGATGCTCCTCCAAATACTTATACATCTGGTCGTAGTTCTTGCACACATGTGGCACATTCAGGAATGAGCTTCCCCCAGGAATGTCTCCGCCTGCCAGGGCCATGTCTCCGCTACACACAATCAGCTGCCGCAGATAGTCAATGCAATGATCCATATGCCAGGTGTCATAGCCTGGCTGCCTCATTCCCATAGCAAGCATGTCATATTCACTCATAACAACGTACTGGAAAGGTCTATTAGCGGTTGACGAGAAGGCACATCGTTGGATGATCTTACAAGACAGTGAAGTCCATGCATCCATGAAGTACCAAGGCTGTAACTGCCCTTGTATTCAACTGGCTTTGGCAAATCATACTTTTGCATGTCTTCTGTACTGACTGCTATATAGCCTTGTCCACCTGGTCGATGTTAGTTCTACTTTCTTGTCAACCAACAACAACAACAACAAGGTCCGACCCACGAGGTAGGAAGTCGATCCATGCCTGTCTCGCCTTTCTTAAAGAATCCAACGATGTGTGATTGGAGATAAACTCAGGATGGGACCGGAAAACTGTGACCTTCTGACCAAAGTGTGGAACAAACCCCGTGACATCACCCTGAAGCTGCACCGTGCCAGCATCTAGCCTTCGTCCGGCGAAGATGAAGACCAGAGCAATCAAGCAGAGGTCTAGACAGAACATCCAAGGCGATCTTAGCCATCTTGTTTGTCTTGCCTTCCAAGGGTGACTTGTGTTTTCCAACATGGGCCTTGAATCGTCGCCATCTTCACTTGAGGTAGAGGCGCTTGCTCGGTGTGACTCCTCCAGGAAGGGCGCTTTTTCGCACGTTGCGATGTCAATGGAGTTCGGCATGATGGTATGGTTTGTGTTCAAGAAATCAAGCCCTCAAAATTTGTGCTGGCACAATTCTTACGGCAAGCATCGATATGCTGTCTCCCAAACTGGCTACAAGGGCTCCGTGTGTGATCGAAGAACATGCTCGGCACTTATTCGAATAAACATCTCGCCTGACACGAAAAGACGGCTCATTCCTGCAAACCCTGGTTTCATCGAATGAAATTCCCTGATAGTGCAAAAAAAAAAGGCCGGACTTATGCACTGCAAGTTCGTGGAACACTCACACACATCTTTGAAGACATACTCCGGATTGATGTAGTAGACTCCGGACCAACGTGAACATATTCCGGAGCAGTGAATCTTACGGCGACGGCTCGATACTCAACGACAGTGCTCCGAGGATACGTCACAACCAGGAGAGAATTCTGGCAATGATGGTACTCTCATAGCTATAAGTCTCACACTCTGGAGTCACGACACTATCAGACCACAGTTTCTCGGCTAATTTAGTTTACTATTCACTTCATCTCCGAGCCCAACAGCCAACATGAAGTTCCTCAGCATCGCCACCGTTGCCTCCATCCTCTCCACCGTCTCCGCTCTCCCCGTAGCCGAGGCCGACCGTTAGTTTGTGGCGTATCTCAATAAGCGTAGAGCTAACTTGTGTACAGCACTATTCGCAGTTTGTCTCACCATCAGAAACATGCATTAAATATTGACCCGGCAAGCGCGTTGATCGTAGGGACCCTCTGTTTGCTCGTGTGGATCGTCGTGATCCTTTGTTTGCTCGTGTCGACCGCCGAGACCGTATGTTATGGAATACAGAGGCAGTTTTTTTGCATCTTACTCGATTCTGACAGTATAATAGCTCTCTTTGCACGGGTAGACAAGCGTGAGGGTAAGCCAGAGTTCTACCGTGATCGCGTGATGGTGCTCATAGCGCTCAGCCGATCCACTCTTCGCAAGAGTAGACAAACGCGAGGGTAAGTCAAGTGTCATAACGTGATCGAGCGATGGCATTGATACCGCTCAGCCGACCCACTCTTCGCAAGAGTAGACAAGCGTGAGGGTAAGTCAGCGATATACCACGATTGGACGACGGTATTGATACCACTCAGCCGATCCACTCTT